TCGCTGAGCTTGAATGTGTTTTGGAGAGGGAAAACTACACAGCTTGCGATTAGGACCATGACTCTAATATGTGGAAATTAATTCGCAAGCAATTACTTTAAATGTGAATCGAGGTTTTAGTATTTCTAAAAAATATCAAACTTTTCTTCAGTTTAAATTGATGATCTTATAGAGCTATTATATGTAGCCGTAATGATTTTATTAGCTAATTAGGTCATTTCCTAATTTGCGAGAATAAATATTCTATTGGAAAGACCCGCAATTATTAGAATTCGTTTCTCAAGTCCCATCCCTGAGATGAAGTTTCAAAAGCAGGAGCATGTAATGAACAGTACATATCAATCTGCAGAAACAAATGAATTCTAGTTCAATATTTGAAATGTTTGACCGTAGAGTAGAAAGACTTGTCTATTTTAAACATGACTGATTCTTGAGTTTCAAACTTTGATGTCTTAAAGGCTGCTTTCTAAATCATCATTTAGAGTATTTTACGGTGGAGCTCTTGAAATTCAATTCCAGTATATAGCACTTTTTTGTTTTCCTTTGAAAGACTCTAACAGGTCATCCACATTTAGAAGTGGGGTAAAACCGTTGTATATAATTTGAAATTGTCATAACAGATGAGAGTTGAGTGCTCCAAGGCATGTAAATAGGATGATTGGAATGACATAACTATTATAGAAATTTGCTAGATGTCACCAATTATAGATATAAAGAGTATGTATACTTAAAGATAATCTTTACAAATAGAGACATATGAGTGCTATCAGTTATTACATATTAGAGAGATAATCATTCCATAAGTAAGTCTACCCAACTGTATTGAATTTTTCTCAAGCTTTAAAGAGGCGTGCGAATTCAAGAGTTACAATATTGGAGTTATTTTTTGCAAAGCTACCAGAAGTGTACAAAGACAATGATTCAATGCGCATGTCAAAAGAGCCGTAAAATTGAGATATTATCTTAAAAATATAATCACGCGTAAAAAAATATTTTAGAGTTTACTGGTGATAAATTGGTATATCTAATATGATTAATGTTTCCCAAAAAGTCGATTTATTTCCTAAACTGGTAAGCTAAAATGAAAACAAATGGTTTACTTGCAAAGGTTTCTGTAAAGTTTCTGGCTAAATCTTATGTTCCAATTTAATCATCTTGTTTGTTTAGCTCATGTTAAAGGTGGAGTAGCTGAGTTTTTCCTATAAATTATATTACTCCTTAAAAAGTCATTAATGCATGCAAAATGTTAATAAATAGGTTTATGAAGTTAAAATGAAATGAAATAAGAAGTTTATATGATTCAAAGTGGATGTTATTCAATTCAAATGTAGACAAAATGTAATAGTTATGCGAGTACATTTTATAGATTCGGTGATTTACGAAATATAATAATATATGCAATATGCACATACATGTAATAGCAGATATAGATATAGATTTAGAGAAGACTAAACTAAAACAGGACAAACCTCAGAAAGATGGCTTAAAATGTTCCTTCTAATTTACCGAAGTGAAATGTTCTGTATATTTTTTGAGAATATTCAGTACAGAAAACTAGCTCAAAACTTTGAGTTTGGGCTCAATTCCAAACCAGTTTCATTTTGGTTAAGAACTATCCCGGTCGAAGTAAAAGAATAAAAGGTTTGAGATATAGAAGGTGTTACGTTTCTTCTGCCTATAGAATATAATAGTAATTTCATTTCAGTTGGTTAGGTCTTGTCTAGAAATACCATAATTAAAGTTAAAGTTTTAATTCTATTCCTGTCTGGTACTTCTAATTGTATCTTTATGTGACTTTAAGATTGGCTGTTTTGCTTTCACAACACGAGGACAATTATGGATTCATGCAGCATCTTATTTTTAAATGAAGATTAGACCTCGCGTCAAAGATATTTTTTCTCGCATATTATTGACAATTTGTGTTTGCAAAATATGCTGACACGCAAAAAGAAATGTTATGCAAAAGCTTATATATTTACCATTAAGGAGTGTCCCAATCTAGCAATTATGTTTACTTGTATTTATTTATTTTTGTTTGATATAGATGCACAAATAACTCTATTAGATATAATGGCTCATGCCAGCAACAATTTCATTAAGTTTTTTAGCCTTTGCAAATCGTGTAATGTAGGGTAAAACCCACCTTTCCTCGTTTCTTTTTAAAAAAACCTTTTTGAAATGCTTCCGCTTTTAGGCTAGTTGGAGATTTCTTCTCCGTGTAGGCTTAGTACTACTTTTTTATTCCAAAGGGATAATAAAATGCAGTAAAATATATTCATTCTTTGAGATCACAACTTGGATGTAGGTATATAAGGATGAAAAGATTATCACTCCTCATCGCAAATAATCCGTTAAACGTTTTTATTAGATTGACCCCTAAAGGAATTAGTCTAACTTGCAGCAAAACGAACTGTACCAATTTAATCCGTTTGCCTTAGGATTCAGTGAATATGAATTGGATGTGGAAGCAAGTCTCTTAAATATTATTAAAGCGACGCATACAGTGAAATATTTTTAGTACATCAAAACCGCTGAACATTTCATTAAGTTGAGCATGATGTTGTATTTCAATTGGAAGAAAATCGGATAAATACTTGCGATGAATATTACTTAAAATGAACTCAGGTATAAGATAACTCCGAATATGCTTTCATTCATTTGAAGTATTACCAAATTGCAAAAAAACGAAATAAAAAACAATTATCTCCCTGGTAGCTCTAGTAAAAATTTTGATTAGCTAATTGAACTAGTTTATTGGAAAATGAGTTTATATTTAATTTCGGTAACGAATCCAAGCAATTCGAATTACAAGATTTGGTTTTCAAGCAATTAGCATCATATAATATAATTACTAATAATGCAGATTTTAGTTTGGATTTAGATGAGAATATGATAACGCAAGCAGCCATTGTTTTATCTGTATACTCGGCATTGGACGATGCTACGCCGAAGAGATAACAGAAAAAGAAGGAGGAGTGAAACAATTTTCTTGCTTGAATATCAGATTCTGCGGTTAAGGATATAGTGTATAATAGTTGGTATCTGTTTTCTGAGTATATATTAACTAGGGAATAATTATGGAAGGAGCTTCATTTGAACATGTATTTCTTCATTTGGTAGACTTCTAAGGAAGACAAACTTCCAAAACGAACTTCAGAAATTATAAAAAATGATACTTATTTGTGGATTGACCTTCATGGATAAGATATTGGAATCATCAAAACATTAGTCTCCTGTACTTAGGATGTGATTGGGCCATGGTAGCGTAGGATTTAATCTTATCCAGTGAAATCAGTTAATCACCAAATGTTTATTTTCTTTATAGGAAGAAACAAGATGGAATTGGTCTTGTCATCAGGTCACCTTTGGGTAAATTACTTTCTTTAATATGTGATCCTATTTTAGTAGATAACATCGTCTTCGCACTAAGTATTAGCCTCTTATAGAACTTCTGTGGAGGAGGGGTGGTGGTAAGCCTTATTGTGATGGTATCCTGATATTACAGGTGCGACATTTGATATTAGAAGACCTGTCAATCTTTCAGCTGTTAGGAACGAGCGGCTCCACACTTTTTAAATTTTTCCTGATTTCTTTTTTAGTTTTTTCATACCCCGTTGATTGATAAACTGTTGTCCATTTAAGGAGGATTTGCGAATATCGGATTATATACAATTTTAGCTTTCAATTAAATTTTACACTTTAACTTGAGTGAAGATATATAAAGAAAGAGCAATTTGAATCAAAAATGAATGACTCATAAATATGTGGATTACGATATTGTACTACCATGTGCTTTCTTCTTATCTTTTGATTAAGGTATTATATAACTCATCATCATCCACAGTTAATAATTACTGACCTCTTAAATACAAAAATGATGATGGATAATGAATAGTAATAAATCGACTGATTGTTGTACGATTTGTAGTCAATTGCATGATAATTAAGATAGATAGATATAAATAATAGAAACTGTAAAAGAATAAGAAAAGAAATGTGTAGAACTTGGAAAGATAAAGTGTAGAACTGAATAAAACATCCATCTTGAGTACCGAACCCTCGTAAGTCGCATCTCTCCGAAACCTTAAAAATATCTTTAAATTTTAGTTACAAATATAATTAGACGTATATATATAACGGTATAATCCCACCGTTGGGATACAGCCTTTTTCAATACTATTTTCTTCTTGTTTTTCTATTACAAGTTTTCAATTCAAATCCTATTTTCTGATTCAATTGATCAATTGATTTGTTATAGGATCTTTTCATTCACATCATCATCATCATCATCATCATTATACCAATCATCATATAGTTAGGTACATAGATTTTAATAAATATCAATTTGTATCATTAATCAACCATAATTCAATTGATCAATATATATATCAATTCAATTCAATTTTTTATCATTCAATTATAGAACGGTAATAAAAATAGAGGTCAAATTATACCTACCCCTCCCTCCCCTTTATAGTTAATAAACTACAAGTTACTTTTACCCCTTTTCCTAATTTGAAACGGAAGTTTACCCTCCAAAAAAGAATTAGTCCGTTTCTCCAGATTTTACAGGTTAACTAATTTGTATTCCGCCACACGACTTTTTTGTTCGCAGTTAGAAAAAAAGAACAAGATAGAAGAATATTTAAAAAAAAAGAAATTTAAATCTTTTTGGTACCCGCACGAGTTCAAACTAGTACTAAATTTGATTAGTAATAACGAAAGACATTTCAAATCCCCATTCCATCAGATAATTTATTGAATCTTTTTCTTTTAATTATTGTTATTCAGTTGAATTGTTTTCTTCCCGTTAATATAGTATTATTCACGGTATAGGCTCCAGTTCATTCAAATCATTCCCCATCGTCAATATTCTCGTAACAATGACAGATATTAAGAGAAACTTTTCTGAAATATATGGTGGAGATTCCCCATCAAATTATGATGAAAGTCCTACTCCTGACAGTCATGATGATAAAAAGTTACATACCAAGCCAGGTAGAAAACCAATAGAAACTGAACCTAAATCAAAGAGAACTGCTCAAAATAGAGCTGCTCAACGTGCTTATCGTGAACGTAAAGAACGCAAAATGAAAGATTTAGAAGATAAAGTTAAGAATTTAGAAGATAAAAATATTAAAGTTACTACTGAAGCTGATTTCTTAAAAGCTCAAGTTGAAATGTTAAAGAAGGAATTATCAAGATATAGAGGTCATACTGATTTTAGTGATTTACATTTACCAACCAAAGTTGGTCATTTATCAAACCCAAAGACTGGTGGTTATGTTCCATCATTTGATAATCATAATAATAATACCAGTACCAATAATGATGAATCATCTGCTTCTTCAATCAAATCAAATAATATCTCTGATCATCCTTCAACTTCAAGTTCTGCTTCTGATAATTCTCCTCATAATCAACAACAATTTTCAATTGATTTCCCATGGTCAAAAGATAATTTAAAAATTGGTTCAACTTCTTCTGCTAATATTAATTCTAATAATGTACCTGATTTAGTTAGTGGTTCTTCATCTTCAACTTCTCCATTAAATGATAATTTATTAGTATCTCCAGATTCATCAGTAACTTCTGCTAATACTAATTCGAATATAATTGCATCTAATTTGGATTTCACCACTTCATTTGAAGAACAAGTGGATCCATTCTGTGTTAAATTAAGTGAAGCATGTGGTACTAAACAATGTCCAGTTCCAAAATATAAAAGAAGTGATTCAAAGGGTTCAATCTCAACTTCAGGTTCTATACTAGGTCAACAACCTCAATTACAACAACATCATCAACAATTAGTCCAACAACAAAAGCAACAACAACAACAACAAAAGCAGCAACAAGAGCAACAGCAACAATCAAATCAATTCACATCTCCATTTTCTAACTTGGTGACTCCAACTCCAAATCAATTAGGTTCTGATTTAGATTACTTAAATGATCCTTTCTTTAACAGTAATGGTAATGATTTTAATTTTGATATTTCTAATACTGGTAATGCATTAACTAATCATAATTCAGTCTCTTCAACTATATCATCTATAACTTCTTCATCTAATACCCCAGGTACAATTGCCAACAACAACAATAATAATTCAATCGACACATCTAACAACAATAATAATAATAACACTAATGATCCATTACTGTTCCTTAATGATACTAATTTTGATGTTAGTCTTGCATTTGCTGATCCAAACATTCAACCTAGGCATAGCATTGCAGATGATTTCGATCCAATCTCTCTTTTAACTACTGAAGAATCAATCTATGATCCATTAAAAGATCAAAGTAAACTTGCTAATAGTATTGTTAATAGTGCAGGTGGGGTTAATGTTAATTTCAACTTTAATGAATTTGTTAAAAGTTCATTACCTTCTGAAGCCACTCCTAAGGAAAGAAATTATACTACCAGTTCAATTATTGATGTTAAAGATGAAGTCAATGAAGCTGATAATGATGATGAAGTTGTTCCAGCTCCTGCTGAATCTATGAGATGTAGTGAAATTTGGGATAGAATTACTGCTCATCCAAAATATACTGAAATTGACATTGATTCACTTTGTAATGAATTGAAAAATAAAGCTAAATGTTCAGAAAAGGGAGTTGTTATTAATTCTGCTGATGTGAATCATTTATTAGAACAAAGTGCTATGTTAAAACGTTAGATTAATTTTAACAATAATTCCACGTAATGCTTTTATTTTCATTTTGGTTATATTTATCATTATTATCTTACGCCTTTGAATTTATGTCTGGTTGTTTAGTTCTATTGTGTTAGCTTTTTTTTTTATTTATTATTGTTCATTTTATTTTCAGTTGTGATTTGATGTGGATTTTAGAAACCACTGATAAAGTATCAATATTACAAATCACTATACTATTACTATTATTATTACGATTACTTTACTTTTATTCCCCAATTATATAACTATTTTCTGTATATATTATTCTAAGATTAGTTATTTATTAATTTCTTTATCATTTTTGTTGGTTGGTAAATGGAAACCAAAATATAAAAAAAAATTGAAAAAAAATCAAAAAATCCTTTAAAAACAGTCGATACAAAAACAAAATATTTAAAAAAAAAGAAGAAAGATTCTAGCGTATGTGGTTTTACAGAGAGGATATGTTGATCTTATCCTTATTCTTATCTCTGTTTTTAGCGAGTTTTAATTAGTTGCATTGAAGTTATACTATTTAGTTAAATTAAATTGAAAAATATAAAAATTGCAAAAAAAAATAATAATCTTGTAGACCATGACATTCAATTGAAATGGAGTATTAACATACTTGAAAGGTAAAAATAAGTAACTAAGTCATAGATCCTTAACAGGACTTATATACTATCGAAATATCTGCTTTAAATGACACGAAGTTAATAAAGTTTAGAATCTCAAAAACGAAATAGCAGCCAAAAAAAAATTGCAAATGCAACAGAAAAAATAAATGAACAGTACGGGAATCGAACCCGTCTCGCTTGCTTGGAAGGCAAGTATAATGCCACTATACCAACTGTCCTAGTTGTTATGAAAAATCAATTTTTTTAGCCGGCCAATATAAGCCAAAATCAAATTTTTAAAAATTCAAAAAATCGAAAAATCGAAGGGATTTTGATAGTTTTGATTAGTTAATCCTAAATATGGGACTTATATTACTGTACTGGGTGATTTTAATGAAGTTTGATGAAGTTTGAGTGTTTGATTTTCATAGAGATTATTTCATCGATTTATGAGCGAAATTAAAAAAATTAAAACAATCCTATTTTAGGAAATTTTGAAAAGAGTTAAGGGAATATCTGGTACGTAAATTAAAGCTCAGAGGCTCGATATGTCAATGATATCAATAACTTATATAGTAATTCAATTGTTCGTGAGGCATGTTCATTCAGAAGTTCATAAAAGAGATTTCAGAGTTGAGAAATTGCAAATTGGTTACGATTCGAATGAGTGAGTTTAGATTGGTAAAAAATCTAGCTTAAAGATAAATGACGGTATTTCTTGGAAGGTCTAGAAGCATTAAAAAAGACTCAATCAATTTGTGAAAAATACCGTAAAAGTTTCCTAAGGGAAAACCATTCGAGAAGTCCGCTAATCAAAACAAATCGAAGGCTTAACTGGGAAACGTTCTTTTCCTTCAATTCTTATCCTTTCCCCAACTTACTATGATGTAATGGATTGGGGAAGTTCTCGAATAGAAAGTTGCTTAATTCTATACGACTATAAAGTTACCGTCCTCATTCGTTTAATATCTTTTAAATACGAAATTAAGTAGTAAATTGCAAACAAGGAGATTATCTCTCCAATTCCTACTAGATAAATATGATTGTTCTCCAACTTGGTCGTATAGAAAAGCTTAATTGGACGTAGGTGAAATGATACAGGATACGTATCTGTCAGGAAATTTATCTTATCGTTTATCGTAAAGCATATATACATGGAATACAACCATCTTCTAAAACCCTGAATGGGTCGGAGTAAAATATCAACAAATTAGCATACTTAAACTCAAACACATCCGAAAACTAAGTTATAAAAGGGTAGATGCAAAAATTAAACATAAAGAAATCAGGCACCTGAATTTGCTTAATTAACTCGGCATTATAATGAATAATTATTTTTAGCAGCAATTCTTAAAGGAACAATAGCGATTAACGGGAACGAGCATTGAATGAGTTATACGATAAAAAATAAAATCGTTATGATTTTTGTTTTTGTCGTTTAATGAACGACAGAGAGACGGGAACGACAGACAGACAAAAACTTATCACAAAAACACGCCAAAGTTAAGGAAAGGTCAATAGGGATATTTACCACTGATAAATTTTTCATCAACAACACAATTCATTTATATAGAAATAGATATTTCCCCTTTTCTTGGAATTAAGTAAGTTTTAGTTTATTTAATATTTCAACAACTATAAAGTAAATAAAACTACATAAAAGGATTCAACTCATATCATGCCAGAACAAGTTGTATTAGCTCAAAAGGATCACAAGAGAGATGCCGAATTCACCAAGGCTTTACATGGTCAATCTTATAAGAAGACTGGTTTATCTGCTTTAATGGCCAAGTCTAAGGATGCTTCTGCCGTTGCTTCCAGTGGTTATTTCAAACATTGGGATGGTGGTGTTACTGAAGATGATGAAGTTAAAAGATTAGGTGATTATTCTCAATTAACTCATCATTATTATAATTTAGTTACTGATTTCTATGAATATGGTTGGGGTTCTTCATTCCATTTCTCAAGATATTATAAAGGTGAAGCTTTCAGACAAGCTACTGCTAGACATGAACATTTCTTAGCTCATAAAATGAATCTTAATGAAAATATGAAAGTTTTAGATGTTGGTTGTGGTGTTGGTGGTCCAGGTAGAGAAATAACTAGATTCACTGATTGTGAAATCGTTGGTTTAAATAACAATGATTATCAAATCGAAAGAGCTCAACATTATGCTCAAAAATATCATTTAGATCATAAATTATCTTATGTTAAAGGTGATTTCATGCAAATGGATTTTGAAAAGGAAACTTTTGATGCTGTTTATGCCATTGAAGCTACAGTTCATTCTCCAGTTTTAGAAGGTGTTTATTCTGAAATCTATAAAGTTTTAAAACCAGGTGGTGTTTTTGGTGTTTATGAATGGGTTATGACTGATGCTTATGATGAAAATAATGCTGAACATAGAAAAATTGCTTATGGTATTGAAGTTGGGGATGGTATTCCAAAAATGTATAAGAGAGAAGTTGCTGAACAAGCTCTTAAAAACGTTGGTTTCAAAGTCGAATATGAACAAGATTTAGCTGATAAAGAAGATGAAATCCCATGGTATTACCCATTAAGTGGTGAATTAAAATATTGTCAAACTTTTGGTGATTATTTCACTGTGTTTAGAACTTCAAGACTTGGTAGAGCCATCACTACTGAAGCTGTTGGTTTAATGGAAAAATTAGGTTTAGCCCCTCAAGGTTCTAAACAAGTTACCCATGCTTTAGAAGATGCTGCTGTTAACTTAGTGGAAGGTGGTAGACAAAAATTATTTACTCCAATGATGTTATACATTGCTAGAAAACCATTAGATGCTAAAGATTAGATTAGTTGAGCTAATTAAATTCTTAACAATCTCTAGCTCGTCCTATTTATAATCATATACATATACAGTTTTACTGTCAAATTGCTAATAGATAACCCAATCCATTTATTCAAATATACTTAAATTATTTAATAAATCAACTGAACTCTTTGTTCATAGTCACTGGAAAGATGGTGGCTTACTGACCCAAAGCGGAGTCGGTTATTGTGTAAAAAAGCATATCCTAGAGTGGATCAGACATAGATCTTGGATGTGCTAACTATATAGCGCTCAGTACCTTTAACTATTCAAGTATGAAGAAGTGACTTCGAAATGTTGAGTTATGGTTACAAATGATATAACGAAAATTTCACAATAACATGTATTTACTTATAAATCTATATAACATATTACAGCCAAGATATTTAACTATCACGTAGAATTGGAAAAATTAAAGTCACAATCTGCGTAAACTGTAGTCCAGCTATAATGACAGCTGCTACTGCCAGTCTGCTAATCAACTTGGATTCTTCGCCAATACTTTTAGCATAAATGTATATAAAAACAACGATACCACAAGCATAGTAAGTGACCCAGCTATTCGTCATCCTTGTAGGTAGAAAATAAGTTATGTTTATATGATTTCTGTGTAGATGAAATTGAAAAAAAGGTGATAAGAAGATAATTATATTCCATTTATTGGGGAAAAAAATTAGAATTATTATTGGGATGATGTGGCTGCCACACGCCTCAATGGTTGACTATACTATATTTCATGCAAAAGTTTTCTTCTACACACCATCCAACCCCAACTAAGTTGCGATTTGTTGTAGTTTTTCTTAATAGAATGTCGCAAGTCAAATAATTTTATTCAAATATACATAATTTATCTAAAATGAAGTCAACTTATCCCCTTATCATCACAACCCTTTTCACAGCCACCAAAACGTGTCCCAATTAGGAAGCCATCATATATGCAGGACACACATGAAGTCATAGGGTTACCACTCACACAGAGGAAAGAAATGGGTCCGGTAAAATTTCATGTAAGAGCAACCGTTGTTAAATTGGATAGTATCTTCAAATAATTATATATATAAACTTCTGGGCATTTCAATTCTTTTGTTTTGAATAAAGAAATTATTCCTTTTCAAAAATTAGTTAGGATTTTCAATCTGTTTTTGTTAAGAACATAGTTGTTAGAGACATATAGATTCATTTTGTGCGGGGCGATGACACTTACCAATCCAAACCTCGAGGGATACTCAATTGTCCGTAACTTTTGGTTGAAATACTATAATCCTTCCAAACAGACTTTCATTGCTCCTAAGAAGTGTAGTGGATGTTATAACGACGATAGATTTGTGGTTTGGGCTGTTGCTGTTGCAGCTCAAGCTGTGGTTGATGGAGCTAGAATTTATCCTGAATTAAGACCCTTAGTGCCAACAGCTTGTCGTATCTTTCAAAAATATAAAAATAATCATCTTAGAGGTTTCTCAGCCGCTGAAAATGGTGGTAATGATAAAGACATTTATTATGATGATGATGCTCAAGTTGCAAGTGCTTTCATTACAGCTTATGAAGTTACTGGTGATAAGTACTTTTTAGATCAAGGTCGTGAATTGGTTAGATTTTTGATGGGTGGATGGAATAATAATCCAAATGCCAAAACAAAAGGTGGTATGTGCTGGCATGTAACTAATCATTACTTGAATGCCTGTACAACTGCTGAAGTTGCCAAAGTTTGTTTACAACTTTCAAAGTTTATTCCTTCCGAAGCTAATTATTATGTTGAATTTGCTGCTAAATGTATTGATTGGCAAATTGCTGTTTTACAAGATCCAGGAGACAAATTGATTAAAGATGGAGTTCAAGATACTTCTGATCAAATCAATGATACAAAATGGACTTATAATCTTGGTACTACTTTATCATCTGCTGCTCATTTATATCAAATTACAAAGGATAAAAAATGGAAGAAGATTGCTGATGATTTAGCTAATGCTGGTATCAATAGAGGTGTTTTCTTTTACGATCGTGATTACAGTGACGATAAACGTTATTGGAGAGATTCTTCCTATTTCGTTCAATTGTTGATTGAAGGTCTCGCTGATTACCTATTATACGTTGGTGATGAAGATAATGGAGATTTACCTCAAAGAATTCATGAAGAAATCAGAAGACATTTAGTTATGTTTTATGAATACATGAGAGATCCTCAAGATGGTTTATATCTTCAAAGTTTTGAACCTCATTTAACTTATAAAGAAACTTATGAAACCAAATATAAACAAGAATTTGGTGATAGAAAGAATTGGGATTTAAAAGAAGAAGATAGAGATGATCGTCATCAACCACAAAAATGTTTAATGGGTTGCGCAGCTGCTGCAAGAGTATTTTTCCAAGGTGCTAGAGTTGTTCCTGAAATTCCAAAATAACTTTATATGTAACTCTACGGATACTGACTTGTTTTATTTATTCGTTACTTTATGTTCCTTTTTTCCCTTTGTTATTTTCTTTTGAAATTATTGTATTAACTATTCTAATAGATATACAAAAGTTATGTACGTATATATACACATGTAGGTATGTAATGCAAAAATACTGTTTTCAGTATTAGATTTTTAATTTTGTTAAATTAAATGCAGCAGTGGTTGGTAATGAGAATTGTGGTCTTTCGATAACTATTATTTCATTAGTACCAAAACTATCCACCTTCATGATTGGTCTGTATTTTGTAGTTAACCAGAATGGTTTCTTGTCATTATTAACATCTTCTGAATCATCATTCTTTATGATTTGTTGTCTTAATCTTTCAACTTGACTTTGCTTTAATGACATTTCCAATGTTTCTGTATTTTCTTCAACAATATCTATACTTCCATCTATAGCTGGAGTTGTTGAAGCAGTATCCTCACTAATAGTTAAACCATCTCTATTTCTCTTTTTAGAATTGGATGTGTTTTTATATATCTTACTTATTGGAATATTAATGGATAAGTCAAAGTAAGCTACCCAAGTAGAACCAAATATCCAAGCTCTATCATTCTTAATGAAGATCCCTTGTGGTTTATCATCCAAAGTTAAGAACTGTTGTGGTAAAAATTCACTATTTCTTTTTGACCAAGGAGTTAAAAGACTATTTGTAGATTCTTGGTTGACAAAAAATTCATATAATTTGTTTTCATCAGTCAATACTACTACTTTATCATTATCAGAAAACTTAATAATATGAGGGAATGATGACAATTTAGTGATTTGTGAAGGTTCAAATGATCCTAATAATGGATATGATTCAATAGATCCGTTGAATAAAGAAATTATGAATTTGCTTCCATCTGGTGATATTACTAAGTTATTAATTGTATTCAAATGTTGAAGTCTTCCAAGATTACTTGATTTAGAAGCTAATAATTCAACTTCATCTTCTAATTGGATTGTTTTTTCTTCAATATCAATAGTAAATGTGAATATTTGTTCGTCATAAGTTAATATAAGGAATTGATTTGGGGAATAAAATTTAGTTAATTTTGCTCCACTAATAATTGAACTGAAAGATTCATCTCTGAATTTAGCAATCTTAAGTTTTCCCTGATTGGTTTCACTTAATTCAAATAACTTCACATAGTTCAAACTTGAAACTATAAGAAGATTTCCATCTTCATTAATATCTACACTTAAAATATTATCATCTTCAGCTAACTTTAATTTTGAAACCAACTTATGTTTAGAACCTGGGACAAGTTTCCAAATCTTAATTTCTTGATCTTGCCATAATATTATAAGGTTTTTGTTTTCGTTAATGACTAAATTTGACTTTTGTTGATTTATTAATAATTTTTTATAATTTCCATCTTGAAATTGTTGTACTGATTGAATTACAATAGATCTCTCTACACCTCCACTGATTAAGAAGTTATGAGCAGAACTTTCAAATATGGACATTGATCTTATATCGTTTGAATGCAATAATCTGTTGGAACTATGGACCCATTTTGATGAAGATGAGTTTTTATTAGTTATTAAATTAAATTGATGAATCTTTCTATCAACACCGGCAGAAAAGATCTTTTCTTCATTGACATCATTAACTAAAGTTAACACATCAGCATCATGAGCCTTGAATGTTTGTAATAAAGAGAAATGATCTAAATCCCAGAATTTAACTGAACCAGTAGAATCACCACTTACAATTTGTCTTTTATTTGGTAAAATAGTTATAGACCACACTAAAGTACTTTCAGTCTTAGACTTATCAACTCTCATAGTTGATACAATTCTACCTTTGGATTCACCACTTGCACTCCAAGATCTTATTCTACCATCAGCACAACCACCGACTAATAAATCATTTTCATACCATTGAATACTTAAGATTCTAGCATCTTGTCTTTGACAAATCATATCATGTTCTAAAGATCCAAATCCACCAGATATATCAATAATGACAACAGAACCATCATCACAACCTACTGCTAATTTATCATTGTTAGAGTTTATAGCAATAGACCAAATGATACCTGCGTTACAATCATAATTTGTGATAGGTTTTAAGGTTTGAAAATCCCATTCAGTAATATAAGTCGATCCACCAATGGAGAAAAGACGAGGAGCTTCACTTCCATCAGAACTTATACTCCAACAGAGACCTTCGATAGATCTACCTCTTGAACCTGGAAATGTTATTTCATGAGTCCAATTATGCTTAGGATTCCATATTTCAATATCACCATTATTTCTTCCTACTGCCAAACGAAGATCATTAGTAGTAGGTTTAGTTAAAGATGACGAATGAGAAAAACCTGTTGCTGTCACAGTATGAGGAGTATAATCCACAAAACGACAACGATGGATATCCATGACTATTTCTTAACTATCTTTGGAAAGGTTTCTTCTTCTTCTTTCTTTACAACTCTTCCCTTATTTACAATAATATTTCAAAAGTAGTGAAAAATCTCATCACAAAATTTTTTTTAGAGAAGTCACGTGAATCATACATCGCGCAAAAAATTTTGATAATCAATTTATATTCTTGCAACCATTCAATCTTGGGTTAATTTACTTATGTTTAACTGATAGTTTTTAAAGATTTCATAAAGTGATCTTATTTAGTAGTAATTTACAACATTAAATGTTTTTTGCATAAATTTATTTATTAAAGAGTAATATACAAATCTATGTAAAAGGTTTTTTTTTTTTTTAATTTTTTGTTTTTATTTTAATTTTTATTTCAGATCTTTCCAATCATATACCCCAATCATATACCCCAATCAAACATAAAAAGCCTTGATCCAATAACTCCAAAGTGATATGAAAGATTTGTATTCTTCAAATAAAATTCAGTTGGAAGATATAATATTTTGAAAAGAAAAAGTCAGGATTAGCAATACCATCTGTTTAACACCATCATAAGACCACCAGCAAATAGATTTCACCAAGCAACTCAGATCATGTCATACATTTCGATATATTTTAACCTAGTACTGATTTAGACAATAGTACATCTGTTTGGAGTAGCACCCCATCCAGTAGAGTTGTTTTGATCTTTGTTAGCAGATTGAGTTTTAGTTTGAGTTTGTTGAGCAGCCATTGTGAATTAGTTTGTATGATTTATAAAAGTAATAGGTTTCAAAAATGGTTTAACAAGTAGGATTTGAGCTGTATTTATAATGGAGATCTACAAGATCTTGATGGTTATAGTTTCAGATTCATCTAGCGTCATGGGTATTGATGTCAAATATTACACGATTTTGCATCTATTTCAGATGTGACAGAAAAATTACCAAATTGAGCCATGACAAAGTGCAAAATTTAACCACAAAAGTAAGATCTCAGTTTCAAACAAATCTTTATTCAACATTTACAATGCTTAATGATACGACAATTTAATGATGGTTAATCATACTATTACTGAAACATGCATCTGAGGCGGGTTATGGTTTCATAAATTCTAATTAGGCTTATCTACAATGTATTCAAAATTCGATTTCATAATCATTATTACCTAAACTAAATTCTACACAAAACCAACAAAACTATTTATAAAACTTAACATTCTAATAAACCACTTGTTTTCATCAGTATTAAGGATCATATTGATGATTAATTCCTTTTTTTGCTTATTGGAATTGTTTCCAATTGGTTGATTCACAATGGTTCTCTTAACAACCACATTTCTTTTTATACACCATACAATGAATAAAATTGCTAATAAACTAATGGAAAAGTTCTTAAGGAAAGTTAACACATGTTTTCCAACAAATCTCAATATAGTGAATACTTTCCGCTTTAATAATTCAATCTCATCTAAAGCTTCTTCACCTTCATTCTTATTATTGTTATTGTCTTGAGTATGTCTATCTCTTATGAATTCTCTGGTTAATTTATTTATCACTAAATTAACTTCCCCTTGCCAAGTTTTAAAATCTTCAATAGTAGCAGAATTAACCAAATTATTAGATGGTGGTTGATTAGTTGAATGTCCTTGTGGTACTAAAGGTAAGGAATAAACAGAATTGGTTGTACCGGCTCCGATAAATGAAGAATCACCAAGTTGTTGTGATTGACTTTGTTGATGTAACTGTTGTTGTCTTTGTTGTTGAACGTATTCATTAATAGATACTGCAGTATTTCTTCTGGAATGACTATAAATCTTTTGTAAGTTGCTTCGATATTGTTGATTAAGACTTGGAGTGACACTTGAAAACCGATCAGATTGACCAGCTTGACTGAAAGATGGAGAATATGAAGGTAATGGGATTGAATGATGGTCTTCATCATCATCTGGAGTTTGTATATCTTTGATTTGATCCCATAAATATTCAAGATCACTTAATAATTCTCTTGCTTCCAATGTACCACTAGCATAAATCTTCATAGTTTCAATAAGATAAGAGATATATCGACGTTTAGCTTCAGTTTTGGAAAGTCCTTCTTCCCTTTTCCATGCATCCCATTTCTTCTTAGCACCTTCATCTTCCACTGTGAACCCCACTGGTCGAGGCATTATTCCATTAACATCCCCTTCTGTAGCTTGTTTATATAATCCATATAATCTAATTCTATTCTCTGCAGGTGGTCTAGGTAATGATCCATAGTTGGAACGGGAGGATAATGCTCTTATGGTTGTGATTGCCTTTACAAACACACGATCTATACATTAAATATGATTAGTATTATGTGAATCAAGGGATATAAATCAAATCAAATTTGCGGCTTATTGATGAGGAGCCAGCATAATGAATATACATACCAACTGAATCTGACATTTTTCAAACAACGTATAATGCAGAGACGAAGAGATCAATTGAATTGATAATCTGGAATAGTCAACAATGAGTTTATGTTTAATATGAACAAGGGATCTTGAAACAGTTATTCTTTTTGATTTAACCGATGTCTGTTTGTTGTTGTTGTGTAAAATGGTCGTTGCGGTTTTGGTGGGGCACAAAAAAACAACCATTTAAAACGCACGTGAGATAAAAATCAAATCAAATCTCAAGAGACCACACAAAATTAAAATTTTTGCAACGGATTGCAACGGTAGATTTAGAGGATAACATGGATAAAATGGTTACAAACTACATTTAGAAGACTTTATATGTTGAAGGTTTGATAAGGAATGGATGGGAAAAAAAAGTATTGTCTATTTGGAATAGTGTTTGTTCTATGTGTGTTTCATAATTATTATTTTTTTTTAGATTTGTGAAAAACCCGTAATTGGACTCTGGAACAGATGTTAGCTAATGAAATGGACCTATCATAACCACAGAGGAATGTAGGTTATAATGGTGAGTAGTAAGCAAAGAGAATCATTCTAGTTTGCTCCAAAATAGGAACCAGATACGGCATTATCTATTATATGAAATATAAAATAATAATGAAATGGCACCAGAGTGTTGGCAAACAGACTTTTAGAGAAGATAAAAATAATAATAATTTGATTGATTGATTGATTGAAATCGTATTAAACAGCTTATGGATTCCAATGAATTTGAATGATAACAATGATATGAAAACACTTTTGATGATAAACACAATGAACATGATACCTTTTTTTTTAATCCTTTCCTTTTTCCCTAATTGACAAACACAAACATTTTTGATAATAAAATCTCCTTTATTTAGAGGACTTACAACACATCCCTAGTTCTTGAAGGTTGAAATACTTTTTTTGATAATCATCTTGAACAAGGAATATGAAAAATTTTTTAAAGTTGAATTTCTAGAACGTTAAAAGTTATTGATTAAACCCTATTAAACACTTTTTATTATTATATAGATACATTTAGTTTTCTGGAACATCAATTTCACCAGCGTTAATGGCTTCAATGATATCATGAGGGTTTTTGTAGTTAACTCTACAACCAACAGATTGAGCAGTACCTAAGATTTCTTTAGTGACGGAAGCTAAGTTCTTACCGAAAGATTTTTCTTTCATTTGTCTAGCAATTTCAAAGATTTCTTCTAATGGGATATTACCAGAATGTTTAACATTCTTTTCCTTCTTTCTATCTCTTGGTGGTTCTTTTAAAGCAGTGATGACTAAGGATGAAGCAGATGGAACAACTGAAGCAGTGGCTTGTCTGTTTTGGATTCTTAATTGAACGGTAACTTTAATACCTTTGAATTCTTTAGTAGCTTTGGCAATATCTTCACCAACTTTCTTTGGGGATAAACCTAATGGACCAATCTTTGGAGCTAAGGCAGATGAAGCACCAACTTCACCACCGACGGCTCTTAAGTAAAGGAACTTAACTTCATTTGGATCGATCTTTGGAGGCATCTTTGTTTAATGGTCTATAATTCCAAGTTAAAAACTATAGCTTTATTTGTAAAAAGGAAAGAAATATCAAATTTTTTTTTAACCTTACAATTCCCTCGCTATAGTCGATCAAACTGGAAATTTTTTTTCCCACACCAAAATTTGTTACTGACAGAGAAGATGTCCCTTATTTTTCCTGCAAATTAGTGTGCACGTGACTGACCGCTAACTTAATTTTTTTAGTAGTGGACCACAGCACTGAAATTAGCAGAAATGGCCTCACGTGGATTAGGGAGTTCTAGGGGGCCAGAGCCCTAAGATCGATTTTTGGACTTAAGCTGAGCTACCCCATAGACACAAATATGATGATAAACACTATAAATAAAACTCATTATTCATTTCAAACATATACATCTATACAGATTTGTCATATATAAACTATAAAGTACCTCCAGGTATATCATCCCCAATTCTACTATCTTCATATAAGGGATTACCTTGAGAATCTTCATTAGCAGTGGCTAATTGTCTTAACATTATAGCAGGATGTTTACCTAATTCTTGTAATTCTTTAAATATAACCACTGGTTTTTCACCTAATTTTAAGATTCGTTCTTTATCTCCATAACAGATGACCAAGACATATTTCGACCAATCATCCCGAGGAATATGATGTCTTTTCATCGCTTGTTGTAAGATCTTAAGACATGAATCTTCAGTTGATGCTCGTAATTGTTTTAAGGGTTCGTTACTATGAGTAGCAGTTGTAGGAGTTGTAACTGTAGATGTTGTGGTGGCAGTAGGGGTATTAGACTGACTAGTAGTATTAGAAGAAGAGTTTGAGTTAGTTCCATTTATAAATGATGATTGAGCTTTTAAAGGAGGTTTTAAGGGTGCGGTTGTGGTTGTTGTTGATGCTGTATTTAAAGTTGAAGATGATTTAGTTTCTACTAATTTAGGTCTTACTTGAGGTTGAGATTGATTTTGTTCATTAGTTAAATCATGTAGATTACGATTAGATCCGCTATTTGATAGATTAACCACTTTAAAATCATGATTAGATGAAACTTTGGGAATAGTTTGTTGAATAACTTTACCTGTTCCCATTGATAAGATAGAACCAGAAGAAAATCGATTGGAATAGGTAGGACTTGGAATTGATGTTGTAGAAGTTGAGTTACTCACAGTTGTAGACGTGATATTATTTCCTGAATTTCCTGAACTTGGAGTTGATGAAGTTGATCTACTATTATTAGTTAATGCCGATGGAGAATTCACACTGTTACTTCTTGACATATTCATATTTCTTAAATTAGAAACATTCGATGCTGATATAGTTGAATCATCATTATTATTATTATTCCCTGCATCTAAATAATCCAAATTTGATGCTGGGCCAGGATCCAAGGTTGGAGTAGGTAATGGTTTAGAATCCTTTAATAATCTTATAACAGGAATTAAATCAGTCTTTAATTTAATGAAATTATCATTCAACTTTTTAAGATCTAGATTCAGATTAGGAGATTCGGCTGAATTTTCACCTGAATGAGATTGACGATTCAATGAAGCAATCTTCTTAATCATATCCTTGATTAAGACCGTTGATAATGTTAATGATTCTAATGATACATAATTATTATTGATATTGATATTATTCAAGTTATATTCTGGATCATTTAATGATTGAGGAGGGTTTTTAACATAATGATTTGTGATAAGTTCTCCAATTGCTTTTTTAATTAATAAACGAGTATGTAACTTCTGAATACCTAATTCTTTTAAATGTTCAGTAGTAATAAATGGTAATAATGATCCTTCTATATTATTATCTAAAAACGTTGTACTCATAGATCGTTGTTCATCACTGGGTAATACCGATAATATGTAACTTGATACTTGAGCTGGATCCCATTTCAAGAAGGATTCAGTTATGATGGGTGAACTCATGATATTGTTTGTTTATGTCTGTGTGTCAAACTCAATGAATTAAGCTTATGATTTGGATATGAATGCAAATTATCTCCACCGTTTTGTTTTCGTGATTAAGGTTCAAAAACACGATGTTATATCCCAGCTAGATCACCTTTATATAATAATTTAGAATCAATTGGAGCTGATTACTAAAAATAACTCGAGGATGAAGACAATGATTTGTTATAATAGGGAATGTAAAGTAAGCTATTAATGGTAATGATCCAAGTTACAAATGCAATTAATATAAATACAAAGTGATACAGTGAATGGGGAAGACAGAGTCTAACTTAATCAAATCTCAGATGGTCTTCACTTCTATGACAATTGCATAATCCTGTTGTAACAACAGTTGGTATAAACGATTTGTCACTAAATTTATGAATTGATTTCAGATCTCAGTGACAGACCCTCGTTAGATGTTTCAGGCGTAGCGGTTTTATTTTGTCTGTTTGTCTGTTTCTCACTAATTTGTTTGTTCAGTTTTTGTGTTCCCTGGTGAATTTTCAAGTGATACACTTGAGCTTATTATTATTGGAAGCTAGAATTGATTTATAGATCAAATTGTGATGGGTAACAATGAAGTAACCAGATCGTATCCAGACGGTAAGTAGTTGAAAAATTGATCATCAATTAGTTACTGTAATATGTTTAGCCCATACTATTTTTAGACATACTTTAACTACGACATACGACATTAATAATTTCTTATCAAAACAAGAAAAAACTATGGCGTTCCTAATTAGGCAATTGGCGTTTTAAATAATTTGACTGGGGTTGAATATGGTCTTGGTGTTCAAATACATGTATAAATCTTCGTCATAAGTTAATTCATACAAATAGATTCTAGTTTCCTCAATTGCTAGTAACAATGTCTGAACCTCCTAATTCGAAATACATTTTAGCAAATCCTCAAGTTGGTATCTTACATAATTATGGTCCTAATTTAACTGCATTTGAATTCACTTCAACTCCTGAAAAATTAGCTAATAACGTTTTATTATTCGTTGCTGGTCTTAATAATGGTTTATTAGACGTTCCTTATTTACCTAAATTAAGCGAAGCCATTAAGAAATTTGAATCAAATAATAATAATGAGAAATGGGTATTGATTCAAATCTTATTTACATCTTCTTATCAAGGTTGGGGTACTTCATCGTTAAAAAATGATACAAGAGATATTTCAAACCTTATAAAGTATTTAAAATCGGAAAAAGGTGGCAATAGAAAAAAAGTGGTCCTTATAGGCCATTCAACGGGTTGCCAAGACACAATTGAATATCTCACTAAGAAATCGTATGACTCAAAATTTGATCCAAAAACTACCATTGATGGTGGTATCTTACAAGCTCCAGTCTCCGATGTGGAAGGTTTACAGGTTGCATCAAAATTATCTCCATCAGAGTTTGCTAAAGTTGTTCAAGAAGTTTATGATGATTATATATCACAAAATAAACAGAATCATATCTTACCGGAAAGATTTAGACGTATTGCTTTCGGATCTCCGATAACTGCTTATAGATTCTATTCGTTAGCTCATCCAAGAGGCGATGATGATTATTTCTCCAGTTACTTAACAGCTGAGGATCATGCTTTATCATTTGGAAAGATTAAAACTCCTATATTAGTCTTATATGGATCTAAAGATGAATTTGTTCCCGAATATGTCAATCGACAACAATTAGTTGATTCATGGCAAAGGGCCACTGATGCAAAATACTGGTCCCCATTAAGTAAGGTTCTACAAGGTGCAACTCATAATATTGGACCTGGTTCAGATGAAACTTCAGTGGATGATTTTATAGAGACTGTATTCTCATTTCTTAAAACTATTTAGTTACTATCCTGTTCTACTTTATATACTTTAATTGATTTAACTAATCCATCATAATATTGTTTAAGACTTGGATCATCCGTCATTATTAAATCATAAGAGGTAGATATATCGATTTTACTTTTGAAATAACTTAAAAATCCTTTATCAACCTTTTTCGGGATAGCATTAACCGTTGGTAAATCTTTCTCAATAGGATCTAATCTGGCAATTAAAAATCTCGCCTGAGAATGATTGGTTTGTGTTATGACGTATTTAGGTATAAAAGGTCTTGGATTTTCATGTAAATCTTTATCGATAAACTCTAATGCTGGTAAGATACTCTTATCTCTGGTATCTAGTAAATAATCATTTTTAGAATGATGTAAATCCAATTTAGACTCATTGCCGTTAGTTATATAATACACAATGATATGAAATATGGTATCCATAATCAAAAATGTCTTTGATGGTAAATTCAAACATTTTGAATTCAACGCAATTTCCTCCGACTTATCGTCAACTTTGAATAACTTTGGTTGAATGGCATTAATCGATAATTTTTCATCCATTCTCATAAACCAACTATGATAATAAGCTGTTTCGTCAGGACTCGAATTAAAGATTCGTATTAATTGAGGATTCTTTCTTAAATTATATATCAAAGATGGAAGATCTTTAAAATTCTCATTTATTTCATAAATTTGCTGTAACATATAGTAGGGATTTGATTGTTCCTCCAATGACGAGTTCGCCTTTAATGATAAACCACCAAAGTTATGAAGTAATTTAATTATCACACTATCCATTAGATCAATCAAATTATCGAATTTATCATAACCTAAAGTAGTATTGATCTTGTTAATAAGTAATCGGGCCAATAAGACTGACCAACATTTCTGATTGAAACTTAACAAGACCTCTCTTTCCTTAAGTATATCACTTCTTTTTAAAATTATGGCTAAAGTAGTTGGTCTTTGAACAGTTGTAACTTTTAAAAACCACTTCTTCCTCACTATATCATAATAATTAACTTGAAATTGTACGAATACTTCTTTCGTCCCATTAGAAGTAATTTCCTTTGACGATTTTACCGTATTCATTTCAAAATATATCGCTAAAGTATCCCCACCACTTAACTCATTAAACTTCCACCTATTAGTAAAATTCTTTTTCTGTAAGGCACTGTCAAACTTAGTTAAAGTATCAGATATTTTCTCATGATAACTATTATAGAATTTTTCACCACTTTTATGATACGAAGATGGTAGCGCGTACCCACCGGTAAATATCATTCTTGAAATTTTTAAATTATTAGATGTTGTGATAGTTAAAGTATTTCTAAAAGTTTGATCTGATAAGTTTATAGCATTGTATAGACTTTGTTTGAACTGGTTGGAATTGAATGATTCAAAGAGATATATTTTTCCCATAGTATAACTGGATAACGACTTCATTTCATATATTCCTGTTTGATCTAACGAGCTTGAACATAAATCAACTGACCAAGTAGGATTGGTAGAGCTAAGTTCATAATCTGTAGTTTTAACTGAAGTTGAGTCGGCTATGTACCATGCATTTTCAAATGTTTGTCCACTTGCTATATATGCTAATGCTTGATAAAACTTCAGAGAAGGTAAGAAATTGGGAGCATTCAATTTTGAAATATCATTATGTGACCTTATAACTTCTTTAAGTTCGGGATTCACTATAGTTCCAGGGAAATTTGTACCTGCAACACTAGAGGCATATATGACCTTTCCCATAAAATATTTGAATGTGCATTGGGATAAAAGTAAGGATGTGATATAATGTGCCAATCCTGGTGATGCATCTGGTTTATAAGAAGTTATAACTTTTGGCTTAAGATTTTTGATATATGAAGAGATCTGGCTTCTTGTTTCATCATTTAGTTCAACAAGGATATTCTTCTGAACCAATTGGCTTTCTTGATAATCATTTTGAAGTGTTGACCTTGTTAATCCTATCCTTTCCAATACTTTATCGATTGTTGGCTTATCAAAAATTGATTTATATGCGGATTTGGCCTTGTGACCCTGTACAAAATTCTTGTTAAATGAATAACTTGTGGATCCTACTAAATCGTGAATATGAACAGTTTCTTCAAAAGTTACTAATCCAATGAGGTAGCCATTTGGTATTTGTTCTATACTGTGGATTAATGAATCGATCAATGTCTGAAACACTTCATCTTGAACATCATCTAAATGAGCAAACACATCAATGATGAATACAAAAGTAAAGGGTAAATTTTCTTGAACTTTTTCATTAATATTCTCAGGTAATTCATATTCGATCGTAGTTGATTTGCTTCTTAATTGTGGGGGCCATTCTGAGTCACTTTCAGCTTGATCAGGTATCTTAAAATCAGGGGGTAAAAATGTCCTTTTCTGGCACATTTGACACCACCACATATTATTCGCTCTATCCACTTTTATGAAGGGATTCATATAATTCTTGCATGTTGTACATTGTATGGGAAACTGTGTCAGAGATACTTGGCTTTCTAACAATGGCTGATAAAGACATCCTAAAGGAGTTGATAACTGTGAGGCTTCGAGACGAGTGGAGGGAAATAAGTTCCAATTGAATGTGACGCCATCTCTTTGTTCCAGATCATGGAATAGGTTAACCATATTAGAACATATGCTATGTTGTATCAAATTTCTATAGGATTTAGAGATCTTATCATCATCTTTATATTAGGTTTAGAGATCTTGAAATTGAAAAATTTAGTCGTGTAAAAGTACGAAAATTGTCTGTTATCGCTACTTTCTTTTGTGTAGCGGTTCACGGCGAAGTCCGTCAGAAGTTAGATCTGATAAAAGATAATCGTTAAACGTTATCTATGTTCTAGTATAAACATAGATAGTTAGCTGATATAGAATTATGGTTGTAGATAGTCATGTTTAGAATCATGGGTCAAAAATATTTTAGCGTTTCATGAATATTTCGGCTCGGGTCACATTGAAATTGATTCACATTTGTATAATCAACTGCTTTATAAATGTCAAATGCTTCTATTATATAAAACAAAGCATGTGTGGAGAAGAAAGAACATTTCCCAACATGAAGATAACGAATTTAGTTAGGATATTCTGACAACATATTCGTCATATATATACCATGTTGCCTATTTAATTGAATATTTAGACAATTGACACAATTAACTACAATATTAAAGGTGTTTAATACTAATTAAAATTGCGGATAATCTATTATTACTAATCATTTCCTATTTTGTCAATAGTACCGAATCTCATTATAGACGTTTATAAAGTCTAAATTGTGATATGCTAAAGATTACAAGTGGAGTATACAGAGATACTGTGGTTCCAGCCACAATTGCGAAATGATCTAATGAAAGCGAAAAATGCAGCACTTTTTCATAGCAGCCATATTATGTGTATATCCCTTTAACAATTCAGATCAATTTGTATAAAAAGGCAGCACTGGTATGATAAATAATGTAGATTTGAATTGTTATTTCTGTATCCAATAGCTTATTTAATAGCAATACAACTAATCAATTAGTCAAAATGGCCCCAGTTCGTTACACCAGAGCACCAAATGTCTACAGTAGAGTTCAATATGAAAATGAAGAAGATGGTTTATTAACCGTTGCTAAAGAACTTACTGCTCAATCTACCTATCCAGAATATTTACCAACTTGGAATAAAAAAGAAAAGTATGAACCATTAAAGTTCTACGAACATCATGATGTTGGTTTAAAAGCTGATCCAAGCTTCCCAAACTTATTACCAAAGGGAACTGCTACCACCAAGAACATTACTCCAAAATTAGGTGTTGAAGTTAAAGGTATTCAAATTTCCGAATTAAATGATTCTGGAAAAGATGAATTAGCCTTATTAGTTGCTCAAAAAGGTTTAGTTGTTTTCAGAGATCAAGATATTGCTTCCAAAGGTCCTGAATTTTCTGTTGAATTTGGTAGATACTTTGGTCCATTACATATTCACCCAACTTCTGGTGCTCCAAGAACCGCAGCAGAATTACATGTTGTGTACAGACGTCCAGATGCCAAAAATCTTTTTGAAAACAGAACCAACTTAATTCAATGGCACTCAGATGTTTCTTATGAATTACAACCACCAGGTACCACCTTTTTCACTGTTGTTGAAGGACCAGAATCCGGTGGTGATACTCTTTTTGCTGATGCTGCTGAAGCTTACAACCGTTTATCACCAGCTTTCCAAAAGAGATTAGAAGGTTTACATGCTCTTCACTCTGGTGTTGAACAAGCTAACTTCTCCAAGAGAGGAGGTGGTGTTGTTAAGAGAGAACCAGTCCAAAACATCCATCCTCTTATTAGAACTCACCCAGTTACTGGTCAAAAATCTATTTATGTTAACTCTGGTTTCACTAGAAAGATTGTTGAATTAAAAGAAGAAGAATCAGAATACTTATTAAACTTCTTATATGATCACATTAACAATTCTCATGATTTACAAGCTAGAGCTAACTGGTTACCAGGTACCGTTGCTGTTTGGGATAACAGAAGAGTTAACCATTCTGCTGTTTTAGATTGGGATACTAGTGCTACTCGTTTAGCTTACAGAATCACTCCAACTGCTGAAAGACCAGTTTATGACTTAAAGGATTTAAACACTCCAGATGTAAGCAAGCCTTATGTTGGTGCTGATTACACTCCAAGTGATTAAACTTTCTTTACTGTGTAGAGATTTGATTCTTCCTCTTTTTACTATTTATCTTTACTGTGTAGAGATACATCTATATTCAAATAAAATATTTTTCTTATTTCTTATTTAAACTTGTAGATTACAGGATGATCGGCATTCTTAACAAAAGCACAAGTACCTAAATCTTGCCTAACTATTTCAGCTTCAGGGCTGATATCAAAATCAAAAATATCCATAGGGATTCCCAATGTAGTACAGGCGTTTGGTACATCAACGATACCTGCGATATGTCCTTCAATTGGAGCACTGGACAATAATAGGTAAATCTGATAATCATTATAACCGAAACGTCTAAGGTACTCAATTGCTCTAATACAAGCTTGTCTATACGCAGTAGTTGCATCTAAATATTGTTGTTCTCCTGTTTCAGTTACAGAGAATCCTTCAAAGGTAATATAACGAGAAGGACCATAATTATTTGGTACATCTCCAGGGATGAATATTGGAGATTTCAAAGCCAATTTTTCAATACCATTTGGTATAATAGAAAATTTTAAGGTTATGACACCAGCCATTTCTATAGCTCCGCAAAAGGAGATTTCACCATCACCTTGTGAAAAATGTAAATCACCAACTGAAAATTTGGCTCCTTCAACATAAACCGGAAAATAACACTTGGAACCTCTAGATAAATTCTTGATATCACAATTTCCACCATGTTCAGGTCTGCCTGGAATAGTTCTTGCCCCTTCTTTTGCAATCTTTTCAATTATCGCTTTATCTGAAGCCTTACCTGCATGTGAATTAATTGGTTCAGGAAGATTAGCGACGGAGGTATCATGATTATGTTGAATACTAGCCTTTAAACTTCCTTCACGAGAATTCCATTCTTTTAAAATTCCAGCTGATGGTGCAGTACCCATGATTCCTGGATGGATCAAACCAGTAAATTTGACATTAGGAAGATGTCTTGAGGTTGCATGAATTCCTTCAAGATCAAAGATTGCTTTTGCTGCTTCTGGATAAAATCCATCTAAAAATCCACCACCATTCAGTTTATGAAATATACCACAATAGCCCCAAGGTTGTCTCTCTAATGGTTGTACGTCTTTAATTTCAACAACAAGACAATCACCGGGCTTTGCACCTTCAATATTGAATGGACCAGAAAGATAATGAATTCTGGTCAAATCGACATCTTTAATATCATTTGCATCGTCAGTATTGACAATTTGATTTCCAGTCCAATCTAAACATTCAATTTTGACTGTTTCACCTACTTTAATAGTTTCAGTGAAAGGAACATCAGGATGCCATCTATTGTGGACTTGGGGTTGAGCATCCCCAGGCTTTGATAAATCAACCTTTGTAACGTAACGAATTGGTTCAATTGGCATAGTGAAAACTGAATTCTAAAGCTATAGATTCCAATACTTTTCAAAAAAAAATAGAAGATATTCAAAACTAATGGAAATTTCATGGAATTTTTATAGTTTAATTACAGAGGGCTTTGGTCTTATCGGCAAAATTGATTCGTTACTTCACCCACGTCGTGCAAAATAGTCGGGGTTCCTTATCATTTGCATTAAATTATGCGCCTTCCTAATTCGGAAAGCGTTTGGAACAATGGCGTTGTAATATTTCAAAAAAATAAGACCATTCTGCTGTGAAAATTGGAGGAGATTTACACTACTAAATACTGTTTATCTCAAAACAATTAGTTAATTACATTAAGATTCATTTTCAATGTTAATAAGAAAGAGTTTTAATTAAAAACTTCTCTCAATAATTTCTCTGGTTTTTTGTGTAGAATTAGTAATTTTTTTATAGTATTTATAACAACAGACAGAGCTCTAGAATTGCTCTGAAAAAAGAAGAACTAAGCATAAATTTGCTTAAACACCATCACCATGGCTATTATTGAATCTTGATACAGTTTTAACATGTTATTAAAATAAAATGGCTAAAACTAAACGAATTTATAAAGAATTTCAAATCACGTGCAAATCAACACGTGATAATTATACGCTACCATTAATCGGTCAAATTTTTTGTCAGAAATATCCGATATAGTGTAACGGCTAGCACGGTTCGCTTTCACCGAGCAGACCCGGGTTCGACTCCCGGTATCGGAAATTTGTTTTTTTTGCTCTTTCTCTATTAAAAATTGATCACGTGAAAACCTTAAAAAAATCTGAGATGCACATCTCTGGTTTAAATTTTTTTTCACTATTTGTATTCTACATAATAGAATTATAAGAATCATAAGAGGTTTAATAAATAAGAAACAATGGCTCCACAACAATCAAAGACAGCTAAACGAAATAAGACTCAGAATAAGACTCGTTCTATAGAGTCCGAAGTTTTCTCCGACTCCAAGGCTAGAAATTTACTTGCATCACAACCTAACTTAACTCAAAAATCAAAAGTCAGAAAGTTATCTAAATCAGCCGTAAAGAAACAACAAAGACAGGTGAGATTATACGGTGCCAAGAACGGTAAAGAATATAGTGAATCACAACTAGATATCCCAACCTTAAATACTGCCATTGTGCCTGGTGTTAAAGCTAAAAGAGGTAAAAAGGGAAAGAAGTTTGTTGCTGATAATGATTCGTTAACATTAAACAGATTAGTCAGAAGTATTAATGATAAATATGATCAAGTGAATGAAAGTAAATTAGAAAAATCAAGACGTTTAGAAGAATTAAGAGAATTAAAGAGAAAAGAGTTGGAAAGAAAAGAACAACAAAAGATAGATAAACTCGAAGGTAAGAAAGACGAATTGAAAAGTAAAGCTTCAGTTGCTAGAATAAATAGAAGAAAGAATGCTAAAGCAAGAAGAGCTGACGAAGAAAGTGAAGCAAGTGAACCAAAGAAGAGAAAGAAGGGAGTTTCATTCGCTTAGATTTATTATTTAACTTTGCATATTTTATTTCATCAGTCTACACATGTTTTCAGTTCTTTGTATAATTATTAGATTAATATATATATTTTCTATCCCCGACTATGTACATGATATCTTTTTATTTACGTATTTAATAAGAAATACTACGAGTTCTTCTTCTTTCTTGTGCTTTTCTTTTGTAATAGGCTGCAAATAATATTCCTGCAAGACTACCTCCAAGATGAGCTGCGTAATCATAGGAACCCCACCTCATAACAACACCGGCTGCATTCCAAGCAACGGAACCTAAGAAAGCAATCCAAGCTCCTCCAGGAATTGGGATGAAAAAGAATGCAACTGGAGCATGAGGAAATAAAAATGAAAAAGCTCCAAAGATACTGAAAATTGCACCAGAAGCACCTAATGAACCAACTGCTAAGGAACTTCTCATTAAAATTGGCACAGCCAATGATACAAATGAAGAGATCACAGCAGAATTAAGATATAAGACAGCAAATACAGAAGTACCTAAGGTTGCACATAAAGAAGTACCGAATGACTGAAGTACAAACATATTAATGAATAAATGCATGAAACTTTGATGAGAAAAAGCAGATCCCAACATAGACAAGCTACTTGATATACCATCCTTTTGTAATAAAGCATAACGATTCAAATATTTCCAAGCACCTGGAACTTTCCATAATAAAAAGACAATACCATTAATTGCAAGTAAAGCAGTAATGAAGGCCTCTGGTCGTTTTCTAAAGTAGGACAAAGGTGTATATTGGAATAAATACGGAGTTGCAACAACAGTACCGATGCAAAACAAAGCTGTAAATAAAGCTGGAAGTTTTAATTTATCCCAAGGAGAGTTCTTTAAATTATAGTATTTATTATACTTTGACCACGAGTTGTTCCTGGAAGCATTTCTTGACAGCTGTATAAATGTTTTCCTGGTAATTGAAATGAATTTAAACTCTTTGAATGGATTAGGACCCATCGATGAATGTAATACTTTAAAGTTATTTGTAGACTTTAAAATCTTTAAATTGGATGAAAGATAATTCACATTTCCTGGTGGCGAACGGAGACCACTCTTGAAACTATGCGATAACGACGTAATGTTAGCATTAGAGTAAAACATACTCTTGCCAATCGATATTGGTCTTATTACTTTGAAATTGAACATCGTTGATAGCTCAGAATTCAATAGTGAAATGATATAAACGATTTGTGTATCTATTAAAGTATCTACAAATTTTTTTGGTATGTACCACATATATAATGCAAAAAAAAAGATTAAAGTCGATGCAACAAAACTAAGTTAAAGACTCAAAATCTTGATCTTCTTTACCTTCTAAATCTATTTTACCTTTTCCTGACAATCTAGCAGCCGCTATGTCCCTTGTAGCCATTTGTTTTCTAGCTTTCTTTGTCATCTTTTCTATTTCAGCTTCAACATCATCGGATTCTTGTTCTGCATATTGCATAACTAATCTTCTACCTAATAAATGTACACCAGATAATTGATCAATGGCATTTTCTGCTTCCTTTAATAAGTTAAATTCAACAAAGGCAAAACCTCTAGCAGATTTGTCAAATTTCTTAGGAACTCTACAGGACTTTAATTGACCGAAAGCACCAAATAATTCCAAAAGATCTTTTCTGGAAGCTTCGAATGGTAAATTCTTGATAATAATTTTGGTTGATTTCTTTGCCTTATCGACTTTGGAACTGTTGTTAGTAGATGATTGTCTGTTAGATAATTTCAATTGTAACTTGTGTCCATCCAATACATTACCATCTAAAGTTGAAATAGCAATATTGGCTTGCTCCTTGGTCTTAAATTCAACGAATCCAAAACCCATACTTAATACACCACCAGCATTCTTTGGATCTGGTTTAGTTTTAACTGTGGCAACCACAAAACCGGGCAATGATGCAAATACTTCAGTTAATTGTTGAGAAGTAGAAGTAAAGTTCAAGTTCTTGACAAAGACAGAAACAGTAGGACCATCAGTAGTGGTTTCATCATTTTCTTCTTCATTTGTAGCTGAAGTTTCCATAATATCTTTAGCAGTAACTTTTGCTTCCACAGCAGGCTTTTCGGTAGTGACTTCGGAACCGACACTTTCATTTTCAGTTGGTTCACGGATAAACAATTCTTTAGGACCCTTTTCCAAATATAATATACTCTTTTTGAATCTTCTGTAAGCTAACTTTGTGAATGCGGATCTAGCATTTGGGATATCACGGAATTCAACGATAGCGATAGTACCCGAGGGAGGCATTATTATTCTTTTCAATTGGCCGTATTGAGAAAACATTTCTCCTATTTCTTCAACAGTAGTTCCAAACGGAAAATTCTTGATCAATATTATCTTATCGTCTCTTTCTTTCTTATCGAACGATGTCAAGTCAATACCTCTTTCTTCAAAAAACTTTCTCACGTTACCAATAACATGGGCTTCTGCTAATGCTTGTTTAACAGCAGAGTTTGAATTTTGAGGATCTATTAACTGTGATTTAGATATCCCCATAGAAGAAGCAACCGAATCCAAAACAGCATCAGTGTTCATATATAATGAGTTCCAACTGAATTGACTTTTGGAAGCTTGATCTTTTCTTTTCAATTCACGTTGTTTTTTTAATGGTAAATTTTTTAATTGAAATTCATCCATTCTATGATCTTTTTTATTATCGGCACCCAAAATATGTAACAAACGACCTTGAAAGATTTCCTTATCTAAAGAGTTATAAGCTGATAAAGCATCATCATTGTTAGAAAATTGAACATACACGAAACCTTTGGATTTACCAGTACGTGTATCGATAGCTATATGTACTTCCTCAAGATCTCCATATTTTTCAAATAAACCTCGGAAATCTTGTTCCGTAGATTCATAAGAAATGTTTCTGATAAAAAGACGACCAGTTTCAGAAATCTTTTTAGAAATCTTTTCTTCTGAAGTTTCTTCCACAATTGGAGTTGATGATTTTTCTTTCTTCTGTATAACTTTTGATGATGTCTCTTCTTTTGCTTCTTCTTCAACAGATTTTCCTTGATTTTCTGCATTGTCTCTCATATACACACGTCTTGATTTCAACCAATCAAGATCTGAAGCATTGGCATCATTATGAATGCTTGGCTCTTGAACTTCTTTGGAATCAGTTTCCAAGTCTTTCAAACTAACCATTTGTTCATCATCACTAGCTTCATCATCTCCATTCTTGCCAAAGGCTTCATATTCATCATCACTTTCAGCTTCGACAGCCTTAGCAGTTTCAAACGCACTATCAGTGATAGTACTTGATTCAATACCACCATCTTGTCTTGCCAAAGCTTCTTCTAAGTCTTTAGCTGATGGACCTCCTTTACCATCTGCTATGGTATCATTAGCCCAGGACTTTACTTGACTCGAAGGTTTCATAACTTCAATAAATTCTTTTAATTTTTCATTTTTATCTATTTCATCCGCAAGGGTTGACTTATGTGTTTTGGTTCTTTTTGTTTTACGGTCCTCTTCTTCTTGTACCAATCTTTCTTCTTGTTCTCTCAACCTTATTTCATCCAATTTCCTCTTTTCTTTAAACGATAATGGGACATTTGGATCAGAAAATGTTTTAGCCAACTCTACATCTATTCTAGATGTATCAATGAACGACTTGTTAAAAAATCTGACTGCCTTTTCAGCATCATCCATTGATCTGTATCCAATGAATGCAAATCTTCTTGATTCTCCATTTCTCTTTTTCATTAATTTAACATCGGTAACATTTCCTTGTTTTGAAAAATGATCCTTCAACTTATCCTCAGTCAAGTACTGCGGAAGCCCTCTAACAATCAATCTAGACATTATATGGTTTATGTGGTTGGTGTAATGCTTGACAGATGAACTACTTCAATAATAAAGAATAAAATAAAATAAAAATAAAAAAAATATAAAAAAAATCAGATGAGCCGCACGCAGAGAAAGAATCAGGGCCGCTACCAAATAGTAAAAATTTATTTGAATGTTTCTATATATCGCGAACCTTGAAATAAAACGAATTATTAAATACTACTTCTACTCGAATTAAGCTAAACCAATATATGTTAATCATAAATCATGGAATTAAGCAAGCATATAGGTTTTCAGGTTGAAAATGATATTAGTTTGTGGGAGACAGTCGTTAGAGCCAAGGCAATATTCACTCTTTTAGTATTGGCGGGATATTTATTCTTCTACCACTTCATATCAATCTTCTGCTCCATGATTCACTATGCCTTTCCAGAGACATCAGATGAAATAAAAAGAATATTTGCTTCCAGCTTTTGGAACTTGTGTATTTACTGTTTAGTAAGTGTTACCCTGATGCTTTAACAAAGTTCAAAACTAACCATACTAGACGCTTAATGACTTCCAATTTAAAGTTTCTGGTGATGAATTAGACCCCGATTCAGCAATACTTCTAAGTAATCATTTATCATTAGCGGATCATTTCGTAATGGCTTATTTAGCAAATTACTCTATAAAGAAAACAAATTCAACAAATTTAGAGAATAGAATTAGGTTACCAAGGATTAATTTCTTTTCGTGGTTTACTATTTGGCGGCTTCCAACATTACGAATATTCTTCAATATGGCAAAGTGTGATGAGAATTGGGAGCTTGATGAATCTATTCTTGAGGTTGTATTTTCTGAAGTTTTACATAGTAAGACTCCTGAATGGTTGGTTTTATTCCCAGAAGTGAATATATTAACTGAAGGAAACCTTTTGTTACAAAAACAACAAAGTGAAAGATTATGTTTACCTGTACTCAACAACTTACTATATCCAAGATTTTCAGGAATTTTTAACGTGGTTACGGCAATTAACAAGAAGAATAGTTTTAAATTTACTAAGATTTATGACATAACCATATTGTACCAAAGAGAAGGTTGTGTAGAGAACATATTTAGAGCACCAACATTGGTCGAAACTTTTGCTTCATCATCTTCACCCATCACTGTTCATATCATTGTTAAGGCAAGGTTTCTATCAAGATTACCCTCCAAACGAGCAAAGCTAGAAAGATACATTGAACATGCATGGATTGACAAAGATAAACAATTGGCTCAATTAAAAGAGAAACAAACATTTGAAATACAAAACTCACAGGCTACAAAGAATTGCAATTCTCCACTTTATTCAGCAATCTAAATTATATATTTTCCTCCATATTACTAATTCTCCTGTATTTTACTTATTGGTAAGCTATAGATTCTTGAGTTTTGAAGCTCATCTCTTTGAATTCTATAGAAATGATCAGTGAATCTTCCACCATTTATATGAGTCAAAAAGTTCTCATCATGAGTGATAATAATTAATTGAAAATTCAGTTGAGATTTTCTATACTCAATAATATTATTGAGGGCTTCTGCTAATGAAATTGCATTATCTGAATCTAAATTAGTTGTTGGTTCATCCAAAGCAATGATACCACAATTGACACCAAAACATTCGGCTAATGCTAAACGAATAAGAATACTTGCAAGGACTTTTTGTCCTGCAGAGCATCTGCCCCTCATGTCAAGTTCATTGGCATCTTTGTACATAACCACTCTATAATTATATGATCTATTACCTTTAGCCTGTAAATTTACATCACTCTTAATTGCTATTGATGCTATATCCGTACCTTTGTAAGTTTGAGACCATAATTCACCCAATAGTCTATTAATATCTTCCATTTTTATACTATGATACTTCATTATAGCATTATCAAGAGCTTTGGAATACGTCTGAATATCATTGGATACTAACAAATTGGTCTGTAATTTAATCCATTCTTCGTGATAATTTTCGTTAATACTTTTATATTCAGTTTTTAACTCTTTCTGAAGACTCTTTGCTTGATCTTTTATTTGTTTCACTTCTCCAACTTTTCCAGCATGGGCAGAAGTCAACTCAGTTATTTCTTGTCTTAACTGTCTTGACTTTTCTTGATATTCAAGCTTCTTTGTGTTAGCATCCTTTATATCTAAAGCCGTCAATTGATCATTTGTATCTCCTAGTTGACTCAATTGACTTCTGTAGTCAATATTAGCTATGATGTTATGCTCTATACGGGAAGAACCACTAACTTCTTTCTCAAGTGTCTTGATTTGTTCTTGTTTAGCTTCAATATCCGTCCCTAACTTATTTCGCACGTTTGTAATCTGTAAGATCTCCTCTGCATTATTCTTTAATCTTTCTAAATCATTCTGTTCGTAATCCTTTATAGAATTATTTAAACTGTTAAATGAGTTAAGTAACTTCAATTTACTATCTAAATCGGATTGGTTTTCACTTATCACTGAGTTTTTTTCCTTAATGAAGTCATCAATTTCCTTTTGCTTAGTTAATCTTGTCGTATTTAACTGAGTCAAAGTTTCATTTATTGTCGCTTGTTGCTCTTCAAGTTTTTCGTATTGGGCTTGATATTCTTCGACTCTCTTTTTTAAGTTGGTAATCTCAATTAAGCTTCTTTCAAGGTTACTCAAGTTTAATTTCATATCTTTCACTTTATTTTCTAATCGTTGCAATTCTTTGCTGAATTCATTTCTCTTTTCGGTATCATCATCTATGATGACTCGAAGTTTCTTGATCTCATCCGATTTATTACGTTGTAGTTTTTGAAGTTCTGATATTGAGAGAATTTCCGTTCCAAATTCACCAACCTCGTCTTCAAGCAAAGCAACTTGCAGCCTGAGATCAGAAATTTCTTTACTGGATCTATCAAGCTCTACCACATGACTTTTTAATTCATTTAACTTTTCAATTCTCGAGTATATATCGTTATATTTAATTGTATCATCTGAATTCTGACGTTCCAATTCCTGAAGTTTCTGTTGAATAGCCTTACTTTCTTCATTTAAAGAACCAATTATACCCTTTACACTATTGTAAGATAAGATATCGGAGTTAATAGATTTCATACCATCTAATTCTTCCTTTATTTCTTTAGCTTGTACTTCAATTTCTTTAATCTTATCTTCATTGACACTATTTTGAAGTTCAGTTACGAATTTAGCCAACCCTTCACCTTCAAATGATCTCTTACATAACAAACAATTCTTTTCCACTTGCGCAATTTTAATGGCAGTTATGTTAAATTGCTTGGTGACTTCTGCAGTGTTGACATCTTCAATGACATTTTGATAACTTTCTTCCAAATCTTCTAAAATACCATTATACACATCAATTTCATCTTTGGCTATTACTGTTGTTATCCGTTGCTCGAGTGATGCAAGCTTTGTATTATGATTCTTAAGAGACTCTTCTACTGACTTCATTGTGGCTCTAGCTGTTTCTAACTTCTTCGAGGACTCAGCCTTCTTAAGATTTTGATCCTGTAATTGACTTTGAAATAAACTTGAAGCCTTTTCAAAATTCTCCTTAGCAGTTGAAATAGATAACTCATTTCCAGTTATTTCTTCAAATGGCACAGCATATCTTGAAACAATCTTGGATTGAACTTTACTTTTTGACGTAATTGAATCAGTTATAAATGAAATTTTAGAACGAATATCGGAATGCTCATTACTCTTAGCTACCTTTTTAGACAATTCTTCTAATTCAAAATCTAGTTTAGAAAGTTGTGCTTTATTGTTGGATATTTTAGATTCCAAATCCTTTCCTTCATTAGTTTTCTTTTTATCAGCATGTTCTTTTACAGCTGTCTCTAATTCTTCCCGTTTTGAATTAAGTTGGTCTTGGTCCACTTCTGCTTCATCAATTTTGCGACCGTACAGTGATAATTCAGCTTTTACAGATTCCATATCCTTTGCACAGTATCTTAAATGCTGGTCTTCCCTAGTAATGGAATCTACCACTTGTTGTAAATCATTCTTTTTGAGGTTTTCATTTTTCTTGAACTCACTTAAGAGTGTATCCATATTGGCTTTGGCTTCCTTGTGATTTTTATCTACCAACTTACCGAAGTTCGTCATGTCTGATTGAACATCGGCAAGGACAGAATAATTGAAATCATCAGCGTTAGTATTTATAAGATCCTTCATACTTTTCAAATTAGATTTATAATCTTCTTCCTTTGATTTAAGCGACCCTTCTAACCTGATTAACGCGTTATATTTCTGAGTCTCATCTTCTAATTTCTTATTCAAACTAGAGAGTTCATCATTCAATTGATCGATTAACAATTGTTTGTCTTTCACTATTTTACTGAAGTTTGCTTGCTTACCTAATAATTCATCATGTGAATCATCTAATATCTCAATTGAATTCTTTATTCTGTCTATCTGTTCTTCCAATGTCATTTTCTTAACCTTCAATACCTCAAAATCACTTAATGTTTTCTGGAATTCTTGATTGGATGCAAATAATTGCTCTGCTTCACGTTCTTTCTGTTCAATCTTAATATTTATATCACTGATTTGTTCTGCAAATTCATCAACAGATTCATTCATTTGGGATAATTTATCCTGAACTTTTTTAGCTCTATCTTTATCTATTTTAAGATGTTTAACACTCTGTTCAATCAATTTGATATCAGTAGTCATATCCTTTTTGATTATCTTCAAACTATCTAACACTTTAGTAAACTTGGATGCTTCAAATATATCATCAAACCTCTTTTTCAATACAGAAGCTTCACTCAATGGCCACAACATATCATCTTGATGACAGAATATAACATAATCTAGAACAGCCTTAGATGCTCCAAGGTATATAGGTGTTTGTGAATCAAGTTCTGCATTCTTAGTGGAGATACTGATCTTATTACCTTTATCAACAGTAGCCAATTGACCTTCCAAAGTTTTGAAAGTATTTGTAGTAACTCCTCTTGATTGCTTTCTTGTCAATTGAACGGTTCTAGTAGTGATCATTGATTTACCATTAGCATTCCTAAACGCCAACTTTATCTGTCCTGATACTGATGATCTACCCGATAGACTTGGATCATTAACAAATGCTCCACCTTTAGAATTTGGTGGTAAATCACCTGTAGTTGCATATTTTAAACATTCAATAATTGTAGTTTTACCACAACCATTCTGACCCCATATTAAAGTCAATGGGAATCCAAATTGAATTGTTTCCTCATGCTCTGGTTCAAAGGATCGAATTCCTTTAATTGAAAGCTTAAATAGACTTGACATTTGTTGCTGCTAAAAGGTCTATTATAGAGATAAGTTTAAAGTTTGATCTGAATTTTTCAATACGCGATTATATTTTTTTTGGTTTGCAAAATATACCTATTTTTATTATTTTTAGAATTCTATAAACTAAATTATGATTTACATAAATCTATTTAAGATGGGTTTGGGACAATTCATTAGCAATATCATCCACTTCAGAATCTTTATCTTCAACGCTGACACCAGATAATTCAATTTCTAATTCTTCTAAATCAAGATCTTCATCTAATGTATCTTCTTCATCTTCGTCATCATCATCTTCGTCTTCTTCATCACTGTCGAGTTCTTCTAATTCATCAAGTTCATCTAATTCACCAAATCCTCTTTCTTCAAAGATAGCATTGATCTTTTCAATATATTCTGAATCTTCTTCAAATCTATTACCATTTAATTCTAACACTTTTAAGTTTGGTAATTTCTTTTCAATGACTTGTACTAAAAGTTCTAATGAATCAGATTCTAATTCATTATATTGGAATTTCAAAGATGTTAACTTTGGTTTAACAGTACCTTTAAGTAAGGCTTCAACTACAGCCAAGGAACCCTTATTTTTCAATAAAGCATCATTAAGATTCAATTCAACCAAATGTTCCCAAGCATTGATGGAAGCAGCTAATTTTAAAGCCCCTTTTGAAGTGATGGTATTATCTTGTAAGTCTAATACTTGTAATTTGGTGTTTTTGGTTAAAGCCTTTTCAACCAATTTAGAAATACCAGCAGGTCTAATACCATTTTGATATAATCTAACTATTTCTAAATCCTTATGATTTCTTAACCCCACCGATAAATAATTTATAGATCCATTTTCCAATCTATTTCTACCACAGACAAATGTTTTCAAGGATGGTTTCTTAGCTGCTAATTTAGCTTTTGATAATTTATATAATGACCCTCCAATTCTAGCACCGGCAAATGGTCCCATACCATTGTTGGAAAGAATCAAATGTTCAATGGAAACAGCCTTGGCAAGAAACACTTCAATTGGATCAATGGTTTGTAAACCAAATGCATTATCACTTAAATCTAAATATTTCAAATTTGGTAACTTTAACAAAGCAGGTAATAAATATTCCAATGAATCAGGTATTTCAGTATTTAATCTACCAGTGTATAAATCGGAGAAGTTTATTTCCACAATAGTATCTTTATGTTTGATTAAAAGCCCTTCACTAAGAGCTTTTGATGCTTCAATACCAATGGTATTACCGGAGAAATCAATCTTGGTAACCTTTGGTAACTTGTTTAATTCTTCAATATAAGATTCAATATCCTTACTAGAATTAAATTTGATTTGCTTACCAGCAATAGAATATGTGGTTTCGGGAGTCACACCCAATTCAACCTTAACAGATGCCATAATAGATTAGTTTTGAATATATCCAATGGAGTAACAGTTGAAAGGTTTCAGTTGTAATTAACGATGATATTTTTTTTTGGATCCACAAACGAATCAAAAAAAATTAATCACGTTTTAAATCACATGACTACATTTTAACCAAATCAAAGTTCAACAAACAAAATTTTTTTTCATTGAGAAGAAATTGATCAAACTGAAGGCCAAAATATAACTGGATTAAGACCAAATAGAAATATAATATATAAAACCATAATGTCAGGAAGATTTGCTGCTCCAGAACCTAAGGAAGAATCCACTTTTGAACAAATCAAAAAGGCTCCAATTTTCGCTGTTGCTGTTAATGCCACTTTATTTGGATTAGGAGTATTATTCATCCAATCTCCATTGATGGATATGTTAGTTCCACAATTATAAGTGTGTTGTGAGTGGAATGCTTGCCATGAATGAGTTTTAACCCTTTAATGATTTGTTTATAATAAAAGTCCAGCTTTGAGATGGTTGATAGTTTTGAAATGGTAAAGTGGGATGAATTGAATTGAAGATAGAAGGATGGCATATGATGGAATACAGGTCATGACCATTTTTTTTGAATGAATTGATAGCTTGATGGATTGTAGTGGTAATGGTCGTTACTGTATCGTTATTAATGATATTCTTAGTAATTATTCCCGTTTCAACTCATCACTAATTTCATTTCTATTTAGTTTGCTTCATTCAATTTATTTACTTGTTTTGTTTGACATCACTGTCTAAGTTGTTATTTTAATCTAATTTGTATATATATTTTCAATCTTTTTAATAAAGACATCTTACCTTAGTTTGAAATCGTTGTAGAAATGCTTCCACAAGTCGTGTAGAAGTGAGGTTGGGTTTGAGACGGATATACTTGTAGTAAACACAATAGATAAATTATTGATAGGATACAAATTCTGCCTTCCTATTGAGATTAAAATCCTACGAAATGCGATTGTACAAAGGTAGAATACTTAGGAAATAGCCAAGGTTTAGCTTCAATAATGTACACCTACATTAGTACTATTATTATGTTGATTGCAAAATCCGCAAAATTCTAAAAATGAACGCTGTAACTAAAAATAATGCGAACAGGTACCACTACAATAATTGCAAAATTAGTACTACCATTATTGAATGGAATAAACTGATTACAAACCGTTTGCAGACGACAATTAACTCCGTCATGATGAATAGAGTTGAATGTCATATGCTTTAGTTTTCGGATATCTAATTATAATTCACTCTAAGTTGACGGGATAAGAATGAATGATTTATCAATCAGAGTAACAACAATATGCCATACCATTAAGGTACCAATATTAAAGTTATTTATATTATAGAAAGAAATCTGACCATTTCATAAACCTTCTGATTATTTTTAACTAGACATGGTAACTATATTACAACTATGATGTCAAATGCTAAAACTTTGTTACAGTTTATCATTTATTGTAGACCATCCCACCTGCATATAACATTTATTTATCATGTGAATTCTATATTTCCTTCCTTGTAGACAAGGAGGGGTGAAATTTTGTTATTTTCAGTTTTCATTACAGCGCGAGAAAAGCTTCACCGATACCCCACAGATCAGCATCATCATAATGGCCGCAATTTGGATTTTTCATAAGCTATTGAATTATTACCGTTAGTTTCATTTGATCGATTACAGGTTTTGGTTCCATTTTAACTTAACCATAAACTGTTGTAGAAAAGAATGACGGAGTTGAGAAGGTTAAACGCTTTCTGTTAACTCCTGCTAACTTGTATGTTTTCATGTGGTTAATAAATAAAAATTTAGGGGACAAACATTAATAGTCCGACACTGAAAGTCCGCTAAACTAATAATTTTACGGGAGTGGGCCTAGTTCTTTCTTTCTTTCTTTCTTTCTTTCCCGATAAGACCTTAGTCAACCGGACCAAAAAAACCATCCAATAATAATAATGACATCCTATCGTACCATAATTCTCTCTATAGTTATAATTATCTAAAAATATAAATATTATCTCTTATTTTAATCGTATGATGACCAGTAAATTTTAATCATTATCACTGAGCTCGGTATCCTTGGTAAAACTGGGGTATAAAAAAATCTAATATGTAAAAGTCACGTGTGCACTATTTCCGCTAAATTTAAATAAAAAAAAAACAAAAGAATTAAAAATTTTACAGGTTAACCTTACCTCGGGCTAAACTACATTAACCTGTAAAACCTCCCTATCCTCGGTAAACTTTGAATCAATTTTCCACATGGATTTTACAGTTTAAATCATTTTTATGTGGAGTAAATAAAAAGTATATATAAGGAAGTCAAATAACTAAAAAGTTTACCATTTATAAAATTTAGTATTAAAAAGTCCTTTTCTTTGTTTTATTTATATCAATATATATATCTGGTTATATATATAATTTTACATCAATTAAAAATGGCTTACACTACCAATACAGTCAGCTCTGCTGCTGGTCCTGATCCAAAATCTTTATTAGCCAAAGAAAGAGCTACAAATGCTTGGGATCCCGTTAAAATGCATTACTTTTTAGAAGGTTCTGCTGAAAAAGCTGAAATGATTAAAAGTTTAACTCAACAAATGGAAAGAGATCCAATCTTGGCTGCCGATTACAACTATTATGATTTAACTAAAGAACAACAAAGACAATTAACTGCTGAAAAAATTAGTCGTGTTGCAAGATATATCGAAGTTGAATCTTTCCAAGATTTTAACAGAAGATTGTCTCTTATTGGGGTCTTTGATCCTCAAGTTTCAACCAGAATCGGGGTCAATTTAGGTCTTTTCATCTCTTGTCTTAGAGGTAATGGTACCTTTGATCAATTACAATATTGGGCTTTAGGTAAAAATACTGCTTATATTAGAGGTATTTATGGATGTTTCGCCATGACTGAATTAGCTCATGGTTCAAATGTTATGGGTTTAGAAACTACTGCTACTTTTGATAGAGAAACTGATGAATTTGTTATCAACACTCCTCATATTGGTGCTACTAAATGGTGGATTGGTGGTGCTGCTCATTCAGCTACTCACTCTACTGTTTATGCCAGATTAATCGTTGATGGTGAAGATTACGGGGTTAAGACTTTCGTTGTTCCATTAAGAGATTCAAACCATGACTTAACTCCAGGTGTCACTGTTGGTGATATTGGTGCTAAGATGGGTAGAGATGGTATTGATAACGGTTGGATTCAATTTTCATCGGTTAGAATTCCAAGATATTTCATGTTACAAAAATTCTGTAAAGTTTCAAGAGAAGGTGATGTTGTCTTACCTCCATTAGAACAATTATCTTATTCCGCTTTATTAGGTGGTAGAGTTATGATGGTTTTAGATTCTTACAGAATGATTGCTAGAATGTCAACCATTGCTTTAAGATATGCCATTGGTAGAAGACAATTCAAATCTCAAGCTGCTGAAGAATCTGAAGAAGATAATGTTCCAGAAACTCAATTACTTGATTACCCATTACATCAAAGAAGATTATTACCATTCTTAGCTGCTGCTTATGTTGTTTCAGCCGGTGCTCTTAAGGTTGAAAGAACTATTGAAGAAACTTTGAATGAATTAGATGATGCCGTTGATTCAAATGATGAAGATGGTATATTAAAATCTATTGATGCCATGAAATCTTTATTCATTGATTCAGGTGCCTTAAAAGCTACTTGTACTTGGTTAGCTGCTGAAACCATTGATCAATGTAGACAAGCTTGTGGTGGTCACGGTTACTCTTCTTACAATGGTTTTGGTAAAGCTTATAACGATTGGGTTGTTCAATGTACCTGGGAAGGTGATAACAACGTTCTTGGTATTAACATTGGTAAACCAATTGTTAAACATGTCTTGAATGTTATTGATAACGGTAAGGTTGTTAAAGGTTCTTCAGCTTTCTTAACTCACACTAAAGATTTTATTGGTGCTAATGCTAAGAAAACTTACTTAAACTCTCTTGCTGATGTTGGTGACTTAAAGAAACTTATTAAAGCTATTGAGGTTGCTATTATCAGATTGACTTATGAAGCTTCTGAAACTCAAAGAAAAACTTCCTTTGATTACATTGGTGCTGAAATGGTTAACATTACTAAATTAAAGGCTCACCATTATTTATTAGAAGAATATTTAAGAAGAGTTGAAGAATTTGATGATGCTTCATTAAAACCATACTTAATCTTATTAGGTAAATTATATGGTGCTTCCATTGTTTTAGATAAATTCTCTGGTATTTTCTTAACCTTCAATGTTATCTCAACTGAATTAGTTGGAAAATTATCTGCTGAATACATTCCAAAATTATTAGCTGAAATCAGACCACACACTGTTGCATTCACTGATTCATTCCAACAATCTGATATGATTATTAACTCTGCTATTGGTAAATTCGATGGTGATATCTATGAAAACTATTTCAGTATCGTTAAGGCTCAAAACCCACCAAGAGCACATAAGGCTCCATACTCTGCTGCTTTAGAAGCTATGTTAAATAGACCAAGCTTAGATGAAAGAGACAGATTTGATAAAACTCATGAAGCTGCTGAAACTTTATCAAAGTAAATGATTTGATTGATTGATGACTTGTTTTTATTCTAATTCTAGTTTATTTTATTTATTATTTAAGTTTTTATATATATAAATCCAGAAGTTATGTAATGTTAATTATTTATTAAAATGTAGATTACAAAATTAAAATAGTACAAAAAGATGTTGTATTAAAGAGTTGCAAGCAACTAAAACTTTTAAGAGAAACTGGAGTAAAATGGAACTAGCCATTAAAATAAAACATAGATAAAGAAAATTCACAAATAAGTTAACGAAAGAAGATAAAAGGGTATATACGTAAAGATACACATTGTTTAATCACTACCAGATGGAAGAGTAGTGTTAACATTAATATCAGCGATAAGATCAGTGATTTCATCTAAATTAATTCCAGCAATCGATCTAATGAAGTTTGAAAAATCAGTATTTTCATGAGTTCCAGCTAAACCATCTTTAGTATTCAAGACCTTTTGTTTAAGATAATCAGAATTCGAAAATGAGTAGATATCAACGTCAACAGCGGAATGACCACCAGTACCCCAAGCAACTTTAGATCTTGAACTAGTTAAGTTAGCAATAGTTGGAGCAAGTTTGGAAGTACCGACTTTTCCCTTAACTCTTTGAACTTCTTCATCAGTGAACTTAGATAAACCTAAACCTTCTTGAAGAACATCTTTGGTGATAAAATCAGTCAAAGCAGTATCGTTATCTTTCTGAGGGAAATCTTCAATTGAACCAGCCAAGAATTCACTTGAGTGAGTTGCATTGAAAATAGCCTGATAATCACTTGGTTTAGTCCCCCAAACAGATAAACCACCAGTTTCATGATCAGCAGTAGAAACAACAATAGTGTCAGTAGTTGAATTTTGAACGAATTTAGAGACTTCAGCAATAACATCATCAAATTCTAAAACTTCACGAGCAATGGTTTGAGCATCATTAGCATGACCGGCATGATCTGGTCTTGAGGCTTCAATCATCAAAAAGAAACCTTGTTCATTTTCTTCAGTTGCTTTATCTAAAGCTTTTAAAGCAACTTGGGTCTCTTCCAATAAACTTGGATAAACACTTTCATCACGATCAATCTTATATGGAATATCTTTGTCAGCAAATAAACCAAGTAAAGGCAAGGTAACATTATCACCACCTTGTAAAGCATCAAATTGTTCTCTGTTACCAGCATAAGTCCAAGTACCATTAGCTTGAACTTCTTCAACCAAATTTCTGTTATCTGGTCTAGCACCTCCTTCAGAGTCGAGTGGAGTGAAGAAATTTCTACCACCACCTAAGATCAAGTCATTAACCCTACCTAATGGGTGTCCAACACCTAACATTTGCTCAGCAATTAAATCTTCTTGACCTCTTAAGAGTGCATGTGCAGACCAAACAGATGGTGTAGCATCAGTAACTCTAGTGGTAACGACAATACCAATAGTATAACCTAATTGTTTCAAAGCTTCACCGATAGTACCGATTGGTTTTTTGTTTTCTGGGTCGACTCCAATTGCACCATTGTAAGTCTTTTTACCTGTAGCTAAAGCAGTACCAGCTGCTGCAGAATCAGTAACATAAGAGTCATTCGACCTAGTTCTGAATGTACCAATTAAAGAAGTATCTAAGTTTAATAAATCGTTGAATTCTAAATCATCACGAGTTTGCTTAAAAGTTCTAGCCAATTGAACAGCAGCAGCACCCATACCATCCGATACTAAGAAGATGATATTTTGTTTTCTAACAGCAGCATTGTCAACTGGAATAGAAGTAACAATATTACCAAATAAAAAGATAACGATTAATACAAGAACTTTTAAGTTGAAAGTCATTTTTGAAGTTTGATTGATTTTTGAGATCAGATTTTGATAGAGAAAGACACATTCAAGAGAGTTGCAGTTCAAGTTAGTTAAATTAAGTCCTATTTATAGTTTTGAATAAGGGAGAGTCAACTGTTTCCCTTGTAATGGTGTCTTATAACATGTATTAGGCTATGGTTGAAAAATTTAGTTGTGGTTGCACAACTTTGAAATATTTTGGGGCCACGAGGATTTTGCGACAAGAAAAATCTTTATTCCCAAATAGGGTTAAATTAAAAGCTTTTGCTTTTAGTCAACTGTAAACGATTACGGAATTTGAAAAATTAAGTGGAGATCAAAAATCTGATTATAATTAGGAAATGAGCTAAATCTTATGTTCGAAGACCACTTTCCGCTTCTGTAGTAGTTCCTTTTAGTTTACGTTGTTCGCATTTTACTAGAGTTTTTTACAGTTGAACCTTAGCTCTTAATGAAAAAAGAATTTGGACAACAGTTTCATCAATTTACGGTAAGACACATGGCATCGAAGAGAATTATAATTAAGGGGGCGTCATATAAAAAGTCTTGAGTTGTTTCCTATAGAATAAACTTTCCCTCTCTTGGCAATTACTTAGAAGGTTTGGTGCGGAAAGTTCACTTTTCTCTCCAGAGTTAGGCTAATCACAGTAAGCTACCACCCTTCCCGGAATTACATAAGGGAATATGTATATATATTCTACCAAGAATGTAGCAAAGACTTGATATTAAACCTTGGAAGATATATCTAAAAGCAATATTCTGGTTATACAAGAAATTTATAACCTATATACGACTATTGTTCCATCCTCAAAACCCAGAAATATTAATTGACCACTGTGGTTGTGTCGGTTTCTTACTAATTCTCTATATGAACTACGTTGTTGCAACTTATCACTATGCGGCTCCATAACCATAAGACAATTTAGCTTTATTGTCCCCTTCAACTGCCTTTCATTCTCACTATTGGCAATTGTTGTCTCTATACTGCTTACACTGGGTAGCTCCCTTTTTATCAGAAATTTAGTTTCGATCTCTGACTCTCTACTTCGTAAAGATATTCCCTCAATCAAACCACTCCAATAAGATACCAATATAAGATCCTCATGAATTTTATTGAATATCAAAGATTGAACACCTGAATAGTTTAATTTCTTAATTGTTATATGGTCAGCTGATTCCGTTTCAGGAGAATAATCCAAATAGTTATGGATAACTATCTTTTTGTTGGTTGAACCAGTAATGAGCTTATTATTGTTATGAGCCATAGATAAAACTGGATTGGGGCTGTGAAATGAATTAGCATAGATTAACTTGACCGATGGATCCTTATTTATTATAGTCTTATCAAACAGTTTAGGTGTAGTACTGAACAATCCTGCAAGCTTTGATACAGACTCTTTTGGTGGAGTTTCCACAGATACTGACTCAGATATTTCTTGTTGGTTAAAAGTTATTTCTAATCCAATCACTTCACCAGATTCAAAACCTAGAAATAATCGATTCAGTTCTTCAATGAAAAGCATTTTCATAATAATACCGAAGTCATTTCTTGCTAATTCACCCTCACGTATAATTTCTTCAATTTTATTATGGTTTTTAAATGTTTGGTATGAGCTATAATTGGAAATTGTTCTCGTGAAACTGAACTCATCTTTGTCATCCCATTTTAAATTATATACATCAAAGTTATTGGAATCAACTGTAGCTGGAGTGAATAAATTGTGGTTGTTATATTCTATATTACAAAAGTTTAATGAATTGATTGGTAATAAAAATACTTCAATTGGTGATTGTGAGCCTGACGGTATTCTCCATATTTTCACTGTTGAATCACGAGATTGAGTTAGTATCAACTCATTTTCAATTTGTTTTATTGTAAGAATCGTATCAGTATGTGCTTGCCATTGTTTAAATGGTCTTTTTATATTGATATCCCATATTATGACTAAACCTGAAGAATCAGATGAAATTGCATATCGCTTTTCTGATAGTACAATTGATTCGAGATATGAAATAGAAAGACTATGTCCCCGTAAAGAAAACAATTGCTTTGGATCCAATTCTTCTACCATTTCTAGTTCATATTTGTTAAGTATATGTAAAAATCAAATTACGCTAATATTTCTACCATATTAAAAAAAAAAGATCAGATAAGGCGTGCACTTTACAAAACCAGATCAAATAAAGGAAGTATATTGTATTACTTATCTAAATTTAGCTATATATATTTACAACTTTGGTATTTGTCTTAAAGTCTCTAAGTCTTCAAAGCCTTTACCAGTCCTGATGAAGCTGGATAAATTTTTTTGAATGTAAACGAGGTAGTAGTCTCTGATTTTTTGATATTCAAATTCTACACTGTGAGATCTAATCCATTCACCACCATTTCTTTTGATAAGATATCTACTCTTCCACTCAGTTTCATTATCGTCAGCTGGAGTAGTTATACGTTCTTTTGATTGAGCAGAATCAATGGCAAGCTGAGCTTCAACTCTTATCAAAAAATGTCTTCTAGTTTCATTAAAAAGGAAAGTTGATAGCTTTATATTGTACTTAACAGCACCGGGAGTGGTTTCATACCAATAGTTAGAAGATGTTTCTGCCAATGCTCTATATAAAGCAAAAGCATCACTAAATCCAAACCCAGCCCCAGATCCATATGCACCAGCAGTAGGATGTGCAGCATCACCTGCGAACACTACCTTATCTTTCAAAACTAAATCATGCAACCAACTACCAGATTCTAATGGGAAAGCTTTTATATCAGGAACAGCTTCAATCACTTGAGAAATGATAGGATCCCATTCCTTGTAGTAATCAGCTAAATATTTCTTACCTTCATCACCAATTGATTTATTCCATTTTAACTTTTCATAAGTTTCGTATTTTTCGGGAATAGATGCTACAATTCCATATTTATTCAAACCTAATCTTGATAAGAATACCCAAGACCCAGTATGCCTAACCCAATTAGATGTGTCATCATGAATTCCTTTGACATGTTTAACATACGATTCATCAAACACACTTCTATAAGCCACTGATCCGCGATATTTCAAAGTATTAGGATAAAATTGATGGCGGATCTTAGAGTAGATTCCGTCAGCCACAATTACTAAATCAAAGGGTGTAGAAGGTGGTTGATTTTCAAAATGAGCAATAACTTTAGAATCATTGTCAATGAATTCAATGTTAGATATTTTATGATCATATTTAATTAATCCAGATGGAACATATTCCAAGATTAAATTAAGTAAAGCCACACGATGGGTTCTAGCTTCCACAAATTGTTCACTTCGATTATAAGTGGGCTGATTATAAAGCACCTCTCCAGTTTTCCAATGACGACTTAAGAAAACACTATCTTTACCCCCTTTATAGGCAATTGAATTGACTTTTTCAATAGGGATGAATTTGCTTAACATATCAAGGGACTGATTAGGAAGCGCAATCCAAGCTCCAAGTTCCGTTGGTTCGGGAGATTTTTCAAATACTGTAATGGAAACATTTGGTAAATGGGAAAGGGCTAAAGCTGAATAAGCTCCAACCAATCCACCTCCTAGAATTCCGATTTTCAATGGTTCATCAGCTGTCATTTTGTTTCTTAATGGTTTACCCTTATCTAAACAGATTAATAATTTTTCAGATTAAGGGGAGCTTCGCATTTATATATCGATAATTGCAAAAAAAGGAATTAGACTTCAGCCACACTAATTTATGACATGACATTAGATTTATATGCAAAAAATTGTAGATCTCTTTTAAGTTATATATTCCGTCTTTTCTTGGTAATAAACTAATTAATAAACTAAGCTAATTAAATTAAATTAAATCATTAACATAACTATTTTTCAATGCGGGCTGTTAATTTTTGTTCAGCAGCTTCCGATTTTTCAAATCTATCTCTTTCTTCCAATGGAGCTCTGTTCAACAAAGCTTCAAAAGCACTTGAATAAGGTGCTTTATAATGTCTTGGAGGATGGATTTGTTTAATGGTTTCAAAGTAATTTTCATAAATATTACCATCATATTTACCAATCAAGGAATTGATGAAATTATCTGGTTGTTGAAACGAATCAGTTAAACCAATAACATAAGGTCTGATAGCCAAATCTAATTGGGGAGTGAATTCAAGAGTCAAATATGAGGCAACTTCTGGATCAATTAATTTGAATCTAATGAAATCGGCTGCAAATGGGGTAAATATTTGAGTAACATAGTATAATTTAAGTAAATTAGCTAAATGTGAAGTTAAAGCATGATCGGTATTAGAATCAATCCTTTCAATAAATGTTTCTAATAAATAGTAGTGACATCTTAATTTAGATAATTGAACTCTGTCATGACTAAGTAAATCCCAATTTCCCTTGTAAGCTTTTAATTGATCTAATAATAAAGCAGCAAATTTAATAACAGCCACTTTAACAGCTAATTTAACTTTATCTAAATTCTCAACATCTCTTCTGGTTGCAATTATTATATCTTTTTGATGAACCCATTGAGGAGCTTCATTTAAAAATAATAACGAAGGAGTATTAATAGGTTTCTTTTTGTCTAAGATTTGCTGAATATTCTTCACTAAAGTCTTACCAACTGACATACCCAAGACATTATTATCACCTTCCCAAGTACATTGAACAACCCAATCATTATAAGCTTTACCAAAACCATTATAAGAAGAGTAACCATGACCACCACAAGATTGTCTGGTTTCATTAATCAAATCAGCAGCTAACCAAGTTAAGGTTGATTTCAAAGACCCAGAATCAATGAATAATGCTTTGGTATCAATAATTGATTTATTAATGAGTTCTTTACTATCAGCTCTGATAGCTCTTTCTAATTCATCCAAGATCACTTCATGTTGTTTTTCTAATTTATCGGTTCCTAACCCCATTGCATAAGTTAAAGCCAATAAAGGAATTAATCTTCTTTGATGTAAAGGATAATCTAATAATTTTGATTCCAATTCATCAGATGGATTCTTTTTAAATTGTCTTCTACCAACAGCATATCTTAAAGCAATGGTAACGAATCTAGCACCAATTCTATAAGAATCATTTGCCATTGAAACTCTACCACCTAATAAACTAATATAAGATAATTGTTCTAATGGAGGTAATACCACATTACCGAATTTATCAACTTTACACCATTTTTGTAACATGAAATAACGAGGAATGCGAACCTCAGTGAATTGAATCCAACCATTATCAACCCCTTGTCTACCCATTTTAGCTCCAATATCACCAATAGCAATACCAGGTAATAAATTATGTTGAGAATCTCTTAATGGAACTACAAAAGTTTTAACTCCATAATCTTTACCTTTAACAATCAAACGAGCATAACATACAGTATGAGTAGCTGAATGAGCAGCACCACCAATCCACCATTTAGTGGCACTAATATTTGGAGTATCAATGATGAATTCATCTTTTTCAATATCCAAAGTGGCAGTGGTTTCACACCCAGCGACATTTGAACCATGACCTAATTCAGTCATACCAAAACAACCATATAATTGTTTGATAGAACCAGCTTCTCTGTATTTAGCCCAATAATTGAATTGTTCATCGGTACCATTACCTTTAATACAATGTAAGAAAAGACCTAAATTAACACTAATTCTAATCCCCATAGATGGATCAATAACTGTCATTAAATTCAAACGTCTCCAGAATTTCTTAGGATCTTCTAATTCCAAGTATCTTGCCATTCTATCGATTCTTTGAGCCACCAAAGCTCTTTCATCTTTATAACCCATATCATAATGTTCAGGACTTGTTTGTAAGAAAGTATCTCTTTCAATTGATTTAAAGAGACTCAATACTAAATCTGATTTTTCAACTGAACCTTCTAAGAATTGATGCATTTTAACGGGATCAAAATTAGTTTGACTTCTTTCAATGGCAATTGCTTCTGCTGGTTGAGGAGCTTTTTCAGTATCAATGATTCTTGATACTAATAAGGGGCCATTATTAACGAGCTTTTTCAGCTTATTACCGTCTCTTAAAGCCATTGGAGCCATTATAAAAGATTCAATTGATTTATAATTATAAATTACTACTATATCCAGATCTTATCCAAAGAAATGATGATATACTGATAACGAAGTGAAAAATTTATGGATAGAAAATCAGATATTGAATTATATTTATATAAGGATTAATTATTATTTTGTTTTTACAGGTTTTTCCCCTCCTCTTACCGTGTGTATCCATTTAGGATTTATTACCCACCACCACCACCACCCCCACATAAACAAAAAAAATCAGTCTACGTTTTTTACGTAACAGTTTAGGGGAGGGAGATCCTCCCCCTTCCCCTGTCTACTACATAATGGTAATGGTTATCGAACATAGTTGATGATAATAATGTTAGCTGATTTCTTTAATGGTTGGCATTCAAATTACTTGGTGGTTGTTTATACAGGTTTAATTCGGCAATAATGGACTTTTAAATTTGATCTGAGTATGAAAATTGGTTTGTGGGGTAAATCCCACCAAGCAGCGCCTAAGAATAAACAATGGTGAACCAAAAACTGTCATAGTGCAGTGCCCAAAATTTTTCTATAACCTTTAATTAGTTAGTGTATATAAACCTCAGTAAATAGCCACGGGAAATTATATTGTAGTTAGTTATATATATAGTATAATTTCTTATACCGATAAAGATCCGTTAACATTTAGAGTTGCTAAAATCCATTGAAACGAAGTGGGCAGGTGTTTGTTAATGTAAGGATACGTTTCATAGTAGTGTAAATGATGAATGTACTTCAATCGGTACTTACTGTAATAGTTAATGAAATATAATGTTAGGTATACAATATACGCAATGATTCAATCACTCATGTAATTAGTAGTACGAAACATGATGTCACAAAAATTACATAGAATTATAATTATAGAGCAGGTGCTATGCTATATTCTACACCAAACTAGTTAAACACTATAAATACATAAAATTGATCATTATATAAAAATAAATCCGTATAATCACCGTATATAAATTTATTTAACGGTGATTGAATAGTATTGGAATTTAAAGTAAAGTGCAGCCTTGAAGCCGCTCACAATTTAAAAGAGAGCAAAAATCTGATCATGACCTTACACTTTTTACATGCTGAGGCATTTAAAATGTAATTTAATTTCGTTACTTTAATTTCACTATTTATAAATTGATATATCATCGTTTGTTATTATATAAACTGGTATCTTATGGTATCTACATACTATCACAACTAGTACAACAACATCCTAAACAATGCCTAAATTCAAATTCATGTGTCATACTCCAGGACCAATCACAAAACGGAGAAGAAGAGTTGCAAATATTCTTACTGTTATTTGCTCACCAGTAGGTATGGTTGCTGTAAATGCAACGATTAAACAACGATTACTTAATAATCTTTTATGGCATTTAGGTTTGGTTCCAGGTATAGTTCATGGATTATTGCTTATTCGTGATTTACCTGAATTAACAGAATCTGAAATCTTAGAGGAAGAATATGATGAATTAGTTCAACAATTAGAAGAAGCTGAAGATGTTCAACAAGCTTTCAAAGATTTACAATCAATATATACCGATTATGATGATGAAACACTTATTTGAATGGGGTTTCCCTTTAGTTCTGATGTTCATTCTGGTAATTTTCATTTCATATCTACAGCCGCATCTTTTATTCTTTAAACAGAGATTTTAAAATCTTTGACTTTCCCATGTGTTTACGATAATTTATTTAGTTCTCCCTTTCATTACTATTATTTAGAGTAATAATATTTTTAGTTTTGTATACTATGTTTCATTGTAGTAATCAATAGATTGGTAACCAATTGTAATACTAAAAACAAAACGGAGCGGCTGAAATACCAAATTATTCTCCCTTGAAAGGAGATAATTTATAATTTATACCCATAAACCGTCCAATCACCGAATCCACACAGACAAAAATAAAATTGATCATTAAATTTAATGTCAGGTTTCATTATGAGTTATTTATATTTAATATTTATTATCAGCCTCGTGCTACTTAAATGGGTAATATATAAAGATCAAAATAGATCCCAATTCAATTAAACATTAAATTAATCTTATCGTAATATATAGACTTTTGTATATCAACTGACAAAATGACTTGTAAGGGGTTTTGTATATCAAGAGACAAATTGACTTTTAAGTGTTACAATCCAGGTCCAATATCAAAACGGAGAAGAAAAGTTGCAAATGTTCTTACCATTATTTGTTCACCAGTTGGAATGTGTGCAGTGAATTGTACTGTTAAACAATTATTGATTAACGAGCTTTTATTCCATTTAGGAGTTATCCCTGGTATAATCCATGCGTTAATGTTTATTAAGAAATTACCTGATCTTGATGAGAGCCAACAGAAAGCTATTGCTGATCAACTTATAATCATTCAAGAGAGTTTCAAAGATGTTGAATCAATCCATAGTCACTATGATCAAGAAACTCTTACTTCAGATGTATCAATGAGAAAAAGACAATCATTCGTTCAGACTTGATGTAACTTATCAAATTATTATGTTTTACGCCGATTTTCAATTCTTTTTATGTTTTCAATTAAATCATTGGTGCTTGTTTAACCAAATTGATTCCTCTATATACTTATGAAATGTTTATTTAATACAAACTAATGAAATATATAACAGACCCTATTATATGTAATACAATCTATTTTTGCAACCAGTACAGGTTTTGTGATTTTTGTTCCAAATAACAATTAACTCCTGTAACCATCACATACCAAGTTAATAAAATTATACCTGCTCTTCTATCAAATGTCCAATTATTCAATGGAATATATATTAAATAAAACAATAAAGTAATAATAAGAGCAATAACACTTATGAATACCCCAAAACCCAAATCGAATTGAATCGGATTATATTTCGGTTGAGAAATAACAGTGACCCAAAATCCATTCACACCAAGATCTAAAACAATGATTAGGACAGGCGCTCCCAAACATGCATTTATACCCAATAAAGGATCAAATCAAGTGGATAAGGTTATGTCGGTGATCAAATCATTCATGGAACTAGTTATGGAATAGACATGAAGTCCTAATAGATAATCAGGTATTTTCCTAATGAGATCAAAAGTTTTCAAGATTTTTAAAAATTTGAATGGTGACAATTGATAAGATGAGTAATGATATCGATATACCGATGAAGTTTATGATTATTTTGAATAATTTACTTTGAAAAAGGTTAATACTTGCACCAGTATGAGGTCAGTTAAGATAATTGGTTTCATAATGAGTGAAAAAGTATAATGGGGTAATAAGGCTGAAAATTAATTAAGGTTACTAAGAAAAAGTTCGTAAACAACGTGAATCAAAACCATATAAGGAAAAGATGGCTTTAAGATAATTGTCTTTTCTATTCAAGTTTTAGTCATATTATTTACCTCTTGAATAATCAAGAATTGAAGAAGAGTCTGTCAGTTTCTATAATTGGAACAAAGTAATTATAATTAGAAGCGTATAATTAGAAGTCCTCAAAAAATATTCGAGCCCACATTTATTTACAGTAAGATAATGTACAACATAACAATGTCACTAAATGATGTAAATAATGATATGGTGTAAGGCAATGTGGTAGAAAGGAGCAGCCCAGCCCCTATTTAGATTCCCTATTTTAAGGATTCTTTGATTTCATAAAATTCTAAACCTATTTTAAGATCTAACCGATTTATAAATATGCGTAAAAATCTCCAAATGAAATCGGAAGAGAGTAGTTTTTACATATCTCATCAAGATCAATTTGATGCATAAACTCAACTTAATTATAATTACAATTTTATTTCCTCCATTAGGAGTTATCATTCAAAATGGATTCACGAGTGATGTTATGATCAATTTGTTATTAACGGTCTTATTTTACTTCCCCGGGTTAATCCATGGATTATATGTTATAAATCATACCGAGAAATATAACCGATTTTATAAATTATATCCAAGTTATTCCCAAATAAAGGAAAGAGAAAGATCTAAAGAAAATAGTATACAAGGATCAAGAAAAAGTTCAAGTTCCGTTGAATCCAAATTCTTGTATCCTTGATTGATTATAAATCGGAGATATAATTTTTGATCATTCAATCATTTTACAATTAGATCATAAATGACTTTTCAGATGACAATGGGATTTTATGGATCAATCGGTGACGAAATTGGTTTACCAGAAATACGAGATCAATTAATGGGGGAGGAAGGCACTGCTTAAATATGTCTTAAATGACTAAAGGGAGACATTTTGTGTTAGTCAATAGTGAGCCGCAGAGCGACATTTTCAATAAGTGTCATTCAAAGTCTATTACACACACGCTCACACATACACACTCCCTTACTACTATTACAATATTACCAATAGTGATGATATAAATATGATATAATTCCACATTTAAATGAATGAAATAATGGTTATATACAGTAATTGTAAACTTCTAAATCGTCAACTTTGTTTCAGAGTACAACAACAAACATCCAGTGAGTACCTTCACTATCGTCAGTAAACAAATTCCCGTTTAGTAACAAACATTTTTTTGTGTGTTCCTTTCCCAGTTTCCCCAAAACAAAAATTAAACAGTTCAGCTTTTTTTTTTTCCTTTTACTTTTCCCATTTTCATACTTCTTCTTATTCATCAATTGTAGATAGAATTCATTTCATTCAGTCATTCATTCATATCCATCTATTCATAAACCTCATCCTCAATCATCATAATGAATTCTGAAAAAATCGTTGCTGTTATCTTAGCCCTTTTCTTACCTCCATTAGCTGTGTTTATGAAAGTTGGTGCCACCACTCCATTATGGATTAACTTAGTGTTATGTCTTTTCGTTTGGTTCCCTGCTATTTTACATGCTTTATATGTTGTCTTAAAGGATTAGATTAATCAATTGACTTGAATCTCAAGTGATGCATTCTTAAATTTATGATTGCTGCCTGACTCGTCTCCTTCACTCCCTCCCCTTACTCCTCAAAAAAGGATTTGTTACAATTACTACTACTACTTATTACTTCGATTATTATTGCTTATTCATTTTTTATTATCATTACTAAAAGTCAATCGATTATCACTGTTACATTCAGATATCTTCAGCTAAGGGATTAATTCTTCAATTTCTATCCCATTCGATTCGGTCTGTACGGAAATCTTAATTGATATTACACTTTAAGTTCTATATGTTTTATTTTTTTTTTATTTTGTTGTTGTCATGATTATTATTATTACATAAAATCTAGTATTATTATTAGTCAAATGTTTTTATATGTTTATTTTGTTCAATTTTTAATCCTTTAATTATACATATTTCGTTGTTCATAATTGAATTGAATGTAGTTTATATCTGTTAGTAATAAATAACAAAAAAAAAAAATAATATGTAAGATAATTGAGATTTCAGATAATGTATGGTAAGGCTAAGTCAAATCCCCACTAAATAGGAGTGAAAAGTTGTTGAAAATTAGGTTAATCAATTTTAAATGTTTTTGCATCAAATAAGTCAGACTTATAGGGGTAAAAAAAAAATAAAACAATTCATATAATATAATATGTTATATGCTTAAAGGTTAGACGATCATAAGCCATACCAATAGATTTAAAAGGAGGCAAAGTAAGAGACTGACTGCGTGGGTGAGTATTTATACAATTAATGTTCGTGTGAATGTTAATAGGAGGATTATTTAACTTTACTACTATAGTCTTAAGACAATTTAAAAAAGGATTATACACAATTGAATTGAATAATTCTAATATGAACAATAGTTGAATAATAATATAGAGGAGGGGAGGGAGTGTATGTAATAAACGTGTCTTATGTAATAAATTATATAATCAATTTTTAAAAGGGGTTAGAGAAAGAGAGAGAAGGGAGGAGGAGGGGGGGGGGGATCTCTTTCCATTTTCGTACTTTCCATTGGTTTACGAAAAACGACAACTTTAACTAAAACCCAAAACCAAAACAAACAAACAAATAAATAAATAACTAGCCTGTATATACTGCTGCTTTGTTAATTACATGAGTCTTGTGAATATTACTCTGATATTTATTTATTAACTATTGGGTGTATTTATATATAGGTAATTCCCCAAATCAAACAATAGTATTAAAGCCTAGAACTTGTAGTAGTTATACTTACTTACTTACTTACCCACTTACTTACATACAATAATACATTTTTCATATGCTAGTTTATACATTGTTAAAACTATCCCTAAAAGTCATAATTAGATATAAAAAAAAAAAAAGAATGGAAAAATTAAACCATTTTGCAGTTTACCAATCCATCCAATTAAATCGCAGAATTCGAAATTGATAATTAGATCGCCTGCATACAACCCACTTAACATGTAAAAAAGAACCATGTATAAACCATGTGAGGGAAGGCCTAAATTAGGTTAATCAAGCGAATAATGCTTTGTTAACCAATTTGGTATTTGGTTATTTATTGATTTAACTAGTTATTCTTATCAACTATGAAGTCTTTCGATTCAGATGGAGATCTAACACTACTATGGTTATGGTTTACCACCATTTGTGTCATAACGAAGGAGATGTCCCATAAAAAGAAATTGAAACTAGGATTAATTATTAGAGTTAAAAATTTAATTTCTTTTTTTATTTTGTGTCAAAGTTTATAAAAAAAGGACAAAACAATTTCATAAAAATAAAATGAGACAAAGAAGGAGAATTTTAAGCAGCAACCGATCGATACGCCGCCCTAATATAGATAAGGGTTAAACTAATAAGCATATTATAATTATTGCTGTAATAACTGTAGGTAAAGGAAAAGTGACAGAAGGTTGACTTGATTAAGGAACCGTAAACCCTTTTTCATTATAGTCTATAGTAAAACTAATAATAATAATTTCCATTCTTTCTTTCTTTCTTTTTTTAATTTCTGTTTCTTTTGTTTTCTTTCTTTCTTTCTTCTTTATTGCTTCATCTTTCCTATAGCTACTACCCCTAACTTAACCATCTCGACGATCCTTAAGTCTCCTTGCTTAATTTGTCTTGATTTCTTTTTATTTCGTTACGGTTGTCAAGGTTGTTGTCGTAAATTAAGCACTAGTTTGTCATTTCTTTTCCATCCATTTCTGACATTCTTCAAATCATACATTATATATATATATCAAATCGTATCCTGATACATCCACATATTTATCCATTCCCACCATCCATCCATCCATCCATCCATCAATCAATCATTCATTTCTGCCTTTCTTCCTTAATTTAACTATTCCCCATTCTTGCATTATCATTTACATTAATTAAATGATTCAAATCTAATTCCATATCAAAACTTCCAACCCCATTCGCCTCCTCCATATATAATCCATATATATATATATATATCCAAAAGTAACAAACATTTATAGCATAATCAACCATGACTACTAAAACTGCGTTGAATGATTCATCCAATCTTGTGCTAACTGATAGCAACAATACATCCTCCAATAGTCTTTTAACATCAACTGAAGAAGCCATTACTGCCGCTACCACCAATACTAATATGCTGACAATTATTCAAAAATCAACGTCAACAAGTCAAAATACCACTAATGATGACGATAATGATAATAGTCTTAGTAATGATAAATTACCTCCATTTTCATTCAGAAAGAAACCGATTGATCAATATTCCATTTTAAAAAATAGATATTCATCATTATGTCGAACTATATCTTCTTCATCATCTACAAACACTACCATATCAAATCAACAAGCTTCGATGATGAATAAAGAAGAAAGTCAAGTCACTTCAGAAGCAGGTAATGTCATGTTTAAAGATGTTGATTATGATGAACAAATCAGATTTCCAAGAATGAATAATATGAATCATTATACTTATAAAAAGAAAGATTCTGATAATAAGAAATTTGGAGAAACTTCAGAAGAAGATGAAGATGTAGAACAAGTCAATATTGATAAGATTGTTGATGAAAAGATTTCCGGATCTCATAATTCATCATCGTCAGTAATGGTAGTTACTGATGATAAACCAGAAGATAAAAAGTATATTCCCGCTGCATTTGATTTAAATCAACCTTTAAGAAGATACTCTTTACCAGTGAATAATCGTAAATCATCAGGAAATTCAAATCATACCACTACTTCAGGATCTGATTCTCAAAATAATGATAATAAACAAATACTATCTCAACAACAAGAACAAGATGAAGAGGGTGAAGATGAAGAAGAATTATTAAGAGAATATACTTCTAATAATTATATTTATCAAAGGAATCTTGAATCTGAACAATTAAATCAACAAATTAATAATTTATTAGAAGATGATAAGAAAAAATTCATTGATTATTTACCAAAGAATAATCGAATTAAAAATCAATTATCATTTAGTAAACCTCCTTTAAGACCAACTCAATCTCAATCAAGTATTAAAACTAATACCACTACTAATTCAACGACCACCTCAAACACAGTCACGACTAATACCGCTAATCCTCATAATCCAAGTATTAGTAGTAGTACAGGTAGTTCTGATACTTCAGCTTCAACAGTTTCCAATCCTACTACAGGAACTATTAATCAAGTTTATCAATTGAAGAAACCTTTAATTACTCCGGCAGTACTTCGTCCAAATTATGTTGATAAGCCATATAATAGTATTCATAATCAAAAATTAGGTGATTTATTAACTCCTATTCAAACTAATCATACTTTTACAAATTCGATATATACAATTTCATCACCTATATCTCATACAAGTCCCGAGGAAGTTGATGAAGTGGAGACAGATCATATTGAACATGATGAAGAGTATCAAAAAGCTGCTGCTAGTATTAAACGTTCGATGGCTACTAATTCAATTCATAATTTTTCAGCAGAACCAACTCATATTCATTGGAAAAGTAATAATTTTACCAGTCATTGTATGAAATGTTTTAAAAGTTTTGATAATTCTTTATTATCATTATTTTATTATTATCTTCATTCCAATGTGAATAACATTAATAATTCCAATAATGGTAATACAAGTTCTGCAGCTTCAGTAAATCATCCTTCATCAAGAAGAAGTAAACATCATTGTCGATTTTGTGGATTGATTTATTGTGATGAATGTTTAGTTCAAAATGATTGTGAGATGTCTAATGCATCATCAGCATCATCATCAACTACTTCTATGACATCGATTATTGCTGATACTGACAAAGTTCGATTAGATTCGAATGCAAGATTTGTGATTCCAATTTATAAAAACATTAAACGATTACCGGTTGAAAATGAAGAAGTTCAATTAATTCATGATTCTAAAAATTATAAATTATTTAAAATTTGTTTGAAATGTTATGCCATTTATAAATCATTATTGAATGAAATAAATCTGGCTCAATCAACAAGTTCATCTTCATCATCACTTAATAATCATCCAACTTCATCATCAACCATAACTTCTATCAATGCCAAAATCTTAAAGTATAGTCCCTTCATATACGTTGAAAATCCATATGTTGATAATATGAAATTACAACAAGGACAAGCGGCAAATAATAGAAATAATAAACGGAAATTATCGGTCCAATCGCCTACGGCTGCTAATCTTATTCTGAATTATACATCAAGTTCAGGATTATCCTCCGGTTCAAATTCTTTAAAACCTCATACTAAACAGGATGATGAAAGACGACCATCTATGGTTGGGGAAGTTCCATCTGATTGGACTTGGAGTTCTTTCTGATGGTTATCATCTCCTGTTATTATTCATTTCTTTATCTTTTACTTCATATCTAAATCTCATTACCTTATAGTTTTCCATTCATTTCTTTCTTACATTTTTTTCATTACATTTGTTTGCTTTCCATTCTTCTTCTTCTTTTTTTTTAAATTCAGTTCCAGCGTGAAATTTTATACATTCATATCCCCTTTAAAGACATTTTCTAATTCCCATTTTTATATTTAATTCTAACTTTACATACATGCCATTCTAATATCATTCTAATATATATATATATCCATTAGTTCAATAATTTGTAATAGTTTCAGACACAATTTCTTTTCTTTTTTGTTTTTTTGCAACTTCAAGGCAAGCGTTTACAGAGATTATAAATTGTGTAACAAGTGATTAATAATTTTATAAATAATAATAAAGCCCGGATTGTAAATAAAAAATAAGCTCATAAATGAAGGTTATCCCATTGATCACAAAATCAAGCTTTTTTAAATAATAGCCGTACCATTATCAATTAAGTTTAGCGATTATATATTATTGTAAACGAGGACCAACTGAATGAGAGGCAGGCAGACAAGAGATAGAGAGAGATCGAGGTGTTGGGGTCAGCGAGATCAATGAAACTGGAGTAAACAACTAAGCACTGTGGCTATTGTTCAATGTATAATTCGTATTTGAACTAAATATCAGTTTTTTTTATAGTGAAGCAAGTTATTAGGGTTAGTGAACGATTTATTTCCCAATGCGGAATAATTGACAACAAACACAAAAAGGACAAAAATTGCGAATGGAATCAAGAGACGCGTTTTGAAGTTTGTATGGCAGTTAGAGAGAGAGAGGGACGGTTAATATCACCATATGAACTAAGTTGAAGTTTAATGGTGAGTGGGGGAACGATATAGTGGAGGGTAGAGAGTAAATGGGCGAATGAAGGAATAAGCTACATCGTTTAGAGTTGGCCTCTATTGTCAGACTATATTTCAATTGTCAGCAAGTATTTTGTAAACACGTAATTGAATCAATCAATACGTAACCAAAAAGTTATTATTAAAATCTTAATAGGGGTTGAGAGATAGTATATATAATTTGAAACACATTTGAAGTTGGGTGCTAGAAGATGTATTTCAATGTAGACAGATAAGCCATATAGATAAATAGATCCATCGATAAATTGACACACTTTCACACAAGAAACGGTTTATGGAACCTTATAAGAAAGAATTAAATAATTAAACCGTTGTAACTTACATAAAACCACTCTTGTGATTAATAATATATTACCACTAATCTAAATTGACACAATTAAAACTAAATAATATCAGTTGGAAAATAAGATTGTTTGTATTCATCCACATTGAATTACATACGTAAATGGCTTAGTGATTAACACATTTCTATCCTATCTATAGTTACTTAATTCATATGAAAGGAGGTATATAACTTACATAAATAAAGTACTTAAAATTGCATTTAAAATTCAGTGATCAATTGGCACCAAAATCGAAAATTTTAAGGAGACAGAGGCGCCAATTTTCTTTTTTTTTTTTTGGTAACAAACAGAAAATTTGACGAAAAATTTTGAAACCAAAAAAAAAAAAATAATAAATAATACAAAAAAAAACAGACCTCAAAAACCTGAACAGAACAGAACAGAACAGAAATTAAATTTGATTTCAACTTCGAATCTCTTTTCTTTTTCATCAAGAGATATCATCATCAAGAGTCATCTATCTGTATCCATCCGTCAATCAATCAGTCAAGAGGATACCACTACCAAACCATCCTCCTTCTAGCAACATCTATATACGGAACTGTAGTCTCTAAGGCTTTCCTATACTTTCGCTTTCACATTTTCTAATATTACACACAGTTTGCGGTGAGATCTTTTTTTTTTGGGAGAGATTAGAACCTATACTACAAGACTTAGACTATCCTTAATCAATCTATCTATTAATTAATCAATCAATCAAAGTCGTTTATCAAGTGGTCATCAATCATTATCGATCATCTTGTCTCATACATCTTTTGATTTTAATTTGTGACTTTACATTTACATTATCTATTAGTGACAATTTTGACGAAATCCTTTAACGCGTTTGAAACAGTTTTTTGACCGTCAATTCATTTTCATCATATATATATATATATATATCACACCCTTCGTCCATTCCTTTCTTATTACAGTATCATATACCCAAATAATAACTGATGATGTATCAACAACCTAATCATTCATATAGTTCAACGGATTCATTCAAAAGAATATCATCAAATAATCCCTTCAGACAATTTGTCGATCAACCAACCACTTCTTCAACCATCCAACAACAACATCATACATCAACTTCAACTACCACATCCAATAGATCTAGTAATGGTGGAGGTCGTAGAACCAATACACCACCTAATTTCGATGAATGGGTTCAAAAAAATAAACAATTGTTAGATTTATCTGACGGAGAAGAAGAAGATGATGATGAAGATGATGATTATGGTTTCGCTGCTCCTCAAAAGAGTAACTACAACTACAAGAAACCACAAATGCCATCCAGACCAGTAAGAGCTGGTAGTGATAGTAGTATCAACTACGGAAAGTATGTATATCCCATTTTCTTTTTACTAACCTTTTGATTAATTTAGGGGAATAATTTTTTAAATTTGTTTATTAATAATACCTGATTTGAACATGTGCAAATCTACACGTGACTATGACTATGACTTTTTTTTTGTTTTTGTTGACTTTATTTTTTCTGTTACTCCTTTTTTTGTGTGTGTTTTAAGTGTTTGTTTTTGTGTGGTATGGATTGTCTGTCCCCTTTCCAGTTTTAAATTCTAGTTTTATAACACAATTTAAGTGATCATAATCATCATGTCTTATCAATCAAGGGTTATGTATTGAATATGTCCTTTATCCTGTCCTTTATCCTTATCCCTATCCCTATCCTTATCCATCTATGTCACTATATATCATATTCATCCCACCTTTTTACGACGTTTTAAAGAAATATCTACAACAAATCAACTGATATTAATTCGCAATCATTTCTCAATTTAGCAATACATTAATAATGCCAAGACAATATAGTAAGAATGAATTTCTTAATTTAACACTGCCCCTCATTGTTTTTGTTTTTTTTTATTTTGTTTCTTTTTTTTTTATTAGTATGATAAATTTTCCCTTTTTGTGCTGCCATTTGGTCAGAGGGGGGTGACTATAAAAATTAAAGAGGTGAATAAGTCAGGCAGTCTGGTAGGCATTTATTTGATCTAATCAATTTTTATTTTTCTGAAACAGTCAGTCAGTTAAAAACAAAGTCAGTCAGTCATATATTTTAAAAGTCAAATAAAGTCAGTCGAGTAAAGTTCTAATCAGGTCAGGTGCCCTTCTCAATACTTTATAAGGTGGAGTAAATCTTATTTATATTTTTACCTACTTTGTCATAGTGCTTTTATGATCACCTTCGTGTCTTTTACATTCCTCCACAAAAAGTTTTTCCTTATTATCTCTTCATAAATAATTTATTTGTTGTCTATTTATTTTTACAACTAAAATAATATTATTTATTTAAATAGGAGAAGAAGAAAGAAGAAAGAAAGAAAGAATTTTTTTTAATCACTTTTAATTATTATTATCAAATTATTCCCCCTTATTCATCTGGTTAATACTAATAATGTCAGTTGATACTAACCCGTTTGCTCCTTATAGGAAAGCAAATAATCCATTCGCTAGTCCGGTATCTGATGATAAACCAACTCGTCATGATGTCCCAAGACAACATACTCCAACTCAAAAACCTCCAAGTCGTCCTCCAAAACCAGATAATTTGCCAAGTTATGAAGAAGCTGCTGGTCCAAAAGCAACCAATAAAGAGTATCCATCCGAAAAGCCATCATCATCATCATCATCTGGAAATCATAGCTCTTCCAATCGTTCAAGAAGTCATAGACATGCTTCAGATAGACACACTTCCTCCGAAAAAAGTGGTTCTGATAGAAGTAAAACATCATCATCATCCTCAGGTTCAAGACATCATAGTTCAAGACATCATAGTTCATCAAGAAATAAATCACCTTCGAAAAAGAAACCAGCTGCAGAACCAGTTAAAGCTAAGAATTTAGATACTATTGATAAATTGGATGTAACTGCATTCTTTGGTGGTGGATTTCATCATGATGGACCATTTGATGCTTGTACTCCTCATAGAAATAAAAATACAAAAGTTGCCCCTGTTGCTGCATTTCCTATTGATGGACCAAATAATTCTATAAAAGGTTTAGGAGGTAATATAGATAAAAATGAACAAATGAATTTAGCATTTGGAACTTATGATGAAGATCAGAATGAAATTATTGGTAGAAAAGGACCTGATGTTCATACTCATACTACTATTATTAATGGAAATAATAGCAATAGTAATAATTATATTCAAGTCCCACCTCATAATGATATTGTTGTACCTCCACCCCCAACTCCAACAATTAAAATCGATCCAAGTTCATCAATTTATACTCAAAATCCATCCGTTATTGATTTCAATGCCAATATAAAAGCTCAACCTATTCATGGAGAAATATCTCAAGGATTAGGATCAACCACCTTTTTAGATGGTGCACCAGCTTCAAGAGCTGCTGAAACTCATGAATATTATGCCAGTATAAATAATGGTGGATTGGGTAGAAAGAAATCAATAGTTCAAAGATTAAGAAAAAATAGTGCAACTAGTGAAAATACATCAAGAAGAAATTCAAATGATAATTCCAATGAATTTGTTAGAAGAGGATCTTTAAATAATAATAATAGTAAAAGTTTAAGTACCGATGAATTAAAACCAGCATCAACTACAGGAAGTGGTAATGGTGGAACTGCATCTTCATTAATAAGAAGAGTTAAAAGTTTAAAAGTTAGACGTTGAAATTATTACATATAACATTTTATCCTATCTATTTGTTTTTTAAGGTTACTGTATTTTATGGGCTCCAACAATATCTTTTGTTGGTAGTATGATCATCATCATTCATATGATCATTATTATTATTTTATTATATTATTACGAAATTTGCTAATGACTTGTTTAGAAGGGATTAAGTTCTTCCTTTATGCTTCTATTTTTTACTTCAAAGGTGTTTAAATTTTTGTTTATTAGTTTGTGTTTAAATTTTATTTAAGCTTGATTTGTTGTCACTGTTTCATCAGTTTATATTGTTGTTATTTTATTTTCCTTCGTTGTTTTTACCTTTTTTTAAATTGTATTATTTTCTAATAGTATAGAGTCTACTATGGTTCGTTTATATACTTTATAAAAATATATATTTATAACCTTTAAACAATCAATGTAGTCGATTTCGATATATCTCGATATCAATTCAGAGCAAAATATAGTCACGTGACTTTTCTTCAAAATACTTTTTTTTTTTTCAGTTTGTTCAAATTTTTCAAAATTGAAATGGTACAACTTTACCAATTGAATATAATCCATAGTCTATTCAAGGGATATCCACAAGGAAATGTTTAGAATATCGAATAGTAGTAGGAGAAGTATAGGAATTCAATCTTCCAAATTGAATTTCGGTCTCTCCCAAAGATTCATTTCCTTTAGATTACCTAATATCCAATCCTTAGAAACCGTTAAATCTCAACAATCTGATTTCGAAGGGTTATTTTCCAATAATAGTGTTAATGAATTATGGTTCAAAAGAGGTCAAAGTTTAGTGGATGGATTGAATCAAAGCTTAGAGCATTCGAATGTCAATTCTAGTGGGACTGAAGTTCCTAATAATTTAACTGATTTAATAAGTTCCACCATTCAGAAACCAGAATATTATGGAATTTATTGTTATTCATCTTTATTATATAATTTACAATTCTTCGTGGAAAACTTAAGACCATCTGAAACTACCATTCATAAAGTCGATCAAGCTGATCCAAATGCATTATTAGCCAATCCTGTGTTTGAGTTTGTTAACCAACCTCAAGATGAAGATTTAAAAAGATGGATCATTGATTCATTTGGTTCTGTTATAGAATTTAGAACTTTATTACTTAATTCAGCTAAAGGTATAAAAGGTGATGGTATTACTTGGTTAGTGGCAGAAAGCAATAACAGTCAAAGCACCATAAATAATAATTTCCAAGGTGGAAAAGCATCAAGGGAACCACAATATGTTAATTTAAAAGTCATTAATACTTATAATACTGGATTTGTGGATGATTCTATCAGATCAGGGCAAGTCAATCGTTTAAGACAACAAAAATCAGCCAGATTAGCAGCATTAAGAAGTAAACAATTAGAAAGACAAGAAAAAGAAAACAATGAAAAAGATTCAACTACCACCACTACAACTACTACTGAATCCACTACTACAAGTGAAGAAAAAACCATTATTTCTGAAATTGAAGAAATTGATGAAAAAATTGATGAATTAACTTTAGGATCAACTGAAGATGCTGATTTAAACACCTTGTATAATGATAAAAAGTTATTACCATTATTAGCCATTGATTCATCTCCAAGAAACTATTTATTAGATTATGGTGTATTTGGAAAACAAAATTATTTGGATAATGTTTGGGAATGTATCGATTGGGATGTGGTTGCCAAAAGAACTCCAACTAGAACTCAAGCTATTATCGGTAGTTTATATATGTAAATAGATATTTTAAATAATAAAAAGTAATAAACCATTCTTGTATAAATGTCAAAAAGCTATCTATATATTACATTCATAAAAAAAAAAAGTTCTATATAAAGTAGAAACTATGTATAATATTTAATTATGATTTAGGAATATTTATCCCTTAATGACTGCTTTAACAATCTTTTCAACTTCATCCCAATCATCAGTTGGAACTCTTGTCATTTCAATATTTCCAAAATATTCTCTAATTCTCATTAAAATTTCATAAGATCTTTTATCATGAATAAAAGAAATTGAAACACCAACTCTACCAAATCTACCAGTTCTACCGATTCTATGTAAATAAGTTGAAGGATCAGCATGACCATCTTTATCAACTGGTAAATCATAATTAACCACCATTGAAACAGAAGCAATATCAATACCTCTTGCCAATACATTAGTAGTGATTAAAACTTTAGATCTACCTTCTCTAAAATCATCAATTAATTTATCTCTTTCTGAAGTTTCTAAACCACCATGTAAAATAGAACACATATGACCTTCCTTTTTCATCTTAGCATATAAAATATTAGCAGTTTCTTTTCTTTCCACGAATATAATGGAGGAACCAATAGTTAATAATCCATATAATTCACATAAAACTTCGAATTTATGATTTTCAGAATCACAATCCATATATAATTGTTTGATACCATCGACATTCAATTCTTCTTGTTTCAATTCTAATGAATTAGCGTTTGGAACGAATTTTTCAGCATAAGCTCTAACTTTATCAGCAAAAGTTGCAGAGAATAATACTAATTGAGCTTCTCTTGGTAAAAGTCTTTTAACTCTAAGACATTGATCACCTAAACCTTGAGCATCCAACATATTATCAGCTTCATCTAATACGAAAGTTTTAACGGTACTAAGATTAATTAATTTTCTTCTAGCTAAATCAACCACTAAACCAGGAGTACCCACAAGAATATGAGCATTTGTACTTTGACCTCTTTCTAAAGAATTTGGAACAATCAATTGAGTTGTAACTTTGGTGAATTTACCCATAGTAGAAATGACTTCTAAAGTTTGTCTTGCTAATTCTCTAGTTGGAGCTAAACAAAGACATTGAGTAACAGGCTTTGATTCATCAACTCTTGATAACATAGTTAATGAAAAGGCACCAGTTTTACCAGTACCTGATTGAGATTGACCTATCATATTTCTTGGAGGGTTTGAAATCAATAATGGTAATGCTTTTTCTTGAATCTTGGATGGTTTATTGAATTTCATGGCATATAACCCTTTTAATAATTCAGGTGATAAACCTAATTCTTCAAATGATTTAACGGAATATAATGGTGAGTTTGGATCAGCTTGAATATCAGCAAGTTTGACTTTAACATCATAGGTGGAAGATATCAAATTAGTCTCTGGAGTTTCTACTTTTGAATCTTCTTTCTTTTCCACCACTGGTTCTTCAACCTTTGGTTCTTCAACCTTTGGCTCTTCAACCTTTGGTTCTTCAACCTTTGGTTCTTCAACCTTTGGTTCTTCTTTCTTTTCCACTACTGGTACATCTTCTTTAACAATCTTATCTTCTTTAGTAGTAGTATCGGCAGGAGCTTCAGTTCCGCCTATGGAAAGAGACGATAGCAATTCAGCTGCATCGGCCTCAACTCTCTTTTCAGCAGCCATATTTGATTGATTATTCAGGATCTATAAATGATAGAAATTGATGGTGGTAAAGCCATTTCGGTTTGAACCTTTTTGTTGTTCAAAGGAAAAAAAAAGAAAAAAGTTCATCAAAAAAAATAAAAAAAGAAATAAGCCCGACGCGGGACTCGAACCCGCAGCCTTTTGATACCTCTTAAATCTGAATTGATTATTGGAATTAAAAGTCAAACGCTCTAGCCATTGAGCTAGCCAGGCCTATTTGTGAATTAGGAAATTTGGCCGGTCGGTGCTAAACTGTGCGTATCACATGATAAAATATCACGTTTTTAAAAAATTTTGTTAGGCGAAATTTTTAAATGTGCTACCATGTGGTGATTACTCTCGTCTGTCTACATCATAAGAGTTTTTGAACAATGAAATACTCGTTATACATTTGACGATGATAAGGTTGAATTCTTATTCAAAACAATTATTATTGATATTATCATAAGGACATATCGTCTTGTAATCGTGAAAACTGAATTACACGACGAAGATGTTTGTGTCGAAGTTTGCAAACAATACGGTTGTAAAGTCACTTTTTATGTTGCAAAATCTTGAAATTACGGTCGTATAATGAAAAATTGGACCAAGGGCGAATTCTAGCATAAATGTATTAAACAGAAAATTCTTAAAAACTCAACTGCAAGATCCTAAGCGATTGTATTATTTGATTTGAATGATCTACAAATGTTATAGGAAATAATCCTCCTAATGATTTTTTTTCATACCATAATGTCTATTAAAAACCTTTTTGATAATCAGGAAAAGAATATATATAAACTATATATATATAAAAAAAAACCGTCGAGAAGTTAGCACTTATAAAGATTCTGAAGGTAATACTTATACTATAAATAATTATCCTTAAATTGACGGTCCAGAAACTGTTTTATTATACACCACTGCCCTTACAAAAACTAATTTTGATGGTTCTGTTAATGTAGTTGTTGTTGTTTGATACTGAAAATTAGAAGTTATGATGATTTCTAATTTTTCTTGAAAAATAAACCTTACACGAGTATTTCTCATTTTTAGATCTCGAACCTGATTCCCAGTATCTTTATCCATATACAATGAAGTAAATGAATAATGTTGTTGTTGAAGATATGTTATATATCCAATTAAGCATTCAATGATTGATTTATTTTATTTTATTATTATTTTTCTTAATTCATTTTTAACCTGCTAAAAATTAAAAATCTCTTGACCAAATCTTGATTCAGGGTTGGCACACTCCTCATCTGAATCTTCATAATTATGATCTAAAATATGACTAAACCATGATTTTGCATCTTCATGAAATTTGAAACCATCTTTATCTTTACATAAAATATTGGTATCGGTTTGTTCTAATTCTTGGACAATATTAATGATTTCAATTGAATGTAATATTAAATCTTGTAGTATAACATTTAAGTCTTTATCCACTAAAACTCCGTTATAAGTAGAATGAACATGAACATGATTCAGTAAAGCTCGATCAAGGTCTTCTTGGCCATATTCCGATGGATCAAACATTAAGCAACTTTGAATGAATGATAATTTAAAAACTAAAATGAATTTGATAATTGAAATAGTTATAGGAAACTATATTGTTTGAATTGGTAACATACTTGTAGACTAAACTAAAATTAAATTGAATCAAATAAGGGATTTCAATCAGTTTAAATAGATGAATTTTCTACAATTTACAAACGTATTTGGGTTCATGGTTTCACATCGTGTAATAACTTGCAACCTCCTTACTATCATGATTGTAATCACTTACGAAATCATATTAATATTCTTGTTTAGGTATGATTCCGACGTCACTGTATCAGAAAAAAAATAATTAGAAAAACCATCTAGTGACATCAGATCTTTACTCACTTTCGTCACCTTTTTTTGTTTTTGTTGCTTTTAGTCGCTAATAAAATTTAGTGATAAAGTTTAATATTTTAGGGAGAAGAAGTTTTTCCGCCAACACCACGCGTGATAACTTCTAGTTAGGGAAGTCAGTAATCATTTATTTTTAACACGCTAATCATCGAATGTTACGAGTTCTTTTTAATGAATGTTCAAATTGTAACTAAGGGATAGATTTTTCCAAGTAACTTGATTTAAATAAGTCACTCAGTTGTAATAGGGAAAATCTTTTATGTTATCATCAGTTTAGATTTTAAGGAAACAGGAAAGAAATGAGGGGTAATATCCTTCCAAGCTTTAATTTTAATCAAAGTTCTTGATACTATAAATTCTTAAAAAATCTAATGATGGTTAATAAGATTATGTGGTTAACATTACCGATTATAACATGATGATTCGAATCAGATACCGAACTGACCCGGCATATGCACGGCATTCAAACCATTAAAAAAAAAGTATAGGCCCTATGAAGGGGGGTGTTTATTAATAGAAAATGGTTAGGTAATATAGGTACAGTTATTTTTAGTGTAGTAGGATTGACTTCATGTCATAGCATCACACCAGAGAAGAAAAAAAAAAGAATCAGATCGTTAGGGAGGGAGAAAAGTTTTAGCTTAGGGCCTTTTTCTTTTTTTTCGTCACCATCATCGACTAACAAAAATAGCTTTTTTCTCAGTTTGGCCTAGAATTTCTTTATTATGTATTATGGCCATAAAAATTAATTATAACCCTAGAATAGTTGAATATAGGTAATATTTGATTATTAAAAATTGTAAAAAAAGAAGTGATTTTGCCCAGGATCGAACTGGGGACGTTCTGCGTGTTAAGCAGATGCCATAACCAACTAGACCACAAAACCATTTCTTGTTTGACTTAAATTGACCGGTTTTTGGTACTCGGTATACGTCAGGTGCTTTGAATCACGTGTAATTTTTTTTGAACAGGATATTGTTGATTGAGGCTACCATATTCAAAGGTTAAAGTAATTATTTATTAATGCATTATTCTGTCTATATATATATACAAGTTAAACTATCAATCGATCCATAATGAATCGTAAATAAAGTAATACCAGAAGAATCCATTGAAACTACTGATGATTCCAACCCCACAATAGATACTATAAAGCATCAATTTCAAGAATTCTAATTTCTTTAAGAATTCAAATTTATTTTCAAATATATCAATTAAAGTGGTTATAATCACTAATGGGATTAATCCTAAGATATAACCATTAATCACTCTGTCTAATATATTACCCTCGTTTACTTTTGGTATGCTGACAACTTTTCTAAAGTTGAAATAGAATATTATATACCATAAAATAGTATATATCACTTTAACTGGCCATTCATTACAGGTAAATATTAATGGGAATAATGATACATAACCACAACCAACTAATAAATTAAATGGACCTAATAGAACTTTATCTCTACTCACCAAGAATGTAATGGGGAATATAACCAATAAAATGGCCTTTTCATGAACATGCCATCCAAATAAAAATGATGAATATCCACATAACGTTAAAGCTCCTAAAAATCTTCTAAATGTTGGTTGATAAAATAATGGTAATAATGCTAAAACTTGATAAAATAACGTTAAATAAAATGTCAATTGTGGAGTAATGGTGGGTAAGATTAAAAACTCAATATCTCCTACTAACCCTCTTGTTGAACTACTTATTAATGATTCATCTTCAAGTAATAATGGATTGAATTCAAATAACAGTTGTAAAGGATAATGACTTAAAGGTAAATTCTTGTAAACTTGGATGAGTAATCTATCTAAAAAGGAATATATCGCCCAAACATTTGGAGCCCAATAAGCATGAGTTAATCCTCTACTAAATGGGAATAATCTTCCAAGTAATTGAGGTAATTGATTATAAAATGGTAAGAATGCAACTCCAAACACTGATAATACAACTAATCCTAATTTTATCGAATTCTTCCATCTTATCAATCTAATCAAGTTGACAAATATGTTTGCTTTTTTACTGAACTTTAAATTCAAACAATAACTTCTTAATAAAAAAATGAATACAGCTGGAGCCAAGTAAAGATAAATATGCTTAAAACAAAGTAATAATGCAAACCAGAATCCACACCAGAGATAATTCTTCAATCTGGCATTATTAATCATTAATATAAGGAATCCATACATCATACCATTATATTGGAAATGAATATGATCAATAATTAACAATCCAGGTGATAATACAAGACTTGCAGCCACAACGTAGCTTCGAGAAAATGTGATATGATCTCGTTTCTTTGAAGTTTGCATATACCAATGTAATGACCAGAATAATACAATTTCACTGACTATAACTGTTAATCGTTGGAAATAAACAGTTGGTAAGCCATATTGACCTTTTTCAACAAGATCTAAACATCCATCATCCTTAACTATTTGAGGAACCAATTGAGATAAGAACCATTCAAAATAGGCAAAGAATGGAGGATAATCCAATGTCCATTGTGATGTGTCCTCGATATACCATTGACTAAGAGGTAAATTATGAGTTATGGCCAACCAATTCCTATGAACATCGAAATCGGTAGAATGATACCCAACAAATAACAACAATTTCAATGCTAAGGTAACAAACCAGATATGGAGTAAAGTATACGGACTATCAGCAATCTGCTGAGTTCTAACTCCATCCGCCATTGAATTGAACTAACGTGAACAAGTGGATACCTATCGCGATACTCTTCAGCCTTTCGTGTTCACTTTCGTTTACAATGGTTTCGTAAATTATTTAAAATGCGTCCAAACAATTTGTAACGCATTTTTTTTTTTTAGATTGCGAATAACAATGAATTATTCAATTTATATCAAGTTCTGGATACTGTAGTGGGTGAAAGGACTTATCTTAACTAGTTATATTGGAAGGTAAGTGCTATTGGGTAGGAATAGAACGTAGTGTCTGATTATTCTGTGGAATATTGACCTTATTAGCTCTTTTTTGAAGGATTTTTTACCAAAATTTGGTTTACTTTCAGTAAATATTTTGCAATTTCTTGATAAAATTTACATTAAAGTTCAAAATATTACAAAATTATCTAATTATACTTCATTATATACAGAAATCAACCATACCACATATCACATAAGCTAAGTCTTTGGATGAATAACATTGTCCGGAAACAATGACTCCCAATCCGCATCGAATAAATCAGATGTCATTAAAACAGGTGGACCACCTAAGAAATCCAAATTATCATCAAATAAGATATCAGTATTAGATTCAACTATGGAATTATTATATGAGTTGATCGATGACACTGAATTATTATTGTTTTTGGCTCCATTATTGACATTGGTGTTGTTTTCAGATGCGTTATTTACATATCCATGCATGCTTTGAGCAGCAAAGTTTTGATCGATTGGATATTGAAATTGAATCTCATCCAATTTATGACCTGATTGATCTATTACACCACCATCATATTGCACAGGATTTGGAAATTCTTCTGCAGCATTATTAGTAGGAGTTATTTCCAAATCATTCGTAGTCGTTAGTATTTGTTGATTTTTATCAATGATTGGTGATTGACCAGATACAGGGGTTGAATCACTCGAATTCTTACTATCGTTCGAAGTCTGCTTTTTCAATTCATTCCTCAATTTAGCTCTCTTATGTCTTGTCTTTTCATTATTTTCCTTACTTTCCAATCTCTTAACTTCTTCATTCCTTTTCTTTAGTTTGACTTTGACTAATCTGTAAGACTTCTCAGCTAACTTCCAAGTCCTAGAACTTCCATATAACACATTCATAAAGAATTGTAATTGTTCTTTAGTTTCATCAACTAATTGAGTACTTGAATTAGTCAAAAGTATAATAGAAATTGATAAGATAGCACAATAAACCATAAATATTGATGTTTTCAGAGTTCCATTGATCTTTTGAAATGTATTTATTGCCACATGTAAATCTTGAATGGTTTCATTACAAATTTTCACTGGCGATAATTCAGAATCTTGAAGCCATGGTTTACCCACAAAAGGACGATTAAGACATAATATTAAAATATAATAATAAAACCGTATGCTTGTAAATGTTGGATTATCACCTGTTTCTCTTAAGGAATCTCGATCCCATTGTAAATCATCTGGTAAGGAATCTTTCCATTCTTTAATCAAAATATTATATTCATTTAATTTATCAAACCTTGAAACCAAATCTAAATCCTCATTGTTAGATTCATCATTATCTTCTTCTGATTTGGTGAATATATCATTCAACATATTATCAGATATGTTAATTAAATTTATCATTTTCTTCAATGGATTTGAAATATAAGAAGGATCAATTATTTTACTGTCCCTGTTTTGACGTTTAATATAACCCTGATAAGTATATTCATCGATCCATTCTAGATCTGGCAAATCATTAGTTTCAGGAATTGTAGCATCACTCAACTTTAATAAAGAAGGACGACCTAATAAAAGACATATAAAATGATCAGCCACATAACATCCCCAATAGACTCTACTACGAATTTTAACATCAAGAGGACTTAATTTATCCTTTGATTGTAAAAACCAAACTTTTGGATTCAATTGAAATCCTAAATCAAATCCCATTCTCATGGCATTACCACTTAACATCCATCCACTTGAGTTAAACCCATTACAGATATCATAGAATGCTAATAATAAGAAGCTTTGAAGTGATGTTATTGATGGTTGACTTAGTTGTGATAATAGTAAGCTTTTAGCTTCAAAGTAGTATTGTTTCGATTTGTTATAAATCCTATCTTCTTTACTCATTTTAGCTCCTAAGGCACATATACTAAACACCAATATTTTAGAACAGTAAAGACTATGAGGTTCGGGATTGAAAAAGTCGATTAAGAAGGCTTCTCGGAATATAAACATATTATGTTCAGGATATTGCCATGTGAAGAATAGCTTTATACAATGTAATATATCTTCATCCTTGTTTAACAATTTGATTGATAATGTTGATGTAGTTGCTGCATTCTTGGCGTTCGCATTCAGTTTCTTTTGTTTTTGAATAACATTATCCACAAATACACTAGTAGGACCATAAACAGCTTCACCAGAATCTTCATTGTGATGTAGGTTTCTACTGGATGAGTTATTTATAGTAGATGTGGAACTGCCATCTCCATTACCATTATTTTCAATATGATTAGGTGATCGAATCTTATTATCATCATCATTTGAACTTGGTGTACCAGGTAAATTGGAATTTGCGGCGGATGTGGATGGTGATTTATGTGATGAAGATAGCTTTTTTATTTCATCAAGATCAGTTAATTCGATTAATTCACGTTGTTTTGCTGGATCCAATGACTGCAACTTTGTGAATAATTCACTTAAGGTATTGAACTTATTCTCCAACGAAGTAACATAATTTGCACCAGGACGTTTCTTTCTATTATCATTGACCACCTGAACACATTCCACTCCAGCTTTCAAACATAATGCACATGGATTTTCGAAATTACATTTCACTTTTTTAGATCTACATCTTTGACAACTTAATAATCGTTTCGGAGGTGGTGTAGTCGATGCATCTTCATCATCTGGTCTGGGAGGATTATCCAAATTTGGAATCTGAATCTCACTAGGTTCATCCAAGTCTATCGACTTCCTTTTCTTAACAGTAGCCATCGACTACCAGTGTTGTATAGATATAGGGTGATTGATGATGTTTTTATTACGTGAAATCTATACGTCCTCTTTTGTGTATTTGATAATTTTTTTTTTTGGTTTGTTTGTGAGGGAAGATTTATTTTTCGTTATTGAGGTTTGGTTGCAAACGATGAAATAGGATTAAATTGTGTATATTTATCTATTAAGACCTTTTATGGTATTTTTATAAGTATATAAGTATATATGTATGCCTAGTTGTCTAGTTAAGGAAAACAATTTGATAGGTAGTATAAATGACAGCAACAATTCCAACTACTATTAAGATGTAATCACTAACTCTAAAGAATTTTTCTAGAGTGGTTAACTGGTTTTTAATAGTTAACGTCTTTAAATGAATCAATGGTGGATAGATGTATACTAAGGGGATACAAGCAAAACAACCATTGAATGAAACGAACTTATCGATGTTTGCCGCATTGAGATAAGCGATAGTACAAATAGCAGTTGTTGATACAGCTCTGAATAAATTTTTAAGCCATTTAACTTGAGGATTGTATTTACCTGAGTTATGATATAATTTTCCTGAATCAGCTTTTGATCTTTTATTCCCTGAGAAGATGAGAGATTCTCCAATCTTAATGGCTGGAAACAATTGTAATGGAGCTGTTAAAAATACTGCCAATGAGTACAAAATTAAGATCGATTGTACAGCCAAGTTTCCTTGCGGTAAATTCAATATAATAATTGATTTAACTTGATCACCATAAGAGGAATAACCAATAGTACCTATTCCTACAAACAAAGCAGTTATGAAAAACATTGAAATCGATAAAACCATTGGGAATTTTTCTGGTTGAGCCATTGATTGTTCGATTGGTAAGATTAATCCTATACCTTCAAATGAAGTTACAGCCACTCCAATTAACATTGACCAACTCTTTGGATTGAAATGAGTAATGTTTGGACCAAGACCATTAGCTACCAAATTTAAACCCGCGAACCAAAAGATTATGACTAAACCAATAATAATGAATAATGATGATACTAAAGAAATTAACGATAATTTAGTCAAGTTTCTGATTAATACTAAAGGTATCAACAAAACACATTGTACAACGACAATGTTACCTGTAGTTATAAATGAAGGAGTATCTCCAGGATAGATAGTATCAATGAAGGATAACATATTTTCAGCTGTAAATAAAATATAACCTCCTACAAAACCAATTTGACTTAAAATAATGGAAACCATGATACTTATCTTAAGAGGAGTACCATATGTTTTATAACCCAATTCACCAAATGATGTCAAATTAAGAACTTTTCTTGATTCAAGTAAAACAATATAACAGAAATAGGTTAAGATACCAAATCCTGTCAATGCAAAAATTGAAAATGATAACCCACCATTAAAGAAAGCTCTTGGTAAAAACAAGACTCCTGAACCTACCAATGACTTAAATACAAGGAAAAATGCTTTCGGTACACTAGCAGTTCCCTTAGGAGCTTCTTTATGTTTCGTCGATGGTTTTGGTACTTGTTTAGGAATACTATGATAATGACCATTATTGGATCTGGTTAACAACGAAGCTTCTTCATCAAATACATCTTCAAAGCTTTGAGCATCATTTGGAGATATGTTGTCATCATCATCACTGAAATCTTCACCAGCGAAATGACCATAAATACTTAAAAATTCAATGAAATTTCGAGTTAAGAAATTAGGAGGTTCTTCATTATTTTTTAAAGATTTATTAATTAAAAATTCTCGCCTAAATCCTCCTGGAACATTTATATCTGATGCTGTTGATTCTCTTCTTGTTTCAGTAAGATAAGTTGAAAATGAAGAACTTCTTGTTCTTCTTTTAGGTTGCGCCAATGGGCTCAGTGATTCAAATTTTACATTTGTTGAGATGGTATTATTGACAATATTACTATTTATGGTGCTATTATTGTTATTTTCTTCCTCAAGTTGATGATATAATTGTCTTGCAATATCTCCACCTTGGGATTTTAACATATCTTCACTAGGAACCAAATGTTTGTTAATTGTTTTATAATCAAACTCACCTTTCGAGGAGGAAACATTTTGGATTTGTTCCAGATAACTTGAATTTTCATACCTATTCAAAAAAGTACTACTATGTTGTCTTTGATTTGGATTCAAAAAGTTTGAAGAATTTGATGTGACGGAAGTTGGAGGTGAAGCATGAAAAGGTGAATTGGATAACGAATGATGATCATTCTTTGTTTGTCTAAAGCTACTCATATTCCGATAGATATCCTATTCATATGAGTTAGTTCAATCGTGTTATCAAAATTAGCAATAAATACAGCCAAACGATACCTAACTAATCAGTAACAAATAGGCTATTAGTAATTTATTGTATGTAATAAACTGTGGTTTATATCAATTTGAAAAATTATGTCTATCTAAAACAAGGACTGCATATAAATAGTATTAGATTTTTTTATTTTTCCTTCTTCGTACTCCACTTTAAAATTGGAATGACCCGCCTGATTAAGAGGCAAGAGATCCCGTCATTTTATTACGTAAGAAATAGACAACATTAAAGTTGACATATTTCTCTATCAATCATAAAATAGACAGATGTAATGGTACGGTTCTAGAACATTATTCAATTCAAATATATAGAACTAAATTCTAAAAAAATTATAATTAAGTTTTGTATATCGTAATACCAGCTGTGATGGGTTCATAAATATATTTTAGAATTTACATTTATGTCGTTTACGATTGGTAATCAATATATTGTCCACACAAGAAAACTACCAGATTACAAAATAATTGTTATTATGATATTTTCTTAAGTTAAAGTTTTTTTAGAGAGCCGAGAATTGAATCTTGTAAGTAAAAAGCTTAGAATTTATTGCTCGTTAATTGCAAACAACAATATCAAAAATTTTAATGTTGCATGCAACATGTAGAATAAGGAAAAGAACAGCGACTATGGAGATCCCAAGCGAAACATCTCTGATCTTTAACTGGTTTGTTAATTCGGAACAACTATTATCCAGCTACTACTTTGATACCCTTACGAGAATTTGAAAAGTAAAGAAAGCTAAAAAATAGTGATCAAGAACTAACCCTTTGTTCTCCATAACCAAGAAAACGAACTTACATTTTAACATACGTTTCTTGCTGATAAAATAAACTGGCAATAGTGGAGTAAATATCTAATCTAATCATTCTATTTCTTTACTAATACATCCACATACAACGGACACTTGACCTGAAAGAAGAAGTTATATGCATATAAGGGTATTGGAGAAGAAAGCAGGGGTGACCTACCAATAAACGTTAAAAGGTATATTCTTTATTAACCTCCAATATAATATTATTTATGTTAGATTGCAAAATTTTGCATGAATAAGAATTAATGCCAATACATTTAGTGTATAGTTACATAATTCTGAAAATGTAGGCACAATTCAGACGATTTTATAAAAAGCTGCTAAAAAAAGTCTTAGCAGACAAAAACATGACTTTTACAGTCAGCAGAGTCTTAAATAAAAAAAGTGTCAATAAAATGACATTTTTTTTGTTTCGCTTTGGGTAATTAACAGCGCATCCGCAGTATCATTACTGTGCAAAAAATATATATGAGTGATGAGGTTAAGTCATTGATTGTAAAATATTATTTCAATATCATGGCCCCAAAAATATTATGAAAGGTAATGTTTCAAAAATATTTTGAACCATGGATAGGAATCAACTGACTGACTGATTTGCTGGAATGATGAACATGAACATAAGACAACTTAGTAAATATGAGATTGGGTTAAGTGATGGAATGAGACCGAATTGCAAAATATCATTGGAAGACTATATCCCCACAAAGAATACTAACAATTTCATGATATTATTTACTTATTTCTGCTTCTAGAATATAATTTTAGTATATTATTTTTCACTAAACTCTACTATAACCATGGTATGACGAGTTGTAATCACAGGTAAAATCAACTATTATTAAATGAAATAACAAATTGAAATTTTTAGTTTAAAGCCCGGAGAATAGTTTAGACATATGGATTTACCGTAAAAAATATTAAAAAGTAATATTCTGCCGAGGGACAGAAGTTTTTAGGGAGACGCAGAGGGTAAAAATAGTAATTTATTTTAAAGACAAAAAGTCTGAAAATGGAGTTCGTGTCTTTAGTGGATTAGCGTGTCTGCATGAATCCCCAAATTTCAGATCCTAGTCAAGACTAATGCAAAGAGTATATGTAGCTACATATGTTAAAAATATGTACCTACAAATAGACGAATACACTTGGAATCATCTTGAGTCATCTTGTAACGATGTATGAGGTTGGATTCATTAATCGAAGTAACTTTACTCCAGTTGGATTTAAAGAATACAGGAGTTAAGACTTTAAACAATTATTATTATGAACCGCTAAAAAATAAACCAAAACAGCTCTGGAAGTGTGGAAGTGTGAGCCAGTGCGAAATGTTTGAGCTTAATGGAGATTAAGGTATTTCGGTACTCTTCCATATAGGAGATAGTATGCAGGCGAAGGAATAAAGTCAAAAAATATTTTTTTGAGGTTATGTACCAAAGATACTAATAAGGAAGACAGACATTAAAAATTGCCGTATGGCATTACCAAGATAAGGAATAAATACTTGATGGTTTCAATTTGAAATATTTTCAAACTTGATACGTAATTGATATAGAGAATAGAAGTATCACTGACGCTAACCTACTCGAACTGAACATTATTATTAATGTACTAGCTCCTTTTAATTAGGGGATTGCTATTTTTCTAATGCTTCTAGATTTTTATTTTTTTTGTCTTATAGTTCAAATTTAGACTCTTGCAATATGACTAAAAGTTCAATTATTCTAATTTGTTGTCAATTGTATTGATAACATTCCATTTGATATCAACATGCTACTTGATAATAGGGAAATGTAACGGCAGTAAAAATATGTAACTCCAGCTTTGTTCAGCTCTATTCTCCTAAATAATAAAGATTTTGAGATATGGTCTATCATCATTGTCATCATGATGTTCAATGTGGTGGTTTGAGTGATAGCAAGGTGTTAAGACAAAAAAATAATTTTTACAGACAATAAAAAAAAATAAAAAGAAAAATAAAGTCGTGTCTGTTAAACTCCTTACTAGAGCATTTCTTAATAGTAAATTCATACTTCCAGAGACAAAAAAAAAAGACTCGGAAAAACTTCATAGTTGATAAGTAATACAGAAATGTCTATTACGTATAGGAATCTGATTACGAAGAATCCTGTATCGTATTCACTTTCTGTTACCTAGATTACAAAAATGTTTCTCAATAACCATAAATTCGGGTGATTGAACATGCCATGGAATACAAGTGGAGTAATCTCTACAATCAGATGTTGTTATTGTTAAACAGTTGCAGATACAGAATGAATATTAACTAAGAAAAAACTAAAATCAGCTGAACAAGACAAGAAGTGTTACCATCATTTAAAAAAATAGTGTAAAGGAAAGTGAGTTTGTAAGTGCTTGTGATGTGATCATTATAGTAATAAAAAATGGCAGTGCTATTATTTGTTCTCAATTAGTTAGTGGTCCCCTACGAAAAAAAGACAAAAATCAATTTCCATGCATCTGATTTTAATTTTTGTCTGATTCTTTTGGAGGTTACTAGTTGTAAAAATCAAAAAAATATTCAAATTTTCAGCAGACAAAAATTTTCATTTTCTCATATTTTATTTTTTGTTACATTCTTTCTGCATATGTTAAAATTCAAATTTCTTTTTTTCTTTTGTGCAACAGAGAACTAAAAAATAATTTTAAAAAATATTTTTTCGCATTTGAATTTTCCATATTTCCATATTTCTATACCCACAGGAAGCAGAAAAAAAAAGAAGGGGAAATTTGACATGGCTGATTGCAAATGAGGATGCATGAAATGTAAGCTATATATATTTCGAGATCTTTCCCTTTTTTTTGAAGTTTAATATCTATTTATATTTTATACATCTATTACTTTTATTCAACATCAACTACTAATAACTAAACATATATTCCATCATGAAATACATATCACAAGACGATATGGTGATAAGCACCAAAACTAGAAACATTCATTCATCTACTAAAGAAAATATCGATTATTTAGAATACATACCAATGAATTCTGAACATTATTTAAATGATAATTTAAATTTATTAGCATACATCAAATTAAATGAAAATGTTGAAAACACTACTGATGATTTAATCATTAAAAGAATCAATAACATTTGCTGGAGAAGATGTAATAAGAATTTATTCCAAGTTGATGAATTCAAACCATATTTAATTAACTGGGATAAAAACAGTGATATCACTTGGTTATTTGGTCCAAAGGTTGTTATTCCAGAAGAACAAGAAGAAGAACAACCACAAGAAGAAACCACTTCTACTATTGCATATCCAACTTTTAACTTTGAAGAATCAGAAGAAGTCTGTTCATTATTGAGTGATGATGAAGACGAAGAAGAAGAAGATAGTCAAAGTGAAGTTAGTTCTGTTTTATCATTTGAAAGAAAAAACTCATTAAGTTCCGCCAGTTCATACTTTGAAGAAGAAGATGATGAAGATTATGAATACAATTTAAAATCTTCAATTAAAAAGACATGCTCAAAATCAACCAAAAAAGTTTCATTCAACTACATTGTTAACACTAGAGAAATAATTAATGGTATTTCCTTTGATTATGATTTTTTAGATCATGAATGTTTATAAATCTAAAATCATTGATTGATTAATTGATACCACAAACAATTCTACTTATTCATGCATTATTTTCCTTACAATTACAACTTTTAATATTAATTATTCATCTAGTTCATTTCTTACTATGGTTTTCCATATTATATTTATTACATTGGTCATTTCTTTTCAATTCTTTCTTAGCATTAGCATTTTTATTTTAGTATATAGTTTTTTAGATAAAAAGTATTATTCTACAAAAATAAAAATAAACAAAAAAACATCATAGTCATCTTTTTTTAAAATTATCATTTGCAAATTGTAGATAAGTTAGATCTAAACATAGCTTAAACCCTGGGTATATAGTCTTAAATTTAGATTCCGTCCTAAATTATCATAAGGTAAATTGTGATATTTTAGATCACGTGCATGAATCTTTGGGGGAAAAGGAGAATTCCCTAGAAAATATAACTTCCGTCAACCCAGAGTTCAAGTTTCATATGACTGCAAATGCAAACTAAAAAATAGTTAAATCCAGAGGAAGGTCAAACATTGTCAAAGTATGGGGCAATATCAAACTTGCTATCTATATCATCATAGTTATATTTAATGACAACATCGCAAACTATGAAACAAAATATCATCATCGTCATCATCGAGTTTATGTTTAATTTCATTTCAACTGCAATTTCAGCTTATTATTTTTTTTGATGGCTTTATTATTATTTTTTCTATTTAGAGTGATATTATGACGCTAAAGTATTGCAGTGAGGATCTTTAGTCTTTAAAAATTTTCGTGTGGTGATTGTTCTTTTTATACCAACATTTATGATTATTATTTATTATTTTAGTGGAGTTTAATGATGATTCATAACTCCTCCTTTAGATTTTTTTATAGTGATTTGTGAGGAAGTTTGTGAGGAAGTATGGAAGATTTACACTTCCAGTTTTGGTCTAAATTTGATTAGAACTAAATATTTTTATTCTATTATCTGTTATTTTGAAACACTCATAATCCTATCCCCCATTAACCAAATTTATAGATTCATTGTCTTTTGAAATGAAAATCAACCCATCTCAAATTATTGTACGTGCATTTAGGGTATGTTGTGGGAGATTATATGTACTATCTACGCCTTATCGCGATATGTTGATAAGTAAAATCAAAAAGTTCGTAATGTAGTGGATACTCCCCACAATACAAAAAAAACCTACTCGGATGTTAAGTTGCGACGTTCATTGCCTTATAGTGCTACATTTGAACCAAACGGCAAATACCTTCCACCGCAAATTAAGATTTGACTATAAAAAGTTTAAATTTATTGATTTGACCTATTTGATTATTTGATTATTTTTTTTTGTTCTCCACTTGCGTTCCCTTTCCTCATTAGGAAAGCCTACCAAATGAAAACTTGATTCCCTCAATAGTTTACAGATACGATCTGTTTTTCCTATTTTCTCACTCTTGGGGAAGAAAAAGATCAGCGGTATGTGTTCTTTCCTTCTTTATAGGTGTTTGGTGATGGAGCGCCTAAATCCATAGTAGTATCTAGCCTTATTGTTGGTGTAATTTAGTTAGCCTCTCCTACAGAACATTTTGTTCTAATTGCATTTGCGAAGATATTTTGTGTTTATGATTTCTTAAAAGAGATAAATTCGTTTAATCAGTAAATTTCGTCTATATTTGCTTAACTCTTGAATATGATTTCTTATCCTCCTCCTCAAGAATCTTAAAAAGGTTACCATGTAGCAGGTATACTTACATACATTACATGAATTCGGGTTCTATTTCTCGTCTAGGTTTGTTAACCAGTCTAAAGAATGAGGGGAGTCTATCAAAAACTATAAATACATAGTTTCATCCTTCGGGGAGAAACAAGGTTCTAGCTGCGTTCATGGAAATAGCATCCGAAACCCATATCAAAAAAAAAAAGAAATGAAAAGGAAAATCTCAACTACTTCCTATTTGGGAATCAGACATTTTTTTAAAAAAAGACCAAAATTGATTTTTGTCTTTTTTTTCTCTGATAAAAGGAGTTTTGAATAATGAGACCAAATTTATATCCTATTGTCGCAGGTAGTTTTTCCATGTTACACAAAATTAAATTCATATTTCCAAACTATCAAAGATTAAAAAAAGAAACAACCATTTATGTAAGTGAAGTTCAGGAAATATAAAGTAACAGACTTCCGCACATTCATCCTACATTTCACACATTCACACACACACACACAGGTTAAATTAATTGGTCTAGTTGTCATTTTTCCTTTCCATTGTGGATATAAGCACCTTGTGTTATTCTTCCATTTGTAAGGGATATAATGGATACTTGTAATCATATATCCTCGAGAACTCATCGAGCCCATTACTATCCTCTATCTCCTTTAATCGATGGTTTAAATTATTTGGTCTGCTTCTGATATAACCAAATAAGTCAATAATATTTATTGATCAAGGAGTTAGATTTACAGTTTAGTTATACATAAACTATTCTTAATTCCATCCTCATCTTTCAAAATAGCTTAATTCAAATTATTTTATTGATTCACCGATAGTTTAGTCAATCCATCACCGATGGCCATTGTCAAATTGTTAGGTTTTGATACTTCTCATCGAAGTTTATTTTAGAATTAGGTGTTAACAGAATTGTAACTATGTAGTATTTCTTTAATTATTCTAATCTATACATACAACGTCAAAAACTAGTCTTATCTAATTAACTTTTACTTTACCTCAATACTACATCTCGACGGATCACCATATTACTACCAATTTTTCTTAGTTGTGTTCCATGCAGATCCTCATATAACTCGAATTATAATGTTGAAGCAAACTACAATGAGTAATCCCCCAAACCATACATTTCTTAGTATTTTGGAGGCAACAATGATTCACCATCCAAAGTTAATCCATACTGGTTGTTCCTTTCCACCTTAATTAATCCTGAACCATAATTTTCTTGGATCATAACTTCTGTTTATGAAAGTGTTTCCTGGTAACCGTTAAGTTTTTGTCTGATAATAATCTTCGTTGTCGTTACCTCCACGACAAAAATATTCTAACTGGGGGGTATCACCAACAAAGCTAAAATATATTTTTTGATTCCTTTAAATTTAAAAGGATTGACCTTTAGAGTTGCTTTCCAATGGTGTGATATAAAATAGTCTTAATTGTTCTCCCCTTTTTTATTTTTTTTAAGCTAACTTTACTAAGTTAATTGCAACCTTACTTCATTTAGTAGTTACTCCTAACGCAAGCGCTAGATCCTTTCCCTAATCAATGGATTTTGTGTTATTTTCTTTAAGTTTTAGTATTCGCATGGTTCCTGTCCTTCTCTTACGTGTGCGCCTGCATACAACTGCTTCTTCTAACAGTTATATACTTTACACGGATCATATGTTTTTAACATATGTTTTCCTTATCGTTAGTAAAATAATACACTCTTTAGTCAGAGTTAGTCATGAGGATAGTTTGCTTAATTAGGCAAGTCTACCAGGTGTTAATAGTCGTAAATATTATTTTTGTTCTTCTTCCAGTAAGGTTTTTCCAATGGTTGATCCGGTTTAAATAGTTCATGATCGTATATGAAAGCTCAGATAGGAAGTCTAGCAGTACAAGGGTTCAAGGAGCTAGATCTTTTGCATTACGATGTTTCGGGTTCCAAGATATTCTAAAAAACCAACAAACTATTTATTCTCCTCTTTTGCAATCAAATGTTTTACGTTTACGCTACTTTAAGAACAATTACTTCATTATGATGTTTATTTTTACAAAATAAAAACTGATCTATTCATTTATTTTTAAGATGTCCAGTATTGTGGATATCTTGCTAGAAATAGCGATCATCACGGGGCCAGAAGTAGTATCGAGTCCTTGAATGCAGCCGTATGTATATCAACATTATTTCTTACTCCTCACTTTTATTTAATGTTAAACTAGAATAGGTAATTATTAGCATTCTAACCCCCTGGAAACTTTGAATAGGCAAAGTGTTAGCACTCCTTGATGGACAGCACCTTCTATTTGTTGCAATCCATTTAATTATGAAATGAAAAATAGTCTATCAACTTAATCCAAGTCAATTTCTCCCTTTGTGACATCAGCATCTTCTTCCTCTTCATTTCTATTCTCATCTACTTCCTCTTCTTCTTCTTCACCTTGTTCATCATTTATTTCAACATTGTCTTGTTCTAAAAATAATGTATAAACAGCTCCCTTGAACAAAGTATGAATCAACCCAATTTTCATTTCTAAATTTCTTAAATTATCTAATAAAACATGAGCATTACCATTCGATTTAGACGCGCTTGATGCTATTATATCTTGTAAACTACTTGATTTGGTAGTTAAATGATTGATTTCATTATTAAGAGTTATGAGTTGATTATTGAGGAATTGATATTGTTGAAGGATTTCCCCCTCTATTGGAAATAATTGTGATGACTTAGTATAATCAATCGTCTGTAGATCTTGAAGAGACATGGTTAATTAATCTATTTGTATATATATTTCGTGATTATTATTGTTATTATATGGCTGTTGTTGTTGTTATTATGATTTGTTTGCGCTAAAACATTTTTGGTTAACAAATTGTCACATCCTGCATACAATGCCAAATTTCATCTTTGGGAATTTCTAAGGGGGACATCTATCAAAAAAGAAAATTGTTTTGACATCTAAAACTTTATTGTTACTAAACAGCATCAATTGGATCAATTGCGTTAGTGAAACTATGTCTAGTGTTGCAAATGGATCATCCACTGCCGTGGAACAACCGATCGTCAGCCCATCAGGTCCACCACCTTCAATTCCTGTTCCTAAGGAACCAAAACCTGTAGTCGAAGAACCAACTCCAAAGTCCGCTGCTGCTCCAATTACAAATGAAACTGTTCCACCCAGTGAAAAGAAAAGAAGATTAGTAAGAAAAACTCAAAGCACTAATCCCTTGAAATTGAAAATTTGGTTAGCTGGTCATGCTGCTACTGTTGCCTTTGGAGGTATTGCATTATTATTCCAATTATTATGGTTACCTAATTACTATTACATTAACAGTATTAGTTATAGATTAGCATTACTTGCTTCAGCTGTTACCTTGACAGCTACTTTCAGTCATGTATTTGGTTTGGAATATTTACCTTCATTTTCAACTTTATCCTCACATCAAAATTTCCAATATTTGATCTTAGCATTCATTTGGATTTTCACTTTTGAATCTATTTTCAAGGTCATTCCTTACGTTTTGATTTCATTATTACATCTTGCTAAACATCAAAAGATTGAAGTGGTCTTAAAAGAGAAAGATTTATTAGCATCAGTTATAGCTTACGATGAATTAGTGTTGATAGGATTCTTATTATTAAGAACTTTACTCTTTAGAGGTTCTTCAGGTTTCCAACTTGTGATCTTTTTAACTTTCTATTGGTTAAGAATTCTTTATAACAAGGAAACTCGTGTCTTATTTGAAACCATTATTGAAAGATTAGATAGTAAAGTTAGTAAGATTGAAAATCCAAAAGTTCAACATGTTTGGACTAGAACTAAACAATTCTTGGATGCTAAAGAACATGACGATCATAACGCCTAAGTCTTCTATGTTAATGTCAACTTTATATACTATTTTATATTTGACTTTTCTCTTACCCCTGTTTTATATTCATCAAAATGTTCTTTTATAGTAATTATATATGTGTTTTAAAAATTGTATGTTCCTGTATACAAAAATATCGAAATTTACCAAACCTCCTTTTTCTGAGTGGAAATGGATGAAGTTGTAATAATTAACTCTTAGATAATCAATTGATCAAGAATAATTATCAGTAGAGTGGACCTCCTGATAATCTAAATATCGTAATTTATAAAAGAATCACTCCTACCATGTCTTCCGAATCACCAATTGTTTATCAATTGGGTCATTTACCCATTAAAGATCATGTCTTTTCACCAGATCGTGGATTATTAGCCATTACTAAAGATAATGAAGTTGAAGTTTATCAAGTTTCAAGTAATTTATCAGTTAGACCTAAATTATTCACTACTTTGAAAGGCCATGATAAAACTGTTACTTCAGTTGATATTTCTCCTGATGGCACTAGAATTTTAACTTGTTCTCAAGATAGAAATGCCTTAGTTTGGGAATTTGATGGTCAAGATTATAAACCAACTTTAGTATTATTAAGAATCAATCGTGCTGCTACTGTTTGTAAATGGTCACCAAATGGTCAAAAATTCGCTGTTGGTTCATCTGATCGTGTTATTGCCATTTGTTATTATGAAGCTGAAAATGATTGGTGGGTTTCTAAACATTTAAAGAAACCATTAAAATCAACTATTACTAGTTTATCATGGCATCCAAATAATGTATTGATTGCCAGTGGTTCCACTGATGGTCATGTTAGAGTGTTTAGTTCTTTCATTAAAGGAATTGATGAAAAACCAGAACCAACAGTTTGGGGATCAAAATTACCATTTCAAACTTTATGTGGAGATTTCATTAATGAAACTGGTGCATGGATTCATGATGTTTCTTTCAGTCCTGATGGAGATAGTCTTGGATTTGTAAGTCATGATTCAACTATTGGGATTATTTATCCTGAAGGTGAAGGATTACCACCAAAATCAATCATTAATGTTAAGACTGAATATTTACCATTTAAATCATTTGTGTTTTTAACTAATAATAAATTAGTAGTTGGAGGTCATAATTGTAATCTTATTGTATTTGAAGGTGATGAAAGTGATTGGAAGGAATCATTCAAGGTTGAAAGTCAAAAGGATTTAATTAATGATGTTCCAGTTCATGGTAATGGTGATGAAGATGATGAAGAAATCTCATCCCATCAAGCTTTAAATATGTTTAAACAAATGGATTTAAAAGGTAGAGTTAATAAACCTACCAATGGTGCTGGTGGTTCCAAAGCTTTAACTACTATTCATCAAAATACCATTGCAAGTATTAAGTTATTTTCCGCTAATAAGGTTAGTACATCTGGTATTGATGGTAAAGTTGTTATTTTCACAGTTTAGAGAAACATATATAAAATGTAAACTACAATTATTATAAATATAAAATTTTGAATTAAGAATATAATGTACATTGTTGTATATATATATAATGTAATATTACTATAATGAGATGTTAGTTATTAATTCATCATGATAAATTAATCGATTATAAAAACATTTCGACAAAAGTAAATATTAACGTCAGATATTGAGCTTTGGTAAAGGAGTATCTTCATGAAATTTTTGGTTCAGAAGCAGAACTGAAAAGTAAGTGTATCATCATTAAATATTTAAAAGTCTGAATGTATTATAGATCAGGTTGATTTAATACATACTATTTTCGAAATCAAAAATCAAAATAAAATATTCAGAAACAAAGATTCAGGCCAGCTGATTACTTTGAAAGATCTTAAAGGTAACAAGTTAGTATAATTGATCGTTAATGACGTATGAAAGGGGGGGTCTATTTTCTTCAAAAATTGAATTCTGGTAATAATAAGGATCAGATGGTGATGCATGTATTTATCCATGGCTCAGGATTCACCGGACATAGTGTTGTGTAACAATCATCATAAAAAATAACTAGACAACATCCAAATTCAAAGATAATAGACTTATAAAATCATTCAAAAACATACTATTTATCAATCGTTAGTAACAACATGTAAATGTTAGAACCAACGTAGATATAATCCCATTGAATTAGACGATCAACTAAGACGCCTAGAGATACTATCAGATCCACAGTCTAATAGTTAGTCTGTTGACTGAATGATTGAAGATGGTATAATGTATTTGGCCCTTTGAAAAAAAATTTTTATCTGGCTTTTTTATGGTGAACTTTTTTTTCTGTACAATTATCATGGTGAGCCGGGTAACTTTTGTCATTGAAGATATTTTGATTACCCTAAACCTTACCAATATGATTATGACATATATATATTTCTTATTAGACAAGACAAGCTTTGGTAAGATGATAGCTAGTTCTTGGTAGTACAAGTCACATGGCATATGTAAATCAGTTCTTTTGCATGAGTTCAACAGTCTAAGAGATAATATTACTATTCCTCCAAGTAGTAAACAAGCTTACAGAGTTAAACTAACACTATTATTGGTATTTGAACTAAGAGGGTTATTTCTTCTTATGGTAACGTAGTACAATATAATATGACTATAAATAAAATAACCAGTTAAACCATATTGATTTGTCAAAATGGTTATGATTTATGTTGCGTTCTAGATTTTCGTTCTAGCTTACCGACCTAGTTATTATACGAAGAAAGACAACGAATTCTAGCAAACAAGTCTTACTCAAGATCAAATGTCTACTGACAGTGATCTCTAATCGATCTACACCCACAAATAACTAAATAGTAATCTACTTCATTCTACTTCATTAACTGAAATACCTTGAAACCAACTAAAACGTGTGTAAAGGACATTAATCTCCCTCTCCCTAAAATTTAAAATCTCTCACTAAAATTTGTCGCTGCAAAAATAAAAAAATAAAAGCCTTTAAAAATTTAGCGGACTTCACAAAAGAAATTATGAGCTTTAAGCAGCATCACTTACGCAAATTTGACCACAAAACTAAAATTAATTAGCCTAAATCTGAATTATGCTAAATTTAAATTAAAGTTACTTTGCTGGGTCATTATCCAATTACCATTTATATATCATTGTGCTATAGTCCACAAGCTACGGAATCGAACTACTTCAAGTTTGATTTACTGGCAAGAGTTCTCATAGTTTTGTTTAGTCCACTTCAACCTTCCATTACTATATTCAAAATCCCTTATCTTGCCGCTTCATTCTTTTAATTTTAAACCATGACAGATAACAATGAAAGTCAACCATTAATTGATGCTGATCCTTTATCACATTCAAGTTCAGGGAAGTCGTACAATAGTGTGGAATCATTCCATGGTTCGAAATCTACTTCTGCTTTGAATAAAGTTGCCTTTAGTTCCAACTACTTGAATAACAATTTTAACAGTGGGTTCAGAAATGACTCAGCCATGGTATCTCAAGAAGACTTCTTAAGAAGTAATTCAATCATGGAATTACATAGATCAGCTACTGTCTCCCAAGTTCAAAAACCATTATTCCATAGATTAATTGCTCATCAATTTTCAGTATCAAATGCAAGTTCACCTCATGAATTTCAAGGTGTAGCAAGATCTGCTAGTTTCGCCATCCCTAATGATCAAGCAAGTGTTTATAGTGTATCAGATCAAGATCAGAGAAGAATGAGTATAATAAATATATTAAGACCAACTCGTTTGATTGGAAGTTATAAAGCCATTTGTAATTGGTATGACTATCTAATTGATGATAAAACCATCAACTCAAGTAAATCAAGTGCTATTAGGGAATATTATAGAGAACAAAACGAAATTATAGAACGATTACAAGAAATTGATAACTTTTTAGATGCTGGTAAAGTTCATTATAATATGTTGACCAATTATGGTACCGATTCAAGAATATTAACAACTCATGTGGAAGATGATGAAGATGAAACCTTGGATGACCAAACACCAAGCAATCATCACAACAAATCAGGATCAAGTTCAACCCCTGCTACAAGTCCGCGAGGTAATGGTCGTACTCCAGATGATTTAGAACTGCAATTATCTAAATCCAAATACTCCAGATTTTATATTGTACCTGGAAATATTGATCATGATGGTTCTAAATTTCTTGGTTATGATGAAGAAGCAGATGCAGCTGAAGCTTATACCGCTATCATGGTTAATTTTTTCCTTAATTTTCTTTTATTATGTGGGAAAGTTGTTGTCACTCTTTTAACTAATTCCATTTCCGTGGTTGCATCTTTAGTAGATTCTATTTTAGATTTCTTATCAACCTTTATTATCTTTATTGCTAATAAATTAAGTACATCCAAAGATTGGAGAGTATTGAATGCATTCCCAGTTGGTAGATCAAGATTAGAACCATTAGGTATCTTAGTATTTTCTATCATTATTATCATTTCATTTGCTCAAGTTGGTCAAGAAGCTTTTAAAAAATTAGCATTCAGTGCTCCTGAGGACAGAATAGCGGCACAAATGGGGCTCGACTCTATAGCCATCATGACTGTTACAATCATTAGTAAAATTGGTTGTTGGATATGGTGTTCTAAAAGTAAATCAAGTTCAGTGCAAGCTTTAGCTCAAGATGCTGAAACTGATATAGTATTCAATTTAGTTTCATTATTAATGCCAACTGTGGGATTTTATTTGGATATTTGGTGGTTAGATCCATTAGGAGCTGTATTATTGTCATTTTACGTCATTTTTGGATGGAGTAAAACTGCTTTTGAACATATTAATAATTTAACTGGTGCAGCAGCTGATCCATTAGATTATAAAATCATATTATATCTTGCTTATAGATTTGCCGAACCAATTGAACATATCACGGCATTAAAGGTTTATCATGTAGGTGATAACCTTAACGTTGAGATTGATATTGTGTTTGCAAAGGAAAAATATGAACTTTCATTTAAAGATTGTCATGATATAGCTGAAGCTTTACAATATTCAATAGAAACTTTACCTATGGTCGAAAGAGCCTTTGTTCATATTGATTACATGGAAGGAAACTTCAAAGGACATCTTAAATGATCTCACCTTACATATATATATAAATCTATCTATTTATTCTTTATTTATTTGAATATTTAATAACTTATTTTTACGCTACCTAGAGCAAGTTCTCCTCTAGATAATTTTGTAACCCAGTTTTATATTTCGAGATAATATCATCTTTATTATCTTGACCCACTCTATTAAACTTATTAATCAAATTTTTCAAATCTTCTATAATTGGTTGATAATTATTTGAGCTTATTAGTAAGTCAGGATTAGTGATTAACAAATCATCTAATAATTTCAACCCATTTCCTTGAGTTGTAGATGTTGAAGATGTAATGAGATATTTTAAGATATTCATCAAACAGATAGCACTGAAGTAAAAGCAAAAATGAATTTGATCCGATAAGTACGCAAAATATGAATCACTTGCAATATCATTTACGAATCGGACCACGCTATACGAACATTCAAGCATCTTTAAAATATCTTGTTTACTGGTATGGCTTAAAACATAGCGAATGTTGTTCTCGTCATATAATGATGAATTGGAATTAGGATTAGATGATGAGTTATCATCCTTCTTGAATGGTTTCAAAATAGTTGTTTTCAGAAAATTATAACAATAATAAATCACCAATGAACAGAAATTATAATTTAGTTCAACAAATTGTAAATTGGGTTGCGAGAATAAGTACTCCCATTGATCATACCATAATCTTAACTCTTCTTTAACCGATTTGAACCCAAGTTCCAAATCTTTCAATTGATGATTTGAACTGGCAGATCCACTGCCAATACTGAATTGAACTTGTATAAAATTATATGCAATCAAAAGAATCCCAATTTCACTAACCATTCTCCCATCGAAATTAGTTGCGCTTGGTAAGCTTAATGTAGCTGTACAATAATTGATTCGGATTTCATCAACTACGCACATTCTTCCAGAGAAGACGCAATTGATGATATGAACCAAACATAAGTGATTGTAAATTCTTAATATAGTTAAGGTTTGATATTCGTCAGAATCCAATTCATCGTAAAGCACTGTGAATGGGGATGTAATTGATCCACCTCCAGTTATAGCTGATGCTGATGGCGAAGTTGTTGAGATTCGATTATTATTTTTGAATAATGTTCCAAAGGTGGATTTAGTGATGAATGTGGTTAAACCTATACTTGATAAAAACCACGCATCTAGATTGAAATCATCTAAATCCAGATCAAGATCATCAACATTATCATCATCCATAGTGGAAGGTACAATTGATGATAACGACAACAGGTAGATTGATAATATCACTAATGATTGTAAGAACTCAATATCACCACTATTATCGGAAGCGCCTTGAAAAGCAGTATACTTGATTAAAGAACTATCAAGATCCAGAACCAATTTTTTAATTAAATCCTTATACGTTCTCTTTTTCCGGGAGAAATTATTTATATCACCTGGACTTACACCATTTAAAGAATACCTTAACGATAGAAGACAACATGTAGTTAAAAGTAATGAAGATTTATATCGAATCCTATCGATTAAAACTTCAGTGGATAAACTCAGAGGGAACGATACCCATCTCCCATAATTTCTTCTGAAATCATTCATTAGATCAATTGTTTCTGTGAGATTTAGGATATTTAAAGATATGATATCATCAGTAGTTTCGAAATATGGTTTTGATTTATTAGATCTCTTGATGGTCGATAAGTTTAGTAAGTTGAGGATTGGTTTAGGAACATCCTTTTCCTTGATTTGATTGTTTATAATCGAAAATGGTGATGATTTTAAAGAAATAGTGGGTGATTGAAATGAAAATTGATTATCGACATTGGTATCATCTTCTTCAAAGACTTGGAAATCACTGGAATGCAATTGAGAACTTCCAAGGCCTGGGAAATGAAGTCCTGATCTTGTTTGACTATTACTACTACTAGCAGCTGCATTCGAGGAATTATTATTATTATTGTTGTTATTATTATTACCATACAAGTTATCAAAGAATAATGATGGAGTTGTCGGCACTGATGATTTTTTCATTGAACTTGCAGCTTCCAAGAGAAGTCTTGCATCATGATTGATTAAATCATGATCCATAGGAGGATTTCCACTACTACTTTGACCACTTATGGATGATGATGAATTATTCTTTAAAAATGACATTATTTCAGTCAATCCTCCATAAATAAGATCCAATTTCCGATCAGTTTCAGAATTATCAGTCATCATACTACTGACAGAACTATTATTAATTGGCATAGGCATAGCCACTGCTTCAAGTTCAAAAGAACATGGTTTATTCAAGAATATACATCTTAAACAAGAATTTCGTTCTGAAGATCTAAAACATCGAGTCTTTTGTCTTCGACATAATTCACACGCTTTCAAGGTCCTAGTAGCTTGAGCTGCTTTTCTATTATCACCACTGACTGAATCTGAATCCTTTCTCTTTCGATTATATTTTCTCTTTTTGGCTTTAGTTGGATTATCATTATCATTATCGTTATCGATTTCTTCTTTGATAGCAAGATCATCTTGAACTTGATCTTGCATGATTTGTGGAGTGATCAAATCATTCTCATCATTGGCTCCATTCATCTCTTCCAGCACCATTCTTCCAAAGGAAAACACACTATTTCATAAATTTAGAAATTATTCACAAAATCTGAAAAATCCCACTAAATCAGAATTCAAACCAAAACCTCAAAATGAATTCTGTTCCACCGGAAGCGCTTAAAATAAATATATCCTGCATATACCCATTTTTTTTAGCATAATAAATCAATAAAATTAAAGTTGCCAAAGTAATTAATGGTAAAACTTATTAATATCAAAATTTTCCTATATTTTATTATGAAAAGTGATGTTGATGTTCATACAAATTATATTACTGAATGAGAGGTCTACCATATGACGAATTTACAGCATTTTACAATGATATTGATATAATTGGGTGAATGCCAATGCTTTTTAGCAGAACAGACATCTTGTAACCCGCATTTATTAGCCTAAATAAAACTTATGGAGATGGGATGGAAAGAATTATATGGTGATGAAATATTTTGGAAAGATATTCAAAGCACTTTATACTTTACTCGATCGGTTGGATTCGATATTGAATTAACAACTAAGTCCATTGATTGAATCTTAATCCCTCTATTGATCATAAGATGATCGAAATCAATTTTACCTTGATATTGAATGATACCAACTTCAAATTGATTTTTATCCCGAAGTTTTAACTGACCTAAGAATTTGATTTCATAATCTTTATTACCATTTATAATCGTATGATCAAGTTTATGTTTATCAAGAATAGGTACTTCATGAACTTTCCCACTTCCCTTTTCATGAGTTTTGATTTGTTCATTATCTAATCGATCTAATTTTAATCCTAACAGAATCAATATATTATTGATTGATGATGCTATATTGATGGGTTTAACTATCCATGACACATTGGCACTCACTTTCTTCTTCTTCGTAACTTCATTATCATCATTATCATTCTTCATTATATGCCTTTGGATTTGGATTTGTATACCTGATACACTTATATATTTTGATTCAACCCATAATTTTAATTTTGGTCCTGACCCTACTATTATAGTACTGGTATCAGGAAATGAATCCACTGTTAATGGTAATCCAAACATTTGTTTGATTTTAGAATTTAATGATACTTGTTCTAATACACTATATTTTATATTCTCTTGCTCTAAAACATGTAAGTAATTATCCAAATCAGATTTAATGGTATCTTTATTCATTTGATCCATTTCAATTATTAAATAATCATAAAACTCTTTATCTATGTACAAGATTCCTCCTGGGAATGTAAAAGTTTTTTGCCAAAGTAAATTTAGATTGAGCCATAATGGTAAGAATATAGTTCTGGTTTTAATAAATTCTTGAGGTTGCTGTTGTCCATTAACTTGTAATTGATCATCAAATTCATCATCATCATCTTCATCATAATTGAATTTAATCAATTCTGATATCACATATCCTGCCATAGTTAACGTACTGGAGGTGATGATTAACAAGATTATTGTCTTTACTGAAAGTTTCCTCTTATCCTGTAAGGGACTATTATTAAATATGCTTGATTTAATGATTCTATTCCGTAACATATGATCATACTTCAATTTCTCTATTTCTTGATTATATCTCTGAGTAGGAGTTGAATTATAATAACCTCTGACCTGGATATGTTTACTAAAGATTCTGTGACAGATCTTAGTTTTATGGTTTCCATAATCCAATCGTGGACCAGATATTGTAGAAAATAATCGTGTCACCCCATAAAACGAATGACAACGCCATTGCAAGGGTAGAATCGTCTTAACACCAAGTTGAGGACCACCACTATGAGTAAGAACCTCAAGCATGGTTGATGCTATGTTTTAGTGTATGATTATGCCAATTGTAAAACAAGAAATCGGAATACTGCTGTAAAATCTGGTTACACCACTGGAATGTGATCATTCCTATTGAAGAAAGTGTTACAATGCGAGAGAGGACGGTACTGTATATAATATAGTAGGAGAGAAGTTCTAATTATAGCATAACAAATGGATTCTATGGAAAGTAATGGGGCAATTATAATGATGTGAAACCTTCTAGAACTAATCAGAAGTAATAAGAAGAATAACTTAGTAGAACTAACAATTACCCAATTCAATTTGGAGAATAAACTGTGTAGTAATTACATAATTGAACTTTGTAATCATAGATAACTAGAATTAATATGCAGTCAATTGTTTAATATTAACTCTAATTAACTCTAATTAACTAATATGTGTAGATCACTAACAATTGTTATACACTATCAATTCATTATGATGTAAATCCAGTTATGAATTAAACTGTTAAAATACGTTACCCACCACAAATAATAAATTATTTGTGGTGGCTATTTGAAGCTCAAATTCCGCGAGCCTCACTTTCCGTTTTCGGTTCTAGTTCCGACAACCGTTGATAAGGAACCTCAATCAACACAAATATGACAAATTCTTATAATCCCTAAAGATATGAAAATAAATTTTTATATAAATCTGTCGTTATTTGCTTGTAGGGACTATTTCCAATCTGTTAAACTTTTACTACTTCATTATACCAAGTTCAAACAATGACTGTCGAATTACATCCTCAATTCAAAACTAAATCAGGTGAACCAATTACCATTGGTGCAGGATCAGGTACTGCTGTGAAAGCTCTTAAAAGAGCTGATCCAACCAATACTGAACTTTTAGACGGAATCGTTGATAGATTAACTTATTCCATCAATGTGGGTTATAATCATTTAGATACTGCTGAAGTTTATACTACTCATCCTGAGATTCATAAAGCAGTGGTGAAAAGTAAAGCTCCAAGAGAAAAATTATGGATAACAACTAAATATATTGCTGCAAGTCCACATGTGGGTAAGACTAGTGGAAGTCCATCAAAGTTTGTTAAAGAAGCTCTTGAAGAACTTGATACTGATTATATTGATCTTTTATTGATCCATCATCCATTTTTCACCACTGATAGTGCCGGAATTGAATTAGAAGATGCTTGGAAAGAACTTATTGATGCAAAGAAAGCTGGTCATGTTAGATATATTGGGGTTTCAAATTTTGCTGTTGAACATCTTAAAAGAATCATAGCTGTCAGTGAAAAGGAAGGTAAAGAATATTATCCTGTTGTCAATCAAATTGAATATCATCCATATTTACAAAATCAATCTGAAGGAGTGGTTGATTTTTCAAAAGAACATGGAATTTTAATTGAAGCTTATGGTCCATTAACTCCCCTTTTCAGAATCACTGATGAATCAGGAAATGTTATTGAAGATCATCCATTGAAACCAATATTACCTGAATTATCTAAAAAATATAAAAAATCTGAAGCTCAAGTATTATTAAGATACGTTTTAGATAAGGGTATCTTACCAATTACAACTTCATCTAAAAATGAAAGAATTAAAGAAGCACTTGAAATTTATGATTTCAAACTTAGTAAAGATGATGTTGAATTAATCGATACCGAAGGAGCTAAATTCCCTTACAGAGCCTTCTTTAAAGGAAGATTTTAATAATCATTATCATATTTGTTCAAACTTTTTTTTTAAAATTAATTAATTATATAGAAAAAAATTTATTGAAATAAAAGAGATGCTGCTAAATCAACATTACCATTGGTTTGTTTTAAGGCTGTAATTGCTTCACTTCTTGAAAACCCTAAATCAATTAAACGAGTAATGTCTTCTTCTTTTGGAGGAGCAGCAGCTACCGGAGCGGCAGTGGTAGCAGCAGAAGGTCCAGATCTTGATACAGCAGCAGCACCTACAGCTGAAGAAGCAGCTGAACTACTAACTGGTTCATTACTAGGAGTTGAATTAGCAGGTCTAGTATCACTAAATATATTTCCCCCCAATCCACTACCTCTTTGACCACCACCACTACCACCAAACATACCATTATTTTGAACTTCTGAAGCAGGTAAAAATTTAGTTTCTATATGACCACCCACAATTAATTTATCCTTTTCTAAATCAATAATACATTTATGTCTTCTTAACATATCTAATCCAAATAATAAATCAACCAGGGTATCTATAACCATAAATGAGCATGGGATTTCAATATTAGAATCTCCTATACTTATAGGAACACTATGAATTTTACCTTCAATTCTTTGTGAACCAACCCCTCTTGCTTCTCCTTGAAATCTTCTATCTATCAATCTAGCAATTCCAACTTTTTCAGCAAGTCTAGGTGATATAATAGTGGTTTGAGCTCCAGAATCAACAAATGCTTGTACATTTTCTCCATTAACTTTAATATTAATGAATAACATATCAACTTGAGCAAAACTTTCAGGAGTTATTTCATAAGCTAATTTCATATTCTCTTCAATTTGTTCTTGTCTAATCATTTCTAAAATCTTAGCTTGATTATCAGGATCATCAGGATTAGCTTGTAAACGTCTTAATTCTTCTTGTCTATGACCGGAAATACCATATCCTCCAGTTTGTTGAACTTGTTCTAATTGTTGTAACATTATATCTTTGAATCTAGCTGGATCATTTAATAATGAATGTAAATCTGGTCTTGTTCTACTTAACTGTTCGTTTAGTTGTGGATTATTTAAGAATTGTAATCTAGTTTGTTCTATTTGTAAATCAACTGCATTACCACTCGATGGAGCAGACACAGAAGCACCACCAGACGATGGTGGAGTTGGACGATTAGGAGTTGATTTCAATACCACTATTTCATCGTCTTGAATGCCTAACTCTTCCAATGTTTTATTTAAATCAGTCAAGGTTGATTCATTATGTTGAAGTATTTGTTTGGTTGGTTCGATATCAGTTTCTGCACTTAAATAAGCTTTAAAATCTTCAAGAAGCAATGAACCAGGAACATCAACCGATATCAATTGACCATTGCTTTCAACAGATATAGTGACTCTCATGATTGAAATCTAATGATATCTAAATAGTATGAAATACTATGATGGGACAGATTGATGGGATTTTATAGTATTTTTTGCAGTGGTGGCGAATCGTATATTTATTTTTCTGATTATATGTAGCCACTCTAAATTTGAGACTTCTATCGTTATCTACCAGCTTCTCTTTGCCACCAACACCAATTAGGAAATTGTGGGGATAATTACTCTAAATATTTCAATCGATGTGATTCTACAGTTATAAATATTTGGATTGTAAAGTTTCATAATATACATTTTTTGGGGAGGGTTGGAGATGCTAATTTATATACATAATATTAAATCTATGCTTAATTTGGTATTATCATAGACACATGAGCACCATTTAATAACATTTTCTTTATTTGCTTTGGTGATGGACCATCATTATCTATTTCAGTGACATCTTCAAGAACCATGTTAACGAAATCATCAAATCCAACTAATTTCCCTTTGAATTCTTTATTACCAGACATCAACACATGAATATATTGACCTATAGATTTATCAATGATTTCTAACGGCAAGATAGTTTGTTCTTGAACTTCTGCTTCAGCAGACACATTGCTGGTTTCATCAGTCATCTTATATTAGTAGTATTAGTGTTATTATTATATTAAATCTATTCAGAATTATTATGATTAAAGTCCTATTTAATGTTGTTTGAAAGTGAAAGAAGATTTTTTTTTTTGCCCTATACAAAATATTTTTAAATTGGTAACCTCACGACCCACCAATATATATAGAGATTTAATTACTAGCAATTGATAACATTCCAGTTGATTTATTCACCTTATGAATGTTTTCATCTCGAGATTTAAGTATTTTTTTACTCTTCCATCCATCAAAATCAATTAATGCTTGCATACAACCCCATTCTGTAATCTTGTTTTGTAACCATACTAAATTAACTGGTTTAGTTAAATAATCATTACATCCTGCCATTAATGCATTCTTTCTATCAACAGATGAATTAGATGAAGCAGTCAAGGCAACAATGATAACAGGTGAACGGAATAAATGCATATCCAAGATCTCTTTATCCGTAATTTCTTCAGCTGTAAGATTTGTATTACCTCCATCACTTTCAGCAAATACCCCAATTTTATTAATTTTTTCTAAATATCTGATTTCTTTGGTAGCTTCTATACCTGACTTAACAGGTAATTGAATATCCATCAATACCAAATGGAATCCTCCTTTTCTCCATTTATCAATGGCTTCTTGACCATTCTTAGCAATTTGATAATGAATCTTATGTCTTCTTAAAAATGCTCCTAAAATAGCTTGATTAATAGCATTATCTTCCACTACCAAGACAGAAATAGAAGGAAGCACTCTTTCAGTAGGTCCCTTTAATGAGCGACTCACTTTGTTATTATTGTTCGTATTGTTATTATTATTATTGTTATTATTATTATTGTTATTATTATTATTATTAGTGTGCTTATTATCATCTTCTCGTTTGGAATCTGATACCTTTCTCTTTGGCTCGCCTGCGAGTACTGGAGAAGAAGATGGATAAGATCTATCATCCTTACCATTCTTTTCTTTTATCTTTTTCACATCTATGGTGCCACTATCTTCATCAATAGTTTCTGGTTTTCTAGACATATCTGATTCTTGTGATGAATTAATACCATCTTTAGAATCAGATACTTGTGTTTCATCAATTGATAATCGTTTTTGACTACTATTTCTGGCCATTGAACCATTGGCTGCACTAGATTTTAATGAAAAATTCTTAGGTAATAATAATACAGCTTGAGAATTTGAATCAGATGATGGTGATTGAGGAGGATTCGATACTGATCGTCTATGAAGTGTTCCAGGATGAATGGTATTGGATGGTGATATTGATCTTTCTTTAGGTAAGTTTTGTAATGATTTATGAGATTGATGTGAATGTTGCGGTTTTGGTTGATAATAAGTTGGTGTAGTGGATTTGGGGAGATTCTTTGGAGTTTGATGTTGTTGAGACATGGTACTATGATATAATTGAGATAATTGAACTTGACTACTACTATGATAAGGAGTACTGAAACTGCCTCTTCCACCACTTGTCCCTTCTACCTCCTGTGGAGCTGGGACCTCAATAAGGAATGAATCATTCATTGTCATGCCATTTGGAAAATGCTGGTCCAATAAAGTCCACACCAATTGATCTGGTTCAAGATTAATTTTACTTTCCGTAGATTTCTTTTTATCTACTTTGATTATTATTAATCTCAAATCTGCTGGGTCAAATAGTTTTGCTAATGAATTAGGAAACTTATACATGATATCTTGCTTTAAGTCGTCCACTATATAATCTTGATTAATAACAAGGGTAGTAGGGGTTCCATTAGCTCTTTTCACCCATACTCGTCTGGTAGAACTATGGGTTATTTTCAATTGAGGTGAGGCTGGAGGCCGAAGTAAATTGGTTGCATGTTGCTGTGGTGTTGGTTGCGACAAGGAAGGTTGTTGTTGTTGTTGTTGTTGTTGTTGGTGATGTTGTTGAGAAGTAGATTTGGTAAGCTTCTTTGCAGACGAGGAATTGAAATCAGTATTGATTGATTTAATGGGCTTGGGAGCTGCCATTTGATTAGGCTTCGTGCTAATTCTAGCGGCTTGCACGGACTGCTGACTACTCATCTATTAATTACTCTGCTAACAATCTAAAGGATAACCCATTAATCGAAAGATTTAAATTTGGTACATTTTAATTTTTTCCTTATTATTTTTTATAATATACGCATTATTTATAAGATACGAGGCGGACTTTGAATATAGTAAAATAGTTTCATTAACAAAATACAAATATATATATAAACACCTAATAAATATATAATCATTATAATTATTCCCAATCGTCATCTTCAGAAGCCTTGGAATCCAGGGTATCGACAGGATCAGCTTGTGGTTGTTTAACTTCTTTAGCTACATCGACTACATCTTCTTCTTCCTCTTCATCGTCCCAGGTGAAATCTTCATCTTCATCACCTTTATTACCAACAGAAGATGTCTTCTTTTGTAATAATTCCTTTCTCTTTTGTTCTGAATCTCTTAATTTAGCATCATTCTTGAAATAACGATACCAGAATAAATTGTATGCGATTTTAACTGGAACTAAATCATTCATAGTCTTAGTTAATGTATTTGGATATTGACTTAATAACTTGGAGATCTCATCAGTTTTAGAATCAGCATTGAATGAATCAACTTCTGATTTCACATCTAAATCTTCTGATAAATAATATGATTCAACAGTATGCAACTTGAATAAATCATTGTCATAACGAGAAGTACCATAACTTTCATGACTACTAATTGGATTAGCAGAGCTAAACAGAATATCTTTATTATCATTGGATCCATCATCTTCTGGTTCAACACTAACTAATGATGAAAAAAAGGAAGTGAATGAACTTACATATTTTCCTGCCAGTTTTTCAACTTGTTCAAGAGTTGAATCTAATGTATCAAGTGCTGTATTGGCTTGTGTTTGTAAATTCTTCAAGTCAATATTGACTTCTGGTAAATTAACCTTTTTCAATTGGTCTTCAACCACCTTTAAGTTTTCTCTAACAGCCAACACATTATTATTAGAGACCAATCCTTCCTTAGCAGCATTCAATTGCTCTAATAATTGATTCTTACGTTCATCTAAATGGTACTTGTCTTGCAAGCCACTAGCATTTTTAGCAGCATTGGCCCATAAATCTTGAAATCTGGCTTCAACTGCTGTATACGCCTTATCAATTTCTGATTCTAATTTTTCCACAGTTTCTTCAGTTTTGGATTGTTCTGTATGACTAGGAACATCCTTAGAAGTTTCTTCTTCTGCAACTACTGGATCTGCAAATTCCATTGAGTTTAATGTTATATAATTGATATATCTCTAAATAGGGATGAATGAATTGCTATGAGGTGTGATATTTGTATCGTCATTTAAAATAGAAAAATTGACGCGTTGTGTGCAGGAAATACCAATTTTTAGTTATAAAGTAACCTTATTTAATCGAAAGGTTATCGAGTTAGTAATTCAACATTCATAACCATACTCGCTGTTACTATTAGACTGTAATTAACAAAATAAGACTTCTAGTGTAGTTATAGTTTAATAGTGTTTTGTAAGAATTATGGTACTTAATACTTGTAATTAGTCTTTAAACGAATATTATACATTTACGAGTATCTTAAAATGCAAAAACTACGTAATAAGCTACTCTCCTCTTATCCCCCACTTCATGATGAGTCAAATTTCTAACATATAATGATCATAAACATCATAAATTACTTTTGGCTGCTATTCTCCTCTTATTTTGGTTGCGATTACCGGAACGAAAATTTAATTTTCCGGACCTGAGGCAATGAATATTTACTGGAGTGAATTTTTCAATATTTATCTGGTTCATTAAACTGATTTTATTCAAGATATGTTCATCATATAAGAAGTGTTAAAGATGAAGTATAGTAGGATATTATTGAATAATTGCTTACTTCGGATTGAAAATGCAATCTTCAAGAAAGATACCACTAAAAATGCCACTAAAATATTCACTCAACCTGTCAATAGCTTTGAGATATATAAACCTAACCAAGATCAAAAACCATCATTCTGGGGAGTGGTAGGCCCAGATAAATGCCAATTTCTCGAAGTCATATCGTCAAAATATATTGCTGATCCACCGTTGTCAAGACTGTATCCTCATTTAGCTAAAGATTTCAAATATCATGAAATACAATTTTTAAATTTTAGAGATAGATCAGGATTGGAGAAAGTTCACATGTCTGCTAGGTATGAGTCTCTTGCATCCAAGGGAGAGTTGGAAATGTCTGATAATGTTAATTCAGTAAAGAATTATATCACAGGAGCTAACAATTACAATAAAACAGCAGAACAGTCACCTTACGTTGATCAATTATTAGATTTATTCAATTTGCATCATTTACAAGATAAATGGATTAATACTTTAAGTAATGGACAATTAAGAAGAGCTAGACTTGCTAAATCATTAATATCCCGTCCAAGTCTTTTAATCATCGATGATCCTTTCTTGGGATTAGATCCTCGTGCTACCCAACTTGTATCCAACTCTTTATTAAGAGTAAGTCAAGATTTAGGTACTAGTATTGTACTTGGATTAAGAGTTCAAGATGGATTTCCAAATTGGATTGATAATGTGGCATATGTTGATGAAACTGGGTTAAAATTAAGTGGGAATAAAGATGCCATTCATCAACAATTGGAGAATGAAGTAGAATCCATTGAGAAAGTACATCATATTCATGAAAGACATTTATCAAAACATAAAAACCCAGTTGAAATAAATAATGATTCGTTAAGACAACCAGACACCCCTCCACATGTCGAGTTCAAGAATGCATCGGTAGCTTATAAAGGCTTGACTATTTTTGAAAAATTTGACTGGGTTATCCCAAAGGGATCTAAATGGAGAATCTTAGGTGATAATGGTACTGGTAAAACTACATTATTATCGCTCATAACTGCTGATCATCCTCAATCTTGGAAATCAGTAATGTCAATTAATGGTGTAGAAAGGAAAACTGGTAATGGGGTGTCGTTTTTTGATATAAATAATAGAATTGGTGTTTCATCACCTGAATTACATGCATTAGTACCTGAACATACCAAATCTATGAATCAAATCATTTTGAATGGATTAGTTCAAAATGTAGGGAATTCAAATTTCTTAATGAATGGTAAACCAGAAGCATTAACTGCATTTGGTAAAGATATATTACATAAATTTCAAGATAGATTAGATATTTATGGTGATACTAAATTTACTGATTTAAGTATTACAGATCAAAAATTAACATTGTTCTTACGAGCAGTGATAAAAAAGCCAGAGTTGTTGATATTAGATGAGGCATTTTCTTGTATGGATGATGAAGAAATCATGATTCGGTGTCATGATTTATTAGAGAATGAATTAAAGGATGTAACTGTGCTCACCATTGGTCATATTGATTGGGAGGTTCCAAGATGTGATTATTTATTAAGATTATTAGGCGATGAACAGAGAAGTTATAAAATATTTAAGCTTACGTCATAGTTATTAGTTATTTCGACCTATCATTGTGGCAGGCAGTATCAATTGATTAAGGTCCAAGTAATTATTGGTTGATTCAGAACATGGTTTGTTTAACTGCAGCCAATATAGTTCAATACACAACAAGGCTTGTCCATTGACGTAATGGTATCTTTTCTGGATCGTTTTTTTAAACAATGTCTCTATAATATCACAAAATTTATTAGCATCACTTTCATAGTTTGTAATAAGGTCGTCGGTACCTTTAAGTCGTAGTTTGTTGATTTTTGATTCTTTGTTACATGTTTCTTTTTGACAGAAGTCAATTGATGATAATACTGACAACTCAATGTGTGCTAAAGATTTGTGGTTGATAATAGATGAATTGAAATAGAACTTTTTGGGACAATTATCAGTAATTATCAATGTTTCAATGTTCTTCGGCCATTCAATATTAGGAGATACATAATTTATATGACAATCTAGAATTCGTAATCCCAACAAATGAGAATATCTTTTTGCGTCTTTAAGTAATGGCCAAGTTTCACTGATGGATGTTATATCGTTATTCCTAATTATTATATATTGTATACAACTTGGTGGAGTAAAGTTGTCCAAATTGATAATTCCACAATTTTCAAATATCATCACCGATAATCTCGTAAAATCAGCAAAGTTTAAATTGTTGAATTCATAGGGCTCGAAATAATTCCTAATGTCAAGAAACCTTAACGATGAGCTACATTCTTGGAAGTTTATATTATTCAACGAAGTTGAGAAGTCACAACCGTGTACTAGGAATAATCTAACTCCCTTTGGAATAATATGTGTTGTTTGCGCGGATTTTAGGTTTAAATTATATAATAAAATTTGTTGAAGATTTAAAGGAAATATTAAATCAGCACTTTCACAAGGAACTGTATCCTTACCATAGCAACATAAATGCAAGTTTTCAATTCCGTCTGTTAATTTAGAGAATAATTTGGACAAAGAATATCCCGCTATCCTCAAAGTAGTTAGGCTATACGGTAAAGTATGTAGTAGTATATCTTGAAAAGGAGATGTACTAGAAGTAAGCTCAAAAACGAGTAGACTCTCTAAGTTTTGGGGCCAATCTTCAGGTGCATTGATTATGATTCGTGAACAAGTTGTGTATTGTACTTTCGAATTGTTTATTACTAAACGTGACACACTTCGTGGAACATCTCTAATTTTTAAAATAGATCCATCTTGTAGATGGACAAATAAACATTTCAAATTAATAAATTTGTTAATAAAATCGCCATCTCTGAAATAGTCAATTTGCAAATCAATTATAGTTTGAAATGCACTTTCAGACAAACGTAGTGTTAAAGAAGTATTAATTGAGACAAATTGAAGTGTCTTTAAATTGGTATAATTGGTAAAATCTAATTCCTTAGGTAATTCATCGCTTGTTATTATAGGTATTTTCAACTCAGTAACGCTTTTGGAATACCAAAATTTGGTCAATTCTTCACATGTTGAGTAAGTTAATTCATCAAAGCTTAATTCAAATTCAATATTCCTCTTAAATCTATTTAACTTTGGAATTAATGAGACATCAAAATGTTTCCCCATTAAAAAATTAATCAGTACGGGGATGATTATAGATTTTCGATATTCTAAGAAGCCCATCAATGTTTCATAATTTATCCCGTTTCTGTTTCTACAATCAATCTTATAATTTAACTTCTTCTTGGTAATCAGTTTAATTGGAAGATACTTTATTTCATCATCATTGATGAATGATTGGAATACAAGAATATTTTCCACTTCTAAATCACCAAGTATTCTGATTTTCAATTCAATAGGAAGCTTGCCATATAACTTTGTGAAGAACCGGGAGACATATTCATCTGTATAATACTCAAGAGACATTTTAATGTTTTCCATAAGGTAGTTGTTTAGACTGTATCTTTTGCAAATGTAATTGATTTTAACAGACAATATTTACAATGATAAATCGCGCTTATGTACGATGTTATGCGCAATTCTTGAAAGCACGGAAAATAAAATGTTATGCTTGAGAATTATTGAGCATTACTGCCTCTATGCCCTATATACAGAAATCCTACTTATATTATCACAATGAATAAAACTACTAACTAACTACTATTTGTAATTTATATGTAACACATTATTCATTAAAATCAAAGAAATTAAATGTGTACTCTAATTTTGTACCATTAATCCTTGATACCCCACCTACCATTCTTCTATTGAAGATAGACTCACAGTTATCATAAAACTCGTGAATGTTATCTTCATTAAGTTGCTTACAACTCTTGTCAACTTTAAATTTAAACGTTGTAATTTTTGAGACTTCAGGAGTTGAAACGTCATCAAAAATGAATTCATATACCTCTGTAAATGACAAAATTCTTAAATTAGGATGGTTTGAAAATATTTTAAGATGGATTACTTTTTTTCGATTATCTTTAATAATTAAAACTTCTAGCTTTGGTGGTAATATGATATTCGTTGAGATTATACTAACTCCACAATCAACTAATTTTATAGTCTTTAAGCACATACCAGTTCTGCCGTTGAAAAAAAAATTGAAATCATCAAGTTCTCCAATGAAGTGATTCTTGATAACAACCTTTTCTATTTTTGGTATTAACAGAAGGCTGTCCAAGTCTAAGTTGATGTGATTTAATCGAATTTCTTTTAACATACCAAATTTGTTCAAATGTAAAATTTTATTGTCATAGTTGAAAAGAGAATTATCTAAATTTATTTTTTTTACCACATTGTCAATAAAAAACAATTTATCAAATGGAATATAAAAATGGCAATCTTTGAGTATAACTTCAGTCAATTTTGGTGGGAATTTGAATTTGCATCTTGAAAAGTTTAAACTGAAATTGGTTAATGTAAGAGAAATCAATTCACTTGCAAACTTAAAATCAGAATCATCTATCTCGTCATGTATGTTGAATTTATTGATTAATACCAATTTAGTTAAAGTTGAAGGAAGCTTATGAATTATATCTATATGCATATGACCATCAAATGAAAAAGAATCTAGAGTATATGGATAGTTTAATTGATGAAGATTAAATAACGTAGATTTGAATTTTTCACATTCACGAAGCTTCAAAGTTTTGATGTTGGCAGGCCAATCATTATAATCCACAATTTGAACGTTATTGTTACTACCTTCTGAAATAATTTCTAGACTAGTTAGATTTGGAGGAAGAACTGCTATCGAAAACAGTTTATCAGGAGATATAGTTATCTTCAAATCATCTAACGACACTTGTTCAGTTAACCAATTGTCATGAATATAGTTGTTTATCTTTAACTGTGTAAGTGTTGAGTTCAATAATGGTGATAAATTAATCCTTGTATTTGACGCGACAATTTCCAACTTAATTAATTTCAGTAAATTATCTAATTCAAACTGTTGATGTTGTTGTGGCTGTTGTTCTTGATTATCTTCTTCTTTATATTTTAATATTGTTAATGATGTAACTAAATCAACATATCTGAAATTGTTAAGAAAAATAGAATCATGATGATTCATTTCTTTAAAAATAAAATGTAAGTCATATGAATCTTCTAAATCTAATATAGTTTCTAGAAATATTAAAGCATCTTTAATATCATATCCGAAACGAACCTTTAAGGGAATTATATTGTTCAAGTTAGAATTATAATCCTTTATAGTAAGAAATAATTTACGAATATGTGCTTTTCTGTACTCTGAATCATGGCCATCTAAAGATAAATTCAAAAATTTATCAGTGATTTCTTTAAGATTCATGTTGGTGTAGTTTCCAGTGGCACACTGAAACGCAAGAGCATCAATCATACTCAATTCTCCATTGATTTGGTTTAGAATCTCCAATGGTAAGTCCATGAATGACAATTGCTCTGTCATGATTCTAACTAATGATAACCTTGGACAGTGAAAGTATTTAGAAAGATACCATTAACCGCTGCAAAAAAAAGTTCTCTCCTTATTTTTTTTGAAGTACTATTTTAAAAAAGGTAAACAAAGGTAATCTAGGATCAAATAGTGAAGTCTCATCAACATGAGCGACATCCTTTTATATAATTTCCAATATACCTTTCTATGTAGTTGGATTGTATTAGATAGGATGCATTTATTTTTGATATATTCATATCTTGGGGAATGTATACCACGATATTCATACCCAGACTGATGACATATAGACAAATGATGTGTTAAAAGATTCTGGTATTGTCAGGTAAATGGCATGAGTCAACTCAACTATTCAGTTAATGAATATCTCAACTCTCCACTATCATTTTGCTACCTACCATCAGCTATTCCTATTGCCTGGTATAACAGATACGTATACTTAAGCATGACATTTTGAAATCATCCACATTTATCAGCTTTTATGAATGCTTGCTTTATGCCTATCATTCATAATTTGTTGATTTAAATACTTCCAAACATTATACTAACATATAGTATGTCATACAGATCTATTACTTAATTGTAATACCAGTATTATATTTTATCCCACTTTCCGAATTAATAGATATAGTATCACACTTTTCTTCCCCCAGTTACTAAAAAAATTCTAACATGATTAATTGTATTATAAATTTATATTAAACCTGACTATGAATATATATAAGCATGGTTAACGTATCAATTGGAGACGACTTCAAAAAATTATAATAACAACAACTGGAAAAGGATTTCAATAACAATTTCTTAATTGTTATTTCACCCCTTGAGCGGCATGGATCAATCGATTCACCCTTTAATCACATGACCAATCACATGACCAAATATATGAAAAACTATTAACTATTGCGGTGTAGATGTATACCCCTATTAAATCAATTATTCTTTTTTTCAATTACATCATCCATTTTAACCGACTCAAGATATACCAACACACGGTTATTATCGTTGGTTTACACCAACGATAACTATAGATTATGATATACAGCTAGTTACTATGAATATATACGATCGATATTAGATATTTCCGATACTCTTACCTCATCCTGACTTCAAATCACCCTATCACTCCTAACTGTCACCAAATATCGGTGTATAATTGTAAACGGTTAAAACGAAAATAAACACGCACAAAAATAAATTTTCAGAATTTTCTGTTTTGGGCCATTTTCTCTTTTTTCTGAACACTGAGGATGAAGAAGAAAAAATAACACTTACCAAAAATTTATAACTTCCAATTTTAAGCTTTCATCAACTCAAGTAAGTGTAATTCCATTCTCATTCCATATCATCTCATCTCATCACCCCCATTGAACCCCTCTAACCAACCATCCAACGTCACTAGTCAAGGTCAAAACAAGGGTGTGTGTGAGGGTAATCTATTCATTCTTTTATTCATCATCATTTTATTTATTATTATTATTATTATTATTCATCATCATTTTATATACTGGGTGTGTGTGTCTACTTTGTAATTCATAGTCTATCTATCTATCTATCTATCTATCTTATCTATCTAACTGTTTATTTATTTATTTACTTACTTCACGGAGTCTTTGTTATACCCCCTCCCCTTTCGTTAATTGTCATTTGTTTGTCATATCATATCATATCATATCTCATAACTCACTTCATATAATTGCATACATAAATATTTTTTTCTAATCATGGAAACAACACTATCTCCAAATATCCCTAATGCTCCTCCTGATGATAGATCAAAGGAAGTGTTGAGTGAATTGGAATATGGGAAATTAACCTCAGATCAATACTTGTACGTTTCAAAACATCCTGTGGGTGAACCATTACCAACTCCAATCGATGATGAACCTCCTTATATCATTTATATCGCTACTTATATAAGTTATCTTATCTTAATCATCATTGGTCATATTCGTGATTTCTTTGGTAAAACTTTTAAACCAAATGAATATGAAGATTTAGTTGAAAAAAATGGGTTTGCTCCTTGGTATGATGGTTTTGAAAGTTTTTATGTTCGTAGATTAAAAACTAGAATTGATGATTGTTTCGCAAGACCAATCCATGGTGCTCCTGGTCGTTATATTAAATGTTTTAATAGAATAAGACATGGTAAAACTGGTTATCTTTATGATGGTACTTCCACTGAATGTTTAAATTTATCATCCTATAATTATTTAGGTTTTGCTCAATCAAATGGTGTATGTACTGACTTTGCTTTAAAATGTCTTGAAGAATATGGTACTTCTGGTTGTTCTCCGAGATCTTATATTGGTACTACTGACTTACATAAAGAATGTGAAAGAGTCATTGCTGATTTCGTTGGTAAAGAAGATGCTATCATTGTAAGTCAAGGTTATGGTACTAATGCTAATCTTTTTTCATCTATTGCCGATCCAAAAACTTTAGTTATAAGTGATGAATTAAATCATGCTTCTATTAGATTCGGTATTAGAACTTCAGGGGCATCAGTTAAAGTTTTCAAACATAATGATATGGTGGATTTAGAAAAATTAATTAGAACTCAAATCGCTCAAGGTCAAACTAAAACTCATCGTCCTTGGAAAAAAATCATCATTGCAGTTGAAGGATTATATTCCATGGAAGGTAATTTAGTTAATTTACCTAAATTAGTTGAATTAAAAGAAAAATATAAATGTTACTTATTCGTTGATGAAGCTCATTCTATTGGAGCTTTAGGTCCAGAAGGAAGAGGAGTTTGTGATTATTTTTCTGTTGATCCTGCTAGAATCGATTTATTAATGGGTACATTAACTAAATCATTTGGTGCTACCGGTGGTTATGTGGCTGCTGATAAAGATATCATTGATAAAATTAGATTAAATTATATCACTCAAAGTTATTCTGAATGTGTTCCACCTCCTGTATTAGGTCAAATCATTTCTTCATTAAGTGTGATAAAAGGTACTTTAAATCCAGGTGAAGGTAAAGAAAGATTACAAAGAATTGCATTTAATTCCCGTTATTTAAGATTGGGATTAAAAAAATTAGGTTTTATCGTTTATGGTGCCGATGATTCTCCTGTTATCCCATTATTATTATTCTTACCTGCTAAAATGCCGGCTTTTTCAAGAATGTTATACGAATTAGGTATAGCTGTTGTTATCGTAAGTTATCCTGCCACTCCATTAATTAGTGCTAGAGCAAGATTATGTGTAAGTTCAGCTTTAACTAAAGAAGATTTGGATTATTGCTTGGAAAAATTCAGTGAAATTGGTGATACTATCTTTCTAAAATTCAGTAGTGGTATCGCTGGTGGTTCTAAAATCGCAGGTACACCTCCAAGATGGTCAATTGAAGATGTTATTGCTACCAATGTTGAAGATTGTAAGAAACCTAAATTAGGTTACTATTAAAAAATGCTAATATCGATATCAATGTCGATGCCGATGCCGATGATGATGACGAACGAACGAACTGAACGAATCAATAAATGTTCTTCCCTTCCCATGACTACTAATATCCCCATCCCCATTCCATTCTTTTCATAAAGTTTTTTTTAAAAAAAAGAAAAAATTGTATATATAATATGACCATGTAATCTCTTTATTGTTATTGTTGTTGTTTTACTCCCCCAATCCTACTTAATTAATACTAATATCCCTTTTTTTTATCTTTCTGATTCATTTTAATTCAAGTTAATCTTAATCTCTCCTCTATAAACTATTTACTAATTACACTTACTTATTCCTTAATATAATATAACATATAATACATCTATATACTTTGAAAGTATTATCTATAATATTTCAGTTTTTAAGTTTAATTTTCATTTTCTTCAAAATTTTTAGATTTATGTTGCCTTATAATGGAATATAATAAAAAATATAGGATGAATTACCAACATATTTTTCCGCAAAAAATTTCAATTTTTTTTTGCAATCGACATAAATCAGATACATGATACTTTGTATTTTCTTATAACTTCTTTGAAGAAGTCCACCATGCTGATAATGCCATTGCGGGTGCTTCGTTAACTGCAAAAGCCACAAAAAAACCTGCAACCAATATTGAGATGATTGAGCGGACACATTGATGTGTATGAATGAATGATTTTACTCTATAATAGGCTGGGATATCAGTCTTTCCAGCTATAACGGCAAATAAAACAGCTAACAAGAAAAAGAATCATTCTCTATGAGGTCATTTCGGTGACTCTTCTTTGATTATTCATTCAAGAGAATAATTATTCTTTTCAACTATATTCTATCAGCTTTACATCAATGGAATCATTGATCAAAACTCTATGACAAATGAACAGATGAATCAATGTAATCAATGAGCCCATTTAGCTTCAAAAAATAACCAAATCTCTTTGACCACCTTTTTTTTGGACGGTGCGTACAGAAATCAACTATATAACTGTATGATATTTGAATCTATAGTAAGTGGCGTTCGATACTCTTTACTATTATTTGGCAGTTAAAGAAGTGTTTTTATGTAGCTAGGGGTGCAAGAAATAAATGAATATATTACGATTATATTAGTACTCTATTTTGGTAAGCTCTTCAAAAATCCTTTTGTTAGATTAACTAAATGATACATTGGCGAACAAAATAACTAATTTGATAATATTGCAGCTAAACTAAAATTTATATATGCTAACCTTAAAACAGAAAGCTTAATAAATAAGCTTTATTTTCAATCTAATTTCATGTTAATCTTTACAAGAAACAAATAAATTTCATTAATTTGTTAGTCTAATTATATGATATATTTTTTTAATTAACTACGTAGATTACAAGTTCTACAAATTAGCAAGACAAAATTCAGAAATAACCTAAAGTATTAAACATCTATTAATCATTAAAGCTGAAAATTTATAATAAAATTTGACTGGTGGAATAAACCAAATGTTTACCACCTCCTAAACTAACTGGTTTTATTTAAAATAAATCACCATGAGCACAAATCCCAAAATAGGAACAAGTAATCCTGGATACTGATACATTAAACCTATATTGAGATTTTTACAATTATCACAAACATATCTAAAAGTGGAAAGATCAACATTTAATCTATCTTGCTTGTTAATTTCATCATTTAGACTTGCAATGCTTTGTGATGTGAGTTGAATGATTGCTAAAAGTTGCAAAAGTTCATTTTGTTGACTTAATTTCTTCATTTCAACTTCAACTAGTTCCGTTCCCGAAACCGTTGGATTTCTCATTACAGAATTATAAGATGGAAGCATTGACATTTTATATGATGTAAATATCGGTCTGTACAAAAATGCTTGAAAGACTTTCCATTTAAATACAGTTTGTGGTAACATTTATTACGCTAAATTTTAAATACTTTTTATATATAATTCATAAGCAGAGTATTATTCATATACCACTTCTTCTGATATCTATTAATTCGCTATAAAGCTATTGGTGTGTTAAGACTTCCTACAATATAATGCTATCCTCAGATCAAAAAGAAAATCATGAAGGATCATCACATCCGATCACAGATATTGAGTTTGAAAACTTAGTTGACATATCACAGTTATCAACAAGCATTCAAGAAATTACTAAAAATGTTACTTACCTTAAAACTAGACTTCGAATTCCTATTGAGAGAAAGCCATATCCCAAATGTGAAGAATGTTCCGATACTATTATCCATAGATTTTTCATAGTTTGGTGTTACTCGGCTAGTTTTATAACAGTGTTTCTGGTTTATAAGATAGTAATGGATACCCGTTGATGCTGAACCATATCAAAAATGTGAAGACTGTTCCCTTGAGCTTGTACTTAGGATTTTGTTGGTTGTGTGTTACGTGGTTAGTTTTGGTGCAACAATTGGCAATTATTGGGCATTTTTAAGCTTCTTTGAATAGAATTCTATTTATAAGTATATCATAATCTAAAGGAATTGTAAAGTTAGTTACGGCATTCTACACTTTGTTATATGTAATTCTTAGTTATAATTAAATAGAAAAAATGGAGTATCGCGAAATTTAACCACACTCGAAATTCACCCTAAAATTGACCATCATAAATTGATACAGAACATAATCATCATCATACAAAATATACATTATCAAATATATCATGGAGATACCAGACCCATTGACACCACCATTACGATACAATGTGGTTCAAAACAACTTATATAGAGGAGCATACCCTCGAGAGATCAATTTCAAATTCATAAAATCCCTCCAGATTAAAACCTTACTTTCATTAACTCCTGATCCAGTCACACCTGAAACCGATGCCAAGTTATATGAATTCGCTATGAAGAATAACATCAGATTGGTACATGTTGAATGTAGTCAGTCAGGTAAGGGAAAGAAAAGAGGTGTGCCGATGGGGTATACCACGGTAATTGAAGCATTGAACTATATTATCCACAATGAACATGCTCCTATCTATATACATTGTTTAAATGGTGGTCAAGTCACAAGTTTGGTAGTAGCGTGTTTAAGACGATTACAATTCTGGTCTTCTATATCGATTTTCAATGAGTTTATTAATTTCACTACTAGTATAACGGTTAATGATAGAAATTTTGTTGAAGGTTTCAAAGGTCAAATAAATATAAATGCAGGTGATAAAGTTGATTGGTTGTGGGTAGGTATGAGTAAAGGGGTGATTGAAAATCATCCAAAACTAAAATTTACAGAAATATAACATTAGTTATGACGTATTTATTATTTTACTTATCTTATATACGTTGATAGAATAAACAATATGCATTTTTATTAAGAACTTGACTTTCTCTACAATTGTAAGTCACTTTCGAATCATCAAAATAACACCAACCTCTAGTTTTCTTATTGTCACTTTGTTTATAAACATAGGAGGTATAATGACCCGTAGTTAAATTACCATAATGATTGGCAACTCCATATAACTTATATCTGAATGGTGGAATTTGATTTCTAGTAGGCAAAGTTGATAATATTTGTTCTTCCTTTTCCTTGGTGATGGAATCTTTATTGGTGCCATTTATATAAGTTCCTGCTTCAGGCCAATATGATGTTAAATCTAATGTTTCCTTAACGGGGTAATTTATAAACGTATCCATTTTATTGAAATATCCAGTAGGTGAGACTTTAAACCTCTTGAAGTGAATAATTAAGACCTGGGGTAATCTTGTGATTGATATTTTCTTTGTCAGTCTGGTAAATTTCTTACAATTTGGACAATGCCATTTATTGTTCTCATCCAATAATTCAGTTGTAACAAATTCCTTTAAACAATCATCCAACAGGATATTAGATGTACTTCCAAGTTTTTCTGGAATTGGTAAGGATAATATGGAAAATGAATTGTATGTCGTTGATGTCAATCCACATTCTAAACATCTCAATTGAGAAAGATGTTGACCTTGGAAATAATCAACTACTATGGAAAAGTTTAATTTAAGATATCTTTCCCATTCAATAGTAGATGCTAATCTTATCGGCAATAATTCTCTTGTTTTCTCTTGTTCAAGCGTCAATTCAGAAACAGCTTTCTTCTCTTCAGGATTGGATATCACCATTTGATTTAAATCTTCATGAAGACCATCAAGAATAAAATTCAAGAATTCAATACAATCCTGTTGATCAAAAGTAGCAAATTGTTGACCTGGTGATAAAGAACCAGCAACTTTCTTAAAATTGGTAGGACAGAAAGATGCACCATTACTCTTAAACATATCCGCCAACAATCCAACAAAGTTATTAGTAAGTATACCTTTCGTACCTAATCTATTATTGACGTTGATATGTTGACGATAAGAATTCACACCTGACACATTGAAATTAGGAAAGAAAAATGCTGTTAATTGGGGAGTAGCTCCTAAACATTGTAAAATACAATTCATATAACATGAATTCCCTAAATTAACCAAACCTGTAGCATATTGTTCTAAGAATTTCATATTTGATTTTTCTTTTTCTTTCAGTTCCTTAGCCTTGGTAACAGTTAACGTCGAACTACTAGCACGAGTTAATTTGGGTTGTTGTTGTTGTTGTGGTGGTGGTGGTGGTGAAGCAGCTGTATTAGAGGCAGTAGTTGCCAATGGAGCTCTTACCACAACCGTATTTGCTTGCTGTATAGGAGAAAATGAATTTGATACTGGAGTTGATGATGTTGATTTAGCAGTTGATAAGTATTCTCCAAACTTTCTTAAATATGGAGATGGAGATCTTGCTACAGATTCTCCCAGCACACTTCCATTTCTTGAAGATGGTTGTGAACCACGAGAAAGACTAGCTTCGGGACGGGTCAATATTTGACTTTGTAGTGTTCTTGCAAGTGATTCATCTCCATATATGGCATGCCAATTATACACACCTCCTGCGAGTATGATAGGATATCGTCTAAGGTGAGAACTGATATATTTATTCTTGAACATTAAGATTTCAATCAAATTTGAAAAGGGATTATTAAGTGTCCTATCAGATAAAATGAAACTTTTAATACCCGATATTCTATCAACGAAATTGATGCCAAAATTAAGATTATAAAGGACGATTAAATCATATTTGTATCTGCTTTGGAACTTTTGATATTGTTCCTTTGGTAAATGCAACTTAAGTTTCTCTTCTAAATCTTGATCAGTCAAAGTTTCCAAGTTCTTATCATCAGGTCCGATGATCAGTTTTAATAAGGTGGGTTCTATATTTATGATTTCTGAATGGTTTATATGATTATGATTGTAATCTTTCGATTCTCTAAAGTCTATTAATAATGTACTTTGCCCATGTGTTACCAGATTTATAAGAAAATGTAATTCCTTCGGCGATATGAAATCTCTATATTTGTATAAATCAAACCCACCAATAGTTGGAATTGAATTCACTTTTGGTACTGAACTAAGCTTCTGAAATCGTTGCATAAGAGGATCTTCATCTCCAGATTCACTGGTTGATGCATCTTGTAGGAAATGCTTTATATTATCAAATTGACCTCTTCTCTTGATTAAAGATGTCTTCAATGAAGATTGGAATTCTTTAGATACATCATTTTCAATATGACCATACAACAACAATGCCACAGAATAACATATATATGCAAATTCATAATCACAGTATCCCGTTCTTTCTAACTTCCTCGTTTGATTTGTGAATAACTCTAATAAAGTAACTTGATATTGAAGGAGCTTTGTAATCGATGGTGCACTCTTGACTAGATCCTTGTACGTTGACGTTACAATGACATTGAGTTCAGTAACAGTTTTAAACTGTAGCAGTAATTCCATGGCTGCTCTATAGAGGAAATGAATCTATTTGTAATTCTTGATAATCAATTTTGCCCCATTCTAATTTCTTATATATTATTTTCTGAATGTGTCACAAAACCAAAATACTATAGAGAGAAAAAATATCAAACACTATTTAAATATTCCTTTATACCAGTATCGAACCCTTGTTCCCATTCCCAAATGAATTTCAGATTACCTCTAGCTGAGAGGTGTTCATTCAATCTTGAATTTTTCCATGGTTTGATTCTTCCGATGGTAGACCCATTAAATTCAGCAAATTTTTGAGCATCGGACCATCCCGTAATAAACCCTTCTTTATACCTTTTATGTTCATAGTTTTCATTTGGATTAGCACTATTCCAGTAATTACAATGAGTATTAAACGAATTGTCTAATTTTTGATCAAATACTGATTTATCTGGTAATTGCTTACCTTTTAATGAAAATGGTCGACTTATAGCTCCTTTATCTGTCATTGTTTTAAAATCCCATTCACCTCCATTACCAGATTGGAACTTGAATGTCCAAAAATATGATCCAAAGGAAACTCTTTCATGAATTAAACTTGTTTGACGTCTACCATATTCTATAACCAAATTATCCCGGTCATTTTGGGCATTATCCTTATTCCAAGATGATCCATCAAGAACACAAGAATATTCACCAATCATGAAATCAATACCCTCAGCACTAAGATTGGTTAATAAGTCATTGTTTAAATCTTTAATAATTTGTCTGGGTGACTTATTCTTGTCAGCATCAGAGAAACATCTGTAGCAATGACTATCAATAACCACACCAGCATTACGACCATCTTGATTCTTTTGCACCCACTTGACCCATTGATCTGGCCACCAACCATCGGATATTACCACTGGGACAGTGCTATCTTTTTCTCTAATCAGGTTAATAACAGCAGAATAATATGTAGTTTGCTTGGAAGCTGGATCATTCGCAAACTCTGATTCATTGACAATTTGTATAGCTGCAATGTTGTCATAACCCTTTAAATCTTCAGCTATGAAAGAAAACAAATCTAACATCTTTAACTGAGCTGATTCATTATCCCAGAAACCAGCTTTACCAGATGATTGTTCTCCACTATGATCTGCTCCATTAGCTCCAAATGGTAAACCATGTAAATCAACTACAACTGAAATTCCATGTTTGGCAGCTTCTTCTATGAACTTGCTTTTGAATATAGTCCATGAATTGGTATAAAGCTTAGTGGCATATTTTTCAAACTTTGTATCTTTAGCAAATCTACCTCCTCCAATATTCCAATATCCCAATGGAACACGCACTGATGTGACTTCATGTTCCTGTAACCAATTCCAATCATCACCATTCATAAAGTTCGACCAGAATTCTTCTAACTTACTTCTGGTTTGATCATTACCAAGTTCCTTTGATAAAGTCTCTGCTAATTCCAATTCACAAGAAGCATTACCGTGGAATAAATCATGGAAAATCCATTTCTCTTGAATGAAGCATGATCCGATGTTCACCCCATAATTCCTTCTACTTTGATAGATTTCACGAGCTGATGGTGGTTGACCAGGCTTCACACTTGGACCAGATGGTTTAATTTTACCACCTTTCTCCTTCAATCTTAATTTATCAAACATATTTTAGCCAATTGATGAAGAATAAGTGTTGTGCTAAAATTTGAAATACAGACAGCAATCAAATCCATCTAACAAAATTCAGTTCCTGAAAATTACGCGAACCACCCCGTAATTTATACCCTTTGATGTTACACGATGACAGTTGTTATATGGTTGAAATCAAATGAATAATAATGATTTCATAAATGTTACTGACTTTCCTGATTCGTTTCAAAGATTATACAGAATATTCTCCCAGATCAATACCCATCTTACTTTCTTAGGATCTCATTCCAGATCTACTATTCCAACCTTTGATTTGATCCACAAGTTAAACAATGACATCACTAAACTAGATTTGACTATCATCAAGCATCTCTTCCCTGAAAGAGAAATATACTTTGATTACATCGATGAGAATCAAGTCATGCTATCATTCTTAGAAAAAGTTGAACATAATAAGATCGATGGGTATAAACTGAATAACCCTAGTACTGTGGATGATGAATATGAAAAAATAGCGAAGCAATCAAAGGAAATTATGCATTCGAAACAGTTGCTTATATTTGATTTTCAAGATACAAGAATAGACAGTGCTGGTCCAGTTGTGATGGGACGAAAGCGTAAGAGAGAAGATAATAATGCAAGTGGTGAATTCTTCTTATCAAGTAAAGAACTATCAACTGAACCTTTAACGCAACAACAACTCATGGGTATCATAAAATCAAGAAATGAGAAGTTTAAAAAGATCCTAAAGAAGTATTTGGAGAAGTTAGATTATGGAAATATCGACTTTGAACTTTTTGAATCATCTTATAAACTGAAAGTCCCACGAGAACCCGGTTTTGTTAACCCAGTTGAAGAAAGTCCAAGAAAGTCTGCCAAGGTCAATGGTAGTACTCATACCAGTGGAGTCGAAAAGATGATACTGACTCTTAAACAAGAGTCGTTCTATAAAAATCAAATAACGTCCATACAGACTTTAAATCCTACTAAAGCTGCCAATTATGTTAATTTCGAAAACCATGATTTAATCCATCCTGAATTAAAAGCTGCAGTTATGGCATATAAAGGAATATCGATTGAAGAAGGCTTGTATTCTCATCAAGTTGAAGCGTTGAGCTCATTGATTACTAGAAATGATGGTCTGGATCATGTTATTATTAGTACGTCTACAGCTTCTGGTAAATCATTAATTTTTCAGCTACCAATATTAAATGACATTCTTTGGAATATAACCAGAGGAAACAAAGGTCGTGGTACTACAGCATTCTTCATATTTCCAACCAAGGCTCTTGCTCAAGATCAAAAGAGACATATAGAAGAATTGATTAGTCATATACCCACTAACAATGAAAGAAGAATAATAGTGGAAACATATGACGGTGACACACCTTATAAAGAAAGAAAATCTATTCGTTCCTTTGCAGACATAATTTTCACAAATCCAGATACTATTCATGCCTCAATATTACCAAACTTCGTTGATAAGGATTGGAATACTTTTTTAAAAGCTTTGAAATATGTTGTTCTAGACGAATTGCATGTGTATAAAGGTACATTTGGCGTGCATGTCAGTTATGTCATGAGTCGACTTTTAAGAGTACGATCCATTTCCAATACAGACTCAAAGAAATTGAACTTCATAGCATGTTCAGCAACCATTCTGGATCCAATGACTCATTTCAGAACTATTTGCAGGATACCCAAAACTGAAGGTGTAGTACATGTTTCAGAAGATGGTAGTCCTTGTGCCGAAAAGAAACTTCTAGTTTGGAGACCACCACCATTGATGAATAAAAGAGGTCAGACTCCTGTATTTGGAGAGAATGAAGAAATTCAACCTTTCATACCAAGGGTAAATATTATGCCTGAACTGGCTAGTATATTAGTTCAACTATTATCAAAACTTCCAGATGTAAGGATTATTCTATTTTGTCCAATAAGAGCCATGTGTGAATTGGTCATGAAAGAAGTGAGGACTTTGATTAAAACCTCGTATTCGCGGAACTTGACAGAGACCGATGTGATGTCTTATAGAGGAGGCTACTCAAAACGAGACAGAAGAATAATTGAGCAAAAGATGTTTTCTGGTGAATTACGAGCCATTGTTGCTACAAATGCATTAGAACTAGGAGTAGACTTGTCCTATTTGGATGTGGTGATAACATGTGGTTTTCCTTTACTGAAGCTGAATATGCATCAACAGTTTGGAAGAGCTGGAAGAGGCAAGCGTTCAGAAGGAAGTTTAGCTATATATGTTTCGTCTGGTAGTCCAGTAGATCAATACTATTTGGAACATCCAGAGGAGCTTTGTAATAAAGGCTCATATGAAGACTTGTGTGTTGAAAGCTTGCTGAATTTAAGCTCTTCTAATTTTATCCTAGAACAGCACTTGCAATGTGCTTCTTATGAAGAACCAATTGATGTTGATAATGATGCAAAATGGTTTATACCGGAAGGTACCAACGATGCAAATAACATTTTCAGTGATTTATGTAAATCGAAATTAATCCAGGATTTCAATGGATTGTATACTATAAACCCAATATATTTACCTAGACCAACTGAAATGGTATCCATTAGAGCTATAGAAAATGAGACATTTGCGGTGGTAGATATAACGAAAGATAGAAATGTTGTTATCGAGGAGGTAGAGTCTCTGAGAACAAGCTTTACTTTATATGAAGGTGGTATATTTCTACATCAAGGTCTTCCTTATTTAGTCAAAGAATTTAATGCTGATCAGAAGTTTGCTAAAGTAGAAAGAGTTAATGTCGATTGGATAACTCAACAGAGAGACTTCAAAGATGTTGATCCTTTAGAGATTGAATATGTGAAAGAGCTTTATTCTAGTGATATCTCAGCTTCCTCAGATGTACCTCTATTTTATGGGAAAGTTCAGCTTACTTTGGTTGTGTTTGGGTTTTTTAAGGTTAACAGAAAAGGCGAAATAATAGAGGCCGTGGAAGTAACAAATCCTCCAGTTATACTTCGTTCAAGAGGTTTATGGGTCGATATACCTCAACCAGCTTTAAAATTCATTAAAGAAAAGGAGTTCTCAGTTGCGGGTGGTATTCATGCAGCTCAGCATGCTGTGATGAACATGTTTCCGTTATTTCTAAATAGTAATGGTGGTACAGATATCCCATTAAATCATTATTCGAACATTGGTGAAACTGAATTGCACACTGAATGTAAAGCTCCAGAAAAAGAATTTGCATCAAGAGAAACAAGACGTAAACGTCCAGCTCGATTGATATTCTTTGATGCCAAAGGAGGAGAACGTGGATCTGGAATGTCTGCTAAAGTATTTGAATACTTTGATGATTTACTTTTCACAACATATCATAGAGTTAAGGCGTGTGATTGTTTATGGGGATGCCCCCAATGTGTGGCTCCACAACATTGTAGTGAAATGCTGGAAGTTATGTCGAAACCTGCTGCTATGATAATACTTGCTTCTTTATTGGGGCTTAATCTAGACGAAGAATTCAGAGATCTACCTGATGGCCCGGAACCTAATATGCAAGCTATAAAGGTAGAAACAATAGACTTTAAACGATCGACTGTTAGATTCTCTCCTGATGTTCGGATTGTTAAAATTAGAAAAGCACGTTCTCCGTTACCTGATGTTAAGGTCAAACAGGAAGAGGATAATTCATAACGTAAATATATTATTTAATGTACATATCTATATAACTTTTATTTAAGTTTTTGATAATTTATTGGTTATTAGAGAAGCCCTTCTCGATAATCTTTTGGTAAATCCTTCTCGTTTATCATCAGTACCTGAACTTGCAGAATCAAATGATTTTTGTCCAGAAATGATGGAATTTCTACTAGATAACGTTGATGGATTTCTTGTTGCTGCCGTATGGTTACTATTTGAAACTCTTGGTGCTATCACAGGTGTATGTGAATTGTTATCAATAACATCATCCTCTTCTGAAACTGAGGCTTGAATAGGTCTTGGTTGTAAAGCTGGACTTGGTACCAACACTTTTCTTTTACTTAAACGGAAAACATGCTGAACAGGTTTTAAATAGATTGATGCAAGACTACCGATATTTAATTCCAATTCTTCTAATATCTTTGGATCGATATTGTCATTTTCAGAAGAAATACTTGGATTAGGATTTAAAATAATTTGTTTGGATTCTTCTTGGAAATCTCCATTAGACCCTGATCCAGATGATAACAATCTCCAATAGATATAGGCTCTATCTCTTATATCTGGATTATCAACTTCTTCAGTTGCCCATTTTAAAACTTTCAACATTAATGCTTCTCCACCGGTAGGATATTTTAAATACAATTTTGTAACAGCCGTTAACAATGAATATTGCACTTCAACTGGTTCTTCTTTAAAGTTTGTTGATAAATCATCTAAAATTTTTAAACTTCTTTCATGATCATTACAATATTGACCCACTATCCAAATAAAAGAAGTCTTAGCATCAGGTTCATCGATCAATGTATATTGTTCTAGTAATGATTCAACTGCGAATTCAAATCTTCCAGGATACTTTCTTAAGATGTTTTTAGTACTGTGGTTGATTCTTGAACAATATATGGTATACCATTCCCTACTAAGTCACATAAAACTTCAACACATTGTTCAGCAGCTCCAGATAATTTAACGGCAAGGTTCCCAAAAGCTCTAATAGCTTTCCTAGCCATAGATACATCCACTTCGGTGGCATATTCTTCAAGTTCTCTTATGACAGCATGTATATTGTGAGCATTGGCCAATAAGTATATGATCTCTAACTTTGTATCTTTGACATAAATTGGATCATCATACTTACAAAAGAACATTTCCACTTCTAGATTAAGTAAATTTTTTCTACCTAATAATAACAATATGATATTTCTAAGCACAAGGAATTGTATTTCGGAAGGCTTAGCAAGTAATGATACTAGGGATCCCCCTAATCTATTAGGAAGAGTAGGTATTACCAATTGAGGGTTTTTAACATAATTGCAAAAGTAAATAATAACCTTAATGGCATTCAATACCACGGAAGAATTTTCATGCTGTAATGAGGGTAAACATGCTTCAATTAATTCCAATGCTTCATCTGAAGTTTGAGGGACGTATGACATTAATGAATTCAAAATATAAACTTGACACCATTCATTGGCAACAGTAAGATGTGAAATCAAAGCCATTGAATGAGCTTTATCGATGGTCAATGATAATTCCTTATTATTCTCTGTGATAGAATTCAAAGCCGCTAAAGTATTAGACACAATGACTTGATGATGATCATATAGTAATTCATTCAAACTGCCTATCAAGTTAAGTTTTGTTGCTTTGTGGGGATTATGTTGGAAAAGTCTAGAAACAGAATAAATTGCAGTCTTCTTCACATTGATATCATTATCATCCAATAAATGAGTAACTGCACCAAAGGCAACGTCTTGATATTCTTTAATTGGAACAGTAGACAACGTCCTTATGGATAATGATCTCAAATTAGGAGAAGCATCTTCAAGAAATCGTTTATAATATGGAACTGCTTCTTTTGCTAATGTTGGATTCTGCGGAGCATAGCTTATGATGAAATGAGATGATAACTTCCTTATCTCCAAATCATCAAACTTTAATAACTTGATGATATCAGGTAATAAGTTCACGATCTCAGTATTATTAAGTATGACGTTGGCAACAAGCTTTTTGAGGACAATTTTCACTTTAGCATGAGGTTTTGATTTCTTTAACGCTTGATCCAATTCAACCTTTATTTCGGATGATTTGGACTTGACAAATAGCTTTCCATCACTCATTGTTGTCGTTATATTCTCATAATTCACTTGAACAGTTTGGTGATATAGATGTTGACAGTATCATTATTCACTCGCGATTGATTCGGTTAAGAAATCAAACAGGGAAAAAGAAAAAAAAAGTCCGCTAATTTCCGCTAAACTGAAAAGGGGCCATGTCAAACTACAGTAAAAACAAAATGTATTGTAAGATAAGCTTTAATATTCTGCTACATATATACTTGAGTCTATATTGAAATCGTAGTCATAAATAAAAGATATTTCATTCAGTAATTCATTTAATCGTTATCATAAAAAAACATTCATTATGGGTTTATTTCATTATGGGTTTATAACACAACGTAACCAGATGCATAGGAGACACTACTCTCATGAGGTTTATAAACAGGATTGCTTTGAGAATAGCCAATCCATTTAAACTTGACAGAATCATTGGTGGATTGTTGCTGCTCCCTGTATAACTCTAATAATCTTAGTACCACTCCAATTGGCTTTTGTCCACAAATGGTATTCCCAGTAACAGTAATATAGTTTTTCCACTCTTGAGATTTACCTTGGCTAGCAACTTCCATAGCAAACTTATCTAGATATTCTATAGATTCATGGATGGAAAGATCGGAAGATTTAAGCCTTTGGAAACTTCCCAAGTTAATTAATTGATCCCCTAAATCAGTAATGGTTGTGCTATCTTTATCAGCTATATATTTAGCATAACCAAACCTTTGACCCCAATGACAAAAGTCAGAACTTATAATGAAATGATTCTCTTCATTCATAAGATATGGAAGTAATGCGTGAGCCAAATCTTCACCTAATTTCTCATCCATTCCACTTATAAGAATTGGAATTAGACTTGGAATACCTTGGATTAAATTCTTAGTAGCGTGATAAATAAAGGGAGCATGCATTTCAAAAGAATGTTCTTCTTCATCGACATCTACCCCCATTGGTTTAAAGACTGCACCTCTTGATTTAACTGAAGATTTTAAAGTTAAGAGATGATCTATCGTTTCTCTATCGACTGGGATGTTACCAAATGGAGTTTCATATTCATCAAATTGAGATACAAGAACTGAGTTCTTAAAATAAACATGATGAGATGGACCCAACATAAAAACACGTTTAACTTTTGAAGTATCCCATACATTAAATGTTTCTGCTAATCTTTCCCCAGAATAAGCAAACCCAGCATGAGGTCCTAAAAGGACTCTTGCACCTTTTATAGGATCTTTAACTTTTTCATCAGATAAGGATTGTTCTACTTTTTTAGCTCTTTGGAAGAAACCATCTAATTGAAGTGATAATTTGGTAGGATTACTAGAATACCATGAACCGGCATGAGTGGCAGGACGAGTCAATACCATGATTGATTAACTTATTCTATCTCTTTCGTGTGGTATACTATTTTCTTTTCTTTCTAGCCGTGTACAACACTATCTTCTAGATACCATGTATCAAGTAATAATAGATTCCTTCCTAAACTTCAAAAACTTGAGGAGTATAAAAGAACAAAGTGGCAATTGTAATTATATCTCACACAGAGCTTAATTTTGGTCCTTTCCTTATCGGTCTAGCCCTGGCTGTCTTCTTAAAAGCGCTATATTTTTTGGGGGGTTACACGTAACATTATAACTGAGCCGCACTCGATCCTTTAGGGAGAACTTCAGTCGGTAAGTCGCAGGGAAGGAGGGAAAAGTGTACCGAACCATTCTCTAGGTTACACCGCTATCATTTTTAATTTGCAACCTTTTAATGATTACATTTTGCTACAATTGGAATTACTTTAAAAAAACTTAAATTTATGATAAATAAATAAAAATAGAAGTCTGTCGTTAAACTAATACAACTGTTCCAACTTACTTCTTAGTGATGGTTAAAGTCCAATCACTAGTGAATAATTCTTCATCATCAGCATAATAAGTTGAAGTAGATGGATAAGTACCTCTAATGAAAAATCCACCTGGAGTAGTATCTTCTGGGAAATCAGTAGTATAGACTTCATCAGATGGTTGGAATTCAGGACCAAGGTCTAATTCTCTTTGTTTGATAACCAAACCTGCTTTCCTTACCACTTGTTTATATTTAACATTTTTCAATTCTCTGTTCTTAACTTTAAAATGAATAGTAGTATAATATTTCGAACTTTCAGGAATATTGAAGATTATATCTTCAGCCCCTTCAACTTGGACTTCAGATGGTTCTTGACCATCGACATTAACGACGAATTTAATGATTTGTAAATCTGGGTGTGCAACGTTTGGCATAGTGAGATCCTTTTTTTTGAGGGTTGCGTTATACTTTTACTTTAGGTAGGGTTGCGACGACGGAGACGGAGTAGATTTCGTTTAAGTTTTTTTAGATCACTATTTTTAAACCTAGTAATACTAAACTCAATTTTCAATGCAATTAGTAGTAACCTATTTTTACAATTGTTGGGTTATTGAAAGGATATAATGATCATTTTATATTCCAGCTTACAACCTCGGTAAATGAAGTTATGATAGTGTGGGGCAATACGCCTAAGAGATTTTCTCATTCACAAACAACCACAAAAGAGCAACGCAAAATTTGTAATTCAATTCACATGAAAAAAAAAAGTCTTGACGAGGATGATGAAATGCTTTCCCTAAACTTTAAACACCAATACGTAATTTATAAGCGATATGGAAGTACCTATCAGAAAGTGATTTATAGAATGTATGATATACTGTCTATAGATTTAGCTCTATTCAGAAGTATTTTATAAACTATAACTACAATAATAACCCTTAATTATAACCTTTTTAAATCGGTTTAAAAATTGTATTTTAAAAATTTAAATATCATAAGAAGAATAAATTGCAACTAAATAATAATAATATCTTTCGCTAAACAATAAACCCTTTCTCCACAATTGTTGTTGTTCTTTTTCTTTTAAGTTAATCCCCCTTAGCCCGCCTTAACTTACATCACCGTTATATAATTAATGGTTTGATAATTTCTTTTCTGCTTTAAATGATAAAATTTCTTCTTCTAATAAATTTCTTAATTGTGATAAAGTTGTAAAATGATTTTCAAAACTAAAATCAAATATTTTACATATTGCTTCTTTATCAGAATTTCTAACTGTATCTAAATAAGGATGTTCTATGGCTTCTCTAACATTAAGTCTTTTAGCAGGATCCCAATCTAATAAATTATTAAGTAAATTTAACGCTGATAATGGAGCAAATGGATAAAGCTTTTTCCAATCACATTTATTATATTGAGCACGAGCACTAACAGAAAGTCCCCATTTATATTTCCTAATCACACTAAAAGTTGGTGATCCTAATATTTGAATTAATATATGAAGTTGATCAACTTGATTTTTTCCAGGAAATAAAGCCCTTCTTCCAAATAATTCAGCAAGAATACATCCTACTGCCCACATATCAACTGATTTATTATAATTATGATAAGATAACATCAATTCAGGAGCTCTATACCATCTTGTGGCCACATAATTGGTTATAGCAGTAGCATTATATCTAAAATATTTAGAATTAACTCCTCTAGCTAATCCAAAATCACAAATTTTTAAAATACCTTGAGTTGAAACTAATATATTTCCCGGTTTTAAATCACGATGAATCACATCAGCTGAATGAATATATTTTAATCCACAAAGTATTTGATAAATAAAACTTTGAACATGAAAATCAGAAAATTGAACTCCAGAATAAATAACTCTTGATAAATCGGAATCAAGTAATTCTTGAAAACAATATAACCCTTCATAAGGTGGTACATAATTGATATCAATGTCGATTAATCCCACAATCTGAAACAGTTAGTAACATGTTAAAACCCCTTTTTATATATCTATTCTTTAAATACTTACATTCCTATGACCTTTGAAATGTCTCATAAATTTTAATTCTCTAAGGGCCCGCTTAAGTAGAACATCCTTATCAAATATATTAGCCACTTTCTTAATGGCCACCAGATAAGGATCAGCTTGAAAGGGACTTGGTTTTGAATCAGTTGCTTGACAAACTATTCCATATGATCCTTTACCTAATATCTTAGTTATCGTATACCTTGAATCAATGGCAAAATTAATATCCTTTTCAGTATAAGTGTTATATTCAGTAGCGTCTTGAGGCTGCTGAAACCTATTATATCTCCTATCTCTTGGATATTTAGATAACTTGGTTGAGTTGGCTGTTTGAATCATCTACCTTTAACCATTCCATGAATAAAATTATAAATAAACGCTCAACTTTTGCAACTTCCCTTTATACACTTTTTTACAAAATCTTTTTCTTAGCATAAAATTTCCGCTTACATAATTTCTGAGTCAGCTGAAAAAAAGTATCAAACAGAATAAAAAAAAAATCTTTCATTACAGTGCTGTGATTCAAACAAATAGTCATCACCAAGACAGTTATAGAAGTGTATTCCAAAACACACAGATCATTCATCCTCAAGTCTACATTATAACCGCATCTCATCATGAGTTCGTCACAATGCAGATTTTACGAAAGCAAGTATCCCGAAGTGGATGAAGTTGTTATGGTTAACGTTCAAGAGATCGCCGAAATGGGAGCTTACGTTAAATTATTAGAATATGATAATATTGAAGGGATGGTGTTATTATCCGAATTATCCAGAAGGCGTATTCGTTCTATCCAAAAGTTGATTCGTGTTGGTAAGAATGAAGTTGCTGTTGTCTTAAGAGTTGACAAAGAAAAAGGTTATATTGATTTATCAAAAAGAAGAGTTTCATCTGAAGATATCGTTAAATGTGATGAAAGATATAATAAATCCAAAGCGGTTCATTCTATTTTAAGACATTGTGCTGAAAAGTTCAATGTTTCTTTAGAAACTTTATATCAATCCATTGGATGGCCTTTAAGCAGAAAATATGGTCATGCTTATGATGCATTTAAATTATCTATTACTGATCCATCTATCTTTGCAGATATTGAAGCTCCATCAAATGAAATATTAGAAGAATTGAAATTATATATCTCCAGAAGATTAACTCCACAAGCCATCAAAATAAGAGCTGATGTTGAAGTTTCTTGTTTCAGTTATGAAGGTATTGATGCTATTAAAGAAGCTTTATTTGCTGCTGAAAGTGTCTCTACTGAACAAATGCAAGTGAAAGCTAAATTAGTAGCTGCTCCATTATACGTTATATCTGTTCAAGCATTAGATAAAAATCAAGGTATTGCTTTATTAGAATCTGCTATTGAAAAAGTCACTGAAACCATTAAATCAAAAGGTGGTATTTGTAAAGTTACTTTAGCTCCAAAAGCTGTCACTGCAAGTGAAGATGCTGAATTACAAGCATTATTGGAAAGAAAAGAAGCTGAAGAAAATGCCTCTTCTGATGAAGAAGAAGGTGAAGATTATATTGATTAGGATAATCAATTGTAATAAAAAAATTGAAGTATATACATTGTCTATTTTTCTCTTGTAGTAATACATACTTTTATATATCTATACATATATAAACAAAATCTGTCTAAATTAATATATTAGGTACAAATCATTGTGTTATAATTGTTTTTAGTTACTTTTGAACAATTGATTTTTTAATTAATAGTTGCTTTTGGTTGGCCCTTTCAACAATATAAGATGGAAGATTGTTGACTTGTTCTGCTGAAATTCTTAATTCTGTTAATGAATCTGGAATCATTAAATTATCTAAACTTGATAATTCAGGATTCCCACTCAAATCCAATAATTTTAATTGATTACCGAATCTTACGTTTCGAATGACTCTAAGATCATTATACGAAAGACTTAAAGTAGTAAGTGTAGTAGGTAATTCGATACCTTCCACGACTTTAATAGCATGATAACCTAATTTTAAGACCTTTAAGTTAGGTGGGAAAATAACATCCTTCAAAGTAGTTATGTATTTATCATGATCTTCTGAATCTGGATCATTGTCAAGATCAAGTATTTCAAGGGACGGTGGAAAATTAACATTTTTTAAAGTAGTTAATAAGTTATCACCCAAATATAATTCTCTTAATGAACTAGGAAAAACTACTTTATTCAATGTCTTGATATTATTATCATTTAGGTAAAGCACTTCGATAGTATTCGATAACTTTAAAGGATTGATACTATTCACTCCATTACCAGCAAGAATTAATGTTTTGACATAAGGTGGTAGTTTCAATCCTCTTGTACTAGTCATTGAAGTCTGTAAATTTAAAACTTGTAACAGATCAGGAAACTTTACTCCTGTCATTGACTCATTCGGTATATTCGAGACCTCCAAGTGGATTAAAGTTTCAGGAAATTTCACTCCCTTTATGGAATCAATAGGATTAAAACCTATGTTTAATGAAGTTAATCTATTAGGAAACACTACCCCTCTTAAACTTTCAATTCTATTCTGTGATATATCAAGATGTTTCAAAGTAGATGGGAACTCAGCATAGTTAAGAAAATATATTTTATTATCTTCTAATTCCAATCTTTCCAACGAATCTGGGAATTGTATGTTATCTATATTATGAACCGAACCTTGGCCAGCCAAAAGCGTTCTTAATTTGGGAGGCATTTTAAATCCAGTTAATGTCTCCAATGCATATCCTCCACCAATGTTTAATACTTCCAATGAATCAGGTAATTTGACTCCTGGCAAGAATCGTATACTACTTTCACCATAATCGAGGACTTTTAAATTCTTCCATCTAGAAATATCTTCTTGGATTTCTTGACCTAATTTGGCAAGTTCATTCTTTTCAGTTAAGTAAACTGTATCCATATCATATTTATTAATGATTGAACAATGCAGAATCTTATCTCCTGCAACTCCACCTAACACTTCCAAAAACTTTTTATATTGTTCAACTTCCACCTCTTGATAATCTTTCCATTTTCTACCGGGAGCAAAATGGATATGATAACCAATATCACCAACTTCTTGAAATTTCTTTGGATTATCTTCCATGAACTTGATAAATCTCTGTAAATTCCTTTCAAACTCATCGTTATATTCAATACAAATATTCAAATGATCGAATTTTATTTTCGATATGTATTCATCCGTGACAACCTTATCTATGTCACTTAATTCTATGACTGTTACAATGGAATTCGGCATCTCTCGGAGCTCTTTAAGTTGCATGATGATATGATAATAACGAGGAGTATCGTAAAGTAAGACTAGTCTGTGTTCCTTGGGAGGAGGTAATGTATTTATGGATTTGGTAGCTGCTGGGATAAACCTTTGTGTTATTGGTGATACAAGTTTCTTTTCGACCTTGATTGAACTATCTGTGTTTACTAAGGATGATGTTGTATTCGGTACCACCACTTTAGCTGACAGAATCGATGTACTAATATTATTATTGATATCATGTTTAATAACAGGTAATGATTGGAAAGTTTTTGACTGTTCCACTATGGTACTTGTGGCTGGATTGACCACCGATGTCGCCACGTTTAACTTAGTTTCATTCGAAGCTAAAGGCAAATGACCCTCCACCTTGACTGTCTGCAAAGGAGTGGACTCTATCTTAGCTCTTTTGGCAACTGACTCTTCGGAATCTTTCAAATCAGATTTGTTATTGTTTGGAGAAAACAACATTTTCCGATTGATTTGACGTTGTTGGAACTGAAAAATTCACTGGATTCGAATCTTCGTTCTGGATACTTGGCTTAATAGCTTCTTGGGAACCAGTATCCATTTCTATAACTTGTCACTCTGTGTTAATTCTTATTGCAAATACAACCAATTTAAAGCTTCCTTCTGCTTTTGTTTTTTTTTATTTTTTTATTTTTTTATTTTTTTTTGTGGTCGCTACATCTCTCTCGAGAACTATCTAATTATATTGTATATTAATTTTTTATATGGTATCCTAGATACATGCAAACGTTTTTTATGATCATGTCTTCTCGTGACTTGCTTTAAAGCAACTGGTAATAACTGCCATGGGTGTGACTGTCAATCCAATGGGATCCATATTATCTGAATCACCTTGTTCAGAAAGAAAATCTCTGGCTTTGATATATCCTCTTAATAATAATAAACATAAAGCAGCAGCTAAAAATGATACACCAGCAAATATTGAACAATCTACATATTGAGTTGGATCGACAAATCCTCCTTCACCTCTTTTCAATTTAATTCCTATTACAGGAGAGAATAATCCAGCTACTCCCATTATCATCCAAATCATACTGAATGTTACATTCATTTTCTTGAATCCAAATGTACGAGCCACTGCTGGAGCTAACATTCCGTAGATTGAACCCATTAAAGCACCTGTAAAAAGAGCAAATGCAATTGCTGTTCCAAATGTACGAGCTGGGATGCACATGGCTAAACATAGTATACCAACAATAGTATATGCACCAGTGGCTACTGTTACACCACCAAATTTATCAGCTAATAATCCAACACATGGTCTACCAAGAGCAGAACCCAATTGAACCATGGCAGATACGATTGACCCTTGATATTCAGAATAACCTAAGGCAGTAGTGAACTCAGCTAACGTATATAACACAACAACATATCCAAACATACAAGTTATGACGAATAAGGCGAAAATCCAAAACCCAGCCGTTTGAACTATATCTTTGTCGAATGCTGTGAATTGAATATTAATCTTTTTATCTTTGGTTCTTATAAGAATGATAGCGATCCATACAAGAATGAATCCAATAATACTTTGAATTCTCAATGCCCAAAACACACTTTTAGTCTCCACCACATGTTGCATACCTAAATTGAAACATATACCACCAACACCAGAACCAGCAGTAGCCAATCCACCTGATAAGACTCTTTTCTTTTTGAAATATTGAGGGAGAATAGTTGTTCCTGGGATGGAAACTAAGGCCAAACCAAAACTTTGCATTAAACCTTGAGTTAAATATAACTGCCATTTCTTGCGACTGAAACTAGCAAGCATTAATGCTGTGAATTGTAAACAATTACCAATGGCTATGGTTGGTCTGGTACCAACTTTACCCATCATATAATTAATTACAGGACTGAATGATAACCCAACCCCAAACGCTATACCACCAATAAAACTATAATCCATCTTGGTAGCACCTTTGAAAGTATCATTGTTTAAATAATAGGAGAAATAAATGGCAAATCCTGAATTTTGACCCCAACTAGCAAAATTGATTAAGAAACTTGCAAAACAAATAACCCAAGCATATCCACGATCAATAGAACGGTCCTCGGTCACAATTTGCTTCTCCACATCAATACTTTCTTTCGCCACGTTACTGTCTTCTTGTGAATCGTCTGCTTCTCGAGTAAGCTCTAGGGATCTTAATTGGTCCTTGTTAATATCCTTTGTTTGATCATCTGGGTTAGACTTGATCGGCTTTTCGTTTGACATTTCCGACACAGGACTATTCAAAATATTCATGTTATTACTTGTTTCGGTACAATTATTGTATGTGATTATGGGAGTATATAAGACGATACTACCATATGTAATGAATGAAGGAACAAGAATGAAAGTAGTTAAACCAATAATGAATATAAATATTCGAATAATAGAGTCATTATATAACTTTTTGAAGCAAAAAGAAACAGAAAAAAAATAAAAGCAATTTTTTTTTTTAATTTCTGCATTCGGTGCGCCGTTCCGACAAAATTAGTACAAAGAGCGGAATTAGTTTAATTGCAACCCAATTTGATAGACTAGTTTTATAGTAATGTCTTTCATTTGTTTTGATAAGAGAACTTTGTAATAATAACATTAGTGAGGAAGATTAGTCATTCTAGGGTGTGCTACTAGATTTAGAAGGAATATAAGGATCTTGACCCGACTGGAAGAGTCAATTACCTAACAGTTTGACTCTGATTGATACGAATTTAAGTCTCTTTCGCCTACTCAAACAGTCATACGAGAAAACTCGAATCCAATAAATTCATAAGCTCAATGGGGTTTGGTATTTGACCGTGTTGAACTATTCCGTTCTATCTATAATTACTAATAAGTGTACAACCTTAATTTGTAAACCCCGAATGAAAACACCGTTGTTCGGATGACTCTACTGATTTTGAACCTAAATCATGATAAAAACAGGTCTAAACTAAAGACTTCAATAGATAAGTTTTCCAAAACGGCTTTGAAGTCACAGCAAAAAGTTAAGTTATTAAACCGTTAAGATTAAAATAAACAGAATCCCGTTTAAGCCGGAAAAGGCGCAAAAAAAATAATAATTTTAAAAGAAAATTGAAAAGTTTTGAAAATGGGGCAAGCTGGGAATCGAACCCAGGACCTCCCGCATACTAGTGCTATAATAAAATGTATGGCCCTAAGCGAGAATCATACCTCTAGACCACATGCCCGCAAAATTTTTCAAAATTTGAAAAAGTTAGGGTTTTCGGGAGTCTGATAAAGATTTGAAATTTAAGTTTCTTAAAAATTGATATATTCGGTCTGATCTCCATATGTTTGATGGTTAATTATGATGTAATAGCCTCTATTTATAGTCTGAGAAAGGTTTCTTAGAAAAAAGATAATTTACAGCCGTATTAAGCGCACCTTTGTTTCTGAGGTTAGTTGAAGACTCTGTATAAGAAGAATAAAGGTACTAAACACGTAATTGGGTCTTTTAATTAAGTTAATAGTAATCCAATATCACAGACCGTACTATTATACTTTCTTTTAAATATATAACATCATACTTTTCTTCCCAGTCTTATTTTTTTTTTCGAAATATACATTTATTTAATATTCTATAAATTTAGAAATATAAATGAAGTGGAATAGAGAAACATAATGTAAAAACTCTATTTATAGATTAGAAGGAATAGAAGGTCAAACAAGACCGTTATATTAATAAATCAGTAAGATTTATTTAAGCAAAAGTTAGGTACAATATCCAGTGATTCTTAACCTTCATTACAATTTTGCAATTAAAATTCTTAGTTAGATCTGAAGACAAAAATATGCGAATTTTTACTGAAAAATTATTTTGTGTTTAAATCTTTAAAGAATTCACAATAAGATCAAAGTTGCTGAATTATGAATTAAGTCAAGAGATATGTCATCAATATGGAAGAAGTCATTATATAGATGGGGTATAAGGTATCTACATCGATCCCCTGCCTCGTTTGCAGAAATAAAGTTGAATGATGTGGGAATGGATAAAACTAGAAACATTGGTATCATAGCTCATATCGATGCTGGGAAGACAACCACAACTGAAAGAATGTTATATTATAGTGGGAAGACCAAAAGAATAGGTAACGTCGACGAAGGTGATACTGTTACTGATTACTTACCGGCTGAACGTTTAAGAGGTATCACAATCCAGCTGGCTGCCATTTCAATTCCATGGAATCGTCATAAGATAAATATCATCGATACACCAGGACATGCTGATTTTACATTCGAAGTAATTCGTTCTTTAAGAGTCTTGGATGGAGCAGTGACCATCTTGGATGGTGTTGCTGGGGTGGAATCTCAAACTGAAAAAGTTTGGAAACAAGCTAAGTCATTAGGAATCCCTCGTATTGCATTTGTTAATAAAATGGATAGACCTGGAGCAGGATTCAGTAGAACAGTTAAGGAAATTACTGGAAAATTAAGGACAAAAGTTGTATTATGTAACTTACCATATTTTGAAAGTGTTAATGGAGAAGAACCTAGGTTTGTTGGAGTGGTGGATGTTTTACATAAGAAATTATTAAAATGGAAACCTGATTCAAACTCAACTGGTGATGAAATAGATGTGATCAACGTAACGGAAGAAGATCAAACACTTCATGAAGTGTTTGAGATGATCACAAAAGGAAGAGAATCAATGGTTGAAGTTTTGGGTGAATATGACGAAAGTATCATTGATTCATTTCTTGAATGTGATGAAGATTATAATAAAATCCCAGTTACAATTCTAAATAAAGCCATAAGAAAAGCAACCATTGATAATCAAATAACACCAGTATTTTGTGGAGCTTCATTTAGAAACATCGGAGTTCAACCTTTAATGGATGGTATTACGAATTACTTACCATCACCATTAGAAGCCAATATTCCAGAAGTTAATATTTCTGATGAAAGAATCAAAAAGAAAAATTCAGCCAATAAGAGTGTTTCATTAGTACAAGATAAATATAAGGGTCTTATAATTAATAGTAATCCTCAACTTACTGTTGCACTTGCATTTAAAGTTATAACTCATGCCAATAGAGGTGTTATGACTTTTTTCAGAGTTTATAGTGGTAAATTATATTCCAATACCACTATGATAAATACCAGAACCGGTAAGAAATTAAACGTCAGAAAGCTATTATTAATGCATGGAGATGAACCTGAAGAAGTTAGATATATTGGAGCTGGTAATATCGGTGTTTTGACCGGGAATGAAGATGAAATAGTTACCGGTGATACTTTAGTAAGTCATGGACCAGTTAAAAAGGGATTCTCAGACTTGGAATCTCATATGAAATTATTACCTATCGAAGTCCCACCTCCATTGTTCAATTCCGGAATTGAACCTTTAACCGCTGGTGATGAAGCTCATATGAAGGAATGTATCAAAGTTTTGATTAGAGAAGATCCATCGCTAAAAGTTCATGTGGATGAAGAATTAGGACAAACTATTCTTGGTGGAATGGGTGAATTACATTTGGAAATTGTCAGAGATAGATTAATAAGTGATATGAAAGCTAAAGTTAGACTTAGAGATGTGGTTGTATCTTATAAGGAAAGTATTTTAAAGAATCCATTTTCTTCAGCATCATTCAAAAATTCTGAAGGAAATGTTACGGTTGAAGTTGAAATGGATTCATTTGAAGGAAAGGCTTCTGAAACCACTTTTGCTGAAGAAGAAGGTGCAATCATTTTCGAAGAAGATAACAATATTATTATTTTGGGACCAGATTCAACTCCACCAGAAGCATTAGCAGCTATTGAAGATAGAAGATGGAAGTCTGATCATTCACTTGAAGATATTCAGGATGGTATTATTCAAAGTTCTTTAGCTGCCTTACAGATTGGTGGTCCACTTTATGGATTATCATTACATTCTACAGTATTAAGAATAAAGAAATGGAACTTTCCATGTACTGAAAGTTCAACCAATCTCTCTGAAATCTTAGATGTCACAAGAAGAGCTATCAGTAAATATGTGGAAGAAAATGAGAGTAGCTTTGGTGTATTAGAACCTTATATGGAAACTAAAGTTTATGTCAATTCAGGTGACCTAGGTGAAGTTTCTCATGATTTGACTCAAAGATGTAAAGCTATTATCACCTCATTAGAAGACGAATCCAATCAACACGATTTAGACAATGACACAGACTTATCTCATAATGTCTATCTTCCCCCTGATTATACGCTTTCTAAATCTGAAGCTGCTTATGATTTCAAACTTCAAAAAGTGATTGTTTGTGAAACTCCATTACGAGAAATGATTGGGTATTTATCAAAATTAAGATCAATGACGCAAGGAAGAGGAACATTCGATATGGTGTATATAGGAATGAGAAGAACCACCAAGGCCAGACTCGATACCATTGCCAGTGAATTTTCATTCATGTAAATAGTTTAAAACATACTTGTATATACAAAAATTAGAAATTGCAAAATTTACCTTACATAACACAAAACAAGGCGGTCCTGATGTGTGTTTTTGTTGTTTGAAAATTGCGTTCAGGAACGAAAAAAAGAAAATTAAAAATAAAAAATGAAACGGCAACAGAACTGGAACGATAAATAGATTAGACCAGATACGATAACGAGACAAACAGTATGACAACTGTTAGGGACAATCGAAACCCTCTCGTTCTTGACAGGGAGAGAGTGACATGCTTGTTGCTTATTAATACCCATCTCATGAAGAAATCCATCAATATTTATAATAATATGTTCTGTAACCCACAAGCTATGCAACTGATGCCTCAAGAAGCAAAACAGTTGGTGGCCGACTCATATCAGAATTGTATAAGAAGACTTCACTGTAATTTGACAGTGTTGAACTATATTCACGAGCAATATCATAATGATCCAAGTCAACAATCATCTCAAACTAAGGCTTCGTTCCCAATAATTTTATCAGCTCCAACAGATATGCCCGAGTTAACGGAGTTGTATAATAAACTTCAAGATTTGTATCCAGAAGCCATGCAATACATCAAGATAAAGCTTCAACAAATGAGAAGACAACACTATCAACAAGAACAACAACAAGGTGCACCACCGCAGGGTCAACAACCACCACCACCGCAATCGCAAGCACCACCTCAACAGCAGCAACAAAAACAACAAATTCATAATAGACAACTTCCCCAACAACAAATGATGAGCAATAATAATGCCATTTTGTCAAAGAACTCTGGTATGATAGGCACTCCAAATTCCAATGGTTTAGGTACTCCTCAACAAGACTTTGTCCAACAACAGTATTTTAATGGTGGTAGTCAAAGTAATATCAATTTTTCAAGTCCAATGCTACAAAACGTTCCAACGCAAGGTCCACAATCTCAAAACCCACAACAGCATCAACAACAACAACAAGTTCAAGCAATTTCTCCTCAACAAATTCTACAACAAATGAACTTAGGTCAAAGTAATCCAAATACGGGTATTGACTATCTTTAATTTATCTATGTAATTGTATATTATTATGTAATTTGTATCTATACACAATGTATCTATTAAGTTTGATCCATTAAATCATGAAATTCTTGGTTAATTAAGTCTCCATATCCACCGGAGGATGTATTAGCATATATATTATTGTAGCCTCGGTTAACTTGAGGTTGTGTTTGTGGTGGAGGTTGAGGGTGACCTTGACTAATACCAAAGTCAAGATTTATTGGTGGGGCATGGGCATTAATTGGGTTTGATTGTATGATATCTTCTCTATCGTTCGAATCATATGATTGATGTGGTTCTGGTCCTCCTACGTTAAGCCAACCTGCATCATGTGTAATTTCGTTCCAAAGTTGTTGTTCATCATCCAAATAGGTCAAACCTTCAATACCTTTCAAATCAGAATTGTAGATATCACCACTACCGCTAGGTGCATTAGTTGGTAAGGAGAAGCTGAAATTAAATGAATCACTACTTAAATTGGAAGTAACTCTTGGATCAGAAATGTCTGGAATTGGATTTTCTAATTCCACATCTGGTTTTAACTCGTTATCCAATTGATTAAGATGATCATCATTGATTTTAGAATTGGATATTTGATTCACTTCTTCTATTTGAGTCAAGTTATCAGTTGAAGCAGTGAATTCCTTCTGTTCATCATCATGTTTGACTAATAAATCAGTCATAACTCCATTAAAATCGAGAACTCGTATTAATTTTAAAAGTTGAGCTCGTCTTAAGGCAGCAGGATAATTTCCTAACTTTTTCATTTTTGTGAATATTTGTAAAGCATGATCTAAATGATCCTTTGTGGCATCATGGACTCCGAAAGATGCATTAAATAAGATTAATGTTGAAGCTGATGTGAATAAATATTCTCTATCCATCCAACCAAATAGAGCAACCATATTTTCTGGTAATAATGCCCAAATTGACTTTATGGTATTGATTGATGCTTGAAAGGAAGCATTTAATAAAAATAATACATTCTTTGAATATTTTGATAAGTCAACATATTTGTTAACAGAGTTTTGAACTTGTAATTCTTTAAGTTTTTTAGTGGCGAAATGAAATAATAAAGGTCGAACAGCCAAATTCATACCTTGGAAATACTCAGTCATCAAATTCACTATCAATCTAGTTATCCGTACGTTATCTGCAGAAAAATCGACTTTTAAAAACTCGGGTAAAGAGCTTTTCCAATTCATTAACTTATGAACCAAGTCAGACACGACAGGTAAGATATTTATGGTTGGTTGTTTGGTATATAACGAAGATAAGATAATAGCATTGATTTGAGTAATGGTAACACAGTTATTAATATAATCTGCTGGTGGGAAAATGTAGAAACCTTTAACATCATCATCATCATCATCCTTGTTAGGTTCAATATCGAAATCGATTGGCAACTCTGTAGATACACTGTCATCAGCGAAACTTAATGGTAATCCTGCCTTTGACGATAGCATTCTTTCATACATATAAACTGTCCACCAGATTCTTCTTCTATGCTCCAATTCAAATCTATTGATATTTTCCTTGTCGGCATCCACATGCCAACCTAAGATTAATGTAGCTCGAAGAGCTAAACCAAAATAGAAATAAGAAGCAATGGTACAGTCTGCTACTTGGAGATAGAATGCATATAGAAGCATTACTTCTGTACCTCCATCTTTAGTTATATTATCAATGGCTCCTGATGCGAATAAACCAGTGAATAATTCAGAAGCTTGATAGAAGAATCCTGAACCCGGTAAAGTATCCTTTTCTTTCTTTTCTTTAACTTTATTCTTTTTAGTTTCATTTCTGATTTTTTCTTGAATGATCAGCTTTGTTATATGTGAATTTGATTCTGTGCCTAAGTACATTTCTCCTATGGCAAATATCAATAAGATCTTACAAAACCAAATCGTTTCAAGAATAGTATCATCGTCAGCATCTTTCTTAATAGTATTTTCTTCTTCTATAGTTTCTTTCTTAGAATTAACATTCCTCTTTAGAATTTTTCTATTTTCAGCTGCTCTACCAGAATATAAATTTATAAGAAATCTTTTAACAAGACCTTCATTAAAAAAGTAGAAACAGCCATCATTATAATTTATGAAGGTATCCACTAATAACATTGCATATGAATATGATGGTAAGGTGAAGTTTATAGACAATCCGGGTCTAGTATTGGTCTTTGCAAGGGTGATTCTATATGCATTTCCTTCCTTTTCTAATATTTCAGTTTCTCTCTTGTGTCGTGTCGTTGTTGATGTTGATGGATGATCAGATCTTGGTGATGAAGTAATTCCACTTTGAGGTGATGGAGATGGTGAAGTAGTTGTGGACGAACTAGTTAATAATGTAGATGATACAAATGATGGAACCATATTTTGAATCTCAAGTCCGAAAAGTGTCATTGATGATGATCCCACGTAAACTTTTTCTCCAGTTCTTGATTGTATTAGTCTTCCATGTTTATCTAAGGATGGTTGGATCACCTCATTCCCAAAGTTTACCGGATGTTGTTGTGATTGCTGTGGTTGTTGCTGTAATTGTTGTTGGAATTGGGGCTGATATGGAGGTTGTTGATTTCTACTTGAATTAGTGTTATTAAACAAAGGTTGATTTGAACGAACATTATTTGAGAATGAATTCTGTTGGACAATGTTATTTTTAATTCGTTTATTCTCTTCTTCTTTTAGATTGTTTCTAAGAACAGCATTATCCTTCTTCAATCGTGCTATGTCATCATGTAACTTGGATAAATATTTCATTGAAACCACAATTTTCTTATCAGCCTCCACATATTCACATTTAGTCTTTGCCAATTGACACTTTTTGCATGGATCACCACCAGGACATCTAATATGACGGGCTCGACACCTTATACATGCCAATGAAGTTCTCTTAGGTTTGGAAACTGATGATGGTCCTGGCAGATTTGATTTTGTATTCGTGCTATGGTTAGAGTCACCACTTTCACTGGAGGTCATTGAACCAATATGTTCCAAATCTATCACTGTGAAATCTCCACTTTCACCTCCTCCCTTTAGTAGTTCTGTTTCGTTGGAGTAAAGGGCCGACTTATCAGCGTCACTCATTTATATGTTTGCAATGATTCTATTGATTTACTTTGCTGTTATCCATATTCTAATACGAGAAAAATCTTAAAAAGAGTCAGAAATTTAAATCCCATTTTTGGCTTTGTTCAGGACTGCATATAAAAGATCATCTTTAAATTGTATAACTGGGGTTTGGTTTCATCCTTCCAAAGCCTTTATAATATATAACCAATGGGTTGTTAGAGAGGATTAGGTTAAAACACGATAATTTAGGGTGATATGATAGAGTTTAATGATCTTCCAATTGAAATTATACTACGAGTGTTTGAGTTTGTATCTCCTAATATAGTTTATGAAAAATTCATCTATAATCACTCGTGGTTATCACTAAATCTGATTCAATCCCTTGCTCTTCAATATATCTTTAGCAAAAGAGTTATAATAGCTAGTAAGCAACCAAGGCTTATAGGGTATGATCCAGCTAAGATACTTTATTCAGTCAGGCAATTGGAAGATTCATTTATAATAACTGGGTTTGAAAATGGAATTGATATTTTTAGACAGTTAATGGCATTGAATTTTCAAATGAATACTTCACTTATACCTCGAGAGTTAGGTATATTGTTCTCATATCTTTACAAAAATGAAGGTGAATCACTTGTTAAGTTTCTTGAAATCCTTGCTTTTGATAAGTATTGTAATGAATTGTCTAGAAAAATAACATTACAATTGATGTACAATGGAGATCAATTCATTTCAAAAAATGCAAGAATAATTCAACTAGTAGAAGTGCTAGGTGATAAAGTAGAACGAATTTTCATTCAGAGTAATCAAACACAAACAGTGCAAAGACAGAACTGGCGACTATGGGATATTGCGTCCTCCGATATGCTTACAGATTTATATTTACGAAGAAATGGTCTTACTGATGTGGATGCCAGACACTTATTTCGATTGTTGCCTTTGACATTGAAGAAGTTAGACTTAACAGCTAACGATTTGACATCACTAGTTGATCTAGTATTGCCTCCCACTTTAGAAACGCTCATGATCAGAGCAAATAAGTTGCATAGTTTACAGGGTCCAAATTATGCCTTTGGCTCACTGTTACATACTTTGGATGCATCTATAAATTCTATTAGTGAATTGGAAAACTTATTTCAGTTTTCATCTACTATAGCTAGTTTGAAAGTCACGTATAATGCTATTCTGACTGTGCAGCAGCTGCATATACCTCCAAATGTTGAGATTTTGGCATTGTCAAATAACGTGATTCAAGAATTAAATGTGATACTACCACAAACTATACAACAACTATATATAGATAACAACTCATTGAAATCATTACCGATTGATTTCTTTTCCAATTGTACAAAGTTAGAAATTCTTGACATATCAAACAACAACATAGATGATCTTGATGAATTAGGTGATTTGCCATTATCATTACGAGAATTAATGTTGGATAATAATGAAATTGATTACTTTGAAATCACCAATGCATTCACAACCAATTTAACCAAGTTATCCATGAGTTCCACAGGATTAGTGGCGTTAATAGATATCAATATGCCGTCAAAATTAAAACAGTTGAACTTATCTCGGAATGAGATAAGTGAGATTAAGAATGTTAATTTTGGATCAAAATTGATCGATTTAGACCTAAGTAGGAATAAGTTGACCACATTTTCAGGTGATTCATTTCCTTATACTTTAACAAAGCTTGATATTAGTGACAATCCGTTTAAAAGTATTGATGCAATCTCCTTACCAGAGACATTAACCTATTTATGTTTGAATGGTGTAGCGTTAGGGACAATAAATAATGACTTGATAAACAAATTACCAAGATCTTTACATCATCTTGAATTGAATTCCACATGTTGGTCAAACAGTCAACCATTTCAAAATCCAACAGACCTAGAAACATCCTTACAAGTTAATTTTGATCAATATTTACCCAATCTTAAAATTTTATTCCTTGAAAGAAATAACATCATTCTGGTTGATGATGTAACTTATCCACTCCATCTTCAAACATTATCATATGAAGGGAATAAACTAGCTCAATTTCCGTTTAATACTTTACCTTCAGCAGTCTACGACTTACGACTTAAAAAGAAATAATCTAAAACAAGCATAACACGTTTTTCTTTTGAAATAAATAGACATAGAAACATAAATACAGACTAATTAAACAAATTTTGAGCACCTTCACCAATGTAGTTACCAGGAGGGTTGTAAGAGCAAATAACATATTTACCCCAGTTTTCAGCTGAACAATCTTTATAAGCACAACCTAATTCAGTTGAAGATTTCCAGATGATTTGAGTGAAATGATCAAATACATTGGCAGCTGCATAATTATAACCATTACCTTCATTATACCAAGCTGTAAAAGCTGGAGTGGCACCGGAATAACCAACGGCTAAGTTTTCACCATATGGACCACCGGAATGGACTAAATTACCTGAACAATCGTATTGGTTAGCGTAATTCTGGGCATAATTATATAAATCTTGAGACCAAGATAAAGCTGGAACACCATGATCAGCTCTCTTTTCATTATGATCGTTTAAGATTTCTTGTGAAAAGGAAAGATCTTGGACGGTACCAAAATTGGAAGAAGATGAAGAGGTGGTAGCTGGAGCTGGAGCTGGAGCTGGAGTACTGGTAGTGGCAACTGTTACTAAAGTGGTTGGGACATTGGCTGGAGAGTTGACAACTTGAGCAGCTACTGCTGGAGCTTGCGCAGCTGGTGATTGTTGAACTGATGTAGATTGTTCTTGTTGAACAGATGTAGATTGATCTGGATAAATGATTTCAGTTACATAAGCTACTTCTAAGTCGGGACTAGTGGTTGGAGAAACAACTTCTTCACCTTCGTAGACAGTGACATAGTGAACGTTGGTCACGTAAACAGTGGCTGCAGAGGCGGCAGACAGCAAACAAAGGAGTGGAATAAAACTCGAATATTTCATATTATAAGGAAGGTATATGTGTAATGAGTGGAAGGTGAGTTTTAATAAATGCTGTAAAGTAATGAAAGTTCAAAGAAAGCTAACACTAGTAAATGAATGAAAGTAAGAGCCTTAATCTTTTAAAAACAAACCCCAGTCAAATACATTTTGCAGGATTGGAATCTCATTAAATACCATCCACAGACAACAAACCAAAATGCTAAGAAATTTTGCAATCGTAGAATTATAATACCGTGTAGAATCTGGAATCGAAATCTTTTTTTTTTTGGTTAATTTTGTGCAACTAAACGCGTTTTCAATTTAAAAGGGGGAATTGTTCTATTTTGTGCACTGTTGACTTTTTCCCATCTGCAGACGAAGAATGCGATGGATTTAAACTATCTATTGTGATGTCTAGATTCATTTTAAGGTTGGTAGTATGGTGTGAAACAGGATCGTGTGTAGTTGTTGCAGAGCGGTGTTTCAGTGAGGGAGTGTCCCTGAGGCACATAATTAAACAGCAATTTACCTATTTCATCTTCAACAATAAAATTGTGTACACTTGTCTTGATCTGGTAAATTAAATCTTGGCTCTTTACCGTTTAAGAGAATAATTGTCTCACTAATAGTCGGTAAAACCATCTCATTTTGGTAAAGAAATAACCTTCTATCCAATTACGATTTTTCACGATAAACCTTAATAATCTCCTAAGTCGGGATAAATGATCTCATAAACACTGTCATCATTGCTGTCCTTTGCATTTTCAACAAATTGTGCCCAATTATGTAAATACTTGATACCGCATTGAGACATAAGTTCTAAATCCCCAACGACACATAGTTGCCTTTTAGGCCTTGTCATTGCAACATTTAACCGCCTCTTATCTTTAAGGAATCCAACTTCTCTTGCATCATTCGATCTCACTAAACTTATGATTATTATTTCTTTTTCACGACCTTGAAATCCATCAACAGTTGAAATCTCGATTTCATTATAAGCGAATCTAGAATCATCTTGTTCTTTTTGAAAACTCTTTTTAAGTAATGAAACTTGAGCACTATAGGGAGATATTATTCCAATATAATTCGGTGATACGCCACATGCTAATAATTTCTTAACATGCTGAATTACAACTAATGATTCCATTTCATTATATTTTGATCCTGTGCTATCCCCTATTATAGTATCCTCATCGCTGGACTTTTCTGGAAAATCTCCACCTTGAGTATCATACCAAATGCAGATCGGCTTCGTTTCATCAGTTTCAGTTACTCCTTTGACATCAAGTAAGGAAATATTTTCCACTGCTTTAAATGCCTTTAATTTATCTTGGTATAACTCGTGGGAAGGGAATTTCATAATTAATTGATTCATTCTATATTGTGTATCTAATAACTTTTTAAACTTATTCCCCTCTAGTTTTTTGACTAATCTGTCAAACAACGTGAATTCAAGATTTGCAACTTTGTTAATCGAAAGATTTCCAAGTAATCGTTCAATTTCATCTTTTGATTTTAATGTAGGGGGCAACTGTAAATTATCTCCAGCGATGACCAATCGTTTAAATCCAATGTGATTTATGATTGGTATCCAACATTGAGGCTCTAATGATTGTGAAACTTCATCAATTATTATGGTGTCGAAGAAAGGCTTTCCATCACTAAACTCTTCTTTATATAAGTTCGTTAACTCATATGAACCTGCACCATGTAAGGTACTTAAAATAACATTAGCATTAATCAATAAATCCTGAACAATTTTCTTTTCTCTAACTCTTAATTCCTTTTTGAATTGTTTTAATTCTGAATATAAGACTCTTCTTTCACTATATCTCTTACACTTTTTAATTTTCTTTAGAGTATCATTGATGTCTTTTTCAATATCTTTCAAAATATCCTTATTATTATTAGAACCACTATAATTAGTCTTTGAAAGTATATCCAATGAATGTCGTAAATTAGTCTCAAGTAATCTTGCAGGATGTCCCAATCTAATCAATTTATCAGGGCTTTTAACGGCACCCCCAACACCATTACCTCCGAATTGAGACGATAAACGTTCCAAAATTGTATCAACAGAAATATTTGAAGGACCACACACTAATATTCTTTCACCCTTAACAAAAGTTAATTGCTTGATGATTTCTAAAATTACGGATGTCTTTCCAGTACCTGGTGGACCATGAATAATAGTTATAGGAGATTCATCAACAGCAAACTTAACTGCTTCCTTTTGGGAATCGTTTAATGTAGGGTTGAAGAATTCAGAAATCTTGGATGATGATGAGTTTGAACTAAATTCAGCTTCTCCCAATAATAATCTTATTAAATATGATTTCTGATGATCTTTGAGTTCACCCAATTTTCTCAAAGTCGATAACATTCTTTTGTAAGTTACTGAATTGGATAATTTCACTAACCACATTCTGGTATTATCATTGGATGTGTTGTTGTATAATGATAGTACTTTATCATCGGTTGAATCATCGTCAATTGAGATTGTAATCGAATAGGAATTTTGACGAATTATAACCCCTTCTAATGATTCATCTTCTTTAGCTTTCTCTTTAACTTTATCTTTTGAAGCAGTAGATTTAGCTTGTTTATCAAGCTTGACAATATCGCCTACTCTTAAACTACCCACTGATAATTCATCTTTTGAGTCACCTTTGATAGCTGGATCGATGACTAATTCAATTAAAGTCTTACCACCTAATCCAAGCTTAATGTTGTTTATGATTAAATTGATTATTGCTAAGCCTGATTGTGCCAATTTCTTTGGAGAGTATGAATCTAAGTATTCATTAGTTAATAAAATATCTGATTTTTGCTCTATGTTGACGGCATTTATAAAGGATTCGACCAAATCGGCTTGATTTAAATTTGACATAATGATATTAATCTATAATATAACACATATCTGAATGTCAATTGTTAGTAATTTTGTTTGTTGGTGTTGTAAGTATCCGTTTTTCAAGTAAGGAAGTTTCTTTAAGCTTTCAGTACTATGCATCTTGATACTTGATTCAATATTTGATCACACTGATTAGACAACCTATAATTAACAGGAGCAATGATTGGTATGACTAACAGATCAAAACAATCGACATACCTTTATCCTATGTAGTGGATGTTGTTGAATAGTGTTAAAGATATTGCAATGAACGAAAATTTACAGCATTTTTTTGACCACCAAATCATTTTTGGCCTTCAATTTTTGGAGGTCACAAGATTACAATCTAGGTTTACACAAAATATACATCGTGGGAGTACAAATCATTTAATTATCCCATCATCGATTGCTACATTTGATAGCCAATTTCTCAACAGAATAATTAAGATATATATTAGACAACGATATAAACTCTAAATATATCGATCAATCATTTGACACAATTACAAAAAAACACCAATAAACAAATACAAATACATAAATAAATAACACATAAATCCAAGAAAGGAACTTAAGATAAACGTAGCATCAACAAGTCTTTAACTATTGTTGCTTTGGAAGATCATTTAAATCTCTACCAGTTTGTTCTTTGAGATATTTGTTACTTTGTCTTTCAACCATATCATAAATCAAATTCTTTTGTTTGAAATAACCTGTCATTCTAAGTAAAGATACAGTTGAATCATAACATCTTTCACCAAAGGCTAAATAGTTTCCAAACCATCTTCTGAAGTCAATGGATGAAAATTGTGATGTATCGAATACTAATCCTGTATTACGATGGATTCCAGCTAAGATGATTGAGATTAACAATAAATCAAAGGAATAATGAGCCAATTTACCAATCTAAAATCTAGTTAGTACTAATCGTAAGGTTCAATCAACGGCATTATACCAGTCATACATACACTCATTGTTGTGATAGTTATATATGTGATGAAGTAGATTGATGATGAAGCCAAAATCGTAAGTTGATTGACTTTTTAGTTATCCTTTTATTTTTATTTGACAATAAACATCGTACGCGGCGGGGGCGCTCTCTAAATTTAGTGAGGAAATTTAGTGAGACTTGCTAGCTAACATTAGTCACAACTCTAATACTCTACTAACACCAAATTTTGACTAACTCAAAACTTGTTTCAGTATTATAATTCATTGTCTCAGGAGGAGGGAACTCTCCTGTATATCTTTGCTTACTAAAAGGTTGTGTTACGTTCTAAATGATACAATATTATCAACTGTTAAATTCGCAGTTAAATGGGTGTAACTACAATTTAAGGTAAAGTCCGGAAAGTTAGAAACCCCGTAACACAAAGCCATAACTATGCGGTGATAAAAAGTAGTTCGGTCAATTATTGCAACCATTTCAAATGAAGGACTTTATTATCATTTTCTAGTATGTCAAGAATACTATAAAATGTCCCCTTTCCTTTCAAATAATTTGAGCTGAAGTTGGATTAAAAGTTAATTAATTAGACAAGTTTAGAAATGGCTGTGAAAGATTTAGTTTTAGTCACTGGTGGTACTGGTTATGTTGCAACCTTCACTTTATATCAATTATTACAAAGAGGTTACCAGGTTAAAACAACTGTTAGAAATTTAAGTAAGACTGCTGAATTAGAGAAAGATTTAATTAATTTAAACATTTATGATCATGTTAAAGGTGCTGGAGATCAGGATAAGACTTTCCCTAAGCTTACCCAGGAGATCATTAGTTCCAATTTAACTTACCATACAGCTGATTTAACTAAAGCAGAGGGATGGGATGAGGCATTAGAAAATGTTGAAAATATCCTCCATATTGCTTCTCCAATTGGTGACAACAACGCTCCTGAGGATATTATGATTAAACCTGCCGTTGAAGGAACTATTAGAATATTAGATCTTGCCTTGAAATATGGTGCTAAACGAGTAGTTGTTTTATCATCTGGTGCAGCAGTGAAGTACAACAAGTTAAAGCCTGATCCTAAGACTGGTGCTCCAGCTGTTTCTGATGAATCTGCTTTCTCAGACAAAGATCTCGTCCCCAATACTTATGCCAAGTCAAAACTCATGCAAGAGTTAGCTACTTGGGAATGGGTTAAATCAACTAAGAATCAAACCTCACCTAATCCAGTTGAAGTAACTGTTCTCAATCCTGTTGCAATTTATGGTCCAAACATTCCTGGTAAAGTTTCACTTCTCTCTTTAATGGTTATCAAGGGTTTAATTGATGGCAAACAAAATTTTGGATCACCAAGACTTTTCATTAGTGGTGTTGATGTTAGAGATGTAGCTTATTTGAGTTATAGAGCTATGATTGAACCATTTGCAAAGAATGAAAGATATATTGTTGATTCTAATCCTGATATTGATTTAAGCTTGTATCAACTTTCTCAGTTAATCAGAAAACATTATTCAATCCCACAGAATAACACAGATGATAAAGTGGATTTATCTAAATTACCAGTTAGGGAATTACCATCTTGGTTGATTAGAGGTTTATCTTATTTTATGCCTTCTTTGAGACCACTTTTACATTATTTAGATTTCAAGACCCAAACGTCGAATGCCAAAGCTGCCAAAGCATTCGATTGGGAACCTATTTCACTTAAAGATAGTGTTGTTGCTTCAATTAACAGTCTTTAATTTATACGTAAATAAATATATTTATCGTCTATAAACTATTTTCTATAAAATGTAGTTTGAAAACTATGAATGACTGGTATGCACTCTTTTTATGTACTGGGGTAAGTCATCACCGGTCCAATCTCTAATTCTTTTACTTGATTCACCCACTACGCCTAATCTCAAAATAACCTGTTTAATATTCAACAACAATTGTTGCTTTAAGAGATCATCTCTTTTAGAATATTCTTCTTGATTAACCTTATCTAAAACTTGATTTAAGTTGGTTAATATTCCAAATCTTGTAATTAATAAATCAGCACCTTGATCAATTGATTCAATGATATATAAATATTTCAAAATGAGATATTTTATCTTAACGCTTATGTATGGAGAATTAGTTAAATTCATTAACCATTCAATCACATTTCTAAATTTGACTAAATTCAAATCTTCAGTATTGACGGTACCATCAATGAAACTTTCAATCAACCAATTGATTTGCTTATAGTATGATTCATCATTTTCGGTTTCAGAATCATTTATCTTGGATAAGATAATGGATGAATACAATGGGATATCATTTGATTTCAAATATGGGTTGGATAAAACATATCTGAACGATTTTTCATATAAGAAATTACCGGGATTGGATAAGATCGGAATTAAATTGGAGTAGAAGTAATAAATCAAATGAGGAATAGAATTTGATTGTTCTTTTCTTAATGTGTTTAAGATATTGGAAATGTATACTTTGTAAATATTCAAGTCCTTGAAAGCTTCTGCGTCAGCTTTATTTTCTTCATCTCCTTCTGTAGTTGACAAGGAGTTCAAAATACCATTTAATAAAATTTTTGCAATTGAAGCAACTTTAGGATGAGATAATTGAATAACAATGAATTGTAAAAGATGGGAATCAATCAATTTTTTAATATTGAATTTCGGTTTGAGTAATTCTTCCTTATCCATTACCAACTCATCATTATTAATAATAAGCATTAATAAAAACTCTGAATCATAAACAGTAGAACTATATGAATCGTTTTCTTTATTTGCGCTATAAGTTTCAAAATCTTTTTCAGACCATGTATGGTTAAGATCAAATGAAACTGATGAAGGAGTAGCTTTAATTGAATTCTTAATGAAATTCTTATTTAAAGTAATAATGAAATTTGAGCCTTCAGGTAAGATTAAACGATCTTCCTGACCTCCAATAATATCAAGATCAGAGTTAGACATTTCTTCAATGATTTCCCAATTTGATACTTTATTAATCCATGATTTCATGGTCTTTGATTCAATTTTAATTAAAATCTGTTTGAGTACTAAATCTTCTAATCTTGTAGATCCGAGATAAAATGATACTAACTTATCTTGTAAATGGATTGACTTGGAATTGATAGTAATATCCAAATTAAATAAATTGAAAATGATTAATGATGATAAATATCTACTTTTTCCATTCGAACCATTTGGTAAGGATGATAATAATAAATTATTTGGATTGTTGATAAAGATCTGTAATAATTTCTCAAACTCAATTGATTTATTATTTCCTGATAATACTAAATCACTAATATATGATAAATAGGTTGAATTTGAAATCCAAACAGCATGATTTAATAATACTTCAAGCTGAGTGTTTAAAGTGTTATTAGGAATCAATTGCCAAATATTCACCTTGTTGACGATGTTGACTTGGAAATTAGTCAAGAATTGATTGAAATTAGCGGATAATGAATCTAACTCGGCAAATTTCTTGGTGATATATAAAATTGATTTGTGGATCCAATTAATGAATTGTTGATCCATTGTTGAAGTAATTAACTTTGATAATAATTGAGGGAATTTGGCATCCACAGAATATTTAAATCCATGTTCATTGATATATGAGAATAATAATTCTAATAACTCCTCTTTATTAACCGAATCAATCCCATTAATGAAAATATTCAAAGCTTGAGTCCATTCAATTGAATTTGATTTTAATAATTTAATCGCAAGTGCAGTAGCTTGATCGAATAACTCTTTCAATCCTTCATCCTTAGATAATGATGATGCAACGACAATTAATAATTCGTCATCATTATCATCTAATTTGAAAGTGGAGATTAATTTAATGACGTTTTGTTTGACATTTTCATCTTGAGAATTAATCAAACTGGTCAATAAATAATAATCGATTTTAGATTTGGACGATAAGATAGATTCAACTTCCTCCTTAATGAACTCTTCGCTATTATCAATTAAATTCAATTGTAAAAGATTTGATAATACTGATTGTTTAGTTTGTAATAATGATTCCTCTGAGATTGCTTTCAATTGACGGTAGAATGAAAATGAAGTAGGAATAGATCTTGATAAATTCAATTGTCCTAATTCCAATAATAATATTTGATTGTTTGAGGTTGATAATTCTAACTGTGAGATTTGATCATTAGTAAATAACCAACAGAAGTTGGACAAATAAGTTTGAAAACCTTCACTGATTGATTGATTAAACTTTTCAAAACTGTAGTTATTTAAATAGGATGCATAGATATTCAACTGCTGTAAGATATCATTAAACACTTCAGCAAACTTCACCTTATTTGATGAGATTACTCCATCGGTATGATTAATTAAGTCCTTCAAATATAATTCAGAAATGGTATAATTAACCAAATTTGGAGATGAATTTTTAGAAACTAAATAATTCCCGATTTTTGAAACTAATTCAACGATTAAGGCATCATATTGATGATTTTCATCTTGCACCACTAATTTTAATCGATTTAATAATCCACCAAAATCTAAATCTGAAGTTGGGATTTTCTTCTCAAGAGTTATTAAATGCTTAGATAAATATGCTGAAGAACTATTAATGAATGATAAGAATGAATCAGTAGTAGTATTTTCCTTTTCATTGAACTCTAAGACTTGTAAAAGCTTACTATTATCAACCACTTTCTTAACATCATCTGAAGTATTTACATAATCTTCAAATAATCTTAAGAGGGTAGATTTTGATTCACCGACAATGACTAAATATTTAATGAATTCTACCAAAACTTGAATTCTGTTCTTATTAGTATCCTCATCTTTATCAATGACAAATTTGAATTGTTCAAACACCACAATGATAAAAATACTCACATCATTATATTTCTCATGAGAGATATCAAGATACTTGTACGGAGATCTAATTGACCTTGAAATAGATTCATCTAATAAATTCCACACTTTCTCATCATCAACCACTTCCGATACTGATAATGATTCAATTAATGCTACTAATGGCGATTCAATCAAGGTTTGATTGAATAATAAACTGTTATTAGTAGTTAATTTAAGTAAAAGATTCTTAATTTTCAAATTCAATGAAGTTGATGCACTATCTTTATTAACGATTAATAATTTGATTAATAAGGTGAACAATGATAAGTTTGAATTTATTTTATTCCACCATTTGAATTCAGTTTGATTATTGGTGAATTGGATGGATAAATAATAATCCAATAATGATAAATCATAATTACTAGTTAAATTCGTAAGCGATAATAATTGATTGATTCCGTTATTGGCGAGTTTTAAAATGGTGGTGGTGGATGTATCTCTTTGTAACGATAAGGTGGCATATTTATTAAGGATCATGGTCAGAGTTAATTTGATTAATTTATTAGATTCATCACCTTTACTATACTTTTCATAAACTTGATTAAGAACAGATATATCAGGGAGGGAAGCACCCACTAAATCGATTAAATTTTGTTTATCTTTAGCATCATCAATTAAACTCACTAATGATTCTAATTTAAGTAATTGGAATTGAATTAATTGTAAGGATAATTGAGTAATTAATAATTTATTAGTTTCTAACCCTTTCGTTAAACTTTGTTTATTCAATGGGCTTAACGCCACATACTCTGCCATCAATTTCACATTAAATTTCTTATCATAAATATCATCACCATCAGACTCAGACTCATTGGCTAATTGTAAGACGTTGGAGTATAATAAAGTATAAGTGATCCACCATGAAGTCAAGGATGGATCATGATATCCTCCACCATGTTGGACTAACCAATTCATATATGGTGGGATTAACTCTTGATTAGATTTCAAGATCGTGATGATGAAATTCAATTGAACGATAGATTCAGATGGTTTTAACGATGTTAAGAAACTATACAACAATTTATTATTAATTTTGAATGATTTATTATTGATTTGAATAGTAACACCCGATGTATCTTGTTTATGATTGATATACCAGAACGTATGATTAGGATAAGTCAATCCATGAGTTGGATCTTGCACTAAAGTAGTTAAAAAGGTGATGAACCATGGATTTGAATCGAATTTTTTGAATATAGATTGGAATTTGAATAAGAAATTTTCATTCAAGATTTTACATTTGGTCGATTTTCTAAAGTTTGATTCTAATAAGATCTTATTAGTAATGAAATCCACTAATGATTTTATGATATGTTCACTATCGATATTTAAAAATTTCCATAAATTATTCATAATTTTGAAATTATTATTTAAAACATCTTTTCTATGGAAATGAGATAATTGAGAATTCAACATAATCCAAAACTTAATGAAATTATATCTGATAGATAAATAATCATTCTGACCAATTGATGATGTTTTAGGAGGTACTAACAATGTAGGTAACACATTCAAAGTAAGATCAAATCCATTCAAGAATTCAATTGCCATAGTGGAATCATAAGCTAAGACATTGGTTAACATTCTTAAATTGGAATTGGTTAATGCTGGTTTATTATTATTCAAAGCACGATAAACAACTCTAACATGAGTAGATAAGATCTCCTTATATAAATTAATGATATTTGGTTTTAAATTAACGAATTTAATCTTATTCAATAATCTTTGCTCCACATCGATCTCATTCTTGGTATTTTCATCCTCTTTCTTCTCGTCATTACTTTCTCCACCATGGACGTTTATAAGATGAGTGATTCGGGATAACTTTATTGAAATATCAATGAATTTAACATGATCATTAATCGAAGCGAAATAAGACCAATTATTTAATAATTTAGTGATGGAATCATTCTCAATGAATTCAATTAATTGAGGGATATTGGAATCAGTCAAGATCCCCGTAATAGTATCTAACAAAGTCGAATCGACATTAGATGATACCGGTTTCGATTGATGCGATGAATTATGATGATGATATTTCGACATCGTTATTTCATTATAAGTTGAATCTAAGTTTGATATTTGGTTGTAAATTTGGTTGTAAAAAAAAAAAAAATTATTTCAAGATGGGTTTGAATCGTCTTTTTCCTTGCGGCGTGGATGTAAAATATAACACATCCCTGCCGCACTATATAATGTATTTTTATACCATATAGTCTATTATAGAGATATTTATAGCACGGGTATAGCGATAATCTTTAAAAAGTGGTAAAAATGGAATAATTAGTATAATGGAAGGTAGATAGATAGTTTCAAACTGAGTAATTTATAAGTGATATTCAATATAGTTAATCTAAGTATGATTGAGATGTTTGAATATCGTTATGGTGATATATTACAGAGTATAGATCAATATAGCTATGGATTTACTCCTATTATTATATGGGGGATATTTATTTATTGTTTAATGGTTATAATTCAAAAGGTTAATTTGATCATTGGGATATGTTATGAAATGAAGCAATCGAATCAAAGTATAAAGAAGTATAGTATGACTTTGAGTAAACATTCAATTATTGGGTTGGTTGCTATTAGTATGGGATGGGTCATAAGTAAACTATGGCAGGATGTTAAAAGAGGTGATGGGATGATATTTACATTTTATGTGATATCGATAATAAGTTCGATTGTGATTGGGAAAGAGATTGATTCAATTTTACGATTATCAAATGGTGAAAGTTAAGAGGAAAGAAAGTAAGGTAAGGTATTTAGAAAGTTACAAGACTATGTATGTTATAATAATTAATTTATGGTTGAAAAAAAAAGCTGTAAGCAGTGTAGTATCTGGTCTAATTATTTAAAGAAGATTTGAACGGGTTTAATCAAGATAAGTAAAGTCTAAGCTATTCAAAATTTGATATAACTTCAATTGCATGATAGAATTCCGTAAAATTAAAAGTTATTTTTATAAATTGGGTGAAATTAAGAGAGAATATGAATTTTAGATATTTTCTTGTCAAATTTAATGTTATTAGTAATAGTATAATCAAATTATTATTTAATTACTGATAATGAATTCTCGTAAAGTTTAATTAACAGTTTACGAAATAACTTGAATTTAAACAAAATAAGTTTAATGTATCGTCATTGATTAAAGGTTAATAGATCTGATCATGTAGAAGAATAATTTAAGAGGCGCAAAGAATAAAACAATAACCCTAGATGATGGTCATGGAAACTATTAGTGATATTGGAAATGAGGCAGTTAAACACTTGTCGAATAACCCCATAGTTTTGCAACTATATAAGTTTAATCGTCATAGCCTACTTTCTTTATATATCAAATTTTAACGCTTACATAAAAGTATGTATTTTTTTTTTATTACGCTTACATAATCGCTTACTTAAGAGTTAGGGGTACTTGAAATTTGGTAGAGGTATTGGTAGTTAACAACAACCGACCGAGATATCCTAAAAATAAAAAGTGAGGCAGTGATGTAATTACGCAGTATGAGGGGAAAGTACTACAGTATCTGTTTTTAGTAACTAAATTAAATTAAACTTTGTGTTATTTACAGTTTTTGTTTGCTGTTTTTAATTTTATTTTGCTGTGGATTACTTTGGTTTGTTTACAATTCAATTGATAGAATTGATAGATACAGTTGATGTTTACATTTTGATAGTCATAATAATAATAAATGGTTATGATTACGTAAATATAACTGATTTATAAATGCATGACTTAACTAGTTATATAAATAGGATATGTGGTATATACTATCTAGTGGTAGCTCGTTGGAGGTTGACAGTAATTAGTTACACAAATTAAGACATTTTGTCCCAAACAGGAAATCAATCTTAAAAAAAAAAATGAAAATCTTTTTTTGTCTGTCTGTCTGTAAGGAACCGCAAATTAAAAATTGTCTGACTAAAAAAAATTAGTGAGTAGATTGTTTTACTAACTAATATAAATATAATTTAATCAGTTTCAAAATATAATTTTTACCCACCACCCACCACATAAATTATATAACAATACAATACAGTACAATACAATTACACTATTTGTATCTTATAAAGTGTTACCCCATTTCTTTCTTCTTTGCCATTGTTTTAACTATTACTAGTTTGATCTCATCCTTTGTAAAAAAAGTTTCACTTTGATTTGTTATATATAATCAGTTTTTTACTTGTTTCAACTAGGCACATATATATATATATTCATATATATTCATATATATTCATATATTCATATATTTTATCAACTGTTCATCTGTTCATTAAGGTTTTATTTTACTTCAACGTATTATAACTTATCTCATCATATCTATTAACTACATTCATTCTTTATTATCTACTATTACCACTTAATGATCCAAGTCAATCATGTATAAATCTCAATCCAAACATCACTCTATTAATAATAATCCTCACAGTCAATTCTCCATCACTACCCCTTTAAATGACTTATATCCTGACTTACCCCAACAATATCAACTATTGTCAATCTTAGGTGAAGGTGCTTTCTCAATCGTCTATAAAGCCATTGATAAAACCACAAACTCCATCATTGCCATTAAAATTATCGAAAAAGTAAACCTATCACCAAAACAATTTAATAATATTCAAAATGAAATCATCATTATGAATAAATTATCAAATCATGATAATATCTTATCATTAATAAATTCATATAACACCCCAAACCATTGTTTTTTAATCCTTGAATATTGTAATGGTGGTGAAATCTTTAATAAAATCATTGAATATACTTATTTTTCCGAAAATTTATCTCGTCATATCTTTAAACAATTATTATCTGCCATTCAATATTTACATGATAATAATATTGTTCATAGAGATATAAAACCAGAAAATTTATTATTTAAAACTATCCCTCATTTTAATCAATCAACTACTACATTTCATCAAAATTTAAGAAAACTGGATGATGTTTCAAAAATTGATGAAGGAGAATTTAAAAATCATATTGGAGGTGGATCAATTGGCATTATTAAATTAGCAGATTTCGGTCTTGCCAAACAATTAATCAACCCCACCACCACTACATCATCATCTTCATCATCAAATCCAACTTCAACCAATCTTAATACTCCTTGTGGAACAGCAGGATATACCGCTCCAGAAATAATCACTTGTGGAACATCTTCAAAGAAAATAGCCCTTAAACAAAAGAAAATAAGTTATTCAAAAGCAGTTGATATTTGGTCCTTGGGTTGTTTCCTCTATACCATTCTTTGTGGATTTCCTCCATTCTATGATGATGATGCCAATCAATTAACTCATAAAATCATCACGGGTAATTATACATTTTTAAAACCATGGTGGGATGAAATTAGTCATGATGCAAAAGATTTAATTTCCAAGATGTTAGTTTGTGATCCAAATGTAAGAATCACCATTGATCAAATTTGGAATCATCCTTGGTTAAATGATGGTGATGAAACTTATTTTAATAATCATAAATATGAAGTATACCCATTTGAACAACAAAAAGAAAAAGTTGTGTTGGATGATGATGATGAAATTGTCAGTAGTACTTTGTTGGTACCCTCCTTCGATATTGTCTAATCAACCTTTGATATCTCCTAGAGCTGATGCTATTAGAAAAGTATTTGACAATCCTGCCATGCATCCTCGATTAGTTACGGCTGATGGGGTTAATGATATTGCTGTACAGTTCATTGAGAATATAAATGAAGATGTTGATGAAGAAGATGAAGACGAGGATGACGAGGAAGAAGTGGAGGATCCTCATCATGTCGACCATACTTTCTCTAATCAGCATCATTTATCATTGGATAATTATGATAATTTATCCATCCCCAAATCTCATAAAGTTTATCCAAAATCACCAAATCCAAATCAATTGAATTTTAAAAATGTATTTAAAATTGATAAGAGTAAATTACATTTATATAATGATGATGATGATGAAGAAGATGATGATGACGATGATGATGAAGATATTGATCAATTAACTAGTTTAACTAAGGAATTCTCCATCAATCGTAGAAATTCATCCAAACATCAATCTCAAGAGACGACTACCACCACTACAAATGCTACAACAGTGCCTCCACCTGCTCCTACTCGTAAATTCTCATTTGAATTGGATGATGAAGATTATGAATTATCATCAACCATCTCCAATTCAAATTCTACCGGATCTAATTCAGAACCAGATACAATTCAAACCAGATCTTCATCCATCATATCGGGTATGAATGGAGATTTCAAGTTCACATTAAATCTTAATGATTCAAATTTATTATCCAGAAGAAGATCATCAACATTATCGAGAAGTAGAAATCAATCTCATCCTCATATTCAAACTTCTACCCCGGGGAATTCATCACCTACATCTCCCAATCCAAATCTGATTATTAAAAGTACAACTTTAATGATCCTGGATTCTAATGATGCCACTTCATCTCCAAGTCTTTCTGGTAATTCAAATACTACCATAAGTGCTATACTCTGAGAGAGTAGTACGGTATGACCCCCTATTTTGCTATTCCTATCCTATCTCATTCTATTCAATTCAGCTACGTTACATACTTACATTCACGGTTCACAATATTATTATTATTAATATTATTTTTATATTTATATTCACATTCTCATTTTGATTTATTACAATTTAGCTTTTTCCATTCCAGCATCTTACATACATAAAGTATATAAAATACTCTCTATGTTTTGTATTTAACAAATATATTAATTCATTTCAGTTTATAACCAACCATCGTCAAAACTACTCGATTACGATTTAAAAAAAATCTCTCATAAAACATACTTATTTATTACTTTACTATATACAGAATAATTTATGATCTATCACTAGGTTTAATATCAGTAGCAGATGTAGCTTCTTCGTCTAATTCTTCAGGAATCAATACATCATTACTTTCCAATAATTCAGCTAATTCTCCACTCTTAGCCATATTCATAATGATATCACATCCTCCCACAAATTCTTTATTAACGTATAATTGAGGAATAGTAGGCCAATTACTATATTCTTTAATTCCATCTCTTAACTCAGGATCTTCCAAAACATTATAAGCAGCGAATTTACTTGGATCAACCCCTTGTTGTCCCAAAGTTTGAATAGTGGCTCTTGAAAATCCACATTGAGGGAATTCAGGGGTACCTTTCATGAATAAAACCACTGGTGTTGATGAAACAGCTTGATCTATGGCATTTTTGATATCAGTTGATATATATCTCACGGCAATATTGGAACGGACGAGAGGCTGGGGTTGGACCCTGATGGCGTTGATAAGTCCTCTTCTAAACATATTGGTAATTTATTGTAAACCTATTGAAGTGGCACTGTTATTAGTAGCTGATTATTGACCAAATGCTTACTCATCTAGTAATTATTAGTGGTTCAAAAAGCAACCACTGTTTTTTCGACCAATTTTTTGGAGTGGAGTGTATGCAGGAATTTGGTGACAATCCTAATTTTGAATTTTTTTTTTGCAATTAGTTGGCGGCTAAAAATATGATCTGGGATTTTTATAATTTTTGTTTATAATTCTTAATTATTCTTTTGTTTTCTATTCCTTTCTTCTTCTTCTTCTTCTTTCTTTAAGATATTATTCAAGTGTTTATTCAATCATACCTTATAAACATATCTCACATATCAACAACAACTACAACTACTTCCATCCCTTACTATGAAGTCATTAGGATTATTATTAATTCCAACTTTAGTTTCCGCCATATGGACTCCAGAAACAGGAGGTGATTGGTCTCAATTAAAACCTGAATCATCAGATTTACCAGGTAGCTTAGATACAGTTCTGTTCCCCTTTGGTATTGTCGTTAGTCCTTATGTTTTAAATAATGAAGGTGAATATGAAGAACCAACTATTTCTTCTGTTGTTAGATCTTTAACTACTACTGTTATTACTGCCGCTCCTAAACCTACTAGATCAATTGATATTATTAATCAAATTGAAGATGGTCAAGTTCAAAAGAGTCCATCTTCGGGTTCTAAAGGAGACGATGAAGAAGATGATGATTGTATTGGTGATGATAATGAATCTGTTGGTGTTCCAATTGAAGAACCTCAATCTCCAGCTCCAGCTCAACCACAAGTTCCAATGTTAAATCCAGTTCCTGTTGAAGAAGAAGTTGAAGAAGTTGAATGTCTTGATGATGATTATGAAGAACCTGTTAAAAAAAGATCTGAATTAGATTATGATTATGATGATAATGATGATGATGAAAATTATTTAACTTCACCTGTTTATGCTGTTGCTTGTTCATCAAATACAACTTTACAAATGACTCTTACTGATTCAATCTTAAGAGATTCAAGTGATAGAATTGGTTGTATTGTTTCTGGTCATCAATTTCAATTTGATGGACCTGTTCCCCAATATGGTGCTCTTTATGCTGCTGGTTGGTCAATTACAAATAATGGTCAATTAGCTTTAGGTAATTCAACTAAATTTTATCAATGTGCATCAGGTGAATTTTATAATTTATATGATCAACCAATTGGTCTTCAATGTCAACCTGTTACATTAGATGTGGTTGAATTAATTGAATGTTAAAAATCTATGAAGATATTATTATTATTAATAATATTATTATTATATATAGATTTATAGAAGTCTAGAGATTAAATTTTTAATTATAAAATTTAACTCTAATATATACAGCTAAAATTGATATTAATCTATAAACCACAAAACATGCTACTAAAGCACCAATATTAACACCCAATGAACCTCCTAATTTATAATATTCTAATACTGCTTTCCCACTATCTAAAGCACAATTTACTCCTTCAATACATTTAAAGGTTTGATTTTCAAAGCCTAATTGAGCAGTTATATCTACCGCATATTTCATGGGATTAATATAATTAATACCTTTAAAGAAACCTGGCATTTGTAAAGACATAGTACCACCCATGAACACCGCAATCATTATAATGATAGACAATACATTGGTGGCGAGACCTAAATGATGCAATAGACTATTCAATATTATACCCAATGATTCACCTGCATTAATCGATACGAATGAACAAAGAAGCATAGAAAAGAACATTGGAGCTGTTCTTGGAAGACCTACCACAAATACCACTAATGCACTGAATATCATGCTTGGGATGATTTCCATGGGAAGTTCGATGAATAAATAAGATAATGTGAATGCTGCTACTCCATATATACCATCTTTATATTCGTGGTAGAAGATATCTCTTTCGGTGGGGTATAGTGCGATATTGTTGATTAAACCAACGAAATATAAATTAAGCACTTCTTGGACTAACCCAAGTCGATTGGCTATACCCTGAGTAGTATGCTTCAAAGGAGAAAAAAACAAGGCGTGTATTATCCCTAAGAATATTGTTTGGAATAATCTGGCGAAAAGGATATCGAAGGTACGAAGTGTGTTTAGGAATTGTCGACTTGCGATAGTGAATAAAGTGATTCGAAAGGGTGATCTTTTCCGTTTATAATATTCTAAGCTGATTTCATGTCGAGGTATTGTTGGTTGATATTCTGTTCCATGTTGCTTCCATTGATATATCAAGTATAATATTCTTTGTTGAAATGTTTCTTCTTCTTCTTCCATGCTACGAGAAACTAAGTCTAATATGTGATTTGCAATATTTTGATTGTGAGGTATAGGATACTTCATTGATTCAAAATATGTTTTAACTCGTGTAGATTCTCCACTATAAATAACTTTACCACCTTTACTTAATAATAAAATGGTATCAAATTGTTTAATCATATCTTCATTTGGTTGATGAATAGTGAGAATGATAGTTGATTTATTCCATTTAGCAAGATCATTAATTAAAGTCAAGATTGATAATGCGGTAGCAGAATCTAATCCTGAAGTAGGTTCATCTAGGAATAAAATCTTGGGACGACTTAATAATTGAGTAGCTATTGAAACTCTTCTTCTTTCTCCACCACTTATACCTTTCACAAATTCTGATCCAATTAACGTCTCCGCACAATCTTTTAAACCCATCTTTCTTATTAATGTATTTATCAAAGCTGGAATTTCACTCCGATTTTCCAGTTTGGGGAATCTTAATTGAGCTTGGAAATAAAGAGTTTCTCGAACTGTTAAATTAGGAATTAATGATGTATCATGTTGCGAAACATAACCTGCAATTTGAGAAAGTTCTTCTGTAGTTAGAGATTGCCAACCATTGATAAACATACTCCCCAGACCATTAAAGTTTGATGATTTTGAAAGTCTGCTACATAGATAATTCAATAATGTAGTCTTACCACTTCCTGATGGACCCATTATGACATTAATTGACGAACTAGTAAAATTAGCGCTAACACCATCCAACAATAACTTTGTCGACTTTTTTCCAATGAATGTTTTAGGGGATACAGAAAGTTGAAGATTTTCGATGGTAATACTTATACCTTCATTAGTAGTAAGGGTGGTATCCGTAGGTAACGCTGGAGATGTAATTTGCAAGTTATCGGATTTATGTTTATCTGAAGTTTGATCGTCAGTTAGTTGATCTTCTTCTTCCTCACCACCAATTTTATTCTTCTTCTTTTTTGACATTGCCATATCATAATTCTTAAATCTAAGCCCTATACAGGTTAAGATTAAAAATCCAATCCACCACGCTACTAGTATTCCAATCGGTTCTCCAATCCAATTAACAGGAAATCCCAATACTGCTAATTGATAATTACCAGAGTATTCAGTACAATCAACACCAGGTCCAACAGGACAAGCACCATGCCAATTAGAGTACTGATTCGATGTTAAAGCTCCAAAAGCATACCAAAAATATGCCGTATATTTCAACCATCTCACATACACTGGCATAGTTGCGGCATTGATATAATAACCACAAGCACTATTTTGTAATTGATAAAAACAATTAAAGATCATAATGGCAATAGCAAAATCTCTACCAATAGCAAAACAAACCATTGCAGATGCCATACCTACTAATGAAGTTAAGATAGTAATAACTAAATAAATAAAAAAATGACCAACACCACCTCTTAACCCCCACATAAAAAACGTAATAATTGCGAAGATAATAGCAATAGGTAAATCTTCTAATAAAAGCTTTCCTGCTCTTCTTGAAATGATAAACCCAGTGATAGATACGTACTGTTCTTTATGTTCTCGAAAGAAGTTAATCCCCTCAACATCCCATAATCTTTCCAATTCAATGAAAACAGGACAAAATCCGACAATTTCTATCATTATATACACGGCTGATGTTATTGATCTAATACCAGCTAAATCAGGCTTTGGCTTAAAGAATAACCAACCAGTAATGAGAGCCAACACAAGAGAACCTCCATCCATCGCCAAGAGAGAAAATGAATCTCTATAAGTGGTTATGAAAGTCCTTTTGGTTAATATTGAAACCTCTGTCATGAATGAAATTCTTGAATTTTGTGGAGGTGAAAGCATAATAATTAAATCTTGAAAACAATTATCCGTTTTAGGAGTCACTGGAAGGAAAATGTGCTTTGATTGATCTTTCCAACACTGTACCAATTTATCAATCCTCTGGGTGGTTAATTGTTCTTGTCGTTTGGTAGAAGAGTCCTTCACCGATAAATCCATAATGAAATCGACGAAGTTATTTGATTCTCTCGTATTTTCCTTTTCATTATGGTCTGTTTCTACGTTTAATGTACTTACTTGATTGAGATAATTGGCCGAATCAATCAAACTTCCAAAATAAACTAATCTACCACCTTTTGTCAATAAACATATTTTATCAAATAATTTCGTGATCTCAATCCGTGGCTGATGAATGGAAATAATAATAGTTATACCAATAGCCTTCAGGGATAATTGTTTCAAAATTTGAATTAATTTTAATGAGGAACTTCCATCCAACCCAGTAGTAGGTTCATCTAAGAATAAAAGTGACGGTCTATTCAACAATTGTATGGCCAATGATAATCTCCGTTGTTCTCCACCTGATAAAGTAATTGAACCTGATGTAAGCATGGTATGTCGTAAATGATTCAACTCTAATGCATCTAATAATGCGTTAATCAAGTTGAGTTTCTCTAATTGTGTGACGCTTTTGGGTAAACGAAGATCAGCTTGGAATTGAAGAGTTTCAAATACAGTTAAACGATCCAAAAATACATCATCTTGTAATAAATATGAATTCTTTATCTTTGTTTCCTCACTTACTGTTGAATAATTGATATATCCTGAGAAAATCATTTGTTTATTGTCAACATTTAATCTAGACGACAATGTATTCAATAAGGTTGTTTTACCACTTCCTGAACCTCCAACAATGGCCACTAATTCGGATTCATTTATATTAAATGAAACCCCATCGAGAATTCTCGCCTCTTCTGTAACTGGTTTCTCCCCGAGATCTTGCTTATGTTTCTTCTTTGAAGGTATTGATACTGTAAGATCTCGGACTGTTAAGCTAACTCGATCTTCAGGCGGGATAGATAATATCTCCCAGCTAAGGTTTGATGACATCGGTTGTATTTAGGTACCGTTTGCACTTTACTATTATGTAACAAAATAGGCCAACCATTTTGAAGATATAAAGAATCAATTTATATTGAAGTCAACTAATTCTGAGGGTCTACTAACCATGACTCAACCTTAGCGGAAGTTATCAAAAGCAAAAGTTTAACCAAATACTGCTTGGAATTAATTAAACCCGTACATAAATGCCGCTTAGATATGCTAAATATAGCCTTTTGAATTGAATCCCGTACCCGTTTTTAACAGTATATAACTTTAAAATAGAGTTGTTGCTAACATCCTATTTCGCTCGTTTAGTATACTTGATTTCCGCACCCAAATTTGGAAATTCATTCCTTTTTTAACTTTATGTCGTGCACTTCTGTCAAAGTTGAAGACATATTTTGCCTTTGTAAATAGCAATCTTAAATATATGGAAACGGAACCAAGTCAAATGGTTATAAATCAATAGCAAAGTATCCGAGAGGTTATGATATGATTTAGTGCCATTTTGACTAATAATACCTTCAAAACCATACTAATGCTTTGGTTGCAATTTCACCTTATTAATGGTTGAAATTATAATTAGGCTTTAATCAGTGAGCCACTATTTTTTAGATTAAGTTTCGATAATCATTTAGTCCGCCAAAATTTAAATAAATGAGACTAAATACCCCGTAACTTTAACTCGAAACTGAACTAATATAAATGGATGCATATACCGTTAGATTCATCTTTATTTGTTATGTTAAAAACGTTGGTCAATGATTTCAAGGAATAGTGTGTAGATCTTGTTGATTCTCCCGCTGGGTGTTCTACAATTTACTGTCAAAATAGGGAGAAAATATACGCAGTGAGAGGTGATGGTGCCGTCTCATTAAACGTCTTGCACTGCCCGCTTTTTGTCTTTATTTTGTCTGACGTAATGAGGGGATCGCACCAAAAAACACCAATTTAAAATCTCTGGGAAATTTTTTTGCATTTTTCGCGAAGATAGCTGCGTCGGACAACTGGGCGATAATTCCTACGTTCTAAATTTTATAAACAATAGAGGGTTTACAAAGCTAGCCTTTAGAATCCATTGATATGATTAAGTTATTATATTAAAGATAAGTATCTATACACCAGATCCAGTTATGCTAACGGATCAAAGAAGTCTTGAAACCTTGTGTTCAGGAATAATCTCATCCCCATTGTAGTAACCCCCTCACTATCTTCATAATTATTATTATCATCAATTAAAACTTTACAAGTAGAACCAACTGTACTTTTCAATCTTAATTTATAATAACTCTCTTGATTAGCCAATACTCCAAACCTTTTCAAATTCAAACTTATCGTCCAAGTGAAGATTGCACATATTAATCCCAATAAAATATCAACTCTCCAATGATGATCTAAATACATGGCCGACCACCATTCACCTAATAAATATACTATAGCCACGAGTTTAAACCAAGAATACCTTGAATAGAAACATACAAAGAACACAATCAAACTTGACATGGATGCATGGATGGAGGGACATGATGTGAATTTATTAGGAGCAACATAATAAACGGCTCGATATAATGAATCGCCTAGTTTCATATCTTGACGTGTAATACCATCTGTATAAGGTAATTCATTGGTTGGAGTCATTGTTTCTCCATATAACTTAATGAATAAAGGAGGAGCATTAGGGAACACAAGATGAATCATGGCAATTAAAATATTATTAAATCCAATTGTTGTTATGAAGATTTTTATAGAATTTGGGGGATGGAAAAGGTATAACCATACCACAACCACTATGGGTGCTACTAAATGAACTATAACGTAGAAAGCCCAAGCAGTAATATTATTGAATTTTGTAACATGATCCTTTTGGGAATATAATAAGTTGATGATAACCCATGATAAGTTTAATAATATTAAAGGTGTAGTTAACCATGCATTGTAAGGTAAATAACCCACTTGATCAATTTGATTGATTAATTTTTGATTTATAGGATCATTATCAGTATCCTCAGATTCTAAATCGAGGGATGATGATGATTCAAAAGGATCTGAATCTTCAAGAAATGATTTTTCGTAATCGAATGAAGAGGATGATGAAGAACTTGATGAAGAAGTTCGAATAGTTGATGGTTGAAATGCAAGGAAATGTAATTTATGATTCTTATTCGGAGGGACATAATTATAATAATTATATTCGAGTAATAAACTTCCTGTTACTACACATAACAAACATGATAATGGACCAATTAAATGTTTATCTAGGCTGAGCACACCGACGTCAAAAATATAATTATCAAATCTTAATAAGAATTTAGTGAGGATATAAGGTCGAGGTAAGATATTTATGAGGATAATAATGAACAACCATATGAATATTGGGATCAAATACATCATGAAATTCTTCACGAAAGTTGGAAATGGTTGATTATTTAAAATTGACCATTTTAATTTTTTTAATCCTCCATAAATAGTGGTAAATTGTGATAGTATTGTTGTTTTTAAATGTGTGAGATTATTATATGACATATTCCCAGATGGTAGCAGTCAAAGGTATGAATATATGGGGGGGGGGGGATAAATGATACAGTTTACGAATGAAAAGAAAGTATCAAAACTTTTAAAAAAAGAGAAAGATCTATAAATTAATGTATATATTTTGAATGGAAGTCAAGTTATCTATAAAATTTTGTTATAATAGTAGAAACGAAAGCGGATGTATAGCCTAATTCATTTAAGGCTCGTAAGACTATTAATTTCTTTTTTTTATTTTTGTCTTTTTTTTTTTTTTTTTTTTTTTTTCTGTCTGTTTTTGTCTTGTTAATACTTGTTATCTTTGTCTTAAAATTAATGGTGCAAACGATCAAAAAACAAAAAATCAGACACAAAAATGTGTAAATACAGGAACAGTCTATATACAGGAGAAGACTAAATCTGTCACCAATAGTAATAAACTTGACTGTAATCCATTTGAAAACTATAGTAACCATATATATAAATGATATTATTCCACTATTTATGAGGACAAAACTGTTATTAGAGTGTATTGACATACCGAATCAACAAACTAATATTCATTTTAATAAGAATTATAATGATATCAATGATATTGATGGTGGGAGTGCTGACCAAGGCACGTCTATTAGCATAGTGAATCAAACTATTCATTGCTTATTTAAAGACAGGATATCCAAACATAGCTTCTATGAGAAGCAACAATTCAATAACGGTACTGTTAATGATTTTGAAGTTTATGGTATAGCGTGTGGTTCGTCAATTGGATTAGAATCATATATGACGATCCTCCAATCGAATCTTACTGAATTCGATCAATTACTTGAATACTTGAACTTGATTTTGAACGGGTCAAGGGAGATTGAAATAGCCCAAGTAATCAATTTACTTATTATTGATAATATATCAATATATTATTGGAAATTAAAGTCTGGAAATACCAATACTACTCATGTATATGCTACATTTTATGATTTATTGAATCAGATCAAATCAAAGTACAAATGTAATGTGTTAATAACGTCGTTTGATGTTAGGTTTGATAAAGGATTTAACTGTAATTGGACTAAATCGATTGAAGTTAGTAAACTCAATAGTTTGAGTTATTTGCCTGCTACATATTTAACAAAATTTGATTTCATTATTCATGTTGATACTACTGTCAATAAACCTACAAATGATTCAACTTCAACCACTGCAACTACCACTTATAGATACTTTAATAAAGTATCCAACAATTGGATAAATCTACAATAGCACAACTCAGAATGCTGTTCCACTAATTTTATAAAGTGTTTTTTTTTATATTTTATTTTAAATTGATGTATATATAACAACTTTAATGAGATCATGACGAAGAAAGAAAATAATTTTAAATGTAATAAATGATTAAATGTAGGATGAATTCAAAATGATAACTCTTACATAACAGTTAAATCACCGAATTTTTCTTTATAAGTTGGAACTTCCCATTTACCGTTCTTAACCATATAAGTAACCTTTTCATCTAAATCTGGTCTGGCTTTAGCAACATCATCAACAGTTAATTGATCAAATGGTCTAGCACCTTCAATATCCTTTAAGGTTAATTGTAATTGTTTGATTTCTTCTAATACTGATTTTTCAGTTAATTTAGCATTTTCAATGGCTTTTTCTTCAAAAATTTCAATATTCTTTAAGTTCTTGGAAACATCATAAACAACTGGTCTGAATGAAGTGACGGATTTTTCAATTTCTTCCACAACTTTACTATTCTTTAAAATAGATTTATAATGATTGAAATTAACTTCAGTTGATTGAGAAGTTAAAGTAAGATATTCCTTTTTAGCTTCATCATTTCTTTTCTTGAATGCAGTTAATGAAGCAGCAGTTGATCCAGTCAATCCTAAAGACGAAATGACTTTGGTCCAATCTAACTTGGTGGATACAGTCTTGGCAACAGATGACATGATATTATACCTGTAATTGAATGATTGTATGTATAGAATATGATCAAACTTGGAGTCAATTGTTATTAAATATCAAACTCTTCAAGTTTTTTCTACCAAAAGGTTTGTTGGAATAGTCTATAAGTTTTGGTAAATGAGACACGACCATCAAAAATCTCGGTTTAAGTAAATCAAATAACCAATTAAAAATTTGAATTAATTTTCAAAATTAATTGTGTCAATAGACACGACCATTTTGAGAGTCACCTGATCAATCACATGATCAGTTTATAAATTTAAAGATTTTGACATAATAGTTGACACCAGCCAGATCAAAGGGATTTAATTGTAGGCTATAGCTTTGTTCCAATAGTAATCTATCATAATTCAATCCCAATCAATATAAATACCAGCTTGATGGTATAATAAAGCAGTTATCATCCCATTGTCATTGATCCTCATTCAAACATCGTATTATATAGACTTTCTTATCATTATAATCACACATATATAAAGAACAAAACAATATGGCACCCACTAGCCAAATGAAAGGATTGACTCAATTCATTGTTGATTTAAGAAATTCCAAAGATACAGAAGAGGAATCTAAACGTATTAACCTCGAGATCAACAATATTCAAACCAAATTCAATTCAGACTCAAGTTTAAATAGTTATCAACGAAAGAAATATCTATGTAAATTGGTTTATATATATCTTAATGGATATTATGAAAACATCGATATAGGTTTAAATCAAGCTCTTTTGTTAATCAAATCACAAATATATACCGAAAAGCAATTGGGATATCTTTCCATATCAATCTTAGGTAATAAATTAACCAATGCCAATTCATCCATAAAGGATAATATAAATAATCTATTACATTTAACTCACGCTGATTTAATCAAAGATTTACAATCAAATAATGAAGATTTCAACTGTTTAGCTATCCAATTCATCGCGTCAAATTTTAATATCCATGGTAATACAACTTTTATTGAAGAATCTGATGAAAGTGCGTTGGATTGGTTACAATTGATTGATATGGTATATTCATTCGTCACATCTCCAATCCATAAATCCATAGTTAAGAGAAAAGCGGTCATTGCGTTATACAGTTTAATTAAATTATACCCCAATGTCATTATAACTAATAATAATTGGATTCCTCGATTATTGACGTTGATAGATGATCAAGATTTTGATGTTTTAATATCTTCAATTGCATTAATTGAATATATTATTCAATTAAAACCACAATATATCAAATCCATCATTCCAGCTATTTCATCAAAGTTACATAGTATCATCATTGAAGATAAGTGTCCTCAAGAATATTATTATTATAAAATTCCAGCTCCATGGTTAGTAGTTGGTTTATTGCAATTAATTGAACAAATATTCTTAATGAAAGAAAATGATCACTCCGTCTTCTCCATATCTGATATTGATGATACTACGTTAAATAATTTAAGACACGTAGTTTCAAAATCGATCCTGAATGCATCAGTACCAATCAAAGGTTTACCTAATCGTAATTCTCAAAGTTCAATATTATTCCAAGCAGTATCATTAGCTATATTTTTAGACGCGTCAGAAGATGCCATAAATGGAGCTATCAATGCTTTGATGTCATTATTAAATTCAGCCGATACAAATACAAGATATTTAGCCTTGGATGCATTAATCAAATTAACTTCAAGACTGAATCTTATAATTGAAGTTGATGATATCAAAATTCCTAAATTATTCCAATTATTAAATGATAAGGATATTTCCATTAAGAGAAAAGCTTTGGATTTATTATACACAACATGTACACCTTTAACATATACTGGTATAATTAATCGATTATTGGATTATTTCCCCTATGCTGAATTTAGTTTAAAATCCGAATTAGCCATCAAAATAGCTATTCTTTCTGAGAAATTTGCAACTGATTCAACTTGGTATGTGACGACTATGTTAAAATTATTATCAATCAGTGGTGGATCAAATTCAAATGGGATTAGTTATATCGGGAATGAAGTTTGGGAGAGAATTATTCAAATCATTGTTAATAATGAATCATTGCAAAAGAAATCAGGAAAATTGATCATAAACTTATTGAGAAATCCATTAGTTTTATCCAACGGTCAATCCTCTCAACCTATCGCTATGGGTCTATCAGAGAGTTTAATCAAAGTGGCCGCCTTCTTGTTGGGTGAATATGGTTATTTAAACCCAGATGATATAAACTTACAATTTCAATTATTATATGATGCCTACTTTAAAGTTTCTTTGATAACCAGAGCTATCTTATTAACGACCTTCTTAAAGTTCTTAGTTAAATTCCCCGATTTCGATTTTGTGCCTGAAATTATTGATTTATTTGAAATAGAATCAAAATCAATCGATTTAGAAATCCAAACCAGATCTTGTGAATATTTAAAATTAGCCACTATTCAATCAAACTTCATCTTAGCTAATAAAGTGATCAAACCATTACCAGCATTTAGAAATGTTCAAAATCCATTGATTCATCGTATTGGTGGATATCACGATTTAAACCGATCCAGATCAACTATAATAGGTAAATCCATCAAGAAGAACACGACTGCGGCTGGAGGGTTAGCCAGTGAGGAAACAGTCGTTGGCGCCGATGATAGCGTTAACGGTGCTGATGATACTAATCCATTTGATGACTCAAAGACGACAACCGCACTTTCTCCAAACTGGTATCAAGGATACTATAGAATGCTTCATTTTGATGCTGGTATTTTTTATGAGAATCCATTGATTAAGTTAACTTATAGAGTTATTAAGGAAGGTAGTAATATATTATTACGTTTCACTGTTATTAATAATTCTAAAAAGACAGCTGGAACCGATATTACCAAATTTACAGTATTGGAATTGGAGAGTAAAGCTGGAAATAAAGATCCTAGTTATTTACTTAATTTGAAGCAAGTTCCGGAATCAACTATCGAAGATAAGTCGAATTTAGAAATTGAGATCAAAGTCCGTGGAATCGTTGAAAATAATGAAAGTCCGGTCTTATCACTAACATTTACTTGTGGTGGATCATTCAATCAACTTCATTTGAAATTTCCCGTATTGTTAATCAGAACGTTGTCAGCAACTGCTTTAGGTAGTTCTGATGATTTTGAAAAGAGATGGTTACAAATAGGCAATTTGCTAGGAACAAAGGAAGGTGAATCAATAAATATTGTTAAGATCACCTCAAATTCATTTTCTTATTCTAATATTATAAGACTTTTATCAAGGTTAGGATTTGCGATAGTTTATACAAGTCCTGAAACAACTCCTAACGATTTATTAATTAAGGGTGCGGGTATATTACATACACAAAAGTCAAATTATGGAGTATTAACACAAATACAAAGTGTAAATTCAGATCCAAATAGTTATAAGATAATGGTTAGATGTACTGGTGGTGGAATTTCAGAAGTTATTGCCTTAACTTTAAAAGAAATTCTAGAAGAGAAAATCTAGGCGTGTTAAATTCGCAGCAAAATTATTGTGAAATCCGTTGCAAGGAAGGGTTTGGTTCGGTTATATAGTTTTACAAACTTTTAGTTAAATAGGGTATTATAAAAGTAGGATGTTTTATGAAATAAATTACAATCACCATTTTTAAACTATAACTCGAAATCGATTTACCTTCATTTGGGTTAGTATTGGATTGAAGAATTACTAAATAAGTAATGCACTGCCAACAAGGAGCAATTATATACGAAAGTACCACATACAATATAATATCACAGTGAGGGGTCTTGCATCATCTTGCTGACATCTCTATGTTACCACGCTGTTAACCCAACTTATCCATGAAACTAGGCTTCTAATGACAGCTATTCTATAACAAATTTAGATTCCTAATAAGGAAGATTGGAAATTTCGCATTTCCTAATCGGGCAATTTTTTTCTTTTAGTTAGTACAATTTTTATAGTGAGTGCACTACACTGTTTTGCAACTGTGTAAAATACTTTAAATAGTGAAAAGTGCCCTCTTGAAATTTGATCTATATCAGTTCCTTCGTATGCCAGAGATAACTGATACTTAGAACTTACTCATATCCTCTCCTTTCCCTTCCATATCATCCATCACCCTTTATACATATCATGAGAGTAATTCAAAGTAACTATCTACTGCTCTTGAGTATCATCTACTGCTTGCATTTAGTAGTTGGTGCTCCAGCAATCCTTCCATTATTTGAAACCTTATTAGGTACACCTACAACTGATGTTGCTGCACCAATCCCTACTACTTCTGCCACTATTGCAACCATTAATCCTACCACTGCTATAATTGCAACAGCTCCCCCAACAACAGCTCCAGTAGCTCCAATTATTCCCATCACAACTTCCATAGCAGCTGCTCCACCAGTTACCACGACCACATCAGTTGCTCCCGGAGCTCCAGCGGCAGCAGTCGCCCCGACTTCAACAGCTGGTGATTTTGAATCTGAGGTCACATCGTTTTTACAGAAATGGGTAAGCTACTTCAAAGGAAAATTTGATGATCCTGCAGTTTCAGCTGCTGCTCCAACTGTTTCAGCTGTAACTCCATCTGCTGTTGCTCCAATAACTACCAGTCCAACTGTTCCAACAATTGTCGCTCCAATTACTTCCAATCCTTTGACATATTTAAGTCCACTGCCTGTTTCTACTTTATTACCATCACTTGTCTTACCAACTGCTTCCATTATTTCAATTCCTCAAGTATCTCCAACTTCATCTATATTTACTCCATCAACATTAGTCACTTCTACTCTTTCTCCAGTTTCAACGTCAGCTGCCGAGACTGGTACTTCAACTGATGGAATTTATGATGCTATTTATGATTCACAAGGAATTAATGTTACTTTTGCCATACTGATTTTAGATGCTCATAATCAATATAGAGCCATTCATCAAGTAGCTCCATTATCTTGGGAAGTATCAGCTTACAGTTATGCTCAAAACGACGCTGATAATTACGACTGTTCCGGTGTATTGACTCATACTCATGGACCATTTGGTGAAAATCTTGCCGCTGGTTTCCCTGACGGCCCTTCGGCTGTTGCAGCCTGGTATGCCGAGGGATCAACTTATGACTATTCCACCGAGAGTACATACAATCATTTCACCCAAGTTGTTTGGAAAGGATCTACAAAAGTTGGTTGCGCTTTTAAAAATTGTCAAGCTGAAAACTGGGGTTTATACGTTGTTTGTGAATATGATCCACCAGGTAATGTTATTGGTGAAGAACAAGCTAACGTCTTACCACCAACCAGTTGAACTTACGAAGAAAAACATTCATATTTATATAGATTATATCATTTAACGTTATTAAAAAATAAAATTCGGTTTTGCTTTTGCTAGTATATGTGTAGACTCTAACGGGAAGCGAATAAAAAAAATATTTGTAAAATAATTTGACGAATTGATGCAAATACTGAAGCTAGTCTCTGATAGTTGATTCATATGTATTATTTTGAAAATGGTCTACGTAAGGTGACTCCCTATTACCTTAGATTCAAGACTCATCCTAAACCAAGATGGATAGGAAAAACTGTTTTGGAAATTTTCACTACAGAATTTGCTGACTCTGAAGAAGCTCTCATCCAAGATATCAAAGATGAATTACTATACATAGAAGAAAACTTTGGTAAGAAAGGAGGAACTAATACTATACGAGGTTTGGAAAGCTTAAGATGGAGGAAAACAGATAGATTCGACGTTATCCATAATTCAAAACATATGCATGAACCAAGTGTACCTGATACTGAAGTAGGTATTGTATTCGAAGATGATGAATTCCTAGTTATAGACAAGCCATCAGGTATACCGACACATCCTACAGGAAATTACTTTTATAATTCAATAACAGAAATACTAAAGAAGGAAAATGGTTATGTCAATCTCTGGCCATTTCATCGACTTGATAAAGTAACATCTGGGATTTTAATATTTGGTAAATCAAAAGCTGCATCTCAAAAATATCATGATTTATTCCAAGGTAATCGTGACAAAATCACGAAAACTTATATAGCAAGAGTTGTGGGGAACTTTCCTGAAGAAGAGACAATGGTTAATTGTCCTATTTTTATGGTCAATTCAACTGGTGGTTACATAAAACCTTTAAATGCAGAAATGTTACCAGTTAATTCAACGACGGTTTTTACCAGATTAAAGTATAATGAGGAAATGAATGAAAGTGTCGTTCTATGTAAACCATTAACAGGCAAGATGCATCAGATAAGAATTCATCTAAGAAATTTAGGGTTCCCTATAGCTAATGATGTACTTTACAATCCACTGATACCAGAATTACCTAATCACGAAGTGAACACCATAAACAACAGCATAGAAGTGGAGCTATATAAAAGAATTTTTCAAAAGCATCCTGAGTTTGGACAATTTCAAAGAGTAGATCCTCTGGTTGTCAAATCAGACGAATGTATTGACTTGTTTACAATTACCAATTTTAGAAACGATTGCTCCATTTTATCGCAGGTTGAGAAATTGATAGAAATTAGACAAGCAAATCTTCAAAAGCTTAAAGATGATCATGATACTGTCTGTGATGTTTGTCAAAGAGAAATATTTACATCAGATAAGGATATGACTGATCTGGGAATATGGCTACATTCGTACAAATATGAATGTGATGAAGAAAATGGATTTCAATATACAACAGAGTTACCTAAATGGGCCGACATATAAATTTAACGTCTTCTAACAGGTTTGGGGTTTAGGAACGGATACTTTGGTAAAAATCCAGGGACTCTTTGTGGTCTAACTGTATTATATAGGGTAGCTTTTGATCTTAAGTTATTTAGATCACCATTTTTAAACTTAGCATCTCTGTAACTTTCAATTAGTTTAGTTTGTAATTGCTTATGATGTAAGATTTTATCCACGCTAGATAATAAATCCCCTTGGCATCGATCTATTTCTTCAGATGTATTTGGAACTCTCTTAAATGAAAACTTGTATATACCAGCTAGATCAAGAGCTTTTGGATCATTTTTATCTTCAACTTCTTTGACAGCATTGAACAATAATCGTTTCAATAACTTTCTATAACGTATTCTCCCAAAAGCTGTTGAAAATGGTGTAAGTTTCTCCATAAAGAATGTATTAGCTTTATAACGCCCCTTATACAGATTCACACTTTTCTCAAGTTCTGGATCATTTAACTTGTATCCACCATGGTTTTGGAATGTATATGCAATATTAGACTTTCTATACTGTGCAATAAAATGTTGTTTGGGTATGAATTTCAAATTGAAAAAATCATTATCGATTAATAGTGGGATCTGATTCATACCTTTGAAAAAGGTGAGACCAAAATAAGCTTCTGGATCTACTCCTTTAATATCAGTTGGCACTTGGGGTAGCCTTCGACTATCAGAATAAGAAGATATGGATTGCTTCACACTGTGATCTGGTATGTTCGAGCTGTAATTACTGAAGTCCAGCTTATCAATAAATTTTGCTGTGACAGGGATAATTGATGGTATCGTAGTAAATTCAATCACCTTTTTCTTGACTTTTTGACCAACGGCTTGATTGGAAATCTTGGAGACATCACTAAGATGCCGTATGAAGTTCATATTACTTGGATGATTGTACGCCTTATAATTAACAAAATTTAAACTATAATACATTATTTATACACAAAAAAAATCTAAATGCAAAATTTTGAGAGAACCGAGAAATCTATAAATTAGGAAGCCATAAAGACACAGTTGTATCAGCGGTAGCTACGTTAAGAAGTTTGGGGTTGAATGCTAGGATTTTAGGAAGACCTCGTGGACTTGGGATCTTTGTTAAAGGACGTAATATCTTTGGATTGTCATATGGCAGAATATGATGTGATTTTCCATCTGTTGATTTCAAATCTGTGAGATTAAATACTTGAACTGTTGATTGTGGTGTACCAGCTAAAACGAACTTACCACATGGTGAAAATGTAGCTGATCCACTAGAAGGATATTCGAATGAAAACCAATCACCATTAAATGATTCTTCTGATTTTGGATCCAATTGAAGTGTAGTTATTAATTGTCCCAGAAATGAATCTAAAATATAATGGACAGGAGAATCTGTAACTATGAGGACCAATTTACCATTATTTGAGAATTCAATCTTGGTCCACTTTTGTTTAGGTAATATTTCCACATTGGCTTGTAAAAATGGTGCTTTATCGAGAGTCTTAACATCATAAAATGAAACCGTACCAGTTTTGGAAGAGCTATTTGGATCAGGGTATCTTCCTACCACAAATATCATTCCCCATGGATCAAATGCTATAATGGAAGATTGTCCAACTACTATATTCCCTACAGGTGAACTTGATCTCAAATCCCAATATTTAACAGTATGATCCAAACTAGAACTGAGAAATGTATCACTGATAGGATGAACCTCTATAGAAGTAACTTGTTCCTTATGACCCTTAAAGTATCGTATATACTGATTATCTGCCAATGATAAGTAACGGATGGCATGGTTAGCTTCATCTTCCAAAGATGGAGTTGATGCATATAAACAATTCAATTCATGATGGGTAAATCGAGCCAAATGAGCTCCATACTTCTGGGACTTAATATCTTTATGATGAGTTCCCTTATGAGTGTCATATAATTGTATAGACTTATCTATTCCAGCCGATATCAAGTATTGACCAGTTTCATCAAAATCAAGTGAAGTTATAGACGCACCTTGATGATAATCGAATTTCTTAGCAGGTCTGAAAGACGATATAACTTTTTCTGTCAATTGTATCGTACTAGATGAAGACCTTTGACCTTGATTTGAACTCGACATCAACTTAAAACATAAACTTTTCCATAAAATACTTCAAATTAAATAATATAATCATAATTCATAATTGTTTATAGACTTAAAGTTTATGAAAGATTTTTGATTGCCTGCATATAAAATCATTGTGACCTGTATATAGTCTTCCGATCACAAAATCCTGTCATTCCATTTTGCCCCAAACAAATATAGGGGACAAATCAAAAAAAGTGAATGAATTGACTCTCAACCGATTTCTATATATCAATAATTAGCATTTATAAATCATTCCTAAATTTAAATTAATCAATTGAATCAGTATTGAATAGTTCGCTGTATAATGACAGAACCTGCCACTCCATTTAAGGTTAAATCAATCTTTGAATATAAGTCAGAGTTTGAAGATGATTTGACTTTCCCCATTGGAAAGATTATCACAGTAATTGAAGTGGAAGATGATGAATGGTTTTCGGGTGAATTGGATGGTAAAACAGGTATGTTTCCAAAGAATTTCGTCGAGATACTTCCCGTCGAGCCAGCAGTTCCTGTTCCAACATCTCGTCCAACTCCAAAGAAAACTGTATCTTCGGCTGTGGTGGCTCCTATTGTCACTCAGACTGCGAAACAAGTTGAACCTGACCATAATAAACCAATATCACCTACTAGTCCATCAGTTGAAGCTAGAAGATCATCAATTGGTAGTGGTGTTAAAGTCCCACTTCCATATCAAAGCAATCAAAGAGTTGCTGATCCTTATAGTATAAAGAAACAATTTGTTGCTGCTGGTCATTCATCTTATGTTCCTCAAATTAAGCCAAGAGATGATTCTAATATAATTTCACACGCGTTACATGATGTTACCACCGATGATAAAGATATTGTTAAATCCACCCCAGTATCTGAGAAACAAATTGAACATGAAGAAGAACCTAAAGTCAGTTTAAAGGATCGTATTGCTTTATTGCAAAAGCAACAACAAGAAGAAGCTGAACGTGAGATTGCTTCTTTGAAGAAGAAAGAAGAAAAGAAGAAAAGACAAGATGAGGCTAAAGAAACTACCAGACATAGAAATGAAGTTCAAGAAGCTGAACTTGCTTCTCAGAAGAGTGGTGATAATGAAAGTTTAAGTAGAAGAAGATCAATTGATAGTGTTGAGAGTATGAGACGTCAAAATTCAATTCGTGATGAATTCATCCAAGAACATGGTGAAGACATAGATGAAGTAGAAGAAGACGTTCATCCAGAAGCAGAATTGAAAGAGGAAGAAGAGGAGGAGGAGGAGGAGGAAGTCGAAGAAGAAGATGGCGATGATGGAGAAGCAGAGGATGAAGAATCTGAAGATGAAGAACTGAAGAGAAGAAAATTAGTCGAACGTATGGCTAAGATTTCTGGTGGTAGAAATATGTTTGGTATGATGGGTATGGCTTCACCATTTGGAGCTGCCCCTCCTCCAGCTGCTACTGAGAAAGCAACCAAACCTAAAAAGAAGACTACTAAAGCTGTTGAATCTGTGCAACCTTCTGAACCAACAGAAGCACCAAAATCAATTCCAATCATTCCTAAAGTTGAAGAATCACAACATCCTAAACTTCGCGAGTCTTCATCAATGGTTGAAGAAGATAGTGATTCTGATGATCGTTATGTTGAAGTTGAGAATCCAACTGTTAATTTAGATTCACCATTGAATAATCCTAGTGGACCAATATCCAAACAAATCATTGAAGCTTCGGACAGTGGTATTGATGATATTAAGAAACCAACTGATCAAATTAAAATCACAAGACATGCCACTGAACCAGAAGCTACTGGATATGAAGCTGATGAAGATTTATCTGATTTAAAGACCAATACGATTGATAGTGATATTGAGATTCCTCCTCCTCCACCACCAACTAAGAATACATCTACTCCTCTTAAAAAAGAAGTTGATGAAGATGAAAAAGAAATTGAACATCGTCCACCCCCACCACCTATTCCCTCATTACCATCATCAGTTCCACCAGTTCCGCCAGTTCCACAAGTACCAGCTGCACCACCCCCAGTTCTGTCACGACCACCGCCCCCAGCTCCTCCAACTTCGCATTTACCACCTCCTCCTGTGCCACCAATTCCACCAGTTCCAAGTAGAGGTATTGATGAACGTGAACAAGATATTGAAGAAGAGGATGAAAGTGAGGAAGAAGAAGAAGAAGATACTCCGGTATTATCACATCAAGAGATTTCTCATGGCGATGATGATGATGAGTTTGCATTCACTCCAGCAGCACCAACCAGAGCAAGTACGGCTCCAACTCATTTTGCTCCACCACCTATTCCACCTATTCCAACTTCTATCCCACCTGTACCATCTACGTTTGTACCTCCAATTCCATCTAATTATCCACCTGCTCCAGAAGTAGTTAGACGAGCATCTACTGAAGTTTTCCATCAAGCTCCATTAACTAGTAATTCTACAGGTGCATCAATTGGATCAAGACAATCTCTTGATTCAGGTTCACGTAGTAGATCCTCCAAAACAACTAAATCCGATCAATCCCAAGCTGAACTTGTATTTGATGAATTACACGAGGAAGTCAATATCAATACGGTTTCAAATCAACAATGGTGGTTGAATGATGAATTACCGGATAAATTAACTTCTAAGATTGGTAATGATTTAATCTTTGAGATTGATAAGAATAGTATTGGCAAAAGAGGAAGTCGACAAATTGAAATTAAAGATTATTATATTTTATTTTACGACTTATCTCAGATTGTGATTGAATTACAATATGAAACAAGAGATCCAAGATCAACCGTTAAATTAGTTAATTTCTTCATAAAACCTATCCCGATTGTCAGAAAAGATTTATTAGATAGGTATCATCGTAATTTCAGTTCATTAATCGTTAATGCTGCTTCACAATATTTAGGTCAAAAACTTAGTGATAATATTGTTAAGATAATTCTTGATTCTCCACAAACTTCAAACAACACACTCTTACATACGATTGGAAACAAATCCTTCGGTGTAACGATTTATAAATCATTAAAGAGTAATTCGAATGCTACCGTGGAAAGAATCGATGATATTAAAGCGGGTGATATCTTGTGGATTAAGAATGGGAAATTCCAAAGTCATAAGGGATTAGTTGGTTCTAAATCAATTTCTACTGGTGATGAACATACTTCAATTATTTATGAATATGATAATTCAAATAAGAAGGAGAAATTAAGAGTTATTGAAACTGATGCTGCTGGTAATGTCAAACGAGAAACTTATAAATTAAGTGAATTTAAAAGTGGAAGAATTAGAATTTTTAGACCAGTTGGTAAAGATTATATAGGATGGAATTGATTAGATTCGGATCCTCAAAAAGTTTTTAAAAAGCTGCAAAAAAAAATTAATTGTAAATTACAAAGATTATTAATGAATTTGTATAAAATATTTTGTTTTAAAGATTATAATTATGAATAAATAAATAAATAACTATACTATATACCAAATCCCCTTGAATGAAATGCAATACACGATATAAATCCTAGACCAAAGTAAGCGAAACATATTTTAAGAATGTTCTTCTTCTTTATTTTATTTTATTTTTTTGATTTCTTTTAACATTTAACGTCAACCAAACTTTTTTCGTAAAGATAACCTAAATAAAAATCGGTATATGGTTAATATGAACAATGAATTATAGACAAAACTAAATATAAGGAGGAGGAATAAGGAGGATATAAAACTTTAAAAGACTGACCCACACTATTTTTATTTTTTTTTTAAATTCTCTAAATTTTTACTTTGATATCTTGATATAAATGGTTAGAAAATGAAACTAATAGAAAATATGATAAATAAATGGTATAACTAAAATAATTGTTAATAAAAAGTTGTAATACGTACTAATTTAATAATGGATATGGATATTGAAGATTTGGACAAATTGATCCTTGAAAAACTCGATTTAATAGGATTAAATTTTATTCCCTAGAAGGATGTTAATAATATATAGATAGATATAGATGTATGATTTTGAAACTATTTTTTTTTATTTTTTTATGTTATTTGAATAATTGATTTTCATTTCTTTTATTTAAAACTTGAACAAAAGGATAATTAACTGAATAATACCAAATGGGAGAAGAAAACAATATGACAAAAACTAAAAAAAAAAAACCGTTAGTTAATAAAAAAAAAACCTTGAAAAAACACGGAACAAAATAAGACCAATGAGTCTAGGATGGATATATAGATCTGTTAATACAAAAATAATAAAAGATAAGAAAAACACAACAGCTTTGTTTGGGATAAAATTACAACGTTTGAGCGGATTCAATGAAATAAGAAACTATCTTATGATGAAAATAAGCATACAAATGGAAAAAAATAATACAGCGACAAATATGATAAACTGATTGACTTTAAACGGTGTCATATAGCAAATGATTTAATAAATACGATTATACTACTTTGTTGACGAATATGATCTGATATAATGATCTGATATGGTGGATATAATATAGCTAATATAGCGCTTTTTAATATACAAAAAAAAAGATATAATACAGCGAACAAATTTGACGAAGAAGACTTTAGCGTTTGGTTGGTTATTGAGCATCAACATATGATTTCTTTAATTACTGGAACTTACTTTATAGCTGAAATTAAATGGATATGAAAACTGGTGATTTTTAAAAAAAACTAAATTTGACATTTTATATATATATTTTATAAGGGACACAAATGAGTGATGGGTAGTATGATTGGGATAATATATGTATATAGAATTGAAATATGGAATACTTTGGGATATAGCATCATAACAATAATAAAAAAAAGGTTACTAAAAGTAGGTTAGATAAAATAATAATAAAAAATACTCTTACCAAAATTAGAAATAGAAAGTGATATTTAAATCGATTCTGATTCAAATTATTTACTAAAACAGCTTGGAATAGTTATTCGTTGTTGAATATAACAAGTTGGGATAGATATGATGATTTTTTTTTGGATTTTTTTGGGGAATTTATTATACTTTTTTCAAATCAGAGACAAACTTAAAATAGTTTCCATGGTTGATTTCTCTTACTGAGGTCTAGAATAGAATCATGTATGCATTTCAGGGGAGTGATGGAATAGTATAGAACACTATGATATAGTTTGTACTGTTATTGAATCAAGTGGTTTGAACATACTTAGCCTAAAGAACTGGTTGGTTAAAGTTATCTCGTGAGATTTGGGGAAAGAAGGAAAATTGATGATACTTTTATATTTAACTATGGGTACTGTATATAACTCAATTGAATGACCCCATCCCATCACCATTTAACCATCAATCGTTAAAAGTGAACTGATTAGTGGTACCTTCCAGTGATGATGGATGATCTTTGTGATTGAATAGTTTAGTAGATAGAGATAGTATACTTACATAACATGATTTCTATGATACCCTTTGATTATGCGTATAATGTATGGCTCAACCAGCAGCCTTGTCTTAACTGTGTCTAAATATAGCTGATGTTCTATCCTGCATACAATTAAAGGTAATCGAAGCAATCACAAAAATGTCTTTAAAAATAAATGAACGACATCATCCTGCATATAATTCAAAAAGGGGGAAATATCACAATTGCGACATATCCTTTAAATACGACATATTGAACTCCTATAATTAAAAGGATAATGATCTACACATAGTTAACTAGTAGCATTAACTATACGAAATATACGATTATAGTTAAAATTAATTATTAATTAGTAACATACCTCTTGGGATTGACATCTAACATCATACGACTTCTTCTAAGATAATTACCTTTATAGGATAATTACACTATAATTAGAGTTTGTATTACTATCTCCTTGTCCCTTCTCCCCTTTGTCTCTTTTTTGTGTGTCACTTTTTTTTACAGTGTGTGGTGGTTGTTCCTAACTAGTGCTGTCGTTTCGTTTCTAATTTCTGAAATTGAGATTGAAATTTCATTGTTTGTCCAATTCTATACAACTTTACTTCTATTTGCACCAATTCAATTCTACTGTTTGAATCAATTAGATCAATCTCATTCATCAATTGATCCATTAAGCTTAATCAATTGAAGTCAATTGATTAGTTACAAAGTGAAACAGACAGTTGAAATCAGTTCAGTTCAATATCATGTCTCAACCCATTCAAGCCTTGGATCCTGACTATGTCTTATCCATCTCTTACCCTCTTTTAAATGAAGAAAGAGGAATCCCAGAACATGATGCTAAAGTTCATCTTAAAAACTTAATCACTACCTTGTATAACTATGGATTCTCAGTTCAAATTAGAAATGGTACAACTAAACCTCCCACCCTTTTAATCTTTATAAAATTATCATCTTATAAATATATTGAAGCTTTTGAAAAGGATTTGATTCAAAATTATGAATTTGGAGTTACTAATAAAGAAAATTCAAAATCAGAAAAATTAAGAATCATTTATCATTATTTAATAACTCCTGTTAAATTTGGTGGGGTAGGTATCACTCCAAATAAGGGGAATTGGTCATTTGTTCATTCCATCATTCCAGTTTCAGAATCTTTCCATGATACAACTTTGAAACAAGATGTTGAAACTCATATCACTAATACATCAAAGAATTTATTATCCACCAACTTAATTAAAGAAAAATTTGGAGTTCAAATCTCGCTTTATTTTGAATTTGTCAAATTCTATATATTTGCCTTAAGTATCTTATCAGTATTAGGATTCACTTCATATTTGAAATCAGGAGGGAAAATTTATTCATTAACTTATGCATTCATAAATTTGATCTGGGGGATCCTTTTTATCACATTCTGGAATAGAAAACAACAATATTTAGTTAATTTCTGGGGAGTTCAAAATTCTCATTTGATTGAAGAATTTAATTCAAAATTATCTCAAGTTAATGAAAAATTCGAACAAAGTTCTTCTTTCAAACATAAAGATAATGATGATGCTTATAGATACTTAAAACAATTAACTTTCATCCCCATTGCCGTCTTATTCACTGTTCTTTTAGTATCATTTCAATTATTCTGTTTTGTCATTGAAATCTTCTTAACTGATGTCTATGATGGACCTGGTAAATCCTTATTAACTTTAATTCCAACCATCTTATTATCAGTATTCGTTCCAGTCTTAACCATCGTTTATAACTTGGTGGGTGATTTCTTAATCAATTGGGAAGATCATGATAATATTTATAGTCAAAATCAATCTATCTTAATCAAGACTTTTGTATTAAACTTTTTAACGAGTTATATGCCATTATTAATCACTTCATTTGTCTATTTACCATTTGCTCATTTGATTAAACCTCATTTACTCGATATTAAAGCATCAATTGGAAATACTATTGGAGAAAATAGATTCTACTATAAATATTTAACTCAATTGAAGAAACAAGAAGATTTCAAAATTAATCAAGATAGATTAAATGCTCAATTCTATTATTTCATCGTGACAAATTCCATCATTCAATTGATTTTGAAATATGGTTTACCATTAATCTTACAATTTGTATTCAAATTAATCAAGGATTTCTTAAATAAACCAAAGGCAGGTGAAGAATCATCCAAAGAAAAGAAACTCGTCATTGAAGATAATGAAACCGAAGGTCCTTGGTTAGACAATGTTAGAAAGTCAATTGAATTACCTGAATATAACGTGAATGATGATTTCAGAAGTATCATCATCCAATATGGGTATCTTATTATGTTTGGACCAGTTTGGACTTTAGCTCCTATTGTGGCTCTTATTTTCAATGTTATTACTTTCAATTTAGATTTAATTAAATTATCTACTGGAAAATATTTCCGTCCTCCAATTCCAACTAGAGTCGATTCAATTCATCCTTGGAATTATGCTTTATTCCTCTTAACTTGGTTCGGATCCATTGTTTCACCTATAGTTACGGTATTTTATCGTCATGGTGTTGCTCCGCCAAAGACGTTAGGTCAATTGGCTTTCGATAAGGCTAGTGTCAATGTATCTTCCACCGTGGAATTATTATTCGTGTTGTTAGCTTCTGAACATTTATTCTTATTCTCTTATAATGTTTTTGAAAAATTATCAAACTTGTATAAGTCAAAAGTTGAATGGGAAAATGATTTTGTCGAAAATGACATTAAATTAAGACATGATTATTATTCAGGAAAAGTGAAACCTCATTTCAGTGCTGATGAAACTGATCCTTGGGCTGGATATACTGCTAAATCCAATATCGAATCAATTAATGCCTTCCCAGTGAAACCAATCGCCTATGTCGCTCCTCCTATCGTGGCTGCTCCAGTACCGACAGCCCCAGTCCCCACTGAAACTATCATTCCAAAAGTTGATGGTAAGAATGGTGTCCTGACTTCTGCTGAACCATCGATCACAAAGGCTACCAGTCGTATCTCTAAACCCTTCCAAACAAAAGATGTTGGTGCAACTTTTGAAGCTACTAAAGGTAAAGTCACCGATACTATGGCTGCTAGTACTGCTGCTGTTACTAAAGGTCTTGGATCTCTTAAGCTGGCTTCTGCTAATATAATTGGTAATAAATCAGATTTAGAAAAAGTCAAGGATGCTGATGATAGAATCATTACTTCTAAGAATAATCAAGATCAATTACAATATGCTACAATTGATAACAACAAACATATCAAACCTCAAGATGTGGCTGATGCAGCTAAGGCTATTGAAACGTCAGCTAAAAATCCAACTGTTGATACTGCTACAGCTGCTAAGGATGCTACTACTAAAGTCATTTCCGGTGTGAAAGATGCCGTCACTCCAGCTGTCGCTTCTAAGGTTGAAGATGATGCTAATGATGATGCCGATGTTTCTAAAGCAGATACTACTTTCCAAACTATCGACAGTGATTATAGTGATTCCATTAAGAACATTAAAAAGGCTGCTAAAGATACTGCTGATTCCTTATCATCTGATAAATCAAAGAAGAAATCTTCATTAAAGAAATTATTCAAGAGTAGTAGTAGTAGCAGTACTAAGAAATAGAGTGTTTTGTTTTAAATTAAATTTTATTTTTTATAAACTCTTTTTTATTTTACACACGTCTATCTATTTGTTTTATTCAATTATTTATTTATGTATTCCCAATCTTAAAAATCTATTAACAAAAAGAACTTCTTATATACTATCAAACCCAAAAAAGAATCACATAAACATAAAATATATATGTATAACTTTTAATTAACAACTTGTAGAAGTAAACTGTTAAGTTCTTGGAGGTCTGACACCAAAGATAGATGTACCAACTCTAACATTGGTACTACCTTGTTTAATAGCTTGAGCATAATCACTACTCATACCCATACTGAGACCTAAATTAATGTTATATTTTTCATCTAAGGTATTTTTTAAAGTAACTAATTTTTTAAAATCTTGATTTTCTTCACCTTCAGCAGTGGATTCTTGAAATGATCCAATTGTCATTAATCCTAATAATTTGACATTCTTACATTCATCAGATAAAATGAACTCAATAGTCTCATTTATATCCTTTAAATCCAGGAGGGAATAACCTGATTTCTGTTCTTCTTCAGAAGTATTGATTTGAAGGTAGACATTTATCACACTTCCTTCTACTTCACCACGTACTCTATCCAATTGTTTCACTTTTTTTAATGCATCAATGGTCTCCACGGCATATAAACTTCTCACACCTTTAGCTAAATCTTTTGCTTTCCCACTTTGTAAACCACCAATGAAATGCCAGTTTATATCTTGAGGTAATTCTTGAGATTTAGTTATCAATTCTTGGACATAATTCTCCCCGAAATGACGCACACCAGCCTTATACAATGCCATGATATCACTCGATGGTTTTAATTTAGATACAGCTACTAATGTTATAGATGATTTAATATTATGTTCCTTTGATAAATTTTCAACTTGTTGTAAAACACCTTGATAATTCAAGGCTAATTCTTGTTCACGCTCAGGAGCAGCTTGTGGATATACAATGGACATGGTTCTTATTCTAGATATATTCAAACGATTGTAAATGGGTCTATAGATGTTAATTCTCCTTAACATCTAAATCTGTGGTCCCTTTACATCAATCTTCCCACTTGAAGATAGCACCAACCTCAATTAAGTCATAAATTTTGTCATGGCAGCGCTCACATGATTTCTCATCACATGTTGTCTCACATGATCAAATTTTGTGAAGAAGACTCACTCATTTTCATCCATCGACACATTTCAATAATTTTTTTTTTCAGCATACAAAATATAAAGTGTTCAGAAATCACTGTAATATATAATTAGAATTAGTTCAAAGATTGCAAAAAAGATAATATACAATATGACTGATTCCATATATAAGGGAGAAGACTTTGAAGATAAGGTTAGAAAACAAGTTGAGTTTTACTTTTCTGATTCTAATTTACAAACTGATAAGTTTTTATGGAAAATTTATGAAGCTAATGATGGTTGGGTTGAATTAAAGACTATTTTAACTTTCAGTAGAATGAGACAATATCGTCCAGAAGAGAAAGTCATTGCTGCTTTAAAGGACTCTAGTGAATTGGTCGTTTCTACTAATGAAGATATGGTTAGAAGAAAAGAACCAGTTAAAGATTTTAATGAAGTTAAAAATATCAGAAAGAGAAATACTGTTCATATCGAAGGATTTCCAAAGGATGTTAGTCAAGAAGATTTAGAATCTTGGTTCCATACTAAGATTGTTCCAAATTTACCAGAAGATCAAATCATTGTATCATTACGTAGAATTAGAAGTAAAGCTAAACGAGAATTCTTTGGTGTGGTTGATGTTGAATTTAAAAGTCAAAAGGATGTTGAGTTCATTTTAAATAATATAGAAATCAGTTATCCACAAGGTATTGTTAAAGAAGGTGAAGAAGGTTATGATAGTAAGACCGTCTTAAAGAAAATGTCTTTACTTACTTTCCAAGAAATGAGAGAAACTGGTAAAAGATTTGGTGTTAATGATGTTACTAAAAGAAGAAATAGTTTCAATGATAATCATCGTGGTGGTAATAAGAAATTTAAAAAGGGTAATTTTAAAAGATCTTCTAATGAAAAATCTGATGAAATCAAAGAAACTACTGAAGAACCATCAGATTCAAAATCAAATGAAGAAGAAAAGGAAGCTAAAGTAGAATCAAAAGAAGTTGAAAAAACTGAAGCTCAAGCTCCAGTTGAAGCTCCAGCTGCTCCAGTTGAAACTCCTGCTGTTACCACTGGTGAAACCTAATCACGTGCAATAATATTCCTCCTCCCCGTAATCTAAACCATAATTGTATTAAATCCAGTAATTCCATCTAGAATTAATTTACTTGTATTTATAGTTAAACCCCAAAAATAAAAACATAATCCGTATATTTATTTATATGCCGTACCTTATGTCCTGTACATAACACCAACGCGATCTCAGTTGTCAAAATTTCACTGTTTATGTAAATATGATCAAAACGCGTTACCCATCATCATCATCATCCCAAGTTTTATAACTGTTTAACATTGATATCATAAAGACTAACCGTATAAGATGGAAGGTGGCAAGAATCATAGAGCTGCTTTGAGTGCTGCTTTTGGCCCTTCTGAAAATTTAACTGAAGAAGTTTATGATAAACTTGAAAGCTTAATCAAAATATTTAATAGTTCTCCTGATGATTTGTATATCAGTTGGGAATCATATAATGTGACTGAAGTTCAACAAGATTTGGATTTAACTGTTCCGAATATAGACAAGTTTCAAGAATATCTTCAATCAACTTTAGAAAGTTCAAAACCAACCCCATCACTTAAACGTACTAAAGATTTCCAGAATTCAAGTGCCTTGAAAAGAAAACCAATCATTAAATCAAATATAGCAATTAATACATCCAGTCCTCCAGTTCCAACTACTCCTTTGAAAAGAAATGGTTTAGATGATGCTACTCCAAGATTTAAAACTCCAAGGGCTAACTTTATGGAATCATCACCTGCTCATTATGAAACTGCTAATAATTCATTTCAAAGTACTGGTAGCGGAACTACCCCAATTGCAGATAAATTAGCTAAACAACAAGATTCTAATACCATTGTTGAAACTTTGAACCCACAAGTTAAAGAATCTCCTGGATTTATTCAATTGGAAGAAGATTCTGCAAGTTCCTTGAAACCTTATACTTTAGGTTTAAATTTTGATGCTGCCAAATTCAAATTCAGAACCATGGCTATGAAATTACTTGAAAGTGCTGATATATTAGATGATCAAATAGACACCTTTGCACAGTTGTATATGGATGCCAATAAAAACGCCAACTTAGAGGATTCGATTCAATTTGGTAATCCATGTTTAAGTACTCAATTTGATATACTCTGCAGTGGTAGAATTGTCCCTGATTCTCCTGTATATGATAAACAACAAGGTAATAATTATTCATTGAATGCCACCTCACTTTATTTAGAAACATCTCGTATGTCTGGTATTGGTCAAAGAGTTCCCTTGGAGTTATCCAACTTACCTGGTTATTCATTGTTCCCTGGTCAAATCGTTATATTGAAAGGATCTAATCCAACTGGGAAGACATTTATTGTAAAGGAGATTTTGTCAATGCCTGAATTGGGAGCAGCTGTATCTGGTAAGGTTGAATTAGAATCATATGAAGAATTGGTGGGTAAAACAGGCTTGAAATTTTTAATTGCTTCAGGTCCATTTTCAAATAATTTCAATTTAAATTATTCAAAATTGGAAAATCTCGTTAATTTAATCAATACTGATATCAAACCTCATGTCGTTATATTAAATGGTCCATTCATCGATATTAATAATATTGCCGTTAGTCAAGGTGATATTGAAATACCACTTGATAAACAAGCACAACCACCACGTAATTTAGATGAAGTATTTAAAAGATTAGTCACTCCAATTTTAAGAAAGATAGATGGTAGAATTCAAGTTATCTTAGTACCGTCATTAACAGATACTTGTATCAAACATTGTTCATATCCACAAGATGCATTTGATAGAAAGAAATTTGGATTGCCTAAGAATGTAAGGGTGATTCCTAATCCTGCAAGTTTTTCCATAAATGAAGTCTTAATAGGAAACTCTAACCTTGATATATTCAAAGACATGAAGGAAGTTTACAAAGATGATGGTAAATTATCTAAGAATAGATTTGAAAGAGTAGCCAACCACATCTTACAACAAAGAAGATATTACATGTCTCTTCCGGGATCAATTAAAAAATTGATCCCAACTTCAAAAGAAGCTAATCAAAAATTAAATCAATTACAAGATGGCATTATGTCAGAAGAATTATTAGATGCTGATATCGGAGGATCAACTTTAGAAGTTCCTTATTTGGGATTAACAGAATTAGGTGATTCCATACCTGATATTCTTATCAATACCTCAGAAATGAAATCGTTCGTTAAAGTAGTTAAAGGAGTGGTGGTGGTGAACCCAGGTCAATACATAAGAAACCATAAAGATCCTAATAGGGAAGAAGGTACTTATGTTGTGGTTAACATTAATAGTCCGTCGTTGGAATCGAAATCAGAAAATAATATAGAACCAGTCGACGGTAGTCCCGATTTATTCTATCATAACGTTTATAAGCGTTCTAGAGTCGATATATATAAAAGTTAGATTGAAAATATAATGAATTACCTTCATCTTTTTGTGAATGCCTTTAACGTAATTTTCAAATTGAAACTTATCTCATGTACCGTGCAGGGTTAGAATTTTCCATCGGTGTATAATGATAGTCTCGTGGTAATTTACAAACAATTAAAACTTTTTAAACTTATAATAATAATAATAATAATAATTTATCTATAAAAAACAATCCTTTAATTATAACCTTTTAACTCTAAACATAATTACATTTAATACCTTTACCAAACCAACTATAACAATTAAAACCAAAACCAAATCCTAATAAATCGATATCAAAACCAACACTAACACCAAAACCAATAACAGCATAAAACTTATTAATTAATTTCCAATCTGGGCATGCGGACTTCAAATTCTCTTGCTGCCTTCTTCCTTTCAAAGCGAGATATTTCATTAGTCTTATTGATGATCTTGTATTTTTTAAACTTAGACGCTGCAACTAATTCTTTTAATCTCTCAGTTCTGGATCTACCTTTAAAGGCAGCACGAATGGCAAAATAAATGTAACCTTCTCCTAATAGATTGATTCCTTGTTTGGACAACTTATTAAGATCTTGAAAAGGGTTTCTTAAATACTTTTGCGTGCTATTCATGATATCGTCACCAATTTTACCTCTAAAGAGATTGACATGTTCATGAAGTTGTGTGTTTGGATCTTTTTCTTCAATTGAACTCATTATTGATGATAATATTATAAATTTCCTATATTTATTCACTTAAATGAAAACAATAATCAAATGAAGTATAGCGGTTAAATAAAAAATTTAAAAACTGACTGTCATATATTCATTTTGCAATAATGTAAATACTATATGTGCAGGAAGAGATTCAGTTTTTGCGATCAAAGTTGATCACATGATATTCATCACGATTCTAAGAATTGAAAGCCGCAAATAAAATGTTTTATTCACATATAAATCCGATAGTTATATGCACACTAGGCATATTATAAAACTGTTGCAGCAACTATAGTATATATTTAAGTTGGGTAAGAATACCACTTTATTAATCAATTTCCTAAAAGCTGTAAATTTACAGACTACTTTAAGCAGAAAATAGCTTGAGCTGATTATCAAATTGAAAACTATATCTAGAATTAAAAATAATATACATGTGATTACACATTCGATATCCATATCATTCGAAGGAATTCTAAAGGTTAGGAGGAGATAGGGGATGAAACAGCAAAGAATATCATCATACAATGATGGATATATCTTGAAGTTCTTTCTTCGTCTATTCCCAAAATTTCCGTATGATATCATGTTAAAAATATTACAGCTTTTACCCATTCCACATATACTTATCCTTCAATCAATAAGTAATGATGATTATACTAAGCTGCTTAAAATTCAACAAATTACAAACCAACGGTTTTTAGTTGATTATCCAATATTTGAGAAAAGATCGACATCGGCTGATTTCATAACTACTAGAAAAATATTTGAAATTAAACAAACTTTTAGAATTATGGCTGAGTTAACTAGAAGTCAGAAGGAGAATATAATACCGGTTAAAATTCAATTTTCTACAAAGTATTGCTTTAGAAAAGTGTTTCCTGTTAAATTGCTAAATGAGTTGTTGGGAGATTCAAATAATTTTGACTTGGCTCTTAAGCTACCTAAATTGGCTTACAAAGAATATATAAAGTTGCAAAGATATAAGAAGTCTTTAAATGTTAGTTCGTTAACCATTGATGAGGTGGAAAATAGGAGAGGACATTTTCGAAATATTGATTTAGACTTTTCAAATTATCTGAATTTGAATTCGTTTGGTTTAACGACATTAGCCCATATTCGTAGTCTAAATTTGAATTCAGTATTATATAAACTAACTGAACTAGAAATAGTCGACTGTTTTGATGTTGATTACATAACAAAATTTGTCAATTTGAAAATTCTTTCCCTTCAATTTAATGATACATTTTATGTCAAAAGGCTACCAAGGAATGTCATTACATTGTGTTTAAAGAATTTTAGTACAGTTTGCAACCTCATAATAGAGTCAAGTGAAGATTGGCCGCAAAATTTAAATTCTTTATGTATGTACATATATCTGAGCAACGGACTTGAAGGAGTTACCAACAACAAATTGTCCCCAAACTTAGAAAAATTACAAATTAATTGTTACAAGTCTTGGAAAAGTCTACCAGAATTACCTGAATCGTTGATTGAATTAAAATTTGATACTCTGTCTAAAGAAGAATTAGATATCAATGAACTCTTTCAACTTAGACTTCCAATTATTTCAATAAAAGGTTTCAAACTTGTAAATGATCTAAATACCAGTATAGAGGCTATAGATGGGCTTGAAAAATTCCTGATATCAGCCAACGATTGTGATTTTCCATTAGATTCCATTTATTTTGAAAATGCAAAATCTTCACTAAGAGATTTATCAGTTCATTTTTGGAAGCAGCTGTTCCCATCAACAAATCTAAATTTCTCTGAATTTACAAAGTTAACCAATATTAGTTTGACTGGATGTAAAATTATTAATTTGAGTGTTTTGGAATTACCGGTTTCTATAATTCGTTTATCTATCAACGACGATTATTTCGAATCAGTAGACAACACTTGCTCCTTATTCAGTAATCCACTGAGGTACAGAAACCTCCTTCATTTGATAATCTATGGTATTGAATATATTTCTCCTCGTGTACAATTTCCAATGAATCTAGAATCCCTCGAGATTTCACATTATAGGAATAGAAAGATTCTTTCTAAAATAATCAATCTTAAACGTTTAACTTTTTTTAGAACGGAAGAAAAGATTGATGATTTGAATATCTTTGACGATTTTATTATGCATCCAAATAGATCTCCATACTTCAAATCAAATCTTAAAAGATTGGAAATGCACATTGGTCAATTAGTAGACAAAACAGTGGTTGATGGATTTTATGACAAAATTGAAAAGGTTTTCGAAAAGAAAGCAGTTAATAGGACTTATCCATGTCGTATATTATTTCAAGAATTTGACGAAATGGAATTATATGTAGATTTAGTTTAGGAACAAACTTTTTACAACAAAACTAGAAATTTTGGTAGAAATATTCAATCAAACATCTCTTTGCACGGTTAAGTTGCGAATTGAGATGGTATTGTTATACTAAAGACTAAATTTCATTTGAGATAATCGATTTTAAGAGTCATTTCTAAAGACAGTAAGAGTAAAAAAAGTGCAGTAATAGAGGGGTTAGTTATCATAATATAAATTTAAGCAGATAATAATAAATATCGACTAACCAATCAAAGTTACTTTTTAATATTAAAATAAATGTGATTACTTCATCATCATATAGTGCTTCTAAATTCATTTACAATTCTGGAGATTTTAGTAGTTTAGACTGCCTATCGAATATGAAACAGAAATTAGGGTCAATAAGCAAAGATGCTTATATGCTAAATTTTGTCTTTTATTTCTTTCCAAAATTACCGTATGATATCATTTTGCACATATACCTGTTACTAACTATCCCACATATACTCATCCTTCAATCAATAAGTCATGATGAGTATATTAGACTGGTAAGAATTAAACAAATTACAAACAAAAGATATTCATTTGATTATCCAGAAATTACAGAACGAACTAGTCCAGCTGATTTAATATCACAAACCAAAGAAATAATTCAAATTAAAGAATCGTTTAAGATTATGATTAACTTAACTAGAAATTGGCCAAGTAATATTATCCCTGTTGAAATCGAATTACCTAGTAGGTTTGCTAGTAAACTATTAAATGAGTTGTTGGGTGACTCAACTAACTTTGACTTAGCTCTTAAATTCAGTGAATTGGATTACGAAGACTATATAAACTTACAAACAAGCAAGAAGTCCCAGTTGGTCAGCTCGATAATTGCATATGAAGTTTCAGGAGGAAGTCAAAATTCAACACATGGGCTTGACTTGGATTTTTTAAATTATTCGAATTTGAGGATATTCTCTTTAGAAGATTATGACAACATCGATACTCTAAATTTGGATTCAATATTCTATACATTAACTGAACTAACTGTAACTAATATATTTGAGGATGATTTTTTAACAAAATTTATCAATTTGAAAATACTTTGGATTAACTATGTACAGACATTCTATATCAAACACTTACCAAGAAATATCATTGCATTGACTCTACAAAATATTGACTATGAAGAATCCAGCTGCATAAGAATCAATTCAAGCGCAGAATGGCCACAAACACTAAAATCGATAACTTTTAACAAAATTCAGGAGTATTGGAATGAAGATGTTTGCCACTGCAAGTTACCTGAAAACTTAGAAATACTAAAGTATCTGTCTGCAGACGTTACCTGGCAAACTTTGCCTGAATTACCTGAGTCCTTGATTGAATTACACTTCGACACTCTATCCCAAAACGAATTAGATATCGACGATTTATTTCAATCTAAACTTCAATTTATTTCAATCCAAGGTCTAACACTTGTACATGATCCAAATATCAGTATTGAAGCCTTACATGGACTTAAAGTATTCCTGGTGTCAGTCGAAGTCTGTGATTTTCCTTTAGATTCCATTTATTTTGAAAATGCAAAATCTTCACTAAGAGAATTATCAATTTATTTTGAGAAGCAGTTATTTCCTTCAACAAATCTAAATTTTTCTGATTTTAACAAGTTAACCAGCATTAGTTTGAGTGGGTGCAAAATTGGTGATTTGAATATTTTGGAATTACCGGCATGTTTGATCAGTTTAGAAATTAGTAGAGATTATTTTAAGTTAGTGGACAATACTTGTTCGTTATTTGCTAACCCACCAAGGTATCACAACTTACTTCATTTGAAAATATATGGTATTAAGCATTTTTCTCCTCGAGTGCAATTTCCAACGAATCTAGAAACCTTGAGAATATCACATTATAGGACTAGAAGGATTCTTTCAAAAATTATGAATCTCAAATACTTAACTTATTTTGAAATAAATGAATCAGTAGGTCCCATGTATATTTTAGATGATTTTCGTGAAGTTGCAAGTAGAAATACAAATTTTATTTCAACTCTTAAAAGTTTGGAAATAAATTTTGGAAAACATTCAAGAAAAGTAGTTATGGATTCATTCTGTGATAAATTTGAAAATGTTTTTGGAAAGAAAATAGTCAGCAGAGAGTATAACTTTGGTACATTTGTCATGAAATTTGAAGAAGTTGAACGGATATATTTTATTTAGTGACTTAGTTCAATTAGTAATGAACAACTTTTGCAGCAAACATTTTGGTAGCGACAATATTTTTGGAGATCCAAACCTTTTATTATTTACCTTTTTTTTAAATATTGCACTTGAAAAAATACATTGACTATGATATTTGATGATCTATCATAATTATCAGAATCACCCATGGAATATGTTAAATAGACTAAGTTATATATGGCCCAGGAGGCAATTTATATCTATAAGTATCCTGAAGGTACGACATTTCCATATCACGTCCATTCAATTCCAAGAACATGCTCCAATTCATCTTCGAGATTATCAACTCCAGGCCATACAATCAGTACAAGCAGCCATTGATGAAGGGATAAACCGATCCGCAGTGATATTGGCCACGGGTGGTGGTAAAACTGTTGTATTCTCCCACTTGATCCCTCTATTGAAACCATCAACACCAATGAGGGGCAATAAAACATTGGTTTTAGCCCATAGGGAAGAACTCGTGAGCCAAGCAGCATCAACTATATCGCGTATTAATCCTGATTTAAAAGTGGATATTGATATGCGATTCCAAATACCTGATCACGAAGATGCTGATGTAATAGTTGGATCAGTTCCAACATTAGTTCGAATGCTGAGGTTAGAGAGATATGATCCTCAACAATTTAAAACTATTATCTTGGATGAATGTCATCATGCAGCTGCGAATTCTTGGATTAAGATTTTGAAATATTTTCAAGCTGATCACTCTGATCTGGAGATATATGTATTGGGATTCACAGCTACTATGGAAAGAAATGATGGAAAAAAACCTTGGAATGATGTTTGATAAGATAGTGTTTGAACGTAATTTATTGGAAATGGTTTCTAATAAGGAGTTAGTTGATGTTAAATTTTTAAGTATGGATCTTGATATTGATTTAAGTCTGGTCAAGACAAAGCAAGAAGATTATGATGTCAATAACTTATCTGAAGTGATGAATACTAGTGATAATAATTTAATGTTAGCATTGTCCTATCTTCAATTGTCCAAACAATATGATTTTAAAAGTACGTTAATTTTCTGCGTGGATATTAATCATTGTAAGACTTTATGTGGAGTATTACAACGGCAAGGAATCAATGCACAATATGTTACAGGAGATACAGCCAGAGTAGAACGTCAAGAAATCATTGCTGATTTTAAACTAGGACTTATTAAAGTTTTATGTAATGTTCAAGTTTTCACTGAAGGAACTGATATTCCCAATATAGATTCATTATTCTTAGCTCGTCCTACTAAATCGAGGTCATTATTGGTACAAATGATTGGAAGAGGCTTAAGACATCATAAAGAGAAATCATTATGTTATGTGATAGATATGGTAGGTACAAGAGGTACGGGTATTCAATCTGTACCGACTTTATTTTCATTACCTGCCAACTTCCCTATACATGAGAAGTCATATCAGGAGTTGGCTGAAGATAAAAAAGAATTTGATGAGCAAGAAGAGATCAATAAAGAGTTGGAAAGAAGAAAAATTGAATTGGAAACTCATGAAAAATTAATCAATATACAAAAGAGGAAAGATGAATTAATTTTAAAATTCAATTCATTTGAAGGATTCTTAGCCATTGAAAGTCATGACCTTGAAAAATATAAACAGAATGTGACAGTTAATCAAATATTCCGGGATAATTCGTTATCATGGATTAGATTGGAGTACGATGTATGGGGATTACCGGTAAATAATAATGATTTCATTTTAATTAAGAGACTTATGAAGGAAGATTCTGATGAGATAGAGTTTGAATTGACGTTAAATAAGTTTGCAACTAAGGGACAAATTGTACTGCTGAATTTCAAATGTCCTCGAGTGATTAAACTCAGTTTGATTGAGGTTAATCCTAATTTAGAGAATATTTTGAATAAATCAATGGCATTGTTTAATAGTCATGCCAATGTTAGATATAGACAAATGTTAAAATTTGGAAATCATCCATTGACTGAGAGACAATTAGAATATTTGAATGATAAATTAGGTAACCAAATCAAATATTATTATAGTGATACAGGTGAGATCAGAGATGAATTATTGAATAAATTACAAAAAATGAGTAGATCAAGAGCGGTAGGGTTAATGTTTGCTCTTCAGTATGGGACAAAATCATTATGGGTTAAATGGGAATTGCAAAGGTTATTGGGTCCTAATAGAAAGACAAATAAGATTGTTAAGAAATTGTTTGACCAGCATGAAAAAGAGAACATCCTGATCCAAGGTATTTCTAATGATAAAGTGATTGAAATGGCTGTATCAATGAGTTAAATGATACGAATTATAGCAAATCATGACAAACATGAGTTGAGGCGGCTGGATAAAGGAAACGAATGATAAATAAAGGGATTAAGCTATGCAAATCAGACTTGAGTTAGAGGTGTGTATATAGTTATAAAATAAAGGTACGAACTACACTAAATTGACATATGATATAATTGTAATTGAGACGAGAACGCTAACGACTGCAGTGGACTAGATAACACTATTGCAAGCCTGTAAACCTTTAACCATTAAATCTAAAGTTTAGGGGCAGACCCATTTACAGTAGGGAAAGTCTAATAGGGGACACACGAGGATAAATAAAATTTATAAAGCGCGGTTTATTTGTTTACCTAATTAAGGTTTCAATGTCAATAATGACACAAATAAAAAAAACAGTTTAACGAATCAAAATTGAACAAATCACGAATGGAAAACTGCAGCATCTAAAAAGAAACCCATATGATTTGACTATATCTGTAGGCAATATGGGCCATTACATTATGGGGAGAGTGTGCGGGAGTTCGGGTTATGTAGTTTCATTTATATCTTTGGCTGGTTTGTGAATTAACTTTAAATTCTCAGGGTTGTTTGGGTTGGGTTGGTTTTAAAACGCAAATGCAATAGTTTCTTTCTATGTTGTCTAATTTTATGTTTAGTATGTTGTACATTATTCGACGAGATTCCATTATAATGAATACCCAGATTTAACTCAATCTAAATCACCAATTGTAAAAGGATAACGCTAATCAGTGATAAAATATCACGCTTTAATGGGCTTGGCAGATGCCGACCTCCCGCAAAAAATGAAAAATGAAATTTTTTTTTACGACGATGTCCGTCTATTGTTAACTGATTGGCTTGGTTTTTATTTACATATGGTATTGTATTGTCTCGAGGATCGTAAACAATAATAATTACACTAACTCTTGAATTCATTATTATAAAAAATCTTATTAGACGTGCGGGAGTAGGTGTGGGTTATATACCATTGTTAAGAGGCTTTCTTTCTAAGTGGACTACCATCCCAGCATTAGCCGATGTTTGTTCTTTTTCTAATATACTTCCATTTCAACTAATAAGATTTCGTCTTTAATTCTTTTATTCCTAATCCAGATTTTGTGATATTTAAAAGAGCTTACAAATTGATCCAAAATTGATCCCAATTAAGCATAATTCAAAAATAGAGGCGTAAATCGACAAGAAAAAAGCCTTAACCTTTAAAATTAAAAAATCCAATTCTGTGCGGAGGTGTCACCAGTTCTGAGAAATGGCCTCGAAGTTTATATTTATTTTTCACAGCTAGAAAATTTTTCGTTAATTAGTGGTTATTAGGTTGCAGATTCTTTATATATGTTGAGCAGGATTTCCATTAATTAATGTAGACTTCTATATATATCTTTTTATTCCCTTTTCTTCTCTAATTGAATCTTCAATTTCTGTTCATTCATTCATTCATTCATTCATTCTTTAGTGTCACTCCTTTGAATCATTACTTGCAACCAACTATAATTCACTCGTTTATAATTATAATACCCCCTTGTAAGATCAATAACATCTAAATAAATACCTAATAATGTTGTCATTCAGAACTCTTATTTCTTCAGCTGTTTTAATCACAAATGCTTTAGCTGCCGTAAACACTGCTGCTTCCAATAACGTTGCCTTATACTGGGGTCAAAATGGTGCCGGTGGTCAAGAAAGATTAAGTACTTACTGTGCTGAATCTGATGTTGACATCGTCGTTTTATCTTTCTTAAATGATTTCCCAGATCCATTAAATGTTAACTTTGCCAATCAATGTGGTAACACTTTTGAAGACGGTCTTTTGAATTGTGCTCAAATCGGTGAAGATATTCAAACTTGTCAAGCCGAAGGTAAAACCGTCTTATTATCATTAGGTGGTGCTTATGGTACTTATGGTTTCAACAATACTGATCAAGTTCAAGCTTTCGCCACTACCTTATGGAACAAATTCGGTGCTGGTTCTGACCCAGAAAGACCATTCGGTAATGCTACCGTTAATGGTTTCGATTTCGATATTGAACAAGGTACTTCCCTTGGTTACACTCAATTAGCTGAAGATTTAAGAACTTTATATGCTACTGACCCATCTCAAACTTATTACTTATCAGCTTCTCCTCAATGTCCTTTCCCAGATCAATACGTTGGTGATGCTTTATCTTCAGCTGATTTTGATTTCGCTTTTATCCAATTCTATAACAATGATTGTTCATTAGATGCTACTTTCAATTATGATACTTGGTCAGCTTTTGCTCCAACTTCAGGTAATGCCAACTTAAAATTATTCGTTGGTTTACCAGCTGATCCAACTATTTCTGGTTATGCTGATCCAGCCACCATTGAAGCTGCTTTAGAACAAATCAAATGTGACCCAACTTTAGCTGGTATTTCCTTGTGGGATGCTTCTGGTGCTTGGTTAAATGTTGATGCTGCTGGTGACAACTTTGTTGTTCAAGTTAAAAATATCTTAAATGCTGAACAATGTCCTGCTCCATCTTCATCTTCATCATCTGTTGTTTCATCATCCACCGTTGCTTCTTCATCCACTGTTGTTTCTTCATCCACTGTTGTTTCTTCATCCACTGTTGTTTCTTCATCATCATCTCTTTTCTACGGTAATGCTACTACTTCCGCTCCATTAACTACCGAAACTTTAACTGTCTCAGATCTTATCACAACTGTTGTCACTATAACTAGTTGTTCTGAAAATAAATGTTCTGAAACCGCCAAAACTACCGTTATTACCAATGTTGAAACTCTTTACACTACTTACTGTCCAGAAAGTGGTAAAGAAACTGAAACCCCAGTTGCTCCAGCTACCCCAGCCACTTCATCAGCTCCAGCTGCTGTCGTTGCTAGTAAGGTTTCATCTGGTGTTCCAGAAGTTGCTCCACAAGAAACTTCATCTACTGTTGCTCCAGTTGTTACTGTTGTTCCAGTTGTTTCTGCCGAAGTTGAAGGTACTTCAACTCAATATGTTACCCTTAACATCTACTCCACTGTTTCTGCTGCCGGTAATGGTTCCGCTCCAGCTGAAGTTCCAACTTATGAAGGTGCTGGTTCAAGTATCTCCATTGCTTGGTCATTAGCTATTCCATTAGCTATTGCTGCTTTCCTTTAGGCTAACAGTGTAGACAACATAGTTGGTTGTTTGTTTTCAAATTTAGATCCTCTTCAGATTTCAATTAAATACGTTATATACCCTTTCTTTCATCTCATTTTGGTATTGTAATATAAAAAAGTTACGTTATTTTCATTATAAATGCAATTGTAGTTGAGTAGACTTTTGGACTACCCTGTAATTTCGAAGTTTAAGCTTTCGCAACTGAACAAAAAATTGAGGACACACTAAAAATTAAAACTCACTGTTAATATTCTATTTATAATCAACAACTCAAACCAATAAAGGCACATAGCGAAGGTATGAGATTACCTATCAGTGTGTTGTTGCTCTCTATCTGGGCTATACTATTCACCACATCGTATGCGGAAGAGCAAGAAGAGTCAAAGGCAGGTGAACCATCATTCATTTCAACCGAAGATGCCAGTCATATTATAAGTAAATCAAAACATACTAATAATTGGGCTGTATTAGTATCTACTTCTAGATTCTGGTTTAATTACAGACATATGGCAAATGTGCTTTCATTATATAGAACTGTTAAGAGATTAGGTATTCCAGATTCACAAATCATTCTTATGTTGTCTGATGATGTGGCATGTAATCCAAGAAATGCCTTCCCTGGTACTGTGTTTAATAATATGGATCAAGCCATTGATCTTTATGGTGAATCTGTTGAAGTTGATTATCGTGGTTATGAAGTCACTGTGGAGAATTTCATCAGATTGTTGACTGATAGATGGGATCCAGACCATCCAAGATCAAAAAGATTATTAACTGATCAAAATTCAAATATATTCATTTATTTAACTGGTCATGGAGGTAATGAATTCTTAAAATTCCAAGATGCAGAAGAAATAGGTTCATATGATATTGCTGATGCTTTTGAACAAATGTATGAAAAGAAAAGATATAATGAAATCTTCTTTATGATTGATACATGTCAAGCCAATACTATGTATGAAAGATTTTATTCTCCAAATATCTTAGCAGTTGGTTCATCAAGATTAGATGAAAGTTCATATTCTCATCATTCCGATATGGATATTGGTGTGGCTGTGATTGATCGTTTTACTTATTTCACTTTGGATTACTTGGAAAAGATTGATAAAGATTCTCAAGAAACCATTGATAAGTTATTTGATGTCTATACATTTGAAAATGTTCATTCCAACCCTGGTATTAGAACTGATTTGTTCCATAGAAATGTTAGCGAAGTCTTATTAACTGATTTCTTTGGTAATGTTCAAAATGTGGTGGTTAATGATGGTGATGAAGATCTTTTATATATCTCCAATCATGATAAAACAGGAGAATTACTTAAATTCTACGATGAAGAACCAGAAGAACAAATAAGTGAAGGTATTGTCAACTCTACAAACATAAAAACGTCATATCAAATTGATTTCGGTGTTGAGAATGAAGAATCATCTGATCAAATCATTCAAGTTTCTCCTACATTAGCAAAACGTTTAGGTTTAGGAACAGGTTTAGTTGTCATTGGGTTATGGTTCGTATCTACGTAGTGCAAACATAAAAAAATAAAATGTAAATTAATCTAGAACATATGTAATGTCTATTATCTCATTATTGTAGAACTAGCATACTTTTCTTTATTCATGAAACATGAATGGTTTGATACTAAATGGTATCATCATTGAAACAGCTTTGTTAAAGCTCTCTTGTTTTGTGATCATCATTTTATTTAGCAGTTTCAGAAAATGTAAACAAAAAAAAATCTGTGTACGCGCAGAAAAGAGCCTTTATTTACAAATTCGAATTATGTATATATATAAACAGGTATTTACAACCAAATCATTCGAATCAAAGGACCATCACCATCGACAGCTAGATATAGAACAACGAACGAACAATGCTGCTGCTCTCACCTACTTTTGCTGATGAGTTTTTCCAAAGCATGGCATCAAAGGAAAGTGATGCATCCACCAAGTTAAATTTGGTTAATCAACTCAAGACTCACATCAAGAAAGATTGTGTTGATTTGAATCAAGTTCCTAAATATATTGAGGCATTATCGATTGCAGTGGATATACCTGACCTTGGTATACTGGCCAGTGGATTCAGTGCTCTTTCCCATCTTATTAAAAGAGTCAGCATGCAAGATAAATCAGGTAATGTGTTAAGAAGTCAAAGTTTCCTTGTATTACCAATCATAATTAATCGATTAGGGGATTCTAAATCATCAACTGTCTCATCAGCCAGAAAGGCCCTAGAAGCATATTGGTTTTCTGCTCCAAATGAAGTGGATGACTCTATAATAGATGTTGCATTCAAACATAGAAATACTAGAATAATAATAGAATCGATAAACTGGTTAAATCATATCATCATGAATATTAATCAACATTTTAAACTTAACAGATTTATCACTCATATTGCTAAGATTCTTGCCTCAAGTAGTAATTCCCAAGATTTAATTGATTCAATTCAATTATTGTTGACTAACTATTATAACTTGAAACAAAATAGATTATATAAATTTGATTTAGCAAGAGAATTAGAAATTCAAAATGTTTCACAATATTTAAAAGATTCAATCATGAATGGGATAACAGGAATAGATAATAACTCACAAGCTTTTGTCCTGTCGGGAACTACTAAGGTGGTTATCAATGCCGATAATGAATCAAATCGTCCTCCAACAATTGTTCATGAAACCGATCCTGTTAATAGTCATCCAAAAGTTAGAATACAAGAGAAACACCGTGTACCTACAATACAAACAAGAGTAAGAAGCTCAAGTCCAATAATAAATCATTTACCACAGTTAAGTACTTCTACTGGTGTCCGCTCCCGTACAAATAGCCCTGCGTTGGGATCACAAGACGAAGTCCCTCAACAACAATTTGAAGTTTTCTCTCCTGACTCAGATCAAGAATTTATTGAAGTATTGAAGAAGGTTAATTATCAAATAGATTCAAGCATACCCGCTATAAATTTGGAAAATCCAGATTTTATCTATGGAATAATCAATGAAATGACTCCTATTTTCAATGGTAAAGAAACTGAACAGAATTGGGGTGATCGTGAAAAGATAATTATAAAGTTCAGATCGATCATTCGTGGAAATAGTTCAATTGATTTTAAGCAAGATTTAATCACATGTTTGAAAGAATGTGCTGAAGGTATCTGTAAAGCGATCAGTTCATTAAGAACCACCTTAAGCGCTCATGGATGTCAATTAATAAAGGAATCAGTCATTGTTCTAAAATCAAGTTTTGATCCGTTGATTGATTCATATTTACCAACTTTTATAAGGTTAAGTTCAAGTACAAAGAATATTGCTTCAACTAATGCAAATATGGCAATTTGTGCAATATTCGCCAATGCTTCATATAACTCTCGGTTATTACAAAGAATTCAATCAAGCTCAATCGATAAAAGTATTCACCCTCGTGCTTATTCGTGTATTTGGTTACAGCTCATGATATTAAGATTTCACGATAATCAATCATTTATAAACAATGCATTGGAAGTTTGTAATAGAATGCTATTAAAAATAATGGCGGATCCTAATCCAAATGTCAGACTGGCTTCTAAAGACTTATTTTGGTGTTATTGGGGTAAATTTCCTGATCAAGCTGAGAACTTATTAGCTAAATCAGAGCCAAATATCGTTAAAGCAATTGAAAGATCAAAACCTAAGGCAAATATTAAAACTCCAACATCTCTCGCTGTAAAGAAAGCTAGACCTTCTTTGAAAGAAACTATCATAGAAAGAAATAAAGAATTAAAAATCAAACAACGAGAAAATTCACGTCCTTCTTCAAGGGCCAATTCAAATAATAGTATTAATAACGTTGAATTCCATAGAAAGCCTGATATTCCCCATTTCAGTAAACCTACGTCATCATTTATTTCTTCCAGTATCGCTGCTTCTAGTGCAGTGAAAGCTTTATCTTCACCAATAATTTCTATTCCAGTTCCACAATCAAGACCAATTAGTAAAGAAGTTGAAGTCGCAGAGGTCAGACCAACTCATGAGAGAGCAGAAGTTAGTATTTTTGATAAACAAAGTGATCCAATACTTAAGTTTTTATCTTCCAATCAATTGGATTTAATCAGCGAAGGAATAAACTTGTTAAAATATGCTATTATGGGTGAAGAAGATTTATCTAATGAAGTTAGTCATTTATTACAAAAGATTTCGTTACGTCAACCAAAATTATTAGAGCCATTGATTCTTTCTAATGATGATTTGTTTAAAAAGACATTTCAATTCTTTAATTGTGACGATTTTATCAGAATTTGTGGTATTTTAATTAATCCCATGGATGAAAGAATCATAAATTTAATATTATCCATAATTGATATTGATCCAATATTTGAATCAATTATTAAATTATTGTCTTACACTATAAATACATCCAATATTCTTGGTGATGATGAACTTATGATGCAAATAATTCAGTGCAAACATACATTGACGCATTCTTTGTTAGGGTTCTTATTCACCGGTCTTGATAAAATCCCAATAAGTGATAGTTATTACCTGAAACTTACATCTACATTACTTGAACTATTGGTGATTTTAAAATCAACTGATTCTTATCCGTTATTTTCGGAATTATTGCTGAAGGTTCATTCTATTAATCCAGTGTTATTCAATTCAGAATTAGATCTCATAGATGTAGATATTAAGGAAGAGGTGGAATATATCGTTGGTATTGATAACTTGAAGCCATTCTCTCGTGAAATTCCTAATTCAGTATTTGAATTAACTGAAGTTCCTCATAAGAATGGCAACTTGGATGGATTTTCTCCTGTAAAGATGACAACTGACTTTACTATGTTATGGCCTATCAAGAAAGAAAATGATGAATACACTTATGTGGTAAAGAAAGAGCCAGAAGAAGAAGCATTAATTGAGAAAGAAGAAGACATTGATTTAAATACAGAACCTGAGTATAAGAATGTTACTGATAATGAAGATATGGAGCACGAACAAGAGCAAGAAGATGAAGATAAAGCATTGAAAGAAGATGAGCTTATGGAAGGTAATACTAGGATGGAAGTTACATTAATTGATCCTGAGAATGTATTTATTGAATCTCCAAAAGGAGGAGGAAGTGATCAATTAGCAAACGATCTTGCCCAAGTCAAACTTGAAGCTAAGGATTCTATTCAAAATTTCATTGATAAAGTCGATCCATTAAGAAGCTTTTCTAATAAGAATAAACCTATTAGCATTTATGAAGATTTCAAAGGATCGCCTCAAAAAGTTAGAAATTATGACTATTCAGAAGTTAATTGGTTTAATCTACAATTATCAAGATATGAAATAGATGTTGAACCCCGTCTGAATGTACTTGAGAATTTTGAAATAATTTGTGAAAATATTAAATCCCGAAGAATTTCAAAACAAGATATAACTGACAGTCTAGAATATTTCCAAGTTGAAGATCCAAAATTCTCCCGTTACTATAATGAAACAGGTAAGAATCTAATCATTGAATCGATATTAGTTTATTTCAATGAGGTTGATATACTATCAGGATCTGATATTTTCAAAGGATTGGTTTTATTACAACAACTCATAATTAATCGCACCAAGATTGAATTACCTAAATTGTGGGATTTATTACTTCGTTTAGCAACTGTGGACGATACTACTGAAACTTTAGGAGAAATCTTTGATGAAATGCTTACTGGAATCTATAGCAGTAATGAAATCATAGTAACGATCCTTAACTCGCTTAAACTTTCCATTTCAGACATTGAATTGACTTTTGCGCTTGAATCACTTTCAAAAGTCCTTGCTTCTGATTCATTAGCTGTATCATTCAATGAGGAATTAGTTTCAAATATTGATGAATTATTAAGATCATTGATTAATAGTCGTGTGGTTGATGTTAGAAGATATGTTATTCTTTGTTATGGAAGATTATTAAAAGCAAGTAAGAATTCTGGTTTAAGTAATATTAACATAACAGAATCTACAGATAATAAGAATCCCATGGATACAATTTTACTGGGATTAACCGTGACCCAAAAGAAATTAGTTGAATACTATAGTGAAGCGTAGATTATAATTACGAGATATATAGTTGAATATTACATATATATAGTTAACAAGATTGCATACACAGGAAGAAGCTAAATAAGATCTGTAGCATTTCCATCTACTTGAGTATTAGAAGCGGTTGGGGTAGGTATACCACCATCGAAGTCCTCGGATTCATCTTCAACTTTTGTTATTATTCTAGTGTTTTTAATACTAATGACTTCATCAAGACTAGCCTTAGGGGTTGGATTAATCGGTGCTGACACTGCTACTGGAGTCTGCTGTGGTTTTGAAACTCCACCACCATTATTATTTTTATTTTTATTCTTCTTCTTTTTAGGTTTACTAGTACCTGGTTGTTTTGGAACATAAGGAGCTCTTGAAATCGATCTCATTCCTCCACTGTAAGAAACCACAGGGGCAGGAGCTGCAGCGACTGGGACCACTGTAGGTTGCATATATTCCAGATCATTAGCAACCATATATGGTGCAGAAGGTTCTCCATAGTAAGGTAGCCAATACTCAGGTTCATGTTGAACCATATTGTAAGGAACTTGATAATCAACTTGTTGAGGTGGTAGTTGTGATAATTGGAGTGGCTGTTGTTGGTATAGCACTTGTCCCCCTTGATCATAGTATTGAGGAGGGAACATTACTTGGGATGGAGTTAATGCATTTCTAGGGAAGTTTTGAAATTTAGCAGATAATGGTAAAACTTGTGGTTGTAATTGTTGTAATGATGGTTGATGTTGCATAGGTTGGAATGGCGGGAAGAACTCTTCCGATGCAGACATTATTTTTGATGATTTTGGTGGAATATTTGATAATGGTAATTGAGATACAGGAGGGCCACGAAGTGGTAAAGTTTGTTCTATTAAATATTCTTCATTATAAGCTACTTGACTTGTACCTGAACCTGCTTGATTTAAAGGTTGAGCGAAAAATGATGCATCAACTGAATCATAATTTTCATCTATAAAATCAGGATTATTATGATGATTAACACTATTATTATTATGATAATTGATACTATCATTGTTATTAGCTCGATAAACAGTTTCCAAATTAACGAAATCATCCAGAATCATTTGACCATTTGGATCGAAATAATCCAAGGGGAAATCATCTTCAGTATCAGAATTTCCTTTATATTGTACAGGGGTGGCATGATTTAAAAATTCATAATCGTTACCTTGACCATTAGTGTTTGTTTGTAATAGATTTGAATTTGATGAATATTCAGGGGATGATTTATCCGTTATAGTATTTTGTTCTAAATCGTCGGATATTGTCTTTTGATTTTTCATATGATCAGCTAATTGAGTAAATAAAGATTGAGTTTCATCATATTGGAATGATAATGCTGGTTCACTTTTAGCTATAGTTGTTGATTTTTGATCTTGCTTTTCTTTCTTTAAATCTCTTTCAAGAGCATCAGCCATTAATTTATCATGAGGGACATTAAACCAAAAGAATACTTTTTGCTTTTTTTGAGTTCTTAAACAATTATTCTTAAATAAAAATTCCAAAAAGTCTGATCTTGGAGGTTCTAATATAGCATCAGCACCACATTTAAGATTTCTTAAATCAGAAAAGATCCCTTCTTCAAACTTCTTTCGATCTATAATTTTTCTACCAAAATGTTCAAATTTGTATACTATGCATCTTACTATATCCGTTCCTGTAATGAAATATAAATTATTCCAAAACACACAACTAACAAACCCTTCATCATGATTTAAGTAATATCGTCTGATAACTTGATTTTCTTGCCAATTTGCTGGAGCAGTAGCTAAGAAGAATTTAAGATCTTCTATCAATCGTAATGATTCTTGAACATCTTCAGAGTGCTCCACACTATTCTCGGAGTTCTCACTTTTAATGGGTAGTCCAGACATTATGATGAAATCTTGAAACTATGCAAAGATATTTTTTTTAATTATATATAATACAATATGGTTGGATCCAATGATATAAAGAAGGATAAAAAGAATGAAAACGTTATGATCTCGTTGTTTTAGAAATAATTGGTTTAGATTTAGTTTATCGGTAAAATTAATTTACGATCGAGGATCTCGTAATCTAAAGATGAGCACACTCACACAAATTAATTTGATAAAAGCTAAAGTATGAGGTTTTTTTAAAACGTCTGGTGATGATATTATATCTAAAGGTTTAATGATTGAATTTTGATATAATTTAGATTGGTTGGTAGTTGAGTAAGGATTGGAAAATATCTACCATGGATCTAAATCTGTTTCAAAACAATTTAAAACTCTGTTGCAAAGAAATATGAATTGTTAGATTCACAATTGAAACTAACTTGAAGCAAATAACCTGATTATATAGTTGTTTTAAAAAATGTGTAAAATTTGTTGATTTGTTTCAGATTTAAAATGTAAAACATGTCACAAACCAACTCAAAACATCAACCGACGATTGTCGTATTTCCTATTTGGGGTTCTAGACTTTCGTCATGGTTGTATGCAGGTACGATACATTTTGACATCACTACCCCTTACAATTTGTAACATTTAATTGTAGATATTAACTAACTATATAGTTGATCGATATATATAGTATTTATCAGTTGAATACGTCTCAGACTTATAAATTCTAGTTTATATCGTTTATAGAGGACTTCTTTTATGTAGTACAAATTACAACTTTTCTCGTAAATTTTGCAATATTTTAAAGTTAATTTTATCTATCTATATTTAACTGTAAATTCTGATAATTTACCACCATATTGAAATATGGAACGGTGAAAAGCCCATCTTACAGTACGATAACATCATCGACAATTACAAAACGACTATTCAGTTAAAAGATTTATTAAGATAAATAGTTATATTTTTCGTTAAAACTTATACACTCCAACAATAACTACACAACCTAAACATAATCACTCCAATCTTTTCTGTAATACATCAAATCACTAGGATTGAGTGACAGAGAAGTACCCGACGTAGTTCCATGCATTATGGGAGATCCAATATTATTGTCAAAAAACTTACCATGACCAATATCATCTTTATGTTTCTTATCAAAAGGTTTAATCTTTATCATTGATGGCTGTATACCTGCATTTTGAGATGACACATGTTGTTGACTTCCAATTGGTTGGGATCCAGATGAAGCTGATCCTCTTCTAAAAGGTGGAACATATTTACCATTCGATGAATTTGCTGATGAAGAAAGATTGGATATACTTTCTTGCATTGAAACTGGACGTTTTGAAATAACTGCTGAACTTTTCAAACCATTAAGAGATGATCCATTTCCAAAGAATGCATCATTTGAAACTGTGATTGATGATTTATCACTATCTGTGATCACGATACTTGCTGTTTTGAAAGCAGGTTTCTTAAAGAAGGATTGACTTGAACTGTCAGATTCAGTCTTTTGTTTTTCAGATTCAATAGTATCACCAGTATCACCTAAATCAAAATCATCTTCTAGATGGAAAACTTCATCATAATCATTCAAGTTCAATCTTTCAATTTCTTCAGTTAAAGGTTCAATCACGGGCGATTTAGCATAATTAGGTGATCTCAAATGAGGTGGAGCATATTTCCCAGTTGATGTAGCACTTGAGCCATATGAATAAGGTGCACCTGGTTGTCCTAACAGATGGAATGTACTGGCAATTGCATTACTGTTTGTAGTACTTGTAGTTGTACCATTAGCATTAAGTGTTTGTTGAAATGGTTTTCTGGCCTTCGATGCAGAGAACAGTCTTGACTTTCTTTTATTACTAACTTGATGACTATGACTTGATGAGTCATCTTTAGGATGAAGATGAGAATGTTCATGACGTGAATTTCTACCTGCTTTAGAGCTAGGCTTATTCTTTCTATTGTTTTTCTTCCAAGAACGAACTTTTCTTCTTTTACCATCAGCATTAGTTTGACCTGGACTATTAATCTTATTATCTATATTATTAAATCTTTGCTCGCCATATTTATCCATATAATGATTGAAAACTGATTTAGGAGTGAAGAAATCTTCTCTGTTAAATTTAGAAGCTTGGAATCTTGCGTTATGTGATTGATTGTATGATGCCACATTAAATGGTTTTCTAGTATTACGCATTTGTTTATTGGCACCTCCAAAACTACCAATTGGAATTGGTTTCAAATCTGTATTACTGGATAAGAGAGCATCTGCTCTATGATTATGTGGAATTGGGAAATCTTCCACAACAACTCTAGGACCGTGATTATGACTTGCTTTATCACCACGGATTGAATCATTATCTGTAGTTGATAAAGATGATGATACCTTATCTTGAGGAATTTTATCATTTTCGATAACACTGCTGATAAGTTTCTTGATTGGAGATTGTGGTAAAGCTTCGACGATTTCAAGGTTCTTTTTGAATGTATAATCTTCTTCTTCACCTTCATCTTCAATTTCAGCTTCGTCTTCTTCATAATCACTACCATAATATTCTTCTTCCACAGTAAAGAATCGAAGAACTTCAAGTTCACTTCGAGTATTTTCCAAACTACGATTGGCAGGATCAATATTCAAACAAACCCTTAAGACTGAAAACATATCTCCACTCATGGATGAAAAAATATCAAAAAGAGCTTCACGATTACCAGCAAATTGAATAAATCTTTTATCCGAATAATTAGCCACTTGGAATGGATTTTTATGAAATACCAAGGTTAATAAGATAACCCCAATCGACCAAAGATCAATTTTAGAAGCATCATAACTCTCTAAATCAGAATCAAATAATTCAGGAGCCATATAACGCTCTGAACCAATATCAAACTCATCCTTATCAGTAATTATCTTGGTGGTAGTGGCTAAACCCCAATCACATAATTTAATTGACCAATCTTCTCCAATTAAGATATTTTCAGGTTTTAAATCTCTATGATAAACACCATAAGAATGACAAAATTCTAAGGCATTCAAGATTTGCATGAATACATCCTTAATATCTTGAGAAGTATTTGGACCATTATTATTATGAATGGCTTCATATAAATCACCACGAGTACAATATTCTAATATCAAATACGAATCGAAATGATCGTATAAAGTTGAAATGTTAGCATGAGTACCCAATATTTTATGGATTTTAATTTCTTTTTCAGCTTCTTCATAAAGACCATTAAGTATTGATTCTTTGGAATGAACTAAGCCTTTGTTATTTAAATTGGGAGACTTTAGTCTGGCGGGACTTGAAGAAGGTCGATGTTTCAGACCTCCTCCATTATCTTTCTTATAACCTAATGGGAAAATGAATTTAACTGCCACTAGAGTATTATTTTGTAAGGTATCTTTAGCGAGCGATACTAGCCCATAAGAACCTTCACTAATATCTCCACTCTTTTGATATCGTCCTCTTAATAGGGCCCCATGGTCATATTTTTCGTATTCTTCCATGGTAAGATGTGAGGATAAATTTGAATTTTTTTATGCAATTTTTGATTCTTCTAAATAATATAAATAACAAACAATTCGGTAGTTATTTGAAGGTGATAGAAGATGGTTTAATATATAAATGATGAAGTTCAATCGATGAAAACAATAAAAAAATGTAAAATGATATGATTATGATATATGTTTTAATAAAAACAACCGAATGCAGACTAATAAAAACGATAAAAAAAACAGTACCAAAATAAAGATTTAATAAAACAAAGCTGAGGAAAGAACAGTAATAGCCAATGGAGGGGAAAGGAAGGAGGAAATAAACGATAAGTTGATATAGATAGGTTTAATCCAAAGATGCAAAAGTATTTCGTAAAAGTATTAATAAAATTAAAAAAGGTAAACAACTAGTGGGAGTAGATGTAGAAGTTATAAATTCGTTAAATGGACATAAAGTGATTGAATAAGTGAAATAATCAAGGAAAATAATAAAATTAAATAAGTTAGGAAACGTTATAAGATGCTAAGCTTGTATATGAGATTGTATTACAAGCAATGATGGAGGGAGGGATGATGATGATGATGACGATGAAGAATGTGAATGTGAACGTGATATAGTTGGATAGACAAGTGGTTGATTTGAATATCAAAATCGTTTCTTGTTCTTCTTTTTACTAGCCTAAGTAACTGATACTTCAAGTACAGGATATTTAGTCAACAATTCAATGTCAAGAATATTCTAGAATGTGATCAAAGATCGAGATCCAGCCGATGACAATGGAGTGACAGTGACGATAAAAAGACAGTAGGAAAGCTAAGAGTGTCTCTTTAGTTGTGAACTCTTGTCAGGAACAGGTACCTTTGCAATGTATGTATGTATTCAATACGCGTAACAGTTGTATATAAGACTCTATTCTACTTTCTTTGCTGTTTTAATACTTGCAACACATAACCATAAGCTTGAATCGTTAGATTCGTTTTGAGCATCGTTGAATCTGGAGAATTTCTGTGTGACTCTTCTGATAGCGACATTTTGTCGCTCTATGGTTAATAAATTTAATTTCTTTTTTTCTGTTGTTGCCACGACATTTTGCCATTTTCAGAAAAATAACCATTTTCAAGCCTTACTTGGTAAGACGTTAAATAGAGTATGTCAGATTATACCTATTAAGGATTGAAACTGGTTTAATTGATAGAAAGAATGGATGAACAAATTCCCACATTCCTTGCGGTAACAGGAGTTGAAGATGAAGCAGTGGCAAAACAGTACTTGTCATTAACCAATGGTGATTTGGAATACGCGGTCACTTTGTTTATGGAAGCAGGAGGAGCAGGTGCTGGTTCATCATCATCAGCCCCAATTGGAACTGGCCATGATAGCGATGAAGAAATGGCTCAACGATTACAACAAGAGGCCTATCAAGATCAAGAAGTAAGAGAAGCAGACGCCAATGTTCATAGACATGAACAATTGGTTGACCATCCATTTGGATTTGGACTTCCTCAAATACCTCAAAGTAGACCAACTGATATTTTTGGTTCAGCTGCTAGAGGAGGTATATTCAATCAAAGATTTGATCCTGATGAAAATCAATATTATAATTCAAGACAACAATCCAATGGCTGGGAAGATCCTGATGATAGTGATGATGATGATGAAGATGATAACTATGAAGATGCAAATGATGATGAAATAATGGAAATTGATTCAGATGGTGAAGAAATCGCTCGTCCAGCACGAGAAAGACCTATATCACGTAGACGAAGATTGAGAGATGAAAGAACTGAAGAATTGAATGCCACTCAAAGAAGACTAGCGGAATTATTCAGACCACCATTTGATTTAATAGCTCCTATAAATATTGATACGGCGAAACAACAAGCTAAATCAGAAAATAAATGGATTCTTATAAATATTCAAGATGCTACTGATTTCAAATCCCAAGTTTTAAATCGAGATTTTTGGTCAAAACCTAATATAAAAGCCATTGTTAAAGAGAATTTCATATTTTTACAATATCATCATGATTCACCTAATGGAGTAAATTATACTAATTTTTATACTACAGATGAACTTCCTCATGTTGCTATATTGGATCCATTAACGGGTGAAAGAGTGTTGAAGTGGAAAGATGGAGATATACCAAATACTGATACTTGGGTTGAAGATGTTAAAGATTTCTTAAGTAAATTTTCATTACATCCTGATTCGAAAAATCCTACCGTAAAGCATGAAACTGCGTTTGATCCAGATGTTCTTTCTGAAGAACAACAAATTGAATATGCCATGAAACAATCAATGCTTGAAAGTGGGGGGAATTCAGCTTCAAACGCTATACCAATTGAAGATAGCCAAGATGAGAATGGAGAACCAGAAGAAGACGTTGACGATGGAGAAGTAGGATTTGAAGAAGATATATCAAGAGAACAAAGCACCCAACCCAAGCAACCAGTCGAAGCTGAACTAGATCCATTTGAGAAGATCAAAGCTCAAGATCACGAAGAACCAACTACAGGTACTATCACTCGAATTCAAATTAGATTTCCAAATGGTAAAAGATTAGTTCATAAATTCTTACTTAGTGATACTATATTACAAATATTCCAATGGTTGAAATTCATCTTATCTGAAAAGGCAGATGAATTCGGGTTAACCCCAACCGATCAATTCACTTTATCTAATACATCCGTTAAATCATTTAAATTTATAGATTCTTTAGATGTCACAGTTGAGCAAGCTGGCTTGAGAAATGCTAGTATTTTATTAGAAAAGGAATAGTAATAATAATAATAATCATGGTTTTGATCCTATAATGTATGATATTTTACGTATTAATTCATTTATTTATTTGGTGTATGTATTTATATATGTATATGTTATAGGTAAAATTAACGACATGATAATTAATTACGAGATACTGTACTTGCATCAGGGAAATTTTCAAGTGGTGGTAATACTGGAATTCTAAATGATGAACTTATAAGAGATGATTCCAATCCTAATAATTGTTTATATTTTCTTCTTAATCTTTGTTTTTCTCTAACTTCTGGATCAAGACTTTCTTCATTCACCGATTCAGTAGTTGGTTCACTCTTAACGGTGACTTCATTATCTTCTTGTTCTTCATTATTAGCTTCACGTTCTTCCTCTTCATCCTCTTCATCCTCTTCATCATTATATTTCCTTCCTTCTTCATCCTCATCGTCACGATCATAATCAAACTCAGTTTCAGAAGCTGCAACCGATTGAGAGTTTTCATTAGGAGCCGTTGATCCACGACCATTATTCAATTTTTTAGTTTCTTTTCTTAATAATTGTATATCTTGATCGATTTCATCCCTGGTTAATCCAGTGAAATTATTCAACCTTATCCTCTTTTTCGATGATTGACCACCATTTGAAGCTTGAATCAGTTCAAAATCTTTATTAGCATTCACAATCTTTCTCTTTAATTGGGTTAATTCATATTTATTCTTTTGAATTAATTGATTATCAAGATTAGCATAATTAGTATCACGATTAGCCGCCACTATATCTTTGACATTACTAGTATTGGAAGTATCTACCAATGGAGTAGGAGGTCTACCATAGATGAACCCTTCCTCACTGGGGACTTTCACATCTTGAGGATTTAAAATTGATCGATAATAATGTTTCCATTGTCTTTGAGAAACTTCATTATAATTGACATGATGATATTCTTTATAAAGATTGTTTAATTCATCATAAGTTTGTTGGACTAAGGTTTGCTTCCGTTTAATTAAGTCGTTATAATACAGCTTCCAAATGATAGTTGAATTACCTAATGAATTATCAAGTATTAATTTTGATTGATATCGTTTTTCATTAACAATTGTTTTTAAACTTTGTTTATGAGGCTTAAAGAATTTATCAAATAAATATGGAAATGGTAATTTTGAAGGATCATTTTCATTATTAGTAGTGTTATTGTTGTTATTCGAAGTACCGAGTTTCCCTTTAGTAGGTTTACTATTAGGTGTAGTTGTTATTGAGGTTGATGTTGTAGTTGTTTTATTATCATTATTTTCATTTGGGATATCATTATCATTAATCTTATTGGCAGCAGCATCATTATCAACTTGACCTAAAGTATCATCAAAGGCTAATGGACTTTGTAAGTTTTTAATAATTTCGGCTAATTCTTCTTCATATTCATCAAGAGATTTTAAAATATCTGGTTTATCATCAATTTCCAGCATACTCATAAGAATGACATCTTCAGTATTAGTTTTGATATTATTGATAGTTTCAATTTCGAAATTATAAATCCTCAGCCAATTTCGATCATTGGCAGTAGCTATTTTAATCAGACTATTAATTCTTTCAATCAATTTATTTATTCTTGAAAGTCTCGATGATATATAATTCTTACTAATTAATCTGAATTCTCGAGCAAGTTGGTCTTCAAGATCAGCAAGTTCTTCCACATTCAAATTAGGAATGTTTGTTAAGATGTGACTGAAGAATTCAGCTCCAACATCTATAGTTTCATCTGAAGTTGACATTATTAAATGACTGTGGTGGGTATAATAATTATCGTATAATACAGACCAGCGGGAAGTGAAACGTAGTTTATCAACTCTAACAAATATGGTATTGATAAATCCAACAGTAGTAATACCAGTTATGACACACTTTATGACGTTATGGATATCACTAATATTTCTATTATGACAGATGATAAATTAGGAGTCTAACTTTTAAAATTTGAGGTTATAACTTAATTTGGAACTTTTGGAACACTTTTGCGATAAAAAAAAAAACTGTAAAGAAATTGGATTGGGTCGTGTAAAAGGGTTCAAAAATATCAAAGTCGTTATATGGCACTGTGGTGGTAATGGATGAATGTTGATAGCTATATAGAGTCAAAGTAGGAAATGATGAATGATTAAGTATATCAAGTGATTGGAAGTTAATATTAGCGTAATATGTAACTGTGATTGTTGTATGCTATATGTAATACAAAACAAAAGAACACAGTTATACTTTCCAATGTGGCAACACTATGAATATAAGCATAGTAATTAACATAATCTAGAAACCAAAAATAATTCATAATATATTAGGTATATACATAAATACAAGTTATATTTACTTATAAGACACCACTAACATCATTCTTAACGATCTTCAGCCCATTCATTTTCTCTTCTAATAGCTGCTTCTTCTTCAGCTGTGAAATCATTAGTAATATTAAATACTTTTCTTAATTCTTCAGGTGATTTACCTCTAATCATTTCAGCAACAATTTTACAACCTGAATCTCTTAATGGAGTAATATTCAAGAAATTAGCTGCAAGAATGATTTCATATAACATTTCTTGATCAACTCTAAAAAAGGTTCTATCCCATTCTTCAATTGGAGCTGTCTTTTTAGCATCTTCATCATCTTCATCTGGAAATACAGTGGTTTTATGATGTTCACACCATTCTAAGACTTTAGATAAAACATTAGCTCTAATCGTTGATACTGGAACTTCGAAATCTTCCGTTAATCCATCAGGATTTAAATCTCTAATCATATTTTTAATCGTAACTGATTTTTCAGCTACAACTTGATCCACCTTGAATCTTTCTTCATCAGAAGAAACCATAATAACTTTAGGTTCAGACATGATATCGATGGTTATATATGTATAGATGATATGTATAGATGTACGGGTTGGGTTGGGGGTTGGGTGTTGGGTGTTGTAAATTAGCTATCTTTATTATTAATAAATAATAGCGTCTGCTCTGAGTTTGATTCACGGTAACTATGCAAGATAATAAATCAAAATTAAATCGTGTAACAATGATATAACTTCAGTATGATAAAATATACTCTTTAATCTTAACTAATTTAAGCCAAATTGATTAGACTGTATGAATATGTAATGCTAAAATTGGTTAATTAAAGCTTTAGTGTTGTCAATTATTTTTTTCTTTTTCCTGTTGTTTCCCTGTTTTGGTTCAACTTTCCTCACTCACCCAGCAAAAATCATCACATCATAATATTGAGTGTTGCCAAGATGTAGGGGTTAGGACTAGCTACAGTTGCGGTTAAAGATTTCATATATTGCCTTGATGGGAGTTATATCAAGTGATTATGTTCAAGTATGATGTATATTTATTGGATTATCGATAAAAACTAAGTAAAAGCACGGTATAGTATTGTGTAGTTTGATATAGCATTGCGTGGCGGGGACAAAAGTAGTATAATAATGAAATAACTCTCTATCAATTGTACACCATATCTGATGGTTATCCTATGATGAACCATTCACAACGGTTGAAGTTGAAGTTTGTGATTCCATCCCGTTGACCTGTTCCCTATTGAAAATAGCCTTTAATTGATCTGGACTCTTGCTTTGAATCATTTCAGAAACGAGTTTACATGCCGAATCTCTTAATGGAGGAATATTTAAATAATTAGAAGCAAGAATGATATTAAATAACATTTGTTGATCAACTCTTAAAAACGTTCTATCCCATTCTTCAATTGGAGCTGTCTTTTTAGCATCTTCATCATCTTCATCTGGGAAAACACTATCTTTATGATGTTCACACCATTCTAAAACCCTAGTTAAAGTTACACTATCTACATTTGCCAAGGGGACTTCAATTTCATCTTCTTCATTAAAATCATTAATGACGTTTTTGATAGTAATTGATCTTTCTGCTACTTCTTGATCCACTGGGAATTTGTCATCGTCTGAGCTTATCAAAGTAATTCGAGATTCAGCCATTGTTAATTTGGTAAATTATAGGTATGGCTTTTTAACTTATTGGTTAGTTTCAAGTTATTTATCAATAAAGCTAGATATAAGAAACTAAATATAACTTGATTGTTTAAAAGTAGGTGAAAGAAATAGAATTTTGAAATTTTTAAAATGGTTGATTCTAAATTTAGCTGCAATTTAAAGGATTTTGTTTGTATCGCTAATTTAGACTTTTAAATACGATTAAGGAGATTCATCCTACGATATATATATAATTACATTTAGAAGTACCTATATTTATAATTACTATTCTATATAAGACCGAGATGTAGCTGTAACCAAGTAATACCATTTTATGTAGTCATCATGCATTTTGTTTGCCTTCTTCAACAATTGTAACCTTAGTTTCAGATGTTGGCCTTTCATCAGTTTCAATTGAACTACCAGTACCAAAGAACATTCTTCTTAACGTGGATTCAGATCTAACTCTAATCATATCAGCAACAGTGTTACATGCCATAGATCTTAAAGGACCAATATCTAAGTAATTTGCGGCAACAATGATATCAAATAACATATATTTATCAACTTTAAGGAAATCTCCATCCCAATCTTCAATGGTTTCAAGTTGATCCTTTCTAAAATAATCGTCATCCAGATCCAGGTGAGGAACCCACTTGTATTTGAAATGGGTATCTTTATGATATTTAAACCATTCTAAAACTTTATCTAAAGCTTCACCTTTGACATTTGGTAACGGGATTTCAAAATCTTCAGTGATTCCATCTGGATTTAAAGTTCCAATAAGATTCTTGATGGTGATTGATTTCTCAGCAACGATGTGATCTACTTTGAATTGACGTTCGTCACAACTTACTAAGATAATTTGGGCCGAATTCATCATTTGGTTATGTATCACCTTTCAATTTTAAACTAATTTAACAACCCGTAAAGTGATTAAACTACTGTAAACTCTAAATCCAATTAAAAAATAATCAATTAGAATCAATTTAATATGATCAAATATAAATAGATTGAAATTATAGGAAGAAGAAAGAGATTGTGATTTGAGTTTACTACATTTTTACTGCAATTCATAGAGTTATACTTTTTGTGTGTATTTTCTCACCCCTAATATGGTATCACACTACATAAAACCAAAGTCCATTATAACCAGCTTGATATAACACCAACAAGGGATTATGTATTTTTTATCCAAATCTATTCAAGAACCACATCGACATCTTAATCGTCTTCATCAGCATCTGCTTCTACTTTCATGGAAAAGATTTTTTTCAAGCGTTCAGAAGTTTTACCCTGAACGAAACTTGCACTTAGTTTACAACCCTGTAATTTTAAATAACTAATATCTAAGAAATTTGCACCATCAATAATATGATATAAGGCATTTGGAGGAACTTGAAAATATTCAGTATCCCATGGATCAAGTACTACATTTCTATTACCATCAGACTGGTCACAAGCGTCAGGCTCAGCATGAATGGTATCCCTGTGTTGTTCACACCATTGAAGGATCTTTTTTAAATATTTACCTTTAATATTTGGTAATGGGATTTCAAATTTTTCTAAGGTATCATCTTCCTTTAAAGCTTCAATAAGATTCTTTAACGTTATTGATTTTTCAGCCACTTCTTGATCCACTTGGAATTCAAGTTCATCAGATGAAATCAATGTAATCTTAGATTGTGACATTATTAGTTAATATAGTCTTTAATTGAATAAACTATATCTAATCAGAAAAGAATCAACAATATAGATTTACAATTAAACTAGGCATAATCAAATTATATATATAACTGGTCAAACATTGTTATGCAAATCTATTTGGCCGCAATTTTCTGCAGTAGGGCGCAAAAAAAACTTTGGTATGCTTGATTTAGACTGATTTATGCAGATAGAGTATCTATTATAATTTGGCAACAATAATGTTATTCTGTTTTCTAATTACTAATTAGAAAATAATTGATCGCGAGAGACTTTGATACTGATGACTGGTAAAAAGGATTAAGGTTTATATTTATAGGTATGTAAGACTAAGTAAGTGAGCGACTGAACATAAATGGTCTAAATCTATTCAAAATTCGAATAGATTCCAGCACTAAAATCATCCAATTCTTCAACTTCATTCAAAGTATTAAGATACATATTTCCTGATAAATTATTTCCATTGTTATTACCATCACCATTACCACTCTTATTAAATATACCTTCATTATTAGCAAGATTGTTTATAAATCCTTCAATGTCTTCTTCATTAAGATGTTTAGTAAGATTATCACCATCAAGGTCATAATCATCATTATAGCCAAATTCATTAATATCTCTTAAATTATCATTATCAATCAAAACTCCATTTTGAATTGACAATTGAGCTAAATAACTAGCCAATTTAAATGATTTGGTTTGATTTAACGTATTAATGGTATTTGTATCATCTTTCAAATTACCGGATGAAATCAATAAACTGGTTGAACCATTTCCATGGTTTAAATTTAATGATAAATTGGCAATTAAAGTACTTAACCCATTTAATACTAAATTATTATATAAATTAAAAAAATAAGTATCATTAATCATGATATGACTTGTTTCACTGATTAATTTGGTGAAGTTTGAATCAGGTAAATCCAATTGATTAGTTAAACTTGGATTTGTATTTAAAATGGTTTCAATTAAATCATCATAATTATTAGGAAATAAATTCTTTAAGATATTATCCTTGAAATTGAAATTAATTTGTTTGATTAATTGTTGTAATAATAAATTAAATTGATCAATGGTTAATTCCGTCTTGGGATTTATATTTGAAAAAGTTTCAATCACAATAGGTTCAATATAAGAATTTAAATTTAACCATCCTTTATTCAATAACCACCAACTTAATGATAAATAACTTTGTTCAACAATGTAATTATCATGAGAATTGATGTTGGGATTAGTAGGTTGTTTAACCCCTGCCATTAAAATAGCTGATTCTAAATATGATCTTCTAGCAAGAATATTCAATTGTAATCTTGTAACTAATAATAAACCAGAAATTGAATAAATTAAAGTTAAGGTTCTAGTAATAGTTTGAATCTTCAATATATTCCATAATTCAACTTTTGATTTATTTAAATAAACGTTCAATTTAGATTGATTATTAGAATTATTATTATCTAATAGATTTAAATTATCAGCCGTCAATTCGGAATTGATGGTACTATTAGGATTATTTGGACCTGAAGATGATTGAACTTGTTGCTGTTGTTGAGGTAAGGGGTTATTCTTCTTCAATCTCAAAGCTTGAGTGATCAACTCAACTGGTAAATGTTCAATAATAGGTGATGTTAATACCGGCAACAACGCCAATATAGTATAATAACAATCTTGTTGGGTTTGAATGAATCGTTGTTTGATTTGTTGTTTGAAGATCAACTCTTGCCTCAATGCATTTTGATAATCTCTGAATTTCTTAATTATAAATTGATTAACCAAATAATATGCGGAAATAGTTAAAGTAGTAGTAATAATTATCTTCCTCTTATGACGATTAAAGAACGATGCTAAAGATGAAAAGATAGCCATGATGAAACGATATCTGAATTAACTAATGATGATCAATCGAGTGAATGGATGGATGTAATGTATTTAGAATCTATCTATAAATCTATGAATTGAAAATTTGAATTGGATCAATATTAAATCTAGTGTGATATCTCCATAAATCCATTTTAAAAAGCTGTGATAGTTTTAAAATCTATCAATCAATTGTTGATTTCATATGAGGTCGTGTGTGGTGTAACTATTTATTGTTAATCCCAGTTGCTACTCATGCCGAGGTGGTAATTAAAAAATAGTGGAGAAATGGTCAGGTGATGTATAACATGTGAGAAGTCATGTGAGCTCAAAAGCGCAAAAACTTTTGTATCTGTATAATCATTCCCCTGTTAGACCTAATTATAATCAATGATTAATTTGAAAAATTTTGGAAAAGAAAACATTCTAAATATAAAAATTATAAAGATAATCTCATCGCAAAGTATTCTCTTTCACATGATGAGATACAAGATATATAATATTCTTTCTACTTTCGAAACTAGATCAATGAATCGTAACGTATAACCTTGCATCTTCATTGTTAGATAGGTTAGTAAATCACTGAGATCCTATGATATAGTCATCATTCAATTATTTGCTTTTCTGGGAATGTACATCACACTGATATCCCCCTTGTTTAACAACTATCAATAATAGGGGCAATGAAAACGAAACATGAGATAGATATTATTAATCTAAGCTTTCAATTGTGCCGCCCGATTTGGAGGCGGCAATAATCAATTTTATTAATTTCCGCTAGGAGTTGTAGAAAGAATTCCATTGCTCATAATAAAGAACAATGTTGTAACTTAAAAATAAATTTAAAAACGAACTTTGGTACACTAAACCGCTCGAGCCGCATGAACTAACTGATTTAACATTGTTAAGTCATACCATCGTATGGCTACAATTAAACGTAATCAAGAGCCCATGAGTTTATTACTATAAGGTTATGGGGCCGGTCAGGAACATACCGTGATAGCCGTCTTTGTTATTTAGTGAATAACTAGTAGAGTAAGAATATTATTATATTAGATAAATTAAAGCCCTTATTTTTCTTTTCCTACTACTATACAACCATTTTCAGAAGCATTAATCGCCAAGACAAGCTTTTATAGTCCACAATTTAATAATAATGCTCATTAATTAGAGAGAAGGAAAACGTTTTGTATTGTTAATATAACTTCATGGGATGGAGGATTAATCAAATATAAAGGGTGAAAAATTATGAAAGGAAACAAACAACCATTACAGAAAAACAAATACCAAGAAAAAAATTGGTTCACTTTTATTTCAGTTAAACATGTCACAGAGGAAGCAAATGGGATTTCATTTTTAAGCTTTTTTTGTATTATTGAGGTTCCAAATGCAAGTTTTAACATGGTTAACCAATTTCAATAGAGTTAAGGATTGAATGTAAATAGTAACAATGAAACTCAGGATTGTGTTCGTATACGATGGATAAATATACTACGCAACATTTACTACAAAGATTAATCGTAATTATTACAAAATTGGTTGTTTATATTCCAAATTTGATACCTTATGGTTTTAACTATCGCTTATATCTTGAAAACATCACTTTGGTAGATGTTACCCCCCGTTTTTCATTCATTACTCCATTATGGTTATTGTTTGATATTTTTTGCTTTTTGATTTTTAGCTTTCAATTCTCGTACTATATTGTTTTAGCTTCACCATGTTACCACTGTCTGATAATGTAGGGTAGTCTATAATAATAATAATATTAGATTTTAAAAATAATTTCATATTATCTTTTAATAATTCTTGATTGTTAATTTATGTTTCGTTCCTCTATAAGAGAAACAATTACATAGAAATGCTAAATAGTAAATGCTACCGAAACCCAATGTTATAGCAAATAAGAAATTAAAAATTGTACATAGAGCTTAAAACATATAAGAAGGTGACAGAGAGAAGAAAAGGTAGGAAGCTTAAAATAAAAGTGCAGGCATAGGGAAGGATAGGGATGGAAGGAAGGGAAAGGACTTCATAGCCAAGAATTTATTTATAACCCACCTCTAAAATACCCCTATATTACATTTCTTAAGTTTAACTAACCGTAATAGTAGAATTTTAAGAACAGACCGCTTTGGAAATGTCTAAATAATTTCAAGCTTCATTCCGTCTGTATCTATAACTACATCTATATCTTGGTTGCGAAATGAAAGTACCCTCGATCGATAAACGAAAAATAAAATATTATCAAATTAGATGGTTGATTAATACTTTCTAAGCCAAGTTATATAATCAAACCAAAACAAATAATTAGTTGAATCAGAAAAACCCAAAAGTATAGATATCAGATGGTAATTGCCCTACAAATAAATTTTAGTACTGTACTTTAAATTACGTGCATAGATGGTGAGAAGAGACTGTAAAAAAAAACGTGGGTGTTAAAAGCCAAAACTTTTTTTATGGTCTCTATGCAGGTCCCCCAATTCCTGCACAATGACAGGGAAAGAAAATATTATTGTTGCAATTTTAGTTAATCAAAAGACTTTATTTTACATCATTAAGAAGCCGTTTCAATAAATGTAGGTTAAAAGTTTTTTGTAATAAACCCATTCCAATTATAATTTTTCATCCGTAATTTGTTAATGTTATTTTAATTATTATTTTGTGCCATGGTCTCCGATTTTGTATAAAATAATTACCCACCATGCCTATGTCCCAAAAATATGTTGATATGCCAATATTTCCATATTCTTGAAAAACATTATAAATACTAATACATTTCCCTTTAACTTTTAGCTTTTATTCTCTTTACTTTTCTTTTCTTTTCTTTTCTTTTCTTTTCTTTTCTTTTCTTTTCTCTTTTCTTATTTTATTTAATTCTTCTTCTTCATCCTATTGAATCAAACATCTTCATATATAAAAAGACCCCCATTAAAGATGCAATTCACTCAATACATTGCCTTGTTATTCTTGGCAGCAGTCACTCTCGCTAAAAACATTCTTTTAACTAATGATGATTCTTGGGTTGCTACCAACATTAGAGCCACCTACTATAAGTTAAAAGAAGCTGGTCATGAAGTTTGGTTAGTTGCTCCTGTTTCTCAAAGATCTGGTTGGGGTGGTCGTTTTGATGTTCCAACTTCTCCAACTTTACAAACTGATGGTGAATTAGGTTATGTTAAAGCCGGTGCTCCATCTTGGGGTCATGAAGATTTTGATGATCACATTTGGTATTTCAATGGTACTCCAGCTTCATCTGTTGCTTTCGCTTTACAATATGTTTTCCCAGTTTACTTCAATTTAAGTGATTTCACTCCAGATTTCGTTGTTTCTGGTCCAAATGAAGGTACTAACTTAGGTAGTTTCTATACTTTATCAGGTACTATGGGTGCTACTTACAACTCAGTTTACAGAAACCTTCCAGCTATTGCTTTCTCTGGTTCTAACTCCAACAACTCCTTATATACTGATTTCTTAGACCTTTCTGATCCATTAGAACCATCAACTATCTATGCTGGATTAGTTGTTGATATTGTCAATACTATTTTCGAAGCTCAAGGTGATAATGAAAGAGCTTTACCATTAGGTGTTGGTTACAATGTTAATTTCCCAGCTGTTGGTTATCAAAATGAAAGTTGTACTGCTCCAGAATGGGTTTCTACTAGATTCAGTGGTTTAAATGCTGCTGGTGCTGATATGGTTTATAATGCTACCAGTGATTCCTTCGTTTGGACTCAACACACTTGGGAAGCTTTAACTGCTTGTTACAATGGTAATTGTGCTTTACCATCAGAAACGTATATCAATTCCCTTAAGAACTGTCAAACTACTGTTTCAGTTTTCTCCATTGATTACAGTGCCAATGCTGATTTAACTGCTCAATCTAATGCTTTATTAGCTCCAATCTTCAGCAAATAAATTAATTAGTCTGATGTATTATTAGCAGAAGTCTAAAAAAGAAAAGTTTAAATTTCAAACCTAACTTACATTATTGTTTTTTTTTTAATTTGTTGTGTCTATAAAAGAGCCAAAAAAAATCTGTTATCCTAAAAGCTTCACTTAATCCTAAAAAAGAAAAAAATACTTTGCCTTTGCCGTTACCAAATGCTTTTTTTACTTCTTCAAAACGTTACCCTTTTACCCAAGTTTCCTTTAAACTTCTAGTTCTGATTTGAATTATAATTCTATATATATACTTTCAATCAAATAAAGCTTTTATTCACTTATTATATTGTCTTATTCGTAATTTTTGCGTTTTCCGCATTAGGAAAGTGTTCCAATTTGTTCTTTTGGTGGTGGTGGCTTCTACAAAAATAAATCTAACCAGTAAAAAAAAAAAAAAAAAAAAGAATGATAATCAGATATTTTGATGCCTGCATATAAAAGATTACAAATTAAAGTCAATGGAGACATTGAATCCGGACGCGTATGTACAGGAAATGGGGAGAAGAAATAAATGTCTGATGATGATAATATTAATATTATCTTCGATGAAGATTCAAAACAGGAAATCAACTACTATAGGTAGAGATAAATTGATATAAGCCTTTTTCAATGCAACGTTTTATAAATTAATTTAATTGAAAAGTATTATTTCGTTCTAGAAAAAGGATATATTGTAACCATAATTAAACGAGGAATTCCTTTTATTGCTATTGCAGTATCAAATCGTTACTCATAGCAAATAAACGAGACAAACAAATGTACTGATCTGTAAGAGAATGCTAGCACTTAAAATCCTGTAACTATCCTAACTATAATCGAAATTAAATATATTCTCCACCCCTTTTAAATAGTAATTTTAGCAACTTAACTGAAATTCACTCGTGTGTCCCCCGTCTTTTTTTTTTTTTTTTTCTTTCAACTCGCATCCTAAAACAGAAATATACGACAGACCCAGACAGACAATAAATTTATTTATATAATTTAGTCGGGATCCTGAGTTTCTAAACTCTTTTTTAAAACAATCATTTACCAATCGTCTAGATCTATTGAAGTTGATTAGACACGGTTAACCCCTTGCATAGACTAAACGTGACATTCATCGTTTAATTATTAAGGTCTCCGTCATTCTAAATACCAGCATTTTATTTTTCACTACTTGTCATCGTATAGGGGGACTAAAAAAGGCTAATTAATCCGTTTTGTTTCAATTCATATCAGGTTGGTTTTATTTTCTTTCAATTATCTTGGTTAATAGGGTAGGTGGTACTTCATAGCATAGTCATTAAATGGTTCAATTAAAACGAAAGCATTTAAGTATTCATCATCACAGTAAAAAGGAGCGTGAGCTGGACTCATCAATTCCGAAAGTGTCTCCTAATGATACTTCAGTAATATCCTTACCTGTGATCAATTCAGTGCATAGTAGTAAACCAAGAAAGAGATCAAATTCAACTGATCCCAACAATCTCGGTAAAGGTGCCAGTATAATTGCCAATGGTGGTGTATATTCTAATTCAAATAATAGTAATACCGTCGTAAATCGGTCAAGATCAAATTCATTAAAGGCAAATACGGGTAATCTTACTATCACAGCTTCAAATCCAAGACAACCTGTACCCAATCGAAGTTCAACTTCTCCAAATATTCTGACCTCCACTTCCAAAACTGATGGTATCAATGATCCTCCAATTAAAGAAGTTCAACCAGAATTACCTCAATCAAGATCAACTGGTTTCATATCCTCCATAATGTCCGTGGCTCAAGGCGTAGTGGCTGCTTATGAAGGTAATCCTGAAGAAAAAGATAAACAATCAAAATCTAAAACTTCACCATCAAGAATCAGTGGTGAACATATAAGACCAATATCATCCAATAGTTCAAGTAAAAAAGATCATTCATTCTCATCAAAATTGGATTTTTTACTTAAACCAGCTAAATTCAGTTCAAAATCTTCTATTGAAGATGATCATAGAAGTGAAACTCCTAAAGTTGTCATAAATGATAATGTCGAACCGGAAATCAATAACATACATAATAGACCTGATTCTCCTTCAGATTTCGTTCCAACTTCGAATGTTCATTTTAGTTCTATTCGTGAGTCACCCATAAATACATTAGGAAGTGGCGATTTAGATTTATCTGCATTCGAAGTCAATAATAATCCAAAACCTAGTCAAGACTCCAATCTTGAAACTAAGCCGGGTGTACGTACAAGATCTGAATCAAGATCAAGAGCATTAACTTTACCTTTAACTCCAAGTCATTCAAGTGATAATCTTCATGATTTGAAAAGAGCTTTAAGTCCTGATATCGTCAATCGTCAATTGCCCGTTAATAATCAGTTGACCACTGCTGGAACTTCAGAGAATAAGAAGATACGTCGAAAATCTTTCAACACTAGTGCTGTTAATAACGGAACTGTGACAAGCAGTACCCCTCAATCATCGTTTATTAATAGTAATGATTTAGTGAAATTGAGAAGTGGGACAGAATCAAGAGTCAGAAGTGATAGTGAAGACTATGATTCAGATGATGATGAAGACACTCAACCTAATGGAGCTCTTAGTGTTAATGGAACTGATGTTGCATCTGATGGAGAAGATTTAGATCAAATTATCGATTATACCAATTTGAAATATGCATCCAATAAGCGGAATAAAGATTTCCATCAGATTTTCAAACGATTACCGGCTACAGATCCATTAATTGATGATTTCAGTTGCGCATTATCGAAAGATATTTTAGTGCAGGGAAGAATGTATCTTAGTAGTCATTATATTTGTTTCAATTCTAATATTTTAGGTTGGGTTACCAATCTAGTGATACCGTTACAAGAAGTGATTCAAATTGAAAAGAAATCTACGGCAGTGTTATTTAAAAATGGGATGATTATAAGAACTTTACATCATAAACATACTTTTGCAACATTTTTAAGTCGTGATTCAACGTTTAATTTAATCACTACTGTGTGGCATAAAGTGTTATTAGAGAATTCTGATATCGATCCTTCTAAATTATTTAAAGTTGGTAGAGGAAGAAATGGATCTAAGACTTCTTTAACATCAAGATCATTTGGTGATGAAGATTCAAATGATATCTCAGATGAGGAAGGGTCAAGTAATATCGATGGCATATTAAGTAGTCTGGAGCATGATGAGAATTTTATAGATGATGATGATGATGATGATGATGTGGATATTGAAAGTGATAGTGATATATCATTGAATAGTGATACAAAGGATAAAGCAGAAACATCAAAGGATATTGCTGATAGTTCAGGTAAGGAAGATGAGAAACGATCAAGTAGTGAAGAAGCCACATCGACACCTGCAACTGCAGCCGGTAATGATAGTGGGAATGGTTTTAAAGGACTTCCACTTGTTGGTCCATTGGCCCATGGTCCAACTGAAAACGGTTATGCAAAACAACCTAATGATACATTTATTAGTGATGAAATTTTAAAGGCTCCAGTAGGAGTAGTGTTTTTATTATTATTTGGAGGTGAAACATCACATTTTATAAAGATTTTAAAGGCTCAAAAGAATTTTGATATTGAAGAATCCAATATCACTGAAATCTCCACCAAGTCAAAGGAAAGACATTATACTTATATCAAACCATTATCAGGTCCTATTGGTCCTAAACAAACAAAATGTATAATTGAAGATAAGTTGGTTGATTTCCAGCCCGAAAAGTGTATCTTGGTCGAACAAACCACTCAAACCCCTGATGTTCCTAGTGGTAGTTCATTCAAGGTCAAAACTAAAATATTCCTTAGTTGGGCTGATCACAATTATACTCGATTATATGTGATCACTACTGTTGAATGGAGTGCTAAATCTTGGATTAAAGGGGCTATTGAAAAGGGAAGTATTGATGGTCAAAAGGATTCTATGAAAGTTATGCTTGAATATTTAAATGATGTTATTCTGACTGGAGCAAGTGCTAAAGCTAAGCCATCTAAGAGTAAGAAGAAATCAAGAAGTAGAAAGAATACTATTGTTAAACAACCATCATTTGAAAAACCAATTGAAGTTAAGCCTATTGATAAGACTGCTTGGGAACAACTTAATGATTTCATAGAATCATTAGGGAAGTTAGTTCCTATACCTTATTTATCCAGTATGATATCAGGGTATATTGTATTTGTGGTTGGATTTATAATCTTCTCCAATATTTTCAATACATTAACGCATAGAACTAATACCAATGTTCAAATCATTGGTGATGATAAGTTGATTTCACGGATTAAGATCAATAATAATAAATATTTGGTTATACCTACCGTTGAAACCACCCTTAAAGATCAAAAATTGAAGATGGATAATGAAGTTGAATTATGGACATGGTTGAATAAAGTGAGTAAGAATGAGATTAAAATAAGTGGAATAGGGAACGAATCATTTGATGAAGATAAAGGACAGGCTAGTAGTTCTAAATCTAAGAGATCGGTAAATCTGAAATATTCAGATCAAGAAATAGAAGAGATTATAAGATTAACTCAATTGAAATTGGATCAATTATCGCAAAGATTCCAAGCTCAATTGATATGAGGGTAACATCAAAATTTATGCAACAAAAACAAAAACAAAAACAGGTAAATTTCTGAATTTTATATACATCTATATAGTTATGATATATAATCAACTAATAAAAGGATCAAAAGGCAACACATAGTTTTGAAGTAAAAGGTAGTACTAATAAAAGGAGTTGCTAAACCAAAATTGTATTTCCTGCATATAACATTGTCTCCTTTTTGTGAGAGGGAGCAGTCGAAACAAAAATTGAAAGCGGAAGGATAAGACCAGACAGGATTATAGTGACTAATTATATCAATCAATCGATTGCCAATCGAATCAATTCTACATCAATCATGTTACAAATAGAACCAAATAACTTATTGGTGCAAAAGACTTTGACTGAGAGGATTTTCCCCGACTCAGAATCATTAAGATCGGTGGATAGAATCATTACTGATTTTGATTTTACAACATATCATATTTCAACTTTACCTGATCAAAAGAACTTATTATTGATTTCAATTTATTTAAAATGTTTTGGAGATTTAACTAAGTATGGTGTGATTGATTATTTGAATGGGAAATATGCTAAATATAGTCAATATTTATCTGTATTACTGGGTAATGATGTTGAACAAGGATATGATTATTCATTAGTATTAGATCTTAATGAACTTGAATCAATTGATGACGAAGGAAAGAATGATGTGATTAATGAATTATCATTCTTAAAAAGACATGCTATGGCTGCTCCATTTGAAAAAGCTTTTGCTAGATATGATGAATTAACCCAAACTTATGCTAATAGTAATACATATTCTGAAGAAGTTCAACAAGAATTACAAAATGAAGAAGTATTAGTGATTAAATATCGTGGATCTGATGAATGTATTTATATTAAACCATCATTTGATAGAGTGACTGTTATATTTAGTACTGTTTTCCAAGATGAAACTGATAAAATCTTTGGTAAGGTTTTCTTACAAGAATTTGTTGATGCTAGAAAGAGATCAGTTCAAACTGCTCCTCAAGTGTTATATTCTCATAAGGAAGCTCCATTAGATATTCAAAATTATGTTCAAGGTAAAAAGGATGATGAAAATAAAGGGTATATTACTTTTGTATTATTTCCAAGACATCTTGTAAAGGGTGATAGAAGAGATAATTGTATTTCTCATATTCAATTTTTTAGAAATTATTTCCATTATCATATTAAATGTTCTAAAGCATATATGCATTCACGTATGAGATTTAGAGTTAAAGAATTCTTAAAGATATTGAATAGAGCTAAACCTGAAAATGTTGATGATGAAGGTAAAGCTATTGAAAATAGAAAGACTGCTAGTGGTAGAAGATTTGATGTAGGTAGAGTTTAGTTTTACATATAAAAGAATAAAAATACATTATGAAATTTATTATTATCATTATTTATACGCTATGTACATGAACGTTATTGAATCTATATGACTATTGTTTTGGCTTTTTAACACCATATTTTGATCTTGAAGTTCCTCTATTAACTACACCAGCAAGATCATAAGCTCCTCTAACCAAATGATATTTGACCCCAGGAACATCTTGAACTCTTCCCCCTCTCACCAATACCAAATGATGTTCTTGTAAATTATGACCTTCACCTGGAATTAAAGCTGATACCACATTACCATTAGTTAATCTAACTCTACAACATTTTCTTAAAGCTGAATTGGGTTTCTTTGGTTTAAGAATCATAACTCTTAACACAACTCCTTTTCTAAAAGGTGAGTTTTCCAAATCTGGAGCTCTACTTTGGAATGGTTTTATTGGTTGACCTTGTTTACCATATTTAAGTTGATTTAAAGTAGCATATCTCTTTTGTTGATTCATAAGATTACAAGTTAATTGAGTCGTGGATGGAATATTGGAACGAATGGATTGCATGTATGATGTTATAGGTTGGGTCTTCACCATTGGTGATACCAACATAGACCTCATAGGTTGTAATAATGATCTAATCATGGTTGGTTATTCGTTGTATTTGATGATAGTTAAGATAGTTAATAGTTAACTTTTAATGAAAAATCTTTTTCATATTGGTAGCAAATGTCGCATTATAGAATGTCTCAATGTCGCATTATTTTTGAGATTTTTTTTTCCAGTTAGACCAGTCAAAATCAGCATCAAATAATCAAATTGCAAACAGTTAGATCTAGTAGAAGATATCATTCACATATACCATAACAATGTTTAGAATAAGTTTATTAAGATCCATACAAAGTCAAGGACGTGTGGCTGTGTCCAGAGCTCATCCAATTAAATCTGTGTTTGCTATAACTCAAACCAGTACTACTACTACTCCAACTTTTATTCGTCATTATTCTGGATTCCCAGCTTTAACAAGAGATGTTGCTAAAGAAAGAATTTTAGAATTATTAGAAGGATATGAAAAGACTGATACTTCCAAAGAAATCAAAGAAGAATCCTCATATATTCAAGATTTAGGATTGGATTCTTTAGATGTAGTTGAAGTTGTTATGGAACTTGAACATGAATTTAATATTCAAATACCAGATAATGAAGCTGATAGTTTAAAGACTGTGGGTCAAACCATTGATTATATTCTTGCTCAAGAAGATGCCGTTTAAGGTAGTGTAATCAGTAATTATCATAGAGTTTAATAATTGGACATATCTTTCGTTATATATATTTGTATAAAACATCATCATAACCGCATACATACAACCATCAAAAAATATACAAAACATTGAATAATAATAATATGTTATTATGTAATATAAAGTAATTGAACTGAATAAGTAACATACTATCGATAATATAAACAACTCTTTATCAATTATAATAATAATAATAATAATATCATTATAAATAATTGATTACTATAATGTTGTTCACGTGACCAACAAATCAGCCAATTGAAACTCACAAAACTCAAACCAAACCCTCCATGAAGAAAAAAATAAACTATACAACTGAAAATTATGATATACTAAATTTATATACTTCAATTCAATTTCATATTCCTATAAATAAACATGGTTGTATATGCTAAAGGTCCAGTCTACAAGACTGCTGCTACAATTCTTGGTATCAATGTCCCAGTTTTAAGAGCTTATATTCCAAACTTAATCTTATGGGGTGGTGCTGCTGGTGCTGGTGTTGCTACCTTCACTGAAGGATGGCCATTATTCCAAAAAGTTTTCTTCTCCAAGATTCCTTACTTTGGTCCTCATTGGATCCATAACCCTGATCCAGAAGATATCCCAGTCTAATCAAATCAAGTTACCAATCCAATCATTAATTTTAAGTTCCTTACTTATTCCGTATCATAGAATATCTGCATAGTCACATTACATTTACGTTCCTTATATCATTAACATCATTCCATTACATAAAAAGTGAATTAATATACAATATATAACGAAATATCATTTACTGTCTATTGTAGAATCAATCTCATTTAGGGGATATACTCCACATAATCTTGATCAACTCTTTTGATATATTCTCCAGAGATCAAGCTTTCTAAACATGTTTTCAAATCAGAGATAGCAACAGGTCCATTCTTCTCTAATGCTTCAATGGCAATATTAAACAATTCCACTACTTTGACTTTCCGTTCTCGTTTCATGATCCCTACTAATTGACTCTTATAAGCATTTTGTCTCATTTCATGAACTAGTTGTAATCCATCACTATCAATCGTATCTCTGGAACTAGTTGTTTGGTTCTCGGAGACTTTAGTTGTAGTGGAAATCTCTCTTTCTCTAACGTATGGTATTCTGATTTTAGTTGATTTATCATTGAATCCAAAATTCAATTTATATTGAGTACCGTCTTGAAATAAAATCTTAGACTTATCAGTACTTAGTGAATTCAATACTCTCTTAACAAGATTCGGTGACATCTTAGTCAAGCGTGATATGTGTGAAATATCATACCCATCTTGATCATTGAATAAAAGTAATATATTAGCCTGAAATAAATTAACATATAATTCCTTCACAACTGATCCAATATTATACTTTATCCATAATTGATGGAAATTATAATAATTCCAATCTAAAAGTTTATGATCTTCTTTCTTAGCGGTATCAATCGAATCAATAATAGTTTGTAATTTGGCATTCAACATAATAGGAGTATTATGAGATTGAGGTACAGTGGGCCATTTTGTTTTCTCCAATACTAAACAACTAAAATCAATATCTTCGATGATTTTATTAAACTTTTCTCGGGATTTAATCACATCATTAATCATCTTCTTCATACTTCCAATAACATCATCATTCTCTCCGATTTGTTCACCAAATCCTTTGATTAACTCTTGTTCATATTTTAAATCCATTTCTTTAAATATCAATAATCTCTTTGAAACATCAAGTTTATAAAACGTTAAGAATTCAAATTTATTCCTGATACATTCGAATAAACTTATCACATTAGTGTAGAATACTTCAAATGATTGGGTTTGAGGTTTGTTATTATAAGTGTTTCTTAAATATGAATCAACGTATTTTGATAATTGGGAAAATATAACAAGATTATACTCTATTTTATTAATGTTCTCCTTTAAGGCATTTTTCAAGTTGGCTTCAAACTGGGGCCAATTCCTAAACTTGACTTTTATCATGGTTTTATATCTATTATAATCATCTATTATTCGATTGATTATAGGGGATTTATCCTTCTCTGTCACACCCGATTTCAAAAGTTCATCAAATTGGTTAATCAAGTATCGTTTCCATTGATATGCCATTTGTTCTCGATAATTATTATCATTATTACATTCATCGATATAATCTAATAAGATATTAAATTCATGTTCAAGATCAGGAGATTGTAAAATATCTTTAAAATTAGGATTCACAATCAAATTAAAATCTCGAAATATCCATGTCCGTTGAAATTTATTAAACATTTGATCTCGGAAAAACTTATCAAACCCACAAGCTTTTATAAATCTCATTTCTAATTCAATTTCAGTTAAAATATATCGTAAATACGAACTATTCATTGGTTTTATAGTTGAAAATCTAGTAATTTCTTGGTTGTATTCTCTGGCGAAATCATAAGTATTAAGAAATCTTCGAATCAAAATCCCAGCTTCGATTAAAGTGGTGGTATCTATAGTTCTATCACGTCTGTAGTTTGCAAGCTTATCAAAGAAAGCTTTGATACTAGGACCAGTCAAAATTTCATCATCCATAAGCATATCAGCACCATATTGTCTGATAGGACGTTTTCGAGTATGAGAAATAAGATAAGTACGATCCAAGTAGATGAATAACGTACTTAGTTGAGTCAAGATCTTTTCCCATTCACTAACTTTAATGACAAACAAAGATAAGGGGAATTTTTTTTTCATATCTTTGTATTCTTTAATGTCAGACATGATCGAATTATGAATTGATTTATATTTCTGATCTAAAGCAGCATATATCTTTGTCACTAGTTTACTTTGTTCTTTGGAACTTTTTCGACATACTAACTCCACATTCCGACTATATTCTGTATAGGTATGTTTTAATGGTTTATCATTGACCACAAGTTCAATCAATTCGTCACATTCTGCAATCAAATTGGTGAAATATGCTTCTATATCGTCTTTATTCAACCCGTTGGAAGTGGAATTATTATGCTGATCGTGATGATGACTTGATTTACTTCTCTTTTTGGAGGTGGAGAGTAATTCATCACTAGCATCTTCATAATGGTCTTGATCATTCTCTTCATCTTGAGGTGTATGTGATCTGGAGCTATAACTCAAAGGACCTTTCGTACCAGCTAAATCAAGAACATTCATAAGTGAAAGTCCTGACCCAGAAGACGGTGTTGATGACAGTTCCATGGATCAACTATGCCTTCAAGTGTAATGGTGGTGATATATCTGATTGAAGGATGATCTAAATACTATCAAGAAACTGGTCTGAAATATTGACGCCATTTTTTTTAGTTTTTTCTTGAAGTTGCACCTTCAAAATTAAATTAAATTTCTTGATAACCTTAATCTCTTCATCCTTTAACCAAACAACTCAATCATCTAGCATATAGCTGTGGAACAATGGCAGACGATAAGGATGAGATCACTGATCCTAAACAATTAACCAACATCTATAAAAAGAATGGTTCATTTGATAATCAACGGAAGAAGCTATTGAATAATTTCAAATCCTCAGAAACTCATCATAACTTATTATTGAAATTAAAAGTCATGATTGAAAATAAAATCAAGAATGATCCTAGTATATTGATGAAGAATAAAGGTATAATGGGGGCGTTGATACAGGGGGAGATCCTAAGTGAGAATAAAGATAAAAAGGATAGTGATGGAAGCAATACATCTCCAACAACCACCAATCACAGTTCAACTTCTATGACATCTTCTTCATCATTGAATTATTATAAGAAAGCAAGTGGTGGTAGTAGTTTATTAAGTATCGTGGATAAGGATATTCAGGATAAGATTATTGATTCATCAGAGTTTCATAAATTACTTCGAGATGAATTGAAAGATATACGAAGAAAACTATTAGGTATAAGTGATGATGATTATAAACAATTATTACAAGAAGAAATTGATAAAGAAAAGAAAGAACAAGAAGAGCAAAGAGTTAAATTACAATTGGAACATAATGAACGGGCTAACAATAATGGTCATCATAATGATTATCGAAACAATTTCCGAATCAAGCATTTGAATTCAAATCCTCATAAAGTTACTAAACCCAGATTTAATTTCAATTCTCGAAATTCAACTTCAAATGAAACTGATGGTAGTAGTAGTAATAGTGGATCTAACAACAACAGCAACAATAACAACAATAATGATAATGATAGTAATGATAAGCCTACAAAACTGGTTCCTTTCATGATGTACTGATAAGATTGATATTTTTATATATTTAACTGAAGGGTGGATATAAATATCTAATTAAGTATATAATATATATAGTAAATAATAATTCATTTTAAAAAAAAAAAAGAACTTGAAATAAAGCATTAACCAGAAATCAAACTAAAGTTAAAGGTATTAAAAATGTACTGAGTGGGATGGATGAAGTCGTAGAGGAGAGGTTTAATCTACTCATTACCATCACCATCACCATCATAAAAGATATTATGAGCATTAAGTAAGAATTTTTCTATAACGAGAGATTTAAAACTTAAATCTTCATGAGAATGTGAATCTTGATTTAAAATAACGGGACCCCAAATGATTGATAAATTTTTAAAATTCATTTTATTAGTAGCTTCCATTGATGCTACTTTATCTAAATGAAATAAAAGATATCTTAAAGTATAATATGATGAATCGGGTAATTCGAAAATCAATCTATGAATAGCAGCATCAACTTCTACTGATGATTTATTACCCACATTCTTAACGATATTAATGAATCTTGTATTAGCATTATCAGTTAATAATCCTCCATCGGGGATATTAACAAAGAAATTCTTTAATAATGATGCAATACTGAATATTTCGGCATCTAATACATTATGAGGATCAATATTTGATCCTAATAAATTACAATTTGAATATTTTTGATCAACTAATTCTTTTAAATTATCAACCACTAATTTATTAGGACTAGTACGATAAATTCCTTCAATATCCAATCCATATTTCTCAATGATTTCAATACATTTAATCACTAATGATGGGACATTATCTTTACCTGCATGTTGAATCAATACGTCCAATGGAACCCCGAACGATGGTTCTAGAGATGGCGTTGGAGCAGGTAATCCTTGTGGTGGTGCGGATGTGGGGGCAGGCAAGGCAATGTTTGGTGATGGTAAACCTAATGGACCAGCAGGTAAGGAAGGGATTTGAGGAGTATTGGTGGTGGATGACAATGGATCAAGAGTTCTTAATGGTTGGGTTGAATCAATAGGGGAATCATTATAAACTGACGAACTCACAGTTTCATGACGAGGGAAATTGTCATTATTAACATCCACTGATAATGGAACTGGACCTTTTGGACCAGTTGGTTCTGAATTGGATAAGTTCATATGAGGTGGGGAGACAGTGGAAGTGAGTGTTGAATTATTGGTTAATAAACTGTTATAGTTATTGTTGTTACTGTTAATGGCAGTATGATATGAATTTCCTGTTACAGTAGTTGAAGTATCAAAATTAGAACCATTATTAGTGGTATTATTATTGTTATTATTGCTGTATGTGTTTTGTTTATTAATCACAAATTGCAGGGGTCTATCAGATCTAATTTGAGAATGATGTTGAACATATTCGATCGGAACAAGACTTTTATTAATCTTTACCGCATTGGTTTGTTGTTTGAGTAAATAATTGTAAAGATCTTTACCATTATCAATTGAACTTGCAATGGCTTTCATTGATTGTTTATTATTTTGTAAAGGATTGATTAAAATTCCAGTATTAATAATTAATGATTCATTCCAAGTAGAGAATTTTTGTAATTGGAAATTCATCGCCATATCTAATTCCAAGATTAAATCCTTTAATTTTCGAGAATTTGAGGGACGATAACTTAATACTAATTCATCTTTGGATCGTTTACAAGTTGCAACTTTCATTTTATAATCTTGATCTGCTCCGTCGATTTTAATTTTTAAATCTTGTTCTTGTTGTTCCAAGGATTTATTCTTAAGAGTGAAAGTTTGCTTTTTATTAGGATCCATAGCTTTTAATTTCTCTAAATCTTCACATAAATTGCCATATTTCAATTTTGCCTTTTCAGCAGCTATAATTGAATCAATACAATCTTTTTCTTTTCTTCTTCCTTCATCTTTAATAACTTTTCTATTTTTAGATACGACATCACTTAATTTAGTCAATTCATTGAACATAGTAGTAATGGCAGAAACATAAGATAATCCAACTTGACTTATCTTTTGATCGAATTCAATGATTTCATCTAATCGAGAAGTGAATGAATCATCTTTAACTTTCCCCTGTAAATGTTTGAAATTACCTCTGATATTAATGGCGAATCGATTCGATTGATTGAAGTAATCTTCTTCAATCTGAGCCTTCTTCTTTAAGTATTTACAAAATTCTTCTGCAGTAGTGATACTTTGTTTTAATCGATATAATAAGATATCCAAACTTTGATCACTCTTCAAGATTCGTTTGATTTCATCGGTTTCAAGTAAATCCAATGATTGTACCGAAGAAGAAGAGATGGGATGGTCATTATGGCTGATGGTTGATGTTGATGGAGTGGTAGTACTTGATGTTGAAGGGGGATGATCTAGTTGTGAATTGGTAGTAGCAGCCATGATAGTATGAGAACAGAATGTGAAGGAAAGTGAGCGATGAGAATTAAGGATTGACTGAACGGTGAGCTTACTGAATGATTAGTTACTTGGTTGATCACAGACTTCTTGTAACTGATTGAACAAGATCCAATGATGATAGTTGTCGTTGGTTGGTTGGTTGGTCTAGGATTGATGGTTAAAAATAGGAATTTTGAAAACTGTCATTTTTTTTTTTTTGGTGTTTCCCCTTTCTAAAAAATGTCTGAGAACCATTTTTTGACTGTGCCCATTTTGTCTGATTTTGTGTGATCAGACAGACAGACAGACAATTTTAAACGACAGGAAGGAACAATTACAAGACGGTTTCGATCAATTGGTTTAGAGCTCTGAAGTGGATGATTAGAGTTAGATATGGTGTGATATCGTCTAACTGGATCCAATTGATAATAGGTTTAGATTCTATGATGCAACTAACTTCAATCTAATACTATTTTATATTGATATCTATGGGTTGGGTTGTGTGCTATATTTAACTATATATATTTACTTATTTGTAATAACCTTAAAAGAATCCACTCATTCTCTTTTCATCTTCAGCATTTATATTGGCTCCAAATGAATTAATACCATGTTCGACATTAGCCACTGAGAATTCCAAATCATCATTAGTGATTGAATCCCAGAATTTATAAATCATCATCACACTAAAGATATTACATAATGATCCAAAGAATAATCCATCGATATAATGGGAAGCACCTTTACACACTTGATCACTGAAAAGATAAGTTAATAATTGACCCGCCACGAAAAAGAACACTCCAAGGAAGATTGATCCTAATGGCCAATATGTATCAAGAGCGAATATGACCAATATGATTTGAGAAACAACGTAAAAGAATAAAATCACAGCATTAATGATATAAGTGACGATGAATAATACTTCGGTGTTTTTATTATTTAATATTGAACCCCAATTTTTAAATGTAGCAATGGAAATAATGAAATTAACCACAAACCATATAAAACTCATGATTCTTAATGACCAAATTGATCTTCTGGTTCCATCTTCCCAATATTGGAAACATAAGAATCCATTATATAACAAACAAATACAAACGGCACTGGAGAACCCTAATTGTAAACTTACAAAATATGCAAATGAAGTTGAACTTGGAGGACTTACACCACAATCAACAATTAAAGTTGAAACTATCAAACATAATAAAACATAAAACAAGTATAACATTTCCGATCTTCCGATGGCAGTATATTTGGCTCTAACGTTGAAAATAATGATTAATATAACGATTAAACTTCCGATATGAACGAAGGCATTCCCAATTTGGAAAATCATAGTATTGGCTAATTCAACACTACGAGCATAACAAATGGGTAAGATTCCCGTGGCGAAATACGATGAATCATCGACAGCTGCAAGAACTGAACATAAGGGTAAGGCTGTGTTATTACAGATGGCATCGAAACTTCCAAATGTCATGATGATATGAGTGTATATGAGACGTGTTTATGAATGGGTGAATGTGAGGTGGAATGAAGTGGAATGGATATGCAAAGGGGGGATGATGAAACTAAGGGGAAAGAACGAATGAAGGAATGAAGAATTAAAACAATCTTGGATGTGATAGAAGGTATGATCTATCCTCTATGATCTATGAATGAGGTGGTGGTGATGAGTGAATGCTTGAATTGGTTGATGATGATTTGGTTGTCATAACTTGAAATGATAAAATTTTTTTTGGAACTCAAAATCAAAACAAAAAAAGAAACAGAAAAAAAAAATGTCTTTGTGATTTTCGTGATTATTTTTAGAAACTTCATATCAGCCCTTATTTACCCTGTATAGATATCTATCTACATTTCTTAGTTTTCATTGGAATATATATTGTATAAATCACGACATAAATAAATAAATAAATAAAAGTAGAATAGAATCGAATAGAAATAAATGGTTTAAAAAAGACACGCCAAAAATCCCATCCATCTTTAAAGAGAGTAAATAATAGTATTACCTCCTTTTAAATGAATGGGTAAAGATTTCCTATATACAGAAAGAAAAAACGAATAAAAGTAAAGTTGTAAGATCATAAATATGTGCAAGATAAAATAAGATAAGATATTCATAATAATAATTCGTAGTAGTAGGTGGTTGGATCAATGATAGTAGGGAGGAGGAGGTTGAACTAAAGTTGTAGGAGCATTTTCAAATAATCCATGACCGGAATATTCATAATGCAGTTTAATCAATCTTTCTCTTTGTTGTTTTTGTTCAAGACTTAATTTACGTAATTTATCATTGATTTTATTAATATCGATATAATTCATTGATTTCTTCTCCTCCTTTAACGATCCATGCGATGATTTAATTGGGGATGTTTGACTATTATTTAAATTTGTAAAATTGAAATAATTATTCCCGATTCCAACCCCCGATAATAAAGATGTGGTGGAAGGTGGAGGAGGAGCAACGACAATGGTTTCATACGTATGTGATTTCAAAGGATGAGAATGATGATGATGATGATGAGATGGGTGGTATGGATCTGATTCGGATGATTTTAAGATCTCTTGATATAATTTATCATGAGCGATTCTAATTGGTTTAGGATGGATTATAATATCATCATTAGTAGATAAAGTAGAATGAACACTTGAAATTGGAACTGAATTCAAATTACTATCGATATTGATTAAAGTAGATGTTTCTGATAATAAATCATTGGTAGAGTATAATGAAGATGCATGACTAATATCAACTGATTGAGGTAAGGAAGTATTAGTAGTTGACATAATTGAAATAGCGGGGACAATAGTTGGACTTGGAGCTTTCTTATGTCTATTATATTTAATTTTTCTTCTCTTGGGTTTAACCAACGTTGGTTTAATATTATTTGTAGTTGAAGATTTTTCATTATTTAATTTATAATAATTAATTGATTGAATATTACTGATTTCTTCCATAATATTATCAATTTTATTAAAATTCTTATTCACCAATAATTCAATTGGGATTCCATTTGTTGAAGATGAAGTGATAGGCATGACAGGGATAGTTAAATCATTTATATTTGAACATAATGAGTTTAATAAATTTGGATAAGTTTTAGTGAATTTATCTAAATGAGATCTTTGAATGACATTTTTAAATTTAATAATATTTAAATCAAGAGTTTCTCTTGAATTAAAAAGTTTAAGATTCTTTTGTAAGTTTTTGGATGAATATATGATAGTTTTGATGGATTCATCTTCATTAGTAAGTTGTAATCCGACAGGATTAACTTCATCAGTTGATTGATTTGAGGTTTGAGTAGATTGTTTTTGTTCATGATTGGTTGACATAGTTGCAAATTCATTTAATTTATCTAAATCAAGATATTTTAAACTAAATTGATGAATTAAAGTAGGTAAAGTATCTCTAAATAAATCTCTAATTTGATTTTCAATTTGATTTTGTAAGAAATTAGCCAATACTTGAACAGTATCAAAAGTTGAACTTACTTTTATAGAATCCAAGGGATCATTTCTAAAAACCATAGTTAAACCTTTTGATTTTGAAAATACAATGATTCCAATTCCACTTATTTTAATATCACTTAATTTTAAATCCAAAGGTAAAGCGAATTGTTCATTTGATAAAAGAAATTGAGGAGTTATAAATGGATTTGATTCATTAATTTCATATTCCAAACTATTTGAATAATAAATATTTAAAGGATTAGCTTGAACATTGGTATGTAAAGTTAAATGGAAATCACCATCATAATTGATTTTAAAGATTCCTCTGAAACGATCAGAATCTAATTCACCAATTTCTAAGATTTCGAAATTTGGAGCTATTTTACCAAAATTTAAATCTTTAATTTGAATATTTGATGCTAAGATATTTGGAGTTTTACCTGAATTTAAAGCGGAAGTTAAAAGGTCTTTGGTCCAGTTGATTAAGGAATCTGTATCTAGAGATTCCCAGTTGACGTTGAATGACATGGCATGGGGTTGGAATGTAGGGGTGGTAGGGGGATGTAGGGGGGGATGGAAGACAGAAGTTTGATGACCGGGAGATTAAGGAAGAGCAAACACTGTAATGAATGGAAGTTTAGTACTGATAGATTGTAGTACTATGAAATGAATAGATGAGATAAAGGACAGTTGAAGTCGATTTATCGATTTGGTTGATACCTTATTTGGTTGATAAGTTAACTCTGTGGTGGTTGACACTTAAAAGATGATTGGTTTAAATGGAAATGGTTAAAATTTTTTTGAATTTATTTGTTTTGGTTTTGTGGTATTTAAAAAAAGAAATTAAAATGATACGATAAAAATTAACTTAACTATGGTAACACTATAACTGTTCTGTTCTGTTTGATTAGATTATGGGAAATGTGGAGAAATGAATGAAATGAAGTGATTCAGATAGACCAATTATATCTAATTATTATCAACTATAAATTACAAAGTGGTGAGATTGTTCATAGTTATATCTGATTGACTCCTTTTCTACTTAATTTGCCTCTGTCTGTGTTAACTATGGTGGTGGTGACTCTCTCTTTTTGTTCCCGGGGTCATTTCCTATGACTGTATATAAATAAATGCCAGTGGAATGACTTTTTTTTTGTTGTTGTTATTCTATTTCCTATTTGGGATTAAATAGAGGTCATCATGTGATCCGTCATGTGATTTGATATGATAGAATTATATGCAGTCCATTAACTTGGAATAAATCATCAAACAACAATAACAACAATTCAAAAACTGGAGGTTGATTATAATTTGATAAAGTTCTTAATTATTATAATAACAGATTTAATTATATTAATTTATATCACTTGATATAATTGATAATTTAGACTATATTTTATATATAACTTATTTTCATAACTTAACTATTTGATAGAGTTATTCCATCATTTATATGATAAAACTAAGAGGTTGATTTTACTTTGTGTAGTATAAGTCATGTGATTGATTCTTTCATATTAATTTTAACGATAATTGACTTTTATTCAACATTGAACAAACATAATGATTTGTATAAGTATTTTAACCATTTCATAGAATCAATCAGTTTATAATATCATATAATTAATCATAAGTTTACTAATTATCATTACTGAAAGACTACTACTTTTCATAAAAAGTGGTGCATTTACGGGGAGGAAATTTAATCACATGACTCGCCATGTGACCCATTTCCTAATTGGGAAATACAAGAGGTTGAAGTACTCCGAATTTCAAAATCGATCTTAATAAAATAAATATTCTATAAAGTTATTAAAAGTATATTAAATAGATATATTCAGTCATTTTGAGTATAATTTGTATGATAACTTATATCATAAAATTAAGTATTTTCTTTCAAATATTAGTTTATTCAAAGTGTCGTAAATATTTGTCTGTCTGTCTGTCTGTTAACCGAACAAGAATGAACCCATGTTTTGGTTACAAATTAGATTTCTTCTATTAGTAATTGAATTTTATTCTATAGTCAATATGATATCTAACTATATCTTACCATTCATTATACTATATTACTATAACTGACTATCCCATATATATATATATATATATATCATTATAATTATAATACTATTATCATCCATTCCTGCATATACCCTATTCAAAAGCCGTTAATAAAATTTTATTTCACTTCAAAAGTTGAGGATTATTAATAACTAAAATTTTACATAGTTATCTAAAGCTTTGAATTGATAATTATTGCAAAATATCATAGGTATTTCCATATACCGTTTACATATATCTGATTGAAGATTAGTGGCCTTCAGCATATCAGTTCATCCCTTTACAGTACTTCATAGACTATTCTTACACGTCTTTTACCCAAGTTCAGAATCCTATATCAACAATATCACACAACAATATGATTCATAGATCTCAACAATCACCATTCTACTCATTTCAAATCTTCGATGCCAATCATAATCTTATCGATTTCAGTATCCTCAAGGGGAAAGTGGTAATCATTGTCAATGTCGCAAGTTATTGTGGATTTACGCCCCAATATAAAGAATTGGAATTATTATTTGAAAAATATCATAAACAAGGATTCATCGTGATTGGATTCCCCTGTAATCAATTTGGAAATCAAGAACCTTATCCTGATTCCCAAATCATAACGTTCTGTCAAAAAAATTATGGTGTTAATTTCCCAATCATGAGGAAAATTGAAATTAATGGTAATTTCGAACATAAATTATATACTTGGTTAAAAAATGAAAAGAAAGGAGTATTAGGGTTTAAAGGTATACGATGGAATTTTGAAAAATTCTTAATTGATAGAAATGGTAATGTCGTAAATCGTTATCTCTCTGATGTTACTCCTTTAACTTTTGAAAATGATATTGTAAAATTATTAAAGGAGAAATATGTCGAACAAGATTGACAATGACTTTCTTCACTCATTCCCTCCCTTCATCCTTAATTCACTCATTCATGTTATCACGTCCATAGTCACTTTTTTCACTTCATATCTGTTCCTTTATTCAATCATTGTATCATTCTAATGTACTTGTAAATATCAGTCATCTTCATCTTTATTTCTTTCATTTCTATAAAGCTTTTTTTAAAAAAAAACATTTTTTTACTTACTATTATACATACAAAAACTAATATACTTAATAATTACTAATTACTAATTACTTTTTGACTTTCTTTTTAACGTCTGGGGTAGATTCTTTCTTTCTCTTTCCATTACCATTAACTTCCGATCCATTTATTTCACTCACTTTTTGATCAGGATTAATTTCCTTAAGAATACAAGTTAATAACGTTGTACATCTTCTTGATAATTCCCCTGAATTACGACTTTGGAAAAAGAAATCAAATTGAAATAATGGTGATTCTCGAATAGCTAATTTAATTCGTTCATATAAATCAGGACTCTCTAATCCAAATCGATATACTTGAACTAATAAAAATCGATCTTCCTCTTCACTAAATGTTCTTTTATTAGTAGCTGATGGAGGGAATTTTAAAATTAATTCTTGTAAAGGATACTTATATTGAGATAATTTTCTTCGAAGGGCTTCCTTTTGTAATTTCAATTTAAGAATCTTCTCTTCTCCTAATTCAATTTGATTAATATATCTTTCATATCCTTCAATCTCACTATAATTCTTCCAAAATGCTTTGGCATATTCTCGAACTTCTTCAATCGTCTTATCTTCAAATTCTTGTGCTATTAATGGAATACTATTTCTTCCATATTTACAACACACCGTAATGAAATGAGTGAAATCACGTCGATTCCAATTACTATAACCCTGAGTTAATAATTCTTCTTTTAAAATTTTTTCATCATCAGTTAATGCACGAGAATTATCAATTTCTTCTTGTTCTAATTTTTGATCCAATTCACGATCTTTTAAAGTGGAAGCATCACCTGCTTTAATAGGGACTTTATATCTGATTTGTTTCTTATAATAATTCTTTTCTAATTCAATCAATTCTAATAATTTGGCAGGATAAAATTGATGATCATAAATATTTAATTGTTTAGGTGGTCTAGGTCCTGATTTTGGTCCTGGATTATTAGTACGACCTCCTGTATTTAATACATCCTTATAATACATATCAATCGAATAATTCTCTTTACGCTCTCTTTTACCAGGATTTATCCATGCATGACCAATATTAGTTATGGCAGTTGGTTCTTTCTTTTTGAAATTTTCTCCATTCCATTCATACACTGATTCATCATTAGTGAAATTTTGTAAGGCATTTAAATCTAATTTCGAATATTTTTGATTTAATTCTTGGGTTTTACTTTCTGATTGTTTTAAAATTTCTTCAATATCAATATCTCCCGATTCATTATTAGATCCATTACCAAACATATCAGCAGCTCCAAATTGAATCATATCTAATAATTCATTCTTAGAAGCTGCTTTACTACTTTGTTGACCATCAAGTCCTCCCGTATTTCTCCCTTGTTGAATAACTAATTGATCTAATCTTAATTTTTGAGTAGCTCTTTCCAATACTTTTTCTTCAATCGCATTACCAGTAATAAAACGGAATACTTTAACTTGTTTAGTTTGCCCAATTCTATGAGCACGATCCATAGCTTGTAAATCAGCTTGTGGATTCCAATCAGAGTCAAATAATATAACAATATCTGCACTTGTTAAATTAATCCCTAAACCACCAGCTCTAGTGGTTAATAAAAATACAAATTTATCACTACCAGGTTTATTATATTCATCAATAGCATTAACTCTATCAGCATGTTCAGTTTGACCATCAATTCGACAATATTCAAATTCTCGGAAATAACAATAATCTTCTAAAATATCTAACATTCTACTCATTTGAGAAAAAATTAATACTCTTGAACCTTCTGATCGGAATTTCTTTAATAATTTATCAAGAATTATCATTTTTTGAGAATTGAATACTAAATGTTCATCAGTAGTGAATGGTGGTCCAGGTTCAGCTCCTTCGAATAAATAAGGATGATTACAACATTTTCTTAATTGCATTACAATGTTTAATAATCGAGTTTTACTTTCCTTTTTATTAGCTCCATTCACAGCATCAATATCTTTTTCTAAAATCTTTTGATACCATTTTCTCTGCATATCACTCATTTTAACATAAACATTTAATTCTTGTTTGGGTAATAATGATTTCTCAACATCAGCTTTGATTCTTCTTAATAAAAATGGTTTTAAAACTTTATGTAATTGTTGAATCACAGTACCTTGTCTTTCATCATTTCCATCTCCATTGTTGGGACTACCACCATTGGAAAACCATTCATCAAATGATTCATTATCAGCAAATACATCAGGTAAGATGAAATTCAAAAGGGCCCATAACTCTCGTAAATTATTTTGTAAGGGAGTACCAGTGATTAATAATCTATTCTTGGAATGAAACATTCTAATGATTTGAGATAATAATGATTCTTCATTTTTAATTCTATGAGCTTCATCAATAATAATATATTCCCAATTAAATTTTCTGAATGTAGCTTTTTCTCGTATAACAATTTCATAAGATACAATAATAACATCGAATTTACATGTTAAAATCTTACTTTTAATAATATCACTTCTTTCATCTTTATCACCTTGTAATACTAATACTCTAATATCAGGAATCCATCTATTAAATTCACGAGCCCAATTATCCAAAGTAGATTTAGGTGTAATCACAATATGAGGTCCATTAATATGTTTAATATATCTTAAATAACCTAAGAATGAAATGGTTTGTAAAGTTTTACCTAATCCCATTTCATCAGCCAAGATTCCAGATAAATTGTTTTCATATAATGATATTAACCAATTTAAACCTTGGATTTGATATGGTCTTAATTCTCCATGAACGTACCCTGGACTTTCAGTGAATTCAAGAATTGGAGTAGTATCAACTTCATCATTTAATAATTCAGCATCTTCTTCCTTTTCAGTTTTTCTTCTTCTCGATGATCCTTTCACTTTATTAGAATGTTTATCATTATGTAAATCATCCACAATCTTTCTAAATAATGGATCTTTATTAGCTTTAGCTTCAATGAAATGATGAAATAATCCAGTTAAACCTAATAAATATTGAAATCTTTGACTGGTCTTTTCTACATCAACAACTTGCTTTTCAGTTTGAGTGAAGTATTTAGATCTATTCTCAGCATCCATTATATCTTCTGATTTGGGATATTCATCTTCATGCTTCAAAATATCATTCAAATCTAATGAAGGTGTCTAAATTAAAGTTGTTAGTAAACAAATCACGCTAAACACGTAGAGAACATCTTGGTGATCAAAATCATCCCACACCATCAATCACTCAATCTTAATTGTATGCTCTTTCTCTAATAAGTAATATCTAATACATACAACCTCTAATGAATCCGTCATGACTGATTCGATTCGATTCAATTCAAACTTGGTTGGTGATATGCTGCCAATTGAAACTATGAAATCTGATTGCGATCAATTTGATGTAAATTCCCAAAAAAGTTTTGATGGTGAAGTTTTCATTTTGAAAGACGCGACGACATTTTCTTTTTTTAATGTTGATCCACCACACATAATAGAAGATTCTATGGTCTATCTACGATTAAGAGTTGCTAGATCAACTATATCTTAACAGATTAAGGCCAATGATATAGTGAAATATGATCTAAATGTAAATTTAACATAAAAGACTCGTTGTTATTAAGTGTGGCGCTACCATGAACCCATCCCACATATAACTAATAATAAATAAATAAATAACTACTGACTAACTAAGATTTAATCAAAACCATCAACAATTTCAAAATCACCAACTTTGAATTTAACATTGCTTTGTTTTTCATAAGTTGGTCTATTATGATAATCAACTACTCTCTTTCTGACATATTCAGTACCAATGATTGGCTCTTTGGTTTGCTTATATAACCCTAATCTCTTTAATAATGGAGAATCAGCCACTTCAATCAAAGCTTTATCACCAGGTCTTACAAAATAAAAGGCTCCAATTCTAGGTTTATCAATTTGATCTGGAGGTGGTCTTATGACACGATGAATCGTTGATTTGAAATAACCTCCTGACCAAAAATTAAGCGTATCCCCCACATTACAAATAATACCATTTCTAATTGGTTTGACATATTTCCATTCCTCCCCCAGTTTAATTTGTAAACCAACTACTAATTGATTGAATAATAAAGTTAAAGTACCGAAATCAGTATGAGCTCTTGCCCAAGTATTTTCCACTTTAGCATCATCTTCAGGGGTTCTAGGATGATATTTCATATATCTTAATTGATCATCACTTGGATCTTCATATAAATGACGTTTAACGAAATATAATTCATCATCTAATTCTAAAATAATACCAAATAAAGTTAATAATTTCTTAACGATATCAAAACATTCATGAGATACTTTTGATAATTGATCGAAATTATCTTTCACAAAATCTAAATCATGATATTTATCATTTAAACCATTAAATTTTGCAATATTAAAGATTTCTGAATTCTCTTTAACATCAGTTCCGAATAAGAATTTATTCCCCTTTGATTTATACCCAAAATAATTCCCTGTTTCAAAATTAACGGGGACTTTTGATTTAGATTCGAGGGAATAATCATTGAAAAACAGTTGTCCCAATTGAAATATTTCTTGTTGATCGATTCCACTATTGATAACTCCAAAGAATCCACCATTCTTTTCAATAGCATTATGAAGATCCTGAGCTAATCCATGTTTATCATGTTCAAATTTGGCGAGATCAATTGTAACTAATTCAGCGTAATCTAATTCATATTTAGTTTCGTTGGGGGTTACCCAAGGTTTCAACTGTGGCTTTTCCCTATGATCTGGGGTAATCGTAGTAGTATTGGCTGTTGGTGACATCAATTGTTAATGTTTTAAACTTGATATTGAAGAAGAAATGTAGTATGAACTGTCTAAACTTATCAGACTTTGAGTAAAATCATATTCACTTTTAGTATTCAGGGATATATCACTAAGTCTTTATTGCAAAAAAATTGTGGTGTCTATTCATAATAATCCTCGGAATTGGACATCAAAGGGTCGGATCGGGGCATAATTTGTTGCTGACCGAAATTTAATACCACAATTAAACTATCATCAAAATGGTATTTTCTTTCGATTATTACTTACAAACGTATTCTTAAGTTGGTAGATATCTTGATATAACTGTCACTATACATTGGTACGTTCTTTATCTGACTTTTTTGTCCATTGCAATATTTAGTTATAGTATGGTAGCATTGGAAGTGGCTGTGCTATCTTTTTATTTGGTTCTCTAAGGGCTATAATACCAGCATTTCTATACCCATGATGACTGAATACTCAATTAATTAAGATATTCTACAGTTACGCATTCAGTTAAGAGTTAGTATCATTTTACTCTCTATATAAAATGAGACGGGGTTACAACGGATGTAAATCTCAAAATAGATAAAGTCCATTTTTGCAAGTGCGGACTATCAACAATTCAATTCACAGCCTCCTAACTCTAAATACTGCGCCAATTGGTATATAAATATTGGTATATAAATAAAGGGTTGAAATACTGATTAGTGTGTTTTTCAAACTGATCTGCTCTACATAGTGAAGATAAACCCTTCTAACAATTACCATGAACTCTTTAGCCAAATCAACTGATACAAACGATACTTATAGATTTTATGCTGAAGTTCCTAAAAGAGCTGTTTCATATAACTTCATTATTTGCTTCTTTTTATATGCTATTATTTTGATTTGTCAAATTGTTTTCATTTCAACTTCAAAATCATTGAAAACATTAGTTCCTAAACCAAAATTGAAACGTTATGTCAATATTATGATTCCATTCATCATTGGATGTTTCTTAGAAAGTATTGGTTTTATTGGAAGATTACTCTCAGCTGATAATATGACAAGTATGGGTCTTTATATCTTACAAGCTTGTGCTATTTTGATTGCTCCCACTTTATTTGCTGCTACAGCATACATGTATTTTGGAGAATTAATTAAAACTTTAAAAATTCATAAATTATCAATCATTGATCCAAAATATTTAACCAAAATTTTTGTCGGTGGTGATATCGTATCATTTTTACTTCAAGGTAATGGAGCTGGTTTGTTTGTTAGTTCCAATAAAACCTTGGTATTGGTAGGAAGAATAATGGTCATTGCAGGTCTTGTGGTCAATATCCTCTTTTTTGGTTTATTTTGTGTTACGCAAGTTATTGTATATTATAGAATTTACCGTCTGACCAATAAGGTATGTATGACAGGTAGTCAATTTCCTTCTAGAATCACGAATTGGAAAACATGTGGAGGTATTCTTTCATTTGTATCAATTATGATCATGGTTAGATCGGTATATAGAGTGGTTGAATATGTCCAAGGTAATAATGGATCAATTACAAGAAATCAAGAATTACTTTATCTTTTAGATTCTACTATGATGAGTTGTGCTGGATCTGCATTTAGTTTATTTAATGTGCCTTACTTTTTTATGGTATTTGAAAATCGTTTTGGTGAAGTAACTGACGATTTAGATGAAATTGTTCAATTATCAGATAGCAAGGATCAAGCTGCTAATATTCCTCTTGTAGACCAAGAGATCGGAGCATGATTTTTGTTATCAGTGATTATTCCTTGAAGATAAAAATTATATAGTTAGCTTCCAGCTATGAACTTTAAAGTTTAATAAAAGATTTTAGCCTACATACAAATTAGATATCAATTCCATCTGAAATTTTGAAACACTTAATTAATGTAATACACCTGAACTAACTACAGACCATCAATGAAATACCATATGCGCTAAACTTAATATTCCTTCAAAATATAAATCCATTCCATATTTTTTAGATCGTACTTTCCTCTGTTATCGTTAAACCTCAAACTGTCTACAACTGAAATTTCATCGGCTGATTTAATCCGCCTTAATTTCAAAATATTTTCGCAACATTTTGATGTCAAAAAAATATAAATTCAATTTCCGCGCAATTTCAAATTATAAATTGTAGTACCGGAAAAGTAATTGTACATATAAAATTACTGAATAATTGAAGAGGAACTATGTAAAAGACAATAGAATGTTGTTGTTGTTGTTGGTGAAAATTAGCAAAAACTTAAATAGTGTGTATAAAAAAAGCAAAACTAAAAGTATCTATAAACCAAAAGTAAAGTAAATTAAAATCAAAGTAAAGTAAAGCAAAGTGTTAATTTGTAGAATTAAATAGCAAATAATATTAATAACGAGAATAAATGTAGAAATGATTACAAGAAACTTATAATCAGTAGTAGTGTAGGATGCCTGTTCCTACCATAATTGAATAAAAATTAAGTAGATTTTTAAGATTTACTTTTTCTTTTTTTAGCTGGACTATCCATTGAAGAATATTTTGCAGCAACTAACCCTGTTATCAGTGATTGACGTTTCTTTTGATTGAATAATGATGATGAATTTTCATGTACCAACTTTAAATGTCTTGTCAAACTATCCTTACGATAGAACCCTTTCCCACAATCATGATGATCACAAACATAAATGATTTCTTGTAACGCATCACAATATGGTTCACATGCATCAACAACTTTGCCTCTTTGGAAATGTTCAAGCACCACATGGTGTCTTAAATTAGCTTTCTTTTCATATCCAATTAAATTCATAGGGCATTCATGAACTGGACATTTGAAGTTTCTAAATTCAACAAAATTTAAATTATTATTATTTTCAAAATAACAATGATTTATAAAATCATTATAATTGGTGAATTGAGTATGACAATGATTTTTAAAACATTTTAATCGAGGTTCAATCAATTTAATATCTCTGATTTGTTCTTGGGAAAATAATTGATAAACTAATTGTTTGAAATTCTTCCCTGTATCAATATTGAAGTGTCCGTCAAGATGATGATAAGCATTAGCAGCAAATTGATTATGATTTAAAATCGTATTAAGTTTATAATCATGAGGCATGGAATGATGTCTTGGAGAAAATGGTCTTTCTTGAGGATTGAATATATGTTCATTAACGTCATCTTCATCTTCATCATCATCATCATATTCTTCACTGGTACTATCATCTCCATTATTATTATGATACAAGTTTGGATTACTTAAATGTTTGGAGTAAGCTTTAGTAGCTAAGGCCAAAGCAGTATTAACATCCATAGGCGAGGTTGGATCAGATTGGGAATCATGTTTATATTCAACTGACATTGAAGATTTTTGAGTTGTATAAACTGTTGGAGTTGATTGTTGATGATGAAGTCTTGGTTTGATTTGGGATTCTAATACCACCGTTGGAGATTTTGAGTTAATAGTTCCTTTATTAGCCGTAGTATACCTTGGAGAATTTTCAAGATCACCTTCTGAAATTGGAGTATTTGGAATTATAACTGAAGGATGAAACATTGTATTACCATATTTCTTAATGGAATTAATATTATTGGAATTATTATTAGTAGTATTAGTAGTATTAGTATTTACAATAGATGAAGATGATGGACCGGAAAAGGACGCAACAGTAGCAGCAGCAGCAGCGGCAGCAGCGGTGGTGGCATCACCAATACTAAATATATCAGTATTAAACAAACTATCATTATGATGAGAATTATCTTCTAATCCAAAGGAATTTTGATGAGGATGGATTTGAGATGCAGTATTAACATTAGATTGATGATTATAATAACCACCTTGATTATTATATAAGATAGGAGAAGTGGGAGGAGTTGTTACTTGATTATCTTGAGATGATGCTGATACAGGTTGAGCCACCACTACTGGTGATATAAGTGGTCTTTTTTGAACAAGGTGACGAATTTGATGATTTGGGGGTAAATTATTTTGAGATAAATATTGTTCTTGTTGCTGTTGTTGATTATGAAGTTGTTGAAGTTGTTGTTGTTGATTTTCATTTATTTGTGATTGGAACATATTCAATTTGAATGGAATATTTTCTTTAAATGGATATGGCTGAGCAAATACTGTTTCTTGTAAGGGATTTTCCAAATATTGAATGGTTGGTGCTGGTGGATGTATATGATTATGGGTGTGATTATGATATAAATCAGTTTGAGAATTATAACTTGAAGCTGAAGTTGAGTTTGTTAAGGATGGTGCATGACTTAAATCGGATGACATATACGCTTGTTGTTTATATATATCAAAAGGATTGATAGCAATATTACTACTCAAGTAATTTGATGCAGTAGCCATGCTGCCATTGATACCAACATCAGTGGTGGTATTATTATTAATAATATTATTATTATGATTTATATTGGTATTATTAGCAGTTGCAGACGCGACAGTAGTAGTACTCCTCGTATCACCATTTGAAACGGCAGCTAGAGCCACTGCAGTAGTGTTATAATTTGGTGAAAACATGCTGCGAAACAACCAAAATTCAAATTATTTTTATTAAAAGTTAATATTTCTTGCAGCGCGGCAGCAGTAATATGGTTTGACCTTTTTTAATTGTTGTCTGAGAATTTTATGCAAATATGAAATATGTACCTGTACCTAGTCTCCCTTAGCCGATAACAGATAATCAGTACAATCGAGATCTTTTTTTTTTGGCCCAGTAAAATTTAGCGTCCAAAAAGCTGAGTGAGCGGCAAGAAATAAAAATAAATTCCTCACTAAAAAAAAAAATAAAGGATGAAAATAGAATTAAATTCCAAAAACGTAAAATCCAAAAGCAATAAGCAAAAAAAAAAAAAAAAAATAAAGATTAAAAAATAATTCTTTTTTTTTAATTTGTTTGCTTTGCGTAATCGATAAAATAGTCCAAAACTGTCTATTCTAAAACGAGTATGAAACCAAACTACTAAATGATTGACAAATGAAATGAAATTAAGTGAAGTGAAGGTAATACCAATTCAGATACCTGTTACGTTATACCTCTTAACAAAGTATAGTCTAATTTGAACAATGAATGTAAACAAAAAGACTTACTATAATGGAACAAAAAAAAATAAACTATGCGTAGGGGGAGGAGGGAAAAATAAATAAATTAGATAATGAATTTTTCCAGATTAGACAACAATGGCAGCACTTTGTTAAAATGAATGAGCTGCTATATCAAAAACGATTGTTGTTGTAAAAATGAATCGTATGTAGAAATGTAATGTAGTTACCCCTAGTTCCAAATTAGAATTGGATTGAGTGTTTGTTGTGAATAGTTAGATGGATAGATTGATTGATTGATTCAAACGATTAATTGCTTTTGCGCATACAAAACGATATTAAATGGTTACAATATTTGGCTGCTTTTAATGACAGACAGGCAGACAGACAAGTAAAATGACAAATATATCTCGGTTAAGATTGGGTTTAGTCAAGGTAATGATTGTTGAAGTCAATGAATGATTGATTGATTGATTGATGTGATTGAGGAGGATGGTTGGTAGAATGGTGTGAGTACCAACAATAAGTCTCAACCTACTTATTATATCGTGACGCAAATGGTTGATACAGTAATTGAACTAGATGAACTATCTAAAACAACGAAAAGGAGATCGGAAATCGGAAAAAGATACGTTTATGATTAATCGTTGAAAAATATCAGAAGAAATCCGTCGGTCTTTATATATTAAAAATTTACCATTAATGAATTAAGATGAACCCTTTACCATTTTGACTATTGATCTAAAGTAGTATGTATTTCCTCAAACTATCATAGTTAATGTTTTTTTTTATTTTTATTATTTATGAATTATTATTTTTAACATATGAATATTATTTTTTATAGTTTCAAAACTTATTTTTTAAAACTCAAATAATTTTGTAACTTTTGATTATTTTTTGGTAAATGGTACAGATTAAAGTTTGCCTGCATGATAATGTTTGTGACACTTTGCAAATCATGCATTAAAAAATAAAGGGAAAACAACATAAAATAAAAAAAGAAAAAGAAAAAAAAAAGGTTGAGAATTAATTTGACTTTGACCTTTCCTTTCAGTTTTATAACCGTAATAAAGTGATCAGTTTCTGGATTCAATTTATAATTAAGTTATAGTAACTTCGATCCAATTCGATCTAGCTTTTACATTTAATTGATCAGAAAAGTTCAAAGGTTTTATCATTGATCATGTTTGATTAATTACGGTTAACCGGAGCTCTGTAATATTTTAGTTCTCTTCATTTGTTCCATTCATTTCATTTCATTTATTTTTCTTTCTTTATTTTTCTCTTCTTTTCGTTTCTCTTCATTTCTTTTCCGTTCTTTTTGGGATCCACAATTATTATATATTTTGTCCGCTTTTTCCTATATATCTGTTTTGTACTCCTCTCTATATGCTTTCAACAAATCAGACTGTATTCGGAGAAGTACGTAGGAAGCGATAAGTAATCTTAACAATCTTTTGAATCGTGGCTAGGGGGGGGTGCACCTGCACCTTAACAGTGTCTCTTTTTTTTCAGTTAAACTTTTTTTGAAAGAGGTTTTGAAACTGTCTGTTTGTGACTCCCTAATTCATCGTTATCTCGTAGTCTATAAAAAAAGTTTAACGTGCAACCATCCCCTTCTATCAAAAACTATAAATTTATTTATTTATTTATTTATTGGTATATTCTCGTACACTAAACCACTAATTCTATAAACAAACCAATATCAACACAATTAAGAAAAATAAAATTCATTTTCTTCTCTGTTCTTTGTTTTTGTAATAAAATAAAAAAACTATAATATTATGACAATAATAAATATTAAAAAGAATAGTTATTGAAATTGAGAGAGGTATTATAATATTCTTGTCACAAAGTCATTCATGTGAATAAAACTTAAAGAACATCTTCGAAGTGTAATTTAATTTGATTTAATTAATTAATTAATTTCTAATACTTAATTATATCGTAAGGTTCCTCATGCTACCAAAAATTAATTTCACTTTTGAGTTCAGTTTATAGTACATATTTTAAATCAAAATTTGTAAAGTTTACCCTAGACCTAGATCATCACCTTTATAAAATTTATAGATTGATCGAACTCTTTAAATCGTTCTGAGTGCGTCTTTAGCTTAATAGGTGCTTAGGGGTTGCGGTTATTTCGACTATATTATGAAAATCCTAAACCTTATTTCGTTCATAAATTTGATATTTCAATTCGTATTTGCATTTAAATTAGGTTGGTTTTTAGTTCAAACCGAGCTCCAAGCGACTGATGTACCTCATGGTATAATTAACCATTACTACGTTTCACGATTAATTTTGGCTATTAATTTTAAATATATAATAATATTTCGATTCCACGTGAAATACTACAACTAATTTCTTCTTGTGAACTTATCGTACTTAACCTTAAATGTTATCGAAAGTCTTTACTATGATTATTATTAGTGATAAGACGTTATATTATCTCGCTTTTGAACAATTTCGCTCCTGATTCGGAAGTATGGGCTTTGACATTCCCTACCACCATTTTGAGCAACAGATACGAAACGTTATGTAGATCTATGTTGATGAAGATAGTAAGCTAAATCATATGATTTAAAAGACCAGGGATCAATAACTGTCTAGGCTGCGGATGTTTAGCACCATTTTGATTTTTGTTAAAAATAGCGTACCGTCCTCGTAAAGGGAGCCAGAACAAACAAAAAAACAAAAAAAAGAAATAAAAAATAAAAATAAAAAAAAAAGAAATTAATAAGGAAAGTCGAGATAACCCAGAACATTTGCTTTTGGTTCGTTTTGTTGATGGTAATCATTCTAGAGTTCATAACAACATCGTTATGATAACAATGATTGTCATTGCTCATAGGTTACGTTGCAATATACCTTAACATAGCATGACACGCCTTGAGTGATTAATTAGGGGCGGTAATTAGGGAAATAACTTTACTTTGTTGAGTATAAACCATGTGGAAATATAAATCCCTAATTGAGAAACATAACTATAAATTCTAAATGAAATAAACTTAGACTCCTTTATTGGCCATGTTTGAAGCGTGAATAAGCCAAGCTATTAGTTAACCATGACTTGAATCAAATAAAGTTAAGTAATCACAATTAAATTTCATATATTAACATATAGATTAATTTATTCTCGATAGTGGTAATAAGTTACTGATAGCATGTATTGCCTAGATAGTGGGGTTATTTAGTGGGGGAGGTAAAACCAGAGCTTATATTATTTCTTTTATTTTTTTTTTATTTTTATTTTTTTTGGTTTATTTTTATGGGCATTGTTATAATAGTTTAATTACTGTTTTGGTCTGATTATTATTGTTTCAAAAAGGCCGCAACTCTTTCATGCCCAGAGGTTAACAATGATAATTTTGAATTATATTCATAAAATTTAATTAAACGTAATGTGATATCCCTTTTTTTACGGATACTTTCATTCATGTTTGTAACGTAACCAATGATTCACTAGTCATCTCATTGATGGGTAATTTCCTTATTGAGTTAATTTGTTGTCTAATTTAAGTTGGTTAAACTATGTTTTCGATCTACATTCTTGAGTTGGATCATTCTTTTGGTTTGATTCTTGAAATAACCTTTTATTATTACTATTATTGGTTAATGAGCCGAAGCCTAATAAATTAAATTGAATTAAATTAAATCCTAGAGGGAAAATAAAAAATTTAGTGATGAAAAAAAAAAGATTAATATTGACCACGCTGTTGCAGCTGAGATTTCGGGTTTACAATAGAGACCAGTGACGGACAATTATGCTACATAGTATGGATTTATAGTGCATTGGATGCTGCAGTACCAGCAGTAACGAAATGTTTAAAGTAGATGAAAGTAAGTTACTATCGATCGGCAGAAAATAATAAAAATAAACTACTGCTGTTAGCGCCACTGCCGTCGTAGCCAACACTGTCGCGGTATAATTATCAGTAATCCCTTACCATTTTCCCATTCTTAAAACTGTTTTAAAAATAGATGCAACAAATATAACAATAGAGATCCAATGTTAGCGCATACTCCACTCCAGTACACAAAATGAAAAATAATGTAAATAAAAATCCATTCCATACTTAACAACAACTTAAGAAGAGAGGGACATATTACATATTAAGCAGATTGTCCTACCCCCTTCTCCTCTCCTCTACCTCTGGTTGGTTTATCGTCATTTTGTCAACTTCAAGTTTGACGCTCTATTCCAGTTTTCCGCCTTCTGCATGGTTAATAAACTTATCTATCTTAATGGCTTTACTTCCCGAGAATCAAATTTGTAAGGCGTTTTTTTAATTCATTTACTTACTTTGAATTAAATTTCATATCTTTAGTTAAACCCAGTTCGATGATTGTGTTAAAAAAAAAAGAAGTTCAGTAAATTTTTTGGATAATTATTTTTTAAGCACAATTTCATTATTTTTTTGATGTCTGTACTCATAAAAAATCAATTTTATTGTTCCAATTATTTAATTATTAAGAAAAATCAATGATTATTTTTATGTTTGTTTCTGTTTTTAGTAAATACAAAGATTGTATAGAATGAGAAGGTGAGTAGCTACAGTGATGTAAAGAGATCTACCAATTAATGGTTGTTCCAAAACAAGGCTTAATGTGAACAGTAAATATTATTTTCTGTTCGTAGTTGAGATAGAGAGAAGCAGTGCTGTCTTAGTGACGGGACGGGGCAATTCGAATATGTCAAAAAAGTCAAATATTTCGTGACTTGACATTTCTTACACAACTATATAATATATTTCCTATCAATATGGTGAGGATAATTTTTTAAAAGCACAAATGATGGATATATTTGTGACAGAAGCATTGGTTAGAAAACCTAGCGTACCTCCACTAATTTGTCTCACTAGGAGATCTGCCGCTATTTTTTTTCTTAAACGAAAAGGGACAGACTTGTGCGAATTCAGAATTGAGTTTATGGCAATATTCGTAAACTTGACCTCATCTTAATTTTCAATTGTAATTGAAATTAATTTACATTGAGGTTATTGTCCTGCTTTGATGCACGAGCGTATGAGTAGTCGAATTAGCTTGTCCCGAAATGTATGTGATTATATGACAGACAGCTTTGTCTCTCTAATGTACTTATCATAATTTGGGCAGGTTTTACCTCTAATTAATATTATTTTTTTTATTAGACAGATTCGTAAATTAAAAACACATAAAACTGAAAATATTAAAAAAAAAAAAGAATTAAAACTTAAAAAAAAAATAAGAAAATGAAAAGGGCTAAAAATACTTTCCCTGTTGTATTATTAGGATATTTTGTATTGGAGAAAATATAATTGGATTGATTAGTTGGAACAATAAACCTATACTATGGAGTTGGTATATGTGTTCTTTTTGTTCAATTCATACTTTCTTTCTGTTTTGAAGTCCGTTCTGTAATTAATGAGGGGTGTCAGTACAAACTGGTTTGTGTCGCTACGGTTCGGTAGAAAATAGCCTTACTCTTGAGGATCAATCCTTTAGCCAAACCCAAAATGACCTATGTGCTTAATTAGTTTAATTGGCATAAACATTTGATTTCTACTGATAGTCTAGGTCAATTGGACTACATGAAAGCGTGCTTCATAGTCATACCCTCCTTTAGATTATTTTCTTAGCTAAGCATAGAAAGGGTAGGATTGAATTGCGAGATACAAGATTTATTTTATTATTATTTATCCTCCTATTTATTATTTTCTTAGTCATAAAAATCTGGTTTTGTTTATAATCGTACTGAAAATGGCTATGATTATGTCAATTTCAGGATATCTTATTTGATATAATAATTACGTGTACTTTATTTCAATTAAAAATATTGTTTATAACTTTTGTTTAGAAGTAAACCACCTTCCCTTATTGAGGAACTTTTTTTTAAAAAAGAGAAGAATGGTTCTGTACTTTATTTCTTAATTCTCAAAAATATTTAATCCTTTCTCCACAGCGGTTAAAAGCTCTTATCAATATCGGTGGTGACTAAGTGTGAAGTGGTCAAATAATTGTTTAAAAATAATAACTTCACAATATGAGGTAACCCATTGTTAAGTAGTGATAGGTGTTGTTTTATTATCTCGTAGTCAAGCTCTTTTACGAATTTATTTTACGAACTTACAAAAAATTATTTTCTCTTCAAGGATTTAAAGTGTTGGTCTTTTTGTTTCTTTTCTTTTATTTAATCTCTATATTATTCTATTCAATGATATTTGAACAAGTGCCGTATCATTGTTGTTAAGCAAGACCCTCTTTATGGTAATTAAACAACTTAGTATAAAGACGCATATCTTGTCAACAAATTAAAGCCTCTATAAAGGTTGTAAAATATTGTTACTTCATGCACTTATGGTTACATTTGATATAAATTATTTAAGATATGATACGAATTAATCGTAGTTCTTTATAAAATAAGGGTGTAGGATATTGCCGTCTTTATTCGTAATAGGAAATGCTTAGTTTATATGCAAAGGCGATATATGAGAAAAACATATTTGCATAACGGTTATAGCATTTCTCCCGCTTTTTACTAAAAATAATTAAATGTAAGGATATTAAAATTGTCTTATCGACTATAAGTTAATGTTATATCTCTTACGTACCTTCAATTTATATTCAACAGTAAACTCATTTCGGTTAATTTCTGGAGCGAGATTTCCCAGTTGAGACCTGAAAAAAGGGTATCTTTCATTTATATCGTTTAGCTTTAGAAAGAATCGAGGATAGATCATTTTTATTTCGTAGATCTCCATTTATGTTAATGAATAAGCCTACCATGTGGGAGACAATTAATAATAATAGTGTGGTTCAGTGTTTTATTTTAAAGATTTTCGATTTTCCTTAACTGGTATTTATTTTTTGGGAAACGGTCGAGTACAAAGCTAGAGCTCAATACAAAGAAGGCACCACCACCTTATCTGAATCGTTGTGTGGAGTAAAAGATGATACGTTAACGGTTCCACTCTATCATTCTTTTATAGATATATTATTTCTGAATTGTTTTTTTTTATTATTATCTTATTTTTCAAGACACTAATTATTTTTTATTTTGTAATATAAAAAAAATAATATTAGAAAAAAATAGGAGGGAACACTTACAAGGGATCTGTAGCTATGCATTTAAGCTTGATATAAGTTTACGAATTAATTAAAGACCTTGCAGTTGATATGCTTTTACGTCGTCTAATTATGGCCAAATAGCCTGATCATGTTTTTTTTACAACATTTATAGTTTTTCGGAGTAGGTACTTTACTCATTCGTAATTGAAACCAATATTGAACAAATTTGAAATTAAACTATATTCGATGGTTTTAATGCTTATAGGAACTAACTTTCTATACAGTATGCAATTCAACCTTACATCATACCCCTCTCTTTCCTAATTGACAAATAATATAATATAATATAATATAGTGTTCAGTTATTTTTGTGAAATTCAAGAAAAGAATTGTCATATATTAGTAGTTTATTTATTGTTAACAATTTAAATTTCTCTATTACCATTCATGAAGATTAAAAATTTATTTTGTTAAAAAATAAAATTATTTTTATATGCATAATCAAAGTTAACGCATAGTGCGTAAAATTATTTTTCTGCATACTTTAAAATATGTGCGAAAGATTTGCATATTTTCATCTAAAAATCAAAAATAATTTATTTAAACTTAACTTTAAATTTTGTTTGAGTGAACGGATGCTAATTTAGAATGATTCGGAAAATTATTACCGCACATACATACCGTACATATTTTTATGGATGCATAGCTTTATTCAACTTTAACCCGTTATTAAGAGTTCTTAACTAAGGGGTAACTTTAATTTGTGATTTACTTTTGATCGTACCCTTGGCTTTAAACAAAATAAAGTCTAGATGTACAATGTATAATGTCTGTTTTTTTAGCTGCAACTTCGAAGTAGGTTATGTATCGGTAACAACGTTTCAGACGGAACTAAATTGGAAACGTTACTTGATTATATCTTTGATTGTTTCTACTAAAGTGTTAACACATAATTTTTATTTATTCCAGCCTTATAATAATGATGAAAAATATAAAATTTTTATCTTAATTTACGTGTCTTTGATTGGAACCAGTTCTTAATTCAATAATAATAACTAAATAATAAACTAAAAATATTTGTTATTAAATAAATAAATAAATAAATAAAAATAATGTCATACCACTAAATATTAATCCTTTAACACGCCTTATTGTGCATCCACTATCCTTAACAAATAGAAGAAAAGTTATTTCTTTATTTTCGATTAAGCATGTAAAGATCTACGTTCAAACAATGACGCCTTTCACGTCACTTATTCTGTTCCTCCCCCCTCCCCCCCTTGAAGTATATAAAAATTCATTGAGGCTAGAGAGACTTTTTTTTTATTTTGTTTGTTTGTTCTTTTGTTCGTTTTGGCATCGGAACCATTTTCCTTTCTGGGTAAAGTTACTTGTTTTAGAATAAAAAAGATCGAGACTTAAGGGGCAGTCAAAGTAAAAACTTTTGGGGACAATGTAGTTTATAGGAAAACCAACAATTTGATACCCCTGGGTTGCCCCCCAAATAGAGAATTTTAAATTCTTAATTCAACCTTTTCACCGAGTCTGATATTTTTCTTAGTTTAGGTGATAACCGGGATATAACTACTTTTATTTTATAATCATGGTTCATATCATACCCGACAATAACTTACTACAGGCTTGATATAAGCTTTATTCGGAAAGAAAATAAAAACATTCGGTATGATATGCCATTGTCTCGAGATATATCCATATTTGTTCTGTTTACCATCTGAAATGAGGTTTATAATAGAAGTAATTTAATATTCTTTCATATCGTGAACAAGGCTGACTTGGTTAACAAATATAACAGAATAAATAATCTAGGAATAGTCAAAAGAATGTCATATCGTGATGACGTCTATCAGAACCTATTGTTTATGCCGATAGTACATACCAGATTGTTAAAGTTACATTGTAGTACATAATGTCGGAGATCTAACTGGCGAATGAATAATTTCAAAGGCGCGGTATTTGTCATATTAGTAATTTTTGCGAACAATCCTTTGTTCATAAATTCACTTCAACCTATTTCAGATTAAAATTCAGATTGATCAGCCTTCCTTCCTAATTCGTCTTTTTTTATTTATTTCTTGATATTCCGATAAAACAATAATATGTTTAATGTACATATATCGTGAATTATTTTAATATCGAAAGAAAATAATTAATCTTGATCGTAAACACTGACATAACTGGATTTTAAACATCTAATATTAGAAGCCATGTTCCCCCACTAGATTGATAAGTATGTACTAGCCACCAGGTATGTATATAAATCTCCTATTTTTTAATATTAACTTTTTGCAATAATTACTCCTTATGATCGTGTCAAACTGATAATATTAATTGAAGAGCTATCTAAGCCAGAATTAATTATTATTTTGTCTGTTATAATCACTACAAATAGATATATTATCCTAATTCGGCAACGGTATAAATTTTTTATTATTTATGTATTTATTTATTTATTTATTTATATTTTCTCAAACGGGAGACATCACTGTTTTACCAAATCTTCTCTTCTTCCTTCATCTAAATCGACTTGGGAAAGGTCAACCCATTTACTCCTGTGAATCAATTTAAAAAATAAGTAACTGAAAATAAAAAATGGAATTAAAACATAAGCATCAACGAAATTTCTCCAATCAAATGGTTTAAAATATGACCAACCTTGAATTAATCCTAAGAAAATATTTAATCCAATTCCGATAATTGGTAACCATGGATATCCCCATCCTTTATATTTCAATTCATCTAATGATCTACCTTGTAATTTCATGGCTTGTCTAAATCTAATTTGATAAAAACTAACGTTACCCCCAAACAATAAAAACTGCAACCCCGGAAATATTAACAATATAATTATAAGCTTGAGCAGCACCAGTACTAATATTCATTAATGATAATAATCCAAATAAATTCATCAAGATAACTGCAAAGTATGGTACACCTCGTTTATTAACGTTTCTAAAGAATTTTGGTGCTCCACCTTCATTAGCTAAATTCACAATGGTTCTGGATCCAATATAGATAGATCCGTTAATGGCGGAAATACAAGTGACTAAAATGAATGTATTAACTAAATGAACTCCACCATCCCAACCAGCTCTTCTGATAGCAATTGACATGGGAGATTTTAAAGTTTTGGTTCCAGCTGATAAATTTGGATCATTATATGGTACTGTCATTCCATAAGATACAGCAATTCCCATATAAATAACAATGATTCTAAAGAAAGTTTGTCTAATAGCTCTTGGAATAGCACGAGCAGGATTTGAAGATTCAGTAGCAGTAAGAGCAACAATTTCAGTTCCACTATAGAAAGTACTGGCAAATACAAACGTATTAGCCACTCCTTTAAATCCAGTTGCAAATGCTCCAGGATCATTCCAATAATGGAATCCAAATTTTGGAGTATTTTTTATACCACCAGCAACATAAACAATTGAAAATATATAAAATGCCACTAAACCGGAAATTTTCAATATAGTTAACCAAAATTCAACTTCACCAAATGCTCCAACTCCTAAGAATTGAAATCCTAAAAAGACAAACCAAAATATTAAAATATATCCATATAATGGTACTTTTTCACCACTCCAAAATTGTAAAATAGCAGCCACGGTATTATATTCATTTGCTAAAACAGCAATCCAAATAATTACATAACACCATCCCACTGTTAAACCATAACCTTTATCAACGAATTTATTACCTAAAGTGGAGAATGTACCACCAGTAGGGTATAAAGTAGCCAATTCACCTAAACTTTGCATCATGATAAAACAAATAATACCTATAACCCCAAACCCAATAATAAGGGAAGCAGGACCTCCTTGACTTAAGGCAAGAGAGGCACCCACAAGGATAGTAGGACCAATAATCGATCCAAGAGCTATTAAAGATATATGTCTATCTTTAAGATTTCTCTGTAATTTTATATTGTCTACCTCTCCTGAATGTACTTCTACTTCATCTACTTGTTGATCTGAGGATTTGAAACTTTCGATTTCTTTTTCCTTGACAGGTACTTCTCCTTCATCGTCGATGAGATATCCTTTGTATAACGTCATATCCTAGTTAATGTTGTGTCTTTTAATGTAGTTGGAGCTTAATAGCACGAATAAGGGTAAAAAGATAACGAGGGGAAAATGAAAAAAAACTCCGGTAAATATTCCGAGGGAAAACACAATGAAACAACAACAATCAAAATTCAAAAGTAAATTGAAAAGTGTAAAGGGGTTCAGATGTATTTATATATCAATTTTTCAAGAAGCTATTAAAATATAAAAAAAATCTTAAATTTGTGGGTGAAAGGTTTATTCTTATTGTTCTATTGCCGTTGTATCTATTTTGGTTTAAGACAAATTTGGGAATGCGGCTTTCAACATGTTAATTATTACATTAAAAAATTGTGGATGCATTTCCCAAATTAGTGTTACTATTATTACTATGTGTCATGTGACATGTTGTCTGTTCCCTCTTTAGAATTATAATTGCAATTTAATAGAGTTTATACCTCACAAGATAGGTTAAAAGCTTGGATGGAATTAGGATTAGCCATAAAGCTTAGACTTTTTGTGATTGCGGTAGCTAGTTTCATGTTTCAGGTCATTTGGTTATGAGCTTTTGATAACCGTATTTGAATTGGTATATGATGTTTATTTTATTATTCCATCATTTGTTGACCCTTGATGGTTGATAATAGAAGTAATTAAGCTGAATTAGGATATTTTATATGAATCTGATATTGCATTACCCTATAACTTTACTGCTAAGTATGGTTCTTTTTTGCAGTAAAACGTGCATTATAACAAGCGTTCAATTGACTGATCGACTCATTTCTTTACAACTTTCACTTTAATTCTGTAGATTAGTGACAATCCTGACACTTGTCTATCAATTACTACATTTATACAAAGCATAAGCTAACAAAATATACTCTACAGTTAAAAAGAATGTAGTGGAGACTGCTGAGACACTTTAATCACAATTTGAGAAAGACATCCGCTAGCAACAATCTAACCACACGATCCACCAAACAAAAGAAAATACGGATGTATCAAAAGTTGTATAATCCTCATTCAATGGCTTTATCTTCTCCATAAACAGAACCCATAATTCTACGGAAGTATGACGGAATTTGGGGCAGAAACAGGAGTGGTTGGTTGGTTGGTTGATTCATATTTTCAATGATCATTAATCATAATCTGATTTGATTTGGTCTACAAGTTGATTAATAGGTTTTTTGATGATTTGTTTATATTAATATATCTATACACTATTATATAGATATATCAGATACCATAAGTATCCATATTGATTTGAATAATGAATAAAGAAAAGTTGTATTATGAAAATAATATTTGAAAATTTTTTGTTAACTCTGTTAAGATGGATGGAAGAAGAGAGGACCAAAATATCAAATTACCCGGATTTCAATTTCTCAAAGGTCTATCATCCATAGTTAGATATATGATAAACAGTTTACATACAACCACAACTTGATAAATCAAGTCTAATTCAACTCGGGTTACTTTTTTGTAATGGCTTTCATTAAACTAAACAGATGAAATAAGAAATACGTTTTTAAGTTAAATATTGAAAGAATGAAATATAAAAGAATATAATAAGTTAATACTAGATAAGCATTGTTTCAAACCCTAGACTTGATCAGTAGCAACCTTCTTTAAAAGCTTTGTAGTGATATTAAAGAATTGTTTTGAATGGGAAAAAGAATTAAATAATCTATAATAGAAATATTGGTGTCATTTGTAAATTGTTCATGATGTATGTGTTTGCAAAGGTATTGTTATTCAACAAAGCGTATTATGATATTGGACTTTAAATAATATCAAGTGGAATTCATCGTAAAGATGTTGTTTATAACAATTTAGCTGCTTCAGGTCTTAAATCTGATCTTCTAGGAGCTTCTAAGGGATGCCATTGCGCTAAATAAGTAATAGCCCACATCAAATAGCACATGGCTAAACCTAATATAACTGATGATCTCCAAACGGTTTGATTTTGTTTAGGAGCAAACACCCATGTTAATCCAGATAAACCGGCAACCAATATGAATACAAATATAACAGTATATCTATAAAGAGATGTTAGTATATGGTGCTTTGACTTTATTGAATTGATTGACCTCAATTTCAGTTAGATAACGTAACGAGGCACATAGATGTGTCTCGTACTAATAAAACTGACGATTGTATTATGTCAATTCCAATACTCCAATATATCATTACTTACCCACTCATGATGTAAAAACGATTGACCCAATCAAACTTTCAATCAAGATAACCAAAGGGATTGATAGTTAATTTGATTTAAATTAGCTATTTTTTTGACTGTCAGTTTAAAAATTTAAAGTGGTCGTGTAAAATGGTCAAGATTTTAGTTTTGATTTGTGGGATTTGGTGATGTTAGAATTTGGGTGGGTGATAAGTTATAGTTACAATAGTTGGTATATCAAATAATAGAGGGGTCAATGTCACAACAATTACCAGGACAAGTGGCCAATTGGCTATATAATGTGTTACAGCCTCAATATACTCACAAACAATTGGCATATTCTCATATCTATCAATTCCTACAATTCCATTTCAAACAGAACTTTAACTTCAAAATAAGAACTAACGTATATACATCCAATGATTCAGGTCAATCAGCGTTATTAATCAATTTATTCGGTTCTATAGTGGTTAATAATGATTTGGAAATCCCAGTCGAAATATGGATTCCTTTAAATTATCCATTTGTGGATCCAAGACAACCTACAACTCAAATTAATAATGGTACTCCATTAGTATTTATTATACCTGATCATACTAAACAATTATATTTAAAACCAGGAAATCATGTCGATTCACAAGGGAGATTCTATCATCCATATTTGGCAAATTGGCAACGAGATTGTTCATTAACTCAATATCAACTGAATCAAGAATCGTTAGCCCAATTTAATTTAATTTCTTTAATCAATATTATTCATCAATGTGTATTAGGTGATCCTCCTATAAGTCCACAACCATCGGCAGTTATCTCTCCTAATATCACTGGAATCAGTGCTGGTGGTCCTCCCATACCACCAAAACCAGCTAGAATACCATTGAATCAAGATCAACATATTGTTGAATCTCCTCCAGTGTCACAACAAAATAGTGGTACTACTCGATTACCACCTCAAACTACAGGTCCACCTTTACCTGCTAAGCCAGGTAAAGTTTCTATGTCATCTCCAACGAGAGAAAATTCAATTCCTTTAAAGTATCAAGCTCCATTACCATTGCCAACAGAACTGGCTTCTGTTAGACAAGGACAAACTGAACCTCAGCAACCACCGCCACCAGTTTCAATTCCAATACCGCAACAACAGTATCCCCAACAAGTACAACCACAGCAATTCTATCAAAATCAACCACCATATCTGGCCATATCACCACAACCAACTCATATTCAAAGACAGTATTACCAAAGAGAACATCCAACTCATTATAGTTCTCCGGCTCCAGCTCAACAATATCCTGTTCAAGCAGGATATTACTCAGAAGTATCATCTACTCCTCCTTCAAGAGTTGGTCAACTGGAAGTGGATTTGATGGATAATGAAGTACAGAATGCTACCTCAAATAATCAAACTAACTTTCAATCCAACATTCATAAGCAATTATTAGAAGATTTATCCCGAAAGATTAATGCATTGTTGGATCAAGATTCAGTTAATATTGAATTACCAATTATAAATCATAATATTCAAAAAGTAGATGCATTATATAATCAATTAACTCATCATTTCCAACAAGCGAAAGGAAATCTGAATAATTTAGAAGATCATTTAACCTATTTAACTCAACAATTGAATTCATTAACGGGTTTAAATCAAGAACTTTCAAAATTAGAAACGTTAAACAATCAAGATCCTGCCAACGTATGGCTTAATCAAAACACATCCATCCCCCTTGATGATCTAATAATCCCTGATTCTCCATTAGTCAAACAATTATATGAAACTGTATCTGAAATAAAAGCCATTAAAGATACTATTGGATTAATCAGTGGTAATTTTCTGAATGGATCAGAAATCATCAATAATAATAGTATTGACTTATGTGTAAAGACAGTTAGAAATCTTGGAAGAGATTTATTCTGGTTGGAATTAACCAAACAAGAGATTGCCAATAATATCATGGGATTATCGTCTCATGAATAATCATTTTGCAATCAATAATAGTTAATAATATATAGTGTCTCAATAGTTGTAAAAATATATATCCTGCATGTAAGTCACGCCGCACGATGTATTTTTTTTTTCATTCAAAAAATCTTCTTCTCTTCACAAGAGCAGAACGAGAAAAATTTATCACTTAAAAATTATCAAATACTATATAGTTAACCAGATTGTTGTAAGTCATATATTAAGTAGTGGGAAATATGTCTGACGAATTCGTTATCAAGCCAGAGACATTGGCTCCATCCAATGATACTTCTGAATGGCCATTATTGTTGAAGAACTACGACAAATTGTTAGTTAGAAGTGGACATTATACTCCTATTCCAACTGGTTCATCACCATTAAAGAGAGATTTAAAATCATATATTCAATCTGGTGTTATCAACTTGGATAAACCATCTAATCCATCCTCCCATGAAGTCGTTGCTTGGATTAAAAGAATCTTAAGATCTGAAAAGACTGGTCATTCTGGTACTTTAGATCCTAAAGTTACTGGTTGTTTGATTGTTTGTATTGATAGAGCTACTAGATTAGTTAAATCTCAACAAGGGGCTGGTAAAGAATATGTTTGCATTGTTAGATTACATGAAGAATTAAAAGATGCCAAAGATTTAGGTAGATCTTTAGAAAATTTAACTGGGGCTTTATTTCAAAGACCTCCATTAATTTCTGCTGTTAAAAGACAATTAAGAGTTCGTACTATTTATGATTCTAAATTAATTGAATTCGATAACAAAAGAGGATTAGGTGTTTTCTGGGCTTCTTGTGAAGCTGGTACTTATATGAGAACTTTATGTGTTCATTTAGGTATGTTATTAGGAGTTGGTGGTCATATGCAAGAATTACGTCGTGTAAGATCAGGAGCTTTAGGTGAAAATGATAATTTAGTTACTTTACATGATGTTTTAGATGCTCAATATGTTTATGATAATACTAGAGATGAATCATATTTAAGAAAAATCATTCAACCATTAGAAACTTTATTACTTGGTTATAAAAGAATTGTTGTTAAAGATTCTGCTGTTAATTCAGTTTGTTATGGAGCTAAATTAATGATTCCAGGTTTATTAAGATATGAAAATGGTATTGAATTATATGATGAAGTTGTTTTAATGACTACTAAAGGTGAAGCCATTGCTATTGGTATTGCTCAAATGACAACTGTTGATTTACAAACTTGTGATCATGGTATTGTTGCTAAAGTTAAAAGATGTATTATGGAAAGAGATACTTATCCAAGAAGATGGGGTTTAGGTCCAGTTGCTCAAAAGAAGAAACAATTAAAAGCTGATGGTAAATTAGATAAATTCGGTAGAGCTAATGAAAATACTCCAGATAGTTGGAAAAAAGAATATAAAGATCATGACGGTGAACCAGCTCCAGCTATTCCAGAATCTAAATTAGTTGCTCCAGAAGTTCAATTACCAAAGAAAACTTTAATTGAAGAAGTTGTTGCTGAATCTAAACCAGAAGAAAATGGTGAAGAAAAGAAAGAAAAGAAGGAAAAGAAGGAAAAGAAAGATAAGAAGGAAAAGAAGGAAAAGAAAGATAAAAAGAGAAAGGCTGAAGATGGTGAAGAAAAGTCTGAAAAGAAGAAGAAAGTTAAGAAGTAAGTGCATCTGTTAATCTAAATTATTGATTAAGAATATTTTTTTTACAAATTCCCCAGTATTATCATAATAATACATTTCTGTACATTTATTAGTTTTATATATACAAGTATATTAGTTTTACTTTTGAAATATATCCATTTCATTTTTAAGTTAGATCTATATTTTTTATTATGCGTTATCAATATTATTCATTAAGAATTTAAACTTATCACTTAATGTATTATAGAAATATTGACGTTGTAATTCAGCCATATTAGCTCGTTCATTCTCTCCTGTACTTTTGAAATGCTCTTCTAAACTCTTTAAGATAAAGATACTTAAGGTTTTATCATTATCAGTCCCTGATGTATTGGACATTACTGAAAGACATTTATCAAAGTATTGATTCTTTTGTTGAACATCTGTAGCAGATATATAAATAACATAATTCATTAAATTGGTTATGAAGGGGTAACTTGTTACATTCTGAAGGCTTGTGATACAAGTTGTAACATCTTGAATCAATGAATCATTCTTTCCAAGTTTAGCTTCGGAAAACTCATCATTGACAATGGCTAGCACAAGACGATAAGTAACGACTAATAATTGGTTGGATGAAACGAAATTGGTTGTGAATGAATTCGAAGTGATATTAGGATTAAAGCAAGTTGACAAGGAATTAATAAGTTTTGAATTTAATCCATGATAGTATTTGAGTTTCTCATCTGATTTATCATTCATGTGTTTACTAATTTCTTTAATTTCAAATTGATTCAAAATTAAAAGATGGAAAGTGGAGTAAACATATAAATCATTAAATTCACCACAACCACGTATTGATTCGTTAACTATTCCAAATGTCAAGTTGAAAGCTTCATTGCATTGGGCGGTGAACGTAGATTGACTCTTTCCTGATGTTAAATTAATCACCTTCATGTAATGATATTTCGCAGCTTGAAGATCTCCCATATAATGATAGTAGACGGCAAATAAGTAATAAACCTTAGGTATTAATGATTCGAATACAACCTGTTCTTCTGGCTTAAATTTTCCATTATTGAAATCACTCATGAATTGATTCAAATATTTGATATCTTTGAATTGACTATTAAGAAATCCAATCCATACCTTATAATAATCAATATTATATTTGATAAATTTCATCTTTATCACTTTTTTATGAAGTTGACTAGTGTCGAATTTTCTTTTACTTGATATTTCACCCGTCAATTCTTTTAATTGCTTTTCAATGATTTGCAGACATCTTTCAAATACTTTCTTAGCTTTCTTCTTCCCATTTGCAGCTTCGGAAAGTAAATGCATCCCAGTAAGATAATAAAACATAATGACAAATTCATCCGAACTCAACCATTTAACAGTAAAGTTGTATTCAATTTGAAGTAATGTAACTTGAATTGGTATATCGAAAGAACCGTCTTCTTTCCATGATTTCCAAGAGTGTTTCTGTTCACCCATTACAAAATCACTCAATTCTCGCATAGCAATATTCCCATTCTCAATATCATTACATTGAATATAAGCACTGAATTTAGATACTAGTTGCATAGCATATAATTGCTTTATATTTACAGTTGCAAGCAATGGTGCCACGACTTGAACATCTGACAAAGCTTGCATTGGTGAACCTCTATGAAGATGTTGACTGGCATGGAATAAGAACTTATAAACCTGTATTGAATTATTCCAGGGTTGATCTTGAAGCATCATTTCTAAAGCATTCAATCCTGAGATTATATCCGTATTTAATAAATGATGGACCTTACAGAATTGAAATAGACATGCAAACTCGTGTAATCCAGATCGTTGATAATACATCGTTTTCTCATTGAGATAATGCATTACCATTGTCATATTCGTACTTTGTAGAATCTTAACTTGGAGATACTCAGCCTCAAACTTTAACAAGATGATATTATTCCTCGATGCAATATCAATCGCTTTATTAACATATTCATCGGCTAATTCTATACTCAATGTTTCATTGAATAATATGGTTGCAACCTTTAAACAAATCGTCAGTTCAAGATATGGATTCAAGTATCGATTGTATTTCGTTAAAATCATCAACAATGCCTTGATACTAAGCTCAACCGTGTTATTATAATCAACCATTCCTTGTTTACTATTAGTATTCAACACTGATTTATGAGCAGCTTTCAAGAAGTTGGCAGATATAGCCAATAATTTCTCAATCATAAATTGAGCCTTTGTAGAATCATCAATGATAGTGATATGGGGTTTATCTACCACTGGTTCAATTGTGATTGAACTGGTTGGTTCATGTGGATTGTGGATTTGAGACATATCAACTAATGAATCAAGCTCACTGGATTCAACTTGACTAGAGTTATCATTTTCATCCTGTCGTATTCTTTTATGGGCTATGAATTCATTGACGATTTTCTGATTTGATTTTTGATTATTGATTTGGATTTGTTCATAGGCTACTGATTCCTGTTTGGTTTTGTTTTGAAATCCATCTTGAAAGAACTGTTGATATGAAGCTCTTCTTCCAGCTGATTGATTCTCCTTTGATAGAATGATCTCATCAGACATGTTTGATTATATATTGATCTCTCCGCTAGTGTTGAGCATACCTCGTTGTATATCGACTTTCTTCTTACTTCTACTCCCTAGGATCTATCACTGTATATATATCGTTAGCTATCTAACGGTTGGTTAGGGTTGGTGCTGCCAAAAATTATTTTGGCGCGTCTTAATTTTTTTTCACACACTCTATAATAAAACATGGTATAATATATTAAATGATCAAGAGAACTGAAAAGGATTGTTTCTAATAACTAACTAAGAATAAAGTAAAATATCTATAATCTACAATAAATAACCTATTGAATCAATTAGGCGCGTTTCAACTTATCAATTTCCAGTTGTAATTGTTTTCTTCTGAATTTCTCTTCACTTAATTCTCCTTCATATTGATCTTGCATATCACTTATAATCTTTTTAAATTCTTTTCGTAAGATAGCACTACTCATACCTCCATATGAGTTTGGTCTAGATGGGGATAATCCACTATTCACCAGACGTTGATCTTCCACTTCTGGTTCGTCATGATTTGGAGCCGATAATAACTCACTAGTAAATGGTGAGACAGAGGTAGTAAGGTTATCACTTACTAATTTTGGTGAACTTATTAATGAAAATTGGGAATTGTTAGCATGTTTGGCACCTAATTTATCAATTTTCAAGAGATTTAATTCTCGACGAAGTTTTGATATTTCTTTATCCTTTAATTGGATTATATTAGAATTGGAGTCAGATATGTTATTAGTGTTATTAGGGTTGTTGGTATTATTGAGTTGATGAGAGGTTGAACTCTTTGAATGTGATACTTCCTTTTCTAATTGATTTATCTTCTTTCTATATTCTTGTATAAGCTTTTGAGAATTATCTCGAGAAAATTCATATTCTTTCGTTAAATATTGATAAGAAAATCTTAAATCGGTTAAAGCAGTTTTATAATCAAGTAATGCTTTATCAGTTGCATTTTTAGGAGATGAATTTGAAAAGAATGAATTTTCATGAGAGAAACTTACATTTTTTGATGGAGTAGTTTGAATTGATGATGATGATGTGAGGGGTGGAGTATGACCATTAGTTTGACTTATTTTATCAATACAATTACAAGCCCATTTGATTCTTGAATCAATAGAATCATTGGTGGATGGTGGATTCGGTAATTGGACATTTCTATGGGCAGCAATAGAAGCAATATGAGAAAATAATACATCAAATGATTGATATAATGAATCTGATCTTGGATTTATAGTTTGTAATGACATGGATGATTTTAATGGTGTATGATCAGGAGATGAAGTAACTAAATCATCAGTTACAATAGGGATCTGTTGTTGATGTTGTTGTTGAGAAAGATCAGTTGATGATGACAATCTAACATCTTCAACATACCCCAAAACTAAACAAGCCATATTATGATTATTCAATTGAGTAGTTAATGATTCTAATTCTAAATTAACTGTCAATAATTGATCTTGTAATGATGTTGTCAGTTTTAAAACCTTCGAAAGTAACTTTGAATCCAATTCATCATCATCTTGGTTATTGCTCGTCTCTTCTAATTCATTATTGGATTGGGATAATATTATTTCATGAATAAACTGTTGAGAGATAGTTGTCTTTGCTAAGAGATATTGTTGTTTCTCTTTCTTCTCTTCGATTAAAATCTTGACTTGTTGTAACCTTGATAATGACATGATAGCATTATTATTTATTTTATTAGTATCGAATATTGAATTTTCAATCAATACTTTTAAATTCAAATAATTTTGTTTATTAGAAGTATTATCAATGAATGATTCTATTTCGAAACTTTCTGAAGAATCAGATGGTGGAGTATTTGACATCATACTTAATGATGAAACGGATGAATCATTACCGATGGTAACATGACCTTTATCCAAGTTTGATTGAAGATGAGAACTAAATGAATCATTTAAGATGGTAGTATGCAAAAGGCTTAAATCATTATTTGAATGTTCAGGAAATCTTGATTCACGAAGTTCCAGTAATTTGGATCGATATTGTTCTTGTAATTGAAATTTCAATAAATCAGTAGTAGTATTTTCCAAGTTATAGTTGGATGCTGAATCATTATGAGTGATCTTAAAGGGTGAGTTCTTCTTGAATGTTTCAGAATCAATCATGATGATGGGTGATGTATCTGTCTGACCTATTTCTTCTAGTTCTTCACTTGCAGTGTGTTGAATGAATGCTCTGTATCCTTATACCAACTAAACAGTACCTGTGGATAGTCTATATGAATAACGTCTAAGGCTACGATTATTGTCTAGGTATGAAACAATGGTAAGTTCACAATTTCTAGTTTCCCAAACTTTGCTGTTCGTGGATCGCCAAATTTAAAAACAGCCAAAAAAAAAAAAAAAAAAAATAAAAAAAAAGACGAGACGCGTAATTTTTTAACTCTCCTTAAAATGGAATATTGCAACTTTAAAATTTCACATTAATTAAACTAATTTACCGACTCATCCATCCATCTTAAAGTATATAGACTGTATGGGTATGGGTCAGTAAAGAGGTCTTCTCGGTGTTAGCGGTGTAAGTTCGGTTTAGCGAAATTTGCGTTAGCAGGTTACTGACTCTACTGGTGTAGAGAGAGGAGCTACTTTGCATGTCTTACTATGGTAATTTATCTACTTCAGACTCATATATAGAATATCAGATCTATAGTCTAGGCATTTAGTTGTTACCCTTCTCTTCTTAATCTAGCATTATGACCAAACACTTCCCTTCTTAGATGGTTGTAGTTCTATACTGAAATTTCATCTAAGAAACATCAGTAGTGTGCGCTAATTTCTCTCCATATTTACTAAAAATGGTATAGCGAAACAAATCAAAAAATTGAAATCCATACAACTTTTCAACCTTCAATCACCACACCAAATATGATATAGAATTACTATGGATCTTACGAAACTAGCTAATGAAGATCCTTTAAACCAAATAGAATCTAAAAATTTAGGTAATTCAACCATACGATATGTCACATTCAATGTCAATGGTATCAAAACCTTATGTAATTATCATCCTTGGAATAAAATTGATCAAGATTATGATGCTATGTTCACTCTTTTAAAAGCTGATATCATAACTTTACAAGAATTAAAACTATCCCCTTCAAATATATCCACCATTAAGAATATTGGGCATTTACCTCATTATAAATCATTCATTACTTTACCCAAATTGAAAAGAGGATATAGTGGAGTTGGAGTTTTCATACGGATTCCAAGTCAAGATGAGCCTCTTCATGTTAAACGAGCCTTAACTGTTGTGAAAGCTGAAGAAGGTTTGAGTGGTTATCTCTCATCTTCCAATGGGGTTAAATACCGACATTTGAATGAAGCTGATCATATTGGTGGGTATAGTGATGCTCTTGATGAAACATTAGGATTGGAATTAGATGAACAAGGAAGATGTGTGGTGATTGAATTAGCTAATAATACCGTTATATTTTCATTATATTGTCCTGCCAATTCAATGGGGACTGAAGAAGGAGAAATTTATAGATTGAAATTCTTACAAACTTTACTTGAAAGGTGTCATAATTTGAAATTTAAAATGGGGAAAGAAGTGGTAATAATGGGGGATATTAATGTATGTCTCGATTTAATCGATAGTGCTGAATCTATCAGTGATAGATTAAAGCAAAATCTTATAAAATCAAGTTTAGATGGGTTGAAATTTGAAGCTATGAATTATGAAGAATGTCAAATGTTTAAACGGAATTCAACCAAGGCAAGAATCCTCTTGAATAAATATACTATCCCCCAACTAATATTCAATTACAAAGATGATATCAAACCTCCACCATCAAACACAAACTTTCTTTATGATACCACTCGATATATCTTAGGAAGGAAGTTGAATGTCTATACAGTTTGGAATACAATGACTAATTCTCGAAGCATCAATTATGGATCAAGGATTGATTTGATCTTGGTCAGTTCATATGCCATGGTGAAAAATATATCTCAGGCTGATATTTGGCCCTTCATCTTAGGTTCAGATCATTGTCCGATATTTACTGATTTCGACGTGTTGGAACAAGAAGATAATGGTGAAACTTTACCAATTGTAAATAAATTAAATTTCGAAGCTAAATATTATCATAAATTATCCCAAATGAAAGATATCGCTCTGATGTTTTCAAGAGTGAAATCTCAAACATCTACATCAAGTGTTAATTCAAATACTAGTACTGCATCTTCGTCTTCATCTACTCCTGATCCAGAATTGAAGAGATCGTCAACTTCAGAGATTAAGAAATCATCAACTATAGAATATGTTAGTAGGAAGAAACCAAAGAAAGATGATTCAGCTCAAAAGTCTATAGGTAATTTCTTCTTTCTGAAGAGTAAATAAATCATTACAGTTCAATATCAACTTTTCATTATTGATTAAATCTTGTATTATTAATTCTATACATTATTAAAGCTAACTTGTTTTTACAAATATGTAATGTAACTAACTTTATATATATAATTATACAAAACAAAAGAAACCAAAAACAATCCCCCATTCATCTTGAATCAAATAAAGAAGGAAGAAGAAAGAAATTTAGATGAAAATGGAGTGGTTTGTGATTATTTATAGAATCTCTTTATGTATAACTTTAATGTAATAAAAAAAAAATGAAAACTCTTTTTAATATTCGAAATGAAGATCCCAACCTATACTGTACTTTACACAGCCTTCTTTAATTTGAATTGAATATGATGAATATGAATGATAAAGAAAAATTAATAAACAAATAATATATTACATAGTTGATAAAATGAATGACAATCTGGGTGATGATGATGATGATGAGAATGATTTGATTATGATTTACGGAATTCACTTAACACAGGATAAATAGATTCAAATGCAGTATAAATTTCTTCTCTTTGTTTAGCACCAGTTAAAACAATCTTACCAGAAACAAAAATTAATAAAACAATCTTTGGTTTCACCATTCTATAAATCAAACCTGGGAATAATTCGGGTTCGTATGATGAATAATTACCATGGGAAAATGCTAAACCTTCCAATCTAATAGGGAATTTAACATCACAAGATCCCACAATATTTTGAATCTTAAAATCAGTAAATTTGGCATTGAAACCCAACTTTTGAATAATTCTAGCATATTTTCTTGAAGCTAATTTAGAATCATCTTCTGATTTAGCCCCTGTAACAACCATTTTACCAGAAGCAAAGATTAAAGCGGTAGTTTTAGGTTCTCTGATTCTCATAATGACAGCAGCAAAACGTTTTGGATTATATTCAGCATTACGAGCATGTAAAGCAATCGTTTTTAAATCTAAACGACAATCCAAATTAACGGTAGCCACAATATTTTGTAAAGTTGGAACTATACCTGAAGTAGCACCATCATCTTCTTCTTGTTGAGGTTCAACGATATCAGCAGTTTCTTCCTTTTTCACAATTTCTTGTGTTTGTGGTTGTTGTGCTTGTTGAGATGATGATGGTTGAGGTTGAAGTGATCTATTTTCACCATCAAAACCTTGAGGGAACATCAACGAATTTGGAGCAGTGAAAGCCTTGGCTTGAGCTGGATTGGTTGGTAACTTCAAAGAATCCATAATGAATGTAGATAGATATGCAAAAGGTTGATGATAATAATGATAATAATTAAATTATGATATAAAAAAGAATGAGATGAACAAATCAATGTATCCCCAAATTTAACGCTCCAGAATCTAAATTTAGAAAAGCAGAACCAGATAATTTATTCAGCTTGCTTGCTTTGATGAAATTCTATATAGAATGGACTTATATTATATTAATGTGATCTATACAACTTCTTCTAAATATATATCTCTTGCCCCCTGATAACAAGATAAGATTATTTTAGAAAGAAATGTGTGACACAAAATTTTAACAAAACAAAAAAAACTCTGTATGCAGGATGTGAAAAATATCTCCCAAAATCTGGAAAAAAAAAGAGGGAATTTGGAGCTCTATTTATACTAATGGGCTCATATCCGGGTAACTGTGTTACTCGTGATTTAAACGTGATTTACAGGCGATGAGTTTTTCCTAATTAGGAAAGAGCAGCATTAAATTTTCTTTGATTTATCATAAATATATATAGATAGATAATAACTAGATGTATGGGGTAAGTATGAATGATTGATTGGGATGGTGTTAACTGTGCTGATGGGAGTCATGAATAAGAAATGCAATCATTTTTTAAAATCAATAGATGAAAAGTTATAGTAGTAATGAAGGATATATAAAAATAGTGTAAAACTGTAGTTAACCTGTTATTGGAATAAAGATAATAGTAATGGAATGCTAATAATACAAATCGATGAAGTAGAATGTGTAGAATGACGAATGAATGAATTAATGAATAAGTAGATAAATGAATATGTAGACCTTGACTAAAGACTTACATAAAGATATCAAGGGAGATACAACATGAAAGAAGGTCTAACGTTCTTTCAAGAGCTTGTTTCTCTTTTCTCTCTTTCTCATTCTATCAACCTTCTTTGCATGCATCTTGGCAGCTATTAATTCATAACGTTCCTTTTCAGCTTTGGTTTCTCTTCTCTTTTTCAAATCATCTATTCTTTGCTTTCTAATCGATTCTTTTTCCTCTTTCAACTCCTTCATTCTAACTTTATATTGAACTTCTTGTAATTTCTTTTCTTCTCTTTCTTTAAATGATTTTGGTTTACTAACACCTAAAGTTTTAACTCTGAAAGCATCTTTCTTCATTTTCCAATCTTTACCGTTGATTCTACTACCTTCTCCTTTACCCTTTGGCACCAGTGGATCTATGTATCTCTTAGGAATATCCTCGTATTTCAAGTTTGAAGAAGAACTCATTATGAATAGTTATATATATGTATGTATAAGGGATCTTCAGTCTGACTTGTAAGATGATAAAAATAGTATCAAAATAAATTTTTGTTAGCTATAAAAAAAAAATTTTTAGCTCTGCCTCTCATACAAAATTATTTTTGCTGCGAAGTAAATCAAAATCAATCTATCTTTTTATGGAGAATTAAATAACAATACATAAATATAAAGTCGTATATAGTCTTTTGAGAGTGTTTTTCCTTTTTTAAATGTCATTAATTATTCGTCATGAACAGTACTTTGCTTATCGATCAAGAAAATTGCCTTTCTGATCCATTTTCTAGTTCTGGTATATTTGGAAAATCCATCTTTAAAACTGGGATTTTCCCAATTACTATCATTATAAACCCATCCTTCTTTACTCTTACCCTTGTTGAACTCAGTATCAATCAGCCAATCGGTATCCAACCAATCCCACAGATAGGTATAAAGATCACTTTCAAATATCGGGAATGGATAATCATCTTTGGTATCTTGGACTGGGGGAGCTGGTAATAATGATTGTTCATGACAAAAGTTAGGTCTATCACCAGGAAATAATAAATTTGACCATCCTAACCCGATCCATCTTCTTTCATTTTCAAGTAATTCAAATAATACAATTTGTTTCAATTGAGTTGGAGACACTATTGATTTTTTAATGATTTTGAAATCAGTTAATAATGGTACACTGTTTAATTCTTCAATATCACTTGAAGTTGGACTTTGAACTCTTGATATGGTTTGATATTTCGATGCATCAAATCCTCGATCAAGTTTAATATCAAGTCCTGTCAAATAAAACATAAATATTCTAACATAAACTGATCTCCATAATAATCTTCTTACAGCAAATAACCAAGGTGAATGATAGGCTAATACAAAAATACCCGTAAACCATATTGCTTTTTGAGGTGGAATGATAGTTTTAACGATAAGTAAATGTAAGGGAGTTAATATGGCTGTCATTATAAATATTTTAACATAATTTTTAAATTTGAAAGGAATATGTTGAGCTGGACCCATAATCATTTCAAATCTCAATGTAATATTATGAAGGGTGAATAAAACTTCATCAATTGTTGGTTTTTCATCGAATTTAGAATCATAAATAACTGAACTTATTGACCATACCAATCCTGAAAATATAACCGAAAATATAATTGGCAATATAATATAACTTATGGAATGCCAGTACATCACAAGACATGAATACACCACCACAATCAAGAAATTCTGATAAGGATCATCATTGGTCCAAGTTATAATCTCTAAGATATTATCAATGAGTAATAAATATGGAAAGATTTGGGATAGAGCCGAAGCTAATATGGGGGAATCGGTTAATAGCTTGTTATTAGATGAATTTGTAAGTAACTTAGCTTGAGATGGTTCAAATGGGGCAACCACATAATCAGCATATTTTTCAGACATTCTTAATTAAGTATGATATCAAATGAATTGAATTAAAATATGGTTGTCATTAGTTTATAGTCATAAGTGTTGATCATGAATTCGATTTATTCATATGCCAATTTGGTTTTAAGGTGGGGGAGGAGCAAAGATCAACCTAAAAAAAGACTTAAAAAATGATCACGTGAATTACATTTCCTGTATATAATATCCCGAGGCTTATCTGTTCTAATTATATATAGAATTATAGATTAACTGAAAGTTATCTGATTTAGCAATTTCATTTAATAAGTTGTAACTAGACAATTAGATTAATAGCAGATAAAGTTTAGTAAAAAAAATTCATTTGATTAGTGTATATGTTGCGATAAGTGTGATCCTGTCACTCAAGCCCATTGTTCAACTACAAGTTGTAATTACTCACATAAACTCACCTCTGTCTTAACCTTAAATCGACAAATCATAATTAAGTTAAGTTAATGATTTACTTTGCCATTCAATTTACGTGAAACAACCCCTGATTCTAAAGGTGGTATATGCAATCAAATGTCACTCTGATTATATTATTAATCATTAGTAAAATGATTTGATTAGTTACTGTAATAGAGCAAGTTGACGCTTATGATATCGAATAAAAGTTTATTCTCTCACATGGCTTTTACAATAAGGATAAAATAAATCTAATCTAAACATTAACTTCTTTTAAAACTAAAGTTATCTTTTTGATAAGCCTAGAATCATAAAAGTTTTGTTAAGAAATTGGAGCAAATTTCTAAATAATTTATAGAGCAACTGCGATGTACGTTAGGATGCAAAAAATATAATTATTATAGTGATTGTTACGGCCAAGTAAAATAAGATTTAAAACTTTTTAAACAATGAATGTGAAATGTAAATGACTATTTAAACAGATACTGATCCATTTATATGATTTCAATGATTAAGCCATTTTTCCATCCATTATAATACTTTAATTATAAATGTTAAACTGCAAAATTTTGATATTCATTATAGTGAGTGCCTTTCACTTACAAATTATTAAGGCTGATTCCTTTGTGTTTGGTCATAGAGAAGATGCCGCCTATCAAGCATGTGCTCAAGTTTTGAGTTATCTTGCTTTATTTTCTACTCCTGATTCAGAAGGACTTCAAAACTTTTGTGATCCTCAAAATCAACCAGCATTGGGATCAATGGCCCATTGTATTGTTGATAACTCTCATCCTTGTCAAGTCCAAGTTGCAGCATTTTTAGATAGTTGCAAAGATTATAAACTTACCAATGATACATTCTACAAATCTTACGAAAATGCCACCAACTACCTTGTTAGTTTACCAGTTTCAAAAGATCCTACTTTGAAGAAGACCAGTTATCCAATCTACACTCCTGCTGGACAATATCAAACTGCTTTTAACTTGAACTACGGTTCAATCAGAACTATTAATTGGTCATTGGCATTTGGGATTGTATTGGAATCTTATTGGTTTCTTGTGATGCTTTTAGCTGCTATTAATCATTGGAGTTATTATCTTTTTCCAAACTTTGTTATGAAGTTACATTCACCATTTATTAATTCATTTAGAGCAAATGTAATTTTGTCACATACTGATAATAAACATCATGCTCAAAGATTAAAGATCTTTAAAAGATTAGAAGCAATTCTTCCTCTTCGATTTGAAACTATTATATTATCAATTTGGTTTATCTTGGTGTTTATATTTGCTGGTGTTCACATATATAGACCTGCTCAAGGGTTTGTTGAATTATCAGTAGGTAACAGATCAGGATTATTAATGGCCTTCACATTTCCTGTTTTATTTCTATTTGCAGGAAGGAATAACTTTATGCAATACGTCACTGGGTGGCCATATTGTCGATTTTTGATCTTTCATAGATGGATTGCTAGAACGGTTTTTCTTTTACTTATTGTTCATATCGCTTCTAAAACCCTCACCTTAAAGGCATTCAAGGCATATCAAGCTTATATGCATCAGAATTTTGTAAGATGGGGTATAGTTGCAGCTTGTTCTGTTGGATTGTTAAATGTTCATTCCTTTCAAGTGTTTAGAAATACAAATTATGAAATATTTGTTTTGATTCATATTTGTTTAGCATCAATGGTTGTTGTTGCTGGTTGGATTCATACAAGTTATGCAGGGTGTCCAGAATTCTTTTATACGGTATTGGCAATTTGGGCATTTGATAGAGTTTTAAGAATTGTTCGTATTATATCATTTGGAGTTCAAGTTGCTACCGTTGAATTAAGATCGGAAGAAACATTGAAAGTTACAGTCAAAAGACCAGGATATTGGAAACCACACCCAGGAGCTCATGCTTATATCCATTTCCTTAAGCCAACATGTTTTTGGCAATCACACCCGTTCACCTTGGTTGATTCAGTGATGGAGAAGAATACCATTACTTTCTATATGAAAGTTAAAGGAGGTATAACCCATGGATTATATAAACTCTTATTAAATGCTCCAGATCATCGCGAACATGTCAGAGTATTGGTTGAAGGACCTTATTCTCAACAAGTTCCTTTACATGCATTTAATAATGTTACATTTATGGCGGGTGGAAATGGGATTCCGGGAATTTATTATGAAGCTACTGATTTATATCAAAAATCAAAAGGATCGAAACGAATTAAACTTTATTGGGTTATTCGTCAATTCAAATCGATAGATTGGTTTTATGAAGAATTGGAAAAGTTGAGTCAAACAGACATTCAAACGGTTATTTATGTAACTCAACCTCAACTTGGATTAGATTTTGATATTGGTGAACCATATATTCGAACTTCTAATGATGATGAATCCCAGATTTCTCATGTTAAAGCGGAAAAGAACTTTCATAAAATTGAAGTACAAGGAAAAGAACATCCTATTGAATCACGATCTAATTCAATTGCAGCATCTAATCTAAAGAGCAAGCTTAGTTTTATTGAGTTTAGAGAGGGGAGACCAAACCTACAGGAGTTGATTAATTTTGAAGTTGATTCAACATCAAACTCTATAGCTTTTGCTACTTGTGCACATCCATGTATGGTTGATGATATAAGATTGGAAGTTATAAAAGCAATTAAGAGAGATCGGTCTAAGAGGATTGAATTATTTGAAGAGATCCAAGAATGGTGATTAATAGTTTTAAGTATTAATAAACAAAAGAGTCGCAAAAATTTATTGCAACTTCTGTCGTCTGCGTAAAAAGTTCCATTCCTCACTTTTTCTGTCTGTTCAAAATGTTGAAAGTGAAAATTTTTTTTGTATGCGATTTAATATATATCTCTTCTTTCTTCTTTCTTCTTTATTCAATCAAATAACAAATACACATTTCAAAATGGTATGTTTTTAATACGAAGACGTTGGACCAACATCCTCCTTTAAGCTACACCTCTTCATCTTTACAGAAAAAAGGTTGTGCTCAGGGAGTGATGCCAAGTCGTTCTTTTTTGGTTATAATTATTTAACCTAGTTCAGCAGGTTATTCTTTAACGAATGACTGAATTAAAGTGATTGTTTACTATTGTGGATTCGTAGGACTTTGTATGATTCTATTATAATAGTAATACATTTACTTGAAAAGAATGTGCTATCACTCTTCTGGAAGCACAGGCTGAGTATCTATAAGATACTGTAGAGAAGAAGTTTCATAAGGATTGTTCGTTGACATTTATTTTGGAGAACACTTTTTGACTAACTTTAACTCAATGACACAGCCTTCCAAGAAAGTTGCTCCAGCTCCGTTAGCTACTAGATCTAAAGCTTCCACCACTGAATCTAATCCTTTAACTGATTCTACTCCAAAGAATTTTGGTATTGGACAATCAGTTCAACCAAAGAGAAATTTATCAAGATTTGTTAAATGGCCAGAATATGTTAGATTACAAAGACAAAAGAAAATCTTATCATTAAGATTAAAAGTTCCTCCTGCTATTTCTCAATTTCAACAAACTTTAGATAAAAATACTGCTTCTCAAGCTTTTAAATTATTTAATCAATATAGACCAGAAACTAGTTCAGAAAAGAAGGAAAGATTAGTGAAGGAAGCTGCTGGTATTGCTGAAGGTAAATCTGCTAAGGATATTTCACCAAAACCATTAGTGGTTAAATACGGTTTAAACCATGTTGTTTCCTTAATTGAAAACAAAAAGGTTAAATTAGTTTTAATTGCTAATGATGTTGACCCAATTGAATTAGTTGTCTTTTTACCTGCTTTATGTAAAAAATTAGGTGTTCCATATGCCATTGTTAAAGGTAAAGCTAGATTAGGTACTTTAGTTCATCAAAAAACTGCTGCTGTGGTTGCTTTAACTGAAGTTGAAGCTGCTGATGAAGCTGAATTAGCTAAATTAGTTTCAACTATTGATGCTAACTTTATTGAAAAGTATGAAGATAACAGAAGACATTGGGGGTGGTGGTATTCTTGGTGCTAAATCAACTGCTAAAGCTATTAAAAGAGCTAAAATTGCTGCTACACCAACCAATTAGGGTTGCTTTTTAGCTTTTGGAAACCTTAATTTACATTCATCGTAGAATTTCTTTTGTATATTACTTTATAACCATTAATAAAATCAAACGTCTTCGTATAAATTGAATTAATCAACCTATGTAAATACAAACATGTATAGGCATATTTGGATATGACTTGATATTTTTGGTTAAATTGAGTTAGGGCTCCAACCCTTCACACGTGATCGCCATTTTGGGAAAGAATTAAAATTTTTTTGGTACCCACTACCAATCCACTTACAGTGCGAAATCCCATCCACCAAATTAAATTAAATTTTTAATATCATTATAGGATAATAATCTTCTTGTTTAATACAGCAAAGTAATTGTTAATTAGGGTATGTTCAATTCAATATACGGGTGGTAGAAAGTATATTATGACTGAAATAGAATCAGAGAAGTAACTGAAACCAAGTGGAACCATCAGAAAGTCAGTGTTCAATAGAGATCCATTCAATTTATTCATGAAAAATTGTTCAATAAATTATTCATTCATAGGATGACACCATCAACTACCATCAATAAAATGAAGATCTAAGAAAATGATTAAGATTGAAGTCCTTTGATGGATCTAGAGATATCATTTATCATCATAAATTAAACGTTTAAAAGGGTAAACACAGTATAACTAATCCAGATTCGATTTTACATAATATAGTTTCACTTCAATATTTAATGAAGAAACACATTACTAACTTATTCTATTATAGATAAAATGTCTAAATCAAAGAATCATACTGCCCATAACCAAACCAAAAAGGCTCACAAAAATGGTATTAAAAAGCCAAAGACCAACAAATATCCTTCATTAAAAGGTGTTGATGCTAAATTTAAAAGAAATCACAGATACGCTTTACATGGTACCACTAAAGCTTTAGCTGGTGCTCGTGCTGCCAAATACGCTGCTTAAATTTATTTAAGTTTAAACTGAATATAATTATAATCAATTTTCAAACCATTCCAATTCACATATTATCTATATATATAAAGAAACATATATAATTGGTCTATTGTATAATGTTAACATATTTCATGCTTTAAATTTTCATATATAACTAACGCATTTAAGTATTAATAAAGCTATTTTATAAGTCATAAACCATTATTAGTCTAATTATGAATGACTAGCCCCTTTGTAGCATGATTGTAAGCTGTAACTTTTGCTTAACTATGTAGAAGTCTGACCTTAACTATGGCAATCCAACCTGCATATAAATTATATAGTGGAGTGAGGATCATTTTGGTGAGTGTTGCAAATAATTGGCGTCTAAACCTTTTATTTACTTCTTCTTCCTTCCTTCTTCCTTCTACCATCTCTTTCTCTCCAATCAGATTCATCATATCCAATTGAATCAATCAATCAATCAATCAATCAAATCGATATAACATGACTGAAACCATCAAGAAGGCTCGTGTCTATATCAAAAATATCAATTTTGAAACTACTGAAAAGGAATTAGAAGAATTCTTAAAACCATTTGAACCGTTTGTAATACCCGCTGATGATAATTGAATTGAATCCATCTCTAATAATGTTTCTATGATACTAACTGAGATCAAATTAGAACTCACATTTTGATTCCAACTCATACCATTAGATATGGTGGTGCTTATAGACCACTTGGTGTTGCTTATGCTGAATTTAAGAATTCTGAATCAGTTCAAAAAGTGATTAAACAATTGGATGGTAAAATGTTAAAGAATCGTACTTTGAATATTAAAGAACATTTACCTCTTGAATATTCTAGAAAGCATTTTGGATTTAGACGTTTCTTTCAAAAGGAACAATCTAAGAAAGGTTCTACTGATGATGATGATACTACTACTACTACTACCACAAAACCAAATGAAGTTAGTAATCCAATTACCTCCAAATCAAATAATTTAGAAAAAGATGATGGTAATAAATTATCTAATGATGATGAGGAAGGAGATGAAAAGGTTACTTCAGCTACTTTAGATAAATCAAAAGAACTTTCAACTGATACCATTTATATTCCTAGAGCTTATTATAAAGTTACGGATGAGGTTATTAGAGATTATTTTAAAGATTATTGTCCTTCTCAGATTTATATTTATAGATCTAAATTATCAACTCAAGGTACAGTTGGATTTCATAGAGGTCATGTAAGTGTTTTAGCTACTCTTGATACTAGTGTTCATTCAATTACTGATATTATTAAAGATTTAACTAAGAAAAAATTAGTTGGTAGACATGTTCCATTAAGAGTTGCTTTTAAATCTAAAATTGAAGAAGTTAAAAAGGTTGCAATTTCAAAAGTAGTTAATTCAGATGATGATGTATTAGAAATTTCAAATCCTCCTTCTTCTATTAGTGTTGATAGTAAAGAATTAAATTCTCCAAAGGAAGATGTAGAACATATTGAAGGTGAAGTTGTTACTGATAATCAAGGTGAACAAGAAGAAGGTGAAGTTGGATCAAGTTCAACTTAGATTGTATAAGATAGATAAATTGTTATTATTTATGGTTAGAAGAAAAGTTAATTAGTTATATAATAATCCTTTAAATATTATAAAATTTGTATTATTATTATCTCCACTCGCCGGTTACATTCCTGTACATAATCCCAGGTACGATCTTAAATTTTGATTTGATGCTTAAACCACCTTAGAGTAATCAACTTCATTAAAATTACAATGTCAATTAATAGAGTACAGTTAAGCAAATGTATGGGATTCTTGGTCGACAAGTACGATCAAGAGGATTTCAATTTATTTAATTGCATATCATTTGAAGAACTAAATGATCCAAATGCTCCGGTATTACTTCAACAAATAATGGATGGAGCAGAGGGGAATGATTTTGAATTAGAGAAAATGAAGCTAAGCTTTATTATTTCGAATTTCATTTCCTTCTGTGGTTTGTCAGATAGTCCAATAAATCGTTTAACTAATGCTTATCTTTCTTCTGAAAAATATATCCAAGATTTCAAATCTCTAATCAAGGAAGCTGTGACTCAAATTGGAAGTATAATTTATGAAATGGTACAAGATGTTCGAGGTCGTCATATGCCGCCAATTGAATACTTCTATTCCTGTTTTGCAGCTTCACAGATGTGGTTCACGTCATTTCCTGCCTTTGCTATTGAAGACGCACAAATAACTAATACAAGGATTAACTACAGTAGGTCTCGGAGATATTTTGCCACTTTTTGTCAAGTATTTCCAACTTCAATTGATTCGTCGGACGATGAGTTGAAAATCAAATTGGCAAATGTTTCGTTAAAAGTCAGGACTTTGAATGAAAGTACGTTGTCTAAAAATTTAGTCCTTGTAAGACCTCAAAATGAAGCTCAACTTGAAGACATGTTCGGTAATTTAATTCTGAATAATATAGTAGAACTTTTATCTTCAAACTTTGATTCAGCAAGTAAGCTTCCTCAAGATAACTCGAGTGGAATAGTTCGTCCAGATTTAGGAATAGAGGTAACTAAGAACGGAATAAACTATACCGTCCCGGTGGAATTTAAATATTCTGGTTTGAGATATGCATTCAATGCAGTTGATAATATCGAGGTGCCATTCTCCGATTTAAATTCTTCATTCCGAGAATTATTCAACCAAAGCATTTACCAGCTCTTGACTTATAAGTCAGAGCTTGGTTTCGTTATTGATAGGTCTTCTGTATACATTGTAAAAATCAAACTGCCAAGAGTTCTTACTCAAATGATGAATCAGGGTGACGGTTCAAATATTAGAGTCATTGACTGCGTAGTACTGTGTTTAGAGCATAGTACAAATGGCAATAGTTTGGGTTCTATCTTAACGGCGTATTTATTAGATTATTTTACAGGTATCACAAATGAACGAACTGCTAAAATTGATACACTATTTAGAAGCTTTAAGCTAAGTGATGTTCAAAAGCGTGAAATGGTGAGACGAAAGCAGGTATTTATGCTTCGTCAATGGGTTAATAGGTTCTTACATTACCGTTTAGAACGCGGTTTTTACGTACATACTATCTATAATGCTATTAAAATTCCTCGTGAAATTTTTGAAATCACGAATTTAATAAAAGAATGGAATGTTAGAAATGAAAGTGAATTAACCATCGGTAGGAATCTCAGACAAGAGGAACCACTTGAAAAACACTTTTCTAAAGTATTTTCATGCAAAATTGGAGATTCAGACACCGAGGTTGTACTTAAAGTATATGACGCGATTGGAGCACCTATACTTAACAATAAATCGGGGTTATCAGATCAATTATTCTTTGAAGTGTATTCATACGTGACCGAGATGTTTTTGTGTGAACTCAATTCCTATCTTACTATCAGAGGAGACCCTAGAGGTTTAGATGAAGAACCACCGAGTAGTGGTGGAAATGGATCATTAAATGGATTACTCAACATTAACTGTACTCCTTATTTATATGAGTACGGATTTTTTGCCGGTGTATCATTTCTGGGTTTTTATCTAATTCAACAATTCATTAGCGATGATAAGCTACAATGTGATTTTGAGCATTTTAGTACTTTAGCAAAAATATCACTATCCCATATTCATTCCATTGGGCTTATACATGGAGATATACATCCATACAACATGATCTATAATAGAGAAAGAGATCGTGTTTATTATATTGATTTTGGTAAATCTACATTTACGAATTTTCAACGTGGTGAAAGGTCGGTTGCGGCTGACTGGTTGCATTTAGAAAGAGCCTTAGTAGAAATTCGTAATTTAAGAAATTAAATTTATATACTATAATTTGGCTGCTAAGAAGGGATTGCTATTTCTATAGTTTTATAGCGTTAACGAGATATGAATATAAATGGGGTTACTAGGAAATTGTTAAGTTTACAAAATTTATTTTTAAAAATTGATATAATGTATATATATTTATTTGATGATTAAATTTTTTTTAATTTGATTTATTTAGACATAAATTATTATTATTATTTTATAAACTATTTATTAATATTATTGATGTTTAAAATAGATCAAAACCTAATCTTGAGTCTTTTGAGTACCACGTAATAAACCAGTTCTTCTAGCAGCGATTAAACCAGCTTTTTGACCGGCAACAGCACCTCTAGAGATAGTAGAAGCTTTACCAATATGTTGATGGTTACCACCACCATGAGGATGATCAACTGGATTCATAGCGACACCTCTAGTTTTTGGCCAAGAGTTTCTCTTAACTCTATATTTATGGAAAGCTCTACCAGCTTTTAATAATGGTTTATCAGTTCTACCACCACCGGCAACAACACCAATAACCCCTCTAGCATCAGAAGAGATAACTTTTTTAGCACCAGAAGGTAATTTAACTCTAGTTTTACCTTCATCAGCATTATGACCAATGATAACAACGTAATTACCAGAAGTTCTACCTAAAGCACCTCTATCACCAACTTTTTCTTCAACATTGGAGACAATGGTACCTTCTGGACAAGCACCTAAAGGTAAAATATTACCAACATTTAAGGAAGCTTTTTTACCAGCATAAATGAATTGACCAGTATAAACACCTTCATTAGCAATAAAAGTTTCTTCTCTTAATTTATACTTGTATGGATCTCTGAAAACAATTTTAGCTAATGGAGCCCCTCTACCTGGATCATGTAAGATTTGTTTAACAACCCCTCTAATATAACCATGTCTTTCAGCGAAATCTAAGGTTCTTAATTTAGCAGCACCTTTTCTTAATCTGGTGTGAGAGGTGAAGATTGAACCAGCACCTTTTCTTTGGTTACGAATAACTCTACCTATAAGAAGAAAATATGTTAGTAAAGATTGTCTTATGACTATTAGTTTAATATCAAAAGAAGGGGTTATTAAAGAATATGTTTTTTTAATGAAGATATTTGGATACGGAATGTTGGTGGTAGGAAAAGTTTTAATAGATGGGATTAATCTGATGGATGGATGTAGTAGATTTCATTTGATTTGGTTGATTGGTGTGATGATGATATTATGAAGTTGATACTTTATGACATAATGATGGAGAACTTTTCATTTCATGTAGAATGATTCTAGTGATTAAAATTTCTTTAAATGGTTGGATCGATGATTTCAAGGTATAGAAACTGATGAATAATACAACACTGTATCATCCAAACACTTACTATGCTTTCAAACATTACGATTATAGGATGATTTGTTTTCTTTCTTTCTTTCCTTCTTTCATTCATTCATTTGATGGATTGAAAAATTTCAACTATGATAAAATTGATATACAACCTAAAGTTGAACCAACTGTTTAATTTGATATTCTCATTATCTAACGTATTCTTTAATGATTCTCCTGTTGTAGATATCTTATATATATATCACATACCCATTGTTAAGTGATTGGTTTTCTAGTTAATGTAAATATCAAATAATTATAATACAAATTTTTTTTAATAAATTTTTTTTGGTTAGACAATTTGGTCCCTCTGACTTGAGACAGCTTGAGACTTTTTCACCTTTTCACACTAAAAAATTGAATTGTATTGAGGTATGGAAGTTTTCCTCTTCTCACTCTAAAAAAAGACAGGAGTGGAAATTAAATGCAGGACTGAGGTATGGAGCCCTAAACAGCGGCAGTGTGCACGTGATGGAATTTGTCAAAGAAAGAACAATCTCATTTTTTGCAACAACAAAGTATAGCATTATAGAGATCTAACATATGATATCATTATATGATAGATATATGTATAAACTTCTTAGTTTATAAGTATTACACCATTGCATGTCATAGAAATTAAAGTAAGCAGACTCAAATGCTTTATAATACAGGTTAAATTCTGATGTTGGATGAATTTCTATTCATGTTTAGTCTAATGTAACCAATATTTGACTCCATTTATTAGAGTATTATAAGTTATATTTACCTAAATCATCTTGTAGATACGTCTAAACCCTTGTACTATCATATCAATCACTTGTAATCCACCATTCAATACAATTAATCAACATTAGTTAAGCTTCAAGTATATAATGGATTTTGCCATCATCATACCTGTATATAACCAATGGCTCTTCCCGCTTAACAAAATGAACTATGCCATACAAAAATAATATAGCAGCAGCAGCAGCAGCATCTAACTAACTAAGTTAACTATCTAATTAACTAATAGTTACAACATATAAAATACAATAGGTCAGAGATAAATGTTATGTTATATAATATAGGGACCATACCATCATCATCAACTTCTCGTTTATCACGATGGTTAATTCATAATGTAAGTGGTAATAGTCTGATAATATGGTCTAGACTAGCTCATTCATCAAGTTCCAAATATAAGTCTAAATATAAATCTAAACCTAAATCTAAGGTCAATGCAAAGGGTAAGGGCAAAAGTAAGAACAAATACCCACCAAGAAATAAGTCAAAGGATGTGGAAACTAAACCAATACTCCATAACAAACTTAATCAATCAAATGAACCTTCAAATATATCCCGATCTACCGATTCATTTAAGAATATGTCAGTTACATTCGGCAAAGATGTCACTATAAAAGGGAACATTAATAAGATCATAAAGGAACTATCAGATGAAGGTAAGATGCAAAAGATTAAAACTAATGAAGATCATTTCGATAGAATGAAACGTTTATTACCTATACGAGCCAATCAAAATATCATTAATCGAACCATATCAGTTAAAGACGATATCATTGAAACTTTCTTACCCTTAGAGGTGGAGAAGATTCCTAAATTACATCATAATCTCGATCGAGCCTTGTTTTCACCAGGAGTTCATTTCTTACAAGATCCTCGAACTCGAATATTTAATTTCTCCCCATTTTTAAAAGATATCATTAATTATAATGAATTTAATTTCGATTCTATAGCTGGATTCCAACCCGTTTCAAAACATATTGAATTATTACGCATGGCAAAACTTTCTAAAAGTCAATTTTATTCATCTACTTCATCTATGACAAGTTCATTAATGCAATTTTATTATTTATTAAATAATTTCTCCATCCGGAATGGGAAGGAAATTAATGGAATCCCAATGAATGGATTAATGAGTAGATTACCTTCTAGTTTAATCATCACTCCACAAGGTGAATCAGATGATGGAAATGCCGTCTATTCCGTTTCATCGGATAAATCGTGTGATACAGAGATATTATTATCAGCCATGGGGAATTGTTTAGAAGTATTATTAACTACAGATGAAACTCAATTTCAAAAATTCACCAAATCATATCAAGAAGAAACCATCGGCAAAGAGGAGGTTGAGAATGAGTTGGAAAATGTCTATAATTATGCCAAATATGGATCTTTCTTAATGAGATCACAGATGGATTGTTATGATTCAAGATTACCTCGTGGATCATTCGATATCAAGACTCGAGCCGCCTGTGCGATCCGATATGATGTTAATAATCGAATTGGAAGTGATATGGTGGTGGGATCACCTGAATATGATGGCAAGGATAATCATTATCAAATCTGGAAATTAAATGGAGAATATGAATCATTTGAACGAGAATTTAAAGATTTGATTCGAAGTGGATCATTATTGAAATATCTTTTCCAAGCTCGGATTGGACAAATGGATGGGATATTCGTGGCATATCATAATATAAAATCATTCTTTGGATTTCAATATTTATCATTGGAGGAATTAGATGAATTATTTTATGGAAAGATTACTTGTCGAGATGAAACTTTAAGTGATAAGGAGAAGAAAGATAAATTGATTGATCATGATCAATTGAATACGGTATTGGATACGAATGGTGATGTGAATTTATTAGAATTGAATGATAATTTATCAAGTTATATCGGTGAAAGTCAATTTAAAATGTCAATGAAGATTTGGGAAGATTTATTACAAACCATAATCAAAGATTTAAAAGCCATGAAATTACAAAAACATGAAAAGCAAATTAAAAAAGGGAATAAATCAAGTAGTGATGAGAATGAAGGGGTTACTCCATTTCGATTAGTCATGCAATCTCGATACGTTGCTAGATCTAAACAAGTTAAAATGAGTGTATCAGTAGTTGAAATGACGCATAATCAATTGATTAAACTTGATGAGATTCCTCAATTGTTTAGTACTAGTTTTAAAGATATTGAATTGACTAGTGAAGAGAGAGAAATGAATTTAAATCGTCATAAAGTTCATTTACAACGATTTAATGAATCAACTGTGAGAGGTAAGAATGTATTATCATATTTAGTTGAAATTAATAAAGAAGTTATAAATGGTGACATTAAAGAATGGAAGAAAGAAGGAGAAGAAGAGAAAGAATATATTCAAAAAGTGAAATTGGATGATGATTGGAGAATTCAATATAGTATAAGTCAACGTCCGAATGATACTGATAAACAAATTCAAATTAATCGAGCTAATTATTTACGTAAATTATCAATTGCCACTGATTCGATTATAAATTCACCAGAGATAATAAGAAGTAAATGGAAGAAACAAGAAGAAGGAGGAAGAGATCAAGAATCAGATCATCAGAAAACAGATAAACCTAAATCAAAGGGCTTAACTAGGGAAAATATTTTAAAAGCATATTCAAAGATTGGAGAATCACGAGTTAAACAATGGTCAGAAAAGGATTCTCAAAAAGTTGTATATAAACCAAAGTAATGTTAGAAAATATAATGGCACACAGACATGTATAAAATAAAGTGCATTAAAATAAATGTTTCAAGGTATGAAACGTATATATATAGAGATAGATATGATTGACAGGTGATGTAACGTTATAATAATTTTGTAAATAGCATAATGAAAAATTGTATGATTATTATTGTATCAGATATTTTGCGACACAGGATTTGTCATAAAAGAGGGTATCGCGATTTGCGACATAAAGAATCGACAAAACAAGAAATGACAAAATGTATGAGAATAGAAATCAACAGCGAGCAAAACGAACGAACGAACGGAAGTCTCAACTATAGGACTAACGGAAATATATATATAAGACAACAAATATGTATAAACTATGACTATTTATGATATAATGTTTAATTCATAGGATAACGATAGCATATGACAGACATGATACGATATGATATGACAGGAAAAGATCATGTATGACTCAAATCTATTGATAACCTTAACTATTCCTCCTATCCTTAGGTCCTTGAAATTGAAATTGAAATTGTTATCGTTTAATTTTATTAGCTGTGAAAAATTGTACACGTTCCATTTGACCTTTTTTTCTTAATTCCCCTCTTATCTCATAATTTTTGCATGTTAATTATCAGGTTATACCCCTCCTGCCTAATTAGGTAATAGTGAGCAGTAAAAAAAAGAAAAAAAACTCCGACCGGAAAAATTTTCTCAAACAAAAAAAAAAAAAAAGAAATTTAGGAGCAGTGGAAGCGTCAGCTTAACTTAAGCAGCAGCAGCAGCTTAAGCAGCAGCAGCAAATAATTTAGGGACAGCTCCTGTTGCGATTTACTGAGAAATTTTAATTTTAGCATTAGCCTTGGTTATAGAATCAATCATCACCAAACTCACTTAATTTATAAATTTATATATAATTTAATCGATATAACCCTTTATTTCTTTTTTTGATCGATTTTGTTTCTTTTACCGTTTGAATCTTTAATTTTGTTTTACATTTCTTTTTAACGTTTCATCTCATAACTTATTAACTATTACTACTAATTAATAGAATCATCTAGACAGTTCTGTTTTTGCCTTTTTTTTTTTGCCATCTTTGTGATTACAATATATATATATTTAACCTTGTCATTATCTATCTATATTTCAAACAAGATCATGAATTAGATACTATTTCTACTCCTACTACATTTCCATCATCTATCGTCTATCACACACTACTCACTATGAATCAAGATCATATAACCAATCCTGATAACTCCAATATTAATAAAAAAGTAACTTTTGATATCTTTGAACCACAAATTTCAATTTCAGATTATTATTATTCCTCATTAAAAGATTTCACAGCCATGGATTCTAAATCAAATCAACATATAACTAATTTAAGTAGTTCACCACCTGAAAATGCTTCATCAGCATCATCAATGAAATTCATTGATTCAACTAGCTCAATAAATTCCCTTTTTGATAATTCAGCCGTTAATTTATCATCTACTTTATCCCAAAATTTACCTACTTTACCAACCACCACAAATACATCTACTACTAATTTAACTCCTATCCAATCTAAATATGAATTAAAAGATTTTGAATTCACTTCGATTTTAAATCAAAGATTATTAAAACAACAAGAAATAAATGAAGAAAAATTAATCATTATGTTAGTTGGATTACCAGCTTCAGGTAAACTGACAATCGCTAAACAATTCAAACAATATATGAATAATTTAACTAATTTTAAAACTGAAATTTATAACGCTGGTAATATTAGAAGAATTAATAATAAAGATAAGAATAATAATAGTGATTATTTCAATCCTAATAATATTCAAGGGAAATTAGATCGTGAATTATTCGTTGATATCACTTTAAATAATCTTTTAAATGATTTATCCCTTGGATTAATTCAAATTGGGATTTTGGACGCTACAAATACTACAAGAGAAAGAAGAGAACGTATGGTTGAACTTATGAATCAAGCTAAATCCACTATGTCAGCTAATATTGTTATATTAGATGTTCAATGTTTCAATTCTCGATTTTTAAATTTTAATATCAATGGTAAAGCTAATAATTCAGATTATAAAGGTAAAGATTATTTCGAAGCTATAAATGATTTTAAAATCAGATCAAATCATTATAAACAAGTTTATCAACCTATTAGTGTTGATGAATTAAATCAATATTCCAATACTATCATCGATCCAATAACTAACAATAGAGCTATTTCAATGTATGTTAAGATTCTTAATTGTGGAGAGATATTTGAATTTAACAATATAAATGATGAATTCAAATTAAATCTGAAATATTTTAAATTCTTTTTAGAATTTAAGAAATTTTATTATAATTTCGAAAGAAAGAGATATTTAGATGCAGTTGATGCATTCTATAATCAAAATAATGAGTAGATACCAAACGGTATCTACTTAGTTACAGGTAGATAAAATACACACATACACACATATTTTTTTGGGGCAAATATATTCAAATGGGATAAAGTGGTATCCTACAAATTAAAGGGTATTTACACAGTTTATTTTTCAATTCTAAAGGAGGGGAAGCAGGCCCTTCAAACACCAACCATTTTTTTTTTGGGTTCGTATTTTTACACAAATTTTCAACATATATATATAACTTATTTTAGAAAAAAGTACATAACTAGATATTATACATTTAAATTATAGAGATACAGGTTTTATACTTTAATAAATTAATAATACTTAAAATTAAATTAAAATTAGACGTAGATTATGTACAGTAGTGTATATAAATATATTAGTTTCATCCCCCTCATCGATTATAGTTAAGTCCCGGTATAGTTACATTATTCAATCCCGGAACATTGATACCTCCTGATCTCGATTCTGACAATGAATTTAATGATGATGAGGCATTAGCATATTGAGTAGTTGGAGGAGGTAATGGTGCATTCCCACTTATTGAACTTGTAGTTAATTTAGATTCTTCATCTTCAATTATTGCATTAACATTATTATTGGCCACATAATACCATGCTCCATTCTTTTGATCAGTATATACAGCATCTTTATATGATTTAGGATCATTAGGACGGGCACGAGACCAGAATCGAGCGGTTTTATCTGACCCGGCAGAACATAATAAATGACCCATAGGATGATATTCAAGAGTATGGATCGCCTTTTCATGAGCAAATGGGATTTTATGAACTGCTTCCAAACTATCAATCGATTTGAAATTATCATTTTTATTTCTATAGTTATTATTATTATTGTTATTATTATTATTGTTGGTGGAATTCGTGTTGGAGGAGGAATTATCATTATCAGGAATATAAGAATCAAGTAAATATTGATTCATAGCTCCATTAAAAGCAGCTGTAGTTAACATAGATGCATGAACAGGATGCCATGCCACACATGATAAATCAGTTTCATGATCTCTCAACACTAAAATATCTTTCATAGTTCTTAAATCAAATATTCTACATGATCTATCTCTTGAAACAGCAGCTAATAATCGTTTTGTCCCTGTTGGTTGAAATCTGGTTTTATTAACTGTATGTTTGAATCCATGTAAGGTAGTTACACATGTTGAACTTCTTGGATCCCATAATTTAACTAAATTATCTTTAGATCCACTTACAATTAATCCTAAATTAGCATGCCAATCAGCTGATTTCACTTCCCAATGATGACCTGTTAAAGTTCTCTCTTCTTGTCCATTATTAAAATTCCAAATCTTAACTGTAGAATCATCACCACAAGTTAAGAATTTAGAATCATTAGGAGAAAAGGCAATATCTCTAACTCCACTAGGATGTGCCGTTATATTATTAACATTATTAAAATTGGGTTGCCAAAATTTAACTCCCCCACTTTGATCACCACTTAATAACCATTCATCATTATGAGAATATTGTAATGATAAAATAGGGGAATCATGAGCTTGCATAATGGTTTCGAAATTGAATGTCATCCCATTCCAAATGGTGAATTCTCCACTATGAGATGCAACAACTAATCTTCTTCCTTCTGGAGTCCATTTAACTGTATTAATTGAATGTTTAACTTTATTAGATGATAAATGAACAAATTTAGTTTCAATATCCATTATGGCCATATTATTCCTATTACTATTACAATCAAGATTGGATGATGATGAATATGCCATGGATGGTAATAAATCAATTAAATATGATGAATCAGGTCTAATTTTCCCTATAGGTTGTTGATTTCGAGTTAATCCTAAACTTTTATTAATATACCATCGTCCCATGTTATTACCATGATCGACTATTCTTCTGAATGCAGTTTTCTTCTCTTGTGATGCTAATTGTTGATCTAGATTCTGTTTATAGGCTGCTAAACGTTCTGAATCTTTACCTTCTTTAGGTGCTCGATTATTATTATATCGTCCTCCTCCACCTCTGTCATTGTTGTTATAATTGTTGTTGTGATGATGGTTGTTATTGTTGTTATTGTATCCATTATGATTCCCATTCCCATAATGATCACTCATTATGTATGGTTTTATATGATATGAAATTGTTCTCTGGGTATTGATCGAATTATAGTTTATAGGTCTAGTGATATTGGTAAAGAAAAACTGACTTGAACTGAGCAAGAAATGTCTTATAATCAAATGAGACATTCACGTGACTATAAAAACGACATTTATAATTTTCTTTTTCGTGTGAGGCTCATCTCACTTCTATCTCTCTGGTAACGCTGTGCAACTACATCAAATATATATGAAAGAAAGTTAAAATAAGCTTTGTATTCATATATGTATATGTAATGTCGATCAATTATGTCAAATGAAGTTCATGTGAGAGGTATGATAAAAGTATATTAAGCAGGGTACATAAGCTTTTATGTTTAATGTCTTGGATATGACATGAAATCATGTTGCAAAAACTTTAAACTTCTACAACAACTTGGTTCATAAAATAATTATATAATTATTATTGTACATGTTTTATTACGACATCTATATACTACTATATCTATATAAAGAGCAAACAATGAAGTAATGAATGAATGAATGAATTAAAGAAAAAGAAATGCAATTTAACCATTAAAAAAGTCATTAAGAATTATTAGATTTGAATGAAATGAATGTAAAAAAGAAGAAATAGGAACAATAAAAAAAAAGAATGCAGTATAAAAATGAAACCGAAACCGAAAACAACTTAAAAGTAAAATCAAATAAAACTTTTTTTGTGAAAATGTGTTTAATGTAAAAAAATGTATAAAAAAGATGGAACCCTATGATTGAAACCATGTTAGAATCCTTGCATAAGTAATACAAATGACCAGATACAACATACACAAACGATAGTAAATCCAATCCATGCAATAAATGTGTGATATAATGGAGCTTGATGATATCTTTGAAAGATTAAATTAATACTAATCATACTGAAAATTAATGATAATAATAATCCCATTACTAAAATTAAAATTAACCAAAGATTATTCATGATTAAAAATTGAGGGGGAGGATTTATAGATGGATCATCAGTATGATTTATAATAAAAATACTATAAATTATTCCTAATTCAATCCCACTTAAAAAGATTGACATCAAATTTAATGAAAAATAAATATATGATAAAGTTTGATCATAATCTAATTCATAATGATATTGAATATTCAGATACTTATTACGATTTAAAAATGTAGGAGGTTCTTCATTAATAGAATCATAATTATAAACACCAGCACTACCATTAGTACTATAAGCATATGGATTACTATAATCAATTTCTGAAGATGAAACAGGCCTTAATAATGATGATGATTGAGAATGTATATCCTTCTTATATTGAGGTAATAAAGAAGAATTAAGATGATGACGATGACGATGATTATGTTTGAAAGGCTCCATGAATAAAATTGATTTGAATTGAGTATAAGCATTGTTTTTCAATTTCATAAATTTATTCATGAAATTAATTAACGTAAGATTTTGATCTTGTTCTTCATTGTTTAATTTTAAATAAATGGAATATTCATTCTCATCTAAATTATCAATCAATTGTTCTTGAGCAAGTTCTTCATCAGCACTTTGACGTCTGAATTGTAAAATATCTTGATGACTAACATTCATATTAAGAACTCCATCATCTTCATCTTCATCAACTTCTTCATCGTCGTCGGTGTTATTCTTAGTGAAGACTGATTTATTGGAACTATTATTAGTACCAAATGAATCACTTTGTTGTTGTTGCTGTTGCTGTTGCTGTTGTTGTTGGAAATGGGCTTGATTGGCTTTAAGGTAAAAATCAGGAGCTCTAGTTGATGTATGATAATTATGTTGATTAAATTTTGATAAAGATTTTAAAGATAATTGATGTTTTAAAATTTTATTTGATTTTTCTTTAATGATTAAATTTTCTGAATTTAATTGATTATTAAAATTTTCAATATTTTCAAAATTCTTTAATAAATTTAAATTTAATAAATAATTATAATGATTATTAATATAATTTCCCTCTGGAACTATATTATTATAACATGAATTCATATATGAATAAAAATCGAGTCCTTTAAATAAATTAATCAGATTATTATTATTAATTAAATTTTGTAATTTGATTGGTAACCGTTTTAATAAACTTGATGAATAGTTATTAACTAATAATCCATCTTTAACATTTATAACTGAATTTAAGGAATTTTCAAAATTATTTAAATTAGAATCATTGGAATAAAGGGAAAGATGATTATGAGGGAACTTTTCCCAATTATTTACAATATCTTGAGTTTCATCATCAGTTGAATTGGGTGGGAAAGTGATATCTGAAACATAAGTTGAACTATTAGTAGTGAAAATATCGGTATCTAATGCAATTAAATAATCATCTTGATACTTATGACTAATTTTTGATTTACCATTACTATCATCATCACCACCTCCTGGTTGTTGTTGCGATGGTTGATTTTGAGATTGATCATCAATATTTAATTCATTTTCTTCTTCATTATCTTCAGCTTCTTCAGTTTGTCTCAATATATATCTTCTTCTTTGTAAAATTAATCTTAAAGTTGGTTTTAAATTATTAGTTAAAATAGCATCAAAAGTCTTTCTTGTTAATGAACTAACTTTATTCGATTTAAAATAATCATATAATTTATGTTTAATATCTTCGTTATCACGATTATTTAAATGATTTACGAATAATTGAACAATATCATTAGGTAAGATACAATAACTATATTTTCTTAAACCCCCAATATACCCCACAATGATGGAAAAAGATTCATCTTTTTGAGATATGATATATGAAGGTTCATGATAATCATTATTATTGGCATTAGTTAAATAAATAAAGGAAAGGAAAGTTGTAGGAGGGGCATTATTATCATAATTTTTAAAATTCAAATAAATATTTAAATTTAATAAGATTTCATTAAGAGTATTTGGATCATCAGGGATAAGACAATTTAAATCGAAATTTTTCTTGACACATATAGCAAGATCAAAATTGGCTTCATTGGTTGGGGGATCTTGTTGAATATGATAATGCGGATGAGTGGAAGCTGAATTCAGAGTTAAACCGGATGGAGTTGTAGGAGGACTTCCATCACCAGCTGATGAAGATAAATTACCACTTTGTAGAGTAAAATAACTATTAGTTCTAGGTAAGATTGAATTTTGATATTGAGAACCTTCAGATATGGAAGTATTTGAATAAAAAGAATTTTTTCGACCTAAATGATTTGGAAATGCAGGATTATGAGTTGAAATATTATTAATTAAATTATAATATCTTTTTTGTTCAATTTTAATTGACAGAATTATATTGGTTAATTTTATAGTTAAATCATTTGAATTAAAGTTAACAAAGGAATTTTTATTTAATAAAAGATAATTTTTTAAATTTATAATGAATTTTAATGATTTTTGATTCCCATTATTTGGAGTATTTGTTGAATTTGATGAAGAATCATCTTTATAATATTTTAAAAACTTTTTAAAAATCTTCTTTACAGCAATTTTTTGAATTAAGATAAATTTTGATAAATTTTTTAAAATTTGAGATATTTCAATAACTTGATAAAAGATTTCATCAATTTCGATTAAAATTGATCTTAATTTATTTTTATTACCAATATCGATTGAACTATTAACTAATTGATCGAAATAAACTTCAAAATAATTAAATTTTCGTAATAATTCACCATATTTGGTTTGAACAAACAAGTTGACATAATCAAAGTTATCGATAAATGATTGATGTAAAGGTTTTAAATTTGAAGTTCTTGATTGGGTTACTGTTCTAATTTGATATTTAAGATCATTATAATCGATGTTATAACATCTCCATTCGGGGATCGATAGATGTTGTAGATTATTACCAAACTTCATAAGTTGTGTGAAATGAGTAGGTTGGTTTTATTTGATGATGGCGTATGAGTAGTAGAGACACTCTATGTTTAATATGTTGTGCTTATAAGGAAGGAAGGGAGATGATGATAATTAAGGTTAGAATGGTGGGGGATGTGGTAGTTCTTAATGGAAACGTGGTTTCGTGTGGTGATGAGGGATGGTATAGTTCCGATGGATGTGTAAATTTAATCTAACTAATCTAACTAGATGATTTACCAAGTTTGAATGATTGATAGATGATTGGTTGAGTAACAATCTTCAACTATCAAGTCGTCAAACGCTATTGATTCCAGGGGTACTGCACTCAACAGAAAAAACCAAGCAAAATATCACCAACCAGATATGATAAGAGAATGGTTCAAGTTGGAAGAACACTTGGTAGTAGATCAGTCTTGCTGTTTCTGATCTTTCTATAGATGGATTGAAGGTTTAAAGGATAGATTCCTTCTAATATGGTTTGAATACAAAAATTATGACGGTCAAAATAAAAATCTCTAATCAAAGCAGCGGTTGTGGGTTCTAGTCCCTTCCTTTTATTTAAAATGATAAAAAATAAAAAATAATAAAAAAAAAAGAAATTCAAAAAAAAAAAAAAAAAAAAAAAACAAAATTTTTAATTTTGAAAAAGGTTTTTAATTTTGAAAAAGGTTAAAAAATAACTTTATATTTTAACCATCACACTCAGACTTGCCTAATTGGGACAGTAAGGTTTAAAGTATCACAAAACACTCATCAAACTACAAATCAATTTTTATCTCTAGTAACTAAGTGGATTTTGTGATATGGTGGCGTTATTAGATAGGCATCTGCTATCAGTATGACCATGTAGAACACAAATCGATAGCTAGGAGACACACATCCCACGTGTGGTATACTAAATATATATCCATAGATATATATTTTGTTCATATGAACATTTTGACGTATAATCTTCGGCAAACTAAATTTTATTTTATTTTATTTTATTACTGGTAACAGGTCCAATTTGGTTGTTTACCATTTATTGTTTATTGTTTCCATTTTCATCTCTATTATCTTTTAAATAATAATATCATGTTATTATTTAACATCTTCCTCCTAGTTAATATCTTCGTTTAATTATAAATTTACTCGTACTTTTGCTATCATAACCCTCATCAAAATATTTCCTTTCCTTTCGTTTCCTTTCCTTCATGTCTCGTAGATTAGATTAAGCAGTAATTACTCCCATATCTTCCCATCACTCTCTTAATCCTGCGCGAATCAAACCTTATTATCCTATCACCTTCAAAAGTTTATTTAACTTGTACTACCTAAATTTTGTAATTTTGCCTGGCCTTACCCCCTTGTTATGAATTTTTGAAAAGTGGAGGAATCTTTTTATATACTTTTTTTTTATTATTTCTATTTTGTGCATTTTTAATCTTGTTTTTTGCAAATCAAGTTTCATTGGGGAAGGAAGGAAGAGTAGGGATTGATGGATTTCTTTTTCAACTTAGTAACCATTTACTTTGTTTAAAGCTTAATGATGAAATATCATTTCCTCAAAACTTCCATGTCATAATTGGTCTATTCAATCATCGATGCCAATCATTCTTTATAGAAAATCACTCCATCCTCAATTCTACATTCTACATCCTATTTTAAGCATCCTTTTTATCTCATAATATAATATAATATGCAATGCATATATTTTTAGAACCTGTTTATAGGGCTATTGTTGACATTTCTTTTTATTTGCTTTGCTCTCTCCCTCCCTCCCTGTCTGTACTTATTTGCCAAACTTTTTTATCAATAACTCCTTTCAAATCACTATTTGTAATTTTGCATCTAAGATGGGCCCAGTTCATTCAAGGATCGACAACTATAGACCTTGTAAAAACAAAGTTTGGAATACCTATTTCATCTCAAACTCGAAAGCCAAGAGGGGTAACCCGAAACAAAGGAAAACCTACTGATGGCAGATTATAAATATATATAATTATCTAAAAACTCAAAACTCAAAAATGAAAATTAAAAATTATTTATTTAACCATTCTAAAAAAGTTAAGTCGATATACAAGCCTTATTAATGCTTATTTAAGTTATCTAATGGTATGGTATTAAAGTTATTGCAACAACCATAAGTAAAAATATAAATGGTAATAATAACTATTGAAAACTCTTGTGCGTTGTTACCTAAAATGGACAATGAATTCTATTTTATTATCTAACTTCCTTATATCCTTTCAAATTTTTTTTTCACTACAACAATGAAAAATATAATTAATTTATAGCTATGATACATATTACCTTACATGAAACATTACATGTACCATAGTACTATTGAAACAATAACTGTACAACTACAAATTTAAGTTTTGAGTTATTTCCCGTAGGTTCATCCCCCCCCTCTATATATGCTCCCCCAAATGAAGTTAATGCTCGTGTGCAAATTAAGCTTTTTCTTGTCCTGGGATGTTTCATTATAAAGTTAGGATGGAGCCTTACCTTACCTTATCATTTATATGCTAGCTTAATGAAATATAATAAAATGTTCATAACCAAGTAGATGTAATACAGAAGTTTTTTTCAACAGTCCACTTTACTTCACTTCACTTTTCTTAAACGATCTAGAATCACATCATCTTAATCATCATCATCATATCTGTTGCCCTTGCCCTTTGCCCTGCCCTGAGCCTAAAAAAAAAAGCGGAAAAAGGAGGGCAACAAAAATAAAAAAAGAAATTTTTAACGGCTTAACAGAAAAAAAAAAGCGGAAATTTTTTATTTTTTATTCAATTCGCCGTTTCTATAACTCCCATCCATGTCTATAATTAGGTCAACCATAATGATTACCTGCTCCCTTTCATCCTGTAGTTGGTGAATAAGTCATGATTATCGCCTGCAAGTCACAGCATATCATCTACAAAGGAATTTATTTTCTTTCTTTTGGATTAGGTCTCTAGGTTTTACGAATTATTAGGTACTTTTTCTTGTTTTGCATTTGAATTCTTTTGTTGCATAATACGAATGCTTTTTCTTTTCAAATGCCTTACAAATTTAGTATTGGATTATAAATAAGCCATGGTATGTAGTTACTTTGCTTCATCTTAGATGAGTAACAAGCTGCTGCAAAACTAGCAAAGTGGTATGCATTGATAGTTAACGTTGATGTATATCCGCCTATCTGTCTGAATAAATCAGCTCTAGTCTTCATACTCTATTTGACTAATATTATTAATGTACATAGATCGGAGATCACATCTAGATTAGATTAAGGCATTCTCTCTCTCACACCTTACTTGCTTATTTACTCCCTTCTATTGTACCATAACAGTAATTCTGACGATCAGTAACTACATATTCAGTTTTATTTTTTATGTATCTATTATTACATCTTGACTTAAAACAGGCTTTGAATCCATTTCATTTCCATAGTCTCTTAACCTGTTGAATTCATCTCATCTCGTCTCATATGACCTACTACAACTAGCTCTATTTCTTTCTGTTTTCGGAATTTTTAGTTTTCAGCCGTCAACCCAAAAAAAGAAAAAAAAAAGGAAAAACTTTTAACGAGATGGTTGATGTATGTAAGTGGTTTTATAAAATTTCATGTTGGTTAATTAAAACCGTTGTTATAATGCATCTCTTCGGATAATGTATCGTTTATGCCTTGATATTGATCTTGAATCTAGTTTAGTTTATCCGGTAAAGGAGAATTGCTATTTCCATTTCCTTCTTTCTTTCCTGCCTTAGTTTTATTCTGTATATTGCAAAAATAAGACTTTTCAAAAGCGACGATCGTTTTTTTTTTGATGTATTTTTTTACATTCCCTTGTGGTTGATGAAACAAGAGATTATTAAGTTACGGTGTAACGTTATCGTTTCATATTAGCTACGTTGTATACAAAGGTCTCCGTAACTAAAGGTTATGAATATTCAGTTCTGATATCACATTACGTTTTATTTTTTAAAGTCCTCCCCTCTCCTCCTTTTCTATAAACCTGTTTATAAAATCTAATCTACCGTCTAATTAATCTCGGTTTTTATTTCAGTTAGTAATTTTGGTTGCTTTGACAAAAACTGGGACGATTCCTCCTGTACCTACTGCAAACGATCTATGACCTAATGCCATTAATTGAGCTTTAATAGTTCCACTATGAGTGGTTAAACTAATGATATCATCATGTTTCACTTCATTAAATAAATATTGAAATTGTTTATAAATTCTTAAAGCATGTTCAGCCACAGATTCACGATAATCAGTCTTGAAATAAATATCTTCTTCTTCAAATCCAGGTTCAATGATAAACCCCTTTGGTTCATATTTCTTACTGATGATTGATTTGGGTGATCTTTTATCACAAGTATGAATACCAATGGTTTCTCTTAAATTTTCTTGTATTAAAGGTTTGATTTCTTCAATTTTAACAATATCATCCCATGTACCAATCAAAGTATCAATTGATCTACTTAATGGACTAGCAAAGAATCTAGTTGGTTTAATTAAATTTTCATCCTTTTTAGAATTATTTATTAATTGAGATTTCCAAAATTTATTATTTTCTTTAGCTTGATTTTGACCTAATTCAGTTAATAAAGGATCTGGACCCCAAACAATTTCTCCATCTCCATTCAATTTAGACCAATGGTCATCCCAATCTTCATTACCATATTTGGAATGACCTAAATTATGATATCCTTGACCGTGTCTTGATAAAAATAATAATTTATAAGTTTCATGAGATGATGCTTTTGAATTTAATTCTTTTAAATGATCAATGATTTCATCCCAACCTTTTAAAATCCCAAAATTATCTTTAAGATAATCAAAAGTAGTTTCATCAGTATTGGATAATGATTGTTTAAAAACATTTGGAACAACTTCAAATGTCCAATATTCATTCAAAGTAGAATTGAATTGGTCAACTCGTTGTTGATATTCAGTTCTATCATTGGAACTGATTTGAGAATCGAAAATATCTAATTTACTTGGATTAGTAGCCATTGTTACAGTAGTTGTACTTGTATAGTTGTAAGTATTCCTTGAAGATCAAAGTTGTGGATCATGTTACACGTTTTGATTACAATTTTGACAAATTTTTTTGTGTCTTATTTTGATTGCCAAAAATAGTTTGCGACATAAAACTGTCTTTTTTTTAAGTTTACCCGGAACTACATCTACCATAGCTCTACCATAGCTGATATATACCACTAGAAGAGTGGTCAAATCTGGTGAATAACAATATAATTTGACAGACTTATATGTCCATTACTGATTTGTTGTGGATAAGAATGAGTGGAATGAATTATTTTTGCAGTATTGATTGAATTGGTAGCTTGTGACGTAATCATTACTGAAAGACATCAACTTTGTCTTGGAACTTGCAGTAGAATATGAAAGAACTGTAATCACATCAACATCACGATTATATTAATGAATCAACGTCACTCATTGATTGATTGAAATAGTGATGTTTAAAAAGGTAAGGGTAAAACCATGTTGATTTTTGGCAGCACCAACACAAATAGAACCAAGTTTTTACTCATTTTTGGCTGTTCTTTTTTACAAAAAGTTATAACTAACTTCCCTTCTATATTCTCTTAACACATGATACTCCCTATGATGATTTCTTTCTTGATTGACTCACTAATTGATGGTCAACTGATGATACAATCACCATTTGCAACAGTTAAAGCAACGACAACAGAGAACTCTTTAATTGAGAAAAAAGTCGTGTGCTGATTCCCAAAAAATGTTTCGACCATTTCAGTTTTTTTTGCCCAAATCCCCAAATCAAAAAGAACAAGATTCGTTTAACTATATCATATCTATCTTTAGTACTTTCAATCATCATCCCTTTTATCACATACCTTCAAAGTGAGTAACTACAGAACATTGTTCATCATCAACTGACTTTATTCGTATATTCAATCTCAGATTAATTGCCGTGTTTTTAACCTACATAGTGGTGCTACAATTCACAGTTTAAACAAATACGATTAGACACCGAAATTCAATCAATTGACCTGGTGTTGTGAATTAATCCATCTTATCATCACTATTCAAGTCATTCTTTTATCGTCAAAATCTTTTATCTACGATTATCAACCTATTCCAAAAAATTTGCATTGAAAGTCATTCTTCAGGACATATAATCCTCCATTATTACATCCCTTCCATCACGTATCATATATAATCAAATCATATCTACAAAATGGATGACTTCAACGATGAATTGTTCCCATTGGCTTTGTTAATGGATGAATTAAAACATGACGATGTATCCAATAGAGTAGAAGCCATGCAAAAGTTAGATACTATTGCTATTGCTTTAGGACCAGAAAGAACTCTTAAAGAATTATTACCATTTTTAAATGATGTTGCTCAAGATGATGAAGAAGAAGTATTTGCAGTCTTAGCTTCCAAATTAGGGGATTTTATTCCTTTAATTGGAGGTCATCAACATTGTGAACCTTTAATTCAAATCTTAACTATATTGGCTTCAATGGAAGAACCTATTGTTAGAGATAAAGCTATCGATTCTTTAAATAAAATCAGTTTGGAATTAACTCCAGAAGAATTAAATAATATCTTCCTTCATTTAATTCAAAATTTAAGTCAAGGTAATTGGTTTTCTAAAAAAATTGCAAGTTGTGGTTTATATAAATCAGTTATTGTAAAAGTTAATGCTTCAATTAGAAAAGAATTATTAAATTTATATTTAAAATTGGTTTGTGATGAATATCCAATGGTTAGAAGATCTGCTGCTACTAATTTACCAACTTTAATTGATTTATTAACTGAATTTACCACTTTAACTCCAAATGATGCTAATAAAATGAATAATGATGATTGGGATATTATTTCAAAAATGTTTCAACATTTAATTAATGATGATCAAGATTCAGTTAAATTTTTATCCATTGATGTATTAATTTCTATATTAGAATTCTTTCAAAAATTACAAGATCAAAGATTTAATTCCGAATTTTTATCATCATCATTAAAATTAATTAAAGATGAAAGTTGGAGAGTCAGGTATGCTGCTGCTGAAAGATTCTCTAAAATCGCCAAGAATTTCGTTAGAAATGAAAGTGATTTATTTCAATTAATTGATCCTTTTATTAGTTTAATGAAAGATAATGAAGGTGAAGTTAGAAAAGCTATTGCCAAACAATTACCTTCATTTTGTGAATTATTAGTAAGTTATCCTTCAACAAAAGTTACTATCTTAAATAAAATTATTCCTGTGGTTAATGATTTATCTCAAGATTCTCAAGAAACTGTTAGAGCTTCATTAGCTTCAACTATAACTGATTTATCTCCAATTTTAGAAAAGCAAGCCACCATTGAAAAATTATTACCAATCTTTTTAATCATGTTAAAGGATGAATTCCCTGATGTTAGATTAAATATTATATCAAATTTATCAGTAGTTAATGAAACTATTGGTATTAATCTTTTATCAACCAATTTATTACCTGCTATAACTGAATTAGCTCAAGATCATAAATGGAGAGTTAGATTGGCTATTATTGAATATATTCCAAAATTAGCTAAACAATTAGGAGAACCATTTTTTAATGATGAATTATTATCACTTTGTATGTCATGGTTATGGGATCCAGTATTTGCTATTAGAGATGCTGCTGTTAATAATTCTAAAGAATTAACTATTATATTTGGATCTCAATGGGCTGAACATGAAATTATAAATCGTTTATTAAATAATGGTGGTAATATCACTAATAAAAAAGATTCAACCACTACAAATGCCACCACTAATGATGATGAACTCGATGAAAAAATTGATGATGATGATGATGATAATACTAATTCAAATAAAATTGATTATTCTAATTTTATTATTAGAATAACTTGTTTATTCACAATTACAAGATTAATTCCTGTCATTGATTATCCAATAATTACCAAGAAAATTTTACCATTTATTAATAATTTAATTGTTGATTCTGTACCAAATATAAGATTTAACGTTGCTAAATCATATTTAATCATTGGAGAAACTTTAATTAAGAATAAAAGAAAATTCAATTTAAGTGATGAAGAATTGAACAAAATTATTAATACTGAAATCTTGGTTAATTTAGAAAAATTACAAAATGATGAAGATGTGGATGTGAGATACTTTTCCAGTAAAAGTATTCAAGGAATCAAAGATTTAGTCAATTAATCATCATTATCATTCTCAGTTCCTACCATTCTTCCTTTCTTCATTTAATGAAAACATTCTCTCTCTCATTTATTATTATTATTACTATTACTATTATCTTCATTTCATTTTAAAGGTTATATACACATAAATGTAAAACTTTACTTGCACAATTATTATTAGTATACTGATGTTATAACATTACGGTTATTTGCTATTGTTCCTTTTTTTTATTTGTTAGCTTTTTCATTTGTTGTTGTTTTACTCATTTCCTTTTTATCCTTCTTTCTTTCTTTTTATATTATATATTATAATTTAATTAATGACTTATTTAAAGAATTTTAACTTTGTACATATCCTATCTATCATAACCTTCATTAATAGTCTGCCAACTATATCTTAAATTTGTTGTTGTTGTTGTGATTTCTTTTCTTGTTTCTTCTTTTCTAATTTTTCAAAATCAAAATCAAATGAAGCTCCACATCCACAAGCAGTAGAAGTATAAGGAGAATCAACAATCTTAAACTGACTACCGATTAATTCTTTCGTATAATCAAGTTTAGAATCTTGTAAGATTTCCAATGAACTTTGATCTAATAAAATTTGTGCAATTTCATCTTTATCAACTTCATCAAATCGTTTAAATACCAATATATCATCGTCATCAATATCATCATCTTGTTTAATTTCTTCTAATTCCTTGTTTAAATCAGTTAATTTCAAATTATATTGGAATCCATGACATCCACCACTTTCAACACTGATTTTCAATATTGAATTAGGATTATTATCACTTTGAGCAATATGATTTAATTTCTTACTAGCTCTTTTCGTTATAGCAATCGATAAATCAGTCTTACCATAAATCAATTTGGTTCTTCTGAAATCATCAATATCCTCTTGAGGAACCTCTTGCAGTTGTACGTTCTTCAATGGTATAGGATCTTTAGGTAATGCAAATGCTGATGCCTTTAATGATTTGGTTGTATCACTACGAGATGAAGTTGTAGTAATTGATGTTGAGTAATTGTTATGGCGTATAACTAACGGCACCAAACTTTGACATCTTTGAACAGACAGTATACTATCTGACCTTATTATAGCTCTACCCAATGGTGTTATATACCTTACGGAACGAATCATCTCTTTGACCTTTCCTTAAATCTTGTCAAATCCCGATTACAAATAACTTAATTTTACTGGTCTTTAAAATTGATCCCTCTCAAAAATTTAAAAAATTGTTATGGTGTGCTATATGCAGGTCGCAGTTTATACTTCTACCACCAATGATGAATTACAACAACAATAACAACGACGACAACAACGATCTGCACCTTACATCCTACTATAAATGTAGTAACTAACGATTATACGGTACAAATAGACTGTTTATTTTTGTAGTTTTTGTTATATAATATATATGTAAAGATTGTTTTAATTTTTCATATGTAAAGAGGATACATTCCACTTTTCCAATGACTAAAATGATAAAAGAAATGGGAGATTAAGTAAGGTAGGGTATGTATGTATATATGACTTGATTTACTTATATCTATCATTTGAAATTCTCCAAGATTCAAGGATATCATAATGAGCCCAATCTTCCTTTGGACCTTCCATACCTAATGGAATATATCTGAAATACCAGAATGTACCGGCAACAATAATATAAAAGATTAAGAATAATACAGCACGAATGATTTTAGCTTTGGCAGATGCATTAGCTAAAGCTAATGGAGCCGTGAAATATTCAATTTCATAACAAAGAACAATCATGGCAAAATAAAGAGCTGGAACATAATGATGAACATATGTAACTCTACCCATAATTACAAATGGCATGAAATGTAATCCCCATCCAAACATTGGATAAATACCTCCCATTAAGAATAATCTTAGTTTATTTGGTTGTTCTGTTGGAAAATCAACAATTTGTCTTTGCCATCTAATCAAATGATAGACAGTAAGGAAAGCAAATACTATTACACCAACAGTTGATGGCCAAGTAGTAGCTGGAGAACCAACTAAGAAATATTTAACTTTATTGGTAGACCAAGAACATAATCTAATACCAACATTTAAAGTTGGCCATTGCCACCATTTAGAAGCTAAATCATCTTGTTTATCAGGATCTGGAACTAAAGCATTATTTGTAGCCATCATAGCTAAATTTAATTGAATAAAATCTCTTAAAAATTTAGTCTTTGGTAATTTAAAATCAGGTTGTTCAGGTAAAATTTCATTACGATTATTTTCAATATTCCACCAAGTTCTTTTATCTTTTTTAAATGGATTTTTATAACAAACAACTTCACCTTGTCTAAAACCCCAATGAGGTAATGAACTACCACTGGCACCTAAATAACAATTCATAACTTGATTTTTTAATCTAAATGAAGTAGTAATTGGATGAAGTCTTAATTTATCTTCTGAAGAATGTTGTTCCATAACTTCAATAATCCAATTATCTTTAGCATCACCAATAGTTTGATTACCATAACATGCAACTTCATATTCTGATTTAGAAACAGGAGCTGAAACATCATGAGTATGTAAATTTCTACCGGTTTGAGGATGCATGATTCTAACCGTCATACCATCAAGAACATATTCAACACTAGTATTATTATTAGCAGTATCATAATAAGGTTGACCTCTTGCTCTTTGGAAAATCCAATTATTATTGGAATCTTTATGAGAATAAGTGGTAACTTGTTGTTGTTTTGAACCTTCTGGGAAAGTTTGAACATGAGAATGTAAAAGACCACCAGTTAAACCTTGATTTTTTAAAGTCATAACAGAATGAACAATGGAAACTTCACGAGGACCACCACCAACATCTGAACCTAATAAATTAGCTTGAAATAAGGTGGACATATTTGCATCACCAGTACCTGTTCTATATAATAAATCAAAATGAACTTTAAAACTTAATAAGAACACTAAAAATGGAACAATGATTAAACCAATAATTCTAGCAATCCAATGTTGAATGTAGCGAATCCAACCAATTGATCTATCGCCTAATTTATTCCAAAGATCAGTAACAGTATAAATACCCACTAAAGTAGTAACGAATAAACCTACCATTTTAACGGAACAAGTACAACCAATGGAGAAACCAGTTAATAATAACCATTTCCACCATTTTCTGGAAAATTCTTGCTTTTTATTATTAAAATTATTAAATCTTGAAAATGTAAAAACAGTAGCAACTGTAAAAAATAATAACATAGAATCTAAAAGGATAAATTTACCTAAAGTAACATAAGTAAATTCAAGAGTTACCATTAAAGTAAATAACCAAGTAGTGGCAATTGAAAATCCAATTTCTTTCATAGTAAAATAAGCTAATGGAACACATAAAGCTGAAAAAGTAGCATTAAAGATTCTCATTTTAGTATAATCAATATAATCAGGATAAGTTTCACCAGAAGGGAAATCCCAACTACCATTATAACCAGCTAAATAACCGGATAAACCAATTAACATTTTACCTAAAGGAGGATGAACATCATGATAGAATTCATGTCTTAAATAATAAGAACCAAACTTACCAAAATGAGCTTCATCCCATACCACCCCATTATTAATTCCAATTCTGTATAATCTAACAAAGAACGATAAAGCGGTGAATAAAATAGGAGCTAAGATTGATTCTAATTTCTTTAATGAATCAACGTATTCTTTAGCATCATCATATTGAGTTCTCTTAGAGAGTTCTTCTTTATCAGCTGAACCATTCACTTCTTCTTTATCTTCTATTTCTTCATCTTCTTCAATATGTTTTTCATGTTTAGGATGTCTTTCACGAAGAGAATCCTTCTCTCCCGTGCTTACACCAGACGACGAAGACATGATGATCTATGTTCTGAAAGCAAAGGGATAATATGTCTGAATCTGCAGATAGCCAATTGAGATGAATTACACTAGTCTAGCCAAGTCAACCTAAAGGAAAGAATATATCAAACAATTGTTGAAATTTGGCTGCCTTTTTTTTAATTCTGTGTGGGTGTCAATAATGGGAGTGGTACACACAAAAAAGTTTGAGTATACGTGTTTTTTTTTCTTTTACTTTTTGAAATTTCCACGCGCCAAAGTCCAAATTAAGAAACAGATCATTTTTCAATTTTGAGAGAAGAAGAAGAGGAAGAGGAATGGTGTAATTAAGAAGGAAGAGAATGATTCATTGATCAATTGTTAATGTAATTTAAGTTGAAAGAATAATTAAATAGTTTAGATCGATTCAGAATTATCATGCGAATACACTCATATGTTTAAATCTTACATAACTCTAATTTCAACTAGACTAATCAAGATAGACTTATTAGCGAATATCTTCCATCTATGCAATTACAGGTAATTATAATTATAGTTAAAAATATATCAATATATTTATCATTTTTGAAGCTAAAAAGTTATATAAATTATATCAAAACAATTATATATATATAAAAATAATCTGGAACTTAAACCAATCAATCAACTCATTATAAGCAATTGATTAATGATAAATTAAATTAATCACTAATCTTGTTTATAACTTTGTGGATAGTTAAGCAGAAACTTTAGCAACGTGTTCTAATAAATCAACAACTCTGGTGGAGTAACCAAATTCATTATCGTACCAAGAGATTAATTTAACAAAGGTTGGAGATAATAAAATACCAGCTTTTTGATCAAAGATTGAAGAGTATGATGAACCTAAGAAATCGGTAGAGACAACAGCATCTTCAGTGTAACCTAATACACCTTTAAGAGCACCTTGAGATTCAGCTTTAATGGCAGCAGAGATTTCTTCATAAGTGGCTGGTTTCTTTAATCTAACAGTTAAATCAACAACGGAAACATCAACGGTTGGAACTCTTAAAGACATACCGGTTAATTTACCATTTAATTCTGGAATAACCTTACCAACGGCTTTAGCAGCACCAGTGGAAGATGGAATAATGTTACCAGAAGCAGTTCTACCACCTCTCCAATCTTTATGGGATGGACCATCAACAGTTTTTTGAGTGGCAGTAATGGAATGAACAGTGGTCATTAAACCTTCTTCAATACCAAATTTATCATTAATAACTTTAGCTAATGGAGCTAAACAATTGGTAGTACAAGAAGCATTTGAAATAATGTTTAAATCTGAAGTATATTTATCAGAGTTAACACCAACAACAAACATTGGAGCATCAGAAGATGGAGCAGTGATAATAACTTTTTTAGCACCACCAGTAATATGTTTTTGAGCACCTTCTAAGGTGGTGAAAACACCGGTTGATTCAATAACGTAATCAACACCAGCTTTACCCCATGGAATGGAAGCTGGATCTCTTTCTTGGAAAACTTTAATGGCGTGACCATCAATAACTAAAGAATCACCTTCAGAGGTAACTTCACCATCATATCTACCATGAGTAGAATCATATTTGAACATATAAGCAGCATAATCTGGAGCAATGAATGGATCATTGACAGCAACAACTGTAATATCTTTTCTTGCTAAAGCAATTCTAAGGACTAAACGACCAATACGACCGAAACCGTTAATACCAACTGTGATAGCCATTGTATAATATGTATATGTTTTTTAATTTAAATTAAATTGAAATCAATTGATTAAAACTAAAAGAAAATAGTAAAACATAAAAATTATAAAAAATTGGATGAATTGGAAATTTGAGGGTTAATTTATATGGAAAAAGGAGGAAATTTCGTTGGTTCGTTCAATTTGGGAATAAAATTGGGCTTTGTTCAGTTTTAGAGGTAGGGAGGTTGGCAATGGGAGGGAGGGAGGGGGGGTTACTAATGTCGTGGTGGTGATGTTGCGCTATATAGTTTTAGAATTATACAATGTCGTGCATCCATCATCATACAATTTTTTTCAATAGTGAGTTGTGTGCAGGACATGGTTGTATATGAGTGACAGGAGGAAGAACAAATAGCAGCAGAGGCCCCCGGGGCATAGTTATCCACTGATTAATTAGTAGTGTAAAACCTTAACTTAACCGATCAACGAATTAGTATCAATAAACACTAGTATATTGATTCAAACTCCATTAATTAATGATTCATAGATCAGGTAAACTTCTAATTATTGAATGAATGACATGTTCTATATCGATTACAAATTCATCTCTCTAACTAAAGGCCCAAACCAGACCAACAGAAAAAAAAAAATAACTCATCTGATGACACACTGATTTGGACAAACGGATGCAACACCACTAACAACACAACAGTATTAACTTACTTGGTGAACTGATTTCATAGTAATCAACATATGTACAACGCCGTTCATTTCTCTCTATAATGTTCTATTTTACTATGACTTAATCAATTTCATCTATTTAATTGATCTCGTTTAATGGTCACCACCATCATTCCCCTCCTTTCTAAATTAGCAGCTAAAATTAATTAACTATCATAAATTTCTATTTGATTTCTAATCAATATAAGAGTTAATCACTCATCTATTTCAATCCCCGTTATAACCTATACTTACTTACTTACTTACTTATCATAGATTGATTAACAGTACTTACTATTCATTCAACAATCGTCATCATACTCTATAATTAACCGATTATGAGTATCATACAATGATAAAATTAAACTGTGCGACATTTTTGCTAATTTTTTCTTAACCATTTCAGTTTTTGTTACCCATGAGGTGTAGTGGTATGGGTCATTTAATCGCATGGATGAAGTCCGAGGCCGACGATCACGTGCAGTCGTCCAACTAAATCATCTCGTCATAATTCAATCAAGTTAATTAAATAGTTATATAATGTAATACCATATCTATATGTTGTTGCAAACTATATATTAATTACAATTGATGGCAAAAAATAATAATTATTAAACAAATTAGTTCCATTGTGCAGTTTATAACGAGACAGCAAAAGCTAACTCTAACTTAAACCATATCTCCCCAGCCTTATGACCGTATTTTTCATATGTTTACAGTTTAACTTTTTCACTTTTACAGATTAGTTTCATTATTTTTACACTTTATAATTCCAATTTTTACAGGTTATTATGGACCTATTTATTGAACCTCGGAGCGTGCAGGAAATTGATAAAAAACCCTGGAGATTTGTTCCTGTATATTATAATTGGGTTTAGCCTTTCATTTAATGAATTTCGGGATATAAGCTCACATTTGAAACTAAATCTACAAAGATACTGTTGTATTCCTAATTGGACCGGGTATGGTACTTCCTTACGGACTTATATTACCATGGATTGATTCTCCATTTTGTGGGGTTGGGTTTAGCTTTTAACTTTTGTCTTAAATCGTGGTAGGTCCGAGTCTTGGATTGTCTGACTCCCGAGTCTGGGGTTCAAATTGAAATCGCCTGTTATACGTAATATATGAGTTATCTAAAGACAAGGAAATACAACCAGAGGTTTGGAAATTTCATATTGTTTCGGAAAAGAGTATTTCAATGTGAGCTATCGTATCAATTGGATTATTTAATTGCTGTCTGGTCTAGATCTAACAATATTTTTCAATTACCAGCACTATTTCTTCTCTTTCTCTGGTTTCTCTCCCCGCTGTAACATTAACATTTCCTAAATCTACAACCCTTAATATATTTGAAATACCATAACCAATGATAAGTTTAGACTACAAAGGCTAAACACAATGAAATGTCCTAATTAGTTTTATATATTTCCTAATTAGACTTATAGTTTCAGTCTAAACATGTCTTTTTTCTTCCATAAGAAACATAGCACCATAATAAAATGTAACAAGTATTTATTATTATTATTATTATCTTACGTAATCGCTTACATAATTGGCATTATCTTATTATTATTACGAAGAAGAAGATTAAATTTATCAAATATCAACTAACATTATCTTCATTATCATTAAAAGTTTCCATTATTTCTAATGTCATTAAGATTAATTAAATTGAATTCGGAAAATCATATTCCATCAATTGGTCTAGGTACGTGGGATTTACCTCGGAATCAAACCAGTCATATCGTCTATGAAGCATGTAAAGTTGGATATCGCCATTTTGATACTGCTGTATTATATGGAAATGAACGAGAAGTAAGTGATGGGATTATTCAATTTTTAAACGATCATCCTGATGTTTCAAGAGAGGAATTCTTTTATACTACTAAACTTTGGAATAATCAAGTTGGTTCTAATAGTTTGAAATATATTGAAGAGATGATTACTTCTAAAATTGGGGAATTGAAATATATCGATCTTTTATTAATTCATTCTCCATTACCTGGTAAAGTCAATCGATTAAATTGTTATGAACAAATGCAAATTGCCAAAGATAAAGGATGGGTTAAGAATATTGGTGTATCAAATTATGGTAAACATCATATTGAAGAATTATTAACCTGGTCAAAATTAAAATATAAACCATGTGTGAATCAAATTGAAATAAGTCCATGGTGCATGAGAACTGAATTAGCAACTTGGTGTTTAGATCAAAATATTAAAGTAGAAGCGTATGCACCTTTGACTCATGGATATAAGTTACATGAAGATCCAACTTTACAATCCTTAAGTGTTAAGTATGGGAAGAGTCCAGCTCAATTGTTGATTAAATGGTCATTAAAGAAAGGATATATTCCATTACCTAAAACCAAAACCATTTCAAGATTAAGTGAGAATTTAGATATTAATTCATTTGATATTGAAGATGATGATATAGTAAAAATTGATCATCCTGATGCTTATGAACCAACGGATTGGGAATGTACTGATGCTCCTTAAAATAAAACCCTTTGTACATATATAACATTCTATACTGAATAAAATAATGATTTAAAGTTTGCAATCACATCATATTTATTTGTGGTAAAGTCCATTTTGATTTATATTTTTTCGCCGATTATTTTAACCACCTTCAATTCAACTGTTTAAATAAAGCATTGACTGAATATACTCAGCCCAGTAAATGTTAGATAAACTATATCAATATCAGCCCAGTTTTAGAGTATCCCAGTCAATGGTTCACACTCATAGAAACTTAATTATACGGATCGGAATACGATTTATTCACCCCCTTTTACAATTGATTCGGACGGAAGTTATTCATGAACTAATTTGATGTTCCATATTCCATCCTTCAAAATACATACACAAACACTTAATGTAGTTATAAAGGGTGAAGGATGGATCAAATATATATAAATTGTAATTATATACCGAAGAAATATCGCCGTCTTTAAAGTTTAAACGCACGGAGATAAGTATTTAAGGTGTGGATCAATAAAAGCCATCGGAAAACACTAACACTATACCACCGTTATTATCCATAGCCTTAGCCTTATTTAGTTTTATGAATTTAGATTAATGGTTAAATAATAATTGAAGGATTACAATAACAAAGGGGGTAAAATGTGCATAAAAATTAAAGTCGGTTAAAAATATGATCATTTTATGAATTAAGATAAAATGGTGGAGAAGTAAAAACTGGGAAGAATCAGAATCAGAAGTTAAGGTTGGATGATCAGTAAGAGAGGTAGAAATCTAGCAGTGATTAACTTTGAACTTAGTGAGTATATATGATATGATGATTATAATGTATGCCATGAAAAAAAGATGTAATCCTTTATGAGTAGAATTGATCGGTATAAGTAAATTTCTGAATAAAATGTAAATGGAGGGGATACACATGTTAGAAGTCCGGTCTAGCTTATTCTTACTAGTTACATTTATGGTATATTTCTCCAGTCGATGAGACATGACATGACATACATGCTTCGATTATTAATGATCTAGGTGGCTTTAGTGTATTGTTTACATTCGGTGAAAACCAATTTTTTTCATTACTAATTAAATTTGAATCCCAATGAAAAATTAAGATGTAAGTCTACTGTATGTATCAAGATGTAATTGGAAGTAGATAATCACCATAATCTTATGATCCAAATATTCAAATCAGGTTAAAGCCATTTCATGAATGTTTATTTGTTCATGGAGATGTCCACCGAATATGAACGAAAGGTGATAATTTTTGCAATATACTTTATTTTTCACTATTCCATATGATTTTTATTTTTTTTAATTTTTTTTGTTTACCTTTTTTTTTTTTTTAAATGTATCACCGATTTTTTATTTTCGGCCGATTTCCTGAAGTAAGAGGTAAAATGAGAGAAAGACCTGTTTTAAACAGGAACAGCACAGAAAAAATAAAAGTGAGAGAGAATTATATCACGCACCTCTTAAAAATCAGGATATATATAACGCAAACTAAAAATGAAATTGTCATTAATTCTATCACTATCCGACCGATCGAACATTGATGATTAAAGATAAGACAAGTAGATATTCATAATGGCTCATTAAATGTGATGAATGTTAAGATCATAAATCAGATGTATTGTAGAAACTTTAACTTAAACAGAGAAGAGTATGAATGTCAGAGTAACTTTCAACTGACACGAAAGGCTGAAGTAAACAGAGAGAAAAAAAGAACGATCAGAAGAGAAAGTATTTAGCGGCTACAATTGCTACTACTGCTAAGTTTAAAAATTACCTCAACGGTTTTTTTAATCTGTCAATATAGTAATAGTTTTAGATTTTTACTGTATAACTACTATTATTATTCTCTCAAATATTTTAAAACATGGGTGATAATTAACAGCAATAATGGTAAATCTTTCTTGGGAAAAGTGAGTGATTACTTCAAACCACACCCCCTATGCATGCCAAGTACTTCATAGTCTCACATTCTCTAATTCCATTTCTGAATGGGTTATTACCTCATACGTAATCCTATAGTAGACTTGGGTCGTATACGACTCTGGAAGAAGGTACATAACAATAAATGTTTTTATCAACAGATATTTGAGAGGAGGGGCGGCACATCAAAAAAAAATAATATGAAGAGAATCTCTAGAAAATCGATATAATCAGCCATTTACAAAAGTCAAATGAAAGGCTAGATTTAAACTGTAAGTTTTGTTGAAACATTAATCCAGGTGCTGCCAAAATAGAAACTTCATAAACACAAAGGCTGAACAATTGTCTTGGTTTATTTCTGTAATTGGTATCAAATGTAGTTTTAAAGTTGGATTTTATCGGTAATAACCAATTTTTCGTTCATGTTAATTACTTTGTTTGTTTGTTTGTTTCTATTGTGGTTCTTCTTGGTATATTCTTATTTAGACTATTAAATTACATTGAATAAACTAGATGGGTTATATCAAAATATCTAATTGATTAATAACTAATTACTAACTAATCGATACTCAGTGGTGTCACCAAATCTCACTTTATTAATTTATGACAAATCTCATTATTTTTCTTTGCGGCTGCTGCTGATACTGCTACTTCTGCATCTGCAGCTGGTATAGGTGCCACATTAGTCCCGGACTTTTGTTCGTTCTCCGTTCTCCCCCACCATTCGATTCCAGTCACAAACCTGAACCCATGTTGTTTACTTTATTTCATATCAACACTATCATCATCATGAGTTAAAGCATCCTCCACCATTCCTCCAATTTTAATTGTTCACTATTTTCAAAGAATTTAATATTTTTCTCGCATATAACTCAAGAAAAAAGAAATTTCTACCGCTATCCGTTATTGTCACCAATTTCTCATTTCTTCTCGCCGGAATTTTATGTCACCAAAAAAAAACATGTTTTTATTTTTTTTTTGATTGCAAAATATTATTTCTGTCATAACTACAGCGTACTGCATGTAAGTTGTGGTTAAACGACTGAAATCAAACCAAAAGAAAAACACCCCCCTTTCAACTTGGATAATGTAGACCTTCAAGACATATACTTTATATTAACCATTATTACTTATATGTTGTAGGATGGAATCGTAATAAGTAAGTTCTTTATTTCTAACTCCTCCCTGTCGAAGTTATGTCATGAAGTATCCAGTTAAACTATTCCTTATCAGATAAATCTTACGAGTTTTATGTATGGTTTAAAATAAATAAATAGACATATATTTTTAAACTAGTAAGAGGAACTAAATCAATAAGTTACACATCAAAAGCTCCAATATCTCTAATTGTGAATGAACGAATTACACTTATTTAACAAAAACCTTTAATATTAAAAATAGAAAATAGAAAAACCGTAAAAATTAAATAAATTAAAACCATAAGAAATACTAACTCGAAATCCATACGAGACAAGGAGGGGGGTGAAAAGGAAAGAAGTAGGATATATACAACGTAAACTAACAAATAAAAACAATAAAAGCAAAAACACTAGCACTAAATCGTTGTAGACGGATAAATAAAATAAAATAAAATAAATAAATAAATAACTGATGTAATAATTCAAAGGTTGTGTGAATTATAATTTTATATGAGCGATGAATAAATATACTGAACAAAGGGATGTTAGAAAGTAATGGAATTGAACTAATTTGTAGAATGCTCTTGACCATTATCATTAACTATCAAATCTATCGATTGGAAATTATTAAATGCAAAAATGGAAGGTTCTTCATAAATTTGTTGTTGATGAGAAGTTGAATGGTATCCATTCAATTGTTGAACTTGTTGTTGTTGAGCCTGTTGTTGATTAATAAAATCATTAAAAAATAAAGATGTATTGGAATTTTCATTGCTTTGAGCTGGTATAATAGTATTATCATATTGGTTCATTACACCAGCTGCTTGCTTAAAATTACCTCCATTTACACTGGAAGCATTATTAAAATCAAATAATGAATTTAAACTTGTAGCAGTAGTACTTGGATTTGAAAAATTTTGTAAATGGAATTCATTTCCATTATTATTTATAAAATTATTTATCTTTTGATTACTTGAAGATGTTGATGATGTTGAACCATTAGCATTTCCATTATGATAAGGTTTATGAACATGACCACTATTTCTTAATTTTTGATGATGACCAGGAGAAAACGGTCTATTGATAGAACTAGATGATGATCTTCTATTTAAAGGAGCAATCCCTTGTTGTGATTGTTGTTGATGACCATTTGAAATTGATGTAGGAGGAGAATTTGTAATGGCAGAAATATCTTCAGTGGATATCATTGAACTATCTTTAGTTAATAAAGGTAATGAAGAGGTTGAAGTAGCATTACCAGGAGATGAAAATAAAGTAGCCTTTGCAAACGATGATGAATTATTATTACTATTATCGAAACTTTGACCATATTGAGATTGTGGTGATGGTCTTTTATGATATGATTTATGGGAATTTTTTCTTGAAGATATAGGAGATACCATAGATTCATTATCTACTTCATTGGGAATACCAGAATGACTATGATGATGTTGATGATGATGATGATGATTACTATTGTTATTACCTATTTGTGATGGATGATGGACTTGAATTTGAGAATTCTGTGAGAAACCTCCAAGGGAAAAATCACGAAGATTTAATTGATCAGTTATTGAAGTTTGAGAATTTTGAGGAGAGGTAGTAACTTTAGAAGAAATATCATCATATTCATCATCTTCATCTATAAAAGCATCTTCTTCATCTTCAAATTCATCATCGTCGTGGAATAAAAAATTCTTACTGTTGGTATTTTTTTCTTGCTTGACTTTTTTATTCACTGGTTCGCCTAAATTTGAAATTTGGTGATTTTTTGAATCGTGGGAAGAACCAAGGATAGGTCTATTATTATTAACCGGATTAAAATCGGATGAAGATAAATTTGATAATTTATGATTTTCAAATAATTGACTTGATTTAATTAAATTTTTTGAAGTTAAATTAGCAGCAATTAAACTTCCTTCTTCCCACTCAGTAGGCAAATTATTTAATAAACCTTGATTATTAATAAGAAATGTAACCACTCTATTAATTGGAATGATAGAATCAGTTGATTTTGAATCTAAATCAGTATGATTATGTTCTTCCTTAATATCAACTTCATCATTTTCATCAGTATCAAAGTCATCATCATTATCATTATTATTTTCATCATGTTCATTATCTTCATCATCATATTGATCAATCAAATCAGATAAGATCTTTACATGAGGTTTCAGTATTTCAATCAATTTTTCTAAAGATTTAGTCAAGATGTCTAATCTTGTTTCTAATAATTCGACATAACCTTGAGGATGATTCTTTTCTCTTAATTTTTTCTTTTCAGTGAACACACAAATTTTATTATCAATTAAACATCGATTACATGGTTTCTTACCATCACATTTAGTTTTCTTTATTCTACATGAATCACAAGCTTTTCCAACTCTCTTCTTTTTAATATGATTGGCATGATTATGATTATGGTTATGATGAGAATCGGTATCATCCGATGGAGAATTCGAATTTGCCATGATAGTAGTAGTTGTTGTTGTTGTTGTTTTAATTGTCTCTCTAGTGGTGAATATTTCGCAACAGGGAGGGCAAAAAAAAATTATTAGTGGTTGTGAGAACTATTATAGTTTTATAAGTAATGATGATATAGTAGTTTAAAGATGACTTGATGAACTACTATTAATAAATATAAGTCTAATATACTCGTGCAACAAGTAATAGAAATACGTCAAGTAGATGTTGTAATAATTTCTAAAGTACAGCCCGATAGATTTCAGTAGACGGAATAGGCACAGTTCAGCTAACGGAGCTAAAAAAAAAAAATTGAATTTTTAGTTTATGCGTTCTGATTGACGTTACCCGTTAAACAAAAAAAATTATGAATATTATTATTAATAAGTGAGTTGATAATTAACACACAATTAGTGATAATATGTAGGGAGTGAGGTAGGTGGTGTTAGCGGATATATGACTCAGTTTAAGATGATGGATTAAATAATAATAGATGGTTAACTGTGAATTGTGAATTGTGATGACATCAACGGGTTGGGGAAAGATGTGATGTGTGTTTGCAATATAATATAACGGGGTATGATTGGGTGGTGAAAGGGATGAACTTTTGATAGAATGGGAATATATATGAATATCTAATGTGGTGATAGTGAGTGGTTAGAGTGTCACTAGTTAGGTTGGATGGATGGTTGGTAGGATATTCTTCTACTTTGTGAATACTAGTATGATGTAATTGATACTAATAGTAGAAAGAATGGTAATAATGGTTTTTTGTTATAGATATATATAAGTGTACAATAATAATAATATTACTAATAACTTGATATCACTATTTTTAGTTATATATAAATTGAAGAATTGAAAATATATAAAAAGTTGCCAGCAATGATAAAAATAATTCAAATGATACTTTATGGATTTATTTATATTAAATTTTGATATAACAGGAAGTTCTAGATTATAAAGAGACAGTCAGACAGGAACAAAAAATATATATAATACACACACAATTACCGTACTACTCCAAAAAAAAAAAAAACCGATTAAATTAACGTAAATTTTAATTATAAAAAAGAAACAATCCTACAAAAGTTAAAATTTAAAATGAAAATGTGCATGTTAACAATTAGTTTATTTGATCATTATTATTTACTGGTATTATTAATAATAAAAGTAACGTATAGCTAACTGCTTTGAGCTAAATGGTTGTGTTCTTCGTTAGTTGTCCCTCTTTCTCTATGTTCGGCATGCTCATTATTGTTAAATTTACTAAACCAAAAAAAAAAAAAAAAAGAATTCTTTTTTTTTTTCCTCATTTATTAAAAGCCGATCTTCCGATTCTTTTCTTTTTTTTTTTGGTGGAGGGAGGGACTAGGATTTAAAATCACATTAAATTTTTATATCCGAAACCGATGAAAAAAAAAATAATAAAAAAAAATAAAAAAAATAAAAAAATAAAAAATCCTGATTATGAAGGTGTCTGGTTTTCAAATGGTCTCAAATCTTTTTTCCCTCCATCTGTTAGTGAGAGCTCAGAGCTCACTCACTGAAAAATAATCAGAAAATCAGTCATTCATAATTACTGATAATAATGAGTTATTAATTATATTTGATAGATTAGATGATAATATTTATCATATATCATCATCGATTAGATGATGGTGTTGCTATAATATTAGTTCATTGCTGAACTATCAATTTTTCATTCATTACTAATATTTAAGCTTTTTTTTTTTTCTAAAATAATATTCAAACCATCTAATCATTATACTTGTTATCATTGATATTATTTTGCTTCTTCTACAGATTATTATTATTGACTTGATTGTTTATGTTTATTTTTATTCATAACTTTTACATTCCTTTCACGTAAATGTATTTGCCGTTACTGAAAGATGGGGGAACAAAAAGGGGGGGTGTAACTGAAAGAAAAAAAAAAATATCAACAAAGAAGAAGAAAATAAATACACTAGTTAACTACTTTTGAACTAATTCGTTCTACACTATAAAATTTCGTTAACTATAGTTTGACTTATGCCACACCCTTTTTTATTTTTATGGTTTCTCCATCTTGTTGCCATTGTTCTCTTTTCTAAAGCAGCCAGATATTTTTCTTTTCTTTTTTATTTTATTTTATTTTGCTCTTTGTCTTTTGGTTCTCACTCTTATTCTTTCTAGTTTTTGAGATTTTTTTTGCAGTGGTCTGCTTTATAGTATGGTTCCACTTAGTTTAATTGCAACATTAGTTTAGTATAGTTTACCAATGGTTTTGAATTCTTGTTTAAGTGAAATTCATTCCCATTTTGATTATAACCACCCTATTTCATGTACTCACCTTACTATGCCTACCTCTACTTCATCTAGAAAAAGACAATATAAACAGCAATGAATATGATAACATGAAAATGAAATAAAAAAGCTTGTGTAATTCCGTATTGATGAACGGAGGACGGAAGTCACAACCCCAGGTGAATTATCGATTCCATTTGTTTACCATATGTAGAACAATTTATTTTTTACACAATGGAAATTTATTTTTATATCATCATTTACTACTTCTATTATCATTCAACCTTAGCGTCTAATCCTATTAAAGAAATAATTTCCTGTAGACTGAACTAATGAAGTTTTATAAAAGTTTTTGGTTTATCTTTTCGTATATTACATTTATTTTTTTTCATTTTTTTATTTTTTTCTGTTTGCGCCAACTAACCTCTCCTCATCTCCTAGTTATATAATTAAAGGGAAAAAATGTAAATTGTCCCGCTATCGATTATAAATGATAATGGAACGTATTTTCATTTTCAGGCACTGATAAAGTGATATTTTTATATTTTATCTCGATAATCCCATTTAACTTACCATTACTTCATTTTACTAATTTTTATCTAACAATTATTAGTTTGTGTAGCTATTATTTTCGTTGCTACGATCGGTTTTTTTTTTTTAATAGTTCTTATTGGACACACGGCTGACAGTCATGCAAAGATTGCCATGGGATATTCACCATAATTCAATGTTTAACTAGTGCATTTTTCTACACTGTTTCAATATCTTCTTCTTTTTAGAATTGTTAATTTTGATTCATTGCAACAATGAATAATGTGGTTTTTCCGGGTTCTTTCATTCTTTGATCGTCAGACGTTTGTAAACCGTAGTTAGATACAAAGGTAAGGCACTCTCATTGGCTACTCCTCATTTATTCCGTAAGCCTTATTTTTTATTTTGATTTTATGGCATGAATGAATTGAAAAAGAGGGGAGCACTGTATAAGTTCTAAAAATAGTAGTGGCATAAATGAATTACCGTGAAAGTAAATATTTGTACCGAAGATCTACTGAATCGTGTAACAACCTTCTTTAAAGGTTATTTTTTATCATATCGAAATTTAGTTTCAAAATAATTGGTTTTTTTTTTAACAACCAGTTGATAATCTAGTCTTATCACTGATTAATAATTATATACATTTATGACAATCAACAACGTAAGCCACTACAATATTTTGTACATATTGCATATTTCTTTGAGCATATCTATTTTCTTCAACTTTGTTTAGTGTATCTCGCTCTTTATTATTATCTCGCCATTACTCGGTGGTATGTCTAAACAGATACTTTCTCGATGAAGCTTTATGTTTCTATAATAAAATTTTCATCTACAATTTCGATTCCCATCATTATGACTTCAATCACCTTATGGAGATATGGAAATCCATGCTGAAACATGGACCATTTAGTATTGGTTTTGTGAATTTGCTTCTTTAGTTTCTTAATGTATATGTACACCCCCAAAAGTAATCGTCGCTGACCTCCGAAATCCTAAATTTGTCATGTTTATCAATATCAAATATTATTATTTTATTCTGTAGACGGTACACTAACCGTACATGTACAAACTGTCTATTATAGCTGCAGGTTTAAATTATTTTTTAATAATTGGAACATTTATTTTTCACTTTCATGATTTTTTAGTTTTCCCAATTCGACTATTAAATAATTCCATTGTCTCTTTCTCTTTCTCTTTCTCTTCTCAACTGTTTAACGGTAAAGTTGGTTCCTTATCTCTAACCGCCACGGCACCAAAAAGAGTTTAATTTCGACTTTCCTCTGCCCCGCAAATCACGATTTATTTAAATTTTTCACTTTATTGTCATGTTCCAAAACAGTAAAGAAGCTATCTCCAGGCACATACACAGCCACTAGTTACAAACTATAATAGTGATTCTTCTTTAAGTTAAAATCCGGTATAGGCATATATTTGCGTGATAAATGCTAGTTCTTGATCATGTTTATACTAAAGTACACATCTATGTGTAGCTTTTTTGCCGTTCGGACCACTGTCAATACGACTTTACATGCATATATTTTAGGTAACTTACATGAAATTAGTCTACGGGCGCTAAAGTTTTCTAACTTAACTTTCGTAATACATTCAGATTTTTGAATAAGGAACTAACTATCCATCCAATTTGGTGATGAATATTCCGTATCAGGACTATTACCATGGCTTGTTTCAAACCAGGTTCTCTTTTTTAAAAACCTCTTCTAAACAGGATTACCCATCTTATCTTGGGAAATCGCCTTACAAGGCATGGCATAGCAAAAGTGCCTCGTTATCTGCATTCGTATCTGTTTGTTTTTTAGTTAACATGGTGGCGTGCTTTGAGATGAATAGGGGAATGGGGAAGGTTTCAAAATATTATTTTTAACCAATTGTTTGTCACCTATATCATATGGACTGTTTTTAATATCTCAATCCTTCTATTTTATTGTTTCAAGTGCTGAGCCTTGTCTTTAAAACTTGCATATACCGTCGTTCTCCCCTCCTTGAATGATTTATTTTATGATTTATTGACCTTATTGACTTTTGATAATATTCGTTAGAAAATATTCCTTGACTCGAATGCTTCCATGCATTCCTCCACTACAAAAAGGTATCCTGTTCTGAATCATAAATGGAAACCGAGACCCATTTTCTGGTGTTTAAAAATATTATCATCGAGAGAGCATGTGTTTATGTGGCATTAGGAAGGTGGGGGGATAGGGTCTATCGGGAAAAAAAATAAATCTTGCATAATTTGGGATGGATCTTCGCATTTGACAAAGCTTCTAGAAGCTGTCATGTAACATTTTCTATCTATCAATTATAATTCCTGTTAACCACATTTTTCTCTACATATTTCTCTTCTTTGCCTTGGGATATTTTTTTAGAATTATTTTGATTTCGAATATTATTTTCAATTATATTTCATTATAATGATTATTATTATTTTGCTGTTTGATTCAGTTACGAAAAATTTAGTTCTATTTGTTCCTTAGGAACGACTTTCTATTGTTTAACATCCTAGAACATTTCTAATCTTAGTAATCCAAGATTTTCAAAGTCCATTTCTGTGGAATAGATTATTTCTATAAAAATATTCCATTTTATGATCCCGCTCTTACTCTGTTGATCTATATCTCGGTTTTATGGACACCACTATAAACCTAGTATCAACACATTGTTTAGCCCACTGTAACGGTTTGCCTAAAACAGTTATTTTTTGGTGAATTTCTCTAAAAGGGCTTAGTTGATAAGGTACTGGGATACAAGATCCTATTTGTCAGCGCTTATCGAAGCATCTCGTGTTCAGTTTTATATTTAACGCTATACCGTACAAGATCCTGTTAAACAATTATTATTTGAAGTACTCTGATAATTGATGTTTTAACTAAATAGAGTCTGTATAGAAGTTGATATTCTCAATGAAACACTTGATTGAACCGGTACGATATTTCAAGATTGAATCTTGTCAACTTAGACTGTATTACGACCAAAATCGCAAAGAATTCCGGCTGTTTAACTCGAATGAAACAAGTTCACACTGCCATAAAGTGCTGATGATTATATAACAAGTAACGGTTATTGTTCACCCCGTGAACCTTATGGTTAATGATTTTGAACTTTCAGGGCTCGTGATAAAACATCATATGGTTTCCAACACGTTTGAAAAAAAAAGATGTACGAAAATGGCAAGCGCCCTCATTTTAGGAGAAATACAACATCATATAAGAAAAAATTCGATTAGAAGCATTAGTTATGATAATGTTATATTCGTAGATGTGGTAGGATATCCTTATGTAAGGAGGAAGTATACTTCCTCGGCATCATTGTAGAGAAAACAGGTTATATCTCAATCGTCCATGTAAACGGTCATTAACACTTTTTTTGTGTCTCGTATTATATGGTATCTGAAATAAATCAGATCATTTGGAAATGCTCGAAATGCTTCTAACAGAAGCGTCAAACTCAATTAAACAAGCTTTTGCAGCAACTGCATCACCATTCACTTGATGATCGATTTACTTGATCCTCGGCTCATGCTCAACTTATTGAAAATGGAAAATAAGCGCTACCATTGATAACACCTTCTTATAACTTCCCCAGTTCAGTAAAGTATTTATGACATGAGACTTCTCCAGTTTTCATGCATTAGTTGGACAAAGCTTGTCAACCGTTTAACAACAACTTTACCCTGAATTACCTTTGTTATCAGGATTAGTTATCCGAAATAGAATTAGTATGAGAGAATTGCTTTCAATGCACAATACAACACTTCGCTATTATCCATATTTTCACTTCTACGGTCCGACCATTTCTAATTATAAATCAAGGAGTTAAAATCATTGCGTTGATTGCTTGTATGGATTATTTTGTATGTTGAAATGACTCAAATTTGAAAAGAATGAAAAATTCGCAAACATGCGGATCGTTTCCGAGAAGCCACTTATGAGACGCTACCATTTGCATGAAGTTTAATATATAAACCCGACTATATAGTAGATCGGAGGAGCCCCCCTCTTTTATCATTTTATTTTTATCCCTAAATCATTATAAGTTTATATTATTACCTCTAATTAAAATGTCTGAACCAACTCAAATTGAGATTTCTAAGCTTTCTGGCCCTAAAAATAACTTGACAAACAATGAAGACAAGTTGTTCGGAGTTACGGTAATGAAATCTAGAGAAGTTAACGAGTCACAAGATACTAGTAATTCTGCACCTAAAGACATTGAGAAACAAATTGAACCAGAACTTTTAATGGACCAAGGTTATTCTTGGGTCATATGTTTTGCAAGTTTCTTAATTTTCTTTTCTAGTTGGGGACAGAATTCAGGATTTGCTATCTATTTTGCTTACTATTTGAATAATGATACCTTTCCTGATGCTAATAAGATTGATTATAGTTATATTGGAGGTATTGCATTTGGAGTTGGGGTTTTCTTCTCTCCAGTTATTAATTATATGATGGGAAAGATTGGAACAAGACCAACGATTGCCATTGGGAATTGTTTACAATTTTGTTCTTTGATGCTTGCTAGCTTTTGCACTAAGAAATGGCAACTTTATTTGACTCAAGGTTTTATGCAAAGTTTTGGATTAGCTTTAGTATCTATACCAGGAACAACTATTTTACCTCAATATTTTAAAAAGAAGAGAGTATTAGCAGGAGGATTTGCAACTGCTGGTTCTGGGGTGGGCGGAATTTGTTTTAACTTGGGAATGCAGCATGTTGTTGATACTAAAAGTGTATTCTGGGCTTTAAGAATACAAAGTATAATTGGATTTATCTTAGTTTGGATTGCTATTGCCCTTTTGAGATCAAGAAACAAGCATGCAATTGTTCAATTTAGAGTATATGATAAAGAGGTCTTGAGTACAGCTGGATTTTGGATTTTTGCCTTCTTTGTTATAACCTGTATGTTTGGATATGTTATTGTCTTATATACATTAGCTCAATTTACCACATCTTTAGGATATTCTGAATATCAAGGGTCAATTTCAGCAGCAATGCTTCAATTAGGGAACGCACTAGGTAGACCATGTGTTGGCTTGTTATCTGATAAGTACGGTGCTGTTACTGTAACATGTGTTTGTTATATCATTGTTGGGATTCTTTGTTTAGCAATGTGGATACCAGCTAGAAACTTTGCAACTGTAATAGTGTTTTGTATTATGGTTGGGTCTTTAATGGGATCAGTGTATGGAATGTTGGCTCCCGCTGTAGCACGAACTTTTGGACTCCAGAAAATGAATACTACTTTTAGTATGTTATGGATGATAATGGCAGTAGCTGGCTTATTTTCACCTGTCATAGGGCTTACATTGAAACATGGTGGTGGTGGTTTAGTTGATCCTACTCAATATGTTGATTGCTCGATCTTTGCTGGATGCTCATTTTTAGCCTGTGCATTGTCCTTGTTTATATTGAGAGGATATATCAAGGCCAGAGATTCACTAACAAAGAGCTTGGATGCTGATAAAACTGATTTCTTAGGAGTAAAAGTTTCATTGGGTGGGGTAGTTGCCAGCTGTTTCAAGACGAGCTCTCAAAAGATTTAGTCTACTGTTGTCTATTGTTAGTAACAAGAACTATTTTGTCCTCCTTAGAATTAAACTAGATAATATTACATATTCTCAACTCTTCTGAATCAATTTTGTTTATTCATATATAATATCTAATAGACATATGAGAATGTGTCGCGCTACCAGATTTTAAGAATCATCTCTCGCTTTTGAACTAAAATGCCAACTTCATTAATAGCTAATGTGGAAATATTACTGTTATATTGAGTTAGATTTGCTAAAGAATGTTTTGAGTCTTTACTTTTAAACAATTATATTTTTCTTCAAATTTGCAATAAATGCAAGTAAAGTACAAGAAATTATAACACAATTTAATTATCTTCAATGAAAATTGACTTATTTTTTCTATCTAAATTATACAATTACACACTCTCATTTGAAAATCAGATTGATATTGAATCATTTACACCAGATTTGGATTTCATAATCGTTTAAAATTCTTCGAAAATCAAAAAATTGCAGAATTTTTCACTCAATGATCATATTGTCGACAGCGACATTTTGGGGCGGGCTCTTTAAGGGTGATGCGGTGGCTCAATGGTAGAGCTTTCGACTCCAAATCGAAGGGTTGCAGGTTCGATTCCTGTCCGTGTCAATTCCTTTCTTTTTTGCAAATTTTACAAGATATACTATTTAAATTATGAAAAGGAAGTCTTAAAATTAATGTATACTGAACTAAACCCTCTGCTGTAAAGATTTTTTTCGGTTTGATTAAGTTGAGGTAATGATCTATCACCAAAAAAAAATTAAGCATTTCAAATTTTGGTTGTAAAAATTACATGAATTCTTTTTTAAGTTCTATAAGCAAGATTATGAAGTTTTGATAATATGGCAAAGAAGGGGAAATCATCAAAATTATCGACTCCACCGCCACTGGCAGTTCCTGAAAAGAACGACTCCAAATCGAAGAAAAAGGACAAATCTTCATCTACAGAAACTGCATCCAACGATGATCCCAAGAAACCTCAAAGAGGTCTAGTCATTGGAGAAAATTTTGGATGGACAGGTAAATTACCTGCAACCTTATTATATGAGTTCTGCCAGAAGCAGAAGTGGATCAAACCAGAGTTTGAGATGCAGAAACGTGGAAATAATGGATTCAGATGTATTGCAGTAATGAGGTGGGAGAATCCAAAAGATAAGAATATTGTTCAATTACGATATGTACCGACTTATGATCACTGTGCAACTACAAATGAAGCAAGACATATGTCTGCCACTTACACTTTGTACAGAATCAATTTCGTCAAGAATATGAAGATGTTGTTTCCAATTATTTTCAGAGATTACTGGGTTCAATTAGAAGGGGAAAGAACAGCTTTACTCAAAGACAACAAGTATAAACATGACTTGATATACAACACTAGTCCATTCACAACTCATCTAGATCAAATTGAATTGAATGGAAAGAAAGAAAAGGAAAGATTAATCAAAGAACAAAACGAATTAAAGACCAAAAAACCGACAATGATAATAACAACAGCAAATAACAAGAGCAATGGAGCCCAACTAAAGAAACCATCATCAACAGAAAAGTTAACACCTACAGTCACATTTCCAAGGAAAGTTTGGGAAGCAGCACCATTTATAGATTTCCCAACTGACATTAGAAATTCCATAGAAACTTGCATTAAAAAACATATAAATTGGATTCTTGAGTCTCCCACATCATCGGAAGGAAGAGATTTACACAAGGACACTCAAAGTTTATTAAACTTGGGATTCAGAAAACAACATATTGCAGAATCATTCAAATTTACTAATACGTTTGTGGACTCATTAGAGTGGTTATTATTTCATATACCTGAAGATGATTTGCCTGCATTTTTCAGTAAAACCAGCAAAGATTCACAAGTTCAACTAAAACTATCTAAAAATTTACAATTAGAATATAAGTTAAAAAGACTCTTCCAATCAGGATTAGATGAAGATGAGATATTATCAGTTTTAGAGGAAAATGACTTCAACGAATTAGATACTGCCATAAAGTTAACTCAAAATTTGATTCCTTCATTACCTACTCCAACAATACCAGACGATTTCAATGTTGAAGATTCAGATTTATTATGGGAACAAGAATTGGAAGGATTAGAAATGATGGATTCTAATAAATTTGAATTTTTATTAAAAGATAACAAGGATATCGTTACCATATCTTTAAATCCTAAGAACTTAGTTACTAATAAAGACGATAAAAATATCTTAAGTGTAAGGTTATTTAAAAGTCAATATTATCCAAACGAGTTACCAGGTATACAGGTGGTGGTTAATGATACCTCATTTAAATTAGCCAACTACATCAAATTATCCATTTTAAATCAATTAATTCATGAGATTATAAATAATCATTGGTTGGGTGATTGTTTGATATTCAACATAGTGGAATGGTTGCAAGATAATATATCCAGAATTATAGATAACCCAGGCTCATTAGTTGATGAGACGGAGTTGGAAAAGATCTCTGCATCATCAGAGAACTCATCTAATAGTGATTTAAGCTACAAAAATAACAAATCCAATTCGAATAGGAAAATTACCCTTTCAGCAAAGGATATAGACACTTTAAAAAGTAATTATATCTCAAAGAAGGATTCAAAGGGTTTGGCTGATTCAATTCAAAAGAGAAGTCAATTGCCGGCTTGGAACGCTAAAGATGAATTAATTTCAATGATTAATAAAAATAAGGTGACTATTGTAACAGGGGAAACAGGTTCAGGTAAATCAACTCAAATAGTTCAATTCATATTGGATGATTTAAATGCTAAGGGCAACTTCAAGGGTAAGATACTTTGTACTCAACCTAGACGTATTTCTACAATTGGTTTGGCTGAAAGAATATCAGATGAAAGAATTGATAAAGTAGGAAAAGAAACTGGTTATATTATTAGAGGTGAGAACAAAACTGATAAATTAACTAGAATTTCGTTTGTGACTACAGGTGTTTTATTAAGAATGTTACAATCATTCTTAGCATCCTCATCAAAGTCAACTTCATCTGTGTTTGACAACTTAGAATATATATTCATTGATGAAGTTCATGAACGTTCAGTTGATAGTGATTTCTTATTAATCATATTGAAGAGAGTCATGAATAAATTCCCAAATTTAAAAATAATCTTGATGTCTGCTACTGTAAATATCAACACTTTCAATGATTTCTTTAAGACAAATTTAAATCATATTCATATTAAAGGTAGAACCTTTCCAATAAAAGATTATTACTTGGATGAGATTTTACAAGATCTTGATTTCAGTATCACTAGTTATGATGGAGATGTCATCAAACCAAAAGCCGATTCTAACTTTTTCAAATCTGGTAGTATTAATTATAATCTTATTGCTGAATTATGTTTAAGTATTGATGAAAAATTGACTTCAGAAAATAATCATGGATCTATATTGGTGTTCTTACCAGGTATAATGGAAATTTCACAATGTATTCAGGGATTGAGACAAATCTTCGATAAAAACAATCGTAATGGAAGATTTCTACCATTACATTCAGCATTATCTTCACAAGATCAGAAATCTGTGTTTAAATTCGTTGCAAAGGGAACCAGAAAAATTGTCGTCTCAACCAATGTTGCGGAAACCTCTATTACCATTCCTGATTGTGTGGTGGTAGTTGATAGTGGAAGATCTAAAAACGTTTTCTATGATGCCAAGTTAAATACTACAAAATTAGTGGAAAATTGGTGCTCAAAAGCAGAAATCAATCAGAGACGTGGTAGATCTGGTCGTATTACAAACGGTAATTGTTATCATTTATACACTAAAGACGTTGAAAGTTCTTTGTTAGCTCAACCAATTCCTGAAATAAGAAGAACAAGACTTGAAAACTTATATTTGATTGTCAAAGCAATGGGTATAAATAATGTTGAAGAATTTTTGAATAATGGTATTGATGCCCCTGATCAATCGTCATTAGTTCAATCTAAGAAATTTCTTCATGATATTGGTGCTTTAGATAATCTCAGTAATTTATCACATCTTGGAAAATATCTTTCATTCTTACCAACTGATCTTCAGAGTGGTAAGTTATTGATTTTCGGTTGTATATTTGGATGTTTAGAGTTTTGTTTGACATTAGCCTCGTTAAGTTCATCAGGAAATCCATTTATAGACAATAGAGACGATAGAGATAAAATAAAAGCAATTAGAAATAAATTTTCAAACAATAATGGTGATTTTATTGCTCAAGCAAATGCATATCACGAATATGAAAACCTCAGGAAGTCAAAACAAAATGCTAAATCATTCATCAGCACCAATTACTTATCATACAACACTTTGAATGATATATCATCAACAAGAGTTCAATATCTTTCATTTTTAAAAGATATGGGATTCATTCCAATAGATTATAGTAGCGATCATTCCTACTTGAACAGAAACAACAACAACTTTTCAATTATAAGGTCTATTATTACAGGATCGTACTATCCACAAATTGCCAGAGTTCAGTTACCAGACCCCAAGTTCTTTAAATCATCAGTCGGGTCTGTTGCCATTGATCCAGAAGCTAAACAGACCAAATTTTGGATTAGAAATGAAGCATTCGTAGAAAAAATAGACAAGAAAGAACCATTAGGAGAACTTTTACCAGCAACTAAATCATTAATATTTTCAAATTCAGTAGTGTATGATAATTATGCTCCTGATAATGAATTAGTTCAAGGGTTATTAGATGAAGTGATTGACGAAGACGGTAATATAGATTCCAATAAATACCGTGAAATGATAGATTTAACCCCTAAAGCATCCAAGTCTTCTAATCAATTACTCAAGTCTCCATTCATAGTCTATGGTAAGTCACAAAAGACTTTTGCAATGTTCATTGGTGATATAACCCCAACAAGTACGCTCGCTACCTTATTATTTGGTGGTGAAATTGATTATAACTTAAGCTATCATATAGAAAAAGGTCAAACTTCACCGGGTATAGTGGTGGATAATTGGTTAGCCATTCGTACTTGGTGTAAAAATGGGGTCTTAATTAAAAGATTAAGAAAGTTAGTTGATGCAGTGATAGAAGATAAGCTTTCAAATCCTCATTATTCATCTTCATACTCCAAAGCAAACGATGATATTTTAGCCATGATTGAGAAGTTAGTTAGTACATGATTTCCTCCAACAAAAACATTTTTAGTAACCATTTGCATTTATGTATATAATTTTATAGAAATACATCTGTATATACCAACAAAGCGTCTTTGGCTTGTGGAATTTAGTAAGTGTAAAACAATGTAAGTTGCAAAATCCTTAGCCATACAAATTTTAAAAATTCGAATCACGTGACTGAAATTTTGATCAGATTAAATAATTTTTGAAAATATTTGAGATGGTTAATTAGGTTAATATTGTAGTCATTTCATACAACATCAACGATGTATAGACTACTATATCAGAACTCAAGAAGGGCTGTCGTTGGTAATCTCTTAAGTTGCAGATTCTTTGGCATCAGCCATCTTAGATTTGAACCAAAATCTAGTGGGAAGGAAGATGAATCAATTCCATGGTTCATGCGTGAAAAAGTTTCATCACCAATAATGCAAAATGAAGATATACAGATACCGACAATTCCAGCTGGATCACCACAGTTCTTGGAAGAAGTTTTAGACTTATTAGCCAGAGAGTATGGTCTTAAAGAGCTCGAGCTTTTCGATCTTGAAAATTTGCCTGAGGATCATCTGTACAGTTCAAAAAATCAACCATTCAAATATATAATAATCGCTACTGGTAAATCAGAAAAACATATATTCAAAGCAGCAGCAGAGTTGAAACAATATATAAAACTGAATCACAACTTGATAGTTCTGGTGGAAGGTATGGTCTCAGCTGCAATCAGTGCAGCAGCTCGTAGAAGAATGCTCAAAAGAGCAAGTAAAGGACCACCAGCAACTGATAATACATATGGTAAGGAACCAAACACATGGGTGGTTTGTGATACCAAGATTTCCGATATAATGATTCATATGCTTACCAAAGAAAGAAGAAAAGAATTATTACTTGAGACACTTTGGTGTGAAGAAAAAGATTTACATAAATACCAAGATGAATTTGATGGTGGTGAACTTGATGATGATATCTTCATTGGAATCAATAGACTGTCCTTTTTAGAACAAAGAAGAAGCTTTTCCACTTATTCAGCTAGATCTAACTTACAACAAATCTTTGATAATCTCAATAATAGTGATAGATCCCAAGTTTCAGTTATCAAATTCAAGGAAGATTTTGATAATAGTTTTCAAGGATCTAGTTTAAAGGATCACAACTTGAGAATTCAATTTTATAAACTACTCCGTCATATAGATACAGAGGCTGTATCTTTATCTACTGTTAAAGATGCGATTTATGAAAAGTACCTGTCCATACAATTTGCATTAAATACAGATGAAGAAATCAAACAAGATGTAATCCTTTACACGAATATGTTGATCGATTCATCTAGTCCTACGGAAATGCCAGATTACCTATTTGATGACTTATCACAATTCATTTCTTCATTGACTTTATTTTCCAAGAATATCAAAATTTTGTATGAAAAGCAATTTCTAGTCTTATTATGGAGATTATCTATTATGCAAGATGAAAATTTCATAGGTCCTAAAACCATCGACAATATCATACAAGGTAATATTCCCATAAAGGAAATACCAGACACTGTCACTGCAACCCAAGCCAGCAATAGAGCCAGAGATGTATTGTTTTTGATAAACAAAGTATACAAAGGTGTTACACCTCATACATTGAAAGAAATGATCCTTTTTACATATGGTAACACATCCAAATGGGATAAATTCTGGAATGAATGGGAGTCGTCTTTTGGATTCTTAAATATTCAACAGAAGAGTATCAATAAATGGATTAGATTGGTGGTTTACTTGGCCATTAGAAATGATAAATCAGCCATGGTTGATTTCTTATACAAATACTGGGATAAGTCAAACTCACCTGTCCAATCATTCATGCAAGACTTCAATGAGTTAGGTCATAACTTTCCATCTGAGCAAGAGAAACAAATCTTCAAAACTGCTTTATTACAGATCTTAAACACTGTTGATAGTAAAACTCATAATTTTGAGCATGTACATAATTTTGTAAATAGTTTATAAATAATTTTTTTTGTGGTTTCATAGACGCGTAAATTTTAAAATATGACATCTTGGAAATATCAAATATCATCTTATAATCATATGTATATGTAACCCCAAATGGAGAAATTGGTTGAAGTAAAGAGTCGAATAAAGACCTGGGAGCATCAATTCAAAGACAAGTATAATAGATTGCCAGGAAAAGATGACATCAAAAGGGATAAAGTAATCCGTCAATTATATTCTGACTATAAGTCATTAAAATCGCAACCTTCAGATCAAGTATCTAAGAACAACAAGGTTAAGGGCAGTTCCAAGACTGAAGTAAAGATAGTAGAAGTGCAAGATGATGCTGGAGAATTGGGTCCAACACCTCAAGCCAATGGGAAAGTATTATCAATCTTTGATGTGAGATTAACTCCACCAGAATCATCTCCTTTAAAGGGAAAGCAAGTGATTTACCATAGTGATAATGATACTTTTAAAACTCCCACCAAAAGGAGGAACAAGCTTGAACCTATAAATAATAATGTTAATCCATCTCAACTGTTAACTGCCAAACTCCAAGCTCTTTCTGAAGAGAGTATTCCAGAAACTCCTGTGAAGATAATTAATAATGATATATCATTGATGACTCCACAGTATATGGCACCTGGTGCCAAAACTACATTCGTTAGTCCAACCAAGCTTAAATTCACAACCCCTAGAAAGAATCTTCAACCTATAACATTTCAAGTTTCTCCTTCTCCAATTAAGCCCATGAGATTTATGATGAAAATATCAGACATGGCAAAGGAAGTCAACTCTTATAAGAATGATATCGTAAATGAAGGCTTCCTGGATGATGAAAGTGGATCAGAAGTTGAAGAAGAAGATAAGCCTACTCAAAGTACATTTAAGAAGAAGAATCCAAAGAGAACAACTAGAAGATGGAAAATGAAACCAAAGGATGCATCAGATAACGTTGATGGTTTCAAACCTGAAGATGTTCATAAAAAGATAGATGAACTTAAAGATAAAGAAAAGGCTGAATTATCTGTATACCTTGATCAAAATGTGAATTCAGAAGCAGAGTCTGGTTCAGATTCCGATTCAGATGGGGATTTTAAAGTTGGATCGAATAACGCTTCAACTAAAGGTAAAGTTAAACCAATAAGTAATAATTACAAAAGGCTTAAAATCAATAAAGCTAATAAGAAGTTTAAACGACGTAGAAGATAATCCATTTATAGATTTATATACGTACATAAAGTGAATTTACGATGGTAATGATACTAATAACTCCTCACTATTTGTAGAAGTTTCAAATTGAACTCTGGATGACATTTGATCTTGAATATCATCTTTACTAGCTACTTGATTAGCACTGGCATAAACCGGTTTTTGCCATCTATTCTTATCCTTTTCAAAATCCCAACTAGTCAATGATTGAATTTCATTTTTACTTTTCTCATGCTGAATTTCTTTCTCTAATTCTTTGATATCACTATTATCAGGTTCTTTATGAACTCTATATTTCTCAACCATTTGTATTTTACCGTCTTTTATCACCATTTCTATAGACTTATCACCTCTACCAGTTCGTTCATTTTTAGAAGCTTCTTGACTCTTCAACTGTTTTTGCCAAACCTTCAATTGTAATGCTCTTTGCATTGGAGATAACCACATAGCGGATCCTGTATGTGGCAGTTCAAAATCAGCGGCATTATCAATAATCTTAGTACGCTCAGCTCCTGTTTCTTGAAATTCAAGCAAAGTCTCTAGCCTTTCATTTGCTTTAACTAAATCCGGATCAAGTGATGGACTAAGATCAGACTCTGCAAATTGACTCTCATCTTCAAAGTCTTGTACTTGTTTGACTTCTTTATTCTTTTTATGTTCTTCTTCAACTTGCTTGAATGCTTTATCTTGAGCTTTCCAAAGATTTTCTCCACTGTTTAACGAAATAACTATCTTTTTGGACTTACCTGAAGGTTTTGGTCTTGGACTTTCTGACTCTGGATGGGTTTTCTTAAGCAAAGAATCCCTCTCATGTTCTAGTGCTTGTTTCATATCATTTCTTTCTTTATATGATAATAAATTGGCTCCACAGAATGAACATGGTTGGAAACCTTCTTTTACACAAATGATCTTACCACAATTTAAACAATTAGGAGCTAATTCAAATAATGGGTGTCGAGTAGCTAAACAATTGCAAATTCTATTTGTCTCAGACAGAGTCTTAAATGAAGATATTTCCAATTCATTTAGGGCAGCTTCTATATCCCTTAAGTTATTTAAATTCTTAACTCTTTTCTTCTTCGGTATTTCTTTTGATTCAACAGGAGCAGGACTCTTTTCTAATAGTTGAGATGTAGTTATGGAGGATTTAGTCTTTGTTTTAGGCTTAGACCTTACTTGATTCTGTTTCTCTATAGGTTTAGCAACTTCACGAGCATCACCTTTTAAAAGATTAGAATATGAAATAGTGGCTGGTTCTTTCTCAGCTTCTGCTTTTGACCCAGTATCATTCTTTAAACGTAAAAACTCTTCTATGAAAGATAATGAGTCAGAGTTTACACCTAAAATATCTATAAGATGATCCTGTATTAACTTATCTGACGACAAAGACAAACAGTAATTGACGATTTCTTTACATGATTGTTCATCAAGGGGTATTATATTAGCTATAGATCTCGCACCATAGCCTAGGAGTCTATCGTTGTTCGACATTTTGATTGAATTCGTTAAAGATCAAGCCCTCTGGATTATTTTCACTCTCTCTAAATTTCTATTACACTAAAAATTATGAGAGCGTTAAAGTTTGGAGTGAGGAAAAGAAAAAAATGTATACAAAACACACACAATTGATAAGAGTGAAGACAGTATAGATTGATAGATCAAATAGACGATATAATGTCCTTGAATGAAGAGGAAGCTCTTAAGATCAAGTATGCTGAGATAGCAGCATTAAAGAAGTCTATAGCAGAGAAGAAGAATGCATTACAACAAGCTAGGTTGACACAATTTAGTAATTATGGTACCTCATCGAATACTTCTATGAAGAAGATATGGAAGAAACATAATAAAGCTGCCAAGAAAGGTAATCCGTTTGGTCATATGTCAGCTGTATTCACTAATGCTACTGGTGATATATCCAATACAGAGCAATATGTGAGTCAGATATCAAAAGGTGGGATGTCTATTGTCAATACAAATGTGTTGCAAAGAGAGCAACATAAGTTTAAGGTTCATCAAAGGGAACAAGAGGATTTGAAAAAGATTAAAGAACTTCAACGTCTCCAGGCAAGATTACAGAAGAGTATCTCCAAAAATAAGGTACGAGAAGATAATCGTGATAGAATACGAATAGGAGATGTGACATATGCTGTGACCAGAATGGGAAATAGACTACTTCCACTTTCAATACCAAATAATTTGGATACAGCTGAAGTAGCGTGGGGTAGTAGGAAATATATATCAAAGAATGGAAGAACTTTAAAATGTACTGGTGGTAGAACCAGAAAGTGAGTATCTTTATTAAGGTGTTTTCAAACTTTAGAAGTATTTTACTAACTATAATTATAGATCACCAACTGATCCATGTCGATACTTTACAAGAACAGGTACGTATAGGAGATTTACTCTTTTGTTTTAAAATTTTTATTATTATTCATTACTAACTATTGTGTTTGATTGTTTCTGAATCTTTCACTTTCATTTAGGGATATGTCAGAAAGGTTCACATTGTAAATATACCCACGACCGATCAAAAATCAAGATTTGTAATCAATACCTAATTGATAAATGTTTCAATAAGAATTGTTTACTCTCACATTCTTGTAATGAGTTTAATACACCATGGTGCAAGTATTTCTTAGAAAATAAATGTAAAAACTCAAATTGCAAATTCCTTCATCATAAACCACCAAGATATGATGATTCTAGTGTGGAGATTTGGGTTTGTCGACCATTTGCAGTTGGAGGATGGTGTGATCGTGGAACTAGATGTCCATTTTTACATTTATTAAATTGTCCTGATTTTGAAGAAGATGGAGTTTGTCATAGAGGAAAATCCTGTGAATTATCTCATCCAATCACTTTAAGGACGCAAAAGTTAATGTCAACCCCGGTGAATAAATTTGAAAGGGAAAGCCGGATCTATAAATTTGAAAGGGTAAGTCTGACCTACATTGGGGAGGATAATGATGAAAATGAAAAAGAAATCATAAATAGTTATACAGTAGATCCAGAATCTTTATTTGTTTCATCGACTTTACAAGGGAAATATGATATTTATATTGATCAAAAGGGTAATAATGATTCTACAGATTTTAAAGATAATTTCATGATCACTTTAAGTGATTCAGAATCATCTGAAGATTCAAATGAATCAGATGGAATAGATGATAATACTGATTTTGTACATATATAAGATCTACTAAGTAATAATAAAAACATAATGGCATTTCTAAAACTTAATTTGTAATACCTCTTCAATTTTTTTTCTCTCATCTAAAAACTCACTTAAATCCTGTTTAGGAAAAATGATTTAATATGTTGCAAATGCCATCTTTATCCCATCAATTGAACAACATTCAACCATACAATCATTATTCTTCCCATCTCAATCAATCTCTAGAAGTGGTGATATATGAAACATCATCATATTCATTCAATTTATGAGTTTAGTGGATTCTTAAATCGATTGTCAAACCTTTAGCGCCATTGAATATAATTACTACCCCAGAAAAGAGCAAGAGAATCTTACTTTAAACCATTTATAAGTTCAATCAAATCCCACTATTATCAATATGACTGAAGAGAAGAAGAAACCCAAAGAACAAAAGAAGCCCAGACCACCAAGATTACCTATTGGTCTTGTTCCACCAGACTTAGCCATACGATTAAGTTTAACCAGACCACTAATAGATGCTGTACCTAGAGATATCGATTCACCACCCAAACTATTACCAATAAGAAATTTAAGAGAAGAATATGAATATTTACAGCATTTAGGACATGGAAGTTTTGGGGATGTTAGTTTAGCACGATATAGATTCAATAATGAGGATCTTTTAAGAAGAAGTATTGATAGAATAGGTACACTAATGGATCCATTAGATGATGCAAGAAATAATGTCAAAACAGGCCTTGTTGCCATTAAAACCATGATGAGAAGACTGGATACTATATATTCATATTTAAGATTAAAAGAATTACAATTCATTATTTCAATCCCATCCCATCCAAGTTTGGTTCAAGTTTTTGATATGGTAATCGATGATTATGCTTTTGAACTTCATATAGTAATGGAATGTATGAATCAAAATTTATATCAATTTATGAGAACAAGAGTTTATAAATTCTCTTCTGGAAGTGTTAAAAGTATTTTAACTCAATTATTGGGAGCTATAAATCATATTCATGAACATGGTTATTTTCATAGAGATGTTAAACCAGAAAATATATTAATAATTTCTGCCATAGATTATTATGGTAGTAGAGAAGCTATACCACAACATCGAGCAAATGATAATTATGTGGTAAAGTTAGCTGATTATGGATTAGCCAGAAGTATATATACTACCGGGAATTATACAGCTTATGTGGCAACTAGATGGTATAGAGCTCCTGAAATTCTTTTAAGACGAGAAATACATTCTCAACCAGTTGATATTTGGTCTTTTGGAGTTATTGCCATTGAGTTAGCAAATTTTACACCCATGGTAACAGGCGATGATGAGCTTGATCAATTAAATAAAACTATTGCTATAATTGGATCTCCTATACCACCACCATATGATCATTATCATCCTAATGTTTATTATCCATTAGGAGGTTATTGGAAAGAAGCTCAATATCTTGCCGAAAAGTTGAAACTTAAAATCCCTCTTACATCTGGTATATCTATATATGAACTTCTACCTGATCCAAATTATGCTGATATTAATGATTTGGTTCGTTTATGTATTACTTGGGATCCAGAAAGAAGAGCATCTAGTTCAATGTTATGTGATTTACCATACTTTAAAGATACATTCCTTGCCACTCATAAACGTAAAAAAGGATATACGAAATGGGAATCAAGAAATCAATTAAGACATATACAAGAATCATCGAGAATATTAAATGGAATTAATGCCAATGTTTGTTATTCAGATATAGTTGCTAAACAAAGGTTAAATAATATTAGAAAGCAATTTACTTTACCAGAGTTAAATTATATTTATCAAAATATTGATGATAATAATAATAATAATAATATAGAAAATTTTGATGATGAATATAATGTTAACGGATATGGTTATAATCAACTTTCATCAGAGACCACTATCCCTGAATCATCGGATATATGTCGAACACAAACTCAAAGTTATGATAATTTTTTACAAGAAAATCTAACTGGGAATGAATTAGAAGAGATTAATGAAAGAAATTATATATATGATCATATCAATAATGGGATTAATATTAATGAAGATAAGTTTACTAGTAATAGTAGTAGTGATAATAATAATAATAATGAAGTTGATGAGAAATTTTGTGAAGATATCTTAGATGAAAGTTTATTACCTTTGAATGATCAAAATTTTAATGATTATTCATTTACATCAACTGATATATATCCTCAAGTTAACATCACTACGAATTAGAAATAGAATAAGTATATACATGTATAATGAATCTATCTATCTATACACGTAGACGTCATCTTTTTAGATTTAAACTAAGAAGGTGAAAGTGTAGATCTAAGTTTTATAAACATTTTGTAACCTATTTTAGAAATGTGTATGTTTGTTATTATGTTACCCCACATCTACAGATTAAATCTCATTTAAACAGTACGGGCCCGCTCACTCACTCACTCACACATTTCTTTTTTTTTTTAGTTTGTTTGGCCTTCCTCTCTTCCCTTTTGGTCTCAGGTGGTTAAAGACATACAACTATCTAATAGAAGTATGTGTATTTTGATAGCGACAACAAGACATCCTGACTATCCACTAATATTGTTGTCCAATAGAGATGAATACTTCAGGCGTCCGACTCAACCAGCTCATTTTCGACCCTTGAATGAACAAGACAAGATATTATCACCTGCTGATTTAGGACGATTAGAAAATGGGACATGGATTGGGATTACCACCACAGGTAGAATAGCTGTTTTATTAAACTATCGAGAAACTGATAGTAATCGTATGTATCATTCTTATACACAAAGGGAAAAAGTCCATTTTACTAACTTTTTAATATAGATCTGTTAAGTGAGATTTCACGTGGTGTTCTTCCATTAGAGTATCTTTGCAGTACTAAATCGGATGAGAAATGGTTTAGTACGCTTGAATCTACCAAATCAGGGAAACTGATTGATTTATCGAAGATTGGAGGGTTTTCATTGGTATTTGGAACATTGGCTGTTGATCCAGATACAGGTAAGATTAATAATTTGAATATTATTAGTAATCGTGGTGATCATGGAAAGATATTTGATTCAAGTATTATGAATGCTAAGCCTCAGGTTAATGGGAATTTAGTAGCTGATCCTGATCATTATGATATCTCTGTTAAAGATACCTTTGGTATATCAAATTCATTATATTATAATCCATGGAAGAAAGTGAAATTAGGGGAAGATTTACTTAATGAATTAATAGATGATAGTGTTGAACATGAATATGATAAGAGGAAGATCGTGGATGAATGTTTCAAAGTATTAACCACAGATACTTTTGATAAAGATACATTCAAATCTCATAGTTTTGAAAAGAAATTCTTAGAATTAAGAAATTCAATATTCATACCTCCTTTAGAAACAGAGTTTGAAGATAATGAAAAAAATTTAACCATAGGGAAGTATTATGGAACTAGAACCCAAACCGTCATTTTGTTAGATAAGCATGGTAATTTAGATTATTATGAAAGAGATATGCATAATTCAGATAATGTTGAAACTGATAGTGAAATCAATCAACATTTCAATTTTAAAATATCACCTGGTTTATGAAATAAAAAGTTAGTAATTTAGTTAGTTAATTATGATAAGTTTTACGTTTACATTTATGTTATGTTTTAAGACGGGTTGGGACTTGTAGATTGGAATATAACCCTGTTGATATGATTAATTGCTCCATACTATATGTTTATACATACTTAAAAATTAGGGCGCAAATCAAAATTGAAAGCGAAAAAATTAACCCTGAAAATTGTTAGTGGACCACGGTTGAGGTGGAGGTAATTAGGAAATTACCATTATCAACATATATCACTATAGAAACATGACTATTACAGAATTAGCAAAGCAATGGCAAACTGTGATACATCATAAACCACCCATTGAGAAAGATCCCACCTCAAATGATTTACTTATTTTAATCCCGGGTAATCCTGGACTCGTTAATTTTTATATATGCTATTTGGATTTAATTCAACAACAATTTCCAAATTTTGAAATATTATGTATTAGTCATGCTGGATGTGATCCCAACAGTTATGAATTATTCAAATTTTATGGGTTAAAAGATCAAATCGTATCAAAATATGAAATCATTAAGAAATTTGTTATGGACAATGAATATTCTACCAAATATAATTTATATTTTTTATCCCATTCAGTGGGATGTTACATTAATCAAAGAATGGTGAAATTATTACTCGATGACATGAGTCTTGTGAGTCATGTTGATATCAAATATGTGGGCTTAATATGTCCAACAATTAAGGATATTTCGAAATCAGTGTCAGGCGTTAGAATCACAAAGTTATTTAATTATACTCCTATAATTACTGTATTATCAATATTAAGTTCGGTGCTTACCAGGTTATTGTCCGATAATTATTTATTAGGGATCATTGAACATTACCACATTATTAAAAAGCCAGCCTTGGTGGATTTTGTGTCTCAATTAAACTATACCAATTCAACTTTAGGAGCTTTGAATATTGTTAGTAAGTCTCATATAGTTAAACAAGTGTTAACTTTAGCTTGTGAAGAGATGAAGTTAATTAATGAAGAGAAAGATATAAATGATTGGTTCTTTCATGATTTAGGGTCAAAAGTAAAAGTATGGGTTTATTTTGCTGATTCAGATCATTGGGTTAATGATAAGACAAGAGATGAATTAATAAAAGATTATTACGATGAAGATAATCATAACAATATTAGGTTTGAATTAGGTAAATCAGACGATGGGATTACTCATAGTTTCTGTATTGATAAAAGTGTTGAGTTTGCAAGAATTACAACAAATGCCATAAGACGATTAAATTAGATTTATAGAATTAGATAGAAACAATGTACAAGTTACTATAGTAAAAATAATCATGCATTAATTAAATTTAATTAAATTCATTGCAAAGGATATATCTGTAAATTAACTCCCATTATGACTCGTAGTCATTTTCCTCATAGTTAAGAGAAAAAAAATTGATGATTTTGAATCATCCATTGACTCAACAAAAAAAAAAAATTGGTTTAACGAAGTCCACTTTAAAAATTGAAATTTATGGGTTTTAATTTATCTATAAATAGTTGAGGAATTCCCTATTCTTATTCAATTGTCAATTTGATTTATTCTACTTCTTCTCTTCAGTATCAGATTTAGAATAAGCTAATTTAATATGGTACAACTGGACGTTGATATTGATATGTCTTCCACTCAAAAGATTAACTCTGAAGGTCAAAATTATGAATCATTCCAAGATGAAGAACTGTCATTAACAGAACAAGAAGTTTTAGATAAAAAGAAATTAGATAAGATTTATAGAAAGTTGGATTATAGAATCATTCCAGCTTTATGGTGTTTATACTTTTTAGAATCATTTGGTTCAAGTGCTTATGGATTAACATTAACTATGAATGCTGATCAAGGTCATTCTTTAGGTCAAAAATTACAACTTACTGCTAAGGATATTTCAACTGCATCTGCTTTATATTATGTTGGGTATATTATATTCGATGTACCAATGAATTTAATCATGACAAGAGTTAGTCCTCAATCTTGGTTAGCAAGAATTATCATTACTGTTGGTCTTGTTTATTCATTTTATCATATTCTTACTAATAATCAAGGTTTATTTGCAGTCAGATTCATTTCAGGTTTGGTTGGTGCTGGTACGTGGCCAGGAATGAGTTATTATATTTCTCTTTGGTATCCAAATGAAAGACTGACAAGAAGAATTGGTTATTATTTCACTGCTGCTCAAATATCAGCTGCTGTTGCTGGGTTAGTTAGTGCTGGATTTCAAAAAATCGATGGAGTTAGAGGTTATTCAGGATGGCAATGGATGTATTTATCTTATGGGGTCATTACTATTGCTTGTGGTATTCTGTTATTATGGTGGTTACCTGATAGACCTTTCAAACCTGAACATGAAGTTGAATCATCTAATAAATTAATGTATTGGTATAGAAAAATCTTTACATCTCCTTTCCCTCTTAATGATGAAGAAAGAGAATTACATAGAAAAGATTTACAATCAAGATATAAATTAATCAAATGGGGTTGGAAAGATGTCTTTATGATCTTAACTGATTTAAGAATTTGGCCATTAATCATTATGTATTTCGGTGTCGTTGGTACTGGTTTTGGTTTAGCTGTGTTTGGTTCTACTATTATTTCTGTAAACAATCCATCATTAACTTCAATTCAAGTCTCTTTACTTTATGCTCCAATTTGGTTATTTGATTTAGGTGGGATTTTAATTTTAACTCCATTTGCTGATAGAAATAAAAAATTAAGACCTTATATTTTTTCATTTGCTTGTGGTATTATCATTTGTGGTTTATTTGTAACTACTTTTGCTAAGGGTAAATGGAGTAGATATGGTGGATTATTAATTTCCGGATTTGGATTAGGTCCAACTGTTCCAATTTGTATGTCATGGGCAGCTGAAATCTTTGGTCCAAGATATGGTGATGTTGGTACAGCTGTTACTGCTGCCTTAGTTAGTGGTTTAGGTAATTTAGGTTCAGTAACTGCTACGTATGCCTTATACAGTGGATGGCCTGATGATGCTAGTAGATTATACAGAGATTCCAATATGATGTTAGTGGTAATGTTAGGAGCTAGTATAATTGCTGCAGCAGTTTGTGAATTGATTAAAAATAAAGTTAGACAAGTCAAGTAAAAAGACTAGATGTTTGTCATACATGACACGATAGTATAGTATGAATCAATTCTAATGTAATTTTATATACTACATACACATTTAACATAATACAATTTAATAATTTCTCGTTCATTCCATCAATTAGTAATGTTTCAGTTCAATCCAAGTTCATGTAGAAACTGTTCATGAATCTTTTAGTTAGCAAATGAATAGAAATAGGACAAATGGATCAGAACAACTATATTCTGTAAACATCAACAAATTTGCATCAATTCTATTAGAAAGGTATTAACTCCAAAAGTAGCAAAAGCCGAATTCAAAACAATCACAAAACTCCGGTTGCTAAACAGTTGAGAAATCCATTTTAGGTAATTCCATCAAACCTTCAACACATCTACACATCCTTATATATAGAGTCAAGTCAAAAATCAGGACGAACGGCTTGTTGAACTGAAATTTGATACAATCTTTAATCATACTAGTTAATCCGGCATTACAGATGCTTTTGGTAAGTTGGTATATCTTTACATCTTACAAGTTGTGTCTTAACCGTTGACATTTTTTGATTACAAATATTTTTTTTGGGGGTGGGGGGTTAGGGACATAACGGTTAACCGCAGTTTATAGTCCGAGAAATTATATAGCCATAATAAAAAAATACTTCAAAACATGGGGGTATACAAAAGTTGGACGTTGAGTTATAAATAGTTCTTGGTTTCTTGTCAATTCCCAAGTTGGAATAATTCAAAACTATATTTAACAAACACTACAATGTCTTCAATTAAGATCGTTCTCTCTACTGAATCAACTGAAAAGGGTAAGTTAACCGAGATCACTACCGGTGACTTTCCTCAAATCTCCGATGATCAAATTCTTTTCAAAGGTGTAGCTTACGCTGCCAACCCAACTGATTGGAAACATGTTGTTTTAAAATGGGGGTACTTCTGGTTCAATTGCAGGCTCTGATGCTGCTGGTATTGTTACTAAAGTAGGTAAGAACGTCAAAGGATTTGAAATTGGTGATTATGTATCTACCACTTTACATGGTAATTATAGACCTGATAGAGGTGCCTTTGCTGAATATGTTATTGCTGATCCATCTACCACTGTTAAGTATGACAAAAGTACATTTTTATCCGAACCATTACCAGTTGGAAATGTTCCTTCAAGTGTTATTAACACTTTTGAAGGTGCTGCTGCTATCACTTTAAGTTTAGCAACTGTTGGTTTATCATTCAGTAATTCCTTGAAAATTAAGCCAAACAAAGCTGAGAATGCTTCCAAGTACATTTTAATTTGGGGTGGTGCCACTTCAACTGGTATCGTCGGTATTCAAATTGCTAAGTTAGTGTATGGATTAAAGGTCATTACTACTGCATCTAAGAAACATCATGAATTCTTGAAATCATTAGGAGCTGATGAAACTTTTGATTATCGTGAATCAAATGTCGTTGACCAAATTAAGAAAGCAGCCAATGGTAAGATCTATTATGCTTTTGATACTGTTTCTAGCACCGAAACTTATCAACAAACTTATGATGCCACAATTGGATCTCCAACTGAATCATTTGATAATTTATTATTCCAAACTAAGGCAAATATCAAAACTGAATCAGGAAATAATGCCAGATTTTCAAGTACCGTTGTTTATTTAGCTAATGGAGAAACTTTAAATTTGGGACAGGAAATTATTCCAAGTAAAGAATTGTTAGATGATTATAACCACTTTTGGCTAGAATTATTACCACCATACATCAAAGATTTGAAGAATCCAAATCTCAGAGTCTTGAAACCTGGTTTCGAATCAGTCAATGAAGCTCTTGACTTATTAAGAGAAGATAAAATTAGTGGTGAAAAAGTTGTGTTTAGATATTAAGATTTCATCACATTTTTAGTTAGTTTGTTTATATTTCAGCATATGTACAAAACATAGTCAATATACATGACTTCAATTAGTAATTACCTATCATAAGTTTAAATTTGTAGGTCATATAAACGAATTTGGTTCAAAATATTGCAAATTAAACAATAATAAAAAAGCCACATGAGACCAACATTATACTGGTACTACTATATTATTTAAGTAGAAATTACCTAATTATCCAAAAGAGGTAACTCCTGGCATCAGTTATATGTCATACGGATAATAAATAATGACGGATAAAGAGATGGGGCAGTATAATTAAGAACGGCTAATGAATGGATAAATTTGATTTATAATAAATCTGGATCCACCGGAGATATCGATGGTCCAAAAATTTCCTATTTACGTCATAAAAACTGCGAATTGTTGATAGTTTTTTTTTTTGACATGGTAGCTTTTTTAGATAATTATACTGTTTGATTACAAACTCTTCAACTTTCAGTCTCGGGAGTAAGAACTTCAAACACATGTTCATCATCAACCGGCTATTAGTATTAAGTAATAGGATAATTGGAGTGGTCAACAATGATGGAAATGATATCTGAATACTATATAAATAGGATTGACATTTCACCATGATTGATAAGTTTGAATCGAATTAATCTACATCAAACAACTACAATTACAATTATAACAACAACAAAAACAATGTCTTCAAATAAAATCGTTCTCTCAACTGGTTTAACAGGAAAAGGTGAATTAACTACCATTTCTACCACTGTATTTCCTCAAATTACTGATAATCAAATTCTTCTCAGAGGTGTTGCATATGCTGCCAACCCAACTGATTGGAAACATACTGTCTTACAATGGGGTTATTCCGGTTCAATCGTGGGATCAGATGCATCTGGCATTGTTACTCAAATTGGTAAGAACGTTAAAGGATTTGAAATTGGTGATTATGTATCCACTACCTTACGTGGTAACTATTCCATTGATAAGGGTGGTTTTGCAGAATATGTTATTGCTGATCCACCTACCACTATCAAATATGATAAGAGTACATTCTCATCAGAACCATTACCTGTTGGAAGCTTTCCCGCTAGTATTATTAATACTTTTGAAGGAGCAGCTGCAATTACTTTAAGTTTATCAACCGTTGGATTATCATTAAGTCATTCTTTAAAGATTAAACCTACCAAAGAATCAAATTCCTCTAAATACATTTTAATTTGGGGTGGTGCAACTTCAGCTGGTATTGTTGCTATTCAAATTGCAAAATCAGTATATGGATTAAAGGTCATTACTACTGCATCTAAGAAACATCATGAATTCTTGAAATCATTAGGTGCTGATGCAACTTTCGATTATCGTGATTCAAATGTTATTGATCAAATCAAAGTTTTCGCTCAAGGAAAGATTTATTATGCTTTAGATACAGTCTCCACTATCGAAACTTATCAACAAACGTATGATGCTACTGCTGGATCCCCTACTGAATCATATGATAATTTGTTATTCTTACCTAGGGAAGCTATCAAGACTGATCCAGAAAACAAAGCTAGATTTTCCGGTACTATCGTTTATTTAGCTAATGGTGAACCACAAGAATTAGGAACAGTGGTCTATCCAACTCAAGAATTATTAGATGATTATAATCAATTCTGGTACGAGTTATTACCACCATTCCTCAAAGATTTAAAAACTCCAAATCTTAGAGTTTTAAAACCTGGTTTTGAATCTGCCAACGAAGCTCTCGAGTTATTAAGAGAAGATAAAGTTAGTGCTGAGAAAGTTGTTTTCAGATATCAATCATGATTTTGGAATTAATTTGATTTTCTATTTTAGTTAGTTAATACGTGTAAAATATTCACTGGTGATAAATATTAATAAATGTGGTTTCAATTAATAATTAACTATTGTAAGAATAAATTTATTTGCAACAAAATTGAATCAGGACTAAAATATTCCCGTTTAAGAACATCTTTACCGCTCATTAATTTTGTTTGTTTTTAACGAAACTTAAATCTGGAGCAAATAACATCAATCGATAGGAGATATACATCAATTGAATTGAATTGAATCATCATTTATTATGGGACCAAACAGGTAATCGAGATGAAATTGAAAGCGAAAACTAATACAGAGGATCGATCCACTCATAAGAATGTCATTCCTGGTACTTCAAAAATCATGGTAAAGACTTATGATGAGAGTTTACCAGGTGCCTCAATTATGCTGTTAGATAAACCCATCCGACACTACAATCAGACTAGACATCATAAACTACCTGAAGGTAGTCTGTCGATGATTTTTACATTAGATCATGATAATCATTTAAATCGAAGAAAACAGGATGTTCCAGGAACTTCAACTATACGAATATCAACTAAAAAATCTAATTTTATAAATTCTGATACTGATCAAATCAAATATCCTGAATTGACGGGTCGAAGAATGTTTCAGGTTAATAATCCAAGAAAAGGTAAAACCAATAATGATACTTCTATTAGTAATGATTTCAAGATTACATCTCATATAAACAACCATAGAATAGTAAAGAAATCAAGAATAAAAGGAGGGGTAGACCAGAATGAAATCATATTACAAATCAATCAGGATAAGAAGGTAGATAATCATTATTATAACACTTTATCAGCCATGCCATCCACCACATTTAAGCCAGTATCGAAGTATCCTAATAGTTCAGAAAGGAAAGATATTCAAATTAAACATAATAAATCGGCGGTACGAAACCAATCACAAAGTCCCGACTCTAATACAACCAGTAGTGCTAGTAATCAAGGTATATCTTTTAAGTATAAATTACCGAATCATACAAAGGAGGTAACACCTGGTACGTCAGTTATATTCCATACTGATAGTAACCATGGTACAAATGATGGATAAAATATCGGTTAGAGTCGGGGGAGATTAGTAATATGGACGGATAATCAAAGGATAAATGTAACGAAACTATATAGGAAATATACAAGATCAATAATTAATATATATGTGGAATGATATTTGATTAGATATGATTTATAATAAATCTCGTTATAGCGGAGTTATCGATTGTCTAACGTTACGTGCTTATGTCAAAAACATTACGAATTATTGTCGCAAATGATTTTTTTGTCATGATTATTTTTAAGATTACAAACTGTCTTTGGTAGAGGGTTGCACAATTCGGTATATGTAGTACTATTCCGAGAGTATCAACTACTGGACATTCTTTGTAACTGATGGGTTTATTTAATGTAGCTTAATGATATATAAATAGGGTCGATTCACCATAATTGAAAAGCTTGAATAAAATTAATCTACAATTACAATCACAAATACAATTGCATCTACAACTACAACTCAAATATGTCTTCAATTAAAATCTGTGTTTCAACTGGTTCAGAATCCAAAGGTGAATTAACAACAATTTCTTCAGGTGATTTTCCTCAAATCAATGATGATCAAATTCTTTTCAAAGGTGTTGCTTACGCCCTTAATCCAACTGATTGGAAACATATGTTAAATCATTGGGGTGCACCAGGATCAATCAGTGGTTCAGATGCAGCTGGGATTGTTACTCAAGTAGGTAAGAATGTGAAAGGATTTGAAGTTGGTGATTATGTATCTACCACTTTACATGGTAATTATAGACCTGATAGAGGGGCATTTGCTGAATATGTCATTGCTGATCCCGTCATCACTATCAAATATGATAAAACTAAATTTTTAGCAGAACCATTATCTGCTGGACAAACTGATTCAAGTATTATTAATTCTTTTGAAGGAGCTGCTGCTATCACTTTAAGTTTAGCAACTGTTGGTTTATCATTCAGTAATTCCTTGAAAATTAAGCCAAACAAGGCTGAGAATGCTTCCAAGTACATTTTAATTTGGGGTGGTGCCACTTCAACTGGTATCGTCGGTATTCAAATTGCTAAGTTAGTGTATGGATTAAAGGTCATTACTACTGCATCTAAGAAACATCATGAATTCTTGAAATCATTAGGAGCTGATGAAACTTTTGATTACCGTGAATCAAATGTCGTTGACCAAATTAAGAAAGTAGCCAATGGTAAGATCTATTATGCTTTAGATACTGTCGCAAATAATGAAACCTTTCAACAAACTTATGATGCAACTATTGGATCACCAACTGAAGCATTTGATAATTTATTATCGTTAACCAAAGAAGATATCAAGACTGAATCCGATAATCATTCTAGATTTGCATCTTCATTAGTTTATTTAGTTGATGGTAAACCACATTCCTTAGGATCAGTAATTTATCCAACTCAAGAATTATTAGATGATTATCATCAATTCTGGTATGAATTATTACCTCCATACGTACCATACTTAAAGAATCCAAATCTTAGAGTTTTAAAACCTGGTTTTAAATCAGTTAATGAAGGTCTTGAATTATTAAGAGATGATAAAATTAGTGGTGAAAAACTTGTATTCAGATTTGAATAGGGAAATCAATCCTCCTCCCTCTAAAAAAGAATCCTACAATACCTAATTTTTTTTATCACCTTAAGACTTACACTAATGCAATTGTTCTATTATATTTCCATTAAATTGCTCTTTCTTACATAACTTACATACATAATATTAATACTATGATTGTATCCCATCCACCTTCCCCCCTAATAATAATCTCCACTTTTTAAAAGAAAAGCCCTGCCCTCTTTTCACACATACAACCCTTATTTTTCCATAGATTGATTTGATTAATCTCGTTGAAAATATCGTAAAAATACATACATCCACCGATACCACCGCCTAAGTAGTAATGTAGAGATTATGATAAAATACAGCAGATAATTATACATAGAGACGTCCTGGCAAAAAAAAAAAAAAAATAATTAATTAATTTTTTATCGCAACCATTTTAGTGAGATGAAATGATTTTTTTATTTTTATTTTTTGACATTTCCGAAACGAGACGATAATTCCATCGCCACAATTCCGCAGGGGGAAATATACCCAATCAGTGTTATTATTATTTCTTATGTTTTATCACTATGTAGTTCATTGTTAGTAGTATGTTTTGGTGGGAAGGAGGGGGAGGGGATGAATGAATTGGAGGGATGGAGGGACGTTGAGCGGGAAAATACTTTTTCATTTTTTTGTTTTTATTTTATTGATTTGTCGATTTAGTGTACCATTATGGAAATATGACCTGAATGCAGATTTACCATAACAATTATTAATTTTTAATTTATTCTAGGTCTTATTAAGTAGGATTGTACAGTTTCTTTTAGGCTGGATTATTGTGGTGAATTATGCTTTTAGATAGATGAAAAAGAAAAAATTACGTAAAAGATGTAATAGCTAAACTTTAATAATAGTAGTTATAGTTGATCATTGTTTGATCTGTGGTGGAGACAATTGATTTAATGAGGATAGTTGAGGATTAGACGGTACTGACTCCTAAATATCAATTGAATTGATAGGGTTGAATAAATAAAATGGTTTACGTAAAAGGTTAAAATTGGGGGATGGAAGAGAAGAGTGAGAAATTAACGAACAATCTTATTACCACCTGAATAGTAAATAAACTCGATGTTGTTGATCGGTGTTCCACGTAGAAGTAGAAGAAACCCACAGAGAGAGAGAGAGATAACGTTACTTTTAAATGAATATACGAAATAAATAAGTAAATAAAATAAAAAGGATTCCCACACACACATTGATATCCCTTAATTGACCCAAATTTCTAGAAAAATCTCGTTTCTCTAATTAACTGTGACTTATTGTTATTATTGTTGTTGTCTGTTTGTGGTTGATTTAAATATTTTTTAAGCTTTGACAATTAACGAACATTTTTTTTTTTCGCATTAATATATAATAACAGTAAAAGGAACAAATTTATACCGGTTTATTTTTTTAAATATCCATTTTTCCGAAACATCAAATTGTAATTGTAAAATTGTAATAAAACAAACAAACATGACAAAGGAAGAATATAAGACATCTAGTTATAAAGCTGCTATTATTTCAGGATCTCATGATGAAGGTAAATTAATTGAAATTTCCTCCATTGAAGCTGCTAAAATCACTAGTAAGGAAATCTTAGTGAAATCAGTTGCTTATGCTGTCAATCCTACTGATTGGAAACATATTGTGTATGGTTTAGGTGCCAAAGGTTCGGTGGTTGGTTGTGATGTAAGTGGTGTGGTTGAAGAAGTTGGTGAAGAAGTGGTTGGATTTAAAAAAGGGGATATTGTTTCTGGTTTTGTTCATGGTAATGTTCAAACTAGAACTGGAGCCTTTAGTGAATATGTTATTTTAAATCCTATTACTGTAATTAAATATGATGCAAGTAAATTTGATACTGATAAAGTGTTAACTACTGGAATTCATCCATCAGATTTACTTACTACATTTGAAGGGGCAGCCTCAGTTACATTAGGATTAGTTACAGTTGCTATTAGTTTTAGTCATTCATTAAAAGTTGATATTGAAAAGAGTAAAAATAGCAATGATTATATTTTAATTTGGGGTGGTGCCACAGCAACTGGAGTTTTAGCTATTCAATTTGCTAAATTAATTTATGGATTAAAAGTTATAACTACTAGTTCACCAAAGAATTTTGAATATTTAAAATCATTAGGTGCCGATGAAACTTTTGATTATAATGATAAAGAAGTAGTTTCTAAGATTAAATCATTTGGTAAAGGATCAATTAAATATGGGTTAGATACGATTGCTTTTCCTGAAACTTTCCAAAGTTTATATGATGCAACTGAAACTACAAATCAAGTTCATTTAGATTCATTATTAGGATTAACTGGAGAATCAATTAAGACTGATGCCAGTAGAAAAGTAACTTATGGTACTACTTTAGCTTATACTGCATTAGGTAAAGATGTTACCTTGGGACCAAAAACCACTAAATCCACTCCTGAATTACAAGCTGATTATAAATTATTTTGGGAAACTGTATTACCAAAATATATTGATCAATTAAAGAGTAATAATTTAAAAGTTTTACCAAAAGGGTTAGAATCAGCCAATGAAGCATTAGAATTATTAAGACAAAATAAAGTTAGTGGTGAAAAAGTTGCATTTAGATATTAGCTGTAAGTATTATAATATAGTATAATATAGTATAGTATAGTATAGTATAGTATAGTACTGTATAGTATATATATGTCTCCTATTTTAATTGTACTCCACCTTTTGATAATTTAATTGTCACTCATTTTAAATTTACGGTGATTGAATTGAATTGAATTGAATTGATATGATTGTTGGGGTTTATATACTGGAGTTATATACAGGAACACACATAAATATCATCATTCAATGTAAGATAGTGTAACATCAAACCACTACATATTAATATTAGTTAGTAATATGTAGTAGTAACTAAATATTTAGTAGTAGTTAATGGAAAAGACAAGAAATAATAGAGTAGTAGTTTCTATATAATCTAACGTGATGATTAATCAGTTGATAGTTAGTTACTATTACTTAATAACAGATGATGTTTTGTTTTGTCTTGTCTTGTTTGCATCAGCTGTCAAAAAGAGGTCAGTTTATTTGCGACATACCATTCATTTGCGACATAACTTTTCTGCTCATTAAAAAAAAATGAATGATGCTTTTTCTGATCTTTTTTTGTGATTTATTTACGTTTTAAATTTTTCACTTTTGTGGTGCTTCTTTTTTTAATTTTATTTTTTTTCTGGTGAGAGGTGAATTTAATTAATTAATCATCCATCATCCATCATTCATCATCATTCACTTCAAACCATCCATCTCATTTAGACTTTCTTCTGTAGTTCATTTAATCCAGTCCATCCTATTCATACTATCTCATCTCATCAACTATTCCAGCCATCCATCCATCCATCACACCAATCAACCAGAGATAAGTACTACTCCCCATTGTATACAATATCTGTCAATCTTACACTGCCCTGTCCTGTCCTGTCCTGTCCTGAATCGCTTATTTATTATTAGAACCATATTTTATTTTTAATTGATTACCCTTTGATTCCGTTTAGAAATCTCATTCACCAATCGTATACTTTAAGTTCGTTCGCCACCAGTGATCATCATCATCCTTCCTCCCTTGCCCCCATTAACTATTATTATTATCATCACTTATCGTATAATCCGCCCCTCCCTCCCTCACCTTACCTTTAACACTCCCCTCGTTATATCAACTATTATTACCACCATCTAAAATTTACTGCCATTATTAGTACTACCTTTCCATGTTTACTAATTCTCTTTAACTTCTTATATCAACTATCACCTTATCACTTATATAACTTTTATCATATCATATCATTTCATTTCATCAACCATAAAAGTTTATCCCCTCCATATATATATCTATACAAACCACTCACATACCTAGGAATTATAATCATTTTATCCGATAATGCAATCAATCGATTTATCATTTAATTATGATAATCAATCGGAACTTTCATTGATTCATCTATGGAAATTAACTAATAATCCTTTCATATCAACCAAATCAAATTCTTCAACTGAAAGAATTAATAATCGATCTTGGAGATTATTAAATAAAAAATTATTATTATCATCATCAGTTAATTCAAATTCTATTCCACCCCATATAAACAATAATGTTTCTAATCAAAAATCAAATCAACCACTTGATATTAATTTAAATCTTTCAAAAAGTTCTTTAACTGATATATTACCTGCTCCTATACCTCCTCCCCCTCATCATCATAATTCAAAACAAACTTCTTTATTATCTCATTCTTCAAAATTAAGTTTAATGTCAACCACAAGAAATTCAACTAATGGTAGTCATATTGAAAAGAATCATAGTAATCATAAATATTTACATCATGATGGTGAGGATGATGAAGATGATATTCCATCTTCTGATTTAGATCATGATCATAATGATGATGAATATGATGATGATGATGATGATGATGAGGAAGAGGATGAAGAAATTCAGGACATTCATTTATCAAAACCTAATAAAGTTAATGAAAGACAAAGTTCAGCAAGTTCATTATTTTATACAAATGAATCACAATCACAACCCCAATCTCAACAAACAAAGAATATTTTTTATATTGCCAATTCTCCTTCTCCTCCTGATCAAAAAAATCATCATCATGAATTAAGTTTACAACAACAATTGTTAAAACTGCAACCACCACCAACTCAATCAAATCATCATCATTCCCACAGTATATCGCCTTTACATCAACAACAACATACTCAATCTCCTTTGCATAATCAACAACAACTTAATCAAACGAGTAAACCAACTACTACTACTACTACTACTACTACTACTGCCCCACCACCGCCTATAGCTAGACAAAGTTCATTATTCAGTAATAATTATCAAATCCAATCTAAATCTATTGCCAATTACGACACAGAAGGTTATTCATCTACTGATATCGATGAAGATGATGAAGATATCTTGGAAGAAGACGAAGGAGATGATGAGGATGATGATGAAGTAGATTATCGACCACCTGTGATTCAAAAATCAAATTCGAAATTTTTTGAAAAAAGATCATCATCAGCCACTCATATTGGATTAAAAAGTAATCAAAAAAAATCATCGGAACAAATCATAATTAAAGATAAATCTTCATCATCAAATTCAAAAAGTGCTGGCACTTCAACTTCAACTGATAATGAAAGTGAATGGTTATCAGTATCATCGGAAGATGATCCAACTAATAAATCATTAGAAAATGAAAAATTATTACCCTTACAATTTAATAAAGTTATCCCCACTTCATCTCATGTATCTAATTTATCATCTACATCCACGGATATCTTACCGATTATGGAAGATGGAGAAATTAATCATTTAACTCCTTCTCGATCTAATTCAAGAACAAATCTGAATTCTCATTTGAATTTAACTAATAATAGTAGTAGATATGGATCTATGAAACAACCAAGATCTTTATTATCAGGTTTATTCTTGAATGAAATGGTTAATAATTCAAATTTAAATGTTGATTCTCATGCTACGAAACCAACTTTGAAAAGATCATCTACTACAGGGATATTATCAATCAAACCATTTGCTCCCTCCACTAACAGCACAACAACAACAAGTTCCACTCATACTACTACCACTAATCCGAATAAATTAAAATCAAGTAAGAGACCTTCATTAATGTTCACAAGACGTCATACTTCCATGACTGACATCCCTCATGATGCTCAAAAACCACCCATCCAATTCAATGATCAATTTTTAACCATTGTGGAAAATAATAATCAAAATGGGAATATTGATAATGACAATAGTAATGGTACAGGTACCATGACTACCACTTCTACGTCAACCACCTCTACCACCGCCACCAGTAAGAAAAAATCAATAGTGGGGGTTTCTTATGATACAGTTACGCTGCTGTCTAATGTGAATCATAATGATCATAGTTTAACTACGGTTGATAGTAATAATGGTGGACATAATGAAACGTTATCTTCAAGTTTACATCGGATATCAAGATCAGCTTCGAATAATTCAATTCGGAATTATTTCACTAAATCTTCCTTGAATTTAACTAAAATTTATTCATCAAAATTTGGAAAATCTGAAACCAGTTTTAATTCAGAAAAATCAACCACTCAACAACAACCATTACCTACTCATTTAGAACTGTCAAATTCAACCGCCACAACCACAGATTTAGAGCCCCCTCAACCATTATCTACAACTTTCCAACCATCTCCTCCTACTCCGATTTCAAAATCTTCTCAACCTTCATCTAGATCATCTTCATCACACCACCAAGCCAATCCAATTGAAATGTCTCCTAATACAAAGAAAAAGGAAGCATTATCATCGGAATTAAGTGAATCCTTAAAGGAATCAATCATAATTGATCATAAATTAGGTAAGATCCCCTTACCTTCCAAAGTAATCGATAGTGATAAACTCCTTAGAGCCAATGGTATGGCAGCGATGGTTGGTGGTGATGATAGTGATTTCGATGATTATCATTCCAAAGGTTGGTGAAAATGAAAGGACATTCATTCATTCATTCATTTATATATCAAAAAGTAAATATCTATTTTTTTCACTTCATCATTCATTGCATTTATTATTTCTACATCTATATATATATCTTTGTATATCGTTTTCTTTTCTCTGTTCTCTTCTCTTTTCTTATGTATGAAATTCCTGGGATTGGTTTTATGACGAATCAAAATAAAATAAAATTTAAAAGTATACCGTTTATCAAATGTAGCTTGTAAGTTCGTCTTTAGTTGCAAAATCAATTTCTGCGCATCCCAAAATGTGACTGATATCAAACGATCAAAAAAAAAAAAATCAAACCTCAAATAAAGATCAAAAAGGTATGGACCACATATAAGTCAAGAACAAGACCACCACCACCACCACCACCATCCCCATATGAAGACAGATTATTATGAACTTCTAGGTGTGGAAGTGTCTGCCACCGATACTGAACTTAAAAAGGCGTATCGTAAGAAGGCGCTTCTTCTTCATCCTGATAAGAATCCTGATAATGTGGAAGAAGCTACTCATAAATTCGCTTTAGTGAGGGCTGCTTATGAAGTTTTAAGTGATTCTAATGAACGTGCTTGGTACGATGCTCATAAATCATCGATTTTGAAAGATGATTATGATTATCATGGAAATGGTGAAGAAGATGACGAGGTGGAGATGATTATTCCTAGTGTTTCCGTGGATGAAATCATGAGATATTTTAATTCATCATTATATGAAAAAGTTGATGATTCTCAAGCTGGGTTTTATCGTATTGTGAGTAATTTGTTTGAAAAATTAGCTTCTGAAGAAGTATTACATGGGAAATATCAAAATTTACCTAAATTTAATCAATATAAAGATGATGATTTGAATAATATTGATGTGATTGATAGTTCATTATTATTATTTCCTCGATTTGGGAATAGTAGAACCGATTATATTGATCAAATACGACCCTTTTATAATACTTGGTTGAATTTCTCCACGGTGAAGAGTTTCAATTGGAAAGATGAATATCGATATGCTATGGCTCCTGATAGACGAACTCGTAGAATGATGGAGAAAGAGAATAAAAAATCTCGAGATTTTGCTAGAAAGGAATATAATGAAACGATAAGGAAGTTTGTCCAGTTTATTAAAAAGAGAGATCCTAGAGTTAAAGCTGGGATTAATGAATTTGAAAAATTAAAGAAGAAACAAAGACAACAAGAATTAGATGATCAAGTTAAACAAGAAAAGAAAGCGAAATCAATGTTAAAGAATCAAGCTGCTAATTATACCGCTCAAGATTGGCAACAATTGTCGATGGATGAATTGAAAGATTTGGAAAATATGCTTAATGAAGAATATGATATTTCTCCTGATGATGATGACGAAGATTTCGATTCTGATAGTGAATTTGATGAATTTGAAAATCCAGATGAAGATGATGTGATTGAAACTTTTGAATGTATCATTTGTAATAAATTCTTTAAAACTGAAAAACAATTTGAAATTCATGAATCTTCAAATAAACATAAAAAATTATTAAAACAATTAAAATGGGAAATGAAAAAAGAAGGGATTGATTTAGGTATTGATAAAGATGATATTGATTTAGATGATTTTGAAACTGCCAGTAGTCAATTTGATTCTGATGATATTGATGATATTGATAGTGAGATTGATGCCAATGATGATGATGATAATGAAGTTAAGAATGATAATGATGTGGAAGATGTTCCTGAAGATGATGTCAAAGAAGAGGATGCTAAACCAATAAATAGTTCCAAACAAGAGTTTGAAGTTGACGATACAGTCGATAGTGATTTTGAAGTCGAATCGCAAACCAACACCGGACTTGACGACATAAACCTTAAAACTCAAAATCTAAAACTAATAGATTCTGATGATGATGAAGATGACGATTGGTCAACCACCAAAAAGAAGAAAGATAAAAAGAAAAAGAAAAAATCAAAACCGTCATCAGAACCAATATCAATCACCACCAGTAAAGAACCATCTCCTTCACTTGGTTCTGAACTTTGTACAGTTTGCAACCAAGAATTTTCATCTCGAAATAAATTATTCCAACATATTAATGTAACAGGTCATGCCTTAGCTCCTAAATCTAAAAAGAAAAAGTCTAAAAAGAAAAATTAAATCCTTGTATATAATACATCTATAGATTCTATAAACTTTACTTAATACCAACTTTAGATTTTTTAATCTTTGCCATAACAGGTTCACTGATCCCTTTATTACCTAAAGCACCTAAACCTTCACCTTCAGTCCAACCTAATTTCTCAAGTAATTGTCTACCGATATTATTACTATCAATTTGAGGAGCTTTACCACCAACAATATCCCCTTCTTTCAAAACTGCCTTCAGAGAATCACCTCCACGTCTTGATGTTTTACCGCCATTGGAAGCGTCAATTTCTTCCTTAGTTCTCTTTTGATCAGTTCTATTGAATATAGGTCTTTGTTTTAACATATGATTGATTTGATCATATTTAGGTAAATAATGGAATGTACGTCTACTCTTGGATGCTTTGATAAATTGATTCAAACCTCGATTACCACATTTTAAACTCTTTAAATTATATAAGGTGGCCATTTTGGTGACTGTTTTATTACCATGGGGATCTAATGGTGGGAAACTTATAGATTGACGATCTGTATCATGAAGAAATTCTTCAAATTCTTGTTTAATTTCTTTGATGTGTAATGAAAATGGATATATGACGCGTAAATCATGATTATCGGCGCCACCTTGTAAGAAAAGGTCTTTTTTAATTTGTTTCTTATCTCTTCTGTTTAATCGATGTGCTTCATATTGATCTATTAATGATGCACGTAATTCATCATCTAAATTATAGTTATCAAATTTAGCTCCTTTTTTATTGACTTTAAAGCTTGGATTTGAATTCTCTAACGATAAGAAATCTTGATTTTTGCTTGTTTTGGCATAAGATATTAAGGCATCTAAATCATCATCTTGATCTTCGCTATCATTGTCAGGTTGTTCAAATGTTTCAACATTATCTTCCTCTTCAGATGAATCAGAAATGTAAACATCATAATCTTCTTCGTTAGGTTTACTATCATCCAAGAAATTAGCAGTTATAAATTTCAAAAAACTCTTTATTCTGTGCTCTTTCACACCATTACTTAAAGCATACTCTATAATCTCATCTTCATCAATCCACATACTCTCATCATCCGAGCCTGTGATATCTAGACATCTTGTATAATATTGATTTTTAATACCATATCTCAAATTAGTAACTGATATTTTGGAAATGTCAAATTCGTAATCTTCAGGAAGGAATCCATACTCAGGATCTGTTTCTTCTTCCTCTTCCTCTTCTTCGTCATCTTCTTCTTCACCCTCCTCGACTTTACTACTTTCAGGTTCTTCATACATTTCAAACTGATCATCATCCAACTCTTCTCCATCATCCTCTTCCTCATCACTATCTTGTTGCATTCTATGTATGACGTTAGCTATATATTCGCGATATAAAGCATCTCTTTGTTCAGCATCAATATCATGTTTGGAAGTCAACGGTAATTCGACTTCCATATTACCATATTTATCTCTAACAGTAGTCATAGAAACCTTACCGATACTTATCGTAGAGTCATATTCCAACTCAGTTGGTTGAGCTTCGATTGTTGTAGGCGGTATAATATCTTTATCAGCAAGTTTAGAATCACCTTTTTCATCTATGATCATTCCTAATATAACTGGTTTTGGTTTTTGATTGTCCTTAATATCTTGAATGGTTAAATTCTTAACCATGTCTTGTTGATCTTGTTCTGAAAAATCTTCTTCAATTGTCTCTTCAGTCTCAACCTCGATGACTGAGCTTATGTCTTCATCTTCTTGAAACTCTTCCACATCTTCAAGTTCTGGTAATTCATCTACCTCTTCATCCGCTTCCAACTCATCCTGTATAATTTCCTGTGACTCCACTTCTTTAACTTCCTTTGCTTCTTTTACCTTCTTAAGCAAATCTGCACTTGGATCATATACTTCCTTTGCTTTGACAAATTCTATAGGTTTATTACGTAATGCTTTCCCAAAGGTTTCATCTTGATGATTCTCTGTATATTTAACCTCATCGATTAACCTACCTGGACGTTTAGATAATGCCTTCATAGTAGTCTTTGGAATAAAAATATTTGACTCCTCATCCATTAATTCAAGTACATTACCACCACTATAGCCCTTTTTATGGTTATTAGAAGTGCCTTTGCTCTTTCTCTTCCTATTCTTCTGACCAGCAGCAGAATTGGCTCCACTTCTATTGAACCCTCCTCGCCTTGTTTTCCTTACCATGGTTAAGTTTATATCTAGTTTATAAATAGAATATGACTATTAAATACTTGCAATCAACATCTTTTTAAATGTTTACAGAATCAAAACTATATACAGGACGCGACACACATGGTAGTTTATGTCATTTTTGTTATGTCATTTTTTCTTTTGCGACAAATGATTATTTTATGACATAAAGCATATGCAGTACCAATAGATAATGTTAACAGGAGGCAGTTTAAGTTTTAAATAACACTTTATAAATTATTGCTGTAAATTTGATATCAATTCATTATTTATTCATCAACGTTATATATATTATAGTATTGTTAATATCATAACTGATACTTAGTACGTGTGACATGTCAGAACCGATTGATCCTGCTACTCCTCCCATAGAGAATAATAAATCAGAGTTATTTAACTTCTCTACTGTGTGGCAACAGATAAACAAAGTTATAAAAGATGAAGAAGAACCAAGTAAATCACCTATAATAATACTAGGGAAATCATTTGATAATATTGAGGAAGCAGAAATCGCCATTAAATCAAGAATATGTCTAACTTATAGATTTGGATTTGAAGCTATTCCAAGATCAATGGAGGGTCCTAATCCCCTCCAATTCATGTTTAATAGAAGTTTAATTCCCAACATTCAATATTTACCTCGATTTATGGATAAAGATAATTTCGGTAGTGATGTCGGGTGGGGTTGTATGATTCGTACTTCTCAAAGTTTACTTGCTAATAGTTTTTTACAAACTATAGAAACTGAAGCTTCAGCTTCTAATAATCATATGGAAGATGAAGCTGATAAGAGTATAATAGATTTCTTTAGAGATAATTCCCAAAGTCCATTTTCATTACATAATTTCATTAAAGTGGCATCAGCGCTGCCCTTAAAAGTTAAACCAGGTCAATGGTTTGGTCCTGATGCTGCCTCTGTATCAATCAAACAATTATGTGAAAGCTTAAATTCAAGTCCAGATATTAAAGATTTCCCTCATATTAAAGTCTTAATCAGTGATAGCTCTGATTTATATGATACAGAAGTGAAAGAAGTATTTGACGATAAGAATGTCCTGGCTTTATTGATTCTTTTACCTGTTAGGTTGGGAATCGATAAAGTGAATTCCTATTATCATAGTAGTTTAATGCATTTATTATCATTACCTCAATCAGTTGGAATTGCCGGTGGTAAGCCTTCATCATCATTTTACTTTTTAGGTTATCAAGATAATGATTTAATCTATATGGATCCTCATCGTCCTCAATTATTCGATGAAAGTACTGATTATGAAACTTATCATACCTTAAATTATAATAAATTAGATATTAATAAATTAGATCCATCTATGATGATTGGTATTTTAGTTCAAAATTGGGATGATTTTGAACAATTCAAATCTAAATGTATTACTGATTCAAATAAGATAATTCATTTCCCTAAGGAAAAACTTTCTAATTTTGAAAATTCAATTCATGCTGGTTCTGAATTCGTTAATATTGATAGTCATGATTTACCTAAGAATGATGAATTTATAAATATTAAACATCCAGAACAACTTGAAAATGTGGAAGATTTTATTGATCTTGGTAATGAATTTGCAGTCACTGAAAAGGTTAGTGATGGCGAGGCTGATATATCAGAAATTATAAATAATGATTCACCTCTGGAAGGTGAAACTGAAATCTCCCCAGTGGGCGATACTGATCAATACGTACTTGATGAAGGCTCTGATAAGATCAATGAAGTAGAATCTTTATAGTTATTAAAGTAATACATATTAATAGTAGTTTTGGGCTACCCTAACTTAATTTTCGTGTGCGTACCAAACCTAAAATCTGTAGAAAATTTAAACTATAATCAGAAAGGCAACCAAATGTGACTAAACTTACACCCTTTTTAACCTTTTACAAATCATCAGTCTTTGAATACACTGGAGGTATAGAGAACTTAAGGATGGCAGTTGATAGTCTAAAGATTTGTACAGTATGTGCATCCAATAATAATAGATCAATGGAAGCTCATAAACAACTACGAGATGCTGGTTATAATGTAAAGTCATTTGGTACTGGTTCAGCCGTTAGATTACCAGGTCCATCGATAGATAAACCCAATGTGTATGATTTCGGTACTCCTTATGAAGATATATATCAAGATTTGATTGGTCAAAGTTGTCGAAAGATGTATGAAGCAAATGGATTGATTCATATGTTGGATAGAAATAGAAAAGTTAAACTGGCTCCTGAAAAATGGCAAAATAATGCTTATGCTGGTAAATTTGATTTGGTCATAACTTGTGAAGAAAGATGTTTTGATAGTGTATTGGAAGATTTAATGTTCAGAATGTATAATAAAGAAGATCAAAATGATGTTAGACAAGTTGTACATATTATCAATATTGATATTAAGGATGATAATGAAAATGCCCTTTTAGGTGGTAAAGGTATCTTAAAATTAGTCAATATGATTCATGATTTCAGACAGAAGAAGAAAGAAGATTATGAAGATGAATCAGATATCATTCTTGAAGATCAAATGATGGGTATATTAACAGAATGGCAAAAAGACCATACTCATTTACCCACTTTATATAGTATTTCATATTATTAAATTAAATTAATTTACATGTATTTATATAGCCCACCTTAATAGAATAAACCTAATGATCTAACCATTGTAACTTAAAGTTGTTGTAGCAATTTGCATTTGGTGTAGATTATATCAAAAGCAGAGCTGCTGAAAATTCTCGTAGTGAAAAAAAATATAAATAAAAAATATATAGTAAATACATGGTATAATTGAAGTACTTACAACCACAAACAATGCCACCCCCTAGACCTCCTATAAATGCCAAGAAGGCTAGGCTATACAACAGTAGGAACATAAGGACTCATACTACAGATGCTAGTCTTGTTGACAAGGACAAGCTTAATGTTCCAGACTTTTTAAATGCCAGAGAATTTGAAATAAAATCATTTGAATTAGCCCAATTAAATTCCAAATATGCATCATCCAATAGAGCTTTCCAAAGCTTACCTCGTGTTCTAAGAAGGAGGGCTGCTTCTCATAATGTCAAACGTATACCGAAGAGATTAAGAGCAAAAGCAATTCGAGAAATGAAATCATCAATGACTGGTACACCTACTGTAATAAAGAAAAAGCATTCAAGAGGACGTGAATTATATCGTTTAACCATGTCACGAAAGTTATTGAATTTAGGAAGTAAACTTAAATTGCTTAAGGGTGTTCCTGATAAAGAAGTTTATGGAAAGAAATTAAATTTACGATCCAAGATCAAAGCATTAAGTAAACAAATCAGAGCATTGAAACAATTAGATACTGAAGTTAAATCAAAGTTAAACAATATAGTTGGATCTTATGATAATACTGGTATAAATGACTATGCTCTGCGTCCAACTGGGAATATCAAATATTATAAAAGACAACGACAATTCGTATGGTTGCCGACTCATATTTGGCATGCAAAGAGATTTCATATGATTAAACAACATGGATTCCAAATACCGTTATCACCTACTCAGAAATGTTTTAAAATGATGAGTAGACAAAGTAAGAATGATTCTATCTTATTTGATACGTCTTATTATACTAGTCTTATAATAGAGTTGGAGAATGATGAGGATTATGAATCGTTTTTACTCAATATTACCAAATTTTCAAAATCAATTCCAGAGAAATTCTTGAATGGTGAAAGAAGTTACAATGATTGGATATATTTAGATGGTCAGAAGATAGGTAAGGTTCTTATATTCTCTCATATTCAATCTCATAAGATATTGATAAGATGTTTCCCATCGATATATAAAGATATCTTTGACTACTGTAAAAATGCAATCTCAAACTATACACCCTCGGCAATCCATGATTGTCAATATTCATTAGGAAGTTTGGATTTAATTGGTCCATTATCACTTCTTTCACTTAGTAAAGTGTTACATTTGGTAGACAAAGATTCTAGTATAAAGAAAGCATGGTCAAAATTATCTACTGTAAGAGATTCCAAAGCTATTCCTATTGGATTTAATATAAGTTTTGATATTATGGATTCAAGATTATGGAAACAACCTATGAAAATTAAACCTTCAAGTGATACTAATGAATATTTTGATTTCGTATCATCCCTTAGTACTTCAAAATTAGTTGATTCAACAACCATTGAGAATCTTTTAACTCCTGAAGGAAGAACTAAATCTTATGAAAATCAAATGTCAATCAAAGAAATAGATAGAGAATTTACAAAAATAGCAACCAGAGAAAACAGTTTAATCGATACAGATATTCAACATAGATCAATTACTCCAATTTTAATCTCAAAGATTGGTCCTCTGTCGTGGACTTTAATAGCTCCATGGTTTTGGATATTACCAATTTGGCTGAAATTAGTAAGGGTATCACAAATCAAACCAGGTGGAATAAGACAGATCAGACAGTATAACTTTGAACGTGGATGTGCTAATTTCCCTAATGATTATCCATGGTTACGCGATGGATGGAATTATAATGAAGCCTTGGGGGAAATTAAACAAAAGAAGTATACAAAGCTTCCTAAACGTCTTGTCAATGATAAACGACCAGATTATAAAGATATAGATATTATTAGTCCATTCAAATGTGATTGGAACTTTCTTAGAAATATAACCTTCTTAGCCAAACTTGCTGGAAAAGATCTCAATCAATTAGAGATAAATCCAAAGTTTGCAATTTATGAAGATGGTAATCCAATTAGAGAGTTAAATTCGACTCATGATTTAAAAAGACAATGTCATGAATTAAAAAGTTTGGCACTAGAAGGTATTAGGAAGTCAGTTATTCCTATAGAAATCTTCAATAAGAAAAATGAATTTCAAAATAAGTTAATTAGTGGAGATTATACCGTTCCGAGAGCACTGGAAATTAGATTTTCACGTCTTCCAGTTATTCAAATCTCACTAGAATTAATCAAAAATGGGAAGTTACATGATGGAGCTAGAATTTATCTTTCAAAAGTTGAACCTGATGATGATGTTTCCATAATTGGGTTCGTTACTAGTGGAGCTTATAATATAAATTTAGGAATTGCGTCTGGTATAGGTTTAGTAAGAGCTGATATCTTAAAGGATTCTACTATTACCACACTCTATGTCCGTAACATTGGTCAAACCTCAATCTACGAAGCTAAAATTACCACCATTCATAATTAATCTCAACTGTATATATAGATATTTATAGATCACCATTCAAATTTGCAACAATTTAATAAATAATCCGGGTAATATTACACACAAAATATTTTGTTACCCGCACTTCCACATTTTTTTTACAGCACTATAAATTAAACTTGAGATCGTTCAGAAATTTTTAAATTTCTCTTTTAGTCTTTTCCTCTTCATACTTACCTAGAGATGTTATAGGAGATCAAGAAGTCCTATAATCGGGATTTGTTAGAGGCATTGCACAGGGCCATGACATATTACGCCAGCTCTTCTATCGTCTGCTTACTGTCTCTCTGAGATGGTGGTGGATTGAGGAGCGTGGATCTTTCAATTTTTGATTTCTTTTCTTTATATATCACTGAAAAGTGATACGTTTCAATTGGTGATGAATATGAACATTTCAATTCATTACTACAACCTTTTAAGTTTGTTCAAGTCTGGCGATTTGATTGATTTAAAAAGTTGTATGATTGATCATTGATTCGATTCGATTCGATTTAATTAATTAGTTAGTTAATTTTATGTGTGTATTTTGATATCTATGCTAATCTACAAATAAGTGGCTGACAACAATTTGATTCAATCAATTGTTGTTTGACTCTACAGGTACAAATCTAGAATGCTCCCACATACGCATCAATGCCTTTTTAAATAAATTAATGTTGTAATCTATGATGGTTAATGATTTATCTTGAACTGCTGAATTCGATTGAAGTTTTTGATCAAAATCATTATCATTATTACCTGGTAAACTTCTTGCATCTTCATTCTTTATGAGTGCAACTAATGCTAATCCTCTAATCATTTGTTTCAAATATAATATTGAACCTTGGGATAAATGACTCACTGATCTTAATTCTCTTGGTTGTTTGGTATTATTATCATCATCATCATCATTCTCCACGTATAAATCATCTAAATCAATCGTTATATCAATGAATTCCGCACAAACTTCATACGTTTGAATATCAACTGGTGATGAATCTGTTGCCACATAAATCTTTGAATTAACATCAAATAAAAATACTTTATCAATCGATGAATGTTGAACTAAATTATCCAACATATTCTCTAATGATGGAAGTTCAGGAATTAATTTTTGAACTATTCTTGAAAACGCTTCATAAATAGAATGATCAAATATAGATGTTAAATAAAATGATACTTGAACTCCTTCTAATCCAAGATCTAATAATTCATCTCCTGTTCTTTGCATGATATCACGTTGAGCATCCATTCTATAATCTTCAGATAATCCATCTATCTTATGAATCAATACTTCTATATTTATCTTAGGATTGACTTTATAAGCGAATTCTATAATCATAGATAAATTTGTTAAAGCATTTAAATACTCATCTTGAGAATCAATCACATATACTAATGCACCTATACTGGAAAATAATCTCTCTGAATCATAATTAGGTTCGAAATAATTCAATTGTCCTGGTAATTCCATCACTGATAAATCAATCAATGATGAAAATTGTTCAGTAGTAGGTTTAGAAGTACTTTCTAAATATAAGGTATCCAATGGTTGCATATTATGAAACACAACTTTACAGATTGAAGATTTCCCTCCTCTCCTTAACCCCATCAACAATATGGTGGCATTGGTATCCTTAGGATTTGGTAATAATGTAGCCTCCATGGTTTGGGTATCTATATCTTGAACAGTGTAATGACTTGGGAGTTTGATACTGACCGTCAATTTGTTTTCTTTATGTTCGTAAGATAACACTACTAATTTTTTGCATTCCTGCACACAAGCAAGGGTCTTCTTCATGTTACATTTACTCTTCTTCATAGTTTAATAGGTATATACATATATTTAGATTTTAATAACTAATCTAATTATCTATGGTCTTAAACGTTTAGGATCTCTTGGGAATAAAGAGGCTCTACGGATATTTTTCAAATCTAAGAAGAACATAACCACTCTTTCTAAACCAATACCACCACCAGCATGAGGTGGACAACCATAAGTGAAAGCATCAACATATTCTTGTAAACCTGGAACATTATAATTAACTTCATGAGCAGCTAATCTTTCCTTTAATAATTCAACATCATGAACACGTTGAGCTCCTGATAAAATTTCTTCCCCTCTCATAAAGAAATCATATGAATTAGAATATCTTGGATCTTCTGGATCTGGCATAGTATAGAATGGTCTAACTGCTAATGGGAATTTATCTAAGATATAGAAATCAGTATCATATTTGTCTCTGACTAATTTACCTAATAATTTTTCATTTTCAGTAGATAAATCTTCAAAATCATCCACTTCTTTACCAGCAGCTCTTAACATAGCTATACCTTCTTTGAAATGAAGTCTAACCATTTTACCTTCTGGAACTTTAAATTCTTCCACTGGGAATTGTTTTCTAACAGTAGCGATTTCAGTACCGTATCTTTTCTTTAATTCAGTAAAGATAAACACAAATAATTCCATTAAAACATCAAGAACTTCATCATAATGTTCTTCAAATGCCATTTCTAAATCCAAACCGGTAAATTCAGTCATATGACGATGAGTATAAGAATTTTCAGCTCTAAAAACTGGAGCAATTTCAAACACTTTTTCAAAATCAGCAGCAATTAATTGTTCCTTATAAAATTGAGGAGATTGAGCTAAATAAGCTGACCCTTTGAAATAATTAACTTCAAAAACATTAGCACCACCTTCAGAAGCAGCACCAATGATTTTTGGAGTATGAACTTCAGTAAAACCCTTTTTGGTTAAGAATTCTCTAAATAATAAACAAACACCTGATTGAATTTTAAAGATAGCTTGATTGGTTGGAGTTCTTAAATCAATAACTCTAGCATCTAATCTAGTATCTAAATTAACAGTTGGAAGATTAAGAGCTTCGGCATCAGCATCAGATCTTGAAGCATCTTCAATTAATAAAGGTAATTGTTCTGGAGTTTCATGAATGGTATGTATTTTATTAATATGAATTTCAACATCTTGAACAGTGGATGATTTAATTAATTCATCGACTTTTCTAACAGTACCATAAACAACGACAATTGATTCTAAATTAATAGATGAAGCCCATTTAACCATTTGTTTAGAAATAGCAGATTTATCAGTATCTTTATTGGATCTCAATAAACCTTGGATTAATTCAGATTGTTGTCTTAAAGTTAAAAACAACATGGTGGCACCTTGTTGTCTGGCTTTATGAACTCTAGCTCTAAACACAACTTGTTCACCATCATTGGCAGCAGATAAATCCTTAATTTGGATTCTTTTATCACCAGTTTTGAAAGAAGAGTTGATCAATGGATATTTACCATATTTTTCCTTAGCTGGATCATTGGCAGCTTCAGCTTCCTTTTCAGCTTTTTCTTGATCTAATTGTCTTTGTCTTTCAGCCTTTTTATCAGCTTTTTCCTTTTCCTTTTGTAATTTCTTTAATGCTTTTTTAGATAATGGTAAACCATCTTCACCAAGAATAACAGGTTCAGCAGAGGTTTCGACTGCACCTTCTTCTTGGATAGACAACTTTTCAACTTGTTCAGCAGACATTGTTAATGATTGAAGGATCTATAAAGTCGTTCATCTAAAATTTATGACTCCAATTTTTTTATTTTTCCAAAAATTTTCAATGTGGTGAGTTTTTCTTTGTTTGTTCGTGTACAGTACGTAATGAATGATTCAAGGGGGAGGGAGGGAGACAAAATCATCATCACTATTTTTTTTTCTGTTAGTGACTAATTTTGTTCTCCCTAGCGGAAAGAAAATAGGCTGCAATTTCTCACTAAAAATATTTTATGGTGTGACGACGACATATATAAATATGGAGGCAAGTGATGACACTGGGGGTAAACGGCATAACAGTGTCAAAACTACTTGTGTTATATTTATATAGGCTACTTTTATCATCAATGTCTACGATGGTTCATTCATTTATATATACAAAACCTCTTATATTTAAGATTATTTCTTCCTTTTGTGGTGCTGGGAAGTTAATTTCAGCAAGTAAATTTCCTCTATGCTCCATCAACTTGAGTGACTGGTTCCTTGATTGAATCATTGTCCTTTATCTCAAGTAAAGCAGCTCTTCTAGCTAATCCTTCCTTTATTTTTCTTTCTCTTCTTTGTTCTTTGGTCTCCACTGGTATAATATCAACTGTAGATGATATAACTGAATCAATGGCTTGATGTAATTGATCCATCTTTTTAAAATTCTCTTTAAATCTATCATGAGATAACTTGGTAATAACTTCCAAATAATCTTTAGTCACTAATAACACATTCTCATCTTGTTTATCATTTAAAAATCCAATCGGTATATCTAATTTGATCGATATTCTTATGGCCACATTATTATTAGATCCAATCCCAGATTCTCTAAATCCACATCCCATAGCCGTACTATATAATGATTTAGCAATATTTTCATCACGACATTTAACATGAAGTATAAGTGGTTCAAATTTGAATAAGATATATCTAGTTTTGGCATTGGCTGTCAGTATCAAACTATCTTCATCTGCTGAAACAAAATCAATAGTATTATACCAATTATCTAGAGTGCTAGGATCATGTGTGACAAACAACCATTTTCCAGCATTTCCCTTAGCTCCAATCTTTATATCATCATCATGCTCTATATCCTTAACCCCTTCTAAAAACACTGATACTCTACCAGAACAAGATGATGTAGTCACCATATCTGGACTTGAATTGATAAGATCTATGATTGGTAAACATAGCACATCAACCGTACCTTTTGGAGAGGCGTCTGGAGTATCCTCATTGGTAGATGCCAATTCTTTAAGAATGGATCTCTTCTTCTGATCAAATGAATCTTGAGTTCTTGACATGATTGGTTTCCCTTTAAATAGATCTCTATCTCTTCTTCTTGAGTATACAATTTTTCATTTTACAGATATATTTTTTTGCAGAGAGATGCGAAAAAATTTAAAGATGCTAAAAGATTTATTTATTTTTAATAATATATACTATATATAAATTAACTATTTTAATGCTTGCATAAACTTTCTTTCATCCTCTTGAGAAAAGTGGAATATGGTCTTTATAACTGGCAATAACATATCTCTTTGTTCCTTATGTTCAAAGAATCCTAATAATACATTCTTTAAATATGCAATGTTTGTTTCTCTTGATTCTGATTCAGCATCAAGAGTGGTTGAATCTATAGAATCACGAGGCGATTTAGTAGCTAACGAATCAGTTGACTGGCCATTACTATTAGCAGCGGATGAGGCTTGTGATGATTTCATTTGTCTATATTGTTGAGTTATGATCTTATAATTCTTAGATAATCTTTCAAATTTCAAATTTGATTCTTCATTCAACTTCTTTAAAACGGTATTTATACTTTCGAAATCTCTCACTTTCTTAGTTGAAAGTTGTAATGATTGTCTTAAAGTTTGAATGGTTTGTTGAGTATCTTCGAAACTAACATCAGCATCATCCATCGCAGTTGATGTATCCTTTGTATGTTCATTTTCCAAGATAGTATTTTTTTCCTTTGATTCATTTAAATTCTTTTCCAAATCTTGTATTTTCAGTAAATAACTATCTGAGATTGATTTTAATTCATCTATCTCTCTTAATTTCTTCTTAATTTGAATTTGGGATGATGATTGTTTTTCAAGTAAGGCTTCATTAGCTCGTTTGATTTCAGCTTGCGATTCAGCATATTTGGTCTTTATCTGCTCTTCAGCATCAACAAGAAGTCGTCTCATAGTTGATGATTCTCTGGCACGTTCTTGTAACATGTTTCTTGCTTCACTTAATTCATCTTCTAAATTCTCAATTCTCATGGATGATTCCTTTGTCTTCATACTTAATTCATCATATTGTTGTTTGAATGAAAGATGTTCGTTATTACTACTTGTAGTTTCTCTTATAAGAGACTCGAATTGGGATCTTATTTTTTCAAGTTCAGTGACAGCCTTATGTTTGTCTGTTTGAAGTTTCTGTATTTCATTAGATAATGATTTAGTCTTTTCGATTGAAAGTTCTTGCTTGGTAAGTAATTCACTCTTTTGAGTAAGTAAGGTTCTGCTATTAAGTTGTAAATCATTATTAGTAGCTCTTAATTTTAATAATGATACATTTAATTGATCTCTTTCTTTACTCAAGTTGGTGAGTCTTTCCAATATATCTTCAAGTTGTTTATCTTTAGCTGTTAAGTTTGCTTTAGCTTTATTGATTTCTAATTTGAGAGATGTGTCATTACTCTTAAATTTCAATAATTCAGCGATTCTGACATTCAAGCCTTCTTTTTCAGATGTCAATACCTTGATCTCCTTTTTAGCATCCTCAAGTTCGGCATCTGTTGTAGTTAACTTTTGTTTTAAATTATCATTTAGAGTTTGAAGTTCTTTTTCAGACTTTGTGAGATCGGCAATTTTTTTGATATATTCTTTTGACTTCTCTTCATGTTCGGTTAATGCACTTTGTAATTTGACTGATACATCCTTTAATGAAACTTCAAGGCCTTCCGTAAGCTTGACAAGTTCGTCCGTTTCAGCTTTTGACTTTGTATCTGATTCCAAACTAATTTCCTTCTCCTTTGATTTTTCTTTCAAATGTTTAATTTCATCTCTACTTTGAACTAAATCATCTCCAAGACTTTGAAGCAGTTCTCTTAAATTCTCAACTTCTTCAATTTGTAATTCCAATTTGGATCTAGTAGCTCGATGTTCTTCTACTATCTTCGTATTTTCTTCCTCTAATGATTTTATCTTATTATTTGCAATTGTTAAATCTTCAGAAAGCTTCTCAGAGTCAACTTCAGCAGAAACCTCTGGCTCTGGTTCTGGTTCATGGACACCATTCTTCTTCTTCTTTGATTTCTTCTTTTTGCCTTTACCATTTGGAGTATTAGGTACACTTGGCTTAGCATTTTCTGATTTGGCATTTTCTGATTTTAATTCAGAAATAGTAGCATCTTTCTCCACAATTTCAGATTTTAAATCATTGATTTCTTTATTTAATAATTCGACATCGCCATTGGATGCGGATGATTGGAGTTTTTCTATTTCAGAAGTCAATTCAGTTATTTTTGATTTACCTTCATCTACTTCTTTTTTAACTATTTCTAAATCTTCTTCACTTTTCTTATTGATTTCTGTTAATTTTTCATTAAGTTGAGTTATTTCAGCTTTAGATAATTCAACATCAGTGAGTAACTTTTCTTCATTAGTTTCTTTATCTTTCAACTGACTCTTTAATGATTCAATTTCTTCATCATCATCTTTCACTTCACTCTTTTCTTCAAGCTTAGCTTCCAATTCTTTTTGTTTCAGAAGAAGTTCAGTTACTTGTTTAGTTGATTTTTCAAGTTTATCTTCCAAACTAATATTCGTTTTCGTTAAATCAGTATTTTCTTTGGCATACCTCCTCATTTCTCCATTAAGCATATTTGTTTTCTCAGTTAATCCATTAAGATATTCAACTAATGCGCCAGCATCAGAAATACTAGAAACTGGAGTATTCTCTTTAAGAACTCTTTCGAATAATAATACCAATTCCGCCTTACGTTTCTCTGTTTTATATGCTTGTAATAAGATAGGATATTTTTCTTCATACTTGGCAAACTTCTTTAATTTAGATCGTATAGAGGGTGGTAATTGAATTTTCTCTGGTTTATTAGTTGGATCCAGTTCGGAATTGTCAGGAATTACTTCAGGAGTTGGAGTTGGAGAATTTGCCTCGACAACTGGTTCATCTTCAGGTTGAGTTAATTCAGAAGCTTCAGGGGTTTCTGTGTGTAATACCTTTGATTCATCTTTCAATTCCTTCAATGGATCAATGGGCCCATTGCCATTGATACCAGCCTCATTTACGTTTAATTCATTGAAACTCTTTGCCATATCCTCCGAAAAGGTTTTAAGCTTCGAGAACATCTTGATCTCTGTTTATGATGGTGATACAATGATAATCCCTTTTGATATATAACTTACATTGCCATATATTATATGAGCCTCAACAGAAAAGAGTCGGATCAGGAAAGTTGGAGTTTTTGTTTTCACGTGACCCGAAAATTAGTATCGCCTCTTTATCTCTAAAAATGTAAAAACCCCAATCCACACCTTTTGATAACTGGTTTAGCATAAACGACATAGACAGATATTATAGAGTGATGCCACCATCGATTAGGGATATAAAGGTATCATTGGGTAAGGTTCAAGTGTACCTTGAAGAACTTTCATCTTCATTGGAGGAGAGAGAAAGGTTGGTTAGTGTTCTCAAATTGACTCCGTCTGCAAATGATAACTATGATCTTATCACATTGTTTCAGAAGCTTTTCAAATATTTAAATTATCTTAAGGATGATTTGGAAATAATGAATAAAAGAGATAAAATTAACGTTGAAGAACTTAATGGACAATTTCAAACCGTGATATCAAGATATAATCAACTTTGGCACCAAGCATCTGAAGATGGAAGTATTGATGTTGGTGAATTTAAATTTAATCATATTACCATCACAACTAGTACGATAAAAACTACAAAGTCTACGAAGGAAGTAGGTCAAAAATCAGTCAGATTCCAAGACGATGTTGAAGCTGATGATGATCATTTAAGAAATGAATTAATGGGAACAAGATCATTTCGTCCTTATACTGATGCCGAAGGAGGCGAAAGTGATATGGGGACTGATACGGAATCATTCGATACTCAAACTAATCAACAAATGTTTGCTCAACATCAACAAATTATACATGAACAAGATTCCGATCTTGATCTTTTGCATGAATCAGTGAGGCGACAACATTCGATGGGAATGGCTATCAATACCGAGCTTGATGATCACATTATAATATTAAATGACTTGGAACTGGGAATAGATCAAGCTCAATATAGACTTAATACAGCCACTAGGAGGTTGAATGATTTTAGGAAGACATGCAAGGAAAATGGTAGTCTTGTTACTATTGTAGTGTTGACGGTTATACTTATACTATTGTTAGTTGTATTAAATTAATAGTACCTAATACTCTACTCTTACTTTTTAATTAATATGAATTCATTATTATACATTAAATTAGATTATATTATAGTAAATTATATAAGGGAATAAGTTAAGCTTCTTCTTATTTTGCTTGTATTTGAATTCTAAGGTTAATGATTAAATCTAATTTATTTTATATTCGGTAAGTTAAGTCATGGTTTATCTTCACTTAAAAGTTGATCAAATCTAGAAGTTGAAATCATCATTTTCATCTTCTTCCTCTGAAAAGAACCATATAAAGATTGTAATATCAAAATAGACAATTAAACCACCAACAATACTCATTAACATGGACCCAAATTCAACAAGATTAGTATGATAGAAAGTTAACGGTAACGCCACCCCACTAACAATTAAAAATCCTGTCAATGACTTACAAAACTCTTGAACTGGAGATGGATTATTCATATCACTACTATTAAACCTTAAGAAATCATCTCGATTATTATCAATCGATGAAGAAACTATATTCGGTAGTGGAGCTAATAAAAAGATTAATATCACCCATAATGGTTTGAAATTATTGTATAATGCACATGACAACAAGATCAATAAGAATCCAGATGCTAGGAATGCAGATAGGAATATGATTTTATTTAATGGATTCATTTCCTTGGTTGAATAAATTGGGGACTTGTTGATACTAGGGCACAGCTCAACTGGCTCTTGTTATCCTTTTCGATAATGGGTCCCTAAAATACAGTATCTAACAAAAATATCAATTTTGGACTGCATATAATGGCTCACGTGTCAAGTTTATACGGAATTTAATCTACAAATTAATTTAGATTTAGATAACAATATATACACGTTTAACAATTAACCTTACCTATAACAACTCAACAATTACGATGTAGCATCAACATCTTAAAATAAAAAAAAGATAACTATAAAAAAATAACTAAATTAAAACCATAGACAAACAAGAATATAAAGCATCCTTAAAATTATTTCTTGCTAGAATTCCAAAACCATCCACCATTGGATGTAGAATCTTCACTTGGAGCAACCACCTTTGCATCTGAAGATTTCGACTTAAAGCTTGAAGTGATACCGGCTCCTGAGCGTTCCACACTTTCGTTAACATTAACCCAATCTGATGAATCAATAGGTTTTGATTTATTTACCGTAGTCATGATTGATGTACCATCATTAAAATACTCTTTCTTCGATTCTCTATATTCAATTTCTTTAGTATCAGGATTGGTACGACTGAAACTAGTAACAATAGTTGAAGTTACTTTCTTTGTATCAATTTTAGGGACTTCTACTTGAGTACTAAAATCAATTACATCCTTTTCATTAGTAACTGGACTTGAAGATGAAGGAAATAACTTTTCAGCTTTTTCTTCGATTCTCTTTCTAAATCTTTCTCTTCTTCTAGATCTATCATTTCTAACGTTTTCAAACATAATACTTTTCCAATTTAAATAATCTTCAAATTTCTTGAAATAAACACCTTTTTCACCAAGATCAATGGCTCCATTGGTTTCTGAGATCCCTTTTTCTTGAATAGCATTTCTAAAATCTTCTTTAGTAAGAATCTTATCGGAAAGTTTTTCTTGTTTATAGTTTAATAATTCAACTGGAACTTCACTATTTGGGAATAAACATCTCCAATAACCTCTAGAGTCCCAAACTGATTCACCATCTTTATTAATACAATTGTTATAATATCTAATGGATGGAGTCTTATAGGAGTAGTATCCAAAAGGTGACTTACCACTACTATAATTACCATGGAAGAAATTATGAATACCACCTTTGGCAAATGGATTGAATTTACTATCTTCATCAACTGTTTCAACCTCATTAGATGATTTCCATGAGTTTCTAACTTCATATTGACTTGGGTAATTGAATGTCTTTTCTTCGAATTCTTCAATAACAGCATTATTGTTTTCTTTAGAAAACAATGACTTTAAATGCTTTCTCAATTGCTCTTCATTTCCTCTATCATCTCTATCGATGTCAAATAACCAATTGAAGGAGTAATCCTTAGCTATGTCATTGAATTGAGTCAATGAATCACTAGTTAAATTGAAAATTGATTTGGTAACGGTACTAAAGTTACGTTTAAAATCTTCAATATTTGCAATTAACTTCTCCATTTCTTCATCATTTTTGGCAGATGAATTGGATACAGGAGTATCCTCTTTTTGATTTCTGTTCCTATCACTTGAACGACACATTGATAAATTGGTTGATATATAGATAAAACTAACTATGAATGAAAGAGATATGATGATGTATTTATAGAAAACAATTGTTTTGCCATCCATCCCCCCTTTCCATTTTAAAATGATTCTGCCGCTCCTTAAATCCTCACTTTTTCCCATACGATTTCTAACTCTATATAAATTAGATACTCTAGTTTGCATAATGTTTACAAAGTTACAAGACAATTGGAATTGCCACCAAACTAACCACCTTCATCCTGGTTTAGCCGTATTAGAGATCATCAATTGGTATCTATTATATCCTAAGGATCAACTTTAGTATATAGTCTTTAATACAGTATGTGCAGGAGATTCCGTAATGTGGAGACACAGCTTAACAACATGACTTTTTATAATGTCTGAGCTTTATAACTTATATCATGTTCTACCACGATCAAATCCAACTGAAACCAACTATTCCACCATCTTAGTTTGTACTTATAACGCAGCATTGCTTCATTAGTTAGATTTATACTATAAATGGTAGCAGCTTTAAACTGATTTGCAAGGACACGACTATTTATTTATAAAGATATCTGAAAAATTTACCAATATGGGTGTAACTATAATCTTTAACCAATGATCTAAGGGCAATGTTACTGATTGTTCAGCGACGTCTATACTCCAAGCTCTCACCTAAGAGTTCCAATAAGCTTGTGAACAAGTTGACTAAAAAGGCAAAACCGTCACTAGCTTTAGGTCCATCAGTTCATCCAAATCATCCAACTCGAACCAGATTTGCACCCTCTCCAACTGGATACTTACATTTGGGATCCTTAAGAACAGCCTTGTATAATTACTTATTAGCAAAGAATACAGGTGGTCAATTCTTATTACGTTTGGAAGATACCGATCAAAAAAGATTAGTCCCAGATGCTGAGCAAAATATTTATGAATCTTTAAAATGGTGTGGAATCATTCCTGATGAAGGTCCTATAGAAGGAGGTCCTTATGGTCCATATAAACAATCTTCAAGAAGAAGCATATATGCTGAATATGCCCAAAAGTTAATTGATAGCGGTGATGCTTATTACTGTACTTGTTCCAAGGATAGACTAAATGATCTTCGAGAATCCGCATCCAAATTAAAGCCACCAACAACAGTTACATATGATAGAAAGTGTCTTCATGATTCAGCTCCTAATATTGAAGGTGCCATTATACGGTTTAAATCTCCAGATGTATATGAACCATTCAAAGATTTATTACATGGTAATGTTAATATTCAACCACAATACAACAATAATGATAGAAGATATGATGATATTGTGATAATGAAATCTGATGGATTACCAACTTATCATTTCGCTAACGTAATAGATGATCACTTAATGAAAATCACTCACGTCATAAGAGGAGAAGAATGGTTATCATCAACTCCTAAGCATATTGCATTATATAGAGCTTTTGGCTGGGAGCCTCCAGCATTTATTCACATTCCTTTGTTAACATCACTCGAAGATAAAAAGCTTTCTAAAAGATTAGGTGATATTGGAATTTTATCAATGAAGGAAAAGGGGATCTTACCTGAATCTATTGTTAACTTTGTGGCTTTATTCGGATGGTCACCGGTAAGAGATACTCCAGGGGTTAGTACAAGTGAATCGATGTCATTGAATGAAATAGTGGAGAAGTTCTCATTAGATAATCTCACTAGAGGTAATGCTAAAGTCAATGATTCAAAGTTGTATTTCTTTAACAAACATCACTTGAATGAATTGATAAATGATGAAGATAAGCTAACCGAATTGGTTGAAGAGTTTTATCCAAAGTTCAATGAACATGCAAAGGGCAAATATGATAAAGAAAAATTAAAACAAATTCTAAAGCTTGTGGGTCCAAGTTTAAATACTTTAAATGAAATTTTTACAAATTATGCTTACCTTTATGAAACCATTGATTACTCTGCTATCGATACTTCAAAACTACCATCAAGTTCTAGAATAATTATAGAAAAGTTAATCGACTACAATGACCCAAATTTTCAAGATGGTGTTGCCAAACTATTAGAAGATATTCCTAATATTTCTAAAAAGGATATCTTTCAATCAGTCAGATATGCCATTGCAGGTGGATCATCAGGTTTAACAATTCCATCGGTATTAGATATAATCGGTCATGAAGAATACGAATCAAGACTTAAAGAGTCATTAAAATTTATTTAAAAAATCTTGTATATAGTGTATTAATAATTTAACTAGTAAATTTTAGTAAAGTCCATAAAACCAGTACTATCTTCTGATTCTTCAACTGGTCCTTCTATTAAAGGTCCTGTGTATATACAATGCACAACCATATTTGGGTGATAGTATAAACCAGTTAATAACTTTGGTGTAACTAAGAAATATTGTGAGTTTTGATTTTGACATGCGGTATGAACAAAGTATCTATGAGCCATTTTCTCATTCTTTGGATCCATACCTTGATTAATTTCATCAACCACTCTGAAAGGAGCATCAGTCAAACCTTGTAATGACATAATAAAGAAAATAGTGGAAACTGCTCTTTCACCACCAGATTGAGATTGATGATCTAAGATTTTCAATTCTGATTCTTCTCTGAATTTAACTAAAATTTGAAGTTTCCAATCTTTAAATCTTTCAGCTTTGGCCAATTCAACACGTCCATCACTTGCCACTTTCGTAAATCTTTTATTAAATGATAATGAAATTTGATTGACTAATGTCAGCAATTCTTCTTCCCATTTCTCTTGAATACTCTTAATTCTTTCGTCGAGTCTCTCTTTACTCGTTTTCAAGATTGGTAATTCTCTACTGGCATTCTCTATTTCTCTTAATTTTCTTCTCAAGGTTTCAATTGAACTTTGGTCAGCAGTAGCCATGACAGATTTTTCATCTTCCAAAATGGAAATCTTTTCTCTGACATTTTTTTCAGTTAATTCATCATTATCTTTATATCTTTGAGCTATTTCAGCAAGTTCATTTCTTTCTTCATCAGTATAGTTCTTACCTTGTTCTTCGATTTGTTTTACGGCATCTCCTTTCCTGATTTTATTTAATTCTTCTTTGGCTCTATGATATTCCTCTTCTAATTCTTTTCTTTCATTCTCTAAAGCTTCAGTCGCTTTCTTAGCATGTAATTCTCTATTTCTATAATCCAATAATTCAAATGTTTTGAAATTATGCTTGATCGTAGCTTTAGTTAATTCTTGGGTATATTCCATGATTTTAGTCACCTGTAACGAACTTTCTTTAAATCTTGCATTTATTTCTTCTCTTGCTTTTTCTATTCTTTCACTATAATCTCTCTTCGAAATTCTGATGGTTTTTGTAATTTCTTCTTTCTTACCGTCGATCTTAGTTTCAAGAGCAACTCTTCTTTTCTTTAGAAGTTTCATAGTATCAATTTGATTAACTAACCCTTCCATTTCACGTTGAATCTCACGCTGTTTCTCTTTAGCTTCATGAGTCTTCTCCAGGAATTCCTTACAGATTTGTCTTTCTTTATGTTCTTCTTCAGATAATTCTTTCAACTTGGCATTATATTTACTTCTAGCTTCAGCACTTAAACCAGTTGCATTAAAGTATTTTGCTTCTTCAATTTCTTCTGTAACATAAAAGATTTGCTTTTGACCATATCTTGATCTTTGAATAGAATAGAATGCATTTCCAGCGATAAACTTCATGAATGGAATCATACCTCTACCATCTGGTTTAAGTAATCTTTCAATTTGAGAACTTGAAAACGGCTTTTTACTTACGGGAACATTATGAATCTTTGAAATATCATATAACATGTTTAAAACTTCATCTGGACCTCTGACGAAATCAGATAAATAACCATCAAATCCAAATCTCTTAATTTGATCAAGTGGAACTGATGGCGAAGGAGCTTCTTTCCTAACAGACAATCTTATAGGGAAATTAATACGAATATGATCACTGTATTTTCTTATACTATCAAAATTTTCTTTACTACTGGTTGTAATAGAAAATAAAGTATTATTATCCACCACTTTTTCCAAATATTTCGAATATTCTTTCTCAGTCACAGTACAACATATAATAGGACATTCAAAATAACGACCTTTCAAACTGGCTTCTTTTCTCAATGCTACATGACTATTGAATGCAACATCTTTTTGAGTAGTACCAAAATTAGAAGGATCAAGTAAGGCTAATCTATCACTACCTTTCAATGTTTTTCTAATATCTTCTATACGATCACCCAATCTTCTGACATTTGATATACTTCCCTTAGCTTCAGAATCAATTCTTTCTATAGTTGAGAGTACAGTATTCTTTTCACTGTTCTTTTGTTGCATGGTATGTCTTAACTCTTCAAATTTTTCATCATCTACCTCATCAAGATCTTGTAATGATTGTTCCAAGGATTGTTTTTCATTTCTTAATTTTTCTAAAAGAAGTTTACTTTCGGTTGATCTTTTCTTCCAAATGTTAATATTTGATTTTATAGAATCAATAGATTCAAGTATCTTAGTTAAATCTTTCTTTGCATTTTCAACTCTAGAATTTATTTCACCTCGTTCATGCTTATTATCTTCCACAGTTGACTTTTTTTCTTCAACTTGTCGTTTAAAGAATTCTACTAAATCAATGGCTGGTTTCATTTTTTCATCAAAATTAAGTAAAGCATCTTTAGCAGCTCTCATATCTCGTTGTAATTTTTCTTTATGTTTCTTTAAATCTAACAATTGAGCATAAGGAATCAACTTTTTATGGAGATCGATTTGTTTCAATTTTTTTTCATATTCTTCAAATCGTTTAGCTTCTTCTTCTAATGCTCTTCTTTCTTCTATTAATTGATCTAATCGAACTTCGATATCATTGATATTATTCAAAAGTGTTTGAGATTCATTATCCATTTGAATTAAATCTTGATGAGCTTCTAATAAATGACCATCACCAAGAGTTCTTTCAGTTTCAAGTAATAACTTTTCTGGACTTAATCCAGCGAATTCAGCTACTCTTTCTTGAGGTAAAAAATGACAAAGATTATCCAATTGAATATTAAATTTACGTCGTATTTCTTTAATCTTTGATTCAGTGGCTGGTCTACCATTTATACTCCAAACTGATTCCTTTTCAGTGAATTCACGTCTGATGACAAGAGCTGGTTTATCAATATCATTCTTTAAAGTGATTTCAATAGTACTTTTAGTTTCTCCAGTTTTAATCATTGATTTCATATTCTTTCTCTTGATCAAATCAACTTTACCACCTAATCCCAAACATATAGCTGCCACCACAGTACTTTTACCAGTCCCATTAGGTCCAATAATCATATTTAATAATGGTGATAAGTTGAATTCACCTTCAGAATAAGTAACAAAGTTTCTTACTTTAACTCTGACAATATAACCTGGTTTGAATTCATGTTCTTGGAATCCTATTTTCCTTCTTTTGTTGCCATTCATGAGGCCATCATTTTCAGCAAACCTTTCTATAAAATCGACCTCCATTCTATCAAATCGATGGCGTTTAAAGCGTATACGTGATGAGCAGAATATTATAGTTATCTGTATTTTGAATTATCGCTAACAATCAAATTTCTGATCCCAAATTTGAAAAGTGCAGGACGCGTACTATTTTTTATCCTTTACCACACGACTTCTAATTACAGAATACATACATATACTTACAGATTACGACAACTGACTTTTAATGGTAACGATAGGTTCATATGGTTATAGAGATAGTCATAGTATAATCATATAGTGTTCTTGTAAGGTAATTGTTAATTAATTTGTAATTGAAGAACTGGTCTATCATATATATAGTTGATTTCGTAACAATCATCTACTGAAGGCAAAGCATAAGTTAATAAGTATAGAGTGATCCGATGAAAAATTGTATTTTAACATTGATTGCCATTACAAACCTGAATCCCTAACTTGTTTGATACCAAATTAATAGTTATATATTTGCAACTACTTTTACTTCTTAAACTTAGAGCGGTCATTCCTCATACGATCAGCACACGACTTTTGATGCGGTGAAATCATTATACTGGAAATTCCTAATTAGTCGATCACATGACTATTTCAACGTATAAAATTATACCCTTTATGTATTACTATAAGTAACTAATAATCAAACCCCAAATTTATTTAATTAACTATACAATACTTTCTAAAGGCCTAGAGGCAAACGCTTTCGTGACAGCCTTTTTTAAGTTCTCTAAATCTTTAGCCTTGGATGAAGCAACATTAAAATCTGCAGCATTTTCAATATGTGAAAAGCCGAAGTCATAAAAGATCACTTTCAGTTTGGCTGCATTGAATTTGAAATTAGATGGCTTTATGTCACCGTGGATTACATCTCTAGCATGAATTTCTTTTAAACCAATCTCTGCTAACCTTTGAAATTCTTCTTCACTGGAAGGGTAATCGTTTGGAATTTCCTCCATAAGAAGGAAAAAACCTGATACCCTTTTATTATTTATACTCCAATCCAAAAACCCTTTCAGGTAAATGAATGGAGTAAAGTATCCAGCCTTTGGATCTGAGCTATCTGAACTAGTAGGTCTTTCCGTTGACAACCCAGTACCATCTTGATCTCTTAATTTGTTATAGGCTCTATTTTCATTAAGATACATTCCTAATGAAAATAGATAACATGACCAAAAAACCTCCACTTGAGTATGACCAGCTATATATGGAGATGCAACAGGGTCATACACTTTTAGAACCATGGGAGTTAGGGTGTGTCTCCCATTTAAAGACCTGATTCTGTATACTTTTGAGTGATATTGATTACCTTCAATATCACCTTCGGAATCACCTTGAATAGTATCAACGATTTCAAAATCAGATTGTTTGATAGTATCCTTGAAATTGATATTACCATCGAACATTCCTGCGAAAAATTCAGACGGAATTTTAAATTCAGGCATTCCACTTGTGTCTTCTCTAATATAGTAATCACCATTCAATCTATATTTGTTGAATCCATTTTTCCATTCATTGGCGATAAATTTGTACTTTCCTTTTTCAGCTGCTTCTTTGTCTTCAACGTTTAGTTTCATAGAATCAAAGATTTTTTTGACAAGCTCGACATCATCTATGCTTGCTTTTTGGAAGTAGTCCTTGAATAAACCAAACAAAAGCAACGAGGGACTAAATCCTGGACTGTCGTAATTAAAACACGTTACATTACAATTGATTTTTGCCGTTTGTATGTTTGCGACAGGGTCACTGGACATATAAGGTTTTGCTTCTGGAGATGTTTCGACTACGATCATTGTGGATTTATCGCATATCAACCCAATATGGGTGCTTAAAGTAAGCATCTGGTATAAGATTTGGTTTAAAAGACCAATTAACTGTGACCCATTCTTTTTATACATTCCCATTATACCTGAATGTTTAAATTCTACTGGGATTCTAAAATTGTTTTGACCATTGATTTTATACTCCATATAAAAATCTGGTTTCGATATTCTTTCCTGAAGTTTTTCATGTGCAGATTTAATACCACCACCAAATTCAAGTCCCAAGAGCCTCTTAACGGGTTCTAGAACTGCTTGATAAAATATCCTTACAACATCCAGTTCTGAATCAATTTCAGAAGTATCCACAACTGTCATCATAAAGGGCATATCCATAATCTCCATTGTAATACTGGTAGAATTTAATAGAGCATCATAATCCTTTGGTAAGTGATCAACATCAATTTGACGGTAGTTGTTAAAAAATGCACGAGATTTGTTGAATGATGAACTAACACTCTTGGACAGAATAGATCCTTGATTCAAAATAGTTGGAAAAATTTTAGAATATTCTTGTTGAGATTTTGGGGATGAACTATCTTGTTCTTGGTTAATTGGAGGGAACGGAGAACAAAATATAGTTGAAAGGGTGAAAATTTTTTGACAAAATGAAAGATTCTCTGTTGTTTCTACTTCATCCATCATTTGATATAACTTCTTACTTATAAATTCATAGATTGTCGCCATGACAGTTGTTCCACTTGTAATCAATAAAGATTCATATCTTCTTGTTTCTCCAAAAGTCAGTTGATTACCGACAAATTTATGAAAGTAGAATAACCTGGTGGCTATTTCTTTTCTAAGTTGCTCATATATAGCATCGACTGAGCTAGACACATCATCAAATTCGACTTCTCTTTGTATTTTTAACTCTTCAAATAGAGGAATTCTTCTAACTTCTTGTAAATAATTATAGTTAACATCTTGCAGATGTTGCTTAATTAAGCGCACGCTTTCTTCAATGAGGTAAGGGTCGATTTTAAATTTGAATTCACGTTGTACATTTACCTTCTGTCTCTTTAAATCTGACATGATGTAATAATTGAAAGATGAATGCTTTAGACTGATGATGATTAAGGTTTAATAAATTTAAAAAGAATAAATCTAAGCGGCACTTCCATTTTTGAACATAACATAAATTTGCAACTCCAACGATTTCGCATTCATCATTTTTCTCTTGCATAACAGATAAAGGCAGAGAGTGCATATAGCAACACAATGTAACAACAAAAATTCCGACTGTTTGTCTTTTTATGATTATTTATTTTCTTTTTGAAAGTGGAAAATGACAAATGATGAAGGAGCAGTTAAAATGATATCATTTGATTCATATATCCTAAGAAGACAGTTGAAAGCAAAATGATTATTCCAATCCGTTGTTTTTAATGTGGCAAAAAGTTCAACAGTTTCTAAAATTCAAGTTAAAACATTTTTATAACCTGAAGCACCTCCACCATAAATGAATTTAATATCAGAATGACCTTCAAATGGTGGATAAGTCCATTTATCAAGAATATCATTTTGGACAGGGACCACATCTATGAGCAGTTAACATTAAAGGTTCCAAACTTTCATTAGATCCTTTCCAAAAGTACACTAAATCATAAGTGTTGACATTAGTTAATGCTAAATTTTCGTAAATGGTTGGGAAAGTCTTTTCTAAATATTCATGGAATTTAATGAATTTAATCCATGTTTCATGTGAATCAGGCACATTAGGTTGATTATCAAAAATTTGAGTATCAACTTGAATAGCATCAGCTTATTTCTTAATGGAGTTTAACTTATAAGAATTTAAAACCGTGTCGTTATCAGTAATGAATGATTCTACAACAACTGGTTCATGTAAAAGGACATAATGAATTAGTATTTGAAATTGGAACCAATTTATTCGATTACCTTAGAGGGTCGTTAAAAGTATAAAAATCGAACCCACAATGGTATGAACTTTATAATGGTAAACCAAGTATCTTGAAGAAATTAAATTGCAAAATATATTCATTCAAAACTCAATTTCACGATCATATTCTGAATCTTCAAACTCAATTCCATTAGTAACTTGAGATAGTTATGGTTTTGATCATTAAACGATTTAAATGTTTAACGATGGTCGTGCCCCGTTCAATTTCGTTTGTTTACAAAATCAGAAAAAAATCAAAACAAAAACTGTGAAATCGAACAGATCATAACTATTGATTCAACACAACGTCTTTATACTGTTTCATTACTATATACATATAGATATACAACTACAATAACGATAATGGTATGTATCGCACTTGTTGGGCTGACTTGGCCTTTTTTTGTTCCAAGATTTTATGACAATTACTAACCTTCTGACTTTAGTCTCAAAACACCAAAACCTATAAAGACGCTTTTGCCTTATTCGATAAGAAAGGTACTGGTAAGATCCCAGTTGAGCATTTAGGTGATTTATTAAGGGCTGTGGGTCAAAATCCTACTTTGGCTGAAATCTCTGAATTACAAAGTACTATTTCTTCCAGTGATTTTGATTTCGAAACTTATCAAAAGATTATTAACAGACCAGATGGGTTCAAACCTTTAGGTTTACCAGAAGATTATATAAAAGGATTCCAAGTATTCGACAAAGAACAAACTGGTTATATCGGTGTTGGTGAATTAAGATACATATTAACTTCAATTGGAGAAAAATTATCTGATTCTGAAGTTGATGAACTCTTAAAGGGTGTCAATGTTACTTCTGATGGTAATGTTGATTACGTTGAATTTGTCAAATCAATCTTAGATCAATAGATTACATATATAGGTTGTTAATTATGTTCATATTCTTTTCTTTCTTTGTTATATTTATGGAATAATGTAATTGGGTTTATATTCTAGAGTACCACCAAAATTGTAAGAGATGGTTATATGCCGGAATTTTTTGATTTTTTCCCTGATAGTGCCTATTTTTCACAAATGGTTAAATTGAAACGTTAAATAAGTATCAAGCAGCATACAGATCAAGAAGATAAATGTCAAAGGTAGATGTTGTTGATATAACGCAAGAGGATATTAGGGTTGATCAGAGGTTTCATCTTTTCCCTTATGAAAGACTTGAAGCTTTCAGTATAACGGGTGGAATCATTGGAGGATTTGCCGGATTCTTTGATGGTATAAAGGTTTCAAGTTTACAATATCTTACTGAAAATGGTCATAGATTACCTACTACGGTTGGTGGTTGGTACTTTTATCATAAGAAGAAGAACTATGTCATGATCCTCAATGGAGCTCAGAATGGATTTAAACAAGGATTGAAATATACTGTATCAGTGGGAGGATTCTTTGGATTAGAATTCTTAATTGATAGATATATTCGTAATGATATCATTGATTTCACCAGTAGTTTGGCAGCAGGTACTATATATGCGGGATTATTTGGTTTATATAGTAAATTGAGTAAAATTCAAATTCAAAAATATATGAAAAAGGGGGCTGCTGTTGGTTTAAGTTTAGGCTTAACTCAAGATTTACTTATATTTACTAGAGGTGGTCATGTTTGGTATTTAGAAAAACTAGGTATACGGAATCCTCAAGTTAATAGAGAACAAAGACTCTTGTAAATAGTTGTCCTAAGGGACATTGTATATAGTATATATTTTGTAAAATATTTAATAAATTAATTAAGATCTATCAAAAACTAGTTCATTATGTACACTTAAAAGTCTTTTTATTCTTCATCATCTTCGTCATCTTCAGAATCGTCCAAATCTGGTACTGGATACTTTAAGAGAGCAGCAATCCCAGTTAATTGATTCAATTGTACTCCTGATTCATGTAAACTGGAGAATATATAAACTTTACTTCCTTGTTGTTTGACTTGTTCTGTAAGGCTGATATACATTCTTCTAGTTTCAACATCATCATTAGCAAACAATTGATCTGTCACCATCAAGTATTTCACTGCATCCATATGGATAGCTTTTGTAACTTCATTTAAACCATACCATGCTCTATCATCATCATCATTAAGGGCCTTTTGAAATTGGGAAAGAGCTTCTGATTCTTCAGAAAATTTAGTATCACTAAGTCTCTTTTTAGTTTGGGGATCTTGAAGAGCTTCTTCTAAACCTTGTAAATAACCAGTTGATGAATGGGCTATCACAAATTTAGCTTTATTCTGGAGAATACTATTAAATTGTTTATTATCATTTGAATTTTGACCCGATTGACTATCCATTAATACTTTATCATATAAAGATTTAGCTAAAAATCCAGGTGATGCCAATAGTATAACTTTCAAATTATCAAAATCAAAATGTCTCATCATAGTTTCTTCCACCATAGTTAAAAATGAATTCATAGCTTTATCAAGATCTCTTGTTCCATATTGAGGATTCTTACGGGGTATAGATTTCTCAACTTTGGCTTTAAGAACTGTCATAGTTTCAGTTATAAAACAAATATGAGCCACTCCTTCTTGTAATACCACTGCTCCTATATCTGCTTTCTTTTCAACTGAACATAAATCATCAATGATTGACATATCATATTCATCCCATCCTTCCTTTAGTATAGTTAAATCTTTATTTAATTCCACATCAGCAGTATGATAACTATTTAATGGAACATATTCATTGGGTTCAATTGATTTCCCACTGATTCTCATATTATTATCAGAAGCCACATAATCGATATCTTCCGTTAATAACTTCAATTTAACAAGCACTTTTTCCATTTTACTCTTCCCCTTTTGTATTTGGGATTGGTTCCCCTTCTTCACATTTCTATGACTTAATACTTGAACCGTATCTCCAACTCGAAGTAAATTGTATAAATACCAAAGATCTTCCGAATCTTGAGGTACGAACGTCACGGCCACATTCTTATCCTTGAGCTTAACTTTATTCTTCACTAACATTGTCAATCTCTAGTGGTACTTAAAATGGTAATTAAGATTACTCGTAGAAATCTAAAATTTGCATCGTTTTCAAGATTTTGTTTGTGAGCAGATATTTAATGCATACCAACCAAAAAAAATGGCCTATAACGCAGAAGAAAAATGTAATCGATTCTGTTATTATTACTCTATACATAGATTTGATTTATTTATTTATTTACTTACTTAACTTCAGCACCGACTAAAGTAGTATTCTTACAAAGTTCACCTTTGGCATTTACTAATCTAACTGGAGCTTTACCTTCAGCAGTATAAGTAACTTCAAAGTTTTCACTTGTAGAAAATCCTGGTTGAATAGCTTCCCAAACTTTCTTCTTTGGGTTTAATTGTTTTTCTGGAACTCCATCATAGGTTTCAAAGAAAATCTTATCACCAGGTTTAGAACCAGCTGGTGGATTAACGAATTCAACAACATTATCTTTAGAAGCACAGAAGACCATAGCGGATGATTTAATACCTCTCATGGTGACTGGTTTTAAATTGGCAACAGTAACAACCCATCTCTTTTGCATTGATTCAAGAGAGAAGTAATTGACTAAACCAGAACAAACAGTTCTTGGTTCTTCTTCACCCATATCAATGGTTGAAACGTATAAAGAATCAGCATTTGGATGTTTTTCACATTTTTGAATAAAACCAACTTTGAAATCTATCATGGATGGAGTTGGAGGACCTACTTCAGCTTCAGCTTTAGTGTTTAAGGCAGCTTTTGCTTTAGCTTTGGCTTCTTTTTTGGCTTTTTGAGCATCAGCTTTAGCTTTCTTTTGTTCTTCTGTTAATTCTTTTCTTTCTCCTTCTGGAGCTGGAGATGAAGTTGCATCTTTTTTAGCTACAACTGGAGCAGCAGCGGCAGCAGCAGCAGCAGCTGGCTTTTTCTTTTCTTTAATTTCTCTGGCAACTTGAGCTTCATAATCAACTTTCAATTTATCAGCTTCTGGAATATCAACATATTTATTTTGAATTAAATCAATCCATCTAATGATATGTCTATATTTAGATAAATCTTCAATCGAAGTCCATTTGAAAGATAATGGGAAAGCCTTTTCAAAAACTAAGAAATCCACTTTACTTGGAGAAGTACCTGTAATAAAAGTTTTTGATTTTAAGTTTTCATTTAACGAAACTAATGATTCTGATTCATCAAATCTTGATGATAAGGTTTGAAATTGTGAAGATAATGCCTTTTGTTCATCATTTAAAGGAGTGAATTTGGATTCATCAATGCTGGAAATATCCTTTAAGGATAATTTTTCAAAATTAGAAAGGAAATCAGTCATAATTGGTATTATTTAATCGATAATCTCTAATTCTATGACTAGGATAGTTCATAATCTCTATATGAAAAAAAATTGGTTAAAACTTTTGATGGTAAAGGTAAAAATTGGATCACATGATCTGATCTCTTTTTTTGTGCCATACACTCCACTCTACTCATAATTAATTATTGTGTACATACAAAAAGGTTTAATGGAATAATCAATCCGCTTTCGGTATCGGAGTGATTCAAAGTGAAACAGTCAATGACTATATAATTGTAATTGGTAACATTATAGTTTCAATGAGAAAATGAGTGATAAAGAGCCTAATGGTATGAATATAAACATAGGCGATTTGTCAGATACCAAACCTGTATGTAAATCAAATTGAAGTCAAGTCTATACGAAGTGACATACTAACAACAATTATAGAAGAGAAAGAAGACTTCAAGAGCATGTAATCATTGTCATAAGGCCCATATGACTTGTGATACAAGTCGACCATGTAAACGATGTATCCAACGAGGTCTTGAGAAATCATGTGAAGATGCACCAAGAAAGAGGAAGAAATACTTGTCTGATGTTCCTAATACCGCTTTAATGCCAAATCAATTAAAACATACCAGTACTATAGATAATTCAAGTATTATAGGAACAAATGATGTTAATAATACGAAATTCCAAGCTACAACTTTCCAACATAGTGCTACTGTTCCAACAACTTTTTCCATGGCAGGCCAGGATTATATGTATTCATTAAATAATTATGATCAAGAAGTAATATCTCAAGCTTTGTCTCAATCAAATTATCAAATAAATCAATCAGTTACAGACCCATTATTTCCACAACAGCAGCAGCAGCAACAACAACAACAACAACAGAATTATAATACACTTTCTCAATCCCAAGGACAACAACAACAACAAAACCCCTTGGGTATTCATTCAAATGGGTATAATACAAATATTCCTCAGAAACCTCGAAGAACAAATTTCCTTTCAAGTGCAGCTGATTTAGAGTATTCAACATTATCAAGTATACTTCAAGATAATTTCATGCATGCCAATCATTCTACATCTAATGAAGGAACTCCCAATTCCATAACATTATCACCAGTCTTATCACCACATGCTTTAAACAATTCAATCAACAACACACATAGACCTGCGATAAACATGGGCTCCCCGAACGATATGCCCAAACCTTCTCATCAGCATCATTCTCCTTATATTTCAGGACCATCTCAAACACCATCTCCAAATGATAAAGGTACAAGAGTTTCAGTTAATGCATCCAAATTATATGATAATCCTCGATATCCTAAATGTGATGAATCTATAAATCAATACTTTTTAGGCCCTACTGAAGCTGATTATACTCTGACCTATCCTGATGTAATCACTGCTATAGATGCTATGAAGGTAAGTGACCCCGCCGTATATTTTGAAAGAAATTCAAAACTGTCATTATCGTTTACGATTGGTATAGTTCCTGAAGATACTCATTTTTCCAAAGAAGAATATGAAAGTTTCTTTAAAGAACCAGAAGAAATATATGCTAAAGTGAAGAAACCATTTTCTTATACTCCGGGGTATCATTCATTAATTGCATATTTAAGAAAGAGATTTCCAAAAGCGATGTTGGTTAAGATGGCCGAATCCATGGCTGCTTATAGACCATCATTCATTGCATGTACGAATTCGTTAAAAGAAGGCGATTTAATATTCATGGAACAATGTTTCCAACGTACTTTATTAACGTATGATAATTTCATTCGAGTAAGTGGAACTCCTACCATTGTATGGAGACGTACTGGAGAAATCGCCTATGTAGGGAACGAATTCTGTATCTTAACCGGGTGGTCAAAAGAAGAATTAGTTGGAAAACAACGGAAATTTATTGTTGAATTACTTGATGATAAATCAGTAGTTGAATATTTTCAATTATTTCTGAGAATTGCATTTGGAGATTTCTTAGGGGCTACAATGACAGAATGTACGTTATTAACTCCTAAACAAGACGTTAAAATCAGAACTGGATGTATGTGGACATTAAAGAGAGATGTGTTTGGTATTCCAATGATGATCATAGGTAATTTCTTACCCATAATATAGAATAAGGTTTATTGTAATAGTAATAAATATACGAAGAAAGATCTAATTTTAATTTTGTGTCAACCATTTTAGAATTTGTGTATGTGGGGGGAGAACAGAACAACTCCCTTTTTTATTGCGCGATAAGTATAACCCTTTTTGATAACCTTTTAACACGTAAACTCTATCAATTGGAATCTAATCAATCGATAAGGATATTCACTAGCAATGGCATCATCAGTTACTGCTAGAAGTTCATCAGGACTCACACCTCATTTGATTGCCACAGTGGCCTTTATTTGTCTTGGATCCTTACAATTTGGATATCATATGGCTGAATTGAATTCACCTGAATTAATCATATCATGTCGTAGATCTGTTCCAGGAGGTATTCCATTTAAACAATCATGGTTTGGTCAACATGGGTTTGTCAAATGTATTCCATTGGCTCCAGAACAAGTTGGATTGGTGACATCTATTTTCAGTATTGGGGGGTTGATTGGATCCCTTTATATTGGAGCTGTTGCTGATTCAATTGGAAGAAAGAAAGCAAGTTTACTTCATTGTGTGTTTTTCTTCTTTGGATCTACTATCAATGGATTAAGTAATGATTATTTTGCCCTTTTATTTGGGAGATTTGTATGTGGATTAGGAGCTGGAGCTGCTATTGTAATTACATCATTATTGATTAATGAGATCTCACCCGCTAATTCAAAAGGTTTATTAGGATCAATGAATCAATTTAGTATAAATATTGGGATTTTATTCACTCAATTATTATCCTTAAAATGGAGTACCGATAATTCATGGAGATTATTATTATTTATGGGATCAATTATTTCCGTAGTTAATTTTTTATTTGTGATTTTATATGTGGAAGAATCTCCGGTATGGTTATTACATAATGGTCATTCCACTAAAGCATTTACGGTTCTTCATAGATTAAGAGGTGGTAGTTATAGTGATTCTACTAATGAAGTTAATAGTTGGAAACATGATGCTACGGATGGATCTGATGGATTATTAAATGAATCAGTATCTGAAGATGGGGAATCATCAAGTAATGGTGGCACACCTAAATCAAGAGCAGTAACGTTAAGAGAATATTTAACTTCATCAGAATATAATAATTCTAAAATTGTGGCTACTGGGATTTTAATATTTCAACAATTTGATGGGATAAATTCAATTATATTTTATGGAGTATCAGTTTTAATATCAATTTTCCCTAATCATGCAATTGCTATTAATTGTTTAATCTCAGTAGTTAATGTGGTAGTAACATTTGTATCAGCAACTATTGTGGATAAATTAGGTAGAAAACCATTATTATTAATCTCAGTTCTGTTTTTAGGTGTTCTGTCAACATTAATGGGAATTGGAATAACTTATTCCAATTCATTAATTTCCATTATAGGTACTTTTACTTATATTACATTTTTTGCAGTCGGATTAGGACCTATACCATTTTTAATTGTTGGAGAAGTTACTCAAGCCAAAGCTAAGGGACTGGCTCAAAGTTGGGGTACAACTATGAATTGGTTAGCTACATTTATAGTAGGGTTTGCATTTCCAATCTTAAAGAATTCTTGGATTGGAGGAGGAGTTTACTTTATATTTACATTTATGTGTTTCCTAAGTTATTTATTTGTGAAGTATTATATACCTGAGACTAAAGGTCTTCATTCATATGAAGAAGTGTGGTCGACTGAGAATACTGATAATTAAATAGATGAGTTGCTAGTCATAATATATCATCATATATGTTATAATCAATCTGTAGATCATCTATACTATATAATTTATGAGGACTTAATTCCTCATAAACTTACTCACGTGCAATACCCACCGCTGAGGGTTGAAACCCTCATGGCCTTAATTTTCTCTCTCAGAATTAAATTAACTATGGGAGCTGTCCTGCACATACTTCTAATACTATTTTTTGTATGGGAACACAATGAGAGTATCTTCTTTTCATAGTAGAGAGAGAAAAAAATTTATTCAAATTAAGGAAAGCCATTAATAGAAATCCTTTCTTTCTTCTTTTTATCTTGTCAAGGTTTATTATAGTCTATAACATTAACAATGCCTACCAGATTAACTAAAACCAGAAAACACAGAGGTAACGTCTCAGGTATGTAATAATTAGAAGAACGAGAGAGAGAGAGAGAGACCAGTTGTCATGGAGTATCATCATGTTTTAACAGTTGATAATGAAAAATTATATTCAATCATTAATGAAGTAAGAGTATCAAGAATTAATCAATAAGTTTAACAGAAAATAATAAAGTAACTCATTTAAAGTAATCGACTATCATCAATCATTCATTAGTAGTGGTTTCCAATCATTTACATGTTCATTTTGTAGTTTATTCAATGATTAACAGATGCATCAAATTTGAGATAAAATATTTCACCATCAACCACAAGTCATTTCAGATCCATATAACAGTATCATCATTCAAGGTATAACCTATATTAAAACATCACCATCAATGTCCATTCATCGTAACATTCTCAAAATCTTATTCATTCCATCAAATCTATCCCAGACATATATTTTCATTCAATATTAAAAAAAACATGAATTATATCCCATGCATCTAACTACTATACAAAAACATAAAATACTAACATAACTTTTTATTATAGCCGGTAAAGGTAGAGTTGGTAAACACAGAAAGCATCCCGGTGGTAGAGGTAAGGCTGGTGGTCAACATCATCACAGAACCAATTTAGATAAATACCATCCAGGTTATTTCGGTAAAGTTGGTATGAGATACTTCCATAAACAACAAAACCATTTCTGGAGACCAGAAATTAACTTGGACAAATTATGGACTTTAGTTGAAGAATCAAAGAGAGATGACTATTTAAAATCTGCTTCTGCTACTGCTGCTCCAGTCATTGATACTTTAGCTTTCGGTTACGGTAAAGTTTTAGGTAAAGGTAGATTACCAGAAGTCCCAATCATTGTCAAAGCTAGATTTGTTTCTAAATTAGCTGAAGAAAAAATCTTAGCTGTTGGTGGTGTTGTTGAATTAATTGCTTAAGTTTAATCGTTTTAGAAGTTTTTCCTTATTATTTCTTTAATATTATTCCCAATGTAAAAAACCTAATTTCTTACTATCATTTGATATCTCCAACTTTATCTTTCATATATACTAAATAACTTGAGGAGTATTCCGTGTATAGTAGAATAACCCAAAAAAATATAATAATCATTATAACGTTTTCATCTTAATAACTGTAGAATATAGTTGTATCTAGTAATTATAGTACAAAAATGATGTTAAGTACTGCGGTGTGGATCTATGTCCCATTATGTTTACATTTATAACAAAAATGGATTCATCGCAGAAAAAGTGATGGGATCAAATAGTTAAATTTATCACTTTTGTTGAATACGTATTACAGTATATTTGTTTCTTCACTCTATGGAAACACATTCATGATATCAGCAATCACTAGAAGTATCGGGAGAAGTAGAAGAAGTTTGGTTGAACCATCATTGTTGAAGAAATCAATTTACATTAATACAAGTATCAGATCAAATAATATGTCGACTGCTGCAGCTATACCAATCACCACCAAATCCAAATCAAGATCAAGATCTTCATCACCATCTAGAATATTAGCCAAGAAGAATTGGAATGCGGAAGATGCGGTACCGAATCATATTAAGAAATTATTAGTTCCAACTGATCCTAATGCTAGAATCAATTATATCTTAGCATTCATTCAAATTGTTCGATTATTAAAAACTCAAAAGAGAACAGGTTGGGTCGATAGAGGCATTCCTCCTCGGAAAGTTGAAAGTATCGGTGATCATATGTATAGAATGTCAATTATTGCCATGTTGGTTCCCAATAGTAATATTAATCTTGATAAATGTGTTAAAATCGCTATTGTTCATGATATTGCCGAATCCTTAGTGGGGGATATTACACCATTTGGAGGAGTTACTAAAGCAGAAAAGCATAGACGTGAATTAGAATCAATTAATTATTTATCATCGATTATTAAACCTTATAATCCAGAATATGCCCAAGAAATTGTGGAATTATGGTTGGATTATGAAGAAATTAGAACCATTGAAGCAAGATATGTTAAAGATATCGATAAGTATGAAATGATTCAACAAGCATGGGAATATGAACAAGAATATGGCTTGAAATATGATTTAAGTGAATTCTATGATAGTCGATCTGCCATTGTTAGTTCTGAAATTGGAGAATTATGTGATGAAGTAATTAGACAACGTAATATATTCGTGGCTCAATTGAAGGAAGAACAAAAGGTTGAAGATCAATCAGGAGAGATTACTAATTAGTAAGGATCTTATTTATAAACATATATACAATTACATAGATAAATTCGTTAAATCAAAAAAAAGGTTATAAAAAATAAACGTAAAATGTAATATTAATTATGAATTTTGGGTCAAATTTTATATAAATTATGTAAAAAAATGATTATTTTGGAATAACTCATTCAATTTGTTTCCTATTTCTTTATCTCCAAAATTGATACCATGTCTCTTCCATTATAATTCCAATCTACAAACTAAATAATCCCATTCTTATCAAATTCAAGTAGAAACCATACTTAATAAACTTTTTGCAGTCAGTCTAAAATTCATGGGTGTGCATATAAGCCTATTAAGTGAAAAGAAGACTATTTTAAATGAATATCGCCATTGCGTCAATTATTGATTAAGTTTAAGTCTATTATATCAGACCACAGAAGATGTCAACCACAACTACTTCGGTTAAGACTGATAAGGAAGTGGTCGAAAAGAATGAATCTAAACCACTGGTTGGTTTAAGTGGGAGAAAGATTGTTTATGATAAAGATGGTAAACCGTAAGTATTTTCCATTAATAATCAAAATATTTAATGTAATTGAATTCTAACCTTTATGATGTTATAGATGTCGTACTTGTAATACCTTACAAGATTTCCAATTCGTCACTGCTGGATTAACCCCTGCGGCTGCAGCTGTTGCTGTTCCAGTCCCAGCTAAGAAAGTCGAAGCAGAACCATCCTCACCTTGTAATACCATTGCTGGTGGATATAGCAAGGATTATCCCCCTGATGTTGAAGTATTAGGTAAATCATCATGGACATTATTACATTCTATTGCCGCCACATATCCTGAAAATCCAACATCAAAAGAACAACAAGATTTAAAACAATTTGTTACCTTATTTGGTAATTTTTATCCATGTTGGTTTTGTAAGGCTGATTTTGTTAAATATATCGAAAAGAATGATCCTCAAGTTAATAGTCAAGATAAATTTGGGAAATGGTTATGTGAAGCTCATAATGAAGTCAATGTTAAGTTAGGTAAACCTAAATTTGATTGTAATTTATGGAAACAAAGATGGAAAGATGGATGGGATAATGATAAATAAACAAAAGTATAGAATTAAGAAAAAAAGAAAGCTTATGGCATTGTATATAATTACTCAATAGATATTTGTAAATAGCATATTAAAAGGATATTAAAATAAATAAAAGTTATGATTATTAAAATTAGTGTAGTTGATATGGTTTAAGGTTTAAGTGAATTTTTGTAAAGGTGAGAATTGCTTTGATTGCTGTTAGTTTCAGTTTAGTTTTTTGTTTAACCGTTTTTTCCAACAATAACAATCAATCTACTTACAAACATAGTAAAGATCAATCATTAAACATGATCAAACCATTCATAACTCCAAGAGCTAATCAATTGATATTTAAAAGAAGTTTCTTTTTCAATTTTAAATGGTTTCAAACTCAAAAATTAATTTATCCACCAAAGCCACTGGAATTTACAACCAATAATCGAATTATTGAAAATTATGTTAATAATGAATCAGAATTATCCAATTTAATCTTAATCAATCAACCAATCTTACTTAATTTCACCTATGCTACTCCCGAATGTAATAAAGTAACACAATCATTATTTGATATTTTAAGTAATAAAGATAAATTTCCCCATAAAAATAATAATGATAAACAATTCTATTTAATTAATATATTAGTTGATGAACAAGGTGGTCGTGATTTGTTGATGAAGTATGTGGTGGGTAGTAAGGTTCCAACTATAATATTAATAAACATGCAAACTCCAGTGGATAAGTATAGTCCTGATTTAAAGACGTTTAGTGAACAAGATTTAATTGAATGGATTAAGACCATTGATTAGAGAGAAAGACAGAGAATAAAGAGCTATATTAGAGTACTTTTGTAATATATTAAACTATGAGAACTTTTGCAAAACAAATAGTATAATATAAGATAAAAGATAACTTTAAGCTGATTAACTAACTATTTAGACATCTTCTTACTCATAATGGATCATACCATCCCATTCCACAACATTCTATTTCCTTATAGTTTAAAAAACTATTTTCACAGGGGACGTCCACCCTAAAAAAAAAGAAATTCTGGTGCCTAAAACCGCTATCCTCCAAAAAAAAAATTAATTAGTAATTTATTTGTATGGAGTATAATTTTTACTAATATATGGTAAAGTGAAATTAAATTAAATTAAATTATTTCAATCATCTCTTTATTTGATTATATATTAATCAGACATATCTTTGATCTATAACTAGTACATAGATATATATATATATATACTGTTCAGCCTCATACTTACTTAGTTTAATTTTCACTTCATACAATATTGGTCATATCGGATATTCCCGTCATTGCCATTAACTTCAATTCACTTCAATCGACGAATCATCCATCATATAACCATAAACGAATCTTTTCATAATGACTAATAATAATAACGATATCTCTAATTCATCAACACCATCATCATCAACTCAACCCATTCAATGTCCATTACCAACTACTACTACAAGATTACCTGATTTCAATAATATGCCCATTATATCTCCGTCAAATACCCCATCAATTTTAAATACCACTGATTTATCACCTCCCCAAATATCACAAGAATTGAGAAATCAATTACCATTACCTGATAATTTACCTATTGTCAATTGTTTAGCACGAGCTAGAATCCCTACTACTCAAGGTCCCGAAATCTTTTTACATCTTTATCAAAATAATATAGATAATAAAGAACATTTAGCTATTGTATTTGGAGAAGATGTAAGATCAAAAACATTATATAAAGTGAGACCTAATGATACTCAACAAGATCGTATGACTAGAGGAGCCTATATTGGTAAATTACATCCTGGTAGATTATTAGCTGATAAAGATGAAAAATTAAATCTTGAATTAAAATTTAATGAAGAAGGGGATTTAATAAGAGAATCAAATACTACATATAATGGAGATCCTATACTTGTTCGTATTCATAGTGAATGTTATACTGGAGAAACGGCATGGTCTGCTCGATGTGATTGTGGAGAACAATTTGATGAAGCAGGTAGATTAATGGGATTACAAGGTCATGGATGTATGGTATATTTAAGACAAGAAGGTAGAGGAATTGGATTAGGAGAAAAATTAAAAGCATATAATTTACAAGATTTAGGAGCTGATACTGTTCAAGCTAATTTATTATTAAGACATCCTGCTGATGCTCGTGATTTTTCATTAGCTACGGCAATCTTATATGATTTAGGATTAGAAGATATTAAATTATTAACCAATAATCCTGATAAAATCATAGCGGTTGAAGGTAAGAATAGATTAGTTAAAGTTAAAGAAAGAGTTCCAATGATTCCATTAGCTTGGAAATCAAATAATGGAGGGATAAAATCAAAAGAAATTGAAGGTTATTTAAGTACAAAGATTGAAAGAATGGGTCATTTATTGGAAAAACCAATTAAAATTAATTAAACTTGGTTAGATAAAGTAGCATTAAATACTTGTAATATATGTAAATACGATATAATAATCAAACTACCTTGTAGTTGTATCTTCCATCTTCTTCCCATTGTCATGTCTCAAGGAGCCTGTCATAAATTGACTGTTTCCATTTACGACCAGAAAAAAAAAAAAAAGCATTAAAACTTTAACTGGAGTAAAAAAGGAAATTAGAATTAGACAACTTTAACTTAAAGCTAAAGGGGGGCGGTCAACCAATATTGTTTCGTCAAACATCATTTGATATTTCTATCCACTAACTGTCTTCAGTCATCCTTACAGTGTGGTCCAAGTACTTCGTCACTCAATTCAATATAATCCAATTTACATTTGTTTAATTACTTCAATTCAAAAAAAACCCAATTTGTAATACAACTTTTGTGTGTACTCCGCCAATCTTTCAATACTGTTATTTCTAAAGTAATAGTATCTTCATATATGGTCAGTTAGAAGATCAGCCATTGATTAAAACCCACTAAACTATCATATTCACTATCATCATGGTTCCTAAAAGAGAAATCCTAGACGAAATGCCCATTGATGACGGAAGTTCAAGTCCATCTTCATTACCACCAACCATAGTTGACACATCATTATTTTCAACCAATATCCATAGTCTTCATCGAACTCCTTCTTCATTTGGATCAACTGCTATGACTAATAATGATAGTAGTTCAAATCTGATGCAAATATCTCCCTTCCCAGGTTCAAACTCAGCAGAAAATAAAAGGCGAAGAGTAACTAGAGCTTGTGATAATTGTCGTCAAAAGAAAGTTAAATGTGATGGGAAACAACCTTGTATTCATTGTACGGTTTATTCTTATAAATGTACTTATGATCAACCCAATATTAGAAATAAAAAAAACAGTGGTATACCAATACCTTCTCAACCATCAGCAACTGTTTTAGCAGCAGCTGCTGCAGCAGCTGCTGCTTCTCATTCTCATATAAATGATGAAGGATTTCCAAATAATAATTTGGTAGTAAGTCAAAATATCTTAAATATTTTATTACCAAAATTAAAATTAAATATATTTGATCAAAATTTTAATTTTGATTTAGAAAAATTTCAAAAAGCTTATCAATTCATTGAATCCAAGAATTCAAATATCAATTTAAATGAATTATCGGAATTATATCTTGAACCAAACTCTATACCGTCTCCTATAGCATCATCATCCAATAATAATCGTCATGATAGACAATCTTCAGTACTGTCAAATGATGATGGTTCAATTGGCAAAGAAATTAAATTATATTTACCTAGTAAGGATATTGCATTACAATTAATCTATATCACTTGGAATAAAGCATGTGTATTGTTTAGATTTTATCATCGTCCCCTGTTATTAGAAGAAGTTGATTTATTATATTCTCTTGATCCATATAATTATGGTGATAGACAACAAAAATTCTTACCCTTTTTATATTCTATTTTAGCTTGTGGTTCATTATTCTCAAAGACAAATGATAGTTCTCCAAATCATAATGAAAGTTTAGAAGATGAAGGATTTAAATATTTCTTAGAAGCCAGAAAATTAATTGATATAAGTAATGTGGGGGATATAAATTCAATTCAAACTATTGTGATGATGATTATGTATTTACAATGTTCAGCTCGTTTATCAACTTGTTATTCTTATATCGGTATTGCGTTAAGAAGTGCTTTAAAAGAAGGATTACATCGTAATTTACTGATTTTCCAAAATTCAAGACGAAAATTAGATCCCATTGAAATCGATACTAGAAAAAGATTATTTTATACCATTTATAAAATGGATATTTATATTAATTCTTTATTAGGATTACCAAGATCTCTTAATGAAGATGAATTTGATCAAGAATTACCTGAAGAATTGGATGATGAAAATATTACGAGAAAGGATTATCTTTATGATAAACAAGAAGGTCGTGTAAGTTCTTCAGCTTGTGCTAATCAACATACTAAATTAATGTTAATTTTATCTCACATTGTTAAAAAATTATATCCTATTAAAGTTAAACTTCCTACCAATTCAGCACCTTTAACTCCTGATAGTATTCATACTAAAGTAACTGAATTAGAATTTGAATTAAAGAATTGGTTAGATAATCTTCCTCCTGAATTAAAACCAACTGATCCTAATGATTTCAATTTAAACAATAATATTCCTGAAAAATTCTTATTAGCCAATTATTACTTACATTTAGCATTTTTGAATTGTCAAATCATGCTTTATAGACCATTTATTCATTTTATAAGTGATGGTGGTAGACCAAATAGTAATACTCAATCAACTGATCCAAGATCATTAATTAGAGGAAGAAATTGTATAAAAGTGGCACGTTTAGTGGTTAAATTAGCTGATAAAATGATTGCAAAGAATTTATTAGTGGGAACTTATTGGTTTTCAATGTACACTATCTTCTTTTCCATTGCTTGTTTGATTTATTATTATCATTTTGCAAATTATAACAATAATAATAATAATAGTAATAGTCAAACCTTTTCAAGTGGAGCAAATTATGCGGGTGTATTATTTGATGATGATTTAAATATAGATATGATTAAAAAGGATATTGAAGTGGGTAGAAAACTTTTAGATCATTTAAAAACTAGTTCCAATGCTTCTTCAAGAATATATAATATCTTGAATACTTTATTTGAACAATTGAATAGAAGAACTGCTACTACTTCAAGATTTAGAAGTACAAGATTAAATCAACAATCCATACCTAGTACTATTTCTGGTGTTTCTGGAGTAGAAGCTACATTTAATAATTTTGATAAAATGAATAACTTTGAAAATAATGATGCCAATGGTGCAAAGGAAGGCGATCAAGGCTATAATGCATATGCTCAACAAAAGACAGGTTCTGATAAGAGAGATTCTTTAGGACAATTGTTCACTGATACTACCTTAGCTACATTCCAAGCTAGTTCAGTAGTAAATAATAGTGATAAAAATGAAAGTGACAATGCCAAATTAATAAAAGACCCTATGAAAAGTGTGGTTAAAACAGAAACTCCAGAACAAGCGGCTGAACTTTTAGGTCATACATCATCTGAAAGTCAATCATTACCAGTGATAGGAGAGCCAAATCAAAATGAAAACATTGATACTCAAAGACAAGATGAGTTTGGTAATAATTATATGCCAGGTCCATTTGATAAATTAGATGCTCAAATATTTGGCCGAATCCTTCCTCCATATATGTTAGAAAAGAATGCATCAAGGACAACATCCATAACTGGTATTCCAACTGGATTAACTCCTGTATCTGATGGATCAAATCCAGCCTCAGTCCGTGCCCAGTTCACGCCTAATCATCCACAGCAACCACAACCACAACCACAACCAATACCTAATTTAGGTGATCCAACTGCACAATTATCCCATTTAAATTTAGATTCGTTCGATTTCTCAAGCCTTGGTGATCCAAACAATTTGGACTTTTTAGACCCTTACAGCTCAGTATATAGCGATTTCAAGAATTAAGCTATACCAATGATTATATTATATCATCCACCCTGTTTAAGTATTTTTTTTAATGAATTATGTCTTTATTTAGTAGTAAGTATTTATTTGTATAATTTAATATTTATTTTGCGAAAACCACAAAAGAAAAAATTAATTGTATCTAAACAAAAAAAAATTATTTCAGCAGCCATTACAACAGTTAAGTCATCACTAAGTATAAACATACAACAATCTAACCAACGACGATGGATAGAAGAAGATTACTAGGACCATTGAATACCATCATACCGAACATAGGTATATCGTCTAATCCCAACGACATCAAACCAGATACCACCATTGATAATGATGAAGTGTCTGCTAATCAAATTCAAAATTTCTTCTTGAAAACAGGTATAATTGAAAATGCCAATGGATCAGCATATTTGGAAGTAGGAAATAGTATTATAGAAGTGCTGGTGTTTGGACCTAGACCTATTCGAGGATCATTTGTCGATCGTGCTTCATTCTCTGTTGAATGTAAGTTTCTTCCTTATATTACTCAACCAGGTGAACAAATCTATAATACTACTAATCAATTTAATAATGGAAATAGTAATACTAATGCCAATGGTAGAACTGGGTTAACTACGATAGAACAAAGGATATCGGCATATGTTGAAACGGCATTGTTACCATCTATCATTCTTGAAAAATATCCTAAATCAACGTTTGATATCTTTATAACTATTATATCTACCGAAGAAGGTGTTAATAACAATGATGAAGATGATGATAATAGTGCTCCTAACGAACAATTGTTAAGATTAACAAATTGGATTGTCAATTGTTCATCAGTAGCATTGGTGGATGCCAGTGTTGAATTGAAAGATATAGTTACAAGTGGTATAGTTAAGACTACAAGTGATGGAAAAGTTATATTCGATCCAAGATCCCAAGGCAATGAAGAAGAAGAACAAGAAGAAGGTAGTGTTATTGGTGTTGCCAGTTTCATGAATTTAAGAAATGATGAGTTGGTAGGGATATGGATTGAACGTCAAGGTGCCATTAATGTAGGTGATACTGAAATGAATAATATTCTTGATGGTTGTAATGAAATGTCAAAGAAGATACGAGCAAATATTAATACTTATTTAGCTAATAGTTTAGAATAGTTCTACTTTTAATATGTATATATATAGAGCATGTTACAAATGTATAATATGATATCATAAATTTCATGGTATTTAATTTTTGTTTTTATGTACTTTTTGTTAAACTCTATAATTTGTCATTTTTATGTTGTTAGGAATATATACACATTTTGATTAATTAGTAGTATGATGAGTAGAAGATGATGATAATTCTTCTAATACACTCTTAATATCAAAAAGTTTGTTACTTAATTTTCTAATGGTTAAACCTTCAATTTCATCATCATCTAAGAAAACCTTAGATTTAATGGTAACATCAGTTGATTTGGAAATTAAATAACTTAATTGATGATATACTTCTAATATACTATCGGTTTTATTAGCTGCTTTTGAAATTGATTCGTCAATATTATCAATTTGAACCACTTTATCAAAGATGGTTGATTTTAAATTATGAGAAAATTGATCTAATTGGTTGAAATCATTTGGAATAGATAATTTTGGAATTCTAATTTCAAATGGTTCAGAAATATATGCCACATCATGTTTACCATTTAAATGATATCTAAATTCATAAATACCTTCTTCCCAAAATAATTTTTCTCCTTTAAATTTATAAGATCCATTATTTTCAGAACACCAAATCCAACGACCTGATGATGAAAGTAAAGTTTTATTTCTTGAGTATGAAGTTTGAACAATTCTATATAATCCAATCCAATCTTTTGATGAATAATTTGCTTTTGGAACTTGCCATTTAATTTCAATTGATTCACCCACATTAATATATTTTGGTAAATATTTCTTTTGTTTATTATCATCAACATTTAAATTAAGAATATCTAATTTATAATTTGAATTTTCAAATGATAAATTTTGGGATAATTCAATTAATTTTTGTTCAGATAATTTAGTTTTTGATGTTCTTAATTCTCTAATAAAATTATCTAAAGAATCAGTAATACTCATGCTAGCACTACTTTTTCTTCTTCTATGAGCTGATTTTTGATCATTTTGATCATTACTAAATCTTCTTTGAATTGATTCCGGGATTAAAAGATTTTTAAAAGTCTTAGTAACTCCAGAATCTTGTAAAACTTCATGTTCGCCATAAATTTTGATCATATGAGATCTTTCAATAAAATTAATTCTAATAAAATTATTGGCAACCCATAATCCACAACAAATTAAATTTTCAACAGAAGGAATCATAATGAAAACTCCCATAACTCCACAAACTCCAAAGATTTGTTCTGGATTATTTAAATAACGATAAACACCTGCTTTAGTTAAATGTAACAGACGACCTTGAGATTTTGGAATAAAGAAATCACCATAAAACCAACCGAAATAACCAATCAGATCAATAATTGATGAATTTATCCAAACTTGAGTTAAGACAAGAATTATACCAATGAATATACGAAGATAAAACCAACTATTAAATAATAAATCATTATTACTACCACCATTACCTTGTAAATAATAATGGAAATTAATTCCAAATAATGAAGCATAAGTAAGATTAATTAATGAATTATAAATAATAGCAAAGTTTGATAATGATTTTTCTAATGGAATATCATTTGCTAAAAACCATTTTGTGAATAATTTTGAATGACTTTGTAAAGTTAATAAACCATTAATTGAAATTGATTCTAATAATTTTAAACTTATAGCTAAAAAGAATAAAATATCAAATTTGAATGAATTTATAGTTAATTCAAATAAGGAATTATTAGCTGTAAAGATTGGAATTATAATACCATAAGTTAAAATTAAAATTAAATTAACAAAATCGGAACCTCTAAGCCAATTAAAATTATATAATCCAACTAAAGGTTTTAAATAATCAAAATTTTTTAAATCTTTTAATTTTAATAATTTAATTAAATTAATTTCTGATTTTGATGGACCATAAATTTTATCAATATGAGGATTTTCAATATAATGTAAAAATACCATTTGTAAGAAATGACCAAAGATAGCAATGATTAATACAGTATAAGATTTTGCAATTAAAGCAAAACCATAATAACCAATATAACCCACTGAATACATTGGATGAGGTACCATTTCAAATACTCCATCAAAGATTAATTCTTCATTATTAATTTGACGAAAGAAGAAATCTCCCCAATACCAAGCATAATCTTTAATAACATTATGAGCATCAACTTTAACCCATAAATTAAATAAAATTAATCCAGAACCAAAAATTAAACGAGAATAAATTAACCAAGGATTTTGATTATGAATAAATTGATAATTATCATTAATAGCACAAGTATATACTACCAAGATAAAAGTAGTAAAATCCAGCATTAAAATTAAATCAACAACTCTTCTAAAGATTAACCAAGTATTAAATTCAATAGGATAATTTGAAATAACATAATCATCACCTCTTTGAGATTTTAATTCTGAAATAATAAATTTTGAAAGGAAAGATTTTGATGAAGAATCAAATAAATTTAAATTTTGAGCCCATTCAACTAATCTATTATAATTAGATTGATTATATAAAAGATAACCAATCCCAAAATTATAAGATAATCTCCAAGAGATATAAAAACCGACAAAGATATTGATTCTTAAGTTATTATCATTAACAAAGTAAAATACAAGGAGGTTTGAAAATAAACAAGTTAAAACAATTAGTTCTAGATGAGATTTTCTAATGGTAGGATCGAAAAGAGTTTTAAGCATATCTTCAGTCTCAGGAACAATAAAGGTTGAACCATTAAAAGTTATTCCTTTGGGACCGGTATGATGAGGAAGAGTATCCTGTTGAAGGGTACTCTTTAATGAACTCATCTTAGATTTTGATGTAGATGTTGTAGTTGTAGTTGTTGTTGAAGTTGAATTTCTAGAAAAAGAAGAAGAAGTAGCAGATGATAATGATGACATATTTTAATTTAATGAAATTTAATTAGCAGAATAAATTTGGCAGCACCTTATACACACGCAATGGCTTATATTTTTTTGATCACGCTTTATTTTTTTATATGGTCTGTCTTAGATTAACCACAGTTTGAGATCGTGTGAGTGTAAAAAAATATACAGTAGTGAAAAAGATTGAGATCAAAAGGCGGTTAGACAAGTTGATCAATCAATAGAGTTGAATATATGAGTGGATGGATGGATGGATGGATGGATGTATAGATGAAGGAAAGAATAAGTCGATTACTATTGATGATTCATTCAGTTGATAGATTAGATGTAAGTAATGTCAACGCGTTTATAGTGAAGGTATCTATCGATCTAGTATTGTAGCAATAATAACTGATAGCTTTTTCCAATTCTATTTTTTTGTGTAATCTGATAAGACAACGGTTCAGTTACTGTTTGATTGGTTGGTTGAATGATATGGATACTCACCCTGATTGATTGATTGATTGATGAAATGAATCAATTGATTGATGAACCAGAAAGAAGAAGAAGGAAGAAGAATTAATTAATTTCAAACTGACGGTCAGAAGAAATTTGTTGTAAAACTGAAAATGGAAAATGGAATCAAATGGAATAAAATCGGGAAAGCTATTACAAATGCTTAATTCAGTAATAATGCCTAATTGAGTAACTCTGTTTAATTTTGTTGGATCGTGTGAGAGTTAAGCTTAAAAAGAAATGGTCTGGGGTTCCTTACTCTCAAATTATCACATGCTAGAATTTAAACTACGGGGACTGCATAGTACAAATTAGTACGTAAAGGATTGGCATGTGAAAAAGAATATTTCATCACATGATCTTAAGTCACATGTCACATTTTATAAATAAATTAAATTTATAGCTAACTACATGTATAACAACCTTATAATAATAATTTGGAATATATTAAATACTTCACTTAATTTACATAGAATAAAACTAATTAATAAAAATAATCACTAATAATAAATAGTAATAGTTGAAGATGCACTACAATAAACCCTTAAAAAGCTTATCTCTATATTACGCTTCATCTCTTTAAAAACTATAACTCTTCCTTTAAAAACGACGGTTTGGCATTGGGGATGAGTTGGATCCAGTTTGTTGGAATCTACCTCCACCAAATCCACCACGACCTCCACGGCCACGTCCACCACGACCACCTCTACCTTGACCATATCTAATATGAGATCCATATCCACCTCTATCAAATCTTTGTAATTCATTTGGAACAGCTTGTTTAGCTTCTCTCATAATTTTACATAAATCAGTACCTAATTTGAAATTTGAATCAGTGAAAAATGATACTGCAGTACCAGTTGCACCACCTCTACCAGTTCTACCAATTCTATGAACATAATCTTCAATATTACCTGGCATATCAAAATTAATAACATATGTAATACCTTTAACATCTATAATAATAATTTTTAGTTAGTAAAAAATTCAAATCAAAAAACAATTTAAGAGAAATAATCATCCTCTATTATTCAAAGAGTAATAATACCACAGCTTATTTTAATTCAATTCTTAGGAGAGATATAAAATTTCTATTAATAATCACAGTCTACAAGTAAAGCAATAAATATCCTTAATCCAAAAAGGATAGGAAGAAACAAAATTATTTTTATAGAAGGGTGAATCCTATTTCATTTATTGAAAAAGTAAAAACAAAAGAATGACATATATACAACATTAATATGATCTCTATTATCACCATTAAATTAAAATTAAAAAGAAAATCTCTTCACAAGTTAATCTTTATTTAATCAATAGTGTTCATTAATTTTACTTCAATTTATCAATACATTTTTCATTCCAAAAAAAAATATCCCATAAAATATCAATCAAAGGGTATCACCCCTTTAAGATTAATCATTTTATTTTTCAATATTCTTCTTAGAAAAAACCATTTGATAATTGAATACAAGACTCTTTAAAAAGACTCGAAACAAAATAAATGAGATCCTAATATTGTACTAATACTTTCAAAATACACTTTTCCATTCAAAATGAACAAAATTATCATAACCTTCTCTTCAAAGTCTAATTGTTATTATTAACGATGCATCAACTGTGTTTATCACCAAAGAAATGCCAGCATTTCTTCTCATCACATCTGCAACGGCCATTTGATCTAAATATGTTTTTTTTAAAAAAATAGTAGTGACTATTTCTCTTCTTTAGATCCGGCTAGACTTTGGCACAATGTTTCTATTATTGTATTGCCTCCACCCACACAAGACTGTGTCCACGTTTAATCATGAAATAAAAATAAAATAATCCTAAAAACTCCCCTGTAAAAAACCCCATTAAAATAAAAGTTAGTAAAAAAAAATTACCCTCGAACCCTTAAAAAATTATACATACCAATACCTCTAGCAGCAACATCAGTTGCAATCATAATTGGAGATTGACCATTTCTAAATTGACCTAAAACCCAATCTCTTTCAGATTGTTGTTTATCACCATGAATGGCTAATGCAGGCCATCCATCATTTCTTAAATATGAAGTGATTTCATCACAAGTTCTCTTAGTTGAAGCAAATACTAAAATTTTACCTTCTTTATCAGTAGTAGCAGTTTCTAAATGTTTAATTAATCTATCACGTTTTTCATAATCAGAAATAACTTCAACAACTTGAGTAATAGTATGAGAAGCGGATAATTCTAATGAACCAACAGTAACTTGAATTGGATCAACTAAATAATCATTAGCTAAAGCTTGAACTTCTTTTGGCCAAGTAGCAGACCACATTAAAGTTTGACGATCTGGTCTAATTTGATCAACAATTTTTCTGATTTGTGGTTCAAAACCCATATCTAACATTCTATCAGCTTCATCTAAAACTAAATAAGTAACTCTCTTTAAATTAGTTTTACCCATTTCTAACATATCAATTAATCTACCTGGAGTAGCAATACAAATTTCAACACCTCTAGCTAAAGCTCTAATTTGTTCACCTTTTGGAGCACCACCATAAACACAAGTATTTCTAATTCTGGATGATTTACCAAATTTAGAACATTCTTGTTCAATTTGAACAGCTAATTCTCTAGTTGGAGCTAAAACTAAAACAATTGGACCATCACCTTGACTTAATAATGGTTGAGCATTAATATGAACAATACCTGGTAAACAATAAGATAAAGTTTTACCAGAACCAGTAGCAGCAATACCAACCATATCTCTACCACTTAAAGCCATTGGCCAACCTTGACATTGAATAGCAGTTGGACTTGGGAAACCTTGAGCTTGTAATTCTTTTAAAACATAATCTGGGAAACCAGCTTCTTCAAAAGTAGTAATTGGATGAGGAATATCTTCACCAATAATACTCATTTCATTCTTTTGTCTGAATTCAGCAATATCACGATCAGAACGACTATTAACATCTGGATGTTCTTCATAAAAGTTCTTTTCAAATCTTGGTAAAGTTTCTAAATCCCAGTTTGGAATGGTTAATTCGGTTCTACTGTTGAAACTGTTACCACCTCTACCACCAAATCCACCACGGCCACCAAATCCACCACCATTTCTATCACCAAATCTACCCCCGTTTCTATCACCACCACCGTATCCTCCTCCAAAGGATCCTTCACCACCACGGTTGTTGTTAACATATCCACCACGGTCGTAACCACCACGATTATCGTTATAAGACATTTTTATTGATTGATTATTAGATTTAGATAGTCTTAATGAACTAAAGAAGGAAAAGAAGATAGGTAATAAAATCTGAAAAGGGATTCTAAAAAAATTTTTTTTTATAGAGGGACATCGTGCACACAAAACGCAAAAAAAAAAAAAAATTTGTGAGACGATGGGAAAAGCTTGACTTCCTAATTGGGAAGTGCTACAGCATTTCTACTAGCTATGATGATTTATTATATGCTACATATAATGTGAAATGATTATCAATAATCTTTTAGTTTGAATCGAATATATTCTATAATTTATATTAAAAGCTGATACATATATATATTTATAAAATACAAATATGCAAAATGAGTCGGGATGGATGGTAAAGATTTACGATATACTAATATACATTAAGAACAAGTAAAAAAACTTAGTTCCAATTTGTTTCACTCTCCCTTATTGGTGCTGTCTTGATTTGAAAGGGTGAAGCTTAAAAGCTTCAAGAGTAAAAGTTTAATGGGGGGGGGGGGGGACCAATATTAAATTCTGTGGTTGGTGTCTTATGGTTCAACAGTCTTATAACCTCCAGCCTCTATCTTTTCACTAAATCTATCTTCGATAACAGTACATAATTCAGCCAAGTTATCTAAACCTTGATGTAAAGCTTCAAGAGCAGTGATATTACCATAAGTTTGAATTCTGATATTTAATTTATTTTCAGATGGATGTGGTATAGAGTAACCACAGAATTCAACTTCTGGGTTCTTCATTATAATATAACGGATAGCATTTCCTAAAGTATGATCTTCATCAATAATTTGAAATGAAGCAGCAGTTCCATCATCAGATGAGCCAGGTAATAGTTTTATTTTTTCTAAATCATATTCTTGTTCTTGTTCTTCAGTTTGTTCGACCTTTTCTTCGACCATTGATACATCTTCTGAATCAGCCATCTTTAAATAATCTATTCTTTATTAATTGACAAATGAGTTGTAAAACCAATCAAATATTAATCATCATAATGATTTAAAATTTTTGAATAATTTTTTTTGCACAGATGCCAGCGGGTGTGCGATTACCAAAAATACATGATTAATGTATGGGGAAATTACTATTGTGACGAATAGATTATTAAATTGACTTTGAACTTGATCTAAAATTGTGATTAACCAGTAATTACATGTTCAGAATAGAAGCGATCATAATTATATAACAGTGTTTCTATTTAGTTGTTGTAAGAAGCTAACTACTTTATTCTTCTCTAAGTAGATCAAAAGGTCGTGTACAAAATGATAAGTATTACATACAGGAATTTGGCCTTTAAGTTCGCGTTGTTTACAAAACAGAATTTAAATCAGGAACCACAAATATATATAATTTCATATGGTGAAAAGTCATATACAATTGATCATTTAGTCAGTATAGTTTCTTCAAGAATGGATAGAATCGATCTGAGAGTGATTGGTAATGTTACCGACTCCTACATATGTGCTTCAAGTGACAGTGAATATGGAACAATGGGGTACACTGAAACGTTAAATGACAGAGATGCAATTGAAGAGACTGCCGATATGATTAATCTTGCCAAAGATATGGATAACTTCAAAGAAAATATTGGAAGTCGTTACAAAAGTCATGTTAAATCTGATCAACAAATAGATACACCCACCAAATTCAAAGGCAAGTCTCCTAAGGTTCTCAATTCAATTCATGAAAATCAACTTCATAAACATAAATTACAACATCAGATAAAGAAAAATGATGGTAATGTTTCTTTACTATTTTCATCCCATTCAACTCCATTGGTTTCAAAACAAAACAATACCATTAATAATAAATGGGAAGTATCAAATAGACTACCTGAAATCAATGAGCTTGACAATTATGCTCCTATAACTAAGATACGACAATCAATAGCATCTGTGCAAAGACAGAATAGTATGTTGAACCAAGCCAGACCAATCCATAATGATAGTCTTTTTTATCTGGATACTGAAAATGAAGATGGTGATGATGAAGGGGAAGAAATACTGGAAGAAGATTCCGGTCTTGATATCAAAAATAATAATAATGGTCATATCAAATCAGATAAGCAAATACCGTCCGTTGATAACAATGGAAGTTTTCAAGAGTCTAGAAAAAGAGAGGTACAGAGACCTACTATTAACGAAGAGACTCCAAGAACCACTCCACCTCATTCCCAGGAAGAAATCAACAGTTCAAAATTATTTAATGAAACAAACTATGATGTTAATATGAATGATGAAGTATATAAGATTATTGTGAATTTAAAGCAAAAGCTTGAAGAAGAGAGATCAGCATCAAAGTTATTAAGAGAGGAAGTTAATCAGTTGAAGCAAACAGTACAACCACTTCCACCATTGTCATCAGCCCTGGAACAAATAGAAGATATCAGTGCTCCTTATCCTATTGAGTTAAATTTCGATGATTCTACCGCACAGTTCCATTTTGAGAATGAACTGACAAGACAACCATATCCAGTTAAAAAAAGTATTGAAAATAGTACGATTGATCAAATGATGCTGGAAAATGGGAAATTAAGACTTGATAATAATAACTTAGTGAAACGAGTTGAATCATTAGAAAGTCAGTGTCTTGAATTGAATAATGAAGTGAAATATTTGAGACATATCAAAGAAAGTACTGAATCCATTGAAGGAAAGAAAGTGATAGATGATCTCACTGACGATGATTGTGTGCCTATTAATACTCGTGAGATTGGAATTCAAGTTAATAATGATGATGATGAAGAAGAAAAGGAAGTTGAAATCCAAAAAGAAGTAGAGCAGCAAGAAATTAAAGAAGATAATAATAATAACAAGAAACAAGAGAATGATGAAGAAGAGAATCAACCGATTAGCAAAGTGACTCAATTAGTTAACACTCTTGAGATAAGAAGTTTCAAATTTGAAATAGAGAGATTACAAAAATTACTTGAAAAAGTTCAACAACAATATGCAACGTCACAAAATCAAATTCAAAGATTACAACAAGAAGAGATAGGAAACCAATCTGATTTAATGACTGAATCTAATTGTCAAGATTTATTTTTCAAGCGTTATAATTTACAAAAAGTTGATAAATTAACTAAAGTCCAAATGTCAAATATAATTAAAATGATAATGATGAAATTATCAATTGGGGAAGATTTGGAAGCAAATATTACCTGTTTGGGAGTCTATATGAAAATGTCGATGAATTTCATTGATGAATTACATGAAATATTGTATATTAATAATGAATTTAAACCATCACAATATTTAACTCAAGATGGTAATGATAAGTCGGTGGATAGATTAAACGATTGTATGAATGATATGATTAAGAACATTGAAAAATTATTACAATAAAATAGCTTACTTTATGATATATAGATATAATCTTACGTAATAAGATTGTCAAATCAACGTATATTTATAACAAGTTAAAACGTGAACAGAAAAGAAAGCGAGAAATACAGGCAACTTCTAGTATTTTCACTAAATGGTGTAGGAAAAAGGATAAAATAAATAGTTGAAAAAATAAAAAATTGAGAGCTAAAAAGAAATAACATAGCTGCAAAACATTATGCACACAAAAACAAAAGCTTCGGATAATAATTGCGGATTACAATTTTTCCATTCTTTCGATGATGAAACAGGATTACAGCTAATCTATTTTGCCTGCTTCGTTAAGAATTCAATTTGAAAGTTAACTTCTAAACAAAACTCTTTATGTTCAGCACTGTTCCAATCATTAAATTCTAAAAAGCTTAACTTCACAGCTTCACAATATATCCAATGAAGATTTCTCATGATCGATAATTCAAAATCATATCCATTCAATTCTCTGATTAATTCTTTACCAAAAAATCTCTTTCTAAATTCATGGTTTGTACGTTTCTCTAAATCATCAACTTCTTTAACCAGAAATAATTCGACCACATCAAGTTTTGGCTTTTGATTCTTAACAAAGAATAAATTTGAAGCTTTAAAAAGATGGTAGTTATAATTGTTTTTATCAGAATCTTGTTCATTCAATCCATACTTTGGAGTATCGCTGCTTTGAAAATCATATAATTCATCAATTTCCATATTGTCATCAAGACTAGTAAGGCTTTTCTTAAGTTGTTTTTTTCTTTTGTTATTAGACTCTTCATTAACATTCTTTGATATTTCTGATTCATCTTCTTCTTCGTGAGTTTGAATATAGTCTACAATTGGATCATATTGCCCTACTGCATATACATCATGATGTTTTGCTTCATTCAATGGTCCAAATTCACGAGGAAATTCTTTAACTTGATAATAAGGTAATCCTAATTTGTGAGCAGCAGCTATAAAAGTTTCCTTATCATTTGCAGGAGCTCCACCTTGATTCAATAATGGATAATAATACTTAGGCCCAAAATGATTATAATATAATGCTAGAATTAGAGTCTTAAAATGGACCATTTTATTAATAAGTAATAGATCTCCAGAACTTGAAGATTCTGGAATAGTTCCTTTAGTATCATGATAAGAATAATGTTTTCCAGGTTCTTTACCCTTAGGATAGTTTGAAAAATAGCTATTTCTAGCTTTGACATCTTCGTGAACTTTGATACCACTAATTTGATAAAAATAAGGTGAAGCTGATCTTCTATTAAAATCAGGCCAAACAATAAGATGGTTGTTAATAAATGGTTTATTAACGAAAAAGGCATCAGGATTCTTAATGGCCAAGTTACTAGCATCCATATAAAGGACATTTTCAAATGAAGAAATAATCAAGGCTAGTGATTTTAATTGGTTATCCTCAATCTTGTCTAATACACTTTCATCGATATAATGAATCAATACCTTGCAGGAGCCTCCTAAGGATGGCAAACTTACATCACAGAATTCAATGTCATAATCTTCTTCAAAAGGAATAATAACTTCAACAGGCAATTTTGCCCCATTTGCTCTTAAAGTCTTTATATTCAACATTAATTGAGATTCATCTCCCTTTCTACTCAAGTAGACATATCCATCTCCTTTCATGAATGAATTGAATTTATTAAGTCCATTGATTAAATCATAGGGCCAATCATGATTTATATGTGCCATGAAATTTTGATGAGAATTGGTTAAATCACTCATTTCATTTTCAGATAAGGTTAAGAAACTTTGAAGATATTCTTTGGTTCTAACTGGTTCATCCAAGTATTGTTCGCGTAAGTGTCCTTTATTTTGAGGCAATCTACCGTTATTATTTGCAAATTCATTATCTTTCTTATAATGATCATCATCATTAATACCTTCAAGAATTTTTGGACTAGCTTCATTTATTTGCTCAAACAACTGTTTGAAAAACAATTTAAAAGCAACTTTAAAACAAGACTCAGTTTCAATTTTAGACTTATAAGTAGAATTGATATTTACTTCAATCAGAGTCACACTTTGCTCGACGAGCTTATTATAGTTATAACTTTCAATTATCCTGACATTAAAATTCTTTTGGGATTTTTTAAATGAATCTTCATTAGCATACTTCCAAAAATGACCAAGGTCATCTTGTTCATCAAGTAACATTGTATCAAAGCATTTTTGCATGACTAGAAATTTACTATTGGCATCAAAATGATATCCTTTCATGGAATAATGTTCATAGTTGGAAATATCGAGGGGATGTCTGATGAGACTCTTTAAGCTATCATTATCTTTCCCATATTCGATTGAAGTTGTCAATGGAATTGACATTGATAAACTAGAATGTTGTGATCCCAAAAGAATAACTCTGATAGTTGAAATAAGAATTAAACAAGCAATAACGGTTCTGAATATCAACATTTTATGCTTCGAATTCGAGTTAAAAGACATCCTAAGACTTGACATCATTGACTTTTGCATTAGGTATAGAATTTCTAGGCTTCTTCAATTGTTTTTAATGATGAAGAAACATAAACCTTTTTTAAAAAAGCAAGGGATGTGTGAAAGGGTAAGAGGATTTTATTAAAAATCATATTTTCAAATCAAGGTGGTGGGGGGGGGGGAAGATTATTTGCTGATTATTACGAATGTTTGATACACTCATTTAGTAACTTTGATTACCACATATGTCCTTTGCTATACGAGAAAAGGATTAAAAGTTAACACATTGTAGAGTTTTGTAAGTTTTATGGTATTTTTGTTTGTATATTGTTTTTGCATACCATGACCGGAACTGTTTTACATTTTTGGCCGGAAATTGAGGTTAGTTCTGAATAGAAGAGATACGAAAAATAAAATTTTAACTGACTCAGAAAATCGGGCCGTTAGCTGCTTTTTCTGTTGTAGATTAGTTACCTCGTTAATGAACTTCTCCACACGTAGCTTATATTGCATTGTACTATCGACCTTATCTAAGTTCATCTATAATTAGATATCATTATAAATGAGCTATGCTAAGATTATTGCTATTAAAGGAGATCGTCTGTTCCTGAAGTCCAAATTTTAATTATGGTACAAGCATCTCAGACAGACGTTTAATGAAAGTTAAAATTGTCTTGGCATAAAGTCTTGCTATTGATTTATTTTTAGACACAAAATTTTGCTATTACACAAACCTTTTTAGGCAGTTTCTAATTATTCCACATTAAAAGATCCTGAACATGTTATTCTGTTAGCGAGACTGATTTTTTATTGTTTTAATATTCTTGTAATGATAAATAATTATTTAGCATCTTTGCTAGGATTAAATTACGATTAAATAACAAACAAGTGCATTTATATTTCTAAATTTATAGAATATTAAATAAATGTATATTTCGAAAAAAAAAAAAAAGTGCAAAAGCTTTATTAACGATGATAATGATACCGATTACTGTTATTTTATATACATAGATAATCATTCTGGATGTGCAAGTCAATGCATTAGAAATTGAAATAAAATTTTCAATAAAATGGATGTATGATTTAACACATCATTTATCACACATGTCACTATCATGTGTAGTCCAAATAAAAATAATATGAAAGGTAGTATCGTGAGCATATGGGGTTCAATATAGAAAAAAAATATTTTATTTTTTGATCTCAGATATCCTTTATAAAAAGACAATGAACTGTTGCAGATGGATGTGGTACTAGTTTTCTAATATAGGTGAACTAATTTGGCTATGAGTGAATTAAATTGCTATGGCTAAGCCGTTGCTATTGTTATCTATATTATGGATTCAGATACGAGACAATTAAAAAAAATCTATACTCTGGGTAATTCATTTATGTAGAAACGTCTGTTGTAGACATATTGGTAGTTTCCAGGATTCCTGACTTGATTTATTTCCATTTTCCTAGTTGCATAATTTATATCACTGCTAGACTAAAGACTTCCTTCGCCATTAAGTTCATTATCAGTTTATGTTGTTTAGAATGCTTACATCAATAATACAATAGTTGTGGGGGGTTCCTCTTCTTACTTCAACTAAACCTCATTTGATTGATTCATCGTTTAGTTATTAAATATTATTATATTCACTTCCTCATACATTCCCATCAACTTGAAATATATCAAAATTACCCTGCAGTAATGCTTGCGATTCTTCGAAAACATATACTTAGGAGCCTCTAAAGTAAGATTGAAGTTACCTTGGAAAACTTTATATGGACAAATGTTGCACAAGATAGTATCCTATAGATGATTATTTCTACTATAAACTTACTTCTCAGCATATTAATTCAATTGGGTCAGTATGATCCTATTATTGTTTACATCTTAGCTAATGAAGGCTTTAGATTAAGTACCGATAATGAATTATTGTAAAAGGGACAGAGAATGAAAATGAAGTACACCCTACATCTTTGAGTTTAAAAGAAATTTGTCTAAAATTTAATGGTAAACCAAGTTAGAGCAAGAATCAAAATGACCCAACAACTACTAATACTATTAAACTCTTACAATTTTCAATTCTTTATTTGTAGATATATAGTTTAAATATAAGCAAGAAGTATCTTGTTTTTGATAGGTAAAACAAGCGTGCAATATCTACCATTAAGAGGTAATAATATTTGAATGGGAATATTATTCGATCTTCTATCATTCCGCTAGTGATACCTCTTAATGTTAATGAATATTGTGGTCGTAGTCCCTAATTAATCTACGATGTATTTCGAGCCTTAAAACCAACTTCAAAAGTGAAGCTTGCAGACATAAAATTCAAGTTAACCTGTATAAAAACCTTGTAAAATGCAATACCAATGTGGTTTGCATTGATTATGAAAGCACTATTAACTCAAAATAATGCAGAATCTATACGAGGCTATTAACTCAGTACTGCTTCCTTTGTTTCCGTTCTTGCTCATTTAGTTACCTGTTTGATTAGATCCATCTTCAGAGAAACAATAAAACAATTCATTAACTAATAACCACATTGAAAAAAGGAGATATCAGCCCCTAAAAAATAATACACATAATATCGTATCGTCTTCAGCTTTAAAATGTGTAATATAAATCAAGAACTGAAAAAATATTTTAACAAAAAAATATTTTATTTTTCCCTAACTTTAATGCAAGGCTAACTAACAACATAAAATAAATAACAAGAAAAATATTGGAGTTATTAGCTGCAAAACCGACTGAATGAATGATTCCTTTCCGATACCCTCGTCATATGAAATATCCAAAATCATCTTACCTTTGAAAAAACTATTTTACTTTTCATATAATTCGTATATTCAGAGATTAATTCTCAAATGTTAAAGTTATGCCAGATTCTTTCCCAATGTTTATAGCCCCTTGTATTGAAAAGTACCAAATCATAAGTTTATTTTCAAGAACTTTTACAACTTGTTTCTTTTGAGACTCCAAACAGAACAAAACTTACAATGATAACTAATAGAAGGCCAAAGTCTATAAAATCAAAACCAGGACGTAGAGGAGTCGTGTTCATGGTAGCAATTATGGCTATGTTGCTTGTATCTCATTTTTATTTTGATCTTACTCATGAAGTTTACGCCCAGGTTGTCCAAGGAGGACATCAATCATATGATGTTCAATCGTTTAAGAAATACTCTGGGCAGCCACTAGTTATATTTCCTCAGCATTTTAATGAATTGGTAAACCGTTTTGGTAATGAATATGATATTAATCTCAATACTAAACATCTTAATTTCACTAGATATTATGAAGAAAGATTTAATATTACAAATTTAGATTCTAGGATCAATATTGTTAGATATAACGGGGACAGCACTGGATTTCATGATATTTTTGCAGAAGAGTTTAAAAATCATACCATCAGTTTCCTTAATGCAACTGTATTAGAAGATACAACAGAAAACTGCAAAGATTCTGTCATTGATAAGGTAGTTCAAATTAGTGAATATAGCAAAATTAAAAATGAATTGAATTATCTCGTTAAGGTCTTCAATTATCAATTAAAATATGATCCAGCTTTTGCTGATCTTAAAGTGTTTATGGCCGATGATATTGGTTTATTATTCAAACAGAATCAAGTGAAGAATCATTTCTCTAAATTTGATGGAACATCGGTATGGTTGGAACAGTTTGGTGTACATTTTATGATATCAGGAGTCAGTTATAGTCAAAGTGGAAATAAAGACGAACCAACATTCAGTTTAGTATATGCCCAAATTTTTGATGCTCATTGGAATGAATTAAGGGATGTCGAATTAATTATGCCAACTATCGTTAACAACAAACCTAACTTTAAGAGATTAAAGTTTCCGTCGTTCTTACCTATTCCATTCTTTAAGGGTTATCATCAAGGTTTATATTATGGTATTGAGGATCCAAAAATGCTTCTTATTAGAAATTCGTTCGGGTTTGATGAACCATTAATTGTGTTTAATTCTCTTCACAGAAAGATTGAAGGGTTTAGAAATGAGGCTAATAGAGATGATCTAACTCAAGAAGTTCTTGTTGATCTTCATCTTTTTAGATCCATGTTTATTTGTTATCCATTTCAATATGACTATGGCATGCCAGCTAACTTGAATGGTATAATGAATCCAAAGTATGAAAATATCCTTTTTTCAAAGGTTATAACCCTTGAAAGGCCCGATATTACCAAGAAACAAACTGAAAATAATTGGACACCATTTGTGAATACTCGTGAAAGAATTAATGGAGTTGATACTCACATTTATTTTGTTTATAGTTGGGCCAATCTTCAAATTTTAAAATGTGAATTGAATACCTTTGGACAAGGCAGCGTATCAAATTGTGAATCTTATTATCAAATGAACGATCAATTAGTTGATAATGCTGAAGCTGCAGCTTTAAGAGGAGGAACTGAGTTGATTAATCTTAATCAGTATCTTCCTCATATTGAGGTTGATGCGTGGTTTGGATTAGCCCGTGCGCATATAATGGATTGTGGTTGTGGGTATGATATGTATAGGCCAAATTTTGCTATAATTATTAAAGACGAAGTAGGTAATTTTGAAATATCATATTTGTCATCGTTTGTATCATTTGATATCCCTGTTTATGGATTCAATGAATCCAAAATCCAATGTGACAAATCATTTCCTAATGCCTTAATTCCAAATGGGTTTTCAAATTGGGTGGTATCCGACCCACCAGAACAATTTTCTAGTAAGACGAATGATTACTTAGCTATCACATTCTCAGTAGCTGATTCATCCAATTATATTGTGACTATGAAAAACTTCTTAACCACGATTAATGAAATGGTGAGTAATCATGGTACAAATCAGGCTGTTGACGATAATGTAGTAGGATGTACATTATCGAAATCTTTTCAATTCTGTGAGGCTTATGGTAATCAACTTAGAGAGACTTCACCAGAAGCTTTCAATTATTAGAGTAGGATAATACCCTCACTTGCACCCTTTGAATGCCTATGGCATTTATTCTTTTATAAACTTTCAATAGTTCTTTTTTCTAATTATATATCTGTGTTCCACTTTTTTTAAATATGTGACTGAAATCTCTTTTTGCTTAACTTAAGTATACCATTAAATCTCCTAGTTATCATAATCAGTAGTGCCATTTTCAACAATGTGTTTACAACTTGTTTAGGTAATTATTTATAAGTCTATTATAAGAAATAGTCTATATAGTATAAAATGACTTAGTATAAATCATGGTTATAAATGAAAAAAAAAAGATGTAGCAAAGTCTTCCTTATTCTAATCCCACCCAAATATCACCTAAATACTTAAAATATGAGTGCTGATCTTCATCAAATTCAATAACAGTTCCATTCTGAAATGTATCGCCATAACCAATTGAACTGTAAGTGCACCACATATAATCATGACAAAGCACATGAAGCATTTGCCAAGCTATCTCTGGTTCACCCTCCTTATTTGGACCTTTTAAATAATTTGCTCCAGAGAATGGCGGAACAACGGCATGACGAATATTGATAGGATTATAATAATAATGCCTCATATCTTCTTGATTTTCGAAAGTTTGAAGATAATAATTTCCTTGTTTATGAAGATCATTTTCATAATCTACTAAATCATATTTACCACAAAAATGGAAACCTGAATTTAACCAAAGCAATGAATTATCTTCATCGTCAATATGAGCAGGATGAGAATTGCATAATTGCTGAGCAAGATATAATTCTCCATTGTCCTTACGTCTATCGGGCTTAACTTCGCCTACAGCCACGGCACGATAGTCATTGAAGACATACTCTTCGTTACCATTAAAAGCAAATGCAAGCCAAAAAAATTCTTTATCTCCATGACTTCTTGTCATTAATGGTTCCATGAAATATAATTGAGGTAACATTAAAATCGAATTTAAATGTCTAGTTTTATCTAATAAAACTACCCCAGCTTCCATGAAATGGTACATTCCTTCAAACGCATCATTCTTTAAAGTCTTTTCAGGTACCATAGGAAATCCAAACATAGCATTATCTATAACATTAGGTAATAATGATTTTAATAAGAAAAGGTCAGTTTCTGGTCTCTTGTCGGATGTAGCCCTATCTTTATAAAATAAAGCACCCCCTTCTTTATACTTTGAAGTTTCAAAAAACCATTCCGGATTTTTAAAAAGAACCACATCCGAATCCAATAATATAAATTCCTCAAATGAATTGAAAATAGTGGCTAGTAATTTGTTACCATAACCTTCGAATTTATGTATATATTGTTCTCTAACCACATTGAAAAGATTAACAAAATGAATGTTTTGAACGGGTAAACCAAGATCATAATCTTCGGGTAATAAATGTCTGATCTTCTCCATAGATGCTGGGAAATCTCTCATAGATTGTCTAGCAGCTTTTACAATTTTAGCTTTACTAGAACCACTAAGATTATCGTAGTATACGATTTGGATTGGTAACCTATTACCAAGAGCCCTTAACAATCTGATCAAATTAAGAGTATTTTCAACATGAACATCACCTAATGTTAAGACTATACCTCTTCCATTCAAGCTTTTTCTCATATCATTGAAGAAACAATCCGACATTTGATGAAAAGTGCCAGTAGTGAAGGATTTCAGTTTTTTATGATAATTATTGTATTGAGGAGGAGTTAATTCTATTTCCCCTGACCATTTCTCGAATACAGGAAGTTGAAATGATAACCAAGGATAAATTCTCTTTTCTAAACTTGAGCAAACACCATATGAATCTAATTTAGCCATTTTTTCACTTTCGGTGAATTCAAATGATGGTAAATAATCCTTCCCTTGGATTGTTTGTATTAATTCCTTTTGATCTCTAATCAACTGATTAGCTTTTTCCAGTTGTTTTGGATCCGAATTGGAAAGGAAACATTTATTAAAGATTCTTAAATGACTTATCGAATCCAATGTTTTCTGTTCAACTTGTAAAGTTGTATTCCAGAATTCTTCAAATTTTCTCATCATGAATTTTTCTAATTCAGCATCAGTTATTGTGGATTGATCATCACCTTCAAATTCATAATCAATGTATTCTTGTTTTAACCGATCGTGATTATAAAATTTCCAATTAGAATATTCGAATTCGGCAAGTTCAATATCATAAGGGTTGACATATCTACCTACTGGTAATTCTTCATTTGGGTTCAAGTACCAATTGTGATCAGTTATAAATAAATTTTGGAAGTATAATGAACAACGTTCCTTAAAATCCAAATTACCAAGAATAGTATTTGGATTAGGATGATTTTTAAAAATAGTTTCGTAATTGGTTGCAATAGTGGGTCTTATTCCTCTTAGATCTTTAACATCAGCATGCATTTTATATAAGTCAAAAGTCTTATGATTAACAATCGAAGTATTAACAGGTTCATAATGGTGTGGATTAAACTTATGTAACACATTATTATCACTCGAAAATGCCCATTTATGATTCTCTTCTTCATTATAATCCCCTTTTACCTTATCATCCATTTTATCAGAATCATATAAGCCATTATTGTTTTGTTGTGAGTTGACGTTATTGGTGAATGTCTTAACACTCAAAGCAATATTATCATAATGATACAAAAACAAATAGCCATTTAAAAGTATAGTCCAGGCTGCTACTCCACTGTATAATAAAAATCGATAATAAGAAAACTTCATCTTAAGCTGGTGACTTCCGATTTGGATTGATTTTTGATGAAAAAACTAAGTCATTCGTTCAAATCTTTGGGAAACTTTGGATACAAATCTTTCATGATAAATATTCTTTACATATCCCAAAATCTCAGCTTGCCTTATCGATGCATCATATTTTAAGAATAGGGGATAAAAATTGTGTAACGTAATGAATCTAATCACTTGTTAATAAAGTTTAGTTAATTATAATTTTCTTCATTGTTAAATGTGCGAGCTTAACTTCAAGTTAGTTAAAATATTTTTTATGCCATAAATTAGGCGCCTAAAAAATAATAAAAAGACCGATTTTCACTACCGGTCACATTTTTGCTGCAAAAGTAGATTTCAGGCCGGTCTGCAATTTGCAAAGAATTGTCTTTTCAACACCATCCCATTCGTATATCTTCCCCTTTTAAATGATTAAGGTTAGTTTATACCTATACTTGTATTAGACTTGCTTAATTGGTCTAGATTGATTTGTGGTCCATGTGTGAGAACAATGGATAAGGATAATGCATGATTATTTTATTAACATATCGTAGCTGTGTTATCTACAATCTTTGAAAATTGAATCGAAAATAAAACTGCAAATGCGGTTAGATAAGAAATTCAGCTTGTAAATTTTCTATTTGGAATAGAAAGAGTAGTCTGCATAGATATTGTATTAGTATAATAGGTCCATTCATTTTAATTAGAAATCAACTCTTTAGTGCATTTTAACTAGATCTTGAAGAGTTGGTATTCACATGAGGATGTTTTGAAAAACACCAAATATTAGGAGTGAAAGTTTTTTAATTTCAATGTGTGATATTCATCAAAGGAGTAAATTCTTTATTAAAACGTGTCACTTCATAGAATAATATTCAAGTTTGCTTTTTTACTTATCATAATGATTTTAACCCTTCTCTAATTCTTGCAAATATTCTATAAATCTTGATAAGTAGATTAGCTATTGTTCACTTAACATTAGCTTATAGTGAGTTTATTCGTAAACTGTTTTTATCAAATATTTTTTGCAATTTTATTTTTTATGATGGTAGTCTATGAATCCCAACATGTAAAAAAGCATAAATAAAGCGCAAAATATTTTAAGTATATTTTTTAATACATATTTATTACCTAATCAATATTATTACTTGGAACTGTAGATATTGGAAATATACGAAGTGGAGCACAATCAAAAAAGGCTGAATATTTGTTCTTCATGCAAACAATTTGGAATTTGTTTTTATCTCACTTCAAATTTATTGCCGTAAAAACTTATTATTGACTAATTTGTAGTTCACAACTAAATCGAAATATTAAATAATTGTATTTATATTTCTGGTTTTAAACTTTTACTCCTATTATAATTTGAATTTCCTCTTTTTATTTAAGAATTTCACAATTTTCATTCTGTTTTAATATCCTCCTTCTCAAAATTGAGACGATATCAATGGAAAAGTATTTCAAGATGGAAGAAAACTCAGAAGATATTACTTTTTTTACTTTATTGTTCATAACTGTCGTACCAATCTCATATGTCATCTTTAGAAGAAATATTATCAAGATTATGTTCTCGGTAAATTCATTAAGGGATAAGAAAGCAATATCCCAGTTAGTTTTAATGGCACTCTTAATGATTTTAAATGTTAACCTTATCATATCATTCACTACAATGTTATACAATAGTCTGCATATTCAATCATATTTGTTGGAATCGCAAGAGAAAACATTTGGATTAAGATCAACCCCAATATCAGAAGGAATTGCCAAATTTCATTTTAAACCAGTGAAATTACAAACTTTTTCAAACATGGAAGATACATTTGATATTGATCTTGCTTTTCCTAAAAATAATCAAGGTGGTCAAGAAGTCTTAAAGGAATTTTATCATTTGAAATGTCCTAGAGTTTCCTTTTATGATTCATTCTCCTTAAGTGCATCTACAGAATTAACTAATTTGGATAATAATGATGAATTGTTAAAGATTAGAAACATTGCTCTAGACATGCACGAAAAGCAACAATATTCACTCTTAAAATTTGCCTTCTTAGACGCTCCTGATGAAAGTTTAGAATATATAATTCACAGAAAATGGTTTAAATTCTGTACTGCTCCAATTTGGATGGATAAATATGAAATTTATATTGCTCTTAATAGAGTCACATATTGTCCTAATAAAGTTTATAAAGAACCGAAGATTTCATTATTATATGCCCAAATATTTGATAGAGATTGGAACGAATTAAAAAATTATGTTATTAATGATATTCATGGTGAACCGATTGTATTTCCAACTATTTTTCCTGCTCAAGTGGATGACTTGGGTGATAGATCACTTTTAGGCCCTGAAGATCCAAGAGTTATTATAAGAGATTATTTCAATGAAAAAACAGGAGAAATGGATCAAGAACCAGTCATTATTTTTAACACTTTAGTTAAAAATCAAGGCGAAGCAAGATGTATGCATATTTATCGTCCCTTCACTCACAGAACTAAAACGGTTAGAATGGATATTCATAATATTAAAGCTAAGTATATTGAAAAGAATTGGTCTCCTTTTTTCAATACGGATAAAAATTTTATTTATTTTCTTTATGGATTATTACCATTCAGAATTTTAAAATGTGATATTCATAATGGAGTTTGTTTTGGTGTGACTGGACCAGAAGTTGATCCACATGAAGAGGCGAGACAATTATCAGGAAGCTCAAATTTAATGGAAATTCCATCTAATCTTTTACCAAGTGATTTAGCTAAATATAGAAAAATTTGGTTTGGTATCATTAGATCTCATATTTACAAATGTGGATGTTTGAAACAAGTTTATAGATTCCATGGAGTATTGATTTCCACTAGAGTTGATGATCCAAATGATGTTTTCACTGTTGATTATATTACATCATTATTAGATTTCAATATTAATCCTGAAGCTTGGGATTTGAATTTGGATGAATACAAATGCAGTGATGGTAAATCGGTTTTAATTCCAAATTCATTAGCATATTGGGATTTTATACCAAAGAATTTATCTAATCTGGAAAACCAATATGGTGAAGATATAATGGGGATAGCATTTTCTGAAGCTGATAAGAATAATAAAGTGATTCATATAAAGGGAATGCTTGCTCATCTCTCCAAAGTCTTAAATGGAAATAAGCATAGATTTAGAACTCATTATTTAAGAGAATCTAAAAATGTTTTAGAAACCGATTTCTTAAGTGAATGTGCCGTAGAAGAAGCTACTGAATATTGTTTAACTAGTGAAAAAAAATTTGAATGGCTACGCAAACCTCAAATTGAAATTGAACTTGAAAAAGCAAAGAAAATAGAAGACAGACAAAGAAAGGCTGCCGAAAGGTTAGCTCAAATAGAGTCTGGGGAACTCAACGATAAAGAAATAGAGTATCTTCTTTGGTTAAACAAGGAAGATCAGCTTGAGGAAGAAGCAGAAAAGCAAAGAGAAGAAGATGAAAAACTTTAGGACTCTAAATAATTTGTGGTTCTGATCTGAACCCCATTTCAACGGATTCTCTCTATCTCTTTTTTTAATTTTTATACTATTCAATAAACGTAATTCCTAAATTTACTAGTTTTTGTATTCCTGTTTAGTAGATGGATTCATTTTCTTTTAGGTTTTAAAACTTACGTCGTACTAGTGAATTGAAAATCAAACTAAAAGTGAGACCAAATGCCTAATAATTCTCTTAAACTTACCTTGTTACACATTTCATTTTTATTTTTTCAGAAGTAGGGAATTTTCGTATTTGATGTAATCCACACAAAAAATATTTCGAGAGATTAAACTTTAATCTTATTTTTTTTCACAAAGTCGGAAAATTCTGGTACAGAATTAAACTCTTTAGTTGATCTTAATGCAAAAACGATTCAAAAAACTAAATTCAAATTATAGATTTGTAATTTACAGTTTAGCTACATTTGGCAATCAGTTTAACACATTCATCTTTAACCAACTGGCATGGAAACCATTTTTCTCTCATAATTAACGTATAAAAAAATAAAAGTTTGGAAAATAAAACATTTGTGTCAATTCATAGTTACACTCCCTGGTTTGATATTTCTTTTTTTAAGTTAATCTCAAAAAATATATGTAAGTAGTTAATTCACCATTGGTACCGTTTATGACTCGCATTTGCTGATTTATAAAGCGAAGGACAGTATAAAAATAATATTTCAAAATTTACCACAATCTTTATTTAACTTGGTAACTACTTGATTTAACGGAATCTCTATGTTACTAATAATAATTTTAAACTTGGGCCAGATTTTAATTGATTCGTAATTCTCATATCTAATATTTTTTATAATAAGCTAATCTGTAGTTTAAAATTAATTTTATTAACTATTTTTGGAGAGATGGTAGAGAAAAAGTCGGGTACCATTATACGAGTATATAGAGCCGCATAGTATACAAAATGTATTTCGTTTTTGAGGGGTACTAGTTTTAAAAAATAAATTTCGATATATCATAATATTAAGTTCACACACACATAAAATTAAACGTCGGCAATATGTTACAGCATGGGTTTCTCTGTTATCGTATTCATCATTTTCAATTGTATTCGTTTTAGATCAAAACATTGAATCTGATTAATGTATATAATTTTGACCTTACGTTTTTCAAGGTCGATGATTAATGGGGATGATTTGCAACAACAACAAAATTTTAATGATACTTCCAATACCTTTTATCTACAGGTCAAAGGTAACACTATCCATCACACCAACATGTGCCTTTCAAAATATTATTTACCATTGTCTCTTTCAAAATAATATGACATTTCGATAATAATATCCTTCAATTCAACTCATAGAAAATTAAGAAACGTAACTATCAATTTATTTGTTGTTGGTATCTGCAGTTGGGTTTACCCTGCATAAAAATACACTTTCTTTCGTTAAAAAATAATACGAGAAAAAAAATATTTTTTTATTAAAATAAAACCAAACGTACGCAATTGATTTAGTCCCACATTTTGTTGATTGATTCCAAAAGTAGTTGCCGTAGTCCTTTTAACAATGTAAATGGATTTTATTTTTAAACATAAACCATTGCTAGAATTGCCTTTAATATCTTTATTGCTATTCTTAATTGCAATTATCCAATTAAACTACGAATTCTTTTCTAAATCTGATATTTAAGCCTTAAAAAATAATCTACTTAATTAATATTTTTATTATTATTCTACGAAAATAATGTATACACAAAAGGCAAGGAAAGGTATTCGTAGGAAAATAATACTTTATAAAGATAAATTTTCTTTCGTTTCCAATTACAGAAAATAAAAGGAAAGTTACATTTCAACCGGGTAAGCACAAGAGTGGGAGACGTGAATGTGTATTTTGGTCGGAATTACAGAGGAATTCACCATTCAATATTCTTCTTTCAGGAACAGCTGCATTTTTAAGGAGGTATACAAACATAAGGTATATCATATAACAGAGAAAGTATACATCATCGGTGTTGTCTGCTATCCTTTTGGACCCCGGGTACATTATTTGTACCAAAGAACAAATAAGTAATATCTCGGTTAATAGTACGATAAGCTTATTCTAGCGTGAATGCACATTCAGCCGAAGTTATTGTTATCAAAAATCGGTTTGGTTATACGAACTATGTGCATATTTTAAGGATCGATGCTTTCCCAAATAAATCAAGGGATGAAGTCATATACGAATGTGTTCATGTAATGTTAGGCAAGGAAGCAATAGGTGAGAAATGAAGTGGGCAAATAAAGCCTCCAACAAATTGAATGCTTCCATTGTTTCGCACCGATCTTTTATTTTTACCTTACAACCATAAAGCCCTTTTTCAGAAAATTTGGTTCAACAAAGAGATAAACTTTTACTCAATAAAGTTATGGATTTCCCTTTTTGACTCCAGGGTCTTACTAGATAAACTAAATAATATGAGAATTATATCATTGAAACTAGGTTCCCCTTTTTAAGCGTTAACCAGAACCAAGTAATTAACTCACCCAGTTCTACTGTTAGCATTAACCATATGACAATAGAGTAGTACGATATGTGTTAAACATGGCTTAAGGTGCTAATTGAAATCATTAAGTAGATTCTAAGCAAATTTTTCACAATTTAGAATAATCAAGTCGTACGTCTTACACACCCCCGGCTCTCCATAAAATTGTTTCTAAATTTTCGTATCTTGTATTTTTTTATTAACACATCTAAACCCTCAAATAAGTTTTAGTTTTTCAGCCTACTTCCTTGAACTACACTTAGTAAATTATAGTTCAAGCTTTAGGCTTTATGGCTTTGGTACCATAAAATAATTGCGTTCTGTTTAAAACTAATTTTTCATTCTTTAAAAAAAAAATAAAAGATTTGAAAAATATTTTTGATTTGGAGAAACAAAACAAAAATGAGAATCAAAATATTTTGTTCTACATGTACTTGTTATAATTAATAACAATATAAACAAAATAACCATCCTTCATTGATTAATGATGCGTATGAGGTCACTTCAGTTACAGGATGATACGGTCCGGTCGCTTTAATATTTTTTTAAAATGCTTTATATGTTTTCATTTGTGCTTGTTGGTTACGAAGTACCTAGTTTGTGGATTTTGATATTCGACTTATGTTACATAACTGCTTTACGACATCCAATAGACTTGAAATAGCAATGTTGGCTAATGTTGCTGTTTTATATTGGTTCCAAATATTGAAAGTTCGTAATTGAACTTTGCCTTATATGACTTGTTCGTATTAAATAATAATGGTTACAACAATGATAATATTATCTTACAAGACCGATATGCTTTACATGTCTTTGCAGAATGTGTTAATCTAGTGTTAAATCAGGCCAAAAATTTACCAGAAGTTGATCCTATCCTTGAAAGATTCTAAAAACTGGTCATTGAAGCAGACAATAGACTGTTATGCATGTAATTAGCTTTCGAATTTCTGTTTGGTTAATATTTTAATTTCTTTTAATCGATTTAGTATGCAATTTGCAAATGAATTAAGAGCCAATTAAAGACAAAGTTTGTCTATTGGTTTCCAGTTGGTTCCATTAGTCACAGAAATATTTTAATAGCTATTCATACTTCAAGTGAATAATAATTTCAATATTAAACACCCACGCATTAAAATTCACAGTTTTAAATAATAATAAGTTCCTTTTTTAATTCGATTTAACACAATTCCAATTCTAAAATCAAAGTTGGTACATATTAATGGTCCTCGTTCATAAGGGCCATTTATTTATTTTAAAAATAACATCCAGTTGTTAAGTCAATTGCCTCTGTCTCCTTAAATGTTTTCGTAAGGTTATATGAACCATATTGCATATATTTTATTTTTTAATATTGGTTCACTTAATTTATTTTATTTCATTATTTTATATATCTGAAGTTACAGTTTACGGTATTATCCCTTTCGCAACAATGAATATGTGTTAGTTTGGCCAAATGATGGTTCCAGAATTTATTTCAATGAATCCAGAAGGAAATGGATACGAATAATACATTCCAATTTCGGTTCTAATGTGTATTCAGAATAGTTTAGAGCAATTCCGACTTCGTATTTCAAATGTCTAAGAATTTTGTTCTTGAATATCCTGGTTATAATTAATGAAAATTTAGGAGGATAGATTTCAGCTGTATCAAATGTGGGATTTCTATTAAAAGAAAGTATTGCCTTCCCAAGTTGTAATATTCGTTCAACGAAATGATTCTGATGTTTAAGTTTCTATAACAGTTGTCAAAGTGCTTTATTGAAGTATGATATTACGGAGCTGTCTAACGCTCTTTATTTGGTATACTGCATTGGCTTCAGCTTTGCCAGGACTAATAAATGTTCAGCAATTTTATAAAAAGTTAGTGCTTGTTCATTCTGAAATTGAAGTAGGTAGCTCAACTGTTATTTGGAATCAAAATTCAAATTCAACAACTACTATGACAGACTTATATGGCGATTCTGATTCTATTATAGGTTTTGCACTAAATTCCGATTCAACAATCGCGCCATCTATACTGGAATTAGAATTAGAAATTCCTGTGGAAACTGGCTTAACGACTTCTTTACAATTGGCAGCAAGTCACACGGATAACTTATTTGTTACGATCACAGGCAATCCCGAAGCTCTTATTGGTAAAGTTGATAATCACAAAAAGAGATTTGAAGCAGGTGGTGGTGCCATTTACTGTGCTTGGGGGTCTTATGTTAAGGGCGGACAAGAATATTGCTACCCTGCCGCTGATTGTCCAGTTGGTACAGCCACCACAATTAAATACGGTTTGGCATATTACAGTTGCAACACTTGTCAATTTGAAACCACTACTATTACTAGTGGTTATGTAAAAGTTACTGCCTGTGTACCACCAGCACCCACACCTCCTTCATGTGACACTGGAAATGTGATCAACACATATAATTTCGCGGCAAGCACTTGGACTACTACATGTTCTTCCACATGTTCCCATGGAGCAACTGTTGTATGCGATGAATATGATAATCCACAATTCACCACTTGTGCACCATCACCACCATCAACAACATCGTGCAGCACAGGACTGAATTGTTGGGATTGGGATTTTGAATTCCCTGGATGGACAACGTCATGTTCTTCCACATGTTCCCATGGAGCTACTGTTGTATGCGATGAATATGATAATCCACAATTCACCACTTGTGCACCATCACCACCATCAACAACATCGTGCAGCACAGGACTGAATTGTTGGGATTGGGATTTTGAATTCCCTGGATGGACAACGTCATGTTCTTCCACATGTTCCCATGGAGCTACTGTTGTATGCGATGAATATGATAATCCACAATTCACCACTTGTGCACCATCACCACCATCAACAACATCGTGCAGCACAGGACTGAATTGTTGGGATTGGGATTTTGAATTCCCTGGATGGACAACGTCATGTTCTTCCACATGTTCCCATGGAGCTACTGTTGTATGCGATGAATATGATAATCCACAATTCACCACTTGTGCACCATCACCACCATCAACAACATCGTGCAGCACAGGACTGAATTGTTGGGATTGGGATTTTGAATTCCCTGGATGGACAACGTCATGTTCTTCCACATGTTCCCATGGAGCAACTGTTGTATGCGATGAATATGATAATCCACAATTCACCACTTGTGCACCATCACCACCATCAACAACATCGTGCAGCACAGGACTGAATTGTTGGGATTGGGATTTTGAATTCCCTGGATGGACAACGTCATGTTCTTCCACATGTTCCCATGGAGCTACTGTTGTATGCGATGAATATGATAATCCACAATTCACCACTTGTGCACCATCACCACCATCAACAACATCGTGCAGCACAGGACTGAATTGTTGGGATTGGGATTTTGAATTCCCTGGATGGACAACGTCATGTTCTTCCACATGTTCCCATGGAGCTACTGTTGTATGCGATGAATATGATAATCCACAATTCACCACTTGTGCACCATCACCACCATCAACAACATCGTGCAGCACAGGACTGAATTGTTGGGATTGGGATTTTGAATTCCCTGGATGGACAACGTCATGTTCTTCCACATGTTCCCATGGAGCAACTGTTGTATGCGATGAATATGATAATCCACAATTCACCACTTGTGCACCATCACCACCATCCACCACAAGATGTAGTACTGGAAATATTAATAATTGCTGGGATCCTATCCACAATCAATGGACCACAACTTGTACGCCATCAACTTACATACAATCAAGTTCAACGCCATCAAGCTCTGTTCCATCTAGTTCTAGTCCTTCAAGTTCTAGTCCTTCAAGTTCTGTACCTTCCAGTTCAGTTCCATCTAGTTCAATACCTTCGAGTTCGATCCCATCTAGTTCGATTCCTTCGAGTTCTGTACCTTCCAGTTCAGTTCCATCTAGTTCAACGCCATCAAGCTCTGTTCCATCTAGTTCTAGTCCTTCAAGTTCTGTACCTTCCAGTTCAGTTCCATCTAGTTCAATACCTTCGAGTTCTACTCCTTCAAGTTCTGTACCTTCCAGTTCAGTTCCATCTAGTTCAATACCTTCGAGTTCTACTCCTTCGAGTTCGATCCCAATTAGTTCGGCCCCATCTAGTTTCAGTATAAGTCCTCGAGGTTTCCCATCCAGTTCTACTCCTTCGAGTTCGATCCCATCAAGTTCAGTTCCATCTAGTTCAACGCCATCAAGCTCTGTTCCATCTAGTTCTAGTCCTTCAAGTTCTGTACCTTCCAGTTCAGTTCCATCTAGTTCAATACCTTCCAGTTCAGTTCCATCTAGTTCAACGCCATCAAGCTCTGCTCCATCTAGTTCTAGTCCTTCAAGTTCTGTACCTTCCAGTTCAGTTCCATCTAGTTCAATACCTTCGAGTTCGATCCCATCTAGTTCGATTCCTTCGAGTTCTGTACCTTCCAGTTCAGTTCCATCTAGTTCAACGCCATCAAGCTCTGTTCCATCTAGTTCTAGTCCTTCAAGTTCTGTACCTTCCAGTTCAGTTCCATCTAGTTCAATACCTTCGAGTTCTACTCCTTCAAGTTCTGTACCTTCCAGTTCAGTTCCATCTAGTTCAATACCTTCGAGTTCTACTCCTTCGAGTTCGATCCCAATTAGTTCGGCCCCATCTAGTTTCAGTATAAGTCCTCCAGGTTTCCCATCCAGTTCTACTCCTTCGAGTTCAGTTCCATCTAGTTCAACGCCATCAAGCTCTGTTCCATCTAGTTCTAGTCCTTCAAGTTCTGTACCTTCCAGTTCAGTTCCATCTAGTTCAATACCTTCCAGTTCAGTTCCATCTAGTTCAACGCCATCAAGCTCTGCTCCATCTAGTTCTAGTCCTTCAAGTTCTGTACCTTCCAGTTCAGTTCCATCTAGTTCAATACCTTCGAGTTCGATCCCATCTAGTTCGATTCCTTCGAGTTCGATCCCAAGCAGCTCGGTCCCATCTAGTTCAACGCCATCAAGCTCTGTTCCATCTAGTTCTAGTCCTTCAAGCTCTGTTCCATCTAGTTCTAGTCCTTCAAGTTCCGTACCTTCCAGTTCAGTTCCATCTAGTTCAACGCCATCAAGCTCTGTTCCATCTAGTTCTAGTCCTTCAAGTTCTGTACCTTCCAGTTCAGTTCCATCTAGTTCAATACCTTCGAGTTCGATCCCATCTAGTTCGATTCCTTCGAGTTCTGTACCTTCCAGTTCAGTTCCATCTAGTTCAACGCCATCAAGCTCTGTTCCATCTAGTTCTAGTCCTTCAAGTTCTGTACCTTCCAGTTCAGTTCCATCTAGTTCAATACCTTCAAGTTCGATTCCTTCGAGTTCGATCCCAAGCAGCTCGGTCCCATCTAGTTCAACGCCATCAAGCTCTGTTCCATCTAGTTCTAGTCCTTCAAGTTCTGTACCTTCCAGTTCAGTTCCATCTAGTTCAATACCTTCGAGTTCTACTCCTTCAAGTTCTGTACCTTCCAGTTCAGTTCCATCTAGTTCAATACCTTCGAGTTCGATCCCAAGTAGTTCGGCCCCATCTAGTTTCAGTATAAGTCCTCGAGGTTTCCCATCCAGTTCAGTTCCATCTAGTTCAACGCCATCAAACTTTGTTCCATCTAGTTCTAGTCCTTCAAGCTCTGTACCTTCCAGTTCAGTTCCATCTAGTTCAATACCTTCGAGTTCGATTCCTTCGAGTTCGATCCCATCTAGTTCGATTCCTTCCAGTTCTGTACCTTCCAGTTCAGTTCCATCTAGTTCAACGCCATCAAGCTCTGTTCCATCTAGTTCTAGTCCTTCAAGTTCTGTACCTTCCAGTTCAGTTCCATCTAGTTCAATACCTTCGAGTTCGATTCCTTCGAGTTCGATCCCAAGCAGCTCGGTCCCATCTAGTTCAACGCCATCAAGCTCTGTTCCATCTAGTTCTAGTCCTTCAAGCTCTGTTCCATCTAGTTCTAGTCCTTCAACTTCTGTACCTTCAATACCTTCGAGTTCGATTCCTTCGAGTTCGATCCCATCTAGTTCGATTCCTTCCAGTTCTGTACCTTCCAGTTCAGTTCCATCTAGTTCAACGCCATCAAGCTCTGTTCCATCTAGTTCTAGTCCTTCAAGTTCTGTACCTTCCAGTTCAGTTCCATCTAGTTCAATACCTTCGAGTTCGATTCCTTCGAGTTCGATTCCATCTAGTTCGATTCCTTCCAGTTCTGTACCTTCCAGTTCAGTTCCATCTAGTTCAACGCCATCAAGCTCTGTTCCATCTAGTTCTAGTCCTTCAAGTTCTGTACCTTCCAGTTCAGTTCCATCTAGTTCAATACCTTCGAGTTCGATTCCTTCGAGTTCGATTCCATCTAGTTCGATTCCTTCGAGTTCGATCCCAAGCAGCTCGGTCCCATCTAGTTCAACGCCATCAAGCTCTGTTCCATCTAGTTCGATTCCTTCCAGTTCTGTACCTTCCAGTTCAGTTCCATCTAGTTCAACGCCATCAAGCTCTGTTCCATCTAGTTCTAGTCCTTCAAGCTCTGTACCTTCCAGTTCAGTTCCATCTAGTTCAATACCTTCGAGTTCTACTCCTTCGAGTTCGATCCCAAGTAGTTCGGCCCCATCTAGTTTCAGTATAAGTCCTCGAGGTTTCCCATCCAGTTCTACTCCTTCGAGTTCGATCCCATCAAGTTCAGTTCCATCTAGTTCAACGCCATCAAACTTTGTTCCATCTAGTTCAACGCCATCAAGCTCTGTTCCATCTAGTTCTAGTCCTTCAAGTTCTGTACCTTCCAGTTCAGTTCCATCTAGTTCAATACCTTCGAGTTCGATTCCTTCGAGTTCGATCCCATCTAGTTCGATTCCTTCCAGTTCTGTACCTTCCAGTTCAGTTCCATCTAGTTCAATACCTTCAAGTTCGATTCCTTCGAGTTCGATCCCAAGCAGCTCGGTCCCCTCTAGTTCAACGCCATCAAGCTCTGTTCCATCTAGTTCGATTCCTTCCAGTTCTGTACCTTCCAGTTCAGTTCCATCTAGTTCAACGCCATCAAGCTCTGTTCCATCTAGTTCTAGTCCTTCAAGCTCTGTACCTTCCAGTTCAGTTCCATCTAGTTCAATACCTTCGAGTTCTACTCCTTCGAGTTCGATCCCAAGTAGTTCGGCCCCATCTAGTTTCAGTATAAGTCCTCGAGGTTTCCCATCCAGTTCTACTCCTTCGAGTTTGATCCCATCAAGTTCAGTTCCATCTAGTTCAACGCCATCAAACTTTGTTCCATCTAGTTCAACGCCATCAAGCTCTGTTCCATCTAGTTCTAGTCCTTCCAGTTCTGTACCTTCCAGTTCAGTTCCATCTAGTTCAACGCCATCAAGCTCTGTTCCATCTAGTTCTAGTCCTTCAAGTTCTGTACCTTCCAGTTCAGTTCCATCTAGTTCAATACCTTCGAGTTCTACTCCTTCAAGTTCTGTACCTTCCAGTTCAGTTCCATCTAGTTCAATACCTTCGAGTTCGATCCCAAGTAGTTCGGCCCCATCTAGTTTCAGTATAAGTCCTCGAGGTTTCCCATCCAGTTCAGTTCCATCTAGTTCAACGCCATCAAGCTCTGTTCCATCTAGTTCTAGTCCTTCAAGTTCTGTACCTTCCAGTTCTGTACCTTCCAGTTCAGTTCCATCTAGTTCGATTCCTTCGAGTTCTGTACCTTCCAGTTCAGTTCCGTCTAGTTCAACGCCATCAAGCTCTGTTCCATCTAGTTCTAGTCCTTCAAGTTCTGTACCTTCCAGTTCAGTTCCATCTAGTTCAATACCTTCGAGTTCGATTCCTTCGAGTTCGATTCCAACTAGTTCGATTCCTTCGAGTTCGATCCCATCGAGTTCAGTTCCATCTAGTTCAACGCCATCAAGCTCTGTTCCATCTAGTTCTAGTCCTTCAAGTTCTGTACCTTCGAGTTCGATTCCTTCGAGTTCGATCCCATCTAGTTCTACTCCTTCGAGTTCGATCCCAAGTAGTTCGGTGTCATCTAGTTCGACAATAACGTATTCTATCAGTTCGACTGGTTTGGTTTCTACTAGTTCAGAGTCTAGTTCAATAACAAGTGTTAGTTTTTCATCGACTTATGTACTGGAAGCATCATCAACGACGACATATTCGACTTGTTATGTTGATGGAGGTGAGTTAATAAATTACGCTAAGAGAGATTTTACTTGTTTGACTACTCTTCCAATTTCATCTGGATCACTGCAAAGTAGTTATATTATCTCGTCACTGTTCTACTACGGAAATACTTCTAGAAGTTCGACTACTGGAAGTACTGGACTTACTTTTGCTTCAACAACCCTAACTTCACTCAGTTCTGGTATGATTTCTGGGGTCAGTATAAGTATTAATTTTCCTTCTTCGTCATCTACTACATCTACTATATCTACATCTACTACATCTACCATGTCCACATCTACTTCTACTACAACTACTTCTACTACAACTACTTCTACTGCTTCTACTGCGTCAGCTACAGGTACAAGTTCTGGTCCAACGACTTCTGCCAGTATTACTACTACCACCTCTTCAAGTGCCGCTACATTGCCATCCAGTGCAACTGGTCTACTTACCCCTTCTACTGCAGGCTCAAACGCTATTTCAACTTCAGTTGCAGCAGCATCGTTCATTTTTAGCCCCCCTACACAATCAACTACTGTTGTTGGAAGTACTTCAAGTACTACACCAGTTATCACTACTAGCTCTGTGTCTACAGTTCCACCGACGTCAGTTTCTTTAGCGGCTGCTTATTCTGTATTTAATGTTCCATCAGTAAGTGTATCGACACATGCAACTGTTCCTACTACAGCTTCTGTTTCTTTAGCGGCTGCATTCTCAGTTTTCAATAGTCCAGCCGTAACTGTGCCAGGATATACTCCAGTTCAAACAACTCCATCAGTTTCTTTAACGACTGCATACGGAAAGTCGGTGTCTTTAGCTGCTGCTGAAACTTCTTACTCTTTGTTACATGCGTCGCCACCAAGTTTGACTATTCCTTTCGAAGGAGCTCCTTCTTTGAAGGTTTCCAAATTCATTTTGTTCGTGATGATATTAATGGGAATATTAATTTAATTTCGATATTTCCAGGATGTGTGTTTTGCTTGACTTGTAATTATTATATTTCTTTTCTTTTGTTTTCTTTTCGGTTATCATAATTTTTTCTGTTGATTATTTGATATAATCATTAATTTGTTTAAATCATTAATTTGATTACTATGCTTTTTACTACGTGATATCTTTTCATTTCATTTCATTTCTATTTCTTCTATTTTTCGATCAATATTTTTAAATAGTGCTAGTTCATTAAAATATAAAATATATTATTTTTATTAAATTATGATTGGTTATTTTTTAATTCTTGTTTAACGAAAGGGGAAAATATTTTGTATGTATATGTGATAGCAAGCGTTCGATAGATATTTTTTAAATCTTCCCCCTCCACGATAGCTTTAATGAATCTTTAGTTAACCTAAACACATTTTTTATTTTTCTAGTGAAAACTAGTTAAAAATAATTTAAAAAAGTCATGTGATCTGATGATCCACAAATTAAGTTATATTTAAAAAAATTATTTATGTTTAACTAAAAAGTTAAAGAATATAGATATAAATTATTTATATACATATTATGTATGACCTAAGACGGTAACCATATATTTATGAATAGATTAAACGACTATTTGAATTATTAACAATGAAAAATTATTAATATTTCAATAAAATCACTAATTTCTTTTTATAGAAATTAGTTAGATAATTAGTTAATGCTTCTTAATTGGGAAAAAACAAATGATTGGTGGGAAAAAATAAAAAGTAACAGAGAAAGCATTAAGGAAATTATAATGGATACAATTTGTTAGAAAATCAGAAACAATGGCAGATTAACAGTTTTCCATACGTTCGTTAATTTAATGACTAGTGAGATTTGATTTGTTCTTTTCTCATTGTGATTAAATGGTGACGCACTTAAAAAATACGAGTAACAACAAAACAATAACCAAAAGATCGTATTATGATAAGTTGGGCGTGTCCATACCTTGACAGCTCTCTTAATTAAGATTATCAAAGTCTATTTTAGCCAAGTCTCCACCATGAAAGCTTTTCTTTAGTTTTTGCCTATAATACATATATGGACATATATGTATTTAATCTTTGGTCGCTAAAACTGGCATTTTTTTTTTCCTTTCGCATTTCTAATCCGGGAAACCGATTGTACGACAGAAACCCCCTTAAAAGTTTTGTATAAAAGCGTAAAGATTTTATGTTTACGTCCATCTAACTGTATAAACATTTGCTGATTGATCAATCGGTGCTCATATATTTATATATTTATATATATATATATATATATATATCTTCTCCAGTCGTAACAATTCAGATTTGAAAGTTGTTCTTCTGAATAAAATTGGTTACTTATTACTATGGATAAAATACACAACTACGGAAAAAGATCTTATCTCAACAAAAGAACCTATAGAAACTTAATACTGGCTCAAGAGGATAATTGTAGTGATTTTCGGAAACAAGTTAATTATTAGTGAAAGAATATATAGCGTGTATATTAATAGTAATAAATATTTATGAACGTAAAGTAATTGCCATTATTATAATAGTAATTATTTCTGTTTTGTCGAAAATGTTTTGTCGCAAATAATTGATTTCTTGCACGACTCTCAAAACTGTATGGGTAAATAAAATCACCCCAAGCAACCAACTATCAGGTGACTTCATTTTCAAAAGTTGGATCATTCTTTTTTATTAAGTTATGATATGTTATGAAAGTTGCTGTCAATCTAAATAGTATAGACCTGCAGGTTTAGTAAGTACATGGTATATAGTCATAGACATAATAGTTAATTAAAGAATTATGTAAACATGACTGATTATTTGTGTGTTTAACGTAATTTGATATAATAGATGATTGATTTAAGTTACGTAAATAGAAGAAGAATAAAATTTGTTATAGATATAGACTATACAGTAATCCGCCACCGGCAAACCAAATTAACAAACAGATTCTTTTCTTATTCTTTCCTTCCTTGTCATCCACAAAGTCTGAGTTTGTCAGTGAGTGAACGAAATGGGTGAGAGCCCGTCAAAAAAACATAAAAAAAAAAAAAGAGAATTCGGAGTGAAATGGATCGGAGTACAAGGGAAATGGAAGAGATAGACTTGATTGATGGTATAACATAAAATATCATTTCCTTATATCAATCTATATATACTATACCAAACAATATATATCTAACATCAATTAATTAATCCCGGCTCTAGCCATTATCTATCTATTAATAATCATATCCCTCTATATATAATTACGATTTATTGCTACATTCTATGACGTATATGCAGTCACATAATGGTAAACAAAGTTGAAACTTCATATATAGTTAAAATGGAGTTAACCACCACCATTCAAGTTATGTTATGGGATGACTTACTCCTGTTACACCAATAATAATGATGATGATGATGTTGTTATTATTATTATTATTAATATTATTATGTTTGATTAGATTGTAAATCATTCCTAATTAGTTTCCCGTTCAAGTAAGGCTAAGAAAAATAAAAGGGGAATGAGCTCAGAGTGTAAATTTAAAAATAATGTGATGATGATAAATAAATCGTAACTGTATTAAGTCATATGAATCATAATTGATACATGGTAATCCATTTTTAATGATGAGATAGTTTTAGTTTCTATATATATAGATCAAATTGTCAATCTATGAATTTCTTTTGAATAAAAGGCGTTATAGTTTCTTTTTAAGTGTAGTTTCTTTTTGAATACAACAATATTCAAAATCAACTTTAATTATATCATTTTCAAAACCTTATCAAAACTTATTCATATTCAAAGGGTTCAATAAAAATACTTCATTAATATCTACTACTACTCCAACATCATACTAAAAGTTCTAGGTTCAAAGGCTATTTTAATTGTTGTGTTACTTTTTTTTATGAATGACATAATCTCCTGAGATTTTCTTAACTATTATTTATACACCAAAACAAGTTTCTGAACATCTGGACACGACCTCCTTCCCATAATCCCTGTCTGTCACATCTTTTAGTTTTGTCAACAGAGTAAAGAATAATAACAAAGTGTCAACCATATCCATTATAAGGATAAAATCAGTTATATCATTCAATCCATCCATCATCAACATTGATTCATCCTGTTAACCAATCCATCAATCAAACGAGTAATTCAATCCTTGCTCAGTCAATCTGAATCTCAATCCTCACTACCAAAACACCGCTCTCCCCTCCTCCTCCCTCCATCAGCCTTAAAATCAAATAATCAATCACTTTAAACAAAGTTTAATATTTTTTTTAAGCATCATCATTATTATCTAGTTGTTGTTTAAAAGAAATTAAACTAACCAATCGTGTTTTGAAAAAAAAAATAGGTTCTACATACTTTGTTTGATAGCTATTTATATTGTGTGAGTTTGAGAGTATCTGTGTTTGTGTGGTTTGTGTCTATTGTACAAAAAGAAATTTTATTATAATTAATACCTTGATTGATTATCTATCATCGTCAGTTCGATCAATCCATTCATCAATCAATCAATCAATCAATCAATCAATCAATTGGTTCGTTCTCATCATTTTCCCCGAATAACTCCATCTGATTTCTAATCTTATTGAATATATTCATTTATCCATTAATCATATCAAATGATAGGAAAGTCGGCTATATCTTCAACCTCACGATTAAATCCACCGCAAACATCTACTTCGCCATCATCAACTTCAGGTCCAACTTCATCAAGTTCTATCCCAAGTATTGGTAACAGTAATAACAATAATTCTAATAATAATAATAACATATCATCATCTTCATCTTCAGAAGATCCTCTTTCAACTTCAAGAAATAATCTATCTCAATCAAGTTTCTTATTCAATCCTGGTAGACAAGATTCCATAAGTGCTTTATTAAATAATTATCCTTCAAACGCCAATCGTTCAAGTTATACCACCAATAAAGAAAATTTAACCATGGTAAATAATCAGAATCAATCAAATACTAATAATAGTAATAGTAATAACTCTTATTCGAGTTATTTCAGAGATTCATTGCCTCCATCATCGTTTAATCAGCAGCAACAACAACAACAACAACAACAACTTCATCAATTTCAACAACAACAGCAATATCAACAACTCCAACAACAAGCTCAACAGCAAGCTCAACAACAACAGCAACAACAACTGATTCCTGTTATAAGACCAAGAGGTGATAGTATTTTCTTACCACCACCCATCAATTCTCAACTAAGACTGACTAATACTAGCGATAATTACGATAATAATAATAATAGTAACAATAATTCCGGATCTTCAGCAAATAATGCTAGTAATTCATTTTCTTCAAGATCAAACAGTATATTTTCATCATTAATCCAATTACCTAATTCAGCAGGAAACTCCATAAGTGAACAATCCAATAATGGAAAATTAAATTCATCAAATAACAATAATAATAATAATAATAACTCCAATAATACCGCTGGCGGTCCAAGACCAAGACAATTATCTATATTTCCATCTTTATCCCAACAAGGTATGCAAGAACCATTCTCGATTGAAGATTTGGAAAATTTGATCAATAAAGAAAGTTTAGGTAATTTAATGTCATGGCAACAACAACAACAACCCGATTCAAAATCAAGTATATCAGGTGGAACTCCAAGTGGTACTAGATCAAAGTTTGGTTCTATAGATTTATCCATGTGGAATGATAATAACAATAATAATAATTTCTCAAATCAAAATAGTATAGTTGGTGTACCAAATAATGGATCTATTAGTGGATTTAATGGTAGTTTGGGTGATTTTATAGCGGGAATGATATCAAATGGTAGTATTGATTTAAGTGGAATAAATGGTCAAAGAAGAGATTCTATATTGAAATTTGTTAATGATCTGCAAACTTTTAGAAATCAAAGAATTCCAAGTACAGAATTAGATAAAAAGAATAATTCAAATAATACCACTAATACTCTTCCAACCGTCAATCCTTTAGGTACTAATACCAAGTTAAGAGAAGATATCTTTTCCAAAGATCAATCATCATCTACAAATCATAATAATAATAATCAATCTGCATCTGATCCATTAGCACCTGCTCCAAATCAAACTGATCTGAAATTGAATGATAATTCTAAAAAGTCGAAAAATACTAAGAAGAAGAATTCTCCTTCGAGTTCAGCAGGTAATTCAACTAATAATAGTAACAAATTATCAGTCCCTGATAAAGATCATTTATCTCCAACTTCATCCATGTCTTCAAGAGCTTCTGGTAAATATAATGATGAACCTCAATCTCCAAAGACAAGTCCTTCAAGCTATAATTCTAGACTTCAACAACAACAACAATACGGAAATTATCAACAACGTCCACCACCTGGAACTCAATCTCATCCTTCAATGTATAATTCTCAACAACAACCTCAACCGTTACCTCAACCAATGGCACCGCAAAGAATGTTTGATAATTATCAAATTCCAACTCAAAATCAAAATCAATACTATAATCCAAATTATGCATCTCCAAATCAATTCCAATCTTTACCTCCTAACGCAACTATTAGAAATCAACCACCTCCAGCTCCAACTCAACCTCTGGCTAATTATTTTTCATCTCCTCAACAAATTGCATACCATCAACAATTTTTATCACCAACTAGTTTCCAACAACAGCAACCATCACAACCTCAACAACAGCAACAACAAAAGCCATCCAAACCAGCTAAACAAACGAAAGCAAAACAAGCTAGAAAACCATCTCAAACAAGAAAATCACGTCAAAAGAATGAAGCTAATATTGACCAATCAATTGTTCCTACTCCAAGTAAAACTAATGAAACTTTGGTAACAGCTCAACAATATGTTAAATCGGAAGATGGTCGTCCATTAGTTGGTGCAACAAAAATTGATCAATTGATGCTTGTTATACAAGCCCGTGATAAAGGTATAACTAATCAAATTCAACAAGCTCCCGATGGTAGTATTTTAGGTTCTCCTAATTTTTCAACTGATAAATCTGGTAAAGATACTAGTGTTTTACCACGTCCTGTTAATCTTGTTGGAGGTGTTGATAAACCTACCAAGAGATCAATTAGTGATTTTGAAGATGATGATGATGATGAAAATGGTGATGATGATGATGAACTTGATGAAAATGGTAATCCTAAACATGGTGGTAAGAGAAGAAAACATAAGACTCAACAATGTCCTCATTGTTTCAAGACATTTACTCAATCAACTCATTTAGATGTTCACATTAGATCTCATATTGGATATAAACCATTTGAATGTAGTTATTGTCATAAAAAGTTTACTCAAGGAGGTAATTTAAGAACTCATTTAAGATTACATACTGGAGAAAAGCCATTCCCTTGTGATATTTGTGATAGATCATTTAATCGTAAAGGTAATTTGGCTGCTCATAAGTTAACTCATGAAAAATTAAAACCATTTGAATGTAAATTGGATAATTGTGATAAATCATTTACTCAATTAGGTAATTTGAAATCTCATCAAAATAGATTCCATTTAAATACTTTGAATATGTTAACTCAAAAATTAGCTCAATTAAGTGGACCAGCTGTGAATCTGTTACCAAATGAAGAACGTGAATTATTATTATACTTTAAAGATTTATATAAAAATTCAAATAAGGGTATTAGAGGTAGAGGGAAGCAAAAGCAATCTTCTAATGATTCAGGTTCATCTCCGGATGATTCCAATGCACCTACTTCAAACTCAAATTCAGCTTATATCGGGAGTTCAACCAGTCCATCTAATATGAATCAATTTAGATTACAACCTCAATCACCTCAACAACTGCAACTGCAACAACATCTTCAACAAACTTTACCCCGTCAGATCATGCAACCTTCCAATGCCAATCATTCTCAAGCTCAATTTCCTAATCAGCAATCAATGGATTTCATGAGTAATCAATTAGCAGGATCCATTAATGGTTATAGAAATTAAATGCCGACATATTCCATTATCATTATCATTATCATTATCAAAACAAAATTTTCTTTTCAATTCAGGTTCATAAACAAACGCCATCATGTTTCTATACTACTTAAGTTGCCATTCCACAGGCCTGTACTGTTACAAATTACTTCTAAATCATTTCTCTTCTTGTCTCTTATTATTACTTCTACATCTATACATATATATTTCTAGTTTGGTTTCTTATGTTATATTTACTTATCCTTTCTTATATGTTGTTTCTTTTTTTCATCGTCTTTTTTATGTATTCCCCTTTGCAGTTGATTGGAATCAATCTTCTAGCTCTGTATTGTATTCATTTTATGGTAAATATTTCATTTCTATTCTTTTAGGTCTCATTAAATTCAAAATTCTTATTTCAATATAAAAATTTTAAACATAAAAACTTTGTTCGCGTGTAAATCAAAATAAACAGAAGATAAAAATAAAAATAAATCGAAATCCCAATCAGTATCTATTCAAAGGACAAGTTGTCTACAATGAACTTCTTAACAAAGACATTAAACTCGTTGACAGGGAACTCAATCCCTTACACATTGAAGGATAAGATAGTTGATCCAGTTGGTGGTAACGGAGTGGTTGATCAGAATTCAATTTGGACTATTTATAATGGATCCAATCCAAAGACTGATAACTCCCCAGTATCAATATTTGAATTCAATTTAACTGATGCTAGAAACCTTCAGCTGGGTTACGATCTGTTAGCTCGTAATGCTTTTAAGAAGTTGAAGTTGATCAGATTTCCGGGTGTGATTTCAACTGTCGAATTCATTGAAAATGATAATTATTTGTATATTATTACTGAACCAATTGTACCATTATTAACTTATTTAACCCAAATTAATCAAGATATCACTCAGGATGTTAGACTATACGGTTTGTATAATATTGCTCAAAGCTTGAAGTTTATAAATCAATCATGTACAAGTTTGCATGGGAATGTGAATTTGTTAAATTCAGTCTATGTAAATCAACAAGGGGATTGGAAATTATTTGGGTTTGAAGTTTTGACTAATCTACAATCAGATCCTGATCAACCCATATATAGATTATCAAGTCGTTTGCCAGGATTTAATTACTTCTTGCCATCTGATGTGGCTGATAGTGGGGTAGAAGCAATCAGAAGTTTTCCTACCAAATTTGATTCTTATAAGTTTGGTATCTTTTTATATCATATTTTATCAACCAAGGATTTTAATTCTTTTGATCCAACATATAACGAAGGTATTAATGAATCATCTGTTATTGGCAAGTTCAGAAACTCTTTCAAGAAGTTAATCAATCCAAAATTAGGGTTAAGAATTACAGTTGAAAAGTTCTTAGAATTAGAAGAATCGAATTTTGAACAAAATAAGTTAATAACATTCAATAAACAATTAGAGGAATTAAAATTTCAAGATGATCAACAAAAGTTTGAATTCTTTAAATATGAATTAGGTACTTTGTTCAGTGATCAAAGTGAAGATTATTTCTTCCCACCAGGTATATTGGATTATAAATTATTACCAGAATTAATCAATCAATATAATACCATTTCCAGAAACAAATCTACCACTCCAAATGAACCTAGCATTATACAACAAAGACAAGAATCTCAATCTATTCTATTAAATTTTATACTAAAATTTGGAGTCAAATTACCTCAAGATCAATTTAACAAATTGATTAAACCAATTATCTTTGAGTCATTTGGTCTTGCTGATAGATCTATTAGATTGGCTTTGTTGAATCATTTACCAAACTTTGAACAGTTTCTAACTGAAAGTGAAGTACAACTGAGGATATTCGTTAATCTTATTAATGGCTTCCAAGATACAAACTTTATGATAAGGGAAACAACTTTAAAATCAATTACGATTATTATTGATAAAGTGTCCGTCAAGCAAGTAAATCAAGAGTTGTTGAAAGTTTTAGCTAAGTCCCAAATGGATCCAAAGCCTTCAATTAGAGTCAATACTTTAATTTTGATTATCAAAATATCAACCAAAATTTATAAAACTTCGAAAAATAGTGTTATAATAACTGCATTATCAAAATCATTAAGAGATTCTTTCACACCTTGCAAAATGACTGCTTTATCTGGGTTCGAAAGTTTGATTGGTGAGTTTTCCTTGGATGAAATTTGTTCAAAGATTTTGGGTCAGTTAGCTATATCATTAATGGATAAGAAATCTACAAAAGTACGTAATGAAGCTAGAAGAATATTCAAGTTATACTTAGATTCTGTTGAAACTCATTCAAATTCTTTACCTGATATTGAAGAAAATGAAAATGATGAAGAAGCTGAATTCTTTAGAAAATTTGCGTCCACGGTTCCTCCTTCCACTAATGTGGCTTCTACTGTTGATAAACCAAATGGGGTAACCAATAGCGTGGATGGTTCTAATGATACAGTTTCATTTTCGTCATTTGGATGGGGAGTTGTGAATAGGTTGGTAGCCAATACAGAGGTTGGGGGTCAGTTAAATAATGACTTCAACTTATCTACTCCGGATTTGACAAGAGTAGTTACTCCCACGGAGCATATAACAAAGCCGTCTGTTCAAATGGACTCGTGGATTGATGGAGGAGATGACGAATTTGAGGATGATGGTTGGGGTGCGGTTGACGAAGTGGAAGATGATCCTGTTCCAGTTGTGAAAAATACTCTCAAAACCTTAAGTTTGTCTGAATCCGTAACAAATAGAAAACCGGCAATAAAAAGTAACACCATAAGAACGGCGACTACAACTTCAACAAGAAAGACTTCAAGTTTAAAATTAGGCTCTCAATCTAAGAAACCCGCCGCACCTATAAAACTTAACCTTCAAGTTGAAGAAGATGAAAATGGGTGGGGCGATGATTGGTAGTTAAATTTAGATAACACTTGAAATATATTGCTTTAACTATTTAATGTAAAATTTTGCAGTTCGTTGCCCGTAGAAAATAATGATATAATTCAAGTATATTTTTTAAATTTCATTAAAATTAATGATCGGCCATTAGTTTCTCCACAAAAACAAAAATATAATTGCGCAAAATGAAACTTGTTCCTTACGGCTAGATGTAAATAGATAGATGGAACTAAGGAACGACTAAAAATTATTCTTCAATTCTTGTGATATGCCAAATTTGAAATACAAAATCTTCGATTGTCCACATTAACTTGATAACTGTCGGTGAAACAGTCACTTGCCTTAAAAAAAGGCGACAATCCAATGTCTCCATTCTTGACTGGATTTATTTACACACACATGTACGGCATCAAACCAATATCGCCACTAACTGCAATAGAATAAGGTTTTAAAGAATAGAACAAAATGGAACGCAACAAACCCTAAAAAGTCAAAAAAAATTGATGTGGGAAATTGCGATCTATTTTTAGCATCACGAGTTAAGGGTTTTGAGTTGCAAAAAGAGGTAATATTGTGCGAGTTAGAGTGAGTTCTTTCACTTTGATATCAACTTAATGCTTCATCTAAGCTGTCAAAAAGGTTAACATTCTTATGAACATCCTTAAAACCTAATGATCTGAATTACTTCAGGTGTCCCGGAACAAATTCTAATGAGTTTGTTTAAAGATAACTTAAGTTACATTACCTTAAGAGCCTGTGACTCTTTCATAAAGCTAATTTGTTACACAAATTTTTAAAATACCTAATCGGTCACACTATCAAGAGAGTGTATATTTGCCTTTCACTCGATTGGATTTGTCACATTAGTGTTGATTGTCATATCTTAAAGTTTAAAAGTGTGGAATGGCTACATCTTCCCCATTTTTATCATTCGAAAAAGGTCTCTTGTAGATAACAACTTTGGCATATTTACTCCATCATTTGAAAAGTACTTAAACAGCAACAAATTCTCCCTTCCAACAAATTGAAGGAAAGTATATTCCCAAAGTAACTCAACATGTCATCAGACAAGAACTTAGGTGCTGTTACTAGTATTACTAGCACAAATCATTTGGATGTGGAAGATCACGAAATTGATTTACATGCAGTGGCTTCAAATCCTATCTCTATTGGTGATGTAGGTACTTCGTTAACTTCTGATCAAAAGATGTTTATCTTAAAAAGGCTCAACTTTGATGGTTTGATTTCATTGGAAGACCTTCCTATTCAGGCAACTTTTATGTTTGAAAAGATTGAGAATATAAGCATTCCAGAATCTTTAGAAATCTTACAAGAATTGGTGGTTGTTCACAAAGATGATATCAATATTCCAACAGCTGACATGGATTTACTACATGACTTAATCAATGAAGCAGGTTCTCATCAAGATCTTACGGTAAAGGAAAATTTAAATTATAGTTTGAAAGAGAAAAAACTTCAATCATCTTCTTCTGAATCTATCACTGACTTAATAAACGAGGATGTATATGATTCTGATTATCATAAAGTGGTGGATTGGAACTTACAAGTTAGGTTAGAAGCTGCTTTGATTGCTTACCATTCTCCATATCCAGAAGTAAGGGCTGTTACTGATCCTTATGATGATCCTTCAATTCCTGTGGAAACAGTTAGAATGTACATCGCTGGTATCATTTGGACTGGAATTGGTTGTTTCATTAATCAATTTTTCATTGAAAGACAACCAAATATCGGACTTTCATCATCAGTTGTGCAAGTATTCCTTTATCCCACCGGTACATTCTTACTGTACATCCTTCCAAAGTGGAAGTTCAAAATCTGGAAGTTTAATATTGATCTTAATCCAGGGCCATGGACTCACAAGGAGCAAATGCTTGCAACTTTATTCTTCTCCGTGACCACTGTTGGTACTTACGTAACAGATAATATCAACGTTCAAAAGATTGAAATGTTTTATAACACCGGTTCTCCCGCTGGATATCAAATTTTGTTAATTCTTTCGAGTAATTTTCTTGGATTTGGTTTGGCTGGTATTTTAAGAAAATTTGTGGTTTACCCTATACATGCTGTATGGCCAACTATTTTGCCAACCATAGCTTTGAATAAAGCATTGATGCAACGTGAAAGAAAAGAAAATATAAATGGATGGACAATTTCAAAATATAAATTTTTCTTTATTTGTTTTGGAGTGTCCTTTGTTTATTATTGGATTCCCGACTTTCTATTTAATGCACTTCAAACATTTAACTGGATGACTTGGATTCGTCCCAATAATTTTAATTTGGCAGCAATAACAGGAACCAATTATGGTTTAGGGTTGAACCCAATTCCATCGTTTGACTGGAATATTTTATCTGGAAATTCTCCTTTAATTTTTCCATTCTACAATCAGATTTGTAACTATATTGGAATGATAATCGGGTTTGTATGTATTGTTGCCGTATATTGGACAAACCATTATTGGACAGCTTATTTGCCAATAAACAATAATCGTCCATTTACAAATACTGGTGAACCATATTTGGTTACTCATATTCTCAATGACAAGGGTCTTTTGGATAAAGAAAAATATGAGGCATATGGGCCTCCATTTTACACAGCTGCTAATTTAGTTGTTTATGGAGCATTCTTTGCCCTTTATCCTTTCGCTATTGTTTATGAATGTTCCCTTCAATACAGATCTATGTGGAATACACTTAAGGATTTTGCTATTGGTGTCAAGAATTATAAAAGATCGAATTTTGAATCATTCCATGATCCACATAGTAAGATGATGTCAGTGTATAAAGAGGTGCCAGATTGGGTCTTCTTGGTTGTATTGGTTATATCTTTAGTGTTTGGAATAATATGTATTAAAGCTTATCCAACAGATACTCCTGTTTGGGGTCTTTTCTTCTCTCTTGGTATTAATGTTGTTTTCTTGATCCCAATTGCAGCTATTGCTTCAAGAACTGGTTTCAGTTTTGGTCTTAATGTCTTAGTTGAATTGATTGTTGGTTACGCAATTCCAGGTAATGGTTTAGCTTTAAATTATATCAAAGCTTTTGGTTATAATATTGGAGGTCAAGCGGATAATTATATTTCAGATCAAAAAATGGCTCATTATGTTAAAATTCCGCCAAGAGCTTTATTTAGATGTCAAATGTTAGCTGTTTTGATTCAATCGTTTATTAGTTATGGCGTTATCAACTTCACCATAGACAGCATAAAAGACTATTGTCAACCATTTAACAAACAAAAGTTCACATGTCCTGGGACTTCTACATTTTATACAGCATCGGTTTTATGGGGTGTTATTGGACCCAAGAGAGTATTTGGTGGTTTATATCCTGTCTTGAAGTATTGCTTTTTGGCTGGATTTTTGATGGCAATTCCATGTATTTTCATCAAGAAATATGCTCCAAGAGGATTCACAAAATATTTTGAGCCAACCATTATTATCGGTGGAGTATTACTGTATGCTCCTTATAATTTATCATACTACACGGGAAGTTTATATCTTTCGATAATTTTTATGAAATTCATAAAGGAAAGATATGAATCGTGGTGGAAGAAGTATAACTATATTTTAAGTTGTGGATTACTGTCTGGACTCGCATTTTCTTCCATAATAATCTTTTTCGCAGTCGACTATAAGACTGTAGAGCTTAACTGGTGGGGAAATATTGTTTCATATGGAGGTATAGAAGGAGGTTCGGGTCAACAATCTTTACTTAATGCTACTGCTCATGCTCCAGATGGCTATTTTGGTCCAAGAATTGGTCATTTCCCTTAATTATCAGTCATTCTGTTGCGGAACAGGTCCAGATGTTTCCACTTGTTTTTTAATGCCTTGTAGCATCCTAAATATGTATTACACTTCAATATATGACATTATTTGAAAGTTATAAGAAAGAAGCCAGGCGTTGAATATTTAAAAATAGATTACAAATTAGTGATTGAGTAGTTATCAATAATGTTGATTCCTGCCAAGCATTAATTTGAAAGTTGCGATTAGAAAGGTAGTACCTTTGCACTGACTAGTTGGGGTCTTCGACGGGATAGGATTAGTCTTGGTAGGTTCTTTTATTCTATTGTAATTCATTGATCAATAAGGCTCTTATATGTGAAAGACCAACACTGTGATTAGCTAAGAATATGCAATACTATGTGTTGTTTATGGATATCTTACATATAGAAGATCGCAAAGATTGCCGCACTATGGATTGGTAACATTATGTCTTTTGATTGTAGTTTAATATTAATAAAAAAAACAAAAATCTAAAAAAGGTTGGACAACTTCCCGGAAGCCATTTTATAAATAGCCAAGATTTACCATTGGTGTTGAAATATATATATAATTGGAGTTCAATTTAATTTAAAGTTCTTATCAATTTTTGTCATATTTTTCTTGTCTGAAGGAACTCCACAATGCGATTTCTTGACAAAACGGGAAATTTCACAATTTTGCATAAAATAAAATAAAATTTGACAAAACCTTATTTTTCCAGTGCCGTACCTTCATGAGGATTAAAAATAATTGAAATTTTGTCTGCTTTTTTTCGGTAGTTAGGTAAATTGTGGTGCACTGGTTGTGAATTAAGCAGAGTATCACTCCCCCCAAAAACATGTACCTCTTGCCGAATACCAAAGACAGGTTACAGTGGAGGCATGTATTTAAGATTCATTGCGAACTTCAAAATTAGTTTCAAATTAAACAGTTCAACCTAGATTTACACAAACTTGAACGGAATGGTATCTAGTTTTGGTTGCGAATTTATGTGCAGGCCCAAGCTCGTTTATATTTTTTGACTTAAGGTTACCTTTGATTGCAAAACTTTTGTCTTGGTTCCAGAAGTTTTTCTTGGAACTTTGCATAATTATATTCCAATGTTTTCAAAGGCAGTCGTATCTTCAATTTTCAACCTTAGTTTATTTCTTGTTACCTCAAAGAACAAAACACAGTTTTTTGATATGGTACAATTTCTTGTCCCGTCTGATTTGGATGTCTTATCATGACTGATTATTATCCAATCTTCAATGCCCTCTTTCCTGTGGTTCCATTCAACGGTGCCTTTTGATTTAATGGACATTTTATGATGGTTTATTGGTGGTATGAAATTTATTTTTCTAGCAAAATATACTTTTCAACTTTTGATTTTGTTTATGGGTTGATTAATATAAAAGAAAACTAAAATAACCTGAAATTGAAAGCTATTAAGAAGAAGATTTTGCACTATTAGCCTTCCAAGGATTAATTTCACTATGAGTGAAGAGAAACATATTAAAACACTTACTAGTATTAGATCTACAGGAAGTAGATTGGATGTTGAAGATCATGAAGTAGACTTACAACAAGTTATTTCAAATGCTTTATCTATTGGTGAAGTTGGTCAATCACTTAGTGATTCACAAAAGCAAATTATTTTAAGAAGGTTGAATTTTGACGGTTTATTATCATTAGATGATTTACCAGTTAGCGCTTCATTCATGATTGAAAAGATCGAAAGACTTAGTATCTCTGAGTCTTTACAAATTCTTAAGGAATCTCTTACATTACATTCGGAAGATGTTAATATTCCTACTCAAGATATGCAATTGCTTGAAGATTTAATAAAACAAGCACCTCATGATCTTGAAGAAACTGATACAATTCATGAGAAGATTGCAATTCAATTTAATTCTAAAGAAGAAAAATCATTTGGTAGTAGTGAAAAAATCAATGATGGTACCCCAGTTGCGGCATCATTCGTTGATTTAGAGTTCGGGAACTACTATTCAATCATTGATTGGAATTTACAAGTTAGATTAGAAGCTGCTTTGATTGCTTACCATTCTCCTTATCCAGAAGTTAGATCTGTCACTGATCCATATGATGATCCAAATTTACCTGTTGAAACCTTTAGAGTCTACATTCTAGGTCTTGTTTGGACTGCTATTGGAGCTTTCATTAATCAATTTTTTGCTGAAAGACAACCATCTATCCTGTTAAGTAGTGCTGTTGTTCAATTATTCCTTTACCCTTCAGGAAAATTATTGGAAAGAATCTTACCGAAATATAAAGTTAAAATTTGGAAGTATACCATTGATTTAAATCCTGGACCATATAATCACAAAGAGCAAATTTTAGCGACTATCTTTTACTCGGTCTCTGGAGGTGTTAGTTATGCTTCTTACAATATTCATGTTCAAAAAATGGAAAGATTTTACAATAATCAATGGGCTGACTTTGGCTATCAGATTTTATTAATGCTTTCGACTAATTTCTTGGGTTTTGGTTTTGCTGGAATAATGAGGAAATTTGCAATTTATCCAATCACCTCAATTTGGCCATCTATCTTACCAACTTTAGCTTTGAATAAAGCTTTGATGCAACCAGAAAGAAAAGAGAACATCAATGGCTGGACCATCTCAAGATATTATTTCTTCTTCTCAGTGTTTGGATTCTCATTTTTTTACAATTGGATTCCAACTTACCTTTTCAATGCTCTTTCGTATTTTAACTGGATGACTTGGATTCTGCCAGATAACTTCAACTTAACAGCTATCACTGGCTCCATTTACGGTTTGGGTTTGAACCCAATTCCTACATTTGATTGGAATATATTGAATTTCAACGGTGCTTTAGTGTATCCATTTTATTCACAAGTAAATCAATACATTGGTTCATTAATCGGTTTCGTTGTAATTATTGGTCTCTTTTGGTCTAACAACAATTGGTCAGCATATATTCCAATCAATACATCATCATTATACTCTCAACGTGGTACCCGTTATTCTGTTAAGTCTATTGTTAATGAAAGAAGTTTGTTTGATCAAGCAAAGTATGAAGTGGTTGGTCCACCATATTATTCTGCTGCTAATTTAGTACTTTATGGATCTTTCTTTGCTATTTATCCTTTTGCTATTGTCTATGAAGTATTTATGAATTATAAACCAATGTGGAAAGCTCTTTCTGGTTTAGGTAAATCTTTGAAAAACTTTAGAAGATCTACTTATGAAGGATTTAATGATCCTCATACTACTATGATGAGACGTTATAGCGAAGTACCTGATTGGGTATTCATTGTTGTGTTAGTTATCTCTATTATCTTTGCAATTCTATGTGTTAAATTATATCCAGCTGAGACTCCAGTTTGGGGTATTTTCTTTGCTGCCGCTATTAACTTCTGCTTTTTAATTCCTTTGACTGCTATTTATTCTACTACCGGTTTCCAATTTGGTCTTAACGTTTTGGTTGAATTAATTGTTGGTTATGCTCTTCCAGGTAATGGTTTAGCTTTGAACTTCATTAAAGCCTTTGGTTATAACATTAATGGTCAAGCTCAAAACTATATTTCAGATCAAAAAATGGGTCATTATCTTAAGATTCCTCCAAGAGCTATGTTCCGTTGTCAGCTTATTTCAGTGTTTATTACTTCTTTCATTGGATTAGGTGTCATTAACTTCCAAATAAATAATAATAAAGATTACTGTGAACCAACAAACAGACAAAAGTTTACATGTCCAAGTTCTACAGTATTTTATAATGCCTCTATCTTATGGGGTGTTATTGGTCCAAAGAAAGTTTTCAATGGTATTTATCCCGTCTTACAATATTGCTTCTTGATTGGTTTCTTAGCTGCCTTCCCATGTATTGCTTTTAAAAAATTCGGTCCAAAGAGGATCACAAAATACTTCCAACCTACTTTGATTATTGGTGGAATGTTGATCTATGCTCCTTATAACTTATCATATTACACCGGTGGTCTTTATTTATCAATTGCGTTTATGTTTTACTTAAAGAAATATTTCTTATCCTGGTGGGAAAAGTATAATTTTGTCTTATCTGGTGCTATGGATGCAGGTGTTGCCTTTAGTGCTATTATTATTTTCTTTGCCGTACAATATAACGACAGGAGTATTTCTTGGTGGGGTAATGATGTCGTTTGGGGTGGTATAGAAGGTGGGTTGGGTCAACAAACACTTTTAGATGCTGCTGTCGACGCTCCTGATGGATATTTTGGTCTTAGGCAAGGACATTATCCATAGATATTATCCTTTTAGTTATGTTATTTTACTGGTTTGTATTGATCTATTTAGTAAATAAACATATAATTTGTCGTGAAACAATTAATAATATTGAACTACAAATGCTTCAATTATCATATACAAACAACAACTGAAAGCCAACAGCAATGGCTGATTTTTAAAAGAAATTTTACATATTTATTATAAAGAAGTAAACAATTAATAACACTAAAAAAAATATAGATTGAATGTATTTAGGATGATCTACATTCTAAATTATTCCAATCATGGGAAGTCTCCAGCTCTTGGGCCGAAGTAACCACCAGTAGCATTGAGTGGATTTAATAATGATTGTTGACCATAACCACCATCAATACCTTCGTATGGAACATTGTTACCCCACCATGAAACATTATAACTGTTATATTCGACAGCGAAGAAAATAATGATGGATGAGAAAGCAAGACCAGCAGACAAACCACTGGTTAAAATATAGTTGTACTTTTGCCACCATGATCTGTAGTATTTCTTCAAGTAGAACATAAAGAGGAAAGACAAATAAACACCACCAGTAATATATGACAAATTGTAAGGAGCCCAAATCAACATACCACCAATAACAATAGTTGGTTCGAAATATTTGGTAAGCTTCTTTGGACCATATCTCTTGAAGATAAGACAAGGAATAGCAAGGAGGAAACCCATCAAGAAAGTCCATCTTAAGATTGGATATAAACCATCGAAAACCTTCTTTGGACCAACGACACCCCATAAAATAGAAGCAGAATAGAAAACTCTTGAATTTGGACAAGTGAATTTTTGACGGTTATCAAGTTCACAATAGTCTTTAATGTGATCAATACAGAAATTAATTATACCTAATTGGACAAATGAAGCAATGAACACAGATAACATTTGACATCTAAATAAGGCTCTTGGAGGAATTTTAACATAATGAGCCATTTTTTGATCAGTGATATAATTTTGAGCTTGACCATCGATATTATAACCAAAGGCTTTAATGAAGTTCAAAGCTAAACCATTACCTGGAAGAGCGTAACCAACGATTAATTCAACTAAAACGTTAAGACCGAAACCGAAACCAGTTCTTGAGTAGACAGCAGTGATTGGAATCAAGAAAACAAAATTAATACCAAGAGCGAAGAAAAGACCCCAAACTGGAGTTTCGGCTGGATAGACTTTAACACAAATGATACCTAAAACAAGTGCAATGATCAAAACAATAAGGAAAGCCCAATCTGGAACTTCTTTATAAGCAGTCATCATTCTGGTGTGAGGATCATTGAAACCTTCAAAGGTGGATTTTCTGTAATTCTTAAGACCCATGATGAATGACTTCATGGCACTATACATACTTTCGTATCTTGAACCAATTTCATAAACCATGGCAAATGGATAAAGGGCGAAGAAAGCACCGTATAAAACTAAGTTAGCAGCAGAATAGAATGGTGGACCATATTCATCATATTTGGCTTGATCTAATAAACTTTTACTGTTAAGAATTTCAGTAACTTCATAAACTTCACCAGTATTGGTAAATAAAGAAGAAGAGTTAATTGGTAAATAAGCTGTCCATTTATAATTTGTCCAGTAAACACCAATAATACAGAAGAAAGTAATAATACTACCAACGTATTGTGACATTTGAGAATAGAATGGGATAGTTAAAGCATAGTTAAAATTTAAGTAATTCCAATCAAAAGTTGGAATTGGATTAAAACCTAAACCACCAAATGAACCAGTAACCATTGCAAGTGTGAAGTTGTTTGGGCTGATCCAAGTCATCCAATTGAAAGTTGAAACAGCAGCAAATAAATAATCCGGAATCCAGAAGTAAAGGAATGATCCAACAAAAGCATAGAAGAAGAATCTATATTTGGAAATAATCCATCCATTAATTCTTTCTTTCTTTTCTGGAACCATCAAAGCTCTATTTAAGGCAACTGTTGGCAAAAGTGTTGGCCAGTAAGCTTCGACTGGATAAACAGCAAACTTTCTCATAACACCAGCAAAACCAAAACCTAAGAAATTGTTTGATAAGATTAACAAGGTTTGGTAACCGAAATCAGCCCATTGATTATCGTAGAAGAAAGGTAATCTTTGAACATGAATATTATAAGATACATAACTGATACTACCTGAAACGGAATAAAACAATGTAGCTAAAAACTGTTCTTTTGAAGTCCATGGTCCAGGATTCAAGTCAATTGTTTGACCAAAAACTTTGAATTTCCACTTTGGTAAGATGTAAGCTAAAATAAGACCTGTAGGATAAAGCAAAACTTGAACAACAGACGCATCCAAACTAATACCAGGTTGTCTTTCAGCGAAAAGTTGATTAATGACCGCACCAACAGCAGTCCAAATAATACCAGCAATATAGACTCTAACAGTTTCGACTGGAACTGAAGGATCATCAAAAGGATCAGTAACAGCTCTAACTTCTGGATAAGGAGAATGGTAAGCAATCAAAGCAGCTTCTAATCTAATTTGTAAATCCCAATCAATGATTTCATGGTAGTCAAGTTTTCTATTCGAAGGTTCTGCGACAGGGCTATCGGTTGAAGAGCCTTCAAACTTCTCCTTATTTGGGCCAAAATTCTCATTCAACTTATCTTTAACATCAGTGGTTACATGATCTTCAGAATATTTGTCTAATGCAACAATATATTCATAATCATCTGATGGATAATTAATATCATTACTATGAGCTATAACTGCTTCTTTAATAATGGTGACAGAATCTTCGATTGATAAATTTTCAACCTTTTCAATCATAAAACTAGCTTGAATTGGAATGTTTTCTAATGATTCCAAACCTTGGAAATTCAATCTATTTAAGATAAACCATTTCTGATCTGAAGTTAATGTAGTACCAACATCACCAATAGAAATTGGGTGTGAGGTAACAGCAGCTAAATCAATTTCATGATCTTCGAGTTCGTTGAAGTGACTTCCAACACTAGTAATGCTAGTAATTTGGGCTTCCCTCTTTTCGTCTGACATCTTGTTTCTCAACTTTCTCTCACCAGTAAAAGATTATTAATTAAAGGGAAATAGATATACAGTTTGTAGAGCAAAGAGAAAAGGAAATAAGCCAAATCTAAACTGAAAGGAGCGATCTCAAAGATTTAAATATGCAATAAAATCAAGGATAAATCCCTACAATTCCTTGTTATCTAATTATTTTCAAGCCATATTTTTGATAACGAAATCAATTTATTCATCTGCAACCCGAATTGTAACCCAAGAAGGAAATTAACGTGTAGAATTTGGAGCCATTCAATGCAGAGTCCAAAAATATAAATGCATCTTTTAATTATAATACAAAGAATGGCATTAAGTGGCATCAATAGAAATCGAAATAAGATTACAGGGAGCGAGGGAGGGATTTGATAATAAAATTAGAAATTTCCTTAACAATAATATTGCAAAATACAAATACAAAATGCGAAATATTTTTTAAGACAAAATAACCAAAAAATTTCTTTTTTTTTGAAAAGAAATCAGACATTTCCAAAAATCAGACACTTTTTCGTTCCCAGCTCTATTCTTAAGGTAATACCAATATAGCATTGGTATAGAGAAAACTACACATATAACGATTAATTTTGAGATATGTTATTGACGTTTTGAAGAATCCATGTGATCACTGTGTGGAATTATTGGATCAAATTAATCTTCGAAAATAATCTGATTTAAAACGTCCGAATGATGTCAAAAGTTTAAACAGAACCTTGCGTATTTTTCTTGGACACTATTAATCTTACTAAATAATCTTTCAAATTAATCTTAATACTATTAATCTTACTGTCTAAATGCATAATACGAGTTCCTGCCAAGTGAAAAAAGTATATTTCATTCAATGGCTTTATCTTGGAAGGATTTCGATTTCAATTATCCAATGGCCACAGAAAGTGGATGGCTCAACAAGACTTTGCCATATGTGAGCTTTAATTAAATCGGCCAATATATTACTTGTATCCGAATCCAGTATTGATCAATTTGGATTGCAGCTTTATTCTATAATGTTTTTCAATCTGATTTCTATTCTTGTGTCAAGTTAATTGTGGTTGTGGATGTGTAAGTTGGTGTGGTAGAGTGTTGTCTTTTTTTTTTGAGAACCAATTGGTTGTAAAAATATTCCTCGGGATTATTTTTTATTTTTTTGTTGTGTTTTAGGTAAAAATTGTCAAGTTTCAAAAAAGGGTAAGCCTTACAGGGATAAACAATTTGCGAGAAAATATTTTTGATGATTGCTTAAATTGGGCCCGTTTGATATGTGTCAAATAGATAAGGTCAATATTAATAAAATTGGAATCAACCAGATAATGTTTTCAATTGTGAACTTAAAAGGTTAATTGTTATCATACACATATATTAGATACATAGCGGTTATCATTGTTGATTCTGGAGCTCTAGCGAAGATAAATTTTACCGAAAGTAAGGTTTTTATTAACTGTGGGTTAAAATTAGAACAGCTGAAATTTATGACAAGTCAATTTGAGACAGACACCATTTCGTCGAAAGGCTCTCCAAAACTTTTAGACGCAGATTGTTAAAATATTTTTGTCTTTTGCTCGCTTGGCCAATTTTTGTCTGATTTAATTTTTTTCTCTGATAAAGACAAAAAGCTACAAATGAAAACTTCATGAGAGATTTCTCTCCTCTCCCGCCTCAAGATAATTTTTCTTTATTTATTACTCTATTTGTTTACAATAGGTCAACGATATATCAAATCACGTTAAACTAAACACTCTTATTTCCTCTTTGTAAATTGTAACGTATAATTTTGTCTGTCTGTCTGTCTGTTTGTTTTCATCATAAATTTAATTTACCGATCCGAATGCGTTTCCACAATTTTTTGTCTGTTGGAGGTAATCAAGCGCGGAATTAGTTTCTGGCGCAAAAAACATAAAACTATGGATGCTGATAAGCACCATATCTTCCCCGTTTGAGATTACAAGATAATTTTTGATTGAAAAGGGCTTGTAAACAACAAAAATTTCTCTTATCTGTTTAATAGTTATGTCAATTTACAACCACTTATCGTTTTAATTTCTATATGACCGGGCTACATTTGATTTACGTCATTTGTTATCTTTAAACTTTTAACGGTAGAGTAAGTTAGAGCGACATGCGATACCGAAGGATGATAGTATTAAAGATTTATATCTTTCTACTTTTGTGTGTGAGGTACGGCTCCATAAATTCATGCACAATTTTAGGTCATAAAGGGATCGACTTCCATTTTAGTTGCTAACCGTAAGATATTAACTAATCGCATGTAATCCAATATTTGTTATATATTTCAATATAATACATTGTTTTATTGGATTATTTTACGAAATTTAAGTTAACAATGGATTATTTTATTAACAAAAGTTTGTTACATTGTTACCATCTTGCTTTGCAACTTACACTTTTCAATGTTGTAAATCAAAATCTTAGATATGATAACATATTTTTGATTAAACTGTTGCAAAAAAGATAAAAAGGTTTGAAAACAATGTGAGTTACGGCCTCTTATTACCAATTTATGCTCTTTATTGTCGCTTACGATGTAGAACAAATGTAAATGATAAGATTAATAATTCCTATAACAAAATTAGTTAAATTTTGTTCTTCTTTCGTACAACAATTATTCGCCCATATTAAATTTTATCTATATTTCATGACACGTGATGAAATGCACGTTACTCAAATTCACATTCATATTAATTAACAAAATTTAATTAACAACTTAAATTTAAATTTAAATTCAAAGTTTCACTTACTTACTTTCTTTATAGATTCATTATATTCATAACTAACCCTTTACTCAATTACAACTCTCCTCTTCTCCCTAAAATTTAAAGTTACATCCCACCCACACGATCATTCGTTCGCCCTAATTTTATATTACATCAATAATTTTAATTTAAGTATGAGCGTCACCCCACTTTTTTTTGGGTGGTCCTTCTCTGCTGCTGCTACTTCCCTTCCAGTTCTAGTGGTAAGGTACACGCCGAGAACCCCATCAAAATTTAATTTTGAGTGATGTATAACCATCAACATGGTCAACGTCAAATTCCCTTAGCGAACCTTGAATAGAAGTTATTGTAAGTCAATTAACTTAGAGGTCGATCATTACAACTATTCAATCCCATTAATAGTAATTGATTTCATTATTCATCATCGAATCAATTGAAAAAATTTACTGGATCACTTTCAAATTTTTGCTATAATGTCAATTCAAGAAATTTCAACTACTCCATTTGGAGATCAAAAGCCCGGTACTTCAGGTTTAAGAAAAAGAGTTACTGTTTTTCAGCAACCTCATTATACTGAAAACTTCATCCAAGCAATCTTAGATGCCATTCCAGAAGGAGCTAAAGATTCCACTTTAGTCATTGGTGGTGATGGTAGATACTATAATGATGTAGTTATTCAAATCATTGTTAAGATCGCCGCCGCAAATGGAGTTAAGAAATTGATCTTAGGTCAACATGGTATTCTTTCCACACCTGCCACTTCTCACGTTATTAGAATTAGAAAAGCTACTGGTGGTATTATTTTAACTGCTAGTCATAATCCAGGGGGTCCAAAAAATGATTTAGGTATTAAGTATAATTTAGGAAATGGTGGCCCAGCACCAGAATCAGTTACTAATAAGATCTTTGAAGTTTCAAAGATTTTAACTCATTATAAGTTAATTGAATTACCAGAAGTTGATATTTCAACCATTGGTATTACCAATTTAAAAGATATTATTGAAGTTGAAGTCATTGATTCAACTAAAGATTATGTTGATATGTTAAAGGCTATTTTTGATTTCCCATTAATTAAGTCATTCATTACGAAGGCCACCAAAGAACAAGGGTTTAAAGTTTTATTTGATGCTTTGAATGGTGTAACTGGTCCTTACGGTTATAAAATATTCGTTGAAGAATTAGGTTTACCATTATCTTCAATTCAAAATTATAAACCATTACCTGATTTCGGTGGTTTACATCCAGATCCAAACTTGACTTACGCTCATACTTTAGTTGAAAGAGTCGATAAAGAAGGAATTGATTTCGGTGCTGCTTCAGATGGTGATGGTGATAGAAATATGATTTATGGTGCTGGTACTTTTGTGTCTCCAGGTGATTCAGTGGCTATTATTTCGGAATATGCCGATTCAATTCCATACTTTAAAGAACAAGGAGTTTATGGTTTAGCTAGATCAATGCCAACATCTGGTGCTATTGATTTAGTTGCCAAATCAAAAGGTTTAAATGTTTATGAAGTCCCAACTGGTTGGAAATTCTTTTGTTCATTATTTGATGCTAAAAAATTAAGTATTTGTGGTGAAGAATCCTTTGGTACTGGTTCTAATCATATTAGAGAAAAAGATGGATTATGGGCTGTTGTTGCATGGTTAAATGTATTAGCTGATTATAATTTACAAAATCCAGGATCAAAAACTTCTATTAAAGTTGTTCAAGATTCATTCTGGGAAAAATATGGTAGAACATTCTTTACAAGATATGATTATGAAAATGTTTCTTCATCCGGTGCCAATAAATTAGTTGAATTATTAGCTTCAATTGTATCATCATCCAAAGTTGGTGAAGAATTAAAAACAGGTTATACTATAAGTGAAGCTGCTAATTTTTCATATACTGATTTAGATGGTAGTGTTTCTGATAATCAAGGTTTATTTATTAAATTCACTAATGGCTTAAGATTTATTGTTAGATTATCAGGTACAGGATCATCAGGTGCAACTGTTAGATTATATTTAGAAAAACATAGTTTAACTGCATCAACTTATCAAACTAAAGTTGATTTGTTCTTTGCTAAAGATATTGAATTCATCTTGGAGTTATTAAAATTCAAAGAATTCCTTGGTAAAGATCAACCTGATGTTAAAACCTGATCATCATTATGCTTCTCCCATCTCATCTATTTATGGATTACCCATTTTATATTGCTACTGAATTATGTGCGCATTTTTTTATGTATGTTAATTTTTATTTCTATTCAATATATATCTCGAATAAGTAAATTTACAGATAAAAGTAGTGCGTATAAAGTCGAATGTGTATTATATTGTACAAGATTTAAATAATGAGAGGGGAAGATATAAAGAAGATGAAAAAGAAAAAGAATATTAGGAGACAATATGTATATATAAAATTCAATAAATAGAAGAGGATAAGACAGTTGAAATTATAAAAAAAACTTTGAAGGTGATGGGAAATGACATGATAGATTTCATTAATTAAGACGTATGTGTGTGAGACGGAAGTGACTTATTTACCGATGGACCGAAGGTGGAATTATTCTAAAAAACATTTAACAAAGGAAAAACAAACAGAAAGGGAAGGATAGTAATTGTATACTTACATTACCGAAATATCAAGCATATGAGGGGGGGGGGGATGGGTTCGTATCATATCAATTAAGGGGAACATAATAACTTCATGATGAATAAATTAAGGTGGGGAGGAGATGAAGGGGATAATTAACAATAATAATCAATTCAATTTAGGTTTCTTTGAATCATGCAATTCATCATCATTCTCTCTTTTCAAACTAGGTAAGACAATCGAATTAGATGGATTTGAATCAGTGACATTTCTAATCGAAGGTAAAGTAGTAGCTGCATTTTGAGAAGGAGGAGCATGACTTGTGATTGGAGATGTAAGTTGATGAATTGGTAAGGATGATCTATTCTTATTAGCTTCAATTGGACTATTTAAAGCATAACGATTGAAATTTGGTGGTTGAGGTTGAGATTGTTGTTGTTGTTGGATAGAAGTACCAGCTGGTGTAGTAGTGGTTGGATTAGCTCCAGTTAAATAAATCAAACTACTAGTAGGTAAATGAGCAGAAGGATGAGCAGAACTTGGAGTTGTGGCAGCTCTAATTTGAGCCAACACATTAGAAGAAACAGAACCAGATGGACCATAAGTAGTGTTCAAACCAGATGCAGGTTGTGGAGCATTAACAGTTGAAGTACTCATATTAGCTGTAGAAGGAGGTGGGATACTAGACGATGAAGATGGGATTGGAATAGCGTTATTACTCGTATTACCGTCATTAGCAGCAGTTTGACTAGCACTCTTTGAAGCAGCAACTGGAGTAGAATTATTATTAACAGGTAAATTTCCTAAATTATAAACTTCATCTAACCTTTTTCTCATACTATTTTCTCTTAATCTAGCAGCCTGTTCCATGGCTTCTAATTCCATAATTCTGGTTCTATATAAATCATTAACCAATTCTAATTCAGAAATTCTTGTTTTTAATAAGGTGATTTCATGTTGACTTAAAATTGGATTACCATTATTATGGTTATTATTATTATTGTTGTTATTGTTATTGTTGTTGTGGTTGTTGTAATTGTTATCATTATTGTTATTTTGATTATTATTATTATTGTTGTTATCGTTCGGATGTTGTTGAGAAGATTGATTTGGAGGTGGGACATATCCGGTACTATTAGTTGCATTCAATACTGGGAATGGTGGTAATCCACTTAAAGGATCCTTTGAATTTGAAGTTTGATGAAGAGGAGGCAACACAGGAGAATGGACTGATGATAATACTGGGGTAGATGATCTTGATTGAGCATTGAAACTTGGAGATGTATGAGATGAATTTGATTGTTGTTGCTGTTGATGATGAGGTTGACCTAAAGCAGGTAATTTTGGAGGATGTTGAACTGATGAAAAGATAGTTGAAGAATTAACTGATGATCCAACATTACTTATTTCACGTTTCACACCACCACTCATTAATGATACACCAGCAACGGATCTACCACCATCATTATATTTAAAAGTTGCACTTGGACCCAATTCATTTGACATCAATTCCAAAGCTCCAGCTGCTTGTTGAATGGTACTAATATTTTTATCTGAACTTGTTCTTGTATTTGATATTGACAGGGAGTTCGATAATAATAAAGGAGAAGTTATTCTCAAAGAACCAGGAGCAAATTGAGTTGGAGTTGAAGATGGATAATGTAAAGGTTGAACGATATGAGATGAAACTGATTGTAAATGAGGAGGCAAATGTAAATTATGAGGATGATGATTAGCATAAGGATGAGGGAAGGTATTATTACTGGAATGATTTGGAGTTGAGATTGATTTTGGAGTATTGGTAGCAGGTAATAAAGGAGTTAAAGAAGGATTTGGATTTGAAGCATCGAAATTTGGATTTGAATTGGTTGAATTTGATTTTCCATGTTTTTTCGAAGATTTAGGAGATTTCTTACCACTATTATTACCTAATTTAGTACCTAAAATCATTGAATTATTATTGGAATCCTTCGATTTTAATTCTGGAGTATTTGGACCTGAAGATTTTTGACTATTAGGAGTAGCATTACCATTTTGCAGTTTAATTCTATTTCTTGATTTGATGGTATCAGTCTTTAAACTAATTGGTCTTGGTCTACCATGTAATTTTAAAAATAATCCACAAGCATTACACAAGACTTGACCAGTTTCATCTCTTCTCCAAAGTGGGGTAGTTTGAGTTTTACAATTACGACATACAGGACTTGTAATATTGGTTTTAGTAGTGGTGGTACCATTATTTACATGAGTTGTAGTTTTAGCATTTGGATGAACCGGATTTGAAGGTTGATTAGAGATGGTTGATGAAGGTTGAGGAGGAGGTGGAATCAATTTCTTTTCTACAACTTCTTGTTTAATTTGTTTTATCTCAGTAGATTCTTGTTGGTGAGATGGTTTATTTATGGATACAGGAGATGTAGATGGATTAAGGGGAGAAGCTGAAGTTGAAGGAGATGAAGAAACCACAGATGATAAATGAGTGGAAGAAGGTTGAGGATGTTGACTATAAGATGGATTAGCAGGTTGTTGAAATGGGGAGGTAGTAACGGTGGCTGCAGTAGTTGATGGGATTTGAGCGGGTGGTTGAGTTTGAGGTTGAGATGAAGTATGAACTGGAGGAGAAAGGACTTGATTTGGAACAGGAGGAGTTTGAACCTGATGAGGGATTCTTTGTTGAATTTCACTCATGATTAATCAAAATAGATATATAATAGTTGATAAGATAAAAGATAATAATACTAATCTTCGTTTTTTAACAGTTTTTATTTTTTGAATTCACTCTATCTAAGGAGTTTCTTTATATCTTCTTAATAGTAATAATAAAGTTTTTGAAAATTATGTATAATTAGTTGTGATTAACTCAAACAGACATATATAATAAAACTCTTTTATGATACTAACAATGGAGAATACAATAGATATTCGTTTAAGAAAAGACGATGATGAATAAGATAGAATAGTCACAAATGATGCTTCTATAATGGATGATTGCTATTAATAATACAAAAAATAATATAATGATGATCTAAACCAGCGATTTTGATAACCAAAAATTTTCTATGATAGATGGCTACGTGTGGGTGGTGTGTGAGTGGAGGGCAGGCAAAAGTAAACAGTGTTTTTTTTGTTTGATTAGGAACGAACGGGGTTGGAGTATATTCTAATGATGTTTTCTAATCTGATCAGATGGGGATGATACCTGATAAAACTGTCTTCTTAAGCTTAGATAGATGGATCTTTATAAAGAAGAAAGATGTTGTTGATGTTGTAATTAATTATTTAAACAAAATTAACTTGTCAGTCAGTCAGCCAAAGTCAGTTAAAAGTGTATACAAAAAAAAATTTTAATCTTTTTTTTCTAAACTGTAAAAATGAAGAAAAATTTTTATTTTTATTTTTATTTTAACACTATAATTAAAAATTAAATATGGTCAGTCATTACAAAAAAAAAAAAAAAGATGAAAATTTTTCAGTTCGAAAAAAAAAAGAAAAATAAATGTCTCTCTCTCAGAGTAGTCTGTCTTTAACTGAATAGAGAACTGAATCAGATAAGATAAAAAAAAGTGAGTGAAAAATAGTTAACTATAGCGATCAGTTTAATCAATCAATCAATTGATAAGTAAATCAAAAATTATCCACTACACAATTTGAATTGGAGATTTCATTTTATATTTACATTTATAGATATGAAGTGAAGATGGACAATTCAATTGATATCCATATCGTTGAAGTATAGTATAGTAGGTATGATTGATTGGAGAGTACTGATTTATTATCAGTTCATTAATTTGAAATTGAAAAATTAATTGAAAAATTTGTAACCCATGAGGATAATTACCCACTCCCTCCACCATTCAGAGAGAGAGAGTAACGTTATTTTTATGGTAGTGGTTATCGGTTGGCACTATTTCTTTTTTTTTTTTTTCACGTTGGGTGTTTTTTATTTTTTTTTTTTTGTTTAAACGGGTTAAGAAGTTTAAAAGAAAAAAGTTAATTTACAGTTTACAATCCCTCTTAAACTGTAAATGGCATTTCAGTTCACTTTTTTTCTTATTTAGGAAAAGAATTTACAGGTTTCAGTTGGTTGTCGTCGTTTATCTTATCTGTTTCTGAAAATATATTGTACCATTCTATACCCATATGGGTTATTACAAGTATAATTATTAATTACAATTTAATTTAACAATATAAAATAAATTTCAGATGGAGACGATTTCAATTAAGAAAGTTCTAATTACAACTTCTAAATAAGATTATCGAAAATACTCCATCTTCTTCTCCTTTTTTTATTTGGTTTTCTTTTAAAATAATAATTAATTTGTTATCTGTAAATTTCCTGTTTTTAATCACATTAATGTTTAATCGTTATCTTTGATCTTTATCAATCAATCAATCAATCAATCAATCTAACTTATCTAGTAATTTATCGATTTATCAGGTACATTTACTTCATAGCGTATTTTTATATATAAATATTTCAATTTATAACTAGATTTAGAGTTGATTTAAACTAAATGAATTGAACCGTATTTATATTTTATATATACTTTCTTATAACGGCATTTTCCATAAATTGTTATTCAGGGCATTTTTTTATAAAGGGGAAGGCAAAAACAAAAAAAGAATCACCGACTTGTTAACTAAAAAAAAGAAAAATAGACTTAGAGTCCAGAACAAAAGGTCTGAACACAAAGACACGACTTCTGGCAATCACATGATGGCGGCATGGAGTTTTTATTTTTATTTTGTTTTATACATTTTACTTGTTACCGTAATTAACTTTTCTTGGTAGTATTTGTATTAGTAGTGTAGATATATATATATATATATAAGTATAAACTATTATTAGTAACATTGCTATTTATTTTACTGCTCCTTCTTTCTTTCTTTCTTTCTTTCTTCCCCCTCCCACTCTCTCTACGCTCCTTTTTATATAAGGCTTATGTTAAATTGAGTTATTAATTTTTTATTTATTCTGTCTGTGCCTCGTTTAAAATTTGATTAATAAAATTAATAACTTAGTTGTTTATCTATCGATAAGTTTTTATCCTAGTTTATCATTTGGTATTTTGAATAAACTAAATTAAATGAATTTTTCCTGTTTGGGTTTTTAGTCGTCAGAGGTTTAAAATAATTAATTAATTCCTCAAACAAACAATTAAAAACTTAAGGTCGTGTCCCCATTACCAAAACATATTATTTCTAAATTTAAAGTGCTCTCAGTAAAGTCTCACTAAATTTTTCTCACTCACCACACTCAGTTAACTGTCAGTTCCCTCACTCACTCATTTCGTTTATAAATCTTTTTTTTTTTTTGTTTATTTTTAAATTTTGTTTGTCTCTCTCCCTCTCATTCATTATATATCCTTATTTCCAATATATATCTAAAGATTATATATCAGGAACAACCAATCCATCTTATATAAAGTATGTATACTAATCGATCAATCAATCTAATACAGTCTATCATCGTTAGAAATAGGTTTGATTGATACTAATTTTATTATGATTTGTTTGGATGGGTCTCATTTTCTAGTCGACGCCATAAAAATTGGACTGATCAATCAATCAATCAATCAATCAATCAATCTCTTAGTTGATTCATCATCTTAATCGAATATTTAGGTCATCCTTATCAATCGATCTGTCATTTTCACTCTCATCAAATCATTACATATCATTGGATTAGAATCAGTTAGCTATTAGCGGCAACATAAATAATTATGACAGACAGTCAGTCAGTCAGTCAATCAATCAATCAATCAATCTGATCTCATTTACAGTCATTACATCAATCAATCCATCATTACTATCCATCGCATAAATCAGGTCAGTCAATTCAATTCAATCACTCTACATATTCCATCAGTTTCAATCACTTCAATTTGTTTCAGTTCTATATCTTCTCTTTTAAAATTGGTAAAATTCCATTCCAATCAATGTTAGATTTTGTGGTCAATTTTGATTTTTTTTTTTTTTGTCTTGTCTTGTTTTTTTTTGTTTTGATTGACTCTATTCTATTCTTGGTAACGTATAACAATGATTGTATAAGAATAATAGAGATGTATAATTACGATTTGATTTGATTTGATTTGATTTAATATGATTTAATTTAACTATAGGGATTATTATCACTTTTTACTATTTCAGTTCAATTTTATGGTACACTACTTACTTTAACTAATTATTACTACAGTAAGAACAATTAAAAAAAAAAAAAAAAAAAAAGGAGTGAGAATTTTCTGTTTTTATTTTTAATTTTATTTTAACCTGATTTCATGTCTGTCAAAAGGGAAACGAAAAAGAAGAAAAGGGAAAAAATTGTAAACAAAAAAAAATAACAATTTGTTGTCTCCTATTCCTTTTTAATAGATCAGATAGTTACTGGTATCAATCACATTGAAATCAAACCGTTGAAGTAAGCATCCATTTAAATCACCTATTGAATAACTAAATTGATTGATTGATTGATTAATCGATTTGAAAATTTGCCCCCCTTTTTCCCCAGATCATAATTTTTTGAATTTAATACTAACATTAACTTATTTATAGTTTTTATAACAATTTTTTTTTGTTAACATATCGTTTATTATTCACTTGATATAATCAATCAATCAATAAAGATATCTTTTCATTCATTAAATCTTGATCATATATTAATCACATACCCTTTTTTTGTTTCATAAATAAAGACATATCCATCCCCTCCTCCGATCATATATATCATCATTCATAATATATATATATTCACATTTGCATAAATTTTTTAAATTAAACTCATAAATAATAATTCATAATAATGGTTCCGGCTCCAGCAGAAGTTAGAAGAAAGTTAGTCATTGTAGGTGATGGTGCTTGTGGTAAAACTTGTTTATTAATTGTATTTTCAAAAGGTACTTTCCCAGAAGTTTATGTTCCAACTGTTTTTGAAAATTATGTTGCTGATGTTGAAGTTGATGGTAAAAAAGTTGAATTAGCATTATGGGATACTGCTGGTCAAGAAGATTATGATAGATTAAGACCATTATCTTATCCAGATTCAAATGTTATTTTAATTTGTTTTTCAGTTGATTCACCAGATTCTTTAGATAATGTTTTAGAAAAATGGATTGCTGAAGTTTTACATTTTTGTCAAGGAGTTCCAATTATTTTAGTTGGTTGTAAAGCTGATTTAAGAAATGATCCTCAAACTATTAATAAATTAAGAGAAAATCAACAAGAACCTGTTACTCATGCTGAAGGTGAAATTGTTTCTCAAAAAATTGGTGCATCTAATTATTTAGAATGTTCAGCTAGAACTGGTCAAGGTGTTAAAGAAGTTTTTGAAGCTGCTACTATTGCTTCATTAAGAACTAAAGAAAAGAAAGATGGTAAAAAGAGTAAAAAGTGTGTTGTTTTATAATCTCATTATCAATATTTGACATCATCACCTTCTTATTCTTCATACCACCACCTCTTCACTATTCCTATCAATTTTTTAATTATTTTTGTTTAATGTTTTATATTAGAAAGATTTCTCATACTGTTTTTTTTAACTTATTATATAATAAAGTATAATATAATAATATAATAGTACGAAATCAAATCTATCTATATATAACAACTATTTCTTTCTTTTTATCTTTATTATTATTATTATTATTAGTAGTAGTATAATATTATTTTATTTTATCTTTACATTAATTTATTCTTTAGTTTTTAAATATCTAAGTATATAAATAGTTTTTTTATAAGTTTCTACTTTAATTTTATATATATATATATATATAATGCTTTAAGAAATAAGTTTAAACCGTAGTTAAATATTTTTGGTTGTCTAAATTATGAGTGAGACACGTCCTCCACTTTTTCATTCCTCCCCAAAAATGAATGAGTGTCAAAACATTTAAACCCAAACATCAACATTACCATCAAGATCAATCACTAATCATCCCACATCAGGCACAATGGTATCGTTGAAATCATTCATCAAGTCCGTACGTAAGGCCAAGACCATCGCTGATGAACGTGCTGTGGTTAGGAAAGAATCGGCTGCGATTAGAACTTCATTTCGTGATGTTGGTTTAGATCAAAATACAAGACGAATCAATATATCTAAATTATTATATCTTTATATTATGGGTGAAAAGACTCATTTTGGTCAAGTTGAATGTTTGAAATTATTAGCTTCTCCTCGATTCGTTGATAAACGATTGGGATATTTGGCTGCTATGTTATTATTAGATGAAAATCAAGAAGTTTTAACTCTTTTGACGAATTCTTTAGATAATGATATGCAACATCCTAATGCTTATATTGTAGGGTTGGCTTTAAGTTGTCTTGGGAATATCGCAAGTCCGGAATTAGCCCGTGATTTATATACCAATGTTGAAACCATCATCACTAGTAATAATGTTTATTTAAAGAAGAAAGCTTGTATTGTGGCCGCAAAATTAATTGAAAAGGATCCTGATTTATCAGAATTCTTCATTACTAGAATCCCAGCTTTAATTAATGATAAATCTCCAAGTATCTTATTAGGTACCATTAGATTAATCGAATCAATTTATATTAATAATGAAGAAGATCGTCCCCAATTAATCAAATTAATCCCTGTTATTATCGATCATTTAAAAAGAGTCACTACTACCGGTTATATGCCAGATTATGACGTTGGTGGAATCAGTGATCCATTCTTACAAGTGAACCTTTTGATTATATTAAGAGTGTTAGCCAATGGTGATGGTCAACGATTATATTCTGATCAAATTAATGATATTTTAACTCAAGTTGCATCTAATTTAGAAAGTGGAAAAAATCCTGCTAATGCCATTTTATATGAATGTGTTAAAACTATCTTTACCATTGAATCTGATCAATCTTTGAAAATCTTGGGTGTTAATTTATTAGGTAAATTCTTAGCTTCAAAAGATAATAACACAAGATATGTCGCTTTGGATACATTGTTATCCGTGATAAATATTGAACCATTAGCCGTTCAAAGACATAGATCTACCATTGTTAGTTGTTTATCAGATGGAGATATTTCCATCAGAAGAAGAGCTTTGGAATTATCATTTGCTATTTTAAATGAACAAAATATTAGAGTATTAGTAAGGGAAATCTTAACCTTTTTAGAAACATCTAATGATAATGAATTAAAATCTTATGTTACTTCCCAATTAACTATTGCTGCCAATAAATTCAGTCCAAATGATAAATGGCATTTCGATACTTTGATTAGAATGTTAAAAGTAGCCGGAAATTTCGTTACTTCAGATATAATCTCAAATATTTTAGCCTTGATTTTACAATGCAATGATGTGGAATTAAAAAGACATATCATATCTAAATTATTAGCTTCAAGTTTAGAAGATTCAACTCAATTTGGATTATCAATCATTACTATTTGGTCTATTGGTGAATATGCTGATTTGATTTTAAATCAAACAATTGAAATTAATGAAAAGACATCCAAAGTGGTTACTGAAGGATTAATCTTGGAATTGATTGATGATTTAATCAATAATACTACTTATTCAAATCAAGAAACAACTCAATTAGTCACTTATATCTTAACTGCTATTATTAAATTATCGATTAAATTTAAAGATTCAAATTCAATTGAAAAATTAAGATTAGTATTAAATGCTAGAACTTATGATAATAATTTAGAAATTCAAATTAGAGCTTTAGAATATCAAGAAATCTTTGCTCAAGATGCACAATTAAAAAGAGGTTTATTAGCTAGAATGCCTGCTCCACCTTTAAAAGAACGTCAAAATCTTTCCTTACATACCGGTAAATCCAAGAAGCCTACCAATGGAACAAGTTCATCATCTGTCATGGCTTCTGGTTCTGCTGGTGGTGATGATTTATTATTGGATCTTTTGGATGATAATAATATTGCCACTGCTACTAATTCAACTAATCAAAATGAATTATTATCCGATATATTTGGTGGTAAAGGAAATGGTAATGGCAATGGTAATGCTAGTGCATCAACTAGTGATAGTGCTGCTTCTAATAACGCTGCTATTCTTGATTTATTCAATAAACCATCATCTGCATCTTCTACCACCTCATCCATTGCACCATCCTCTGCCATTGATGCTTACTCTAACGCTAATGTAAAAGTGTTATTCAACCCTAAATCATTCCCTCAAAATGGTACTGCTATACTTGAAGGTATAATAGAATCGAAAGAATCTGCATCAACCCTTGATCAAGTTCAATTACTTATAGCGGTTCCAAAATCTCAAAAGTTAACCATAACATCCACATCAGGAGATAGTATTAATCCTGGTCAATCCATAAAACAAACTTTAAAACTTGCAGGTAAAGAAGGATCTAAAATCAAATTAAGAGTTAAAATCAGATATGCTTTGAATAATGATATCATAGAAGAGCAGTTCGACTTTGCTGGTTTTGCTAACACTTTATAGATTGTTTGAGAGCTTAATATATAAACCATCCCTAGTAGTAAGAATTATTTTTGTAGTTCGCGATACTTTAATTTGCGACCATCCCTTCCCCCAAGATTGCTCCCCACCAAACGTGAGTTGTGGTTTGCATCCAAAACAAAAAATATATCAATTATACACGTAAAAAAATTTAATGACATTGTTTCATCCCCTCTATTCTATTTATTCCATCATCCCCTAAAAATTTGCTTTAGTTAGTAATTCAACTATAAATAGCCAATAAACTCCAAAGGAAATGTAATCGTAAATGTAAAGTTTTATTGTAATCAATCAATTCTTCATATAAATTCGATAATGCTTACTAAATTATTTAAATCTATTACTTCCAAGGGTCCGTTCATTGGAGATTATGCTCGTCCAATGATGAGAAAAGGTCCTTTCATCGGCGATTATGCCAGACCAATGATGAGAAAGGGCCCCTTCATTGGGGATTATGCTAAACCGATGGGTAAGTTTGGTGTGAGATGGTATACTAATGCTGCTATTTATGAACCAAAATTCTGGTCAGCAAGTATCAAAAATGGTTATTCTAATATAAGTACTTTCCCACTGTGGAGTTCTTTGGGTGCAAGTTATTTAAAAGAGATTCACAATATGTTTGGAGCTTTAACTGCTGTAACTACTGTGATGGTAATTTGGCCTGCAACCGTCAGAATGTTGAGTAATTTTATTGATGATGTCCCAGCTGAAAGAGGTGCTCAAGTTAAATTAGAACATTTTGGTATTTTTGGTGAAAAGCCTACAGTTGAAATTCCAAATACTTATGTTCATTTAACTAAGCATTCCCCAATTGAGGAATAGATTAGGTGTTTGGTGTTTGGTTTCTAGTTTAATTCTCTCTAATGTAGTTCGTCGAATCATATTTGTTTATTACTGGTGAATGAATGAATGAATAAATAAATAAATAAATCAATAAATCAATAAATCAATAAATAAATAAAATTGCTTTTATTAAAACTATAAAGAATAAATTTCAAATAATGATTTTATCCTATAAAATCTTCCAATATTTTGAATTTCCCTTGTTTGCAAATTCTTTAAAGTTTTCAATTCAGATTCCAATAATAATTCATCTTCATGACCTTTAACATCTTCTCTTTCACATTTTTCCAATAAAATCTTATGATCCTCTTTGAAATTTTGAATATTAGTTAGAATTTCAGCCATAGAAAATATTAAAGCATTGTTAAGAAAATTATAACTAACAATTTCTTTATGTCTGAATAAAAAGAAAGTTTTAGAAGCAGCTCTATCAGCACTTCTTGGAACTTCTTGAATTTCAACCAAATTAGCTTTAAATAATTTATAAACTTCATTTCTAACTGTTTTCTCTTTTAATAATACAGCATTGGCTAATGATTTTTCATCACCAATCTTTTGTGATTTAAGACATCTTAAAACTCGGAATGAATTAACTCCCAAAGTGGTTTTTATCAAAGTTTCAAAATTATATTGTTGTAATGACTTGATTAATGCAGTATAGGGTATGGTGAATGTACCAGGAGTAGTTTCAATTAAGAATTGGATGCTGGATCCATTTGATAATAATTTAAGATGATGTTGGATTAATGATATGGAATGGAAATCAGAGTTATCATCTTCAATTGTTTCACTATTCTTAGCATTGAAGATAGCTATTAAGTCATCATCATCATCATCACCATTTTCAAGTTTGATCTTTTTATTAGGAGATTCTGGAGATTCATTAGTTGCTACTCTCTTTTTAGAAAGATTGGGTTTAAGGAAATTATGAGTTAATATAGAATTTCTAAGATCTAAATCAGCTGGCAATGAACGCTGAAGTTCTCTTACAGTGAAAACGATCTTTTTATCTTCCACTAATTTATTTTCAATTGAATTAATAAAGAATTTCTCTTCATCTGGATCATTAATTAATCCACTAATCTGTAAAAATGGATGTTTGATATCAGGACTTTCTTGTTCCACTAAACCTAAGGCAATTTCATATATCTTGGCTGATAATACACCAACACGAGATTTGGCTAAATTAGCTAATGCTTCTGATCTTATATGCTTCTTAAATCTTGATAAATTGAATCTGACAATTAAATTAGGGTTCAATCGTTTATATCCATCAGTTGTGATATATAATTCTTTGGCAGTTTGCCCCCCTTCTAACAAATTTGTAAATGCAACCTTTGTTTTTTCTTTGGCTTCAGTCACACGTTTGATTTCAGATGTAGTGGCAGATCTTGGAGTCTTTTTCAATATGTCTTGAAATATGTTATTCCAAATATCAGCAAAAGGATGAAAATCAAATAATTGTAATCTTGCCAACCATTTATCAGTGAATAATCTCAAGAAGATAGTTTCTGTATCCAATTTCGTTTGCTCATCTTCAATATTCTTCATGTAATCTGATATTTTGATATGTCCATTAACTAAAACATTTTGAATTATCTCAGCATAGTCATCACCATAAATAGTTTTTATATGATTGATGATTTCACCACTATGTAAAAAGTTTAAAATCCCGTTTTCATTGAAATTGTAATGCAGTTGTGAAGAATTATCATCTTTCCAATAATATACACATTGTAATTGAACCAATGAAACTAAAGCTGACTTGACAACTTTTATAGGAAGTTTTGTTTTATGACCAATTTCTCTAGAAGTTAATCTTCCATGAGAGATCAAACACGAGATAACAATGGCTGCAACCTCTCCCAAATGATTTTTGGCAATCGTAGTATACAAATATGACTTTGGAGACTGAGTTTTATATGACTCTGGAATGACCCCTTCCATTTTTCACTTGGATACGATTGGTATGATGATGTTTTAACAGAGTAACTTAACTTTCCTAAATCATTAAGATGCTCTTCTTTCACTGCTTGAAAAAAAAAAAAATTATAGTTATAATTTATATACAGGAACATCCAAATTTACCACTTTCGACAAATATACGTATTAAAATGGTTCCAACTAGACTATTTGAAGACAGTCAATTACATTTCACGATATCAGAAATGTCTAGTTTGAAGAAGGCACTTAAGGCTGCTAAGAGTGCCATTGAACTGAATGATCCTGTGTCAGCATTAGAATACGTGGATGAGGCACTTGAATTTGATGATACTTGTTATTTTGCATATATTTTTCAAGGTAAATCATACCAATTGTTAGATGATATTTCAAAGGCTACAACTTCATTTGAAAAGGCTACTGAGTTAGAACCTGAAAATTTGTTAGGTTGGAAGGGATTCATTCAAGTTGCTAAAAGTGGAAAGGATTATAAATTGTTTTTCTTTGTCATTACTAAACTTATTGAACTTCTGATTGATCAAGGTATTTCAATTGCAGAATCACTTCGTGATATAAAGTCTTATCTTGATACCAATCAGTATAAGACAAATCAAGACTTATACGAGTTCTATTTAAGATCGATCTTGCCGTCAAGTGAATTGGGGGAATTGGTTGGTAAAAACTTAGGTACAGCAGAGAGTAATCTTCGTACGTTGATAGATTTAGTCAAAACAAAATTAAATAAAGAATTAACCGGAAGGCTAGCGAAGGAAAGAGTTAAGTTTGGAAGAGTGTTAACTATCGAGCAGAAATCATATTTGAATAACATATCCTGGACCTATTACAATGATTCCGATCTCGAATCATTATACGAATCATTTCTCAATATAAGTAATGATGATGTGTTAAGACGTTCATACGAAGAAGAGTATTTAAAGCATAAATATGAAGTATTAAAGGTAAGCCCCAATAAAGATGATTTAATCCAAGACATCAAGGAAATGGTTGATGGGATGATTTTAATTAAAACTAAAAGTCAATTCTGTTGGGATTTATATTTCAATTGGTTAGATGTTAAGAGTCTAGGCGATATAGAAATCGAAAATATTATCTTTTACCTTAATAACTTTTCTAATAAAGGGTTAGGAGGGATGTTGTTTGCCTTATCTATGAGTGATATTTCTCCATTTGATAAAGAAAAAATCATTGAAGGAATTTCTTCATCTGATAAGTTTGAAAATAAAAAAGAAGAAAAGAAGATTGAATTCGAAAATGAAGAAGAAGAAAAGATCTTACAAAGTATTGAAGATGATGATTTTGAAGTAGACAAGTCTCAATATAACTTATTACCAGATCAAGTACTTTCATTGATGATCGAAGGATTTGAACATGCCAGTGACTCGGTCCTCGCCAATAGGATTATAATAGACTATTATATCCACTTGCGTGAATACGCTGTTTGCTCAGAAAGATGCAGAGAAGGAATAAAACTTTTGGCAGATTTACAAAGAAGTCTTGGTATTAATTTAAAGAACACTCGTGAAGAAATGTTATGTTCTCTTGCTATTGTCTACACCTACTATGAAGCTCCAAAGAATTTCTCGAGGGCGTTACAATTATATGACAAAGTATTGGAAGATAATGCAACTAATGTTAAAGCTAGAATCGGTAAAGGTTTGATTTTAGCTGAAGAGCAAGATTTTAATGCTGCTAAAGACTTATTACAAAAAGTAGTCGAAGAATATCCTGATAATGTTGAAGCTGCTGTTGAATTTAACTGGTGTTTAATTAGATTGAAAGATTATACAAAAGGTAGGGAAGGATTGATTGCTTCATTAGATTCAATAAAAGGGGCAGATTTTTATAGTAAAGAAAATAGAGCCATAATTCACTGGAGAATAGCAAAAGGTTTGATTACAGAAGATGATTCTGACTCCTCCAAGATTGATCAAGCGTATAATCATTTAGTGTCATCTTTAAAGGAATCTCAATCATATGCACCAGCTTATACTCTTCTTGGTATAGTTCTTCAAGTCTATTATGGTGATAGATCAAGAGGTCAAAAATGTTTTTATAAAGCAGTTGAATTGGATGTGGTTGAAGTTACCGCCGCTAAATATTTAGTTGAAGAAGTGACGGATAAAAATGATTGGAATATTGCTGAAGTCTTGTGTAAAAGATTAATTGAATCCGATACTGCCAGAAGGTTACTTTTGAGTAAAAACTACGAAGATGAGGACAGATCATGGCCATTCAGAGTCCTTGGTTGTTCTGCTTTGAATAAACAAGATGATGCTAAAGCCGTGGAGTGGTTTCAATCAGCCTTACGTTACAGTTCAGTTGATGTGTCCTCTTGGACAGGTTTAGGTGAAGCCTACTTTAATAGTGGTCGTTATGATGCAGCAGTAAAGGTATTCACACATGTTTTAGAACTTTCTCCAGATTCATGGGTTAGTAAACATCTTTTAGGGTTGACATATTGTCGTATGGGAGAATTCTTAAACGGATTTGAAATATTAGAAGAAGTTCTTGAATCGCGTCCCGAAGAAGAATGTATATTGAGTGCTTTATATGAAGGGTATATTGAATATACCAAGTCATTAGTTGCAGGAGGGTTCTTCGGTAGATCGGTTGAATCTAATTTGAAAGCTATAAATATCATTCATCAAGCGTTTAAAGTCAATAAGTCGTCACAAAATTTATGGAAATCCTTAGCTGATTCAGTTAGAATTTTCCTAATCGTTGGAGAAAACATTGATAAATTCCCTATCGATGTAGTTCATAGTATCTTCAAAGAGGTCGGTTTGGCTGACTTCAAACCCATAGAAGGAGTAACCGAAGATGATGGCTACAGTTTAGAAAATGCAGTAGCTCTGTTCGAAGCTGAAAAGTATACATCGGCTCTTTCTTCCATTGTTGTATTATGTTCTAAAGCTTCAATTATCGCATTATCAAAGAAAGCTAGTCGTTTCTTAACTTCAATAGTTTATTACAATTTAGGGTTATCTTACTTAGAAGCATTTAATCTCTCTAGCACTGATAATGATAGAGACTTGTCTACAAAGTATTTAAAGAAAGCTATTCAATTAGAAGGCAGAAATTCATTATTTTGGATTGCGTTAGGAAATTCATATGTTACAAATAATCCAGAAATCGCTCAACATTGTTTTATTAAGGCTTCTACTTTAGATAGTAAGAATGTTGGAGTTTGGACAAATTTAGCTGCATTATATTTATACTGTGGTGATATTGAATTAGCTCAAGAAACGTTCTTAAGGGCACAGTCTGTTGCACCACAAGAGTCTCAATCATGGTTGGGACATGCTTTAACGGCGGATGCTTTTGGAGATAAGGCTACTTCATCTCGATTATTTACTCATGCCTTTATCTTGTCTAACGGTAGATCATCCTTGGCTCAGTTTTTATATGGTTTATCTATTTTAACAACAAGATCGACAGGAAGTGATATCAGAGATTCTAATGCAATCCAAGAATTTAGCGTGGCTAATCAGGCTATTACCAAATATTTGAAATATGCACCTAATGATGAAATAGCATTAGAAATATCGATCAGTATTGCTGAAAGATGTCGGGATTATAATGTTGCGGCCGAAGTTGGGAATCGATTATGTGATAATTTAGAGAAGAAATATGAAGAATCTGAAGAAGATGCTGTCTTAATTAAATTTGCTAATGCAAAGACTCAATTATCAAGAATTTATCTTGGATTAAAGAAATTTGCTGAAGCAATTGAAAATGCTCAATTCGCGATTGATTTGATTGGTGATGGCGATGATAAGAATACTATTATTTTATCATCAAGAATCACGATTGGATTAAGTTTGTTCTTTAACAATGAATTTGAAGCATCATTAGAGCAATTAAGTCTAATATTAAAAGATTATCATGATTCCAAGAGATTGGTAACTCTTGTGTCACAAATACTTTATGCTAATGGAACTGAAGAATCTAAAAAGGCTGCCATTGATCAATTATTTACATTTATTGAAGAGAATGGTTCATCATTATTGGTGGTATTGACCTTAGGAGCTATATCGATTGTTGATAATTTAGATGAATATTTAGGAGCCATTAAAGAAGAATTACAAGGGCTTTCATTAGAAGAATATATTAATGATTCACATAGATCAATTCCCCAATTATTAGAAGAGATCAATGACAAGTTAGATTCTAAAGATGGAAGTGATAGAGTTTGGCAACAAAGTGCTTTATTGTTCCCATCTGATTTTAATGTGTGGAGAAATCTTAATACGGAAATGGCGTTAGCAATAGCATCAACGGCAAATAATATTACAACAAGCCAGCTTTCAGAAGCTTATTTGGATAATGGGAAGTTAAGAGAGATTCAAAGAAGTATCTTACTTTCTCCACATAAGATATTAGAGTATAGTCAAGCATTAGAGAATTGCTTCTAGAATGGAATGATGATTTTATAGAAATGATATATATATATAGATATACGAATACACATGCATGCACCCATATATTAGCAACCAAAATTAACTAAACTTTGGTTGTTTATAACCATTATGCGTTTACAAGGCAACAGGCGATAATTGATGATACTTTGGTCCAAAGCTTAATTCATCATCATTATCATCATCATTCATTTTATAATGTATGTGACTGCATATAACCCTATCATTTAATCACGTCTATTTTTCTCCCCCTCTCTCACTCTTTGTTTTGATACCAAAAACAGTTTACAGTCAAAATAATCACACAAAATGTTTTACAGTCATTATCACCACATTTTTATTTAACACTATATAAGGAAGCATACTACATAGAAGGGATAACTTCAGTTGATCCCATCGTCTTGTTAGATTGCATAATAAATCGTCTATATCAATTGGTGATAGGTCTGCTTGTTTGAAAGTAGATTAAAAGCTTGTGTTTAGATTGATTCATTCTCATTTGCCTACCGCTATCCAAGCTATTGTTATATCTATCAACATTATTTTGCCCCACTCCACACATCAATTGGTGATAGATCCTATAAATCAAATTGTGGATCTGATACTATATTAAGTTTGATTACTAGTCATTTTCAAGGATTTGTTATCTTCGTTACACGTCTTATCCGATACGTTACTTTGATACTGATCAATCGTTTCTAGGATAGATTTAGAATCATAAACTGATCCACATCATTTATTCGCGACATCACATCAATCTAGAAAGTTGAATTTGATTCATTTATTAAGAAACAGGGTTTGATTAGATTCAAAATACTGTATCGTCTTCTCAACTATTAATAATATTGACTCCAATTCCAATAAGTTTTCTCGGCCAAATATAAGGTACATGTTAAGAATCATCTAATCAATTTGAATCATTACATATCTCTCTTTTTCTTGATTATATTCCTCATCATTCCTCTTCTCTATTGCATCTTATCATTCTTGCTTCTCTTATTTATATTCTAATTTATTCTTTCATTATTGCCTTCCTTCATTGCCCACATTCATAACACTTGTCGCATTCTCAAAATGTCTTCCAATCAATATCAATTCAAACTGCAACAAGAGCATTACCCTCAAGAACTTGATAAAACTCATACTGAATCATATAAAAACTTGAATTCCAAATTATCTCAGGTAATCGTCAACTTCTTCACCAAAACTGCCGTCATAATATATGAAGCTCGATCCATACCAGAGGCAACACCCATTGATATGATATCCAATCTTGAAGATAAATCAAAGATAAATAGATGGTTTAATTTAAATACGAATAGTACTAAGGATTCATTAAGAGATGAATTAAAACTATGGAAATCAATGTCAGATGTATCATCTTTACCTCCAATGATAATAGAAACTTATTTGGATTTACGTCAATTAGGTTCAAATGAAGCATTTGTTTTAAAAGATGACTTTGGAAAGGCTTGGTCAGTTGCAAAAGGTGGTGGTAAACGAAAAGAAGTAGTTTTAGAAAGATGGTGTATTGAATTTGAATATAATGCAAATTCAAGTGCTATAATCGATGAATTACCTTTGATTTATAAACGAGCAATTATATTATTAAGGAGTCTTTATGGATTTTCAAGAATTATATCCAGTTATAAGTTAAAGAAATTGATAGATCTGAATAATAAACTTAAAAAATTACGATTAAAGAATAAGACTTTTGATGGTTCATTACCAATAAGTTCAAAAGGAAGGGTTGGTTTATCTAAATCGATAATACCTCATCAATTAATTATAACTGAATCTCATTTATCCCAAAAATATTTCCAACCTGTTCAGACCAGTTTAGGAACCTTCAAAATATCAGTGGCTTATAGAAATCATTATGAATTTGATATAGTTGATAAAGAAGAAGCTTTATCTTCGGAATTTATGAATATGGATAATAAACATAGTACTGGTCCTAGGGCTCGATTTGACATTGATCATGTTGAAGAAATTGATGCTAGTATAACTTCAAAGCATTCCCCTCATCATCATCTTGACGATGACGACGATGATCATGTTGAGCATGAGCAACAACAAGAAGTTGAAGATGAAGATGAAGATGAGACACATGATCAACACCAACATCAATCAATGGAATATTCAAGTGATATATCAAAACATCAAGCGACATCTATCCCAGCATCCAATAAACGTCTTTCCATTTCAAGTGTTTCGATGTCAATTTCACCATGTTCGAGTGCAAATAAAGATATATTAAGAGAAAATTCTCCAGGCACAGGTGTCAAGAAACCCTCTAAAGTATCAGCTATCCAACCATTTAAAGTGGGATCGATAAGTGATTCTCCTCCACCTATTGGTAGTGGTGGTTCTTCATTAGAACGGAAAGTTTCCATAACTAGTAATAAATCAACTTCTAATGCTTCATTGGCTGCTACTTTGAGAAACCCGAGAAGTAGTACTTCTTTATCTCATACTGCTACCATTCTAATTAATAATAACCCTACATCATCAACAAATACCCCCACTGGTGGAGGTATTGTCACTATGGGATCTATTCCAAGATCCATTTCATCATCACATGGATCCAATCTTCATCCTGACGAAGCCGTATTTTCAAATGATAGTAATGCTAATACTCCAAGATTTTCATCTTCATTTGGTTCAAGAGCTAGTAGAAGATTTTCAAACACAAGTATTAAACAGAGTACACCTTTGACAACTAGTACTACTCAAACTTCTCATGAAATATTAGGCACAAGTATTGGTCTGACTACCTCCAGTGGAGCACCATTTAGTGGTCTTTATCTTGATGATGATATTAATGATTTTGTGAGAATGATAGATAGTACCAGTGATCTTCGATTTTCATCCGCTTATAATAATAGTGGAGGTATTGGTGGTGGTGGTGATTTAAGATATAATCAATCAAGTGCTACTAGTGAAAGTTTAAATCGATTCCATTCATTAAAAAGTCAACATCAACAATTGGGTGAAAGTGTACATGCCAGTTTAGTATCTCAATCAGGTACTGGTAGTGGAATTGGAATAACTGGTTCAAGAGCATCTAGTCGTAAGAGTTCTCATTCAATGAACTCACCACCGGCATCCATACCATCTATAAATTCAAGATTAAAGGAAAGATCTCCAGGAATTGGTGGAGGTAGTGGAAGTATTAGTGGTGCCGGTCAATTGTTATCGTTATCATCATCATCTCCACCACCAGTTGGTTCACAAATTCCAATCACGGGAGTTCCTCCTTCAGGAGCTATTGTTAATGAAATTCGTCGGTCGTTATCTCCAGATAAGAGGCCAGAGAATAATAGCAATAGTCCATTCTTGAAATCAGCAAGTACGAATCAAATTACTCCTAATACTGTTGTTTCTAGAACCACTGCTCACGGTAATTCGGTGGTACATAAGCATGATGAAGATGTAGGTGGCTTGGCTACTACCCCATCTGTTTATAAAAAGAGTATTAGATATGAGAACGTGTTTGACGATGATGATGAAGATGATGATGAGTTGGATTCTAAAGTTGGTACTGCTACTACAATTCAAACTGAACAAAATACTCTCAAGAGTAAGCCTACCACTAGTACTGATGATAATAATCAACAAGCAGATGTGACTCAAGATGATGAAGCGGAAGATAGAGCTAATACCACGATTGAGAAACAGCATGAAGCTGATGATCATCATTTACATCATCATTTACACCATCACCACCATCATCATCACAATGCTGCTAATTCTGAAGATTTTGAGGATGATGATTTGTTATTCACTATGAGTGATATGAATTTAACTAAAAATTAAAGTTGATTGGATCTCATAGTTTGTTCTTCGTATAGAGGTTTCTACCTAAATCTTATCTTGTCTATAATATTTATATATAAAGTTAATATAAGCAACACAACAACTGTGTTACTTTTAAGATACCGAGGGTAAGATGTAACCAAAATCGAAACCGATTTGAGATTGACGTTGCAATGGGTAGACCAAAGAAATCTTAGAGAGCAAAACAAAACAAACAAATGCACTTTGTGCTAGCGTGCCTTCAAAAGGTTTACTAGAATAATCTGTTAAATTGGTAGATCCTTCCTGAAAGAACAGCTGATATAGGCTGGATAAGATTTTATACGGTATATACGTAGAGATTGTATGGTTTGGTTTGGTGCCAAGATACAAACCTTATTCACTGAAACCATATACCATAATGGGTCTTCATTAAATACTACGAGGACCAGTTGTAAAAGAATTGGTCTGATGAAACAAAGACAGTTCAATACAATGGAGTGAAAAGAATCCAAAGATTTAAATGATAACTATGGCCAATTCCTTCCAATTAAACAACTGCCCATTTGCTTATTTTATTTTGCAGTGTCTATTTTTTTTCTTCTTTTTTTTTGAATCACCAGATGAAGAAAATAAAAAATACACTTAGGCAGGATTTATTTAGACACCGAATACACAATTAAAAAAAAAATTATAAGGCCATTCACTGTAAATATAAATTAAATCTACCGATAAGTGCATTACTCAAATTTGTCCTTGATTTCTTGCACGGTGGAGATTCATAGTCATCTCGGCGATCTAACTACTAGAGGATGGAGTATATCTCTTCATTCTTCACTAATGATTGCCTGAGAACTGAAACTACTCTTCTACTCTATTGTAGCTCAACTGGTTATAGTTCACACTATAAGCCATCACTAACGCGTCTTCATAACCATCATACATACGTTTTCCCATCATCTTGACCTATAATAATGACTTCATCACAGATACTTTCATTAGTATTCTAGTCTCCAATAATATACGAGAAAATATAAATTATTTTTTTTGAAAGCTATCAGCTAACTGTGCCAGAAATTATGCTTAAAGTCATCCCGCTATTTTTTTTTATTGTTCTTTTTTTTTAGTGCGCACAAGCCTTGGGTGCGCAGCAGTTTAATCATCGGGATGCCCTAAAATCTACCGACTTCCGTGGATAAGCCCTACCTTGTCAGTAATATGCTTCCATTAGATTCATTTTGTAGATCTTTGATAAGACTACCCCATTTGTTTTAGGATAATCCTGGAGCTGAGGTTCTACCCCATATACTAAGAAATAGTAACCCAACACATAATGAGAATGACTTGTTGTGGAAGCTTAATGCATTTAGGGTTTACTCAATGATACGCTAATGAAACCATATGTTTCAGATTTATTGAATGCAAAAATAGTTTGTTCATAATTGCACAGAAGTGTTCTGGATCTGGCTATTCTTCACTGACGTGAAATATTATTTTTATAACATCTCTTTTCAGTATCAGGGTAATCGCTGCTTCCTTTATTGATGTCAGAGTATTCTATTGTGATGTGTTATATTTCGTGGTTAAGTATGTAGTCGGTATACAATTTAGCAATTACAAGTTCATAATACTTTTAATAATATTTTTATAAAATTATATGTGTATATTTTTTGTTTTTACTATTTATTATTGAGAGTTATTTTTGTCTATTTTTTATTATTGTCATGCGTTCGTTATCTTTCATTAGTATTAAAAAATGGGCATTAATGAGAATTGGGTGCTCGATATATAGCTAGTTGGGGAATGACTTTTATAGATTGTACTAGTCAATAGTAGATTGTTTAATGATCAGCATCTTGACCTGGGTTACAGGTTTCATAATCTAAAAATTTAAAGAGTTTCCAGATACCAAAAGCGACAAATGAACCAATGAAAGGACCAAGCCAGTAAATCCAATGGTAATGAGTGAAAGTACCATTAACAGCATCTGGACCAAAAGATCTAGCAGGGTTAATACCAGCACCACTGAAATGAATACTAGCCATGTTACCAATGAAAAGAGCAATACCAATAGCAAATGGAGCCATGAAGGTAGCTTTATGTTTTTCAACAGCCATTAATAAAACAGTTAAACATAAAATGGTAGTGACAAAGGCTTCAATGAAAAGACCTCTAGCAATTGAACATCCACCACCTAATTCATTTCTAAATTTCATTTCACCTGGAACCATGGCCCAAGCAGCAGCAGAAGCAGCAATAGCACCGATAAATTGAGCAATGATCATAATAACACCTCTAAGTGGTGAAACAGCTTGAGCTAACATTAAAGTAACAGTAACAGCAGGATTAAAATTAGCACCTGAGATTCTGTAGAACATAAAGACGGCCATCATAACACTAAAACCAAAACCAAGGGAAATCATAACTAATCTGGATGGATTAGAACCAGTAACTGGTGAAACAATAGTAGCATCTAAATTAGCAATTTGGGCGATAACAAAGGCACACCACATAAAGATAAAAGTACCAAAAAATTCACCTAAGAAGGCAATCAAATGGTTTCTAGATGGAGCAGCAGTAGCATGAACAGCAGTGTTTTCTGAGAATTGCAGCAAGTTACCAGTAGGAGTAGTTTCTAATTTTGGTCTATAAGCATCAACTGGTTGTTGAGCTTCTTGATCATATTCAGCAGTCATTGTAAATAATTAATTGATATTATTATTATTATTGAGGGAGAAGGGAGTTTATTGTAAAAGTTGTAAGTTGTAATTTGTATATTGTAGTAATATAGAAAAGAATCTGAATTGAATGTATAAAATAAGCATCGTTTAGGTTGCTTTATATACTTTTCATTATCCATATACGTCAACTACTTTAGCAGCCAAATCCATTACTGAATCATCAAAAAAAATAAAAAAAACCTCACTAAAAAAATAAAGACAATAAAAAAAACATAAAAAATAAAAAATAAAAAAAAGAAATTTAATGATCAAAAAAAAAAAAAATTCCAAGTTACGTATGAGGAACAGGAAGATGACCAGCCAAGCCATACAAGGATCGCCAGTATGTCATAAAAATATTTAAAAATCAGCTATTTACTATTTTTCAATAGAATTCATAATTTCTTATAGCTAGGCTTATTTTAGAAGTCCTACATATGAATTTAGCGTGCATAAAACCTGTAGTCCTTCTAAGAACTGCCAAACAGAATCAGGATACTTTTTTGTTATATTGTTCTCGTAAAAATAGTCATGTGGAAAAACTCATTTTTTCTTCTATTTCAATTTGTTAGATGTTTCTATTTCATTTCTATTTACTGGATAAATCCATAAGTTTGTTGTTCGAAGGGGGAAGCTGTTTCGATATCTAAATCAAATAATAAGGCTACGACTTAGATTTAGCTTAGATCTTGTGAGTTATAGACTTATAGGCTGATAATTTATGATACTATATACCCATAAAAATAGTAACCAAAAATCGAACCAAAATTTTAGTTGTAGTGGATATAATCAGAAATTGTCTTACTTCTACATAGGTGTTCTCAAACTCTTGATACCGGATGATAATTTTTTGATCTTAAATAGCACTTTTAGTATACTCTGTACCTAATAAATAAATTCGATGCATATATCCAGCACACCCATGGGAGATTTGCAACATCTAATAATATTTGAGACCAATGCAATCTCTGTCAAAACTTTATTGATGTTGGCCCATTTTCAATTTTTAAACGATACATAGCCAAGGCATTAAATGGGTATAGATTTTGTTGTTTAATGCCTTGACGAGCCTTAATTAATCTAAGAACGGGTCACTTCTATCATTTTAATGATAAGTTGATATAGTTTATAAGGTGATTATATCCATTTATTAGGTACCTTGATTTGTCATATAAAGACTAGAATTTCCGTTTGATTTGTCATTAGTTACTGGTCTGGAGTATATTTTGCAACTCTTATTCAATTGTAAGATCTTCTCTTTTATTGTTATTATTATTCCTGTTTAATAGCATACTATTTAATTAATAAATTTTCTTACATGTCTTAAATAGCTGTAACCCTATTCGCTAACGCTTCTGAATTTACAGTTTTGGAAATGTTTGGGAACGAAGAGCCCCAAAAATATCAAACAAATACTCTTATATTAGCTCTGAATAATGTAAAATATATTAAATGTGGTTTGGAAATATATCAAAAACATTCTAACTCTTAGTTTTCTCATATTAATTTGACATCTAATATCCAAACTGAAGAGTTGAATACAATATTATCTAGGTTGTTTGGAAGGTGTTACTACTTCACAATACTACATTTGTTTTTGATTGTTGAACTAGGTTTACTTAATAGATGTCAAAACGATGGTCAGTCCCTGAAAGGAAAAGTACCGTTCAATACTCATATTCTACTTAATTAAAGGTCAGATTGTTTGAAGTTACTGACTAGGAGAAAATCACATTATTCTATTGCTTAACTTTATGAATGAATGGTTTAAATTTTGGAAAGAAAAGAAACTTGAAAAACTTCATTATTAGAAAGTCCTAAAGCGGTACAAGGTAGCTCCTTGAAACATTTTCAATGAATCCAGAACAGCAGTTGATATTGTTTTTGCTTCATTTTTGTAATGCTTGTTTCTGTTATTGCCTGGAATGTTGTGGAAAACAGATTCATCTTTCGTTGGGTATCTGAAAAAACTAGAGAACTACTATCATAGTTTAAAGGTAATATCTTATTTAAAGAATAATTAATAACAAGGGAAACGTTATCCACTTGGTTCGGAGAAATGGTCTGACATTAAAGACAATACAGATAAAATAGATAAAGAATACTTTGTGGACCACTTTTTCAATTTCATTTGGTTTTGAACTCTGAGGTATAAAAGATAAAGATAACTCGTAGTAGAAACTATGGTAACTTCAAGCTTATCAAGATTTTATTAATATCATGACAGTTAGCACTGAATCTATCTTGTTCTATATTAGGATTTCACAACCATATTTAGTTGGCTCATAATCTGAAAACAACAGTAAGTAATTATGTTATAAGTGCATTAATTATCAGGATAAGAATTATTTTTTAGATTGTATTCAGCAATGGTAATGCAAGTCTAACTATGACTATGGGGAACGTATGTCTAGTTGAAGTCATTATTCGTGGGGTGACAGCTGATTTAAAAAAATTGATAACAGCAAGGTTTCATTTTATTTTATCAACCTATTGTTTAGATCTGGTAGACTTTTAGATGGTAGCGTCCTCGTTATTCTGTGCGTTGACGTCAGTTTCTGGTTGCGAATGATAAATGCCAAGCTCATCGGATTATTATTTTTCTCAATGCAAATGAAGTTTCATCCGGCCCTTGATTGATTTACAATTAGTTCTGCAGATGTCACCTTCTATGTCTTTATCTGCATCTGGGGTTATAGATTAGAATCATCTAACTCGCTAGTGGCGTGTTTTGTTTTGTTTCATAATGACTTTTATTTACATCAATAATTATAAGGGTTTTATTTTAACTTTAAAAAAAAGAAATAACGGGTAAGAAAAAAATAATGATTAGCCACCACTTGATTATTATAGAGATGAGAAGAGATTTTCATATTGAAATAATTGATAGTAACGCCACACGGTGAAAATGACAGAGTGTACTAAGCATATCTATCCACACCACATTAACATTAAAGACCGTCTTGTTTAGCCTAATATGGTTAAAAATTAAACTCCAACAGCCGACTCTCTTACTGTGGCTCATATTATATGTTACATTTTGTTTGAGTCATGTCTATATCTCTAATGATTAACGCAAGTGGTCTTGTTTGGTCTATGACTATGGAAACTGGTCATAATTTCTATTAATCGTTGCTAGCTTACTTCGTGAAATGCAGTGTGTAAGAGTTTGGTCATTTTCATATACTTTTTGGTTATGATGATAGTTGCGTAATAGTGGATAATATTTACACTGTGTCAGGACTACTGGTTCATCATTTGTCTAGCATTTACAGGGTCATTTCTTAAGCACCGACAACATTTTAAATCATTTTACTTTGAGTATACGTACAACTTAGTACCTTACACAAATAAGTAAGTACTCCCGATAATAATTTACTCAGATTGTGCTTATAGTTGAATCCCGGATAGAACTATTATAAGAATAAGGATTTTTACGGATAAGTAAATAAGGATAAGATGCTTATTGAAGAAGTGCATATAACGGAGGCTATATCTTTCGCTATAGGTGTCACTGTTTTTCTTTTGTATGACAGTTGGGGAGGAGCAGCAGAAGAAAAGAAAAAAAAATACCTCAATTTGTCAATTTTGAGAAAATATTTCGTTTTGTCGAAAAAGAAGTTTTAGACAAAACAAAATCGACATTCGCATATTCAACGGTATGGGGTTCAAAGAGGCAAGGATGTAACTAATTCTCAATCAAAGGGTTGGCAAACAGTATGCTACGATAAAAACCCCTTCTAGACCATAGTAAAGGAACCGAATCACTATTAAATCAAATATGGTAAAACATTCCAATCGTGTTTTACCAGGTTGACAATTAAAACAAATGAATAAAACATACTACGAACAAAGGAAGATTTTCAACGCGTGTGGTTATTAATTTTTACAAATTATTAAAGGACTTAATATGCACTGTATGCTTATTAACTTTTACTTAACAATGTTCCAGTAATAAATGCAAAAAAATAATATTCAACATTGCTTAAAACACACAAACAAATTTTTGCACACTGCTCGTAACCCATGTTGATCTGGTTATTCTTAACCTAGCATAAGTATTTTTTGTTCTTTTATGTATCCTTCTATCCTTCTTTCCTTCATTGATGGCTATGTATGCTGTTTGATTCCGTTCTATTCCCCTAGACTCATCGCAAAACAAACTTTTGTTCTCTTTTTTCTTTGAGTTACAATTAGAGTCAATTTAAACAAAAGTATAACTAATTTTAAGGTGCAATTTAATTTTTTTCTTGTATATTTTTTTTTTTTATTTTTACGGGAAAAGTTTTTCTTTTCTTTATTTTAAAAATTAAATTAGGGGTGTATATATTATTGGAAGTATATATATTATTAAGTATTAAGAATTAAATTAAGTTAAGTTAAATTGAATTAAGTTAAGTTAAGTAAAAGTGGTGATAATCCTATTTATAATTATCATATTATCAATCTATCACACTTTGATATTAGAAACTATGAGAAGAAATGCAAAAATACCCATTAAATAAAAGGTAAAATTAGATCTGGATCTTTTTTTTAACTCTTTTGGGAGAAAAAAAAAAGATTCAATCATTAAATTTTTTTATTGTGGGTTCGTAGATATGTTATGAATGAGAATCAAGGGGATGAGTTGAGCATTGCAAGTTGGAAATGATATGATTAGCTATAATGGTAAATTGTTTAATGATCAGCATCTTGACCTGGGTTACAAGTTTCATAGTTTAAAACTTTAAGGATTTTCCAGATACCAAAAGAGATAACTGAACCTAAGATTGGACCAACCCAGTAAATCCAGTGATAATCTGGGAATGATCTGGAAGCAACACATGGACCGAAAGATCTGGCTGGATTTAAACCAGCACCAGTGTAATAAACACAGATCAAATGTCCTAAGAAAAGAGCAATACCAATGGCAAATGGAGCAATGAAAGTAGCTTTATGTTTTTCAACAGCCATTAATAAGACAGTTAAACATAAAATGGTAGTACCGAAAGCTTCAATGAAAACACCTTGAGATTTAGAAGCACCACCACCTAAAGAATTGGCGAAAGCAATTGGACCTGGAGTCATAGCAGAAGCGGCACCAGCAGCAGCCATACCAGCAACCATTTGAGCAAGAATCATAATAGCACCTCTAACTGGTGGAATAGCTTGAGCTAAAACTAAAGTTAAAGTAACAGCAGGGTTTAAGTTACCTCCAGAGACTCTGTAGAACATAAAGACAGCCATCATAACACCAAAACCGAAACCAAAAGAAATCATGATTAATTGTTGTGGTTCGGAACCATGACCAGCTTTTGGAATATTTGGATCTTGATTAGCAATTTGAGCAATGACAAAAGCGGTCCATAAAAAGATGAAAGTACCAAAGAATTCACCTAAGAAAGCGATTAAATGGTTTTTTAATGGAGAAGCAGTAATAGAGCTATCTAATTTTGGGTCGTAAGAGTCAACAGGTTGTTGAGCTTCGTGATCGATTTCAGCAGTCATTATTATTGTTATTATGTGATGAATTAAGGGGATATATTCTTATTTGAATGGGATAAGCGAATGAGTATTTAAATAAATATAAACCTGATTAAAGATCTTAAAAGAAGATTAAGAAAAAGAAGGGAAAGACTTCTTAAATAATAGAAAAAAATTTAAGGTTCATTGGGAAGATTTATATACTTTTCGTAAGCTATATGCTTCATCCACTTGAGCAGCAAAAAAAAAATCAATTAAAAAAAAAATCAAAAAAAAACAAATGCATTAAAAAATAATCACCCACTAAAAAATAAATACAAAAACAAAGTTAAATTTAGAAAATTATTTTGGATCATTAAAGTAAAAAAAAAAAAAAGAATAAATAATAAATAAGAAGCATTTATTGAGTCAATAGAACAAAATTTCACACCTCCTTTTAACATTGTTCGCGTTGCTTCAGATTTCAACAGCATATGCTCAACCCCAAGCTTACTTAGACTTCGGTAGTCAATGATGGGCGTAGTTTGGCGGAGACGAAATAAAATCTGAAAGATATGCTTTGGTTCGGAATCAGAACACATTGATTCCTAAAACTCTCACAGAAGATTGTCCTAGTAGTGCCTGTGCCTCTTCGGTACTTTTTTTTTTTTTTTTTTTTGTTTTATCTTCTTTTTTTTGGCGTTTGGTGTTTGAAAGTGGTTTTGCGTTTCTTATGTATTTGACATTTTTCCATTAGTGGTCATTGTTTCGATCTATAGACAAAATGTGTTGTTATTGTGCTGGATTTATGATACAAAGTGGTAAAAGCTGCATTTTTTCACTCTTTGGCAACAATAAGATGGAGAATATCTTACGCTTTTGGTTGGTGAACCGACCGATTATTGTTGACCTTTATTATTATAGTACGACTTATTGTTCTCAATTCTATTTGTCTATAATATATTGCAAGTTAAAATAGATCTTAATAGTAGTGTTTAATTTCGTGTGAAATTAAAATAAAGATAGTAGTAAGTTAGCACTGCCTGTAACCAATATGAAACGTACTTGAATAAAAACAAAAAGCGTGTTTCAACTAAGGTTGCAAATTATTTAAGTTTACGTGTTAGATTTTTCTTCTACTCATGCTTGTTTCTGAATATGAACCATCGTTCTTACTTCCATATGGCTAAGCCGTTATTCTTACTATAGCTGAAATCCAATTACATATTCAAGAAAAAAGCTTATTTAGCTTAATTTCGTTCATATTTTTTTTCTAACCTGAATTTTGCTGATGATATATTTTTTAACTTTTGCGTTCTTCAAACTTCTAATTCGTGTTTTCACCTTGGTTTATAATGTTGCATCTGTATTCGATGCTGTCTCTATTACGCCCCCATCAATTCCTACGAGAAAAAAGTTTTATATTTCCCCCGCCGCTGCTGCCGATGCTCCTCCTCCTGCTCCTGCTTATACTTCTGTTTCTACTGCTGGTTCAACAGCGACCAAAAAAAGAGTGAGCATCAAATGAAGGTGATGATCATGCTATTGGAGGTTTTTCTCATTTCTAACTGCTCTCAAATTTTGTGATAACTGTCACAAACCAGACCGAACAAAATAAATTATTTCTTTTTCATCAGTAAGCAAGTAATAAAACTCAAAATCAACCTGGTTCAAAACCATTCTTTTATTACCTCAGATACCAAGAACTATATAAGTTTCAAATCGGAAATAAAGTAAAGAAGAAAAGTTTTCTAGAGAACGAAATTACAATTGAAACTAAACCTAAAACTTGGATTAAGTTACAACGGCTTACTGTAATTAGGGTTCATAATATTTATTTCATAATTGTCACTAAAAATTATTTTTACCCCATTCTTTCCATTGATGTGGTCATGTCAATTATAAACTGTTCACGTTAAGCACCTCTTTCCTTTCCCCAATCCTTATCTCATCTCATCATCATAACCACCAATTCAACGTCATCATATTTTTATATATATGTATGTATGTACTGGCCCCTCTTTGAAAAAGATTGTTGTTCATTTTTTGATTCCTTTACTTCCCCTTGTCAACCACAAAATGTAAGTCATTTAAAAAATATACATGCTGAAAACCAAAACTCAAAAACAAAAATAATCTTCTTCGACTTCTACGCTACTCAATTGCCCCTACATGATATTTATCTGTTTACAATTTACACCCTCATCTCTTCTTTCATCTTTGATTTCTTTTATCTCGGTTTAACTTTTGCCTTTAAAGATGTTTTCTATACTTTCCTTTTACCTTTTATTTTTTATTTTTTATTTTTTATTTTTTATTTTTTATTTTCCTTTTTTTTTTTATAATTTTTAATTATTTTTTTTAGTTTTTTTTTTTATAATTTTTAATTATTTTTTTTAGTTTTTTTTTTTTTTATTGTCTTTTTTTTTTATGTTAATAATATTTTTATGCGAAATCAATTTATCCTATTTGGGATTTCGAGATGAGGTCTAATATGAAGACCAACTTTATAATAATAATAATCCTAATAGATCAGATAATTGGTCATTAGCCAACCACAAGACCCATGTAGTCATTTATAAAATAGTTAGTGTTGATATCCCTCTCAAGAGTAAAGGGAACCTCGGATAATTGTTACCCTGGTTTCCCGTCGCACGCATAGTCACCTTTTTTTTTTGCTGAGTCCACTTACTAAATCAGTAACAATTTAGTGGACAAACAACACTTTGTTTCTAAACACAGTTCCAAAATCGACGCATTGGGAACAGGCGCTGTTTTTTTTTTTAAGCTTACTGATTTAACAATGAGTCAAAGTTTAATTTTAATTTTTTTTTTTTGATTTGACTTATTTTTAGAAAGTTTTTTTTCTTTTTTGGACATTGAAAAATTTTCAAATTGTATTATTTTACACCCCATACACCCTAAATAGTAGGATATATAAATATATTTAAAAGGGATACGAAAAACTCTTACTTATACGCACACGCATATGTACTTCTTCTTGGAAGGACAGAATATCACATATATATGAATTTCACAGGCAAAAAGGTATTGGAGTCGATGGAGGAAGGGAACGAAATGAAGAATCGATGACATGGGTTAGGTTCCCTTAGACCAGGTACATTGCTCTTCTCAATATTTTTATTATGGAAGATCATCTTTCTGGTTGCCTTGTAACAACGTCAAATTAATAATTTGACTAATCTCTATTTTTTTTTACTTAACTTCACATGTACTTAATTAATTTGTTATCCTGATTTTTCTATCACTAATTAAATTTATTAATTTTATTTTTATATATCCCACCTCGCAAATCAAAATTCGATCCACCCCTCTAAATAAAAGGCGAGAAAAAGAAATTTTATTATTTTTTAGATCTGAGAAAAAGGGTATACAATCTGTTCTCTGCTAATGTATAGATCTTTCATCAGGAATAATATTCTTTAATCGCATATAATTGCTCATCGATCAAGATAGTGTAACGAATAGATATGTGGAAATATCAATTGGACCACAAAAAATTATTTATTCAATTCAATTGTGGTGAGTGATACGATTATATATTTTAAGGAGTGGAAAAGTTGTGTTTATTTCCTGGGATTGTGATTCAAATTTGTATTTTACGACGTCATCATATTCTTGTGATAAATGGTTGCCCATTTTATGTCAATTGCATAATCTACAGCCTTATTATTATTATTATTAAATCAATTCATTTTATCGTAGTTTTTTTATATTGTTAAATCATTATTAAGAAAAAGTTATCTACTTGAATTACTTATTTTTTTTTTAAATAAAATTTGAATCCCTGTATGAAAACATCTATACAATAAATGTATCAATTATCAACGGAATCAAACACAAATACCATAGAAAAAGGGGAAAGCAAAAAAAAGTAAAGAAAATCAATCAAGTAACTTAGATAGTAGAAGATTTTTGGAAATCTTTACCAGCATAGATAGCTTTATCACCTAATTCTTCTTCAATTCTTAAGATTTGATTTAATTTAGCTAATCTTTCGGATCTGGCTGGAGCACCTGTCTTAATTTGACCAGCTCTTAAACCAACAGATAAATCAGCAATGGTGGTATCTTCAGTTTCACCAGATCTATGGGAAACCATAACACCCCAACCAGCAGCATAAGAGTCGTTAGCAGCATTGATGGATTCGGTTAAAGTACCAATTTGATTAACCTTTAATAATAAAGCATTGGCAGCCTTCTTTTCAATGGCAGTCTTAATTCTAATTGGGTTAGTGACAGTTAAATCATCACCAACAATTTGAATCTTAGAACCAACTTTAGAGTAGAAATGAACCCAAGCATCCCAATCATCTTCAGCAAATGGATCTTCAATAGAAACAATTGGATATTCATTAATTAATTCTTCATATAAAGAAGCTAATTGTTCACCAGTTAACCATTTAGATTTATCAGAGTTTGGATTTTTGAAATCTAAATCATATTTGTTTTCTTCTTCCTTATAAAATTCAGATGAAGCAACATCTAAAGCAATACCAACTTGACCAGTGTAACCGGCTTTGGCAATAGAAGCAGTGATTAATTCTAAAGCTTCCTTTGGAGAACCAATATCTGGGGCAACACCACCTTCATCACCAACATTACCAGCGGATTGACCGTAAGTTTTTTTGGTGATAGCCTTTAAGTTATGGTAAACTTCAGAACCAATTCTTAAAGCTTCAGAGAAAGTTGGAGCATGAGTTGGGACAATCATGAATTCTTGGAAAGCTAAAGCACCACCAGCATGAGAACCACCATTTAAGACATTTTGGAAAGGAACTGGTAAAACAAATTTATCTTGTTTAGCACCAGAAATATCAGCAATATGTTTATATAATGGAACACCTTTTTCAGCAGCAGCAGCTTTAGCGGCAGCTAAGGAAACCCCTAAAATAGCATTGGCACCTAATTTAGATTTGTTTGGAGTACCATCTAAAGAGTTTAAGAATTCATCAACTTTAGTTTGATCTTTAACATCAATATCAGCTTTAACAAAAGCTGGAGCAATGATTTCATTAACATTGGCAACGGCTTTTAAGACACCTTTACCTAACCATTTTGATTTATCACCATCTCTTAATTCTAAAGCTTCATGAATACCAGTGGAAGCACCAGATGGAACAATGGCTCTGAATAAACCTTTACCAGTGTGTAAATCAACTTCAACAGTTGGATTACCTCTTGAATCGTAAACAGTACGAGCGAAAATTTTAGTGACGGCCATTATAATGATTTTATTATCTTAATATCAATTGAGTTATTAATTGAATTGATTAACAAAGAATAATAATAAAAGAAGAATAAGAAGAATTATAAATATAATTTTTTTTACAATTGGGAAATTTTAGGGAGTCTTTATAAAATTGGAATTGAAAAATTCCTTCGTCCAACAAACCACAATTTTTTTTGGTACTGACAGACCATCAGCAAACCAAACCATCAATAGTAAAATTAAGCGCTATTTGTTTTAAATTATGGGCGGCGGGAGTAACCACTAAATAAAAATTACAGTACTTAATTATTTTGGTCAAGGGCCACACCCTCCCGATGTGCCGAAAGAAATAAAAAAAATACACCATCACCAGATTAATTTTAAATGAACAAAACAATACAATACAATAATATTAGCCACGTCCATTGCCATCACCAACTCAAATCATATGATACTGTGTATGTGTATGTGTATGTATATGTGTATGTGTATGTATATGTGTATGTACTACCACTATATATTTATCTACAACATCTTATGATGTTTCATGGTTAAGTAAATTGTTGTTTCTTTGGCTATCTATCTTTGATTTCGTCACGTGCACTTGTACTATAGTATAAAATTCTCCTCCTTCTCTCTCCTTCTTCTCTGATCCCATCGCAATTATAGAGAACGTGATGGTAACGTAAATCATTATAACCAATCCACAATTTATCATTTTAAATACTCATTCAATAATTGAAACCATCTTCATATCCATTGATATAATCAGTAATCAATTGACTCATTCAATTGAATCAATTGAACTCACCTTTAATTACAAATTTTAACTGATTTATTTTAATTACCTTCGGGCTCGGACTTTTTACCTCCACCGGTCCTCGTCAATTATGTTCTTATGGCGACTTTTTTTCAAGCGGTCGTGCGATTTAGTCAAAAATTCATTAAACTTTTGACCTCCGGGAGAATATCACTACCTCGGAACTTTAATATGATTCCGGGACAATTCTTTGAATTTTAAGTCAAAAGCTTATATAATAACTTACGTAATAAATTGTCAATTTGTATTCAATATTTTTATTTTATATTTTTTTTGAGGATTTCTTGTGTGTGTTTACGTTAACAGTGCTACTATCAATAAAATAATACACTGAAATATTAACTATACAACTTCATTTTTAACCAATACATCAAAAAAGAGATGACTAGTAAAGATGGTAAGGGACTGATAACGCCGTCAAAGGGTTCTGCTGGTTCAAAAGGATCAGCTACCCCATCAGCATCAGACGCTAATAAATCAAATCAACCTAATAATGAAACTACAACTTCAACAGAAACTTCAGAATCCAATAAAGACTCCACAACACAATCTCAAACTCAAACACAACAAGCTTCACCGGATCCAAAAGCTAGTATAGAGAAATATAATCAGCTTAAAAATCAATTAACTCAAGAGATTCTTAAAAAGCAAGAATTAACAGCTAAATTATCGAATCTTGAAGATATAATATATGAAAAGGAAAATGAATACTTTGACGAAAGTATATATGGATCGATTGTGAAAGGATTTGAGAATTTCACTAAAGCCAGTGGAGGGGGACAAAATAATCAAAATTCAGGTGGAGGAGGAAGTAGTAGTGGAGGTGGTGGATCTTATGGAGGTAATAATAGTAATAAACGTCGTATGCAATATTCTGATGATGATCATATTTTCAGTTTAAGTTCAGTAAGTTTCATTAGGAATTTAATGAAAAAGCAAGGTATTTCCCTTAATGGCATAAATGGTATTCATTCATCAACCCCATCTTCAGCCGGTGGTAGTAATAATGGTAATGGAAGTAATTCAAATAGTTCAAATTCAAACAGTACTAGTAATTCGAAAGAAGATTTCGATGATTATGAAGATTCAATCGAACCTACCAATCATACTTCTAATTCAAACTCCAATAGTCATGGTAATAGTAATAGTTCTAATAATAACAGTAATAATAATGGAAGTTTTAATAATGGTTCATCCAAGAATGATAGAGAAGGTTCAAGTAATGTAAGTACTCCTAGTAGGAAACGTAAGGCTAGAATTTTAGATGATTAAAAACGAAAGATTAAATAAATAGTGTAATAATATAAGTTAACTTAAATGTATATTTACAAGGAATAATAAACAAATTCTATACAAGGTATTATTGTCTCTATTATGCAGATTATATGATTATGATTATGAAGATTCTGGGGTTGTTGGTTTCTTAGCTTTAATGAATTTGGCAGGTGGGGAATAATTATATATCCAAGGAGTATTAGCAGGATAATCAGTTGGAGTTCTCATTTCTAATGGGAATAAAACAGCTTTCTTTGGTTTTTCACTTGCTAATTCAAATAATTCAGGACTTGAAGTTTTTAAATCTTCCATAGCATTCACTATACTTTCATATTGTTTCTTTAATTGTGCGGTTCTCTTTTGTTCTCTTTGCCTCTTGAACACTTTCCAAGCATTCACAATAGTTCTATGTTTGATTAAATCTTCTTGACATAATCTTATTAATTTAGGTTGTTTCCTACTGGCTGATAATGCTGATAATTGATTCACAATCTTTTGAGTAGCGGCATTTATAGTGGTTGCAGTTCTTTTCCCACGACTGAATGTCTTGAATATAGTATTTGTTATTATATGACTATGGTTACCATTAGGTATCATTGATTTAAACATGATTATTTTGGTTATTAAGGTTGTCTTTTAACTAACTATCTTCAACTAATTCACACGATATTGAAAAATTTTTGTTGTTTGCCAAAAAAAAAAAATTGTGAGAAATTTAAGAATTGTATGTGACTGCATATAATGGTCTGTGCTCCCTTTTAGTCTCCATCATCAAGTTGCAACTTATCAAAATTCCAGGTATAATGGTTAAGGGATGATTAGGAAGACAACATCATAATCACTAGATAATTATTATCATTAGTATATCATTTAACATCAGAGGATTAACCATGTCTAACTCAGAAAAAGGGACCAGTTCGGAAAAGGAAAGAGAAGCTGAATCAGAAAGAAAACCAGAATATGATACTACAGCCCCACCACCTGCTTATGAAGAAATAGCAACCGATTATAATCGTCATCAACAAGCCATACCACCACCTCAACAACAACAATATCATCTGTTCCCTCCTAATTCAGGTTCATCATATGCCCCTCCACCAGTTCAGAATACTCAAGTAGGCTACAATTATAACCCACCTCCACAAACATATAATGATCCCTTACAAGATCCAAATGTATATAGAGTACCGGCTGATATAGTCAATATAACTCAAACCATGCCTCATTATCTAAACCCATCCTATCAACAATATCTTGAACGAGATCAACAACGGATTCAACAGGGTAATTTCCCAAATCCTAATGGACCTTTGAATACTGGTACTCAAAATCCAACTCGTAAAGGTGGTAGTGGATTCTTTCCCGGTAAGAGTGGTGTAACTTATAATAATGCTGCTAATAAGTGAAGACAAAGAGAAAGAGGAGAAGATTCTATTCTGATTGATTTATTGTTTAGATATATTTATTGATTACCTATATAATATATATATAGTTCAGCAAAAACAAAAAAAAAAGTTTAAGTCTATAAATCATAACCAAGTTTTGTCATAATTGGAAGATATTGTAGTAGTTATAAGAGTAAGCTAATAAGAATAAGGCTTAACCGAAGGCATTTTCACCATTATAAGTCCAACCACCAAATTGTTTTTGTACACTTTCAGTCAAGAAATCATCCACAACTGAATCTTGAGGTTTCTCTTTTGTAAATTCTTGATCGAAATTTGAAGTATCTAATAAACTTTCCACATTTGGTTTGAAAGGAGGTAAATAACTTTTATTTAATAATTTTTGCCAATCGATATCCTTGAAGAAACGATGATTTCTAATCTTTTCAGCATCGTTTAATCTTAATTTTGGATCCTTTTGTAATAATTGAATTAATAAATCTTGAGCATCTGAACCTTCTAAAAATGATGGGAATTTTAAGGGATTTTGTAAAATCTTTCTATACATGGTATTGGTATCATCATCATAAAATGGTGGTAATCCAGTTAACATTTCATATAATAATGTACCTAAAGTCCACCAATCCACACTTCTGGTATATCCTTGATTTAATAATAATTCAGGAGCTAAATATTCTGGAGTTCCACAGAAAGTTGAAGTTTTATCTTCATTACTCATATTCAATTTACATAAACCAAAATCACATAATGCAATATGCCCTTGATAATCTAATAAGATATTTTCGGGTTTTAAATCACGATAAATCACATTTAAATCATGTAAACTTTCTAAAGCCGTTAATAATTCGGCAATGTAAAATCTTGATCTATCCATAGAAAATTTCCCTTCTCTTTGTAAATGATAAAATAATTCACCCCCATTTATAAATGATAATACAAGATATAATTTCTCAGCTGATTGGAAAGAGAATTTCAATGGGACAATGAATGGATTATTAATTCTGGCTAACACGGTTCTTTCTGCTAAAGTATGAGTAACTTCCATTCTTGATACAATATGTTGTTTTCTTAATGTTTTCAAAGCATAAATTTGTTTAGTATCCTTTTTAACCACTTGCATAACTTTCCCAAATGAACCTTTACCAATAACTTTCAATAAATCAAAATCTTCAATCGAAAGATGAGTCTTTAAGATTGGTTTGAATTCAATTGTAAGCATGATTTCTCCCATTTCTTTAGTAAGATTATGACCCAAGTTGAAGTTGGCAAATTTAAGATATTCATGATTCATAAGACGAATTTGTTTAGTATGATATTTTAAATTTAAAGGTAATTTAATGGTACCAATTAATAAATCTCCAATATTAGTTGAATTTACCACAGCATCTTTTGGAGATGATAATTTATAATTTGTAAATAAATGCTTTTTAGATTCCTTTTCTGATTCTGGGATAAGTGAATTAGGTAATCTTATGAAAAGATTCAAATTAAGGAAGTTAGAAGCAGTGTTACCGTTAACTTGTTGAGATGATGAATTCAGAGGTGATTGTGATGATTGATTTTGTGATTGATTAGATGATGATGATGATGATGATGATTTGGTAACATCGAATGAAACAACTTGATTCCAAGTCGATTGATTAACAGACCCCTTTTGAGGTTCAATAAGGATAACATTATTTTCGAATTCAATAGTTAAATATAATAAAGATTTCACTAAATTTTCAGATGGAATGGTTATAATAGAAGGTAAGAAATTAGTGGCAATTCCACCTGATAAATATTCACCTCCAGTATCATTATTGGTACCATTACTGATTGAATCAGAAGAAGAATCAGTAACATTTCCATTAAGATTTGGATTTGGACTGGTATCAATATCATTGGCAGTGGATAAAGTGGATAAATTCTTTAATAATTGTTGACTTATAGCCGAATTATTTGAATTTATAGCTAAAGCATGTAAGATTCTTTTATTATTATTGATTTGAATAGGTAATTGAATATTATTTGAATTATAAATCTTAACAGTTAATAACCCTGGATTTGAAGTAATGGTTGTATTTGATAATTCCAGAATATCAGATGAAGAAATAACGCTATCAGAATTGTTAATGGCAGTTGAAGATCCATTTTTACTACTATGAACACTTTTAGTAGAAGAAGCGCCGTTATTCACTGATAAATGATTTGAATCATGAGTACTGTTATTATTGTTATGACTTGAATGAGTAGTTGAAGTAGAAGACGTGGTTGAATGTTGATCAATCGATAATTTCAGAACATTATCAGTTAAATTATTAACTGAAATAGTTCTTCTTGAATCGATTGAATTTCGAGGTGAAGAATTTGAAGTTGAAGAAGTTGAGAATTCGGGAGATTCTGATTTCTCATGAGTTGTAGTATTAGTTGAAGATGAAGATGATGTGGGAGTAGATGATCCGAATTTAAATTTGTTTTTAAATCTTAACATGATCGATGATAATTAAATGCTGAAGGCAAGGATGACAGTAGTAAAGTAAAAGTGGTATGATGAGGAAAGTTGAAAAGATAGAAGTGAAGATAGCAATTGAATATAGGATATAAGTATGGAAGGATACGGATGATTGTGATTCAAAAGGGTTAGCAATTGATAAATGGTGTTGACGTTGGCGTTGGAGAGATTGATTTCAAATTATTGTTAGGAGTTTCTTTTTTTTTGGTAGTGGTGATTTCCGAATTTTTATTTTGTTTGGGGGGGGCTAACTGTAAAGGAAATTATAAGTACCCGCAAAAGTTTAGGGGTAACACTGAGAGTTAGCGGAGAGAGGAAGGGAGGAGTAAGCTTTTAAAGGGTCTTTTAAGAAATATTAGATAATATATTCAGTATAACTCAATCAATTTATATAGTTTTCTTACGTTGTTTCAGAATCATCTTAAATTCATCTCTGTTAATTTAACGCCTTTAATCACCGATGGATGAATTTGTTTGTATTTTACCTTTATTTAGTGATGAAATTTTGTGCTGATGGTGAATGACGAGTTTTTTGTTTACCGATGTTGGCGGATAAGTATTGCGGTATGGAGTTAATATGCACAAAAACAATTTAAACATAGCCGCTATTTTGTCACTAATTTTTGATAGATTTTACCCCTAATTAAAAAAGATGATTATACAAATTTATTTGCTTATTATTATTACTAACGTTGATATGACAATTCGTTATATGTTATTGATGAGTATTATGTATTAGGGGCTTTTTGTTTGTTTTCATTTCGGTTAATTTAATCGAGTGTTTAGCTAAATAATATTACCGACTCCATTTAGTCTTCCTTATCCGAGTATATAGATTTATGATGTAATTACTGTACTAAAATGAAAGCTTATCATAGACTGCTAAATAGAGTATTCATATCTATCCTGATATATATTATTACTATCAGAAGATTTACAGTCTCCACAAAATTGAGTTACAGTCAAATTTAAATTGTAAGATACCAAGCAAAAAATTGCATAGAGCCGTTCCAGTACCTCTTTCGATTTTATAGTTATAATTTATATTTACCATTACTAGTAAATTTTACACGTGTGATATGTATGGAATGAATGCAAAGGTTATCTTCTTATCATCGCTTCAAAGATTTTAATTCACCTCTTACTAAGTAACGATGTAAACTAAGTTAGTAACAGTCTCCTCCTCAGTTTTGGTTTTAAGGCAAATTCTGCTTTTGGGGGCGGATTTTTTTAATGCAAGTAATATATATATATATGTTAGTTTAAATATAGGATAAGGATAGGTTTTCTATCTCTATAAACTATAAATTCAACATTAATCCTTCTAATTTGTAATTATAATTAATTATTATATATATTACTTTGAAAGGTAATTGACTAAAATGGCTACAACTTCAGGTGTACCAACCACCATAACTCCTTCATTTTCAACGGTATCATATCTAACTACTATAACTTTATCACCTGCTACTACACTTCATACTAAATGTGGGAAATTTAAATATGATACAACATTATTAAATAATCAAGTATATGCTTGTTTCAGCTATTCAAATGGTTATGGTGGAGGAGTTGGTACGATTAATTATGGTCCTCAAGTTCAAGTAGTGTTAGCAAAGACTTCAAGTGCTATCCAAATATTAAAGAAACATATAGTAGTTGTATTATTCTTAGTTCAATTTTTATTATTAATTGTGTTATTATAAGCAAATTCAATTCATATAAATCAATTCAATTATAATTGGCTTATGAAATAAGATAATTTTAAAAAGACGCAAAAAATCAAGGAGGGAATAGTGTCACAATATTGTCTCTCTTTAGCCGTAGGGAGAAGAGGAAAGGAGGTTGGAATTAAAAAGTTTATTTTGACGTCATATTCAATTTCAGTTGTTCATTTGTTAGACTTCTTGTATTACTTAATATTCTTCATTGTTTTAATATATATCTTATAGTATTCTGTTGGTAATATGCTTTTATATGTACTGTTCCGTCATCATTCTATATCGTATTATAGAATGTTGGTGGTAATTTGCGTATATATACGATGTACAAAAATCATATTTTTGATTAAACCCTTGTTTAATCATCATGACTATTTCATCCCTTCTGTACATCAATCGAACCATTTAATTATGATTATGAATTAGTCAAATATATATATATGTAAGTTTGGATCCATGTAGACTGAATTAAATTGAATTGACAGAAACTACCCTCATTATGGAATCTTTAAGGGTAGCGACAGTATTCACAACCATTACATTACAACCAAGTTTAACTCTAAATATAACTTGTGGAACTCATATTATTCATTCAACTTTATTAAATGATGAACAATACTATTGTTCAACCTCTGGTCTTGATGTAGGTTGGTCAATATCAACTTTATCCATCCTTGGTGCTGAATATGATCAACCTTCAAGTCAGGCCATAACTTTGTTCCACAATAATAATAAAATCATGTTGAATTTCATATTGATGATTATCGGTATCAATGTTTCATTGGTTTTATTCATGTTTTGAATGTTAGTCACACGTTCATTATCTACACCTTGATCCATTTCAATGATAGATAGAATGACTTCACCTTAACTTGAATCAACTTTAATAACATGTTGCCAAATGTCAATTTTATATTGCGGTGTGGATGTTCATGCTAGTGTATAACAAAAAGTGAGTTTATTTTTTTTTTTCAAATAAATAAACAAACAACAACTTTTACTATTACACATTATCAAATTATACCAAATATATATCATCATTGTTGGTCTAATCAGTCATGTCGATAATATCAAAAGATTTACTACATCCATTCAATACTACTGAAGTGATTCATAATAAGGAAAACAATGAAAGTTTCATCTTTGAAGATAACGCGTTTGATAATCATAAACAACCACAACAAATACAATTCAATGATATCAAACTAGAGAATAATAAAGATATAGATGATCTGAATAGAATCACTTCTAAGAGAGGTCCTTCTACGCCTTTGACTCCTTCGTTACAACAACAGAATATCGTACGGAGAAGAATCATAACTCAATCTCCGATAAAATCAAATTCAAGATCAAATACTGATAATCATTCAAATGCTGTTAAATATCAATTGATAGATTCAAAACTTGAAAATTGGCAATTGCATAAAGCTTTGACTAAAACTAAAGAAACCATCAAGTTCTTACAATTGGAACAAGAGTTTTCTGAATAAAACTTATCATCTATTGCATATCCTTTCATTTCAATTCATTCTGCATATTCATTTCTTATAGATTTATATATATACATATAATACATATAAATTTTGTCTAATAACTTCTGGTGGCTTTGAAATAGTCCTTTAATTTATCATCATCAGCATCGAAATATTTCCCATCTCTAGCATTATTCCAGTCATTATGTCTTCTCGCCATTAATAATCGTTCATCTTCTCTACTTCCTCTTTGGGCTAAATCTTCATTCAACCATTGTAAAGCTAATGGATGTAATGATTCCGCCATTGGGATTTTGACTCTCTTAGCAGGTCTGGTATCAACTTCCACTGTATCTATATTCGAACTAAATTCAATATCTTCCATATTAATATCATCAACTTTTAATCCAGCATTTACATGAATTAATCTATCACACCAATTCTTACCTAATCCATCAAAGATATGAGTTGCATAAATCACACAACAATTTCTAGTTTTACTTTCTCTTTTTAAAAACGATAATAATTTCAGTCTAACCACCACATCTAAATCTATAGTAACTTCATCTAATAATAATAATTTCCAAGGTTTAATTAATCCCATGGCAATTTGAACTCTTCTTCTTTCTCCATCACTGATTTTTGACATCGACCATTGAGGATCAATATCTAAGATTTCAATCAATTCATTTCTTCTTTCCACAAATGTCTCTCCTCCAATACTTGATATTAATAAACTTACCGGTATATCTCTTTTAACCACTGAATTGGCGGCCCATTCGGTACCTAAATAAGTAATATAATTATTAATATCACTATTATGTTGTTCCATACGATTAATAGAGAATTCAAAAGGATCAAACCCACCAATCTTTAATGATCCTTTCCCAATTAAAGTCTTACCAGCCAATATCCTTAACAAAGTCGATTTACCAGCTCCATTTGGTCCAATGATTAAATTGGTGGTCCCCCATGATATCTTAAGATTGAATTGATGTAATGCGACTTTCGAAGTTCCTGGAAATATATAATCCAAGTCTCCAAGTTCAATGGCTAAGGATGTATCGTTGAAATGATCTTGTAATGTCATAGTTGTGTGCTGTCTATGGGGTCTCTATGAATGGGATGTTGGTGTTAAGATGAAAAGTGATGATTGATAATGTCTGCCTACTTTTTTTTCACTTTAAGTTTCTTTTTCGGTGAGATTGCAAAAAATGATCAAAAATGACATATCTACACAGTGTGCTGTTCTATTGTTTCTGTCTTTTCATTAAAATTACATATAAATATACATAGAAGTTGGTCTCTCTTAGACTTCGGCAACCCAGGTTAAGATATCTTCCTTAGCAGGAACATTTTCAATGGTTTCAAATAACTGTTTGATTTCATCTAAAATTTCTGATGTGGAGGTTTGTGTGGCGATAAACTTTCTGAAATATGTTTTCAATAACCCCTTGTATTCATAGAATAACCATTGATTGTCTACTTTAGTGAATAACTCGTTATCTTTGTCTGAGACTTCTTCCTTTTCTTTTTCTTCTGCTTCTTCTTTCTCTTCTCCTTCTTCGTTTTCTCTTTCCATATCTTCATCTTGATCTTTTTCTTCCTTTTGTTCAGGTAATTCTTTGATTATTTCAACCTTTTGTGCATCTTCAAGTTCTAATGTCTTAGATAATTCATTCAAATTATTAACAATCAATTTGAATAATTGTACAATTAATAATTTAAATTGATCACCATTGGTATAATTCAATGATGATAAAATTCTATTAATTGATTCCATACATGATACATTATCAATAATTAAATTAGTACCAAGATTCAAACATTTATCTAATAAATAATTAGGTAAAAGAATTTGGAATTCAATTAAATATTCCAAAATTAAGAATACAACTTGAGGTTGATTAATCCAAATTCGGAAAATCGATTCAATAATCCAATTTTGACGATCATTTAATTGTTCAGAAGATAATTCCACTTTCTTAAATTCAATTTCATTTTGATCTTTGGCATATTCTATCTTTTCATAATTCCCACTCAAGAACTTTAATTTATTAATATCACGATCTAAAATACTAACCACTGAATAGATTGATCTAGATCCAATGAAAGCATAAGTTTGGAAAAAAAGATTAATTAAAAATCTTTCAGCATTAATCTCTGGAAATGATTCCTTAGCAGTGGTTAATACTTCTTCATATAATTCTTCAAATTCATTATTTGGTTTATAATGAGCCATTATAAAATCATATACTTTTTGACTGATTTCACCCAATGGTAAATCAGAATGATAGAAATTATAAAACATTTCTTCTTGAGCTCCGACTATATTTTTTAATTTTAATTCTTGTTTCTTTTCAGTTAATAAATCTTCTAAAACATTCTGAACTTCTTCTTTGCCGCCGTATAATTCAGTATCATAATCAAGGATAAATTTCAGTTCATTTTCAAATAATGCTATATTCAAATATTGTTCAAATTCTTTGATATTTTCAATTTCGGAAGTTTCAGGATTCATAGTGATGAAACTTTCTGAAATACGTTCTTTATTTGATAATCTGATTTCTTTAGCAATTAAATTCTTAATGAAATTCTTTTTTGGATGATATTTTACATTCTTTAAACTTTTTGAATCTTGAACCCATTCATCCCATTTCCAACTAAAATCAAAATTAGAAATTTGAGTTGTCATCCAATCCATAAATCTAATCTTTAATTCATAATCTAAAGTTTCTAAATTATTATAGAATAATCTAATAGCTCTACCGAAAACTGGAGCAAAAGATTCAGGATTTTCTTTACAACATGAAATTAAAACCGTATAATAGTAAATCTCTTTATGTAATGGAGTAGGTAATTGGAAAATCATAGTAAGAATACTTTCCACCGCCACATCTTCAACTTTCCAAGTTGATAATGGAGTTTCATTTTCACCTGATACATTATCCTTATGAATTTCAGTTAAAGTATCAATAGATGAACCTGGAGGAGCAAATAAATTCTTATTATAGAATAAATCTAAAATTGATAATTGAGTAGATGCTTCATTTTTATTGAACGATAAATTGGTTAAGATATCTGAACTAATATCTTTAAAGAATAAACCTTGGAATGATTCAATGGATGGAACAGTTTCAAATTCAGTAGTTAAATTATAAACTTGAAATATAATTCTTGGATTATCATACCATAATTTATCAATAGAACCATGAGGTTTATACTTTGATAAGATTGAAGGTTCTGGGATTTTGAATTGAGGTAATTTATGTTGAATCAATTCATTTGAAATCTCATTATTAGATAAACTTTCTTGTATTATTGGATCTAATAATTCTAAGAAATTAATGAATAAATCATTAGACCAATTTTGAGCTTGTAATTCTAAGATGGCTGGTAAAATCAATTCAATTAGTTTTTTTGGTTGATAAGGTAATTCATAATTATTTAATTTGGAATCAAATGGTTGAATTAAACTATTAGATTTATGTTCAACTATTTTAAAAGATTTAGCTAAGTCAACTAATTCAGTATCAATCAAGGCAATTAATTTTTCTTGAGAATTTTCAGATTCATTAGATAATATATATGGAATTGAAATCAATACATTATAATATATTTCTTGAGCTATACCACTTCTTGTTTCTGGAGTTAAATCTTGTAAATCGATTGATAATTGTAAGAATTGTTTAAAGATATTTATGATGGAATAATTTTCAATAATTGGAGATAAAGTAGCTAAGAACTTTAAGATTGACTTGATATTGTTGAAAACACCAGCATTTTCTTCTAATTCATCACTAGCTTTATTGATAGTGGTAAGAGCAAGTTCTTTCTTTTCACCATTGGTATCGACATCTTCAGATTGTTTAGATGCATTCCTGATACTATCTAATAATTCTTGAGCCTTAGCATGAAGGAATTCAATGACATACTTTGCAACCACAAAATTCTTTGCATTACAGATTAAGATTAAATTACTGAAAGCATTAATCTTTTGAGGTTGTTCAATGATGATAGCATAAATAGTTGATAATACAGAGTTTCTTAATTCTTCAATCTTTTCAAACTCAGCAACTATAGGATTGGAAATATAAGATACATCATCAATTTGATTAATTATATTTGAATTTTCACCAATCTTTCTAATATCTTTACAAACATTATTGATTAACTCTTTAATTGGATCGCTACGTTGTCTTTTTTCTTCAGATTCAAATTGATCTTGAGGATGTTGGAAATTATCTTCTTCAAACTCATCTCTGGATCTCTTGACCGGTTGATTGAACTCCATTTTGATTAATTCTTCAATGATTTAAATCAATATTATCTATACCTATTTCTTCAACAGTTTGAAAAAATTTCATGGCTGCCTTTTTTTACCATTTTGTGTGTAGGATGTAGTATGCAGGAAATTTGTCATACTAAATATGGTTTAACTTTTATATATATAAATGTTAATACGTAACGATGAATATGTTCATAAGTATTACTATCAATGGTAGATGTTAAAGAAATTCTTAAGTCTAAGAGGTTAGTCTTGGATGGTGCGTTAGGGACAGAGTTGGAAAGACTTATCCCCAAAGATGATGAAAATCAACCCCGACGCAATTCATTATGGTCAGGATATGTATTGCTTAAACAACCAGAATTGGTTGAACAAGTTCATCAAAGTTATTTACAAGAATCACAGGTTGATTTATTGATAACTTCAACATATCAAACATCATATATGAGTTTAAAAATCTTTGCTAAATTAAGTGATGAAGAGATAATTCAATTATGGGATAAATCAATTACGGTGATTGAATCGGCTATTGAAAAGAGTGGGATAGAGAAACCAATTTATATAATTGGATCGATTGGACCTTATGCATCCTATTTATGTGATGGATCTGAATATACGGGTGATTATAAACAAGTTCAACCTAAGGAATTGATTAAATATCATCAACCATTATATGAATATTTTATAAATCATAGCAAAGTTGATATTATTGGATTTGAAACTATACCAAATTTTGTTGAATTAGAAAGTATATTTGAATTAATTATCATTAATCCTAATCCTAAGAAATTATTTTATATTAGTTTTAATTTTAATAATGATAATGAATTAGTTGATGGATCTTTAATTGAAACAGTGATCTTATATATAATCCATCAATTAAAATTAAATCAATCCTTATTAACTAATTTCTTAGGAATTGGATTGAATTGTATTGATTATAGAAAGATCACATCGATCATAACTAAGATCAATCTGATTATCTCATTACATGGAGATCAAATTAATGATTTGAATTTGATAATTTATCCCAATTTAGGGTTTGAATATAGTGATGAGACTGATGATTATAGAGTTAACAAGCAAGAAACACATTGGATAAAGAGTATAAAAGAATGGTTACAGTTTTCAAATGTACGGATCATAGGTGGTTGTTGTAGTACTGATCCATATGATATTCAGCAGATACGTGAATTGGTTGATATGAATCATACTTAAGTAGATGACTATACTACTTGTATGTATATATATATATATTATCAATCAGTATGATGCCGCTGATATCGGCATTTCTTTATCACATGATTCTGTCCATAGAGTCAGAAATGGGATGAGAGATTTTGACTCTTGCAAATGAAAAAGTAACGCGTTCGTCTTCGTCTTCTCATCAGAACTACGGGATCTATTTCAGATTTAGAGTTTTTCACTTTATGTTTATTGGTTTAGTTTAGTATAATCTTAATTCAATTCTAACTGGTTGATCTTTTCCAACTTGTAGTAAGACAGTACCACCGTGTCTTTGTCTAAGTGTACCTAGAAATAATCAGACATGGTATAGACAAAATACTAAACAGTTACTACTTATGATTGATACTTACCGGAACTTAACCTCCATACGTCAACCCCAAGTTTAAACGAATTATAATTATATGCCGTAGGGTATATGTCTATTCCTCGAGAACTTTTGATTCGGCTTCTTCTTCTTCAACTTCTTCTGCTTCCTTTAACCATATGGTAAAATTTCTCTCTAATAAACTTTGACTCTGTCGCTTTTTTTGACTCGTAAAAAAAGGCCATGGCTATTTACAGTTACAATTTTTTATAAACAGATAAATCTAAATCTAAATCCAAAATTTTTCTTTTAAAATATATATTTTTCATCTTTCTTTCTTTCTTGTGGTTCAATATCTTGTCCTTCATTCCTTTACTGTTTCTTCATCTGAATACCTTCTTCATTCAGTGATCAAATCCCTTATCTAAAGCCCTATCTTTTATTTTTGGTGCTTTTTTGGCTGCGTAACGGTTGTGCTTTTTTTGGTTTTTGTACGAGATAAAGATTTTATAGACAAAGATGATTCAAGCTAGAACTGCTTTATTAAGATCTTCTAGATCATCCCTTCATAGATTTGTCAATGTCACTTCCACTGCTACCACTAAGTTTGCTGCTTATCAAACTTCTCGTGTGTCATTAACTTCATTCTCCAGATCTTTAGCTACTAAAGCTGATACTTCATCATCAAATTATGCTAAAGTTTTCAATCCAAATAGTGAAAAAGTTGGTCTTGATAATTTAGATACTTTTGCAAGAAGACATATTGGTCCAACTCCTGCTAATGTTGAAAAAATGTTAAAAACTTTAGGTTATAATGATTTAAATGAATTCTTAGCTCAAGCTATTCCTGAACATATCTTATTTAAAAGAAAATTAAAAATTCAACCTCAACAAGGTTTTACTGAATCAGAAATGTTAGATCATTTACATGAAATTGCTAATAAAAATAAAATCGTTAAATCTTTTATTGGTAAAGGTTATGCTGGTACAAAATTACCTCCTGTCATTCAAAGAAATTTATTAGAATCTCCAGAATGGTATACTTCTTATACTCCTTATCAACCAGAAATCAGTCAAGGTAGATTAGAATCTTTATTAAACTATCAAACCGTCATCACTTCATTAACTGGTTTACCAATGGCTAACGCTTCCTTATTAGATGAAGGTACTGCTGCTGGTGAAGCCATGGCCATGTCATATCATAATTTAAAAGGTAAAAAATCAATTTATGTGGTTGATTCAAACTTACATCCTCAAACTTTAGATGTTATTAAATCAAGAGCTGAAAATATTAGTGTTCAAATTGTTGAATTACCTTTATCGACTGATGCAGGTGTTGAACAATTAAAATCAATCTTAAAGGATGTTTGTGGGGCTTTAGTTCAATATCCTGGAACTGATGGTTCAATTCATAATTATAAACAAATTGGTGAATTAGTTCACTCTAATAAAGGTTTATTCGCTATGGCAACTGATTTATTAGCTTTAACTTTAATTAAGCCACCTTCAGATTTTGGAGCTGATATTGCCTTAGGTACTTCTCAAAGATTTGGAGTTCCATTTGGTTATGGTGGACCTCATGCTGCATTCTTTTCTACTTCAATGAAATATTCTAGAAAAATCCCAGGTAGAATTGTTGGTTTATCAAAAGATAGATTAGGTAAACCAGCTTTAAGATTAGCTTTACAAACTAGAGAACAACATATTAAAAGAGAAAAGGCCACTTCAAACATTTGTACTGCTCAAGCTTTATTAGCTAATATTTCTGCTATGTATGCTGTTTATCATGGTCCAGAAGGATTAAAAAACATTGCTAAAAGAGTTTATGGTTTCACTACTTTATTAGCTAATCAAATTCAATCTAATTCAACTCATCAAATCTTAAATGATAAATGGTTTGATACTTTAACTATTCAATTAAATCAAGTTTCAGCAGATGAAGTTTTATTAAAAGCTTTAAATAAACATAATATTAATTTATTTAAAGTTAATGAATCAACTGTTTCCGTCACTTTGGATGAAACTGTTGAAACTAAAGATTTAATTGCTTTAATTGATACTTTCACTGGTAAATCATTTGATATTGCTTCCATTAATGATACTTTACCATCATTACCTACTGAATTATTAAGAACTGATCAAATCTTAACTAATGAAGTTTTCAATACTCATCATTCTGAAACTGCTTTATTAAGATATTTACATCTTTTACAATCCAAAGATTTATCATTAGCAAATTCAATGATTCCATTAGGTTCATGTACTATGAAATTAAATGCTACTGTTGAAATGCAAACTTTATCAATTCCAGGATTTAACTCCATTCATCCATTTGCTCCAATTGATCAAGCTCAAGGTTATAAACAATTAGTGGATGAATTTGAAAAAGATCTTAATGATATCACTGGTTTTGATGCTACTACTTCTATGCCAAATTCAGGAGCTCAAGGTGAATATACTGGTTTATCCTTAATTAGACAATATCATAAATCAAGAGGTGATTATGAAAAGAGAAATATTTGTCTTATTCCAGTTTCTGCTCATGGTACAAATCCAGCTTCTGCTGCTATGTGTGGTTTAAAAGTTGTTCCAGTAAAATGTCTTAGTGATGGATCTATTGATTTAGTTGATTTACAAGAAAAAGCTGAACAATATGCTGAAAATCTTTGTTCAATTATGATTACTTATCCATCTACTTATGGTTTATTTGAACCTGGTGTCAAAAAAGCTATTGAATTAGTTCATAAGAATGGTGGTTTAGTTTACTTAGATGGTGCTAATATGAATGCTCAAGTTGGTTTAACTTCTCCAGGTGATTTAGGGGCTGATGTTTGTCATTTAAATATTCATAAAACTTTCGCCTTAAGTCATGGTGGTGGTGGTCCAGGTCAAGCACCAGTTTGTGTTAAAGAACATTTAAAACCATTCTTACCATCTCATCATTTCGTTCAAACTCCTCATTCTACCAATGAATCCATCAAATCAGTTAATTCTGCTCCTTATGGTTCTGCATCTGTTATCCCAGTTTCATATTCTTATATTAAGATGTTAGGTGCCGATGCTTTACCTTATGTTTCATCCATTGCTATTTTAAATGCTAATTATATGTTAACCAGATTAAAGGAATATTATCCTATTTTGTTTATTGATTCTAATTCTGAGGGTTTAAAACATTGTGCTCATGAATTTATTTTAGATTTAAGAGATTTTAAAGCCATTGGAATTGAGGCTATTGATGTGGCTAAAAGATTACAAGATTATGGATTCCATGCTCCAACCATGTCATTCCCAGTTGCTGGAACTTTAATGATTGAACCAACTGAATCTGAAAACTTAGAAGAATTAGATAGATTTGTTGATTCTTTGATTGCCATAAGACAAGAAATTGAAGCCTTTGGTAAAGGTGATTCATTAGGTAATGTATTAAAGAATGCTCCTCATTCATTAGAAGATATTATTTCAACTTCTCAAAGTGATTGGGAAACCAGAGGTTATACCAGAGAACAAGCTGCTTACCCATTACCATTCTTAAAGACTTCTAAATGTTGGCCAACCGTATCTAGATTAGATGATACTTATGGTGATATGAATTTGATTTGTACTTGTCCATCTGTTGAAGAAGTTGCTGCTGATCAAAACTAGAAATAGAGATACCCTAATAGTATCTGTATGTTTCAATTCTGTATAGTATAGTTTTATTTAATTACATAAAAATGTATATAATCTAATCACAAATAAATAATAATAATAACGAAATTTTGCAATCATTGTAATTTCCTATAGTGTGTGAACTCCCTCGTCCCTGGCTATCTTGTAAGGAGTCCGGAAATTTTCCACTCCCGTAAATTAACATCTTTTTTTTTTAAGTTATAAGGAGACAAAAATTTATGGTGACATGAAGATCTTTTTCTGACAAAATTATCATCACCAAATCGATTCAACAATCATCAACAATCCATCTTACAAATCATCAATTACAGAAGGTTCAATTCTTGTGGTAATTCTTTCGATATATTCTAGGTAAGAGTTGATTGGGAAGAATTAGTGATAAAGATTGATTGATTGATTGTTCTCAGTAGACTGTCTATTGTTGTATTACCCCATTTTTAATTTGTAACCCAAAAGAAAAAACTGGAAGCAAAAATCACAAAAGTCAGACACCAAAATCATATTTCATATTCAATCTCATTCATCTTGTATAAGTCAAAGTCATACCTCATAGGAAGTAAATGGAGTGGTATACTAATAGACCATCTAAAAGGAACAATTCAATATCAGCTTCATCATATTCCCATTCACCGTCATCATCCAGTCTTATTAGTTCAGGATCTCCATCAGGCTTCAATAATCAACAACGATCTCAATTCTTTAACACATCATCATCATCTACTTCTTCATCAGTGTCTACTTCTTCCTCGGTGAGTAACCCTCCGTTACAACAACGACATCCCAACGATATCATGTCATCAGCTTCACCTACCATTTCTAATTCTCCCGTACCACTTCTGGAACGTAATTCATATTACTTTTCTCAATTCCCATTATATTGTTCAGATTGGACTATATCAAATGATTTGGAATGTATTGCATTAAGTACTTATAAAGAAGGCTTCACTAATAAATTACAAGTGATTCATGGTTTAACTTATGAAAATGATTATCGTATGAATAATGTTAATAATGGTAATGGTAATAATAATAATAGTAATAGTTATAATGATCATGACGATGATATGTTAATAGAAAACGTCATGTCACCTAAACAACAACAACATTTTAATCAACGATCTCCCCGTCAACAATATTCATTTGATGATGATATAGTAGAAGGATACTATTTTCATAAAGTGGCTGAAACTTCAGTTGATTATCCTATAACTCACTTACAATGGGATCCATTATTAGGTAAATCAAATGATCAAAGATTAGCTGCTTCATCAGAAGTGCTACGATTATATGAAGTTGATCAGGATTCAATTAATCAAAATCAAGAATATTCCTTAGTTCAAACTCATTTATTAGCTAATAATACTGCTAATAACTCTACTACATCAACTAATGGAAATGGAAGTCATAAAGATGATTTAAATACGTATCCTCCTGTGACATCATTTGATTGGAATAAAACTGATCCAAATATAGTTATAACTTCTTCAGTTGATACTACCTGTACGGTATGGGATTTACATCGATCAATTAAATTAGAAGATGGTATAACTACTTCATCAACTAATACAGCTACGGTCAAAACTCAATTAATTGCTCATGATTCTGAAGTTTTCGATGTTAAATTCATTCATAATTCAACTAATATATTCGCATCTGTTGGAAATGATGGATCAATGAGAGTATTTGATTTAAGATCATTGGAACATTCAACCATTATCTATGAACCAAGTTTATCACCTCCTCATTCTGCATCTTCAAATAATTCATCATTAAATAGTGCATCTATGAGTATGGCAACCTTGAATTCAAAAGCATTATTGAAATTATCCACTTCAAATATTGATCAACATCATTTAGCTACCATTGGAATCAATTCAAATCAAATTATAATCATCGATATGAGAATGCCAGGTTTACCCATTGCAACCTTGGATGGATCATTAGGTGGTGTAAATCATGCCCCAATAAATCTGATTAAATGGCATCCAACTTCTAATCTTTTGTTAACTGGTGGTGATGATTGTCAGGCTTTGATTTGGGATTGTTCAAATTTCCATCAATCAAGAAATACTACCACACCTAATTCTACTACAGCTTCAAGTACTGATATGGGTATTGTAATTGATACTCCAACATTTGCATATGAAGAAGATTTAGAAGTTAATAATGTTTGTTGGAGAGGTGCTAAGGGAGATTGGTTAGGTGTTGTAAGTGGTAAAGGATTTCAAGGTGTTCAGCTCTAAGGGAGTTATCATGTACATATATACATACATACATAATACAAGTTTTATATATACTTATAAATATAAATTGCAAGTATCAATAATCTACATATCAAGTTCAATTTTTTTTATTTCAGTTCAATAAATTGAACCTACTTACATTAAAATTTACTATAACAAAGTATTTTATATATACGAGTCAACTATTTAAAAAGTTTAAGAAAACAGGAAAATAAACCTAAAACCAAAAGTTTGAAGATAAATCAATCAATCAATCAGCTTATTTCTTAGTAGCTTTAACAGCAGCTTTGGTAACCTTACCAGCCTTATCGGATTTTTCAACAGACTTGATAACACCAACAGCAACAGTTTGTCTCATATCTCTAACAGCAAATCTACCTAATGGTGGGTATTCAGTGAAAGCTTCAACACACATTGGTTTAGATGGAACCATCTTAACAATAGCAGCATCACCGGATTTAACGAATTTTGGAGAATCTTCCATCTTCTTACCAGTTCTTCTGTCAATCTTTTCAATTAAAGTATCGAATTTACAAGCAATATGGGCAGTGTGACAATCTAAAACTGGAGAGTAACCAGCAGAGATTTGACCTGGATGGTTCATAACAATAACTTGAGCATTGAAAGATTCAGCAGCCTTTGGTGGATCATTCTTGGAGTCACCACAAACGTTACCTCTTCTAATTTCTTTAACGGAAACATTCTTAACATTGAAACCAACATTGTCACCTGGTAAACCTTCAGTTAATTGTTCATGATGCATTTCAACGGATTTGACTTCAGTAGTAACACCGGCTGGGGCAAAAGTAACAACCATACCTGGTTTGATAACACCGGTTTCAACTCTACCAACTGGCACCGTACCAATACCACCAATCTTGTAAACATCTTGTAATGGTAATCTTAATGGTTTATCAGTTGGTCTTGATGGTGGTTCAATAGCATCAATAGCTTCTAATAAAGTTTTACCGGAATATTTACCAATCTTGGTTTCCTTTTCCCATCCTTTATACCATGGACAGTTAGTAGATGGTTCAATCATATTATCACCATTCCAACCAGAGATTGGAACGAATGGAACAGATTTTGGATTGAAACCAACCTTTTTAACGAAATTAGAAGTTTCCTTAATAATTTCTTCAAATCTAGATTTATCCCATTTAACGGAATCCATCTTGTTAACAGCAACAATTAATTGTTTAACACCTAAAGTATAAGCTAATAAAGCATGTTCTCTAGTTTGACCATCCTTGGAAATACCAGCTTCGAATTCACCAACACCACCAGCAATAATTAAAATAGCACAATCAGCTTGAGAAGTACCAGTGATCATATTTTTAATAAAATCTCTGTGACCTGGAGCATCAATAACGGTAACATGATATTTTGGAGTTTCGAATTTCCATAAAGCAATATCAATGGTAATACCTCTTTCTCTTTCAGCCTTTAATTTATCTAAAACCCAAGCGTATTTGAAAGAACCTTTACCTAATTCATTAGCTTCCTTTTCGAATTTTTCAATGGTTCTCTTATCAATACCACCACATTTGAAAATTAAATGACCGGTGGTGGTAGATTTACCAGAATCGACGTGACCAATAACAACGACGTTAACGTGAGTTTTTTCTTTACCCATGATGAATGATTGATTATCTTATAATTAGATTAATTGAATCAAGAAAAAGGATTAAAAAGAAGAAAGGAGAAAGGAAAAATCCCTAAAAGAAAAAATTTTTGAAACGGGAAAAAAATTGCCTTTTATAAATAAATTAAGCAGGCAGAAAGGGGAGAGACAGACACCTTAACAGAACAGAACACATCTCTCTTTTTTTTCTTTTTTTTTTTTTTCATAGATCATTCTAGAATTTACTTTGGAGTTCTTCAAATTACACGTATTTTTGCAACAGACCAGAGAAATTTTTTATTTTTAAAGTTGTAATTGAAGAAATCCATCAATTGATGATCAATTAAAGTTATCTTGGACAGTTTGTTTGAGTAATTATCACTATCAGTGATGATAGTGTCATTATGCAATTTCAATTTTGAGTTCTTGGTTTTGTTTTGGTATTGTTTGTGGTTACTGGAGCTAAATTTGAATCCCATCGTGCGGCAAATTTTTTTATAATGATAATCGTCTAGGAGTAGTCCTTAAAAATGGGAATGACGGTAGATATGACTAACTGCTTAGAGGGAAACAAACCAGATTGAATGATATCAAACAGTGATTGATTGATTGATTGATGGTGCAACCATTACTTTTACTAACTACTTGGTAACAATTTTCTAATTATAGTGGTTACCAGTTCAAAAGAGTCATCTCACCAAATATCTATGACCCATCAATCAATCAATCAATCATATGATATACTACCCCCATAATCTTAACTATTCATGATAATCCTTTACCAATTAACTCCATATATTCCTACAATGTTTAAACGGTTGTCGGTGGATACAACAAGAACTGGATAAATCATTCGGGGTTAAACTTAAAATGATGTCATGAAAGACAAATTCACTATCATTACTATCTCTAAGAATATAATGATATTCCGGGGGGAGGGAGCATACGTTGTCCATATGTACTAAATTGACATAAATGGAAATAATATCTATGACTCATTTACAATCTCATACTACAACTAAAAATAAAGTTGTGAGATCTGTAATAAGTCATAGCCAATCTATCAAAAACAATTTTTAACCAAATACTGTTTGACTCCTCTTCTATTGCGAAGTCATAAGAAAACTTATATCTACACACCGGTAACATGACCTACATGAATCTCTCAAATGAAATCGTATTAAACAGAAACTAATAACTTACAAACTATCTAAACTATCATTCGTGTGATGTTAAACTATACATCACATAACCTTATTATATCTCACTATAATTTTTGCAATCTCACTATTTTTACTCACTTCTCTCTCTCCCTCACTAAAAGTCCCCCACCCTCCCCCTAAAAATATCTTTTGTCTTTCCCGTAAACTTCCCAGTCGCTGCTCCCCACTCACTGGACTTCACTTTAATTTTGACACACGTGCAACACTCTTAATTTTTAAAGGCTGCTGTAAAAAATGAATGTAACTACAGTAACAAACAAATTTTTCATTCGTTTTGCGGTAAAATATTTGGATAAATTTACTTATGTATAAAGAGAACTAAATTAATCCTAAACTAAAAAGTAAATAAAAGATAGTATTAACTTAGTATAAAAACAGAATAAAGAGTGTTTTATATGTTTGTTTTTTCTTTTTAAAATTTTGTTTTTTTTTTGTCTTGTTTTTTTGTTTTATATATGTATATAAAAATAAATATAAATAGATAGATAGAAATTTTTCAATTTATGATTTGTTTGTTTATTTATTTGTTTTTTTTATTACTTTACTTTAATCAAGTTCATTTATCGGTATTGGTTGATGTACCACTACCACCACTACCTAATGTAGATGCTATTGATGAAGTATTTAATAATGTAGATCTACTATCAACAGGAGGACCTCTAGTTGGATCAAGACTTATAGCACTATCAATACTTGATCTTGTAGTTGAAGTTGATGATCTTCTTCTTTGATTTCTTGAAAATTGAGGATCAACTTTAGTACCTTTTGATGAAGCAAATAATCCTAATATATCAGTCAATGATACAACTCCAATCAATTTTCCCGGTAATCCATAACTTATATCACCCCCAGTACTACTATTTGATGAAACTGATGTAGCAGCTGATGTAGATGAAGGTGATGATGATGAATTGGTTATACTTATACTTGGATTTAAAGCTGCTTCTATAGTGGTTGGTTGATTAGCCGCTATAATACTTGAATGTCTATTAGTTGATTCAACAATCCATAATCTATGACTTTGAGTGGCAACTAATTTTGCAATCACTCGACCTAATGAACTTTGATTATTAACATGAAATATTGGAAATTGATCTTGACCTTCTTCAATTCCTTTTTGAGTTAAATTATAACTTATAAAATTTAATACTGATTTAAATAATAAATGAGAATTTTTTGAACTTGAAACATTCTTAACATCAACAATAGATATATTACCAATTAATGATCTTGATTTATCAATAACAGCTAATGAACTTACTCTTTCAACAAACATTTTATGTAATGCTTCAATTAATAATTGATCTTCATAAATTGTAATTGGAGTATTAGAACCAATTTTTAAATCTTGTAAAGTTGAATTTAATAAAAAATCTAATGATGGAAATCTTCTAGCATTTTCCCACATATATTTAATTAATCTTCTTTGAGATAAAATACCAGTAATTTTTGAAGTTTGAGGATCAGTTATAGCAACTCTATGAACTCCATTACCTAAAGCTTCCATAACTTTAAATAAAGTATCAGATTCAGTAAATTGAACAAATGGATTTTTAGGATGTAATTTAATAATAAATTCAACTGGAACTTCTTCACCTCTTTTTGCTTTATTAATAGTTTGTAATAAAATTTCTTGTCTTTTAGCCGTTGATTCATTATTATTATTATTATTATTATTTTTATCAATAATTTCATTAATGGATAATTCATTTAAAGAAATTTTATTCATAATTAATAATAAATAAGTATTTAAATCACTATAATCAAATGTTAAACAATTTGATAAATCATCCGGATTATTATGATTTAATGAAACAGGAACTGAAGTTAAACAATGATCAACTAAAGTTTCAAAAGCTTTTTGAACTGAATATGATGAATTAATTGAAATTAATTTATTTGATTCAGTTAATTCACTTAAAGGTATATCACTCCAATCAAAACCAGTTATAGAATTATGATGACTTAAATTACCGCCACCAGTAGTATTATTATTATTTTGATAAGAAGAAGTACGACTACTAATAGAAGGGTTTCTTGATAATGAAAGTTGATTGATATCATCTTGATCAGCAGGATTAACTGGTAAAGGAGGAGGAGAACTTAATAATTCCACTATCGAAGGTTTTCTTGATGAAGTTTGAAAATGATGATGACCATGATGAGGAGAAAGATTGGAATGAGCGTTTGATGAAGAACCAGATGCATTATTTGAGTTTTGACTGTTTGAAGCCAATGTACTATGTTGATTTAAGGGTGAACCAGGAGGTTGCCTTTGAAAAGGAGGATTTGACATTATTTTATGATAAGATATTAGAGGCTTCTCCACTTGAAAATATGGAGGGTAAGTCTGTAAAATAAGATGGTTAATTTCAACGGGGTAAGTTAGAAATACTTGATGTGAGATACGATTGATGGATCAATTGATTGATTGATTGATGGGATGTATGGCAATTGATTATCAATTGAAAGATGGCGATTTGATTGATCGATAAATGATAAGAAAAGTAAGATGTTGTAAATAAGTTTTTTGGTTTTCTCAGATGTTTTTTTTTTCTGTTTTGAAGTTCTGGCTTTTTTTTTTGTCTTTGTCTTTTTTCTTCTTTTCGGAACTTTGATGTGGAGATAAAATTGTCTTTTTTTTTTGTCTGTCTGACTGTCTGACAATAAATGTATTTGTCTAATAGATAAGACTTAATTAATAGTGATAGATGAAATAAAGTAACTAACAACAATTAAATAATATTTCAAACCCACCTTTTAATCATAAATTGGCTTAATAAATAAGGATGATGGTGATGATGTTTAGATGATGATATTTTTAATAATAAAATAAATTAACCCTTAGTCAGTCAGTCAAGTCAGTCAGTCAAGTCAGTCAGTATACAAATCAGTTGACTTTTTTTTTTGTTTGTTTTTGTCTGAATCTTTTTTTGTCTGTCTGTCTGTCCGTCTGAAATTTATATAGCAACTCACTCTTTTTTCTTAACAATGGCGGAAGTGTGCTCTTTATTTATTTTGTCTGTTAAATATGGGGTAATTAACTAATTAATTATAATTGTATTCTATTTAGATATAATATAACTGGTTGTTTCGGTGTATATTATACTATACTACACAATTTACGACCTAATTAACGTATATATCAATTTAGGAGAATTCATTATCATTTAAATAGAATTGGTATAGGCCTTCTTACTGTTGTTATGGTTAAACAATGAAATTGAACCTGAACTAAATGCCGACGTAAATGATGAGCAGCCCAACTTAAAAATACGTCGTCGTCGTCGTCGTCGCCATTACTTACTTGCTTACTTTATAATATGCCACCGTATATGTAGTTCCCACCTTCATATTGTTGATTGATTGCTACACTTCCTTTCTTGGACTCCTTTAAACAAATCAATTCTCTACTTCATTCTATCATTCTATCAATCTTACTTTATCATAATATATCAACATCGCCTATTGTTGGATAAGTAACACTATAAATTTTGTTGGAAGTAATTGAGTTATTTTGTTGTTTATGTTTTTTTGTGGTTTACAATTGCAGTAAATTTAAGTTGAATTGAATGACCTTAAAATGAAAAAAAAAAAAAAAGCGCAATTTATTTTTGTTGTGTACTTTTTATTTATCAGAAATTAGCAGTAATGGGAGGCAGTATCTACTCCTTTCGTCTAACTATAATTAATGCCTCGGCAGGTTGGTATTTCTAGGTTATGTGGTACATAAGTCTCCCTATTTATCATCATCAACCCCCTAATATCTCACCCATTGAGTCATTGGTTAAATAGTAGTTGTTGATCCGTTGGGTTGGTTTACTTTCGTCTCTATCTTTTTTTTTTTTGCAACAATTATTCTCTACTATCTTACCAATCAAAACTTTATTTAAGATTTTACCTGTACAAAATATCTTCTCTCAACACAATGCCATATTGATCAAAGTGTAGATCTGATGTTCAATTTGTTGGTTTTAAATATAAGTAAGTATGCCAAAAAATCATCTCAATCTCATCAGATTTCTTTCAATCATCATCAAATATCTCATCTTTTCACATTCAATTTAAAATCATCCAATTGACATTATGAAACATTATGAAATACAAATTAATAGATCCACTGTCAATTCAATCCATCAATGATCCAAAAACCATCAAACCATTACAATACATCTGAAAAAATAGTTACATAGACCATAGTCCTATATCATGAAATCAAAAAAAAAACAAGAAATTTTCAAAAAAGAAAATCAGAATTTAGCGCCGCCTCGTTTCGATCGAGGGACATCAGAGTTATGAGCCCTGCGCGCTTCCACTGCGCCACGGCGCTGATTCTTAAAGTTGAAAAATGGCTACGTTGATGCGAACATATTTATATCACATGATATTTAGCACGTGCAAAACATTTAAAATTAAATTTAATCATATTAAATGATAATTAATTGATATTATAGTAACTTTTATGGAATTAACTTGGGTTTGTTTATGTATTAAAGTGGTTCTTTCATAGTGATAGTTAATAAATTGTTGATGATTTTGAAGCTCAAAGTTTGTCATAATAATTTTTTTTAATTTAATTTTTTTTGCATTTTTTTGCAATTTATTTTTAATAATATGATTTTTAAATCGAATAAATAACTTATTTTATTTTATTTTATTAAATTTAAATTAAATTAAATTAAATTGTATATTATTACTTAACAATATATGTACAAGTTGATATTTCATTAGTGAGATGGAATATACATAAATCAACTAACTAATTAAAACGAGAGATAGGGGGGTCAGGGACATAAAAGCGCAAACGACCTTATTTCTTACCTTTCTTTTTCTTACTACTTGCCGCCGTGGTCTTCTTCTTCTTTTTCTTAAGTTTATTTGATCTTACTCCTCCCTTTGATGACAGACCGGTTGAAGCTGGGGTAGCAGATCTTGAATTAGATGCACTCGAAGATCCAAGGTCAATATGTTCAGGATCATAATCTTGTTCATGTTCTTCAACATCTTCTTCCTCTTGTACTTCTTCTTCATCAGGTTTAACTTCAGATGCTTCTCTTGATGATGAACCTTCTATAACTCCTTCATCAGTAACCATTGAATTATAAACTGGTGAATGAGGGACATCAACAACTTTTGATATTAAAGGGGTGGATTCAGTCGGTATACTATTACTAGTAACTTGTTGTTCATATATTCTTTCTCTTAAATCCATAATTTCTTCTGGTTCATTAGTTATAGTGGATGAACTTCCAGGTTGTTTATCTTCACTACTATAATATTCATTATCTTGATCATCATCTTCATCATCAATATAATTTTTTTCACCACTAGTGATTTTTTCACCAATTGCTTTTGAAGATGATCCAATTCGAACTATATCATTAACGGATCTCCCAAAGAAATCCAATTCATCTTCAGGATAACGAGGAGGTAAATCTTCTCCTTTATCCAAGATTTCATCACCACCATCTTTATTTTCAATAACTTTATTATATTGAGGTAAAGCTGCTAAACCTCGATCACCACCTAATTTTTTATAATCATTGGTTGAAACAAATCCATATTTTCTTACATTAGCTTCAATCCAGACAAATCCTGATTGCCCAATATTAACTTGGAATTTAGCATTGGTCAGAAAACATCCAACAGCAGGATATAAATCAACAAAACATCCTCTCATGACATCTAATACTTTTTTACCATTTCTAGTAATGAAAATCGTACCGGTAGGGATAACATATCCAAAACCAACTACATCTGATTGTTGTAAAGGTGGTAATACCAAAGCATTAAATTCTGATCTTTCATCAAGATGTTGTTGTAAAGGGGTTGGAAATGGTTTATTAATTTTTAAATTCCCAGTTGATTCATAACCAATGGAAAATTTATTATAACCTGGTAATCTAAATGATGAAGGATAAGGTTTTGTAACTAAACCAATGGAGAAATGAGAATTTGAACTATATTGAGGATTAAATTCAAAGATTTTAGTTTCAAAATAAATGGTATCAGAATATAAACGATTTCTACTTGGTAAAGCATAATTTAATATCGCTGTTGAAGTTGAATATGGGGTATCATTATTATGAAAGTTTAATTCAGTTTTATCAGCCACGATATAACGAGGATTTAAACTGATTGAATCAGGTTCGAAATAAAATGCATTTGTACCCACATCTTTAATTAATTTTTCATCTTCAAAAGTAAATGATTTACCTCTAATATTTTGGAAATTAGGAGGATTAATTTTAGTAAATTCTTCACCTTTTAAATAACCTTGTTGTTCTTCAGGAGATAAATTAGTGAAATCAAAAGTATCTTCCAAATGTCTTAATCTTTCTTCATCATTTAAAAATTCCGATGGAACATCATTTGATGATGATGAGCCTAAGAAATCAGATCCAATGAAGGTATAATCACTTCGATCTAAATTAGTAAAGTAGAAACGATAGATGCAAAGGAATAAAAGAAGCGCTATCCCACTACAAAAGAAAATGAATGAAACTATCAATGCTGTTGGATCAACATCGATATCATTTATAATAGCCATAATAAAAGTAAAACGGGAATGAAGGAATATATATATTATTGTATTGCTATGATTAGTTTGATTGATTGATTGATTGATTGATTGATTGATGTTAGGTATGATTAAATGGCAGTACTAGGCATATCCTAAGTACAATAAGTCTAGCAAAATGGAATGGAACTATTGAAATATGATGTAATTTGTATAAAAGAATCATGACATGATATAAATAAAAAAAATGGTCTCTTGATCCCTTACTTTAAAAAAAAAGAGAGAGAAAGTGTGGTGAGTGGTGAGTCTCCAAAAAAAAGTAATGGAGGAGGGGAGCAATACACACCCAGTTTAATAGACGATGATAACTTTAATCATAACAATAACAAAGGTAGTAACAGTAGTAGTAGTATTTACTTAGGGGATGTCATTGGTTATAATGAATAAGAGTTAACATTAAAGATGACGATGATAATAATAGTTTAACGATATTATAGTTAACTGAGTTATGAGTAGATATATTAGAACAGTGATATGATTTACTTAGTACTTATATATAACATTCAACTTAGAAGTAACTCAGTAACTTATTCAATAGCTGCAAAAGCACAACTAACTAACTAACTGATTAGTAAATGTTAGTGGCTAGAGATTTAAACCTAAGCCAAATTATTTAATCTAAGCTGAGCTCATATGATATAATTAGACTTGATCTAATAGAACTAAATTGTCATTCCCATTAAAATTGACCAGTCCATAGTATACCAACTACTCAATTACACGTTAAACCATCATCATAACTATACTATCTCTACTCATCTCTACCTCTATACCATCTTACTTCTTCTTAACTACCTTGTTTGTACCTCTTTTTTTATTGTTGTCATTTTTTTTTTTATTTTTTTTTATTTTTATTTTTCGTGTCGTGTTTTTTTTGTTTGTTAGGGCTCTCTCTCTCTCTTTCAGTGACAGTGTGAGATTTTTGTTGTTATGGTTTTTTTACAACAGTCAGAATTCATATTGATTGAAACTATACTAATATCATCAATTGATTGAATTCATCAATAGGAAGTGGGCTCTTCGTATGTTACATATATAGACAGATGGATTCAACCAATAATAATACCATATCTCATTCTACAGTCAATCCTGGTAAGGATGGATTAATTGATACTGCTCCTGCTCGTCCTGCTAATAATCTTAAAAAGAGATTTAATTCTTTAAAACAACCAAGATACCCTTTAAAGGAATCAAATTCAAATGTTCCATCTCCTATATTGAAAAAGGCAAAGTTAAACACCGCGTCTTTCCCATCTCAAACTCATCATAATCATCATAATCATCATCATAATGTATTATCTAAAATTTCTTTACATCATTATAATAGAAGTCCTTCTCCAACTCGTCCTAATCCAATCATAACTCCAGCTGTTACATTATCTCAACAACGATCTCCTTTGAAACGATCAATAAGTGTGGCTAATGATAATGATGAAGAAGAACAACCATCAATGGATGATAAAGTGACTATTCCTGAAGTTGAAGATTTAAGTCCTTCTAAACAATTATCATTAAATCAATTGATTGTTCAAGATGATGAAGAGGAAGTAGAAGAAGATGAACAAGAGGTAGAGGATGAAGAAGTAGAAGAAGAAGAAAATGAAATTCAAGAACAACAAGATCAAGAGAATAATATAAACGAAAATATCACTGTTCAACCTCAACAAATTCATCATCATCATAATAACCAACAGCAACCATTAAAACAACTTCATAATAATAATCATAATCATAATAACATGGAAATTGAAAAACCTTCAATAACACCAAAGAAATTACCTCAATTACAAGAATCTGCTTTACCAGCACCATCTCAAACCCAATCACAGATTCAAGTCCAAACTCAAACTCAAGCTAAAACTACTGGAAGATTAGTTGGCGAAGAATTACAACATTGGCAACAATCATGGAGAAAAATCATGAAAGAATCAACCGTTTATTTCGAAGGTGTTCAAGAATATAATCGATTACAAATGACAGAATATAAACGAGCATCAAAATTATTAAGATTAGTTGGAAGTGAAATAACTTCATTCTATGATAATGATGTAACCATCATTGTTTCAAGAAGACCATATAATTCCAAACGAGAATATCCTTCCAATGATATATTCTCCAATGTAGCCAATTTAAAAATCAAAGTATGGGATTATGATAAAGTATTTCGATTCTTAAAAAATTTAGGGATAAATATTCAAACTGGAATTGATGAAATTGAAAATAAATCAAAACTTGGTAAAGATAATAATTTATATACTTTATTAAAAGAAGAAAAAATTTATGGTTCAACTGATAGAGATCCTAATACAAAACGTGATGATTTACATTATTTCGATAAAAATTATCTTTATGTCTATGATTTATCTCAAAAAGTTAGACCAATAGCCATAAAAGAATGGCATGATGATATAAGTTATCCCATATTTAATCTTACTATGGATGGGAAATGTCCTTTTATAAATGATCCAAATGATGCTAATTCAGATCGAAAAAAATTAAGAAGATTAAAAAAATTCGATGCTACTAAAGATTATCGTGATTTACTTAAAAAGGCTACCTATAATATTATAAATAATATCAAATATGGAAGTTCCAATAGTAATAATAGTAATAATATGAAATCTTCAGGATTTACAGGAACAAGTACAAGTACAGATAAACCATCTCATGAAGATAATAATAATGTAAGTCCTCAACAATTTTTAGATCAACAAATTTTATTTGAAGATGAAGATACAACCACTCAATTAATAACTACTACTGCATTTAAACAACCAGGTCAATTAACTAGAAATTCATCTTGTATACAGGCTAATTCAAATTCAAAATTATTCGATGTAGCAGCTTCAGGATTTAATGGTGCTTCAAATGCTATGAGTTTTTCAATGGATTCTACTTTAAATTCAGGTTCAGCTCAAGGCAATGGTTTAGGTCCAATGACATCTCAAGTTCCATCCCGTAATATAAATAATTTGAAAAGAAGAATTATAATGAAAAAACAACAACAAAGAGAAAATACCATCCAACAATTACAACAACAACAACAACAACAACAACAACAACAACAGCAACCTCAAGATAGTAAAGATAGTAAAGAGGCCGCTGGTTATTGTGAGAATTGTCGTGCTAAATATGATAGTTTCACTCGTCATATCCAATCAAACAGACATCGGAATTTCGCCTGTACTGATTCAAATTTTGAAGATATCGATCGTTTAATTGAAACCTTACATGAAAGTAGAACTTTAGGGTATATTGCTTCTAATGGTGATTTCAATTATGCTTGAGGTATATCCCTATTCATTTATTCTACTCCCTCCCCTTCCTCTCTCTGCATATATGGTATCTGATGATACCAATACCATTTTATCGTTAGTGGTTTTATAGCTTTTGATAAAAGTAAAAGTCCTTTTTTTGCATTTATAATATATTCACTTTGCAGTCATTTTTGTTATTGTAAATCATTTTTTTTCTTTCACGCAATTTTTAGTTTTTGAAAAAATATTTATCTCTTCACTTTTATAATCCATATCTACCTATAACCATTAAGATTAATCGCCAACAATAACGATGTTAATAAGGAATGGGCAGCAATATGCTTATTCTACATCGACAAGAATAATACAATCTCGGTGTTATTCTGATTTTTTGAAGAATTTACCAAGAGTTGGTGGTGGGTTATCTAGATTCGGGAAGAGTGTGCAACCACCTTCACCATCATCATCATCATCACCACAAGCTAATGTGTCGAGGAATAATTGTGCTCTATCTACTGGTGGTCCTAAAGTACCGAACAGGATGAATAATAATGGTCCACTGGTGCCGAAGAATGGTGCTAAGGGGAATAGATTTGCCTTGAAGTATTCATCTGATAACACTAACAATAATAATCCTAGAAATAATAGACCAAGACAACCTAATAATAACAATAATAATAATAACAACTCCAACAACAATCATAACAATAATAATACCAATCGTGTAAATAATAACCAAAGAACCAACAGATTCAGTAATACTACTCCTTCACCCCAGACTACAGAACAAGTTCAAGCAAAGAGATATGAAGAATTAAGAAAAACATTAAGACAAAAAGAAAAGGAAACTCAACAATTCAATGCTCCTACCAAAACCAAATCACAACAACCAGCTTTCAAAACCAAGGCCAAGAAAGCCCCTGTTGAACCAGTCAAGATTCAATTACCTCCATTTATAACTGTTTCTAATTTAGCTTCTGTCATGCATGTTCCTCTTAATGATGTATTTAAAAAATTGGAAGGGTTAGGATTTGAAGATATAAGGCATAATTATATTTTAGAGAAGGATAATGCATCGTTAATTGCTGATGAATTTGGATTTGAAGTCACTATTAATGAAGATTATAAAGATGATTTATTTCCTGATGTTGAAAATGAAAAATTATTAAAGGAAAGACCACCAGTAGTGACTATCATGGGTCATGTTGATCATGGTAAAACCACCATTTTAGATTATTTAAGAAAATCATCAATTGTAGATCAAGAATTCGGTGGTATAACTCAACATATTGGTGCCTTTTCAGTCATAACACCTATTTCGAAAAAGAAAATTACCTTTTTGGATACTCCAGGTCATGCTGCATTTTTAAAAATGAGAGAGAGAGGAGCCATCATTACCGATATTGTTATCTTAGTAGTTGCTGCTGATGATTCAGTTATGCCTCAAACTATTGAAGCTATAAAACATGCTAAAAAATCAGGGGTACCAATCATTGTTGCAATCAATAAATGTGATAAACATGGAGTTAAAATTGAAAAAGTTTTAAGTGATCTTTCAGCTCAAGATATTGATATTGAAGATTATGGTGGTGAAACTCAAACTGTAAAAATTTCAGGTAAGACTGGTTTAAATATGGATAAATTAGAAGAAGCAGTTATAACTTTAAGTGAAATGAGTGATTTTAAGGCTGAACCAACTGGTATTCGTGCTGATGGTTGGGTTATTGAATCTGAAATGATAAAAGGCATGGGTAATGTTGCCACGGTATTAGTTCGTCGTGGTTCTGTCAAAGCAGGTGATTTCTTAGTAGCTGGCCATACTTATTGTAAAGTGAGAGGTATGAAAGATGAACATGGAAAACCAATTAAAATTGCTGGTCCTTCAACTCCAGTTCAAATTTGGGGTTGGAAAGATTTACCTGAAAGCGGTGATCAATTAATCCAAGCTAGTAATGAACAAACTTGTAAAAGAGTTACTGAAAATAGAATCACGAGACAAAAGGAAATCCAAGCTAGTAGAGATATTGAATCAATTAATCAAAAGAGACAAGATGAAATCGAAGAAAGTAAAAGATTGGATAAGATCAATGATTTGAAATTAGCAGGTCTTGATGCTAGTGTTTTTCTTGGTGAAGATAAAACCCAAGTTCAAGCTGTTAATGTTAAATATATGATTAAATCAGATGTATTTGGTTCGGCAGAAGCTATTAAAGAAAGTATCGATGGATTAGGTAATGAAGAAGTAAAATCAACTGTTATTTCTCATGGAGCTGGCGCACCAACTGAATCAGATCTTGATATAGCAGCCACATTAGATGCTACTATCTTCTGTTTCAACGTTAAAGTTCCTAAATTGATCGCTGCCAGAGCTGATAGAGAAGGAATTAAAATCAAAGAACATAATATCATTTATAGATTAATTGAAGATGTTACTGAAGAATTACAATCTCATTTAAAACCAAGAATTGAAGTGAAAACATTAGCTGAAGTTGAAGTTAAAGAAGTGTTTGTGGTTACGCTTAGAAAATCAAAAACTAAGATTGCTGGTTGTAAAGTTTCCAATGGTAATTTAAAGAGAACTGCTAAAGTTAAAGTATTAAGAAAGAAGGAAGTGATCTTTGATGGATTATTATCGTCTTTAAAACATGTTAAAGATGATATTTCAGAAGCCAGAAAAGGTAATGAATGTGGTATTTCATTCGATAAATGGGATAAATTCGAAGCAGGTGATATTATCCAAGCATATGAAGAAGTTGAACATAAAAGATTCTTGTAAATAAACTAATGTATTTATTATAGACTTGTACATATTAAATAAAAATAAAAATCTCGCATACAAAAAAAAAATTTAAACTTGAAATAAATTTTGAAAGCAGCTCATCTGTCAAACCGTTTAAGAGATACACTTTAACCATAGAATGTCTTCACACGATGAATATTCTTCTGATGAAGAAGATGACGATTTAATAGGGAACAACGATACTTCAGAAGTCTATTTAGGTTTTGTTGATGCTCCTATAATAGATGACGAAGAAGATCCTGAAGATAATGAATTACCTACCATTGAAGATACATTTATTGGAAGCAAGCCTATATGGCTTCATCCAAAGTCTCAGCCAGAAGAATCAGCTATAACATGTGATAATTGTCATAAGAAGATGGCATTGTTGTTACAAGCGTTTGCTCCAATGGATGGAAAATTATATGATAGAGTCATTTATATATTTGGTTGTAAGAATAGTAGTCAATGTTCCAGAACCAAAGGATCTGTGAAGGCCATAAGAGGTATTTCAAGAGATCCAGAAAGAGTAGCTGAAATCAAAAGTGAACAAGATTCTGCTATTCAAAAAGCATTAGATGAAAAATTAAAACTTGAAGATCAAAGAAAATTCAATATTGAAGTTACTAAAGATTTATTCACTAAGACTAATACCAACTCATCGAATCCATTTGGTGAATCATCCACCAGTAATCCATTTGCTGCCGCATCCAATCCATTTGCCAAGAAAGAAGAACCAAAGAAAGAGGAACCAAAGAAAGAAGAACCAATTAAGGAATCCTATGCTAAGATTGCATCTAAGAATGCTCCAAAACCACAAAAAAAGAAAATCAGCACAATTTCTAATGATGATTTACCAGCATACAATGGTAGTTTTGTTTATGTTGATCTTGAAAAGTTCAAGAAGGAAGGTTTAGATCCTGAATTAGAGAAATATAAACATTTGATTGAAAAGAGTGAAAAGGGTGAAGAATCTGATTCAGAAGAAGGTCCATCTAATGGTGGTCGTGGTGCCAGTAAAAGAAGAGAATCATCATCTGGTGCTAGTATAGAAGCATCAAGTGTATTAGATGATAGATATTTTGCAGCCTTCACTGATAAAGTCAAACATAATCCTGGTCAAGTTTTAAGATATAACTTAGGAGGACGTCCATTATTATATTCTGGAAAGGATGATATTGCCAAAAGATTTATTGGTACTTTTAATATTCCAAAGCCAGGTTTTAATCCTGGTTCAGAAAGACAATTTGAATTACAATTAATGCCAAAGGCAATCATGGATTTGGAACAAATTGATGAAACCAATGCTAATATAGCTGATATTTTAAATGGTATGTCATGGGGTACTATCATAGTTGGAACTGATGTTGAAGATTTTATTCCAGAAGAAAATTTTGATGAACATCATGTTGCTTATATAGAAGAATGGTGCGGAGTACAATGGGAAGAAAGTGTGTAATATATATCTATCTAGAGTTTTCATAGTAAGACAATGAACAATAATCTGTAACTAGTAAAATTAATGAAACAAATCGGTAAATTCTGATTTGGTACATTTTAAACCTTTTGTGGTTGCAATCTTTTGTGGGTTACACAAATGGAAATACTTCTAGAATCGCAAGGAGGTTGCTAAATTTAGAAATGCTAAACTATCAACCAACTACTTTAAACAGATTTTAACTATGAGTACTACTTATACTACAATCTACCCAATGTAACCTTCAAACAACTGTTCATTGCTATATGATTAACTCATAAGGAGTTGATCTCATAAGCGATTAAAACTAAAAAACTTTTCGCGTGTACCTCTAAATTTAAGCCGCCTGCTTTAAAGCAATCATCCATTTGCAACTAAGCCTATTGTAAACTACTGTACCAAATGAGATAGTATTAACCTATTGTTAGCAATTATCATATCACGAAAGGAGTCGAATTGTCTAATCAAATTATTAAGTAATAAATGTAAATATTAAAAATAAAATAAACGTCATCCTGCATCCAGCGCAAACATCAAAAAGATCAAAAAGAAACCTTAAAGGAGTTCTTTAGTCCTTTGTGTAAAGCAAATGTTTCATATCGATTTATAAGGCTGTGAGTTTTATATTGTTAGACATCTCATAGTTGAAATAGTACGATAGTTATAGTCCTGTTAGAGTTGAGAAAACATACTTCTAGATACTTTACCCTTTTCTTTTATCAAAATTGGATATTAAAGTATTGTGACCTAACGTGATTCAGTGTCAACTAATCGCAATTCCCATCATATCATCTTATTCATTAACCAATGTCCAATAATCCGAACCACGATGATTCTTTGGTGTCTTCATCTGAAGATGAAGATAACCAACCGACTCAATCCAACATTCGTCTTCCCAACTTAAACTTACATAATTATAGAAAGCAACATCAAAGACAATCATCACGACAAAATATATCAAAAGCAGGTAAGATGTTATCTGATACAGGTAAATCGATCTTAACCGGCACAGGTAAATCAGTAAGGTTTCCTGATCTGTATAGTCCTCGAAATCCTCGAGAATCAATGATAAGTAATAGAACTTCAAATGATTCCAGAGATGAAGAAATGGATGAAAATGATCAATATGATGATGATAATATAGATCCCAATGATAACTTACCAAGTTTCAAGTTTAGAAACTTTCAAGGTATACCAAATCCAGATTCAGACGATGAAGGTCCTAATGATGATAGAATAGAATATGAATATGATAATGAAAGTGGATTACCTCAGAATTTAAGTGATTCATCTGATGATGAAGAGGATAAAGATAATAGACATGGAGATGCCGTAGATATTACTGATCAAATAAATAGGAAAGATAGTAAACATAGTATCACTTCAGTTGAAGTGAATGAAGATAAAAAAGCTACTGGAGGTGGTGGAATCAAAGGAATATTACGAAAAATGTCATTAATAGATAGATCAACTGATCCAGAAATGTCTCCATCTGATACATTTCTTGGACGAGTTTTAAATGCTTCCAATAATGGTTTAAGCGGAGGTGGATTAACTCCTGGTGCTTCAAAGATAAGTGATGAATATAATAAAGAACCTGATGCTGAACAAAGAATTGGATTTGAAGATCCTATTGAATTAAAAAGAATGGATTTTGATTCCTTAAATGAAGAAGCTCAAAATTTAATCTCAGCTCATGTACCAGAATATAGAGATAGACATGTAATAAGAGAAAGTTCTTCAAGTAGCAATGATCAAATAAATCATGAAGATAAGGTGAATGAATCGGAACATCGTCCTCATCAAGATTCATTTTTTACCAGCAATCTAAATAACAATTTAGAAACTTCCTATTATGATCCCAATGAACCTGATTTCTTACTTGATTCCAATGATGGTTATATTGCACCACCAAATAAAGTCCATGCGGGTGTTTTAAGTTCATTATTAAAGTTATATAATCATGAAGACCAATCTAGATCCACATCAAGTTTCGCAACTACATTCACTGATGGTGGAACTATCGCTGATGATAGTATTTATGGTGAAGGATTATCAGAAACCAGAACTCAATCAACTTTAGACTTTTCAAAGTTAAAACATGGATTTATGTCAGGTCAAAGAAAAGTTACGGATAATTTATTAGGTAAACATAAACATTCAAGTTCAACTGAAGATGATCAACAACTGTATGATGAAAAATTACCATCTTTCCAAAATGCTAAACCAAGACAACCACCTAAAAAGCCTCAAAGATCAAAGAAGATTAAAAACAAGAAAAGAGAACAAAAATTAAAGATCACGGTTCATATTGCCGATATTTTACAACGACAAAGATTCATCATGCAAATGTGTCGAGCATTAATGTTATTTGGAGCTCCAACCCATAGATTAGAAGAATATATGTTGATGACCAGTAGAGTACTTGAAATCGATGGTCAATTCATGTATTTCCCTGGATGTATGATAGTTTCATTTGGGGATGCTGCTACTAGAACAAGTGAAGTTCATTTAGTTAGATGTGTTCAAGGATTAAATTTATCTAAATTATCTGATGCTCATAAGATTTATAAAGGAGTTATTCATGATATAATGGGAGTTGATGTTGCAGCTGCAAAATTAGATGCGTTATTAAAATCAAAAAATCTTTATCCTCCATATATTTGTGTTTTAATCTTTGGATTAGGAGCAGCAACAGTGGCACCATTTGCATTTGGAGGTGGTTGGATTGATGTTCCTATATTATTTGGACTTGGATGTTGTGTTGGATTCTTACAATTTTATTTATCATCCATGTCGAATTTATATTCATCAGTATTTGAAGTTACTGCCTCTATTGTGGTTTCATTTATTGCCAGAGGTATAGGATCAATTAGAGGGGGGAATTTATTTTGTTTTGCGGCTATTGTTCAAGGAAGTTTAGCATTAATTTTACCGGGTTATATTATTTTATGTGGATCATTAGAATTACAATCAAGAAATATTGTAGCTGGATCAGTTAGAATGTTTTATGCGATTATTTATTCATTATTTTTAGGGTTTGGTATTACATTAGGAGCAGCTTTATATGGATGGGTTGATAGTAATGCTACCAGTGCCAATACATGTGCTGAGGGTCATCCTGTAAATGATAAATGGAGAATTCTATTTGTACCTGGATTTTCCTTAAGTTTAGCGTTAATTAATCAAGCAAGATGGCAACAATTACCAGTCATGCTTGTAATCAGTGGTGGAGGTTATGTAGCCAGTTATTTTGCCGGTAAACATTTTGCTAATGTAACTGAATTTACTTCATGTATTGGTGCTTTTATAGTTGGAATTCTTGGAAATTTATATAGTAGAATTTGGAAAGGTATGGCGGTTAGTGCCATGTTACCAGCCATTTTCGTTCAAGTTCCTTCCGGTATAGCCAGTAAAGGATCATTAATTGCTGGGGTTGCTACTGCAGATCAAATCACCAAGGGAAATTCTACTAGTTCAACTGCTACTACTAATGATTTAGGCTCATTAGATTTTGGTGCTACTATGGTTGAAGTTTCAATTGGGATTAGTGTTGGATTATTTGCTGCTGCATTGGTAGTATATCCCTTTGGTAAGAAGAGAACTGGGTTATTTACTTTATAGATATTATAGTATACACACACTCTGTTTATAAAAAAGTTCATTATACCATGTAAGTAGTATATTTTGACGATAGTTGATAAATCGGGGGTCCGCTATCTGACGAGGAGCGGAAAAATGAGACCAAAAATATTTAAGCCACTTCAAAATTTGAGAACGAGAATGGAAAATAAAAAATCCAAAATAAACCATCATCTAACTACTATAAATAGGAATCTATAGATCTAGATCTCAATTGTAACTTCAGAGGTATCAGGATAGATATAGGTTGATCAACAATTGAATCATCCAACCAATTGATCCTCATTCAAAATTATAACAGAACACAGAAACAACAAATACAATATCACATAAGAAGCAATGTTGCAAGCTCGACAATTATCACAATTATTATCACAAAGTTTACAACCGATAACCGTCCCATCAACCATCAACGGGGGTGGACATCTCCATACGGGGCCTGAGGGGATCTCACCATTTGCCATTTCATTATTGAGTAATGAAGGTATACCCTTGACTACAGTCATCAATCATAAACATCATTATCAAACTCGACAAACATCTACATCAAATGAAGACGATATTGAAAGTGGGAAGGGAAGTCAAAGTGGGAATGTAGATGGTGATGAGGGGTATAATAGTGATAATTTAAAGATATATGCTTTGATTGGGTATAAACAATTGGAAGCCAATCTTCGTAATGAAGATGATGCAAGATTGAATGATTGGGAAATACTTCAGATTGAAGATGGATTGAAATTAATCATACAGAGAGTGAAATATGGAATTCAAAGTGTAGTTGGAGATGATGTTAATGGTGGAGTGGGCCTGACTACCAATGGAGAGAATGGAATCGAACATATTAATGATATAGATGATGATAATGGCGTCAATGTAAATCATATTGATTTTGCTCAGGGTGAAGGTGAAGGTGCCAATCCTTCATTCCATCAATTGTTCGTCGTGTTATATTATTCAACGGAATTGCCTGATTCAATTGCAAAGTTAAAAATAGATAATGTTTCAAAAGCACTATCTGAAGGATTAGAAGGTTGTAATGGTATATAAAAAGAAGAATTAAAAGAAGATAGTTACGCTTTCGTTTTGTTATTTATTATATAGAATAGAGAAAAAACTAAATCAGTTTAATAATAATAATAATAATTTTCATACAAGTGGTTTCAAATAGATAAGTTTAATGATATATATGTAAAAATAGATAACTAAAGCCCAAATTATATAATATGAAGTAGGGGGAGAAAATAGAGAGGATAAGGAGAGATACAAAAAATAAAGGATTAGATGCAGATATTATATAAAAAGTACATAGCAACAAGGAATACGGATGAAGATAACAATAGTAATAATTAAGTGGCTGGTTGGTTGAGTTAGGAGGATGAGGTAGGAAGATAAAAAATGATGCAAAAGATAAAGATAAATGAACCTCAAATGGAGATGATAAGTTATTGAAGGAATGGAGGTGATGATGATGATTGGATTAGTTGTATGATGAATAAATTAGAGATAAGTAAGAACAACAATGAGAAGAACAAGAAGAAGAAGGAACCATTAAAAAAGAAAAAAAAAACCATTAAAAAATAAAGGAAGAGGAAATGAATAATGACAACGTTAATAATATAGGATTTAAACATATCATCCATCCATTAAACTTGCTTGAACACTTTCATCATCTTCAACTTCATCATCATCATCATGATCATAATCATCTTCTTCATAATCATCTTCATCATCATATTCTGACCAAAAATCATCATTTAATTGTTCAATTTCAAGTCTATTATGATTTGATTTAAATACTTCAGCTTCAGAATCTGGCATTACAAAACCTTCTGGAATATTTTGTTTTGAATGTTCAACTTCTTGTAAAACTTTTCTTTTATAAGCATCCGGATTTTTTCTTAATTCAACTGAAGCATCAATATTAGCAGGGGATGAAACATTTGGATCTTCTAAAAGGGAAAGAATGGAAATTAAGACAGATTCAACCGATTGAGCAGGGGACCAAGTTTCATTATCTGGTTCATCATTAGTTGGATCACCACCTTGATGTAAGATAGATATACAAACTCTACCATCTCTATAAATATTTGGATGATATAATGGAGGAGTGAATCTAAAGGTTGGAGGAGAAAAGGGGAAATCAGGAGGGAATTTCATAGAACCTTTAAAATAACCTCCATGATAGATTGATTCTTTATTAAATACCATCATACCAATATTCCATAAAAAGATATTATCATCATCTAAATCGATGTGAAATGGAGAAACTTTTTTGGGGTCGGTTAATTCTTTAAATTGACGTTGTAAGAGAGCAGCTGTCGGTCTTGACATGATGGAATAGATTTATGAATGGGGGGAAGGAGGGTATAAACGTTCTTGCTGTAGTAGTAGTAGTAATAGGAGGAAGATTACAAATCCACTATTAGACGGGGAGATGGCGTAATGGGGAAGGATAGGGAGGAAAGGAGGTAGGGAGGGAGGGGGCTAACTATAACGATGCTGATAAGGATATGATAAGACCACCAACAGATAAGTTTTGATGAGGATGACTTTGGGGGATAACTATTAAGATATGACTGAACCTTTAAGTTATTAAGTTATAATAGTTATATGTTGATGTGAGGTGATGCCTTTTAGGTTTAAGTTGATAATTAATAACAATCAACAACAAAAACTTTTGGGAAAATGGAACGAAAAAAAAAAAACTAAAATAAAAAAAAAAGAAACTGAATTGAATTGAACTCGTAACAGTTAGACACAAATAGAAAAATCACACCCACACAAAAGAAATGTGATTTTGAGTTTTATTACTAAGTAAGTAAGTAAGTAATGAGTTTGAACCTAATAATAGATTTACACTATACTTGAATGATATAACCTAAACTAAGACTTATAGTAATAATAAGAAGAAGAAGAAGAAGAAGAAGAAGGAGTAGCAGAAATAAGATATGAATTAGTTATGAATTATATCATCCCATTTGTGGTGGTGGTGGTGGTGGTGGTGGTCCACTCTGATTTTTAAACATATCATAAAAATGACTGTCTGTCTGATTTGATTAATTAACTGACAGATCAGACAGACAGTGCGAAATTTAAGAATTACATAACAACTAAATTGTCTGTCTGATTGATTGGGTTAACTACTCTACTACAGTTTAATCATGACATTTAATCATTGATTATTATGTTCTACTAAATCGTCAAAGGAGATACTAACATATCCCTATATCTTAGATTCCATTAAGCCATTTATAATCAGATCAGATCTATAGTTAACACTCCTCCACCATTTACAATTCACCCTTGACCAGCTATAAAACAATATGAGGTGACATTAACAATTATTCACCATAACTGTTATCATAATAATTATATTACACTTAATGTTACTGTTTGTTTGATTTGTTACCTTAACTGTAAGGGTAGTATACTATTCTTAATAGTTACCCATAATCATCATCAATTGGTCCAACATCCATGCCACAGTAGAGGTTTCTCCTTAATAGGAAATTTTAAAATTTCTTTTTTTTTTTACAGTTTTTGATTTCTTTTTTTAACTTTTTCGCAATTGTAATCATTCATCGTATTAAATTTGTACATTATACATAAATAAATACAAATACACCTCTTAAAAATCGGGAAAGATCACGGGGATGAAATCACGAGTCGGGGTTCTAAACAAATTTCTGAATTCATCTATCAAAATCTTATCACAAGATTTTATACCAAAACATAGTTTTACAAAACTATTCATTATTCTTTTCAATATTTATCATATATTCTATTTATCATATCCCTAGATAGACCCATTCTAGATTATGCCAACCCATTAGATCACTCCATACCATTTTTGTCATTATCATCATCAGATTCATGTTTAATTAGAGATCATTTTCATTCCTTGTACTATATATTCCTTCCATTTACCCCATCATTTTAATATTCCATCCATGTATAAATCACCCCTCAAATCCATACCATTTCAATTTAGTATCAATCATATAGGAATAAGTAGTATACGATATAACAGTTCATCTAGTTCCGATCAGTTGAATTATTATCAAATTCTAGAAATCCCAACTAATTCAACTATAAAAGAAATCAAACATCAATTTAAAAAATTAAGTAAGAAATATCATCCTGATTTAAATCCCAGTTTAGATAATGATGAGAAAGAAGCCTTGAATGATAAATTCATCAATATCGTCACTGCTTATGATACTTTAAAAGATATCAAACGTAAGAAAGAATATGATCAAGATATATTAGGGAGATCTTCACATCGGAATAATTATGGATTTGGAAGTAATAATCAAAGTAATCGTGAACGTGAATGGCATAATAAGTATTATGGAGAAGCGAAATATTATTCCAAATCAGGTTCAAGTTCAGGATCAGGATTAAATACTAAACGAAATAAAGTTTATTTTAATGATCAAAATGATAGTTCTGATTTCGATTTACATTCAAAATTCTCAGGTCATCATGTAAATTATGGCGATAGATTCGATGTCCCTCATTTCGATTATAATCAACATTTACATAAACATTTGAAATTCGAACAACGAATTATAAATAAACATTTATCAAAGGAAGATCGCGATAAAATCTTACAAAATTTATTAAAATCATCTTCAAATAATGATATAAGTGAAGAATTAATCACCAAGCATTTAATGAGACATGTTCAATTACGAGATAATAATCCTATGAATCAATCTCAATCATATTCATCGTCTTCCACAACATCCACATCATCCCCTCGTCCAAATCACGCGTCGTCATCAAGTTCATCCTCCACTTCCTCGTCATATTCCTCCACATCACGGAACCCACACATGTATTACGCTCCACCACGTCAAGATTCAGATTCATCAATGTTTAAAACTCTAATGTTATTCACAGGAGCAGGAAGTTCATTATTCTTATTATACAAAGCCGTATCCTGAGACAAATCTACGACGATGAAATTTTTAAGTATCTATTTATGTATTTTTTTTTGTATATATATAAATTGTATTAATGAAAGTTTTTAAAAAAAGAAAGAGTGTAATAAAAATAATGTAATATAAAAAAACATGGAGGATGATGGGGAGGGAATAATAATCTAAAACAAGGAAGGAGAGTGATCAACTAAGGGTAAAGTAAATAAAAATGAAACAATATGCAAAATTTATGAGGAAATGGATGAATGGAAACTAATTCTCTAACGATCAACTTCACCAAACACTAAATCCATAGTACCAATAATAGCCACAGCATCAGCTAATAAATTACCTCTTGAAATATGATCAAATGCACCTAAATGAGCAAAACCTGGTGCTCTAATTTTACATCTATAAGGTCTTTCAGAACCATCACTTACAACATATACTCCCATTTCCCCTTTTGGAGCTTCGATACAAGTATAAGTTTCACCTTGTGGTACAGCATAACCTTTGGTGAATAATAAGAAATGATGAATTAAAGCTTCCATATCTTCTTTCATTAAAGATCTTGATGGAGGACTGATTTTATAATCTTCAACTTTGGTTGGACCTTCAGGTATATCATTAATACATTGGAATATAATTCTTAAAGATTGTCTAAATTCAGCCATTCTAATTAAATAACGATCATAACAATCACCATTTAAACCAACAGCAATATCAAAATCAACTAAATCATAAGCATCATAAGGTTGAGATTTTCTAATATCAAATGGAATACCGGAACCTCTTAACATGACTCCTGAAAGAGAATAATTTAAAGCATCTTCAGCGGTAACAATACCAACACCAATGGTTCTATCTTTCCAAATACGATTATCAGTAACTAATTCTTCAGTCTCATCAATTCTATCACCAAATTGAGTAGCCCACATATAAATATCATCTAATAAACCAACTGGTAAATCTTGACTAACCCCACCTGGTCTAACATAAGCACTATGTAATCTTGCCCCAGAAACACGTTCATAAAATTCCATTAATTTTTCACGTTCTTCAAATCCCCAAAGGAAAGGAGTTAAACCACCAACATCCATAATATGAGATAACACTGACATACAATGATTTAAAACACGAGTGATTTCACCAAATAAAGTTCTAATATATTTGGCTCTTAATGGAACTTCAATGTTTAATAGTTTTTCAACTGCTAATGCAAATACTAATTCATTGGTCATCATACTAACATAATCCAATCTATCAAAATAAGGTAAAGCTTGAATATAAGTTTTAATTTCAATTAATTTTTCCGTACCACGATGTAACAAACCAACATGAGGATCAGCTCTAACGATTTCTTCCCCATGTAATTCAAGAATTAATCTTAACACTCCATGAGCGGCTGGATGTTGAGGACCGAAATTAATGGTGAAATGTCTAATTTTTGAATTTTGTTTTTCAACTTTCTTTGGATCATCATCTTTATTCCAAACCATATCGACTTCATCGAAAACTTCGGAGAAAGTGGTGGATCCAAACACACCTGGTTCATCTGAATATCTTTGATTTGGTTTACCTAAGGCATTATGAAAAGGTTTTGGACCTTCAGGTTCATGACTAGCATTTAATTTTGAGATTGATGAGAATGATTTAGATATTATAGGAGAGATGGTAGGTATGATTGAAGATGATTTTATGATTGAGGATGATGATGATGAGGTATATTGGGATAATCTGGTTAATGGTATTCTAGAAGCTCTTAACATTATGAAAGGTAGTTATTATGTGATGAGGGGGAATATATGTGTAAGTGGAGAAAATAATGATTAATGCAAAGATTATAATAATAATAATGATGATGAATAATGAATAAAAGGGATATTAATGAAAATATCTTAACTTATGAATGAATTAAAAATAACGAGTCAACACGAATAACACTATAATTGACTTTTGATGAATACAACTAATCAATGATATCAATAAAGGATTGATTTGATAAGTAAAGATATATCTTCTTCAAATGACGTTGGAAAAAGGTATACAAAAAGACTATTATTCAACAACAACACAATGAATTGAATGGAATGAATGATAGATCCTCAAATGATGTAATTGGGGAGACTTTATAGAGTTGATATCTGAATCTAATCAATTTATGATTATAGGCTCAAATTTTACAGTGTTTTTTTTTTTTTTCAAAGTGGTAAAGGATTTGAAAATGATGTTTCTTCATTGGTTAGATGTCACATGACGAAAGTCACCCGTATCTGGTAGTGCACCGAGATCAAAGTTTCGCCAAAGTCGTGTACTGTGACGACAAGTGAAGAGGAGAAATCGGAGGTCGTGTGTTCTTGTTCAAAAGGGTTTTCATTTCCCTTTTTGTTTCCGACGCGGTTAATCATAAAATTGAATTTCAAGACGCGTCGTGCGATTTGGTCAAAAAAGTAAAGCTAAAATTATATACACTCCTTACTTCCCAACCCAATCTAGTAATTAAAGACAAGCAAAGAGTGAGAGAAAGTGCTGGTGGTACGAAAAAAAGAGGGTGTGTCCGTACCAAAAGGTTTATTATGCGTAAAATTTCTTTTTTATTAAATTTTTACACAAAAAAATGGCATCCTGTATATAACCATCATACCAAAATTTTCGCCTTAAATAGAAAATGGGTATGACAAGAGATTGTCTGAATAATAATATAGTTAGTAAAAATATATACTATGTTAGATTGTGTGTATATAGTTACCCTTCTTCTTAATGTATAGTTATATAGTAATAGTTTATATACTTATCATTTCCTTCTCTTTCTCTTTTTTTTCATTCTATACATCTTTTTTTTTTCTCTCTTTATTTTTTTTTTAGTTAAGCAATATCTTCTTTATAGGAGTTTTTTCACTATTAAAATTATTTATCAACCATAACAATAATAGTAACGAGTTTTACATATATTTAAATTGTATTATACTTTTATAACCATCGAAATATAATCACATCCACCTTTATTCAACTTAAGTTAAGAACCCATTTACTTGCTGTTTCTTAAAAGTTTTTCCCACCATATAAACTACGACAAGATGAATTTTGCATCAAAGAGAAAAAGAGATGAAGTTGAACCTGATACTAAAAAGATTAAAAATTTCATAAATGAACAAGATAAACAAGAATATACTACTTCAAATGAATGGCCTATTTATTCTCATCCTGAAGGTGGAATTGTAAAAATCACTCCTTGGGGTTCTTTAAGACAATTTGAACATCCTGTAACTGGTGAACAAATTACAAAATTTGAAGATGTTTCATTTGGAGATATTTCATTTAATTCAATCAATAGTAATGATATTTATGATACTTTACCTTCAACTCCTCAATCTTTATATAATCAACAAATTCAACAACAACAAAATCAAAATCAAAATCAAAGAAATTATTCATCCCCCAGTAATCAACAACAACATAGTAGTACTCAATTAAGATTAAGTCCAAGTGATGAAGTAGAATCATATGTTGTAGATGGATATCATCAAATAACTCCACCTCCGCCATCTATGCAAGAAATTCAACAACATAATGACCAAAACCAACCACAACAATCATCATCATCATTACAACCTCAATTTGAACAAGAACAAGAGAATTATTTCGGAATGATGGATCAACAAAAGGAAGAATATGAATATAATGATGAATTAGTGCGTCATTATAGTGGAGATGAAGATGTAATGATGTGAAAATGGTTCATATCTATACTATCTACACAATTCAATTCTTCATGTTATTTATTTATTCAAAAGTCAAAATAAATCTATTTTGAAAATAGGTTTAACGGTGATTAAGTATTTTGTTCAAGTTTACGTTTACGTTTACGTTTATTACTTTAGTTTAGTTTATTACTTTTACAATTCTGTATATTAGTGTGTCATTAGAAGAAGTTTACGATTATTTTTAAAAATATATATTCAAATTTAAAATGGGTAAATTTTATTTCAATCCAGTTGGGATTTTCTACTTTATGCTGTAAAATGGAGAAATATGAGCAACCTTTTTAAAAAATGTGGGAACATTCCTTTTAAGTTAGTTAAGCGTATAGTGCAAATATTTTCTCCTCTCCTCTTCTCTTTTGGTTCATGTTAAAAATTAACTATAAACCAGCCCTCCTATATATAATATGAGGCATGGATGTGTTTAATAGTCGTCTGCTGCAAAAAAAATGCTAGTAAATAGCCAAACAACACAATTCATACAATTAATCAACTAAACAACTAAATTACATGTCTACATCACTTAATATTCAAATTAACAAATAAATTTTACATTAAAAAGAAAATAATAACTGTAAATATAACAGAAATACACAAGAATTAAATAAAAGTATCAAAATATTTTAAAATACTTTCACCAAACAAAATCAATCATTCATCTAATTTAAGTTTCTTTAACTTCTAATGGAGTTAATCTTAAATAAGGCTTGATGATTCTGAATTTTGGGAATAAAGTCTTGGCTTCTTCATTAGAAACAGTTGGATGAACAATAACATCATCTCCTGGAACCCAATTGATTGGAGTTGTAACTCTATATTTATCACCAGTTTGTAAAGAATCAACAACTCTTAAAACTTCAGCAGTGTTTCTACCAGTGGAAGCTGGGTAGGATAAGATTAATCTAATAGTTTTCTTTGGATCAATAATGAAAACAGATCTAATAGTAAATTGAACACCCTTATTATCAACATTAGTAGCATCTTGATAATCAATCATATCAAATGCATGAGCAACTTTTCTTTCTGGATCAGCAATGATTGGGAAAGTTAATTTGGAACCAGTAACTTCATCAATATCTTTAATCCAAGCTTTATGAGAATCAGTATTGTTAGCACTTAAACCAATCAACTTAACCCCTCTTTTAGCAAATTCAGGTTCTAATTTAGCAAAAGCACCTAATTCAGTAGTACAAACTGGAGTGAAATCATCTGGATGAGAAAATAACACAGTCCATGAATCACCAATGAATTCATGGAAAGAAATTGGTCCATTGGAAGTATCAGCTTTGAAATCTGGAGCTTTGGATCCTAATCTTAAAGCTTTATGTTCAGTAGCCATTTTGAAATAATATATTAGTCAATTGAATAGATAAATGAATTATTCTAATTATTGAATAAAAAGAAAAATACTAAGAAAGAACAAAAGTTATAATTTTTTTGAAAAATGTTTTTATACAATTGGGATTATATATATATAATCAAATTACAACCACCACCACCCCCCATGAAATAATTGAAAAATCGGGTTGTTTAAAATTGTTAAAAAATCACCACTTTGCACGTGATATGGCTCACACCAACAACAAAAAATGGTTTTGATGTTCGGACCTGTTATATGATCTGTATACAGGAAAAACGAAAAAACGCCACACCAAAATGTCATATACCGTTAATTAACTATTAGATCATATATATTGTTATATGACTATCTAGTTTATGTGGGGATATTATATATATATCAAGAGTCAAAAGTGTAAATTTGCAATTTATTACTTAAATTAAACTTCAATTTTAATCGTTATCTTCTATGTATGTACAGAAAAATAGTAGCCACAATATTTAATCTTATCTCCCCATTGTAAAAATATATATTCATTCAGGATGATTCAATAATAATTCTTCATGATCAGCATCTTCAGCATCAATGTCAACTCCTAAATCATCCAATGTTTCCCCTTGATCATTCATCCATTCCGTCCGTTTCATATTTGATCGAGGATCTAATCTTTTCTTTAATAGTTGAATATTGGTACGACCATTGATTTGAATTTGATCTAATTCAATATCTCGATTGATAGTACTACTAGTGGTGTTTTCTTGATGTCCACTATCTGGAGGCCAAGGTAATCCCAATTGATCCTCCTCTATGAATTCTTCACTTTTTTCAATATGATATCCATCATTATTTGGTCCTCCCCATGGTAAAATCCATTGATAAGGGTATCCTATACTGGTGGTTATATTCTTCCAAAATCCTAAATCGTAGGGGAATATTAAATCTTCATAAGTGTATTCTTGAGGTACGACACCCTGTTCCAACAACTCTTCTTGTTCTTCCTCTTCTTCTTGTTGTTCCTGTGAAAGTTCTTCTGCTGCACGTATTCTTTCATTTTCAGTTCTCCAACTAGTCAACTTCGGTAATGCCTTATTATGTAATTTGAAATAATTCAGTCTAATTTGACGCCAAAATCTTTCAGTATGAAATTGTCCTTCAATTCTTTCTGATTCCCAAACTTCAATTTGTGTCATACCTTTCACCATAAAATTAATTAAACATCTTATAAATAAAATTAAAATCGATATAAACATAAAGAAATCAATTGGTAATAAAAACACCACCGCAAGCATTTCTCCACGAGGAATTAAATAAGCCGGTAAATTCCTTTCTTCATAATATTGTATAACTCGTTTACTTAATTGAACCATAATATAACCTGATGTCCATATAACCCACAATAAGAATCGTAAAAAATGAGGGAAATTCCCATGACCTACACAATTCATTGTCCAAGGACAATGATGATCCATCTTTAATACACATTTTTGACAACTCTTACAATGATGACTTCGTTCAGGTTTATAATTCTGACATTTCTTACACCATCTTCTCCATTCTCCTTGATTGGGTTCGAAATTGATCGGTGGTGAGCCTGGGTCCTTACGGATCGCTATGAAGTATGATATCCATGATATGGTAAGATACGCTTGAAACCAAATTTGTTCAGATTGACTTAGATGATTGGAAAATACAAAATAATGGGATCCATATCCACATAACGATATTAGAATACATGGAATCTATAAGATATATTCGTTAGTAAAATAAACATTTTTCTAGAAGTTTCTTATTCTCAATCATCCAACTTACTATCACACCAAGTATTGGCCATTTTAATTTGAATGCCATTATCTTATGAACATTACTGTTATAGATCTTACATACTTCATAAATCGTATTTGATATTCAACAAAAATATACTAAGCAAATTTCCTGCATAAAAACATTCACGTAAGTTAAAGAGTTCATACTAAATTAAAACTACTAAATACTTATATTAACTAGACATAAGAGACATGTAGGTTGATCATGATAACGTAAGAAGTGATTTTGCCTATTTAAGAGGTAATAAATGTTGTTGTAAACATTGTTGTCTACATAATGGGCATTCAGGATGATCTTTAAGCCAATCAAGTATACAATCCCAACAGAATAAATGACCACAATTAGCAGCTGATGGATTAACCATAGGAGATAAACATAACATACAAGTTCGAGAAGATTCTGGTAAATAAGGTAATTGCTTTGGATCTGATAAATCAATATCAAAATTATTTTCGCTATCTTCTGAAATATCTTTTAATTCATCTATATCAGATATTCTCTTCCAATCTTTATCAACTTGTTCTTTATCTAATCTATCTTCTTTACTTTGTTCATCATTATATGCCTTTAACTTAATCAATCCCTTTATGATGAATTGAAGGATTATAACCCCACCCAAAAGAGAATAATTCCCAGTGGCTTTCACACTATTTATATCTTTATTATGACCAAATGCATATCTTAACCCAAAAAGTCGTTTTGATAATGAATAAAATTCACCCAGGAAATAAAATACAGCTATATGAATGTTTAAGAATGTATCAAGAACTTTAAAATATGATGACATTAATTTAACCCATACACTTGTATCTTTCTCATCTTGCTCTTTATATTTGAATTTTTTAACTATTTTGGAGATAAGGTAAGGCAAGATAGCATATGAAAGAATGAATCCTAATCGAGGTAACAACTTGGGTATTTTCTTACCTGATCGATTCACATATATCAAATCAACATATTCTTCACCTAAAGTACGAGCCCCAATTAATGTAGTTAAACCCAAGTACAATGCTTTCGCCACTATGGTGATTTCTTCAGGATATGAGTTGACAAATCTTTGACCTTTGAATAATTGAAGGATTTCATTTAATTGAGTTCGGTATGATGATTCAAAATAAGCATCCTTTTGATGTGCTCTGACTATAAAGATATTAAACGTTAGTATTATAAGCATACGACAATGAAATAGAAGATGAGGAACATACCTATCGTTGCAGCATCAGCAAACGGCAATGAACGTTCATTGACACTACTCATGTTGTTTATACTTTTTGCCTGTTGAACTGCTTTAAATGGTAATTAATAATGTATAGTTTATGATTCTTCTCCAGTTTTCATTTTTCTCCATAGTAACCAAACCAATTTGGCCGAGGTAAAAAACGAGATTTAATGTATGCGACATTTAGTAATGTCGTATATAATAAATAATGTCGGTCTGTTTTGCAGCAATGAAGAAGTATAAACTTGGAAGTATACTACAAGAATTTTCGACTCTAAATAAAAATAAATAATACATTAAACATAAACAAGAATTGAAATTAAAACAATCGGAATTACGAATTCATACAAGTTAGCTTACATTATTTTGGTTTTTTTCTAAAGCTTCTAAATCGTTTGGGGTCATTTGTCCTAATAAAATCTTCTTAGCTCTTTCATTTGCTAATCTTTCCTTTTCCTTTTTAGCAGCTTCTTCTCTAAATTTAACATCAGTTTGAAACGGTTTACTTAACCATTCATATTTCTTTTCTGCAGATTTACAATATTCTGCCTTGCCGATTACTGAACATTGACTTATGAAATTTGATTCTAAGTTATTCTTTGATTCTCTTAAATAATGAGTTTTAAACTTATGTCTATCACCATCTAACATTTTAGTAAGATGTTTCAACCATCCTTTAACATGAATGACTTTATTATCTTCATCAGCTTCTGAATACGCAATACCCATAATATCTTCACCATATTGATTTTCTTCATTAGTCATATTTTTAGGTATGAAATCCCAATATGCAATTGAATTTGGAATTAAAACTGATTTACCATCTTCACATTTGTAATCTTCTAATTCTGTTTCAAAAGATTCAGGATTGATATTAAAGTCCAACAATGAAGTGGTGTAATCAATAGTAAATTTATCATTTGGATCATCCACACGAGTTGATATCAAAATTGCATGGAATCTATAAAGATGATCCATACATCCACAGCCATGAATGTGAGATCTGATTATACCAAACCAAAGTTTTCGATGTTTAGCTAAATCACTTGGTAAAAGATTTGAAGGAATTTCCATTAAATTGGTACTTCCAGAAAGCTCAGAACCAGAAGCTTCAGGATCGACCTCGGGTCCAGTTACGGTATGACAAATTCCACTATCAATATTACATTTTATGATTCTGAATGGTAAAAAGCTATAAAGGAAATAAATGTATTCTTTATCAGTACTGAAAAATGGTGCCCAATTCTTTTCAATGGGTTTATGTTTAACAGCGTGAATATCAAATCTTCTAACTCTAGTTCGATGAGTAAATGGTCTATAAATATGCATAGCTCTGGCTTGTTTTAATTTTTTCAGAATTGTATTAAAAATAATCACTGGTTCTTGATCCATTTTTTGAGTTTTTTCATTAAAATAATCTCTGATAATTATACGTGGATCTTCAGGACCTAAAAACTGTTTATCACCAACATCATCCATACTAGCTGGGAAGATAGCAGGGAAAACGATTGGTTCACCATGAATATCATCTATAGTATAGTCTTCCAATTCATTCCAATCTTTATCTAAGATCTGAGCATATAATAATGAAAGTTTTGGTGATTTATAATTTTTAGAAGGACAATATGTGACTCTATTAATAACAATATAAACTCCATATTTATCCATCCAAACAGGAGCTGAACAAAATTTAAACCATTTTCTTTCAAGAATATATTCTAGAGTTTCACTTTCATGATCATCAAAAGCGTATTGTAATAATGGATATTCATTTCTTTGATACATGTCTATGGCAAGATTTCTAATTTTTAGCATTTCATTCTCGACATCTAATTTTGTCATTTCAGTTGAAGAACTTAAAGAGTTTTTATCATAAAATGAGATTTTAGGACATTTGAAAGTAAAGAATTCACTCAATTCTTCTTCATCAAATTTCTTTTGTTTAGGAAATGAAACATCAATATCAAAGTGATCTTCCATATTTGAAAATGTTAATAACTCAACTGGTTTGAAATGAAGTTTAGTAACTTCTTCAGAAATAGGGCTATGTCTTAAATTAAAAGTATGAGAATAATATTCAACTAAATTGTAATGTGTTTGAATATCAATGAATAGTTGACTGACAAAAGTTATAATAAGATTCATATTTAATAAAACTAATAATGAGATAAAGAATAACTTAAACATCGTTTTAATATCCTTCAAAGAACTTCTTGAAATAAGTTGAGCAGGATTATTATGTTTAAAGATTATTATTGAAGTGGCCATTACCGCTACCAATAATAGCCCTGATAAAGCATACGCTTCATATTCTATTGCAACAATCTCATCCATTATGTAAGATTGATACTTCAGGATCTCAGGTATGTATGTTCGAATAAAAATGAATAAAGGAGTTCAAAACTACACAATTTAATTTATTTACTGCAACACTGTTATTTATAAATGATCGTAGGCAAAGTAATGTAAAATAAAGACGAAAATATCATCATCGCTATTAAATGGGAAATGTGGTAAACAAATTTTTATAAATTTTAGTTAAAATCTATTGTTCTTCTGGCCAAATCTAATGTAGAATGACTTAATACCAAACTAACGATGACTGTAACTAACACCATTTTGAAATGTAAAAATCGTTATAGCTACAAAAAAGCCCCATAAAGAAGAATTCTTGATTGATTTTTGCAAAGCTTAATCAGATGCTGTGCATAAAAAATAAGTTTAGGCTAAAAAAAGAAAAGAGAACAAAAGTGTATTAGTCGGAAATATTAATACTGGGGTACATCGTGAAAGGGAATCTAGAGTTTTGTGTACTTTGAATGCAGAAAGATACACAGTGTGTGTAAGTCTATTTTAAATGCATGTCTATGGTTGATTATCATAGACGAGATAAATCAAGGTGAAGATTGACTGCGAAACCAACTCCGAATTATTAAAACTTTCAAATTGAATGTAAACAACTTCTTTTTCTTTTAACCAAGAGAACAGAAGACGACGTTTAAAGATTTAGTCCTGTCATTCTCTATTTATTTCAGCTAGATTCGTATAATAGTAAAGTTCTCTTAAACCATTTTGATGTTTTCAGCTTAATATAAAGCTAACGCAACATCTTTTCAGAAAAAAAACATGCAACGGGATATGAATTATATACAGGAATAAGATGACCCCCTAGATTGTTTAAGTAATTACATCATAACTTGTCGATGATATGTTAATCATTGTAAGAAGTCAATACATATTTCATATTTTTAGGGTAGGTTCATATGAACTTTGGCAGATTGACTTGAGTTAACGGTATGTAAAGCAGTTCAGATAAGAGTTGTGTTGGTATTTTTCTACACCCTTAACGGAGAGAGTCTAGATTACATAGACAAGCATTTATTTTGTAGGACAAAATTAGCCCAGAATATAATAGTTTGATAGAATAGTAGCCGTAGACATCCAATAGACTTTTATTGAACTTTTTGCAATATAACGTACGAGTATCTTTATTTAATTCTAAAAACGTTGCTTTTATTAAGGTAATAGTATTGACAAAATTAAGTAATGGTACATATAATATAATATAGAATAAAATATTAGCTTTCTAAGATAGAGATTTTAAAGTTCTCAAAAGTCTTATAACTTCTTTACCCAAGTTAGTATCAATGGTAACTGCCAAGGACGTATCAAGGGCTAGAGTAGAGTCAGGTTGAATTCCTGTCAAACTATTAATTTCATTAATTGACTCGGATAATTCCTTATCATTTGATAATACTTCTTTAGCAGAAACAAGATTACTAACTAATGAATTTATAACAATTAATGCTTTGGATAACACCAAAGTAAGAATTTTATATTCATTGGATTCTCGAGGAAACTTCCCAGTTTCAGAAACTAAAGCAATAGCAACTCTGGCAAAATTAGATAATATCAATTCTTTGTTATGGATCAACCATTTAATTGATAATCTGTTGATAGATCCTGATAAATCATCAATTGGAATCATATCTATAAGAAGCTTTGTTCCGAATAAGGCTTGTGAAATAGTTGGAGCTCTGGTAAAGACAAACTTCGAAAATTCATAACTATTAGCATCAAATGGAATAATACTCATATATAATTTGAATGCCTTAGTTAATAATTGTCCTGATGTAAAATCTTTACCCTTTTGGAAAGCTTTAATTAACTTTCTAGTTTCTTCTTGATCTTTATGATTTATAGTAAGAGATTTAACATTGGAATAATTAGCAGTGGAAGATATACTTAAGGTACCTGTTAATACTGCTTGAATTAATGATCTATTATGAGGTTCTCTTACCATAAGCTTGGTTAATAAATCAATGGCAAATGGTAAATAGGAATACATTTCAAGATTTGATTGTGGAATTTCATAATTGGATTCATCCAAATCAGGTCCAAATGAACAAACTAATGCAAAGGCTAAAAATGCTTGTTCTAAACTTCTTAATTCAAAACAGAAAGCAATATTATCCAACACATATAAACAATCCTTCAATAAACATAATCTCTTTCTGGTGAATACAAATTTATCCTTTTGGAGCCCAATAGTTTTGATAAGTGAAAATAACAATTTCTTTAAGGATGGATTGGTAGCCATTGCAATACTGTTATAATTTAAAAATGAAATATTTCTCAAAATCATGGTGATAGTGATTAACAAATCAACTTGCAACACTTTTTCATCAACTGCACTCTTTGCTTGAATTTTACTAAAATGATGACTATTTTCAGCTTTAAAGTCAGTCAATGAAGCGACATAATCTGGCATATCAAAATCGTAATCTTTGCGTCGAGTAGTACCATTACTGGTCTCTGGAGTAGTAGCCGATGATTTTTCATAATCCATCAAAGAGAATAAATCAAAGTCATCATCATCATCTTCATCAACTTCACCTGTTAATGAATCAACTACCAAATGAATATCTTCATTAGCAAACCCATGGCTAGCGTTATTATACTTTTCGAAGATATCATTGATAAGATTGTTATCAGAAAGTTTAGTAGCATCTTCAAAAATATTCTCTTCTTCCTTATCCAAGACTATTCTATCAAGAACTTTAGAACCTAAAATCGATAATGACTCTAACAATTCTAAACAGTCATTGATATTTAATATACAATCTTTATCAGCCGTAATCACTAACAAAGTATTTAAAGAATTAACAACTTCTTCATTATTTTGAGAGTTACTCTTAAGTCCCATGATTATGGCTTGTAAGTTCACAGTACCTAATTCAGGTGAAAAAAGGTAAACTGGTTTAGCAGTATCAATTTCTCCTCCAATTTGAGATAATTCTTTGATGTTATAACCACCATGTGAATCCACTAATTTCCTGAATGGTACATAACTCTTTATGATATTTGGTTCTTCTTTTTCTATTTCTGGTTTCACTTGTGGTTGTTGCATCAATTGAGAACCAGAAGCAACTCTACCCTGCAATGTAGGCTGTGACTGCTGCTGTTGTCTATGTTGTTGTTGTTGTTGTTGTTGTTGTTGTTGTTGTTGTTGTTGTTGTTGTTGTTGTTGTTGTTGTTGTTGTTGTGGAGGAGGAGGTTGTTGTTGTTGAAATTGTTGTACAGGTGGTTGTTGCAGAAGACTACTTTGACGTTGCTGTTGTTGTTGCTGTTGATGTTGCTGTTGCTGTTGTTGCTGTTGTTGAAGTTGATTTTGTTGTTGCATTTGGAGCTGTTGCTGTTGTTGTAAGAACTGCTGTTGTGAAGTGAGTTGATGTGTAGCATGTTGTGATTGAATTGGTGCATTAGTTTGTTGGCCCAAAACACTACTAGATCTTGAACCACTAATTTGTTGATTCTGTAAATAAGGAGATTGAACAACACTAGGGGAATTATTATTAGAAGCGTTGCTAACGCGAGACATTTTCCTTTGTTGTGGGGTTGGGGCTTGACTTAACATTGGACTTTGTTGATTTATAGATGGTGTTGGAACGTTATTTACAACTGGAGAACGTGAATTTCCTTGCGTCATCTGAATATGTGGTGATTGTCCTTGTTGCCCTTGTTGTCCAATTTGTTGAATCGGTTGAATCGGTTGTTGTTGCTGTTGTTGTTGTTGTTGCTGCTGCTGCTGCTGCTGCTGCTGCTGCTGCTGCTGTTGTTGTTGTTGGTGTAATTGAAGTTGTTGTTGCTGAAACTTGGCAATTATTTGTTTTTGAAATTGTTGTCTCTTCCCCTGAAGTTCTCTGCTACCTTCTGGAGTACTACTATATTGTTCATAAGGATAAAGATAGTTTGCATAACATGTGCTTATCTCTCTTTCAAATCTTTCACGAACACTTGCATCTTCAACATTAACCCCATCCAAAAGACGTAACGTTTGTCCAATAAATAACCATGGACTTTGTTGTTGTTGTTGACCCATTGGTTGTTGCAACCATCTTATCAATTGCAGTGGACCACCTAATTTTTGACATAATAAATGAAAGTAGAATAAATTGACTCTCTTATTATTAATAAAAAGTGGTGATCTTAAAGGAGTATTACGACGTGCCATGAAATCTTCAAGAGTAGTCATAAAGAGTTCCATTTGTAATTGAGCAACTTGTGGTCTTGGAATACCTTGTTGTTGTTGACCTTGACCTTGTTGACCCTGTGGTTGTTGTTGATTTTGTTGTTGTTGGTTGGCAGATGGAGATGAAGATTGTTGAAAAGTACTTTGAGGGGGACCTTGTAAATCTTGAGATCCTTGATTAATATTAGTATTTTGAACTCTTGGAGACATATTAGACACCATTGGACTACCATAATTTTGAGTCTGTTGAACTTGATGAGGAACATTGTTATTCAAAACTGGTGTACCTTGTTGTTGAACTGGAGTAGGGACTTGAGAACCAGGTAAATTATCACGCATTTCTAAACTTTTAAGACGAGCTTGGGCTGCTTGAGCTTGAGCTTGAGTTTTATTTTGAGTTTGGGATTGGGATTGGGATTGTGATTGATTTTGATTAGCACCGTATGCCTGTTGTTGCAGCATTACCTGTTGTCTCATTCTCATCAACTGCTCTCTTCTACCTTGGTCTAATTGAGCTTGTACTTGTTGCCTTAATGGTTGTTGAGATTGTATAGGTTGGGGCGATTGCTGTTGAGGTTGCTGTTGTTGCTGAGGTACCTGTTGTTGTGATTGTTGCCTCATGAACATCTGTGAATTTTGAGGTCCTAATCCAGGTTGTTGTGAAGAATTAAATTCAGGTTGAGTTGTCTGTTGAGGTGGAAATTGACTTTGATCAAAGAGTCCATTGATGAAGTTATCTCCTGACGAACTATCGTTGGACGACTGAAACGCACCATCACTTAACCAAAGATTATTATCCGACATTGCAACTGATGTATTCACCCAACGTAAAGGTTTATTTGCATAGTTAAACTGGTTAATTGTTTTTGTCCCGCAACAACGAAACTTTTTGGTAAAAAAACAGCCAGACCAAAATTGGGCTAAAGTACACGACAATACACTCCTGTATACAACATTTGGCTACGAAAAAACTGAAAGAGAGTGGCGATATATATATACCACCAAATTTGAAATCGATATATCAATTTTACTTATATCATATATCATATTTGTATTGCATCAATATCATATAATTGAATATTTGAGTTATAATAGTAATTGAATAGTAGAAATATGGTATGTATCATTGAGTGTGATTGATTTAGATTGTTCAATGGTCTGGGGGAAGGACTTGGTTGCATTGTCAAATCATCAAATATTGAAATTAACAATTTACTAACTTTTCAAACTTATAGACGTCGATTGGTACGGGTTATGATTTATCTAATAGTGTGTTTTCACCAGGTATGTATTAAAGCATGATATATGTATATCATTTTATTTTATTTCGTTGTGATTCATTTACTAACATTGAACTTTATTATAGATGGAAGAAATTTCCAAGTAGAATATGCCATGAAGGCAGTAGAAAATGGTGGAACATCAATTGGGATTAAATGTAAAGATGGTATAGTGTTAGCCGTGGAAAAGATTATAAATTCTAAATTATTAGTTCCAGGAAAGAATAAAAGAATTCAAACTATTGATAAACATATTGGTGTGGTATATTCTGGTCTTTTACCAGATGGTCGTCATTTCGTTAATAGAGGTAGAGATGAAGCTCAAACTTTTAAATCATTTTATAAAACTCCTATTTCAGTTCCTCATTTAATGGATAGATTAGGTATCTATGTTCAAAATTATACTTGTTATAACTCAGTAAGACCATTTGGAGTTGTCTCAATCGTTGGAGGTATAGATGATGATGGTCCTCATTTATATATGATCGAACCAAGTGGTGCATGTTGGGGTTATACTGGTGCTGCTACTGGTAAAGGTAGACAAACTGCCAAATCAGAATTAGAAAAATTAGATTATGAAACTATAACTGTAAAGGAAGCTGTTAAGACTGCAGCAAAGATAATCCATCAAGCTCACGAAGATAATAAAGATAAAGACTATGAATTGGAGATCTCGTGGATTTCTTTAGAAGAAACCAAAGGTAGACATGAATTTATCCCTGAAGATTTATTAGCCGAAGCAAGAAAATTTGCTGAAGAAGAAGATGAAGAAGACGAAGAAGAAGAGGAAGATGATGAAGAAATGGAAAGTTAGAAAGCTTATAGCCATGTATAATACATATCTAAATATATACGATTAAAACACACACATCCACCATATATTATTACTACCTTTCATACAAACAATGTAAGTGAAACAAATGTAAAACTCTGGAGTAATTTTGTGTTACGCGGATTGGGGTCAAAATGTAAACAAAAAATAAAAAAAAATAAGTTGCAGTAATATCAAAGGGCCCATTTTTATCAAGTTATTAGTCAATTGAAGTGTAATATTCAATGGAGATGCCGACAAATGGGGATAATATGTCCTTAACCAAAACACCCCTTAAAGAAATAAATAGTCAAACACAAGGTGGTGAGAAAATGGAATCAAATAATAGTTTCAACTTTATCATAAACAACAATAACAACTCAAAGATACAAGATCAAACATTCGATAGTTCCAATTCCACGAGTCCATTTATTTCAAATCCAGAGATTCCTATTACTGATGTTCTTGATGAAAATAGCGTGATAAAAAGTCTCTATACTGATACTCATCCTGAAAGTGATGAATATTCAGATGTTGATCAAGATCTGATTCATTCAAACAACCATAGTATGTTGAACTCGGATCCTTCACCGTATAACAACGGTGTGATGAATAGTGCTGATTTACATGATGATTTGGGGTTTTCAGACTTTGATAATAACAATCACTCGGTGGTAGTGCATAATAATGACTCTAATAGTACTTTTCATGAATCAACAGTTGATACTACTAAATTTAATGATACGCGAGCTCAATTCGATCAAGATTTCGATTTCAGTCCTAGAAGAATGAACCAAATGTCTATACTTCCCAATACCCAAAGCAATCCTATCACACCTTGGAGAAGACTTCGAACTGCTTCCACATTTACTCCTACTAAGGGACAAAGTAATCTTCAACATCCTGAAAGTATGATAAGGTTACCAGCTATTAAACAATCATTATTCCCAACCACAGACAATAATAATATAGAGACTGCTAATGCAAACAATGCTAGTAGTACTCATGCAAGTACCGTATCTAAGATTGCTGATTTAAATAAACAAATAGGGAGTTACAGAATTCAAATTCAATTATTTAAGGAGTTCTTACAAAAGATAATTGATAAACATGTGATAAACAAAGACTTATTAGATGAGAATGAATTAGCTAAATTCCAATTCGACCTCCAAGGACTTTCACCAACTCAAAGCACAAGAAGTACTGATTATGCTATGTTGGAGAGCGAATATAATAAATTACTCAATGATTATCAAGAAGTGGTCGATATTAACAATGAAATAATAAACAATCTACAAAACTTTGAAGAAAAGCTTCACGATAAAGATTTACATATAGCTCAGTTGAATGAAGATATATCGATTTGTTCAAGCATAATAGATGAAATAATGCATAATATCGCAACAAACTCAAACACTGCATTTCAATCTCGTGAGAAACTACAAGATATACTTACATCTCCAGATAATATCTCATGGTTAGAGAAGCTAGAAGCGTTGAAGAAAGAGTCTGAACATTTAATTCTTCCATCTCCACCAGCTTCAAGTGGCAAGGAGGATAATAAACATCAACCTGTAATTGATAACTTAATAGCAACCGTTAATGATCTTCAATTAAAATTAAATAATCAAAAGAATGAAAAAGAAAAGCTTGAGGAGTTGAGAAAGGATATTGATGATTCTCAATCTATGAAGAGGAATTTTCAATTTATGTCACTGAAATTTATTGAGCTTTGCCAGACTTTTAATGAAAATGGTGAAGCTATTGAACTTGAGAAGATGAAAGAAGAAAATGAAAGGATATCAAAAGAATTAGCTGATTTGAAAGCTCAAACATCAAATCAAGCTAGACAAGAAGATGAAGATATAAAGACTGAAATAGAAGAATTAAAACAACACAATCAGGCTTTAATCGAAGATTTAGATGAAACAAATAAGATTTACGAAGAATTAAAGCAAGAATCAGCTGAAAGCATATCTGCATTATCTAGTCAACTTCAAGCAAGACAAAAGGAAATTGTCGCTTTAAGAAATGACAAACGTATGGATCAGAAGTTAAGAGATGAAATTGATGCTGCGGCTGAAGTCGAAAGAAAACTCAAAGCTGAAAATATTAAACTTTCCTATGCCTTAGAAACATCCAAGGAGAAAGAAGTCAATTTGAAAGTGACTATTGAGAGTTTGACAGAGAAAATTAATGCACTTCAAGAATCTGGTCATCAATCAAGACTGCAACTGGTACTGTCTGATGGAGACATTAATGAATACCAGAAATATCTTAATCATCAATTAAATGATATTGTTCAATTTGACACTCAAGAATTCCAAAGACTTATAAAATCATTCAATAAAATCGCTGATGATTCTTCATTAAAAGATCCAATCAAGAAATATGATATGCTCATGAAGAAGGTTAACAGTCAAGACATTGCTACCCTTGATCAAGATAATATGGAGTTCTTAAGAGACTGTCATAGATCAGTATTCAATTATTTTGTCAGAGCTGTGGATATCTTAGTAAACGATCATATACGACTTTTATTAAAAGAGACAGAAAACGAAGGTAAAGAAGACTATATCAAAGACTTACACCAAAGAATCAATGAACTAGTAAACCATAGATCAGTATTAGCAAAGCAATTAGAAAGCTATGATCACCAATCAAACAATGTAAATAACGATACCTCACCAATCTCGAAGTTAAGACTCGAAGAAGTTCAAATCAAATGGAAAATGGAAAGAGAAAAACGGGCTTACGAGTACAAGGAATCTCAAAAACGATTTAAAGAATTAGAAGTAGAAAATGCTAGGTTAAGGGACTTATTAAGTAGACAGTAAAATAGTGTTTCATATAATATAATTTTTGATTTTGCAATCTGCGAATACACGACCTTTTTTTTTCTACAATGAAAATTTTTTTCAACGCGAGACACTTAAAAATCATCAGAGTGTAAGAAGAGATTTGATACATACATACATATTATTGATCTAGGTTATATAGCAGCAGCCATGTCTTTAACAGAACAAGAATATGCTGATCTTGAGAAGGAAGTCAATGTCGATGATATTGACTTTTCTGACTTAGAAGAAAAATACACTGTGGATGTTGGTTTAGACAACTACGTTGTTGTTGATGGTGCACCAATTGCTCCAGAATCCAAAGTTCCAGTTTTAATCAAAGTTTTAAAGAAGATCTTCAGTGAAGTTGGTGAAATCGTTGAAGGAGATGATGGTATTCATATGCCATTAGAAGGTGGAAAGTCAAAAGGTTATTTATTCGTCCAATTTAAGACCAATGAAATGGCCGAAAGAGCCATCAAAGAACTTAATGGTAAGAAATTAGATTTAAAACATAGATTATTAGTTAATAGATTATCTGATATTGAAAAATTCGGTGTTGATGGTAACGTTGCTGATGAATTCCAAGAACCAGAATTACCACCATTCGAAAGTCATGGTTATTTAAAATCATGGTTACAAGATGAGCAAGGTAGAGATCAATTTGGTTTACATTTTGCTGAAACCTTTGGTGTTTACTGGAATAAGAAGAAGTTAGATCCAGAACCAGTTATCGAACCAAGAAAGGCTTTCACTTCCAAATACGCCAAATTTTCACCAAAAGGTACCTATTTATTTTCTATTCATCCACAAGGTGTTCAATCATGGGGTGGATCAGATTTTTCAAGTATTCACAAATATGTTCATAATCAAGTTCGTTTAGTTGATTTTTCTCCAAATGAAAAATATATGGTTACTTTATCTCCAGTTCCAATTACATTACCAGAAGGTACTGGTGACAGAAGTTCTTTCCCATTCGGACCAGAATCAGAAGGTCATAAATTAGTTATCTGGGATTTAGCTACTGGTGAACCAGCAAGAACATTTGCTTTACCACCTCATTTAGAAGGTCAAAAGGAAATGCCATGGCCATTAGTCAAATGGTCTCATGATGATAAATACTGTGCCCGTCAAGGTCCAGGAGCTTTAGCTATCTACGAAACCCCATCATTCCAATTATTGGATGGTAAATTAGTCAGAATTGATGAAATTGTTGATTTTGAATGGGCTCCAGCTGGTGTCCACCTTACCAACAGTAAGGTTGAAGGTGGTGAACATGTGTTATCATACTGGACTCCAGAAAGTACCAATCAAACTGCTAGAGTTGCATTAATGCAAATCCCATCAAGACAAGTTCTCAGAACCGTTAATTTATTCCAAGTTAGTGATTGTAAAATGCATTGGCAAAGTGAAGGTAAACTTTTATGTGTTAAAGTTGACCGTCATACTAAGTCTGGTAAAACTATTTTTACTAATTTAGAATTCTTTAAGCTTTCTGAAAAAGATATTCCAGTTGAAAAATTGGAATTAAAAGAAATTGTTGTTAATTTTGCATGGGAACCAAAGTCTGAAAGATTCATCACTATCTCAAGATTGGATGACGGTAACTTGAATTCTGCTATTCCAAAGAATACTGTTTCTTTCTATGCACCAGAAACTACTGGTAAAGGTAAAACCGCTACTACTTCTTTCAAAGTTTTCCATACATTTACCAACAAACACTCTAATACTGTTTTCTGGTCACCAAAGGGTAGATATGTTGTCGTTGCTACCATTTCAAGAAGTAATGGTGAAATTGATTTCATTGATTGTTCCTTTGATGATGATAAATCCAGTAAAAAATCTCCAGCTAACATTAAATTATTGAAGACTGAAAGATATTCTGGTATGACTAACTTAGAATGGGATCCATCTGGTAGATTTGTTGCCGGTTGGTCTTCATCATGGTTAAGTAACATTGAAAACGGTTATAGATTATACGAATTCAGTGGTGTCCAATTAAGAGATGAATTAGTCGATCAATTTAAAGAATTTATTTGGAGAGCTAGACCAGCCTCATTATTAAATGGTGCTGATAAGAAGAAGGTTAGAGCCAACTTACGTGAATACAGTGCTCAATTCGAAGAAGTTGATGCCATGGAAGCTGATGCTAGAGTAAGAGAAGCTATCTTAGCCAGAAGAAGGGCCTTAGAAGAATGGAGATCTTATAGAGCTAAGTTCGCCGGTAAGGTTAGAAAATCAAACAATGTTCAAGCTGAGACAATTGAAGAAATCAAAGAAGAAATCTTTGAAGAGAAGGAAGAAATTGTCGAATAAACTGTATTATAGCAATTATATTAATATACACATCTGATCTTTATAATCACTTATTTTATTTATGGGAATACCTAATTATTCCTTCGTTGTATATACAAGTAGTAAGTCTAACTTCAATTTCATATACCTTTGGTTTGAAGTTGTAAACCATGCCATTGAGCAATCTCTTCTTTCAAAACCTCATTAACCAATCTGTGTTGCTTGATCATTGGAATACCCTTGAACTTTTCACTTTCCACAAGAATAGCAAACATCGAACCACAACCACCTGAAACATCCTTAACTTCTAAATTCTTTGGAGAGAATTCTTGTTTTAGTATTTCATATATCTTCTTTTCGTAAGCATCCATTCCTGGTTCTCCAGCTACCGCAGAATAGAACTTCGTGTGACGTAACTGAAAAGTAGGTGTTACCTTTGGAACAGCCTTAAGAATGGCCAACCTCATAAAGGCACCTCTAGATGTGAATGCCAACATAATGGATATATAGCTAGAATGATATCAAGGTTGATCAACTTAGAGATTGCAAATTACTAAGTAATTTAAATTTTTATTGATGAGAAAATCCATTTTGCTCACTGAATTCCATGGACTGTATATAAAGCTAGGTTTGACAATCAACGAATTTCCATAAACAGATCGAACCAACACATTTATCGATAACCATAATCAATTGGTTAAGAAGTCAAATTCAGCTCAATTGATTTAGGATAAACTGTTTTAAACAATGAGGTATGTAATGATTGATATAGTTCAATAATTGATTTCATTGGGAATTAGGTTGTACTAACAGGAGATTATAGTGGAAAATTCGTTAGAGCTTCAAAATACCGTCATGTGTTCGGTCAATCAACCAAAAGAGAATTATGTTATGAAAACTTGAAGATCACCAAGAACGCTTGGGATTCTAATATCATTCAAGTCAATGGTAAATACTTAGCTGTCAATTGGGATGCTTCTGGTGGAGGTGCCTTTGCAGTTATTCCAGTAAGTGAAGTTGGGAAGGCTCCAGATACTGTTCCTTTATTCAGAGGTCACAAAGGTCCAGTGTTAGATACTGCTTTCAATCCATTCAACAAACAACAAATTGCCAGTTCTTCGGATGATGGTAAGATTTTAATATGGGATATCCCTGAAGATTATTCTTTCCATAAATATTTAGATGAAAATGATAACATTAAGGATATTACTGAACCAAGTAAAGTCTTATCTGGTCATACTAGAAAAGTGGGTCATATTGAATTCCACCCTTGTGCCGAAGATGTATTAGCTTCTTCATCTTTAGATTATTCAGTTAAAATTTGGAATGTTAAAACCGGTAAGACCGAGCTTACATTACAACATAAGGATCTTGTCACCTCTTTTGCTTTTAACTATAACGGTTCTTTATTAGCTACTACATCAAGAGATAAGAAATTAAGAATCTGGGATATTAGATCAGGAAAAATCCTTTCTGAAGGTCCAGCTCATTCTGGTGCTAAACCAGCTAGAGTTGTGTGGTTAGGTAATACCGACAGAGTTGCAACCACTGGTTTTGATAGACTTTCCGACCGTCAAGTTGGTATTTGGGATGTTAACAACATAGAAAAAGGTCCAATTGATGGATTCCTTATCATTGATGCATCTTCTGGTGTCTTAATTCCATACTTTGACGCTTCTACTTCTATGCTTTACATAGCTGGTAAGGGTGATGGTAACATTCGTTATTATGAGTATGACAATGATATCTTATATGATATCTCTCAATATAGTTCTACCGATCCTCAAAGAGGTTTTGCCGTCGCTCCAAAGCTGACTGTCAATGTTAAGGAAACTGAAGTTCTTAAATCGTACAAGACCGTCTCTGATAACTACATTGAACCAATCTCATTCATTGTTCCAAGAAGATCAGAATTATTTCAAGAAGACATCTATCCAGATTGTCCTTCTGACAAGCCTGCTTTATCTGCTGAAGAATGGTTTTCAGGCAAGGACGTCAATGGTCCATTATTGATAAGTATGGAAGCTATTTTCGATGGTACTTCTCCAACTATCAGAGAATCGACTCCTGTCGTCCATGTTTCAGTTGCTAAAGAAGAAGCTGCAGTGGCCAAAGCCGAAGAGGAACCAGTTAAACCTGTTGAAAAGAAACCAGAGGTTGAATCAGAAATTGTCACCAAAGAATCTACCCCTGTTCCTGGCAAGAATGTTGATGCATTATTGACTTCTTCCGACCTGGTCAATAAATTGTTGAGTAAAGTTGTGGACCAATCTGATGACGAAGATGAAGTTCCATCTGTTGAAGACGACAAAGATGATTGGGAAGAAGTAAAGAAACCAGAAACGAGCTCTATCTCTAGTTCAAAGACAATCGATAAACCTGTTGAAATCAAAAAGGAAGTTGTCAGTGAAACTCCAAAAGAAGATATCACCAAGGTAGAACCTGAGAAAGTAGAAGAAACTGTGTCAGAAGTAAAGAAAGAGGCCGTTGCTCCTGTGGTCAAGGCCGAACCAGAACCAGTAAAAGAGACCCCTGTTGCCGAAAGCGTGAAAGATGCATCTCCAGCTCCTTCAACCACTTCCGTTAAAACTGCAGGTGCTCCTACTTTGAAAGCAACCGTTGAAAAGTTACACGGTATTGTCGAAAAATTAGAAACTCATATCTTGACTCTTACTCAATCTGGTTTAGAAAAAGATGAAAGATTGAAAGCTTTAGAATCTAAGATCGAAGAATTGCTCAAGAAGTAAAAGCAGTCTATATGAAATCATTGATACGTTTATTTTATTCTATATTGTACTAACTATTTAAATTATTTTAATCCTTTTTAATATCGTAGAATTTCCTGAATATGAATCCAGTTAAGTTTTGGGTATCTAAAACTACCATGTTGTTAAACAAATGTATTTTCTCTTTGTTTTCATATTGGAAAAAGAGAAGATCATCTAATGATATAGTTTCACTGGCTCCTGGTATAGCGACAGAACCATTTGCAGCTTCAATTGAGAACTTACCAACTTGATGACAACTAAACATAAAGTCGAGCTTCGATGAACTGGCATTTTCTCTGTGGATCAAGCCGCCAAAATCGAGAATGATTTTCTGATCCAACAACTTTTTAGCTGAATACTTGTAAGATCCAAACTTTGGCAACCTGTTGTTCTTCCTCAATTCTCTATGATAGAAGTATTGTTTGCTGAATATAGGAATTATATTAAATAATTTCTTATCAACAGGCTTCAGTTGTAACTGGGAAAGTATACTTTCAACGTGAGTATTATATTCATTTAGTTGATTCTTGAGGAAAGTTTCTTTAGTGGTTAATTTTGCAACTGTTTTAGTTGACAATTCCAATTGTTGTTTACGGAATATTCTTTGAGAATCTTTTGTTCTGATGTCAATTGCTATCATGTTCAAAAGATCTTGATAGGAGTTTCTTCTTGATAATTCACCCATGGCTTCTAACTTAAGTATAAGCTCAAGAGCCTGCCTCTTCAAGTTATGATAACTTAACTTAGTGAGGTCACCTAAAGAAGTTTTATAATATGGCATCTTCTTCACATTTTCTTTGGATTCTTCATTTTCCTTTCTTTCTTGATTAACTATATCTCTAAATTTGACTTCATCGACTTTGGAGATTCCTGAAATCAACACTTCTAAGAAATTATCGCCATCTTGAACTCTGACAATATATAACACGGCTCTTTTAGCTTGTGTTAAGAGAGATCTAGCTTTCGAATCAGACAAGGACTCCTCTATTGTGACAGGATTTAAGGACAAAGTTAATATACCCATTTCTGTTAACTTAAGGAATTCACCCGACGATCCAACAACTTCTTGTAACTTAATTAATGTTTGAAATAATTGATCGTCTGGACTTGGAGCAACAATATCCATGTTTTGATGTAAGATGTTTTCAAGTTGTAGAGTATTGCTGACTGTTACAGAAAGTTTTGGTCTTTCTGGATTTATGATATCATCATAATCAGTAAATTCATATTCACTTTCAATATCTTTTACCTGGATTAAACTTTTCATGAGCAATCTAGTAGCTTCAACAGTTGTTTGAAGATACTCGTTCAAAGGCTTTAAGAAATTGTCGGAAAATGGCTTCATGGAGAATACTTGCAACATGACTCTACTTAAATGCTTCAAATTAGCTCTTGCATTACCTTCTTTTTCAGGAACAAAAATACCAAAGTTTTCAGGATATTGAAGAATGGATGCCACATAATGTTTCATGAAGATGACACCAGCCACTGACAAATGTTGCTGATCTGTCTTTTCTGGGAAATTCAATTGAGAAAGCTTGTATGCTTTATGACATACTAACTTAACATGAAGAGGTACCCTATCACTAGAATTTCTTAAAATAGAAAGTAATTCTGCGGTTGATTCTCTCAAGCCCACCAAATTTGAAACAAATTGTTTTGAAACCACATCTTTTTTAATAGCTGCTTGTGGAGTAATATCACGAGGGTTATCACTTGTACCATATATTTTGATCTCTCTTTCTATTATTGCTTCGTAAATTCTGGATGGGTCCGACTCAAAGTCTAATTGATCATTTTCTATAATTTTGCAGACGAACTTACCACCAATAAGTTTCAAATGCTGTCTTTGATAGGTATGACTATTAAAATGTAAAAAGAAGTCTATCCAGAAGCTAGTCTGTATTTTTGTAATATCACTCACAGTTTTAGAATGATTTACCATATCATTCTCCATGAAACTAAAGATCAACTTGACGAAATAAAATTCTTCTCTCGAATGATGGGAAACTGAGGAATTAGTTATTGGGAAAATCAGACATATGAGTTTTTCCAACTTTTTACGATGTTCGGTATCTGACTCACTTGAAGTATAAGCATTATATAAACGCACAAGATATGCCGGTTTAGTTTGAAGGAAATAGAATAAAGTTTGGTATAAGTCAACTCTTTCTCGTGATGATTTATTCAATTTGTCCATACTCTTAGAAGTGGAAGAAGTAGTATTCTTTGATGGTCTTGAAATGGATCCATATCTCTTTTTGTTCTTGATGAAATCTTCTAGTGTGATCTTATTCTTATCTAACAAACTTAACTTGATATCTAAGTTTTCAATTTGATTTTCTAATTCTTCATTACCTTTAGCTTTTTCGATGATACTTTCTCTTAAGTCAGAGATTTTCATTTCTTCTTCAAAATCACCATCATTATCGGATAACAAATAAGCAAACCTTCTAATAGCAGATAAAGGTGGATTCTTCTTACTAATCAATGACTTGTAGGCTTTTCTAGTCAATGCTTGTCTAATAACAGATTGAGCTTTAATAACCTTAGCAATGTTTTCATTATAGTATCTATAACTAGACTTAGAATCCAGCCTTATAAATGTACCCCTGACAATAGACTGTAAAGAGATTATTTCATTGATTTGGTAATATAAGTCATCAAGTTTGATCTCTTTTTCAAAACGGCACAAGACTCCTCTAATTCGGGATTGAGCAGGGATAATAGACTTATCAAGGACTAAATTTAATTCAGCTTTCTTTCTGAACATTTCAGATCTGACAGTGTTACCTCTAACCTTTGCAAATAACTTATCAAAGCTTTGATCTTCTAGCAACGATACTAAAACAGTATTACAAACTCTTGTTCTAGAAATTGCACCTCTAGCAATAGTTTGGAGTTCCTTGATATTAGCGGCGTGTAAAGTTAAACTTGCTCTCATTTTATCTACCTTATTGATGACTTTGTTTTTACGTATAATTGATTGGAATTCAATAATTTTATTTGGGTCAGTGGCATCAACTGAAGATAATCTAGTGTATAAATATCTTCTACATGCAGCTTGAAAGCTTATAACTGAATCTTCAATATAATCTTTGTGTTCTAACACTGTTTTACTCTTATAGTGGATTAACTTCATTTTTGCTAAAGTTTGAAAGTTGATTATTGTATCAAGTTCTTTAGCCAATCCTTCTCTTCTTGTCAGAATGGAAGTTTGAATTCTCTTCGAACGAATTCTACTTTGAAGTTGAATAATATACTTATCAGACGAAATGAGTTGTGGTATCTGTTGATTTCTTAACTTCTTTCTGGCGATAGATTGAAGTTCGATAATGTCATTTTTATAAATCATAATTTCATCACGATGAACATGAATACTTTTCATACGAGACATGTTACCTCGTATTTTTGAATTCAATTGAGTAAATTCATCAGAGTATGACTTTAATATGATCTTATCCACAAACATTCTGTAACGAAAGTTAGCCCCACGGGATAATGATTGAAGTTTAATAACATGATTAGTATATTTTTCAATTTCGGGAGTGTATAAACTATGTTGTTTGTATGTGGAAGAGGAGCTTGTTGGTTTAGACTCTTGTTTCCTCTCCAACCTTGATTGAAATGTGGTTTTTCCTTTAGATGCATCGGTAGAATCAGCTCTGAATGGATCTGACTTTGTTGAGTTTGAAATGACAGTTGTATTTTTGGCCTTTATAGGAGATTTGGTGATTAATTTGTTCATGTAGCTGTTTTGGTTGACATTTTCACTAGCATCAGCACCTTCAAAGTTGGGTAAACCAGATCCTACCAATGATCTATTAGCAGTTCTAATATCATCACCTTCAAAATCAATCTTATTTACTAAGTTTTTAATGACTGGAAAGTTTGGATCTGATTTATATAAAATGTAACTCAAAGCATGTAAGCAAAAGAATACTTTAGGGATATTTTTGGCATCATATAAGTCAGTTAATTCAAATCTAAATAAATCTGGAACATTCAAATAATCTTCCAAATGAAAGAATCGGTTGATATTTTCGGTATGCTTGAATTGTAATCTTGAATCATTCATAAACACAGACTTTTTTTCTGACAATATAACATTGGTTAATTTGGCTAGATATATCCCATTTCTTACATAGGATATCATTTCTGCTGGCTTTTGATCAATGTCTTCTTTCAACATGAGTTCCAACCAATCTTTAATTGCTTGAATCCTACAAAGATATTCATATCCTGGAGAGTCTTTGGAAGTGCTGTTACTGGGTGATGATAAAAATGGACTTGATTTTGGCATTTCTACTGCTTGTTTAAGTGGAACCAACTTTGGAGTATTGGATTTGTTAGGTGATTTACTAAGCACATCTCTGTAGCCTTTCTTTGCCCAAGATGGCTCTTCTTCGTCGTTGTTGTTTGCTTTGTTGCTTGGAGTATTATTCTTACTGTTGTTACTTGATGATTTATTCAGTGATGCAGTTTTGAATGAATTTACTGTTGCTGAAGGGGATTCAAATTTTGATTTTAAGAACCCTGTACTTGGTGTGATATTCAATTCTTTGGCTAACCTCTCTAAATCATTATTCAGATTGTATTTTAAGGTTGGTTGTAATGGTAGCCTCGTCGGTGTTTGAATATTTTCGTTTAGATTATCCAAATATCTGGAAGTGATATTCCCTCTAGTTGGAGATGACATCCCTTTTGATACTTGTAAAATCCCTTAAGCAATTGACCTAGTTGAAGAAGTATAGAACTTGATAGTTTTATCATCATTGGTATAGTTTTGTTTTCTACATCCTCTAATTAGAATGATACAATCCTTTGTTTGGAAATTTCCCAATGCGGATAATTTGTAAACAATTTTTTTTCACCTTTAAAATACAAACAAGAGCTAGTTTGCTTTAAAGGCACTTACAATATAAGATGTTTACACTACATTGAACAGTTAACATTCCAGTACGGTATCGTAAGATTCGTTAGAAGTATGCTATGTAATTATACAAATGTAATAAAGATAACACTATTGCAACTCAGTTTGTTGCTTTTTATAAGCTGTTTCCAAAAATTGAATGGTTTCATCAAACTTATCTAGTTCTGCTTTACGTAGTGGGATTACTTTCTTCAATTCATTCAAAGTTAAGATATGAGTTTCATAATCTTCTAGTATATCTGAAAAGTTCGGTATCACATTGCCTTCCGTTTCATCTTGTTCCTTAGTTTCTACTTCTTCAAGTGTTTCTAACATACGTGACACCTCTCTGTCTGTAAGTGTTACTAGATTTTCATATGTTTGTTGTGCTTGATATGGTAACTCACGTCTCAACCTAGTCAATTCCACTGTCTCTTGTTCGACTTGTAATAATACGTCTCTTAAACGACTATTTATATTGAGATCAAATGGTTCAACAGTTTCCTTTGCTTTCAACGCCAACAAATCAGAAATGGCAATGTTTTCATTTGATTCAATATTCTGACCATCTATTATGAAAGCAGATTTGGCAAGATCAAACGCTTCCATTAAAAATTCATCTAATGCACTTGCAACCTTTGATTTTAAAGGATCATTATTTAATGTAGGTAGATGAAGATCTAATTTTGAGGTAATATTATTATGGATTTGATTGTAGACATATTTCAAATCTTGTTTGGATATGGGTATCTTTTCATAATCATTAGTACTATTCATTTTTTCAATATTGTGAAGTAATGATTGATAGTATTAGTTTATCATAAATTCAAATTGTTCCAAATATAAACAAATCGATTTTGAAATAATCGCACGACCTTTCAAAATTTTAACAAATGTAACTAGAGATGTTTGTGGCCGCAAAAATTTGAGGTTGGAGATAAGGATAAATAAATAATTAACGTATATCAGTTAAACACCATATAAATAGAGAACTAACATAAATGTAGATTATAAACTGTCAACTAGATTAAAAACAGTAAATAAATTAAATAAATTAAATATCGTCCTGTGAACAATAATAAAACCTTAAACTAAAGTTGGTTTCTAGCATTAGCCAATTCAAGATGTTCATTCTGACTTTTACGTTCTTCAATATTAGTATCTGGAATATAATTATAAGGAAACTTATTATTTTGAATTTCAATATTATTACTCTGATTATATAAATTGACATTTTCTTCATTCTTGGGGTTACCATTATTTGGTCTACTTGGTGGACCTGGGAAAATTGCACCCCAAATAAAATTAATTGGTGGATGTTCTCTAACATTTGCAACAATTAATAATGGACGCATAGTGTAGAAGTAAAATAAATTTGTACTAACCAAAAACAAAAGTGCATTAATTATACCAACTCCAATAAGACCCTTACCCAATTTACAAGTTGTTTCATCGTCATCATAAGGACCAGTGGTATAAATCGTACAAGTTGCACTACCGTAACCAGCAGCAACTAAACCGAAAGCAACTACCCAAAGGAAAGTCATAATGATTTCACAAAAAATAATTGGAGATGGGATCACTCTATTATGACTAATGGTTGGTAATACCACCAAAATATAAACGAAGTAGACAAGATTAATAATAGATGTTGCTAAATTGAAAGGAACTCTACCACTTAAACCATTTGTTGTGCCTAAAATAGTGGCAGACATACCCAAAACGACGATAACGAAAATGGATTGAAGTCCACGAATAATACAAGAGATAGTAAGATGATTCATGACTAGTATTTGATTCTGAAGAAACTGTTCAGGTTGTAAATTAAAGAAAGTAATCCTTTGGTCAATCAAATAGGAAAACTTAGGGAATACCCTTTTATATAAATTTTCTGTGTAGTATTTTACTTGTAATTTGTCTAAAAATAAGCGTTGCCAAAAATAGTCAGGATGTGCCAAAAATAGGTTTTCAGCGACAGCCCCCAATTAATCATCAGGTTTTGTTTGGAACACTTCCTGTGTGTTGTATTCCTCTAAAGTCATAGCCTTTGAAGGCTATGGAGATATGAATATATAGAGTTGATCACTTTTATTGTCTCATGTGGATCTTTTGTTCAGCATTTCTAGTTCATTGAGATTCATACTTTATTTCCAAAAATAGGTTTTGTTAGCAGATGTTGCAACAAAAAGAAGTATACTATAAAAACTATTGGCACAGAGATAATCTTCTTCTTGTTTCATCATACTATCTCAGAGATATTCTTCAAATATCGCAAAGATCCCACTAGAATATTGATTTAAAAATACGAGGTGCATCACATTTGTTGAATCAAAGGGTATATTCAGAGTCTATATTTAACTTTCTAAAAATAATTGAAGATGTCAAACAAAATAAGATTGTTAGATTGTTTTTACATATATTAAAATCCAATTTAGCAAAAGGGAAGTAAGAAAAATAACATTGCAAGAATAAATATAATACTAAAACAACAGTATATAATAAAAAAGGCTCGATACAGAAATAGCTTGGATAAAATGATGAAAATCAGACGTTTTTGTTTAAATCTAATAAATCAATCAATCAATCAGTTTGTGTGATTTCGGTACCAGGAGGTTTGTATTCTCCATCTTCAATATTTTCATGATCACTGTGTTCGAGTTTATCATTGTGGATATCAGTTTCATTACCATTATCTGAAATACCTACATTCAGTTCCTTATCTTGAATAGGAGTAGCAAGGAAAATTGCACCAGGTTGAAATACTGATTGAGTCTTGGTAGTATAGTCAAAGTTATTGACTTTTGTTAAAGGAATGAAGGTATAAATGACAAATAAAATAAGTGTGGCAGTGAATAATAGCCAGTTGAATAATGAAAATGCAATAGTTGCTTTGGCTAATTCACAAATATGTTTACCTCTACTGTATACATTATCCTCATCATAATAATAACCATAATAGCCATAACTGCAACTTAATGGACCAGCAAAATTGGTAATATCAGCAAAAGCAGATAACCATAGAATGGTAAGAATAGCTTCAACAACTAATATGGGGAAGGAAATAACTGTGTTTGCTTGTTTGACATGTAAGAATGTCAAATATCCAAAATAAACTAAGGTAAGAATCGAGGTGGCTAAATTGAAACTTACAGAACTGCTATTTGCACTTGCAAGACCTAAAGTTGCTGCAGTTAGACATAAGACTAACACAGAAAAGAATAATTGCAATGCACGAAGGATTGTTACTATAAATTGTAAATTCATACTTTGGTTGAAGTTAGAAAGGTTGGATGGTTAAGAATTAAGAAAGAAGGGAAAAGAATATCAAAAAAAGAAGCAAGAAGGGAATAATACACAGTTTATATAGAGCAGACTTTTAGAAGGGGATTAAATTAATTTATACCAACGTTATTCATTTTCAATCAACGAAGAAGAATAGGCATGATGGGGTAGAAATCAGAAAGCAAATAGAAATGCAGATAGAATAAAATAAAGTTTCAGAAATGAAGTATGAATTCAATGATGACTCTGCCCCTCCTTCCAATTAAACTTATCAATGATGATAAGTTATGCATTAGACAAAATAAAAAGGGCGTTGGATATACCTCAAATGGCTGGTAATTTAAAATAATTATCAATTGTACTAATAGGGTAAGAACCACAAGTATGTAGGAACCAAAAATTAAGTTTAATCATCCATTGTCGCTTGTTTTGTCAATTTCTAACAATATATGTACTCTCTTTAGCCACAGCTCTCTCTTAGGATCGTACACTTTTTTAATTCAAGTTCAATATATTGTTAAATATCCTCATTTTAAAGCCATCTATAGCAGATGCAAAAAAAAGTCCCGTGAAGAAAGCAAGCTTAAATTGCGTATCTATCAAAAATTCCCTTTACACAAAATAAAGTTAAAAAGGTTAGATACAAAATCTATAACAATACAATTGGGTATGGAGCACTTTCATTTTATTGTTTGACCATATTCTAACATGTATCGAAAGGTTAATTCAATCCAGAGACTAAGAGTCTATTTACGAAAAGTCTAAGGATTAAAGGATGAAATTGTTATTCACAATCACAATCACAACCATAGCTCATACTTTAACAAGTCTGGTCAAGCTTAGATAAGGATTGACTACCACAAATAATGATAATAATAATCATTTATTTTTCATAATAATGTTTACGTAACTTGATTATTTAATTATTGTTTGTTAATGAGAAATCTGTAGAAAATAGCCTAAATATTAGAAACCTATTTTTAGATGAAAAGAAGTAATTTTCACATATGAGCCCACATGAGATGATTAATTCATATTAATTAACATAGTAATCAGACTCATCCCCTCTTTCTCTATACTTTTTTACTGAAATCTGCAATGGCTTAAAATAAGTTTTGGTAAAATAAACCATCATTTAATTTTCATATCATAAGGCTGAATCCCACTTTTAAACTATTTTCTCGTAATTGGAAAGTCACGAAAAAAAAAAAGCCCAGTTCAATTTTTTTGATCCTTAAAATGCAGACACAGCATAAAAAAAGCCCCCTTGTTTAAATTATTTTCTCTTTAATTTTATAATTATAAACATTCTTGGCATTTAAGGTTTTTATTTCATATGCTATATATGTGATTATTTTGTTAATGATGCAAAAAGCCAGCTTATTGTTAATTATGTATGTTAATAGCGATTAAACTTATCTCCTCCTTCTTTCTATCTCCTCAATAATTCATTCACCGTTCATTTATTTTTTATTCAAAATAGTTGACGGTACATGATGTTAGGCTGTAGAATATCTTTTAATTAATTATTATTTTAAAGTTCAAGGGTGTGGATTATTTTTACTTTATCATTCTTTTTCTGTACATGAAAGATACGTAAATAATTAGTGTATTGAAAAGAATTAACTCATTGATGAACGGTGCCGTATTTCATGATAATTATTTGAAGCGAAGATATCATGCGGCAATCAATTAGGATTCGATTTATATCTAAGCCCTTAGAACAATAATTATGATTGTTATATTGATCTGATGGATATATATTATTTGAGGGGATTGATATAATCCCCAAAATAGATCTAAAGTCTTCCACTTTTATTATAGAAATTTTAGTAGAACCGTTCATGCAGCATAGTTTCATAACTAGAGAAAGTTTAAATCTCTTACATTGCTAACATTCTTTCGTAATCAAAAATAGTCAAGTTTCCGCTTACGTAAAATGATTAACGACTATGAGTAATATATGCAAGTTAACTTGATCCACGGATCATCACTTCAATGATATTTATATGTGTATTAACTATTTACAATTCGATTGTGGCTATATGATATATCTAACGCCCAAAATAGATCAGAAAAACCGATGCTTAACACTTCATTTCTCACATTCTTGTTGAACTTTCTCATATAAATGATCACTTAATTTAGTAAGCCCAGCAGTTCCATTACAAATTCGGTATAAATTATTAGGTTCATAAGTGTCTGGTACCATTCTACCATTGGCATCAACTTGAATATATCCAAATATATTCTCCATTTCAGGAATTCTAGCATATTTCGGTATTTCTCTTAAATCATAAATTGGCATAAATGTATTAGCATTAACTCCTGCTTCCATCAAGAATGTGAAATCATTATGAGCATTTTTACTAATGGTATTTTGTAATAAGTCAATGAATTTTGAATTAGGAATGAAATTGGTTGGGGTAATCGATTGTGATTCTTGACTATGTCCAATAGGGATAGATTCTGGTTTTGGTGAAAATGAATAGTTGTATGAATAGTCGTTTATTTTATGGATATATATTTGTTCATTTCTGATATACTTGGTGGAATAGAGTCTTAAATTGCTCTTACCAATCGATAATGGTCGATTTATCAATCTGGTCAAGAACATTGTTGTGTAATAACCAAGTACCAGTATTAACGTTTACTGATTCGTGGTTCTAATATTCAAATCATTTGCTCTTCCAACGGAGAGAGAAAAAAAAATTCTTTTAACTAGAGACGTTAACAGTATAACACCCAATTCCCACTCAAATTCAATGTCTAATCGCTAATTTGGCTACAAATATCCTACGAAATCATTACATAAGTTACTTTACCTTACGTGATAGTCAAATTAAACTTCGATCATAATCTGGGGTTGATAATTAATTATACTGACTCAGATTGATAGCTGTCTTTGATTAGGTGGATAGACATTCCGTAAACGGCAATTTTTGTTGGAGCGAAAGAAGCCGCTAACGATCTAACGATTATTTTTTCTGTTTTTGGTTTGGCTATGGCCCTCCTAAGGCATTTCAAAATGGGATTGAAAAAGATTACAATTATAATATCGATTCTACGTAGATCAACTAGATTATTGATATAGATCTAAGTATTAATGATTTTTCGACTGTTAAACATATCAAAATGAATATTTTGGCTACTTCAAACTTGATAAATAATCATAATAGTCCCTTATCGTCTTCCAATTCTCCACCATTGTACCCACCAACTACAACATCTACATCCCCCACAATAAAAGAAGAATCTCTGAAAAACTTACTCATCACTCCCAATAAAAAGAATAATAGAGTTCGTACTGGTTGTTTCTGTTGTCGTAAAAGAAAGAAGAAATGTGATGAAATTAGACCTACTTGCCATGCTTGTATGAGAAATAGAATTAAATGTGTCTACCCTCATGCTCCTGGTGATCCTCTTCCTCATAATTTTGATTTAGAAAAGACAACATATGGAGTCATTCCTATAAAGAGACGGAAAAAGAGACTGTCAAGTACTAGTCATGAATCAGGGAATGAACTTGGTGGCCATGAAGAGTTGTTTAATGTGATTATAACTAGTTCAACCTCTGCTAAGTCAAACAGTGAGGCTATAAAATCAGAAGAGGCATTACAAAGCGTAATTAGAGTGTCGGATCATGATTCAGATGCTGAACTTGAAAGCATCTTGGATGTAACAGAGCCCAAGATCAGTGAGTTGTCTCAAGAATTAACCCCTTCCAGTTTGATATCACCTCGTTCTCAATCATCATTAATTTCATTTTCAAAATATGTTGCAAATGTAAAATTATCACCTCAAGACTCTGAATTATATCATCACTTTCTTCATGAATTCATGCCTTCAATCTCATTGCCCCATTCACATCCATTACTTTCTCCAGATTATGCTTGGGTTGAACTTAGTTCTCATTCCGATATCTTAACTGATGTTTATTTATGTTGTGGTGCGTCATATATGTCATATTTTCATAATTATTCCAACGGTTCACAAGATTTATCTACTTATTACAGTGAATTATCTGAAAGAAAGTATTCTCAAGCTATTAACTCCTTAAGTAAAGCTTTTGCGGATAAGTCTATCGATCTTGATAGTGATTGGCTCTTTGCTGCTGGTTTAGCATTGTGTCTTCGTGATAGAGCTTTTGGTCTCAATGGATCTCGATGTGCCAAACATTTAATATTTGTGTATAATCTTATCAAAAGAAGAGATTATAAGAAAAGACTTATTGCGGAAAACACGGCTGTATCGTTGGAATCAAGTATAACTCCAACCGAGAGATCATTAATGGATAGTTTCTTATTCAACTATTCCGCTGCGTTATTATCATGTTCCAAACGGGATTTAATAACATTGCCATCTCCATATGAGTTCTTCCCTCAGATGAAACAATGGCTTGATAAACCAATCTTTCAAGATTGTGATGTAGTATGGATGAATAATCCTGTTATTGGATCAGCTTTAAATAGTTTTGAAGTGATATCTAAATTAGCATGGTTATTAAGGATGCATTTTGATTATGATGAAGATCAAGCTGATGGTGATGATTTAAGTAAATTTTACTTGGATGATGTCAACTTTTGGGATTTGATATTGCCATTACGAGAAGCTATTGTTGAAATTGAACGAGAAAACAACTTAAATAAACGAGGATTAGAAAGATTGAAATTATCAAAGGCAAAATCTTATAAAGCATTAAGAAGTAATCTTGCTGTTTCGATCATTACTTTAAATGCAAGTAGTATATTGTTGGAAAAGTTGATTAATCCGATAATTCCATCATTCTTACCACTTATTCAAGATCGAGTCAATACTATACTTGAAGAATTAATTGATCATATTCCTGCTGATAATCATTCTTCATGTTTGATTACCCTTAGTTTGTTTATTACTGGAATTTCTACTGTAAATGATATTCAAAGACAATCGTTATCGGTTAAATTAATCGAGAGTTCAAATTCAACGGCATCAAATGTCGGAAACAATATATTGGAGATATTAAAATTCGGTTGGGAAAAGGAAACCTCGGATAAGGTTACTTTAGGTGATAAAGGGTATAAATGTTTTGATCTAATATTTGATAGACCTACTATAGAACTGATTACATTTTGATAGATAATAATAAAAATGGATCTATAATCATTAATAAATATATATACATTATTCGTTTAACCTAACATACTTCTCTTTCTACCTCTTAAACGTACATCTTCTAGTTTTTTAATGGTTTCAGCATACTTCTTGGTACCTCCTTGCTTGGAATATTGTTTATGAATTGATCCATAACCTTCAAGTAACCATCCATTATATGTATCAGAGAATACAGAATGAGTACTTAAAATAGCTCTTTCAAGAACATACAAGTCAACTGCTTTATCTTCAGCTAACCCTGAATATGATGATAAACCGAAATCAATCAATGCCGGTTCAAAATCTTGTAATATTATATTTGAAGAAGTTAAATCACCATGAATCATATCATTCATATGTAACTTACCTATAAGTTCACCAACTTTTTTACACACTTGCTCTACTTGTTCATCAACACATTTGGCTTCAGATTCATTTCTTTCTAAATACCATAACCAATTCTTAAATGAACTGATGTCTCCATTGGTTAATTCTGATCCTAAGAATTCCATCCAAATTATAGCTTTGGAATAATCTACCAGAATTATAGATGGAGAGTTTATCCCTAATTTATTCAACTTAGTCATGAATTTTGCTTCACCTATGGTTCTAGTCTTATTGATACTAGCATCTATTATGGGATGTCTATAAGGTTTGGAAGGTCTGAACTTGACAATGTATTTCTTTTGATTCTTAAGGTATGGATCATCAATATAGGGATGAGTAGATGTCTGAAACACCAAAGCTTCTGCACCTTGTGAAACTATTTCTAACGGAATATGAGGTAAATGACCCTCTATCTCTTTTACCAATCGATCTGTCATCTCTATACTTGTCTTTTCCCAATACTTGGTGGCTTGCAATGGTAGTTTATTAGACCTTACTGTCATACTGATCAGTGTTAAATTTAAAATTTTTAGTGGAAAATGAACTATGCAGTCCCTCCCCCAAAAAAAGGTGGATCTGATAGGGAATTGCAAAGGACTAAAATTTGAAACGATTGTGGTGTAAATAACTATCAAAACTGATTTCGACAACGCTTTGATACCATCATGAGTCAGTACAATCTAACATATATAATCCCACCGTATCTCTTGAATACTTGTTTGGGATCAGAGTTACATAGAAGTTTGGCTCAAGAAGATGAACAATTGAGCTTATTGAATGTGATATCAACTGATTCTCCACATTATTACAAAGGCAGCACAGAAGGTAAAACAACTCGATTTTCAGAAGATCATTACTTGAATGAAATCATAAAGGAAAAGACTCTTTACAAGTTGGCAATTATAGGAGTTTTGGGTGATAATCCTATGGAATGTGATAACTCCCATTTGTTTGAACTTTATAACGCATTTAAGCACAGGTTGGTTGAAGATGAGTCAAGTTCAAAATCAAATACAAGTCGACAGCCATTAGGTGATTCGGCATCATCAAAGATCTCAGTTTATCGATCAAGAACTGTGGGAGAGATTAACTTTAGTGATTTACCTAAATTCAGCAATTACCCTAAACAGTATAAAAAGTATTTGGAATATCCACTTAAGGATTTAATTGCTCTTGAAACAGTGGCAAATCATAAATACAAATTCCCTTCAAGTTTAGTAAACTTTGATAACTTTGATTATCCATTACCAATTTCTTGGGTTCCATTGGTGTCAAAGAGATACTTGAGTCATTTGGAAACAAATTTAAATTTGAAACTTAATAATGTGAATGGGTATTCTTCATTGGAGTTGAAAGGAAGTAAACTTCCTCTGGAGGAAAAGTCTAAGTATTACAATTTCATTACAGATAAACATATCAATTCATCAGCTGGAATCTTTTATTATGAGCTTGAAGTAGAGCAAACATCAAATGAAGCCAACGCTCACAAAACAATTATATCTATGAATGATCAATCCATGAGCTCTGAATCATCGTTATATATATGTGCTGGTTACACCAAACGATTCTTCAATCTCGAAAATCCCATTTCGTCAAGTGCTCCTGAATTATTCGATCTTGATAAGATCAAAGATGAAATCTATTACAAAGAAACAGTGGAAGAAATCCAGACTGTTGAAAATCTATTGATATTAAAACCAGGAATCTTTAAAGGTAGTTTTGCAGTTGATTTTGAAAACCTGACATTTTATAACTCAGTTAAAGGTTTAGAATACCAACAAAGGACATCATTAGTGAATGGGGTTAGAAGATTATCTTCCACATTGGGTAGACCCTTAAATGATCTTGATGCTGGTAAAATTGATATTGGAGTTCCATTTAGAACCAAGATATCTAAAGACGTTAACACTAGGACTTATAAGACTGATACTATTGGATGTGGGATTAATTTCATTGATAAGTCTATTTTCATTACTTTGAATGGTGTTTTGGCTAGAGTTATAAGAGACGAAGAGTTATACTCTTCAAGTTCATTAGAGGATAACTTATTTTCTGAAAAAGATAATGATGTCTATCCTTTTGTTGGATTCCAAGTTGATGAATCAAGTGATGGATCTGTCCGAATGAAAACAAATTTTGGATTTAAAGAATTCAAGTTTAATATTGGGAATTATGTTAAAAACTTCAAGATTGAAAATCAAAAGTATTTATATTTGTCTTTATTAGATAAAATCAGTAACGATCCAGTTGAGAAGTCACTTAAGGAGGATTCCAAAATGTTGAATCAATTAATAAAAGGTTATCTTAATCATGAAGGTTACTTGGAAACTTTCAAATCATTTAACGCTGATCTTAAAAACTTGTCACAAGAGGTGAACAAAGTGGTAGATGATGATGATACTTTGATTTTAAAGAAATCACACGCTACTAACAGACAAATCATAAAGAATTACCTCTTGAGCAATGAATTTGAACTTTTGCTTAAATTCTTGTCTTTGAATTATCACAAGATCTTCAGTTCTCCTAAGAATGCACTGGTGCTTTATGAGATTGATGTTTTACGTTTGACATATTTATTAAGAAACTACATTGAAAGAAAATTGGGTCGTTATGAGTTTGATTTTGAATACAAAGAATCAGAAGAAGAATTGTATCAAAAGGCTTATAGTTTCAGAGATCAATTACAGAACACATACAAAGATTTAAGTAGAATCAACGAATTGAGTGCTGCTCTTTTGGTCAAGGATGAAAAAGGGTTGCGTAATTTACCAAATGTTAATGCTGCCTTCCAAAATTATTCGAAAAACATATCCACGTTGTTATCTGACATTAATAAAATTATCTTACAAAGTCTTGGCTTTAGTAAAAATTCGAACTTGGAATCAATATTTGAGAAAGTGAACAACAATATTCGTACTCTTAGTTTAAATGATGACAAGTTTACATTGGTAAATTTCGAGAAAGATCATGTAGATTTATAGATTAGCTAGCTATAATTTATTATAAATCAATCTACTTCCGTCTTTTCTTCTTTTGAGGACCATCGTCTAGATCCTCCTTCTTTGTAGAGTTTGATCCATCTGTATCATTAAATGCTTTAATGTCTGTTTCATCGACAGTAAACGGTATTTTCACATCGGATAATTTATGAAGTCTATTCAAATAGATTTGTTCAAGTGACCAAGCACCTCTTTCGAACACCTGTATGCTGATGTCTTTTCTATTACTCACAAGTTTGAAGTATACAGGCAAGAGTTCTTCAATATATTCTTTTACATTGTATTTGATGGGTGTTCCTGGACGCGTTGGCTCTACCACGTAATAAATGAAACTTTCATCACTGAAGAATGGGGGAGCAAGCTTTTCATTTATCTTATGGAGCAAAGACAACATCAAACTAGCTGTAGCTGGTCCTACTCCTCTCAATTCAGATAACTTTTTCAAAGAGCTTTTAACTGTGTCTTGATATTGTTTGGTACCAAATCTGTCTTTGAATTGTAGCAAAATATCAAAACCAGCTGTTGTAGTCTCCTTGACCACGTCAGCTTCATTGCTCTTAATTAACTTTGGTAACATAGGTCTGAACTTACCGGCTGCAAGTTTCCAGTCCATTAGTAACACTAACTCATCCTTTGTTAACCAAGTGTGCTTTTTACTTTTGAATCTTTCTTCAAGTATAGATGGTAACTCAACTTGTCTCCAATTAGTCAATTGTTCGAATGTATACTTATCACCACCATATTTCTTAACTGATTGATTTGATATCTCCTCAATGATCAACTTATATAGATCAGTACCAGCCTTCACTATATGGTCAAATTCCTTACTCATGACTTACAGTATAAATGTGTTGTATTTATATATATATATTTATTATCGCGTTCTGAAAAGTTAGTGCGAATTCTATGTACATGGTTTAATTATTACCTTTAAACACTCCGAGTTTATTTTCGTTAATGACATTAATAGCATCCGGGTTACGTGATTTAGAATAGTTGACTCTGTTTCTTGTGGTGAAACTAACAGGAAGAACTATATCCATTATTATGTTTTGTACTAAGGAATAGAATTGAGAGCTTAGCCAATATAATGTTAATGCAGTAGGAGCATGTAAGGAAATAGACATTAAGAATACAACTGCCATTCTTGAGATATTAGCAACAGCATCTGTTAATGTAGGTCTAAGTCTTTTTCTTTGACTTGGTCTTAGCAATTCAAATGTTTTAAACGTCCATTCCACATTACATAAAGCAACAATCCCAAGGATCAAGGGGAATGCATGTAATTGATCAGCAGTTGTAAGATCAGTGAACCATAAGAGACCCTCCTTATATAATGCTGGATCCAATGCTTTGTTTGAGAGATTATCCCATGAAGTCCAACCACTAAGATCTCTCATACAGACAGACATAGCAACCCATAACGGTATTTGAAAAGCTGGTAATATCATATTTTTCCATAATTGAACATCATTTTTCTTGAATAAAGCCTTTTGTCTTTTTCTAGTTTCCTTTGATGCTAAGATTAATATTTGTTCATAACTCATATTGGCCAATGGAGATTGACTTACAGCCACAGCTTCAGTACCAGTTGCTTCGGATGCTGCCATCTTTGCTAGTTGTGATTTCCTGGCTAGATTTAAACGTAATACTGGATTCATAGCACTTATTATAGGTCTAAGCTGACTTTGCTTCCTTACTCTCTTTCTTTGTAGTATAGCCAATGGTAAAGTCCATACTGATCTTAATCCAAATGTAGTAAGAGGGATAAGAGCCCACCATGGCATTCCAGACATTGTATGAAGGGCCTGCATTGATTCTGTCATTGAACCTACAATAGCAGCTATTTCCATGGTATACTTTCGTTTTTGGATATGATTTGGAAGTCCATACTGAAACAGCCGTATGAGACTAGGACTCCTTCCATAAGCTCGTAACATTGTTGAAGCTATCTGTCTACCTATATCAAGTTGGGTTTATATCGTACAATAAACTTACAGAAAAAAAAATTGTATAGGTGAAAATTTTGGTCACATGATCAAATTTTGTGGTGAAAAATCTGTAGTAAAGAAATTGAAAAAACACAAATGGTGATAACAAATTATGATCATATAGAGGGTAATATATCTACAGACATGTCATCAAGAAGTGAAAGAGCATGTATGCTCTGTGGTATAATCCAACCATTCAAGAAGTTTGTTGATCAAGGATGTCCAAATTGTGAAGGTCTTTTACATTTCCAAGATAATGAGGATGGACAAGTTCAAGAATGTACTTCACCAGCATTCGAAGGTTTAGTGGCATTGGGTAGTGATAATAGAAACTCATGGGTAGCAAGATGGCTAAGAATAGATTCTTTCGCATCGGGTCTTTATGCTGTAAAAGTTAATGGTAAATTACCTCCTGATATAATAAGTGAATTAGAAAATCAAGATGTTGTGTATAGACCTAGAGATGGAAGTGCCGAAGATTGATTGATTGATTGATTTATTAATCAAAAGAAAAGTTATCTTGTATTATACTATCGAAAACCTCAAAAATATAAAGTTCAGTTCTATTTAAAAATAATTTATTTATTTATTTGTTTGTTTATTATTTATTTATTTCATTTATATGAAGAATATAAAAAGACTAATTACGATCCATTTTTCATGTCATTTTTAACCAGTGTAATCACTGATCTTAATTTATTAATAGTGTCAGATTTATCCCAAACACCTCTATCAGCCCAGATGATATCCATTAATTTGGCCATCACTATTTCTAATCTTTCAACATTGTAATTATTTGTAATTTGAAGAAGATCTTGATAGAATGAGTCAAATTCAGTTTGATTCAAATCAAGTGGTTTTTCGGTGTCAATGTCTACATCTTCTATTTCGGATTCGGAATCAATATCTTCATCAACAACAGCGCCAGTATCGATATCCATAGCAGAATCTAACGGATCAACATCTGACTTCTCAGTGACAGAAGTAATTGGTTCAGTGGCGTCTTCTCGAATAACCTCTTGAACAGTTTCTGTAACAACTTCTGTAATAGCTTCTGTAACAGGTTGTGGTTCTGGTTGTGGTTCTACTTGTTCTTGTTTTTCTGCCTCGACTTTTTCATTCAATAATCCCTCTAAAGGAGCTGCTGATCCATTCTCTTTCACTTCATCAATTACTATTGGATCTTCAACATGTCCATTTTCTTTTGCTATCTCTTCGTTACCAGAATCGACTCTTTCAATAGTTGATAAATCTTTGATATTTGCCAACAGTTGTCTTCTGAACTCATCGGTTAATTTCTTATGATCTTGTAATAATTTTTCTTGTCTTTCAAGTTCTCTAGCTCTCATATCACGACAAGCATTAACGAAATCTGGAGTACTGAAATCATCAATACCAAATTGTGCATTGGTTAACATTTCGTTAGCCTTTAATATTCTTTCTCTATCTCCTGATGTGATAGAATCCTTAACGATCATCTTAATATCCTTAAGGAATTGTTTTGGTTCACTATAATATCCATTCCATAAACGTTCTTCAATGATATCCAAATCCATATTATGAAAAAATCTACCTGTTGTTAATTCCAAGATCATATTTTCATGTTTAGGATCTTCAGATTTAACATATAATACTTCATATTGATGAAGTGGGTTATCAATCACGGTTGGATCGAATAAATGATAAAGTAAATTCTCATCAATGATTGGTTTCTTGAATCTTTTATATCTATTTTTGAATAAATCCATTAATCCCGCTAATTTTATTTTTAACACATTCTTTAATTTAGCATCATTATATTCAATTTGTTTTAATTTCTTCTTATCTATTTCTGCACTTGATTTATCAGTAGCATCTTTGATAACTTTTAAAGTCTTTAATTTCCTCTTTGGTCTATTTTGTAAATCATTAATAAACTCATATGGTTTCATACTTAATGTTTTTAATAAACTTTCAAAATAAATTTGTCTTTGAGATACATTTGGATTATGTAAATTAACATTATTGGCAATACTATTGATTCCAAATAAGATTTTAATTTCAGGGGATAATTCTTCTTCCGAGGTTTCAGAAACACCTAAAAGAAGGATCTTTTCGGTACTTTTAAGACTTCGAAGTAAACTTGATAAAGTAGCTCTAGCAGAATAAGGAACCACTTCGAACCAAACATCGATATTTGGAATAAATAAAATAGAAGGCTGACTTCTTCTAGCTTCAATGAATGCTTGAACAATACTCAGTTCTGGAGTTCTGGTTGAATCCCCAAATACATTACCCATATCTAAAGATTGAACTTGGAAACCTTCTAAATGATTTAATATAGCACCACTTATATATTGTTGTCCATTACCGGGACCACCACTTACTAATAAATGAGGTTTACAAATTCTTGAACCCTCCAAGTTTCTTAATAATTGTTGTCTTGAAAAACCTCCATCAGCATCATTGATTGATGGGTCGAAATATAAGGCTTCATCCAATGCAGTTAATTTCTTTTGACCTGGGACACCAATTGAATTAGGTAATAAATCACTTAATTTAGTGGTAATTTCCAATAAACTATCTTGTAATAAAGGTTTTAAATGATCAGGTAATGGTGCTGAACCAGTTGATGAAGATCTTGCACTGGATGGAACTATTTTTTCAATTGCTTTCATGAAATCTTTAGCTATGATTTTAACTTTGGCAGGATGAACCTGTAACTTTTCATTAGTTTGATAAATTTGAGGATACTTTCTTTGAATACTATTTAAAGCAGCTTCAGTACATAATGCTCTTAAATCTGCCCCACCGTAACCTTTGGTTAATTCGGCAATCTTTTCCACAAATGTATCTTGTAAAGGAGGAGTCCATTTTCTAGTTTGAATTTTAAGAATTTCCTTTCTAGCGTTTATATCAGGTAATGGGAAATAAAATTCACGATCGAATCTACCTGGTCTTCTTAAAGCAGGATCAATTGAATCAGGTCTATTAGTAGCACCAATGACAATAACTTGACCTCTATTATCCATACCATCCATTAATGCTAATAAAGTAGAGACGATACTAGCATGGATTTGTTCTTGTTTTGAAGATCTTACGGGAGCCAAACCATCAATTTCATCAAAGAATATGATGGCCGGTTGTTGATTTTTAGCTTCTTCAAATAAAAGTCTTAATTGTCTTTCAGCTTCACCAACCCATTTACTTAAACAATCAGCTCCCTTTCTCATAAAGAACGTGATTTTTCTTTCTGCAGTTGAACAACTGGCAGCCAAAGCACGAGCCATTAAGGTTTTACCTGTCCCTGGTGGACCATGGAATAAAACTCCTCTTGGAGGAGTTATACCAAAATTTTGATATAATTCAGGGTATAATAATGGTAAAGCTACCATTTCTTTCAATTGATTTATATAATTATCAAGTCCTCCTACAGCGGTGAAGTCAATATTCATATCAATACCTAATGGATCAGTATCACTTAAATTATTTTTCTTTTTACCATCTTTAGCATTTGGATCGGATGAACCAGCAGTTATAAGTTTAGTATTATTAATCATATTAGAATTATTAGCAAATCCACCGTTAGCTCCACCTCCATTAAGTAATGATTTGGCAGGTTTCTTACTTATAGTAGCTTCACCATTTACAGGAGCGATTTCTTCATCTGAACTATCTGAATCACTAAGATTCTGACCAATGGCAGTTAAACCATTATCATTGGTCATACCTGGGATAGGGATTCCACCAGGAGGGATATTTGTTCCGAATAATGAAATAACATCACTACCACCAAATGGACCAGCAGTTGGAAATAAGATTTTTCTATATTCACTTTTATTAGTTGATGGTCTACCTTTTCTACCTCTACCACCGATATTGATGGGACTTAGTTGTTTATTGAATAATTGAGTTTCATTGGTGATAGGGGGTGGAATGGTATAATCTATGGCTTGATTTCTATCTCTTAATTTATGTTTTATAGGACTTGCATCAGGAGAAGAATCATAAAGTTCGGCAAGTTCCTTTTGAATATCATCTGGTTCTTCATCTTCTTTAGTTAAATCAGCATCATCGAGATTAGCTTTAGCAGCAAATTTAGGTTCAGCTGATCTTGACCTTGATCTTGTGGTCTTTCTCTTTTTCTTTTTCCGAGCATCACCATAACCATAATCTTCAGATAGATTAGCATCATCATCACTAGCAATAAAGTTTTTCCGTTGTAGTTTATCCACGAAATCATCATCTTCAGATATTATATCATCTTCTTCATCTTCGAAATCGCCACCTTCAAAATCATCATCGGAATGGATTTGTCTAGCTGGTTTAGTTTTCTTTGATTTTCTTTTTCTAGTTTTAGGTTGATCATCATATTCATCATCTTCATCTTCAAGATAATCTTCAGCATCACTTTCCTGTTTGGTCTTGATTTGAGGGGGTGGAATATCTTCTATAGTATCATTGATACCATTAACATCTTCATCATTGACGGTATCATTTGGATCTGGTTTCACTTTATCATCATCGAGATCATCATCTTCATCGTCATCATCTTCTCTATAAGATACCACAGCTCTTGCTCTTCTCGAATGGGATGTGAAGCTTGAATCGAACTCCAAGTCCTCATCATCATCATCGATCTTCGATCCTCTACCTCTTTTAGCCATACTTACTCGCTTGGTTGTTTTTCCTTGTAACTATGTCAATTTAGATGCTATACAATGAATTGCAAAGGGAATAAATAATTAAATAGCACCTTTAAAACTCTAGCACGATAAACTCAGACCTCAATAGTTATATCACACACTTTCCAATAACTGTAATAACTGATATATTGATGGTATTAATAATAATTATGAATTTTTGAACCGGCACTTTTTCTCTTTTTTGTTTTTTGCTGTGATTTTTTCTGTGAGATAAAAAAAAAAAAAAAAAAAAAAAAAAAAAAATAAACAACAAACATTTACTTTTACGTAACCAGTTAACAGTACATGGTCCATACATAAGATTAAACCAACTTTTATAATTTGTTAATTAAATAAAGTATAGTTATGGAGATAGATATGAATAAACTAATGAATTACAGTTATAGATAATTTTACTAGAGGAAATAGTGTAATTTTGATAATTTTTTTTTAAAAAAAGGATAGGGTAGATAATTTTTTTTTGATTAAATCTTGTAAATAATAAATGCTGCATTTTGACTTGATTTATAATTTAAGTTTCTGTAAAGTAATCAATTTGCAACCATTTTATTATGATCAGATTATGAGTATTTATAGTAATAGTTGTTTTGTCTCTCTTTGTATGAAGAAAAATTTTGCTCGTCGATAAAGCTTAAAAGAGGGGAAGAAGAAGGCTGGTGGTCGTGTGTAAGTGACCAAATTGGTTTAGACACATCATTTAAATAAATTGATATTCACCCTATGGATATACAACTGGGGCATTTACTACAGTTTATGTATATTGAAATAGTAGAATAATAGATTTAAGAAGAATAACGGTTTGAGAGCAGGATTCGGTAACATTGTAAACGAGTGTTAATAGTAAATTTACTCCAAAATTTCACCATTCTCTTCATACTTACATGATTTTCGCAACTTATTTATCATAACTTTTCATTAATATTTACAAGTTTTATAACCACTATTTACATACCTATCGTTCACTTTTCAACTGAATTCCCTCTTATTTCAACTCTTTCAATCGGCAACTTATGTTTAGTGGAATTAGCATCAACTCCATAACTCAAATCTTTTCCAATTTTACAATCACTAACAAATCTCTTCCCTTGTTCAACTCCTAATCTATCTAATATCTTAGTTGATAATCCTGGCATAACAGGATTAATCAATATCGATGATATTCTTGAAGTCTCACTAGCTAAAAATGTATAAAAATTAATCACCACTTTAATTTGTTCATTAACTTTTATATCATCTTTATTTTGTTTAATCTGTTTCACTAATAACCATGGTTCAGCATTTTGAAATAAATAATTGGCTTTATCAATGATTAACCACCATTCTTGTATAGCTCTAATATAATCAAATTTAATTATCTTCTCATTCATCTTCTCATATATTGAATCTAACCCAATAATCAACTCATCTTTAGTTTTAATCAATTCTTCAACTTTAGATTTATCCACTGAATATTGTTCAATCAATTCATTAATCCCTTCATATTTCTTATCATGATAATATTCAATACTTTCTCTAATATTAAATGATTTACCTCCGATTCTAGTTACTAAATTAGCATATTTCCCAATGATCATATCTCGAGATAATACTAATAAATTCTCACTAAACTTACAATCATCATCAATATTAGAATTCTCCATTAAAAAGAATCGAATCGAATCTTGACCATAATAAGCAAGCATTTCTAAAGGATCAACCACATTTCCTAAACTCTTACTCATTTTAAATCCATCACTTAACCAATGTGAATGAACAATAACTTGTTTGGGAACATCAACTCCAGCTGCCATTAAGAAAATAGGCCAATATATACAATGGAATTTGATAATATCTTTCCCAACTATATGAGTTGCAGGCCATGGATTATCTTGTGGTGTGATATATCCATCATCCGTCTTTGTAAATGCTTGAGGATAACCTGTAGCGGTAATATAATTTAAAAGTGCATCGAACCAAACATAAATCTTTTGACTTGGATCATTGGGGACTTCAATACTCCATTTTAATCGACTGGAAGGTCTTGATATTGATAAATCTTCAAATTTCGTTTCTCTTAATTCCTTTAAAATTTGATTATATCTTTGCGTTGGTAAGATGAATTCAGGATTAGCTTCAAAATGTTTAAGTAATTGATCTTGGAATTTACTTAATCTAAAGAAATAATTGATCTCATCTTGATACACCACTTCATTTCGTGATTCCTTAGCAATCATTTTCTTATTATTATCTTTATCAATGATTTCTTCAATTTGAGTCTCTGGATAAAATGTCTCATCACTAATGGAATACCAACCACTATGAGATCCTTCATAAATATAACCCTTTTCCATCATTAAATTCCAGAAATACTTAACCACTTCAGCATGATCAGCATCAGTAGTTCTCATGAATCTATCATAGTTAACATTCAAAACTTCAGCAAGATTTTTAAAATTTTGAGAAACTTGATCAACTAATTCCTTAGGTTCCATATTTAATTTCTCAGCTGCTGCTTGAATCTTTAATCCATGTTCATCTGTCCCAGTTAAGAAGTATGCCTTATTGGTAGGATCCAATTTCTCCCATCGAATCCTCGTATCTCCAAGTAGCATCGAATATAAATGTCCTAAATGAGGTTTGGCATTAACGTAGAATATAGGAGTAGTGATATAGAATGGCTTGGTGCTATTCCATCGTTTTGCAAGCACAATAGGAGATCGACTTGACCATTTTATTCCGACCCCCTTAATCATTATCAGTGTATAGCTACTATCAATGGGTTGTAGATTAGGTGGGTTGATTCGACTTTTTGATCTGATTTTCATCAACGACTCCACTAAAAAAAAAATCAAACCATATTGCGCGAGAGCTTTTTACAAAAATTACTTCACTAACAGTGATTGTTATATATTAAGGTGTACACATGAATTGAGTTCTTGTTACACATGCAGAGTAGAATAATAGATCTAATGGGATTCTTACTCAGATTTAAATATATATATATATATTATGATATCTCTTGTACTTATTCAAAAACACTAGAGAAGAGACATTATCTTGTTTATAAATCAGATTTTTCAACAAAGATTGTCATCAATGCAAATACTGAATAGAACATAAAAAGAGGATATGCTACTAATGGTCTTGCATTATGTAATTTCAAAACTGCCACGAAAAATCCTGATGCTGAATAAGTACACCATACTACCGCAAATGTACTTAATAAATAACCAAAAAGATTATCTAATGACAGCACCACACCTATCACATTTAATAATACTAATGGTAATAAACAATAACCAATGACAGAAGCAGATCTAGCTAAATCAATTTGATTATCATTACCCATGAATTTAAATAAATAATGCAAACTAACAGTACCAAAAAGTCCCACACCATATATATAACCAAATTGAACTTTACCTGATAATAATAATAAAGTACCAATTAATAATACAAAAAGTATTGGACCTGCTAAATCTGAATCAGCCATTATATCAGCACCAATATTTTGATTTACAGGATTTAATACAGCTAAAGTTTTAGATTTAATATGTTGGAAATTTATCCCTAATTCTTCAAGTAATGGAGGTTCACCAGGATAACCAGATGTACCGAATGCAGCAAGTATACCAGGAGTTAATTCTCCATTTCCCATAACTCCACTGACATCTATATTACCTCCAAAACTATTATCCATAGATCCTAGATTGCCTCCGGCTGTATTTGGTTGTTGATATGAGTTGGAATAATCCGATTGATAGAATTGCATGTTTTGGGCATTGTTATACTGTTGTTGATAGTAAGCCATGATGAATTAATTATATTACACGTATGATAAAGGGGTTGATGATGGATAAAATCGAATATTATGCTTGCGATCGTGGTGGGCTATTATTCTGCTTCTTCCAGTTCTATAATGTGATGGATAGAATATTTCAATCTTTTTGTCAAATCAATTGATCACAATCTATTTTGTATATATATGCAGTGATCACAATCAGAAGTGATGGATGTAGATTGATTGATTATAAGTTTGTTTATGATGATTCTTTACACCACCCTGTTGAATAATTGAAAGAACAAAAATCAAAACTTCAAAAAAAAAAGACGCGGTCGTGTAAAATTCAAACTTTGTCATTCAAATAATCGCTACCACAAAACCTGAAAGTAGGTAGTTGTTTGGTTAATCAAGCAAGCAATATTACAGATATATACATTTAAAAAGAATTCTGACAGTCCATTATATCCTAGGGAAGTAACATAAGATTGATTTATTAAAGAAAGGATAACGTTAAGCGAACGTTAGCTTGATATACAACGTGCTTACACGTATGGCAGTTCCATGAGTATTTACACACCATTTCAATATTTATTATCGTTAATTTAGGATGAAAAGTAAGAAAGTAACACATTAAATTGATTTAATTAATTAATTAATTGAGTTAAATCAAGTTAATTCTAGTTATATTTTACTTAAAGGATTAAATTAACATGGTAGCATCCATAAGAAAAAAATTCACGTGATAAATACAATTTAAAACATCTGATTTTTCAAAATTTGAAAAAATTTGAGTCACAGTGGCCGAGTGGTTAAGGCGACGCCCTGCTATTGTTAGCGGTTTAGGCGTTGGGATTTTCCTTCGCAGGTTCGAATCCTGTCTGTGACGCCATGTTTATTTTTCTTTTTTTTTTGAAAGTTCTCCATACCAATTATACAGAGTCAACATATCCATGAAATATTATATTAACTCGCTGTATCTATGATTTATATTACAATCAGATATCAATTAATAATGACCAGCTACCAATGTAATCATTATATATTGTATCTTGGTATGACTGACTACTAGTAGTTAGTTAGCTGAAGTGATTGTGTCCTGATCTGATTTCCTGTATAAAAACCTCTCAAAAGATCATGAACAAAAAGAAAGGGCTGTTGGAAAATTATCTGTACCAAAAGTTTATCGTATTTCCAATACTTTGTACGTCCAACCAGCCATTATCTCTAAGATATCATGTCCCAATCACTAATAATATTTAGACGTTCAGGGAAGATAGAATATCAATCCAACAATAAAGTCAGTCCCTTCAATGAATTCATCTCCAGCATTGTTAATGAGACTCATTTAGCGTTAGATAAAAATTTCTATACTAATAATTTACATCAAAAGAGATTTTATGGTTATCATAAAGATAATACATTTGTGGCATTATACTTTGATGCTGTCACTACTATTGATAGTGAAAGAGTCAAAGCTACTTTAAGTGGAATTGCAAAGACATTTAATAAATTGAATGAAGATAATGATGATAATGATGATGATGAAGAAGTTCCTAGTAATGACAAATTGAAAAAGTTAATCGATTTACAGATAAATCAACTTATCAAATATAAACAAGTTGAAACTCCTAATCAAAGAGATTCTCCTTCAAGTAGTGTGAATAATAGTGGTACTAGTACTCCTGTCAAGAAAGGTCATGCTAATAGATCATCCGCTAGCAAGAAAATGAGAAAATGGGATGGAGGAATCATGGTTGATGATGTTGAAGATAAAACTCTTGATTATTCAGAAATACGAGATGATAGTGTTCCACCTGAAGATGCTGAACCATTAGAAATCGATGAATCGGCATTCATTCGTCAAAATGATTTGGTTCTTGTTAATGAATTGAATGATATTCTTGGTGATTCTGATAATGATGATGATTATGATGATAATGACGAACCTTCTGGTAAGATAAGTGGATTCTTTGGAAAATTATCTTCTTACTTGGGTGGATCTATTAATGTTGATGAAGTATCTAAAAAATTTAATGATCATTTAATTTCCAAAAATATTGCTCCTCAAACAGCAAAGATTATTATAGAAAAACTTAAAGATAAATTAGGTAATAAAAACGTTACTATGGTTAATTATAAACAAGCATTAACTGAAGAGTTAACCAAGATTTTAACTCCAAACGTTTCCACTGATTTATTATATGATATAAAACGTAATAAAGCTAATGATAAACCTTATGTTATATCAGTAGTTGGAGTTAATGGTGTTGGTAAATCAACTAATTTGGCTAAATTAGCTTATTGGTTTTTACAAAATAATTTGAGTGTATTGATTTGTGCATGTGATACATTCAGATCAGGAGCAGTTGAACAATTGAAAGTTCATGTTAATAGTTTAAAACGTTTAAATGATCAAGTATCGAATGGTGAAGATACTAAAATTGATATCTATGAAAAGGGGTATGGTAGTGGTGATCACGTAGTTCAAACTGCCAAAGGTGCTATTCAACTCGCTGGCCAAGAGAAATATGATATAGTTCTTATTGATACAGCTGGTAGAACCCATTCAAATACAAAACTTATGGCTCCTCTCAAGAAATTTGGTGATGCTGCTAACCCAGATAGAATTATTATGGTAGGTGAAGCCTTAGTTGGTACTGATTCTGTTGAACAAGCCATCAACTTCAACAATGCATTTGGAAATAAGAGAAGTTTGGATTTCTTTATCATCTCCAAAGTAGATACCGTAGGTGATATGGTTGGAACTATGATTAATATGGTAATGGCTACAAAAGTTCCAATTTTATTCATCGGTACAGGTCAAACATATACTGATATCAAGAGATTGAGTATTAAAACTGTGGTTGACCAGTTAATGAGATAGTCTAGACTGACTAACTAATAATAATAATAATAATAATGTATACTACATAGCATAGTCTAGTAAAGTAATGTAAAACTAATATATAACATGTTCTAAGTATTATCACAATCATCATTATCGTTGTAGCCAAGTGCTGAAAAAAAATGGTTTCCCAAAATAGAAATGCGGAATGTGCAGTATTTATTGTTTAAAAGTGTATTCAATTTTCTCGATTTAAGCCCTCTTGATTAAGAAATTACATCCAATTGAATCAACCAATTCCAGTTAGATTACTTGATCTGATTGTTTTCACGGTTGATAGTGAATCTGTGTTAGTATTCAACATACAATACTGGTGAATATTTGACTTTTTTGGTCTTTTAATGGTTGCTAAAAAGTAAAACGTCATGGCTCAAATCAAAGTAGATACAACGTCATCGGTGCCAATTGAAAAGAAATATGATCTATATTTGAAGATTAGTCCTAACCTGGCAGCCAATTTGGTGACAAAGCTGGTTGATATCAATCCAAAGAGTTCAAAATATTCCTCCAGGAAGAGTGTGAATCCTTTATTGGTGGCTTCATTGAATAAAACAAAATTACAGACAACTAGAAAGCTTAATACTAATAATCCAAGTTGGAAGAATGAAATCCTAATGAAATTATCTATGGAGGATTATTGTCAGATCTTAACTTTAACCATCTGGGATAAACATGCAAAATATAAGAATTACTTAGGAGAGGTTAGATTTTCATTGCAGGACTTATTTTGTCCTGATGCTAAATTTAGAAACAAAACTGATTTAAAATGGTATCAGATGTATTCCAATAAGGATTATCAAGCATTTGTGACTGGATCAGTATTGGTATCATTTGAGTTGATACTAAAGCTGAAAAGACTTAATCGGAAGGATAAGCGTCTTCATAAATTAGAACAAGAAGTAGCAAGATCAACTGAAAATTTACAAGATTTAACTATTTCAAACCAAGTCAATATTAATGACTTATTGAGTTTATTCGAATCATGGACTAAATCCTTGATTAGACCAAAAATTGATCCAGGACCGGATGAACAAGGTTTTTACAATGATATTGATAATATTTCTAATGATTTATCTGATATGGAATCCGTTGTAACATCAAATAAGGATATCGAATTTGATGGGTCAACAGCTGATGTTTCTACAGGATCTGATGCTGGAACTGGAAAGACCGAGACAAGCTCAAATGGTCCATTTTCAAGTACTTTATTGCTTCCATCTTCCAGCTCTTATTTAGGTGTATCAGATAGTCAATATTCCATTAATTCTGGTAGTAGTTCTGATATTTCAATAATGTCCTCCGATGGGGCATTTCTTAGTGATTCTGAGTTTGGTCCTGGTGCCAAACCTCCCAAAAAATCATTATTACAGAAGGTTGGACTTAAAAGGAAAGCAATGCAAGATAAATTTCAATTATCAAATAGAAGTGTTTTGGGAGTTATTTTTATAGAGATTGTTTCATGTTCGGACTTACCACCACTTCGAAATCTAACTAGAACTTCATATGATGTTGATCCATTTGTGGTTGTAACATTTGGGAAGAAAACATTCAGAACAAGTTATAAAAGACATAATTTGAATCCTGTCTTTAACGAACGATTAGCATTTGAGATTCTTTCTCATGAAAGAAATTTCAAACTTCAATTTTCAGTCTTGGATAATGATAAACTTACATTCCATGATCTCATAGCTAGTATTTCTATTCCTATGAGTGATATTACCGGGAAAGCAACCGCACTATACCCTGATGTACTGCAGTCATCTTTCTTGAGACCAGATGATAGTGAAATGGAAGATGGTGGTTTTTCCACAGGAGATAATGGTTATAATCTGACTACTTCACATATCAAAATCTTGGAGAATGACCATGTGGGTGAATCAATTAAGAAGAAAAAGTTTATTGTGAAGAAGAAATCACCTGTAAACCAGGGAGATGCTTCAAAATTTAAAACTATGAATTTAGTCTTGGATTTGAATGACAAGAAGTATGTTGATAAATATAAACCTGAATTGAAAATAAGAGTAAGATTTGAAACTTATGAGAACTTACGAAGAAAGTTTTGGAAAACATTGCTTGAACAATATCAACTTAATGATAAAGACAATTATTACGATTATTTTGAATTGATTACATTATTGGATACACTTGGATCTTCTAATAGTGATGATGTGGTTGCGAATTTCTATGAGAAATTGGGTAAACTGTCATGGGGTGGAGATCTCTTATCCCATAATGAGATTATAGATTGTTTAGAAGATTTAATGAAAAAGGAAAATGCAACCGATCTTAAAATCTTTGAATTTGATAAGTGTCCATTATGTCTTAAGAAACGATTGACGAAAAAAGATGACATAGATATAATCACCCATGTTGCAATCTGTGCTTCGAAGGATTGGAGTATTGTCAATAAGTTAATTGTATCTTCATTCGTTTCACCACAACTTGCTACAAAGAGATGGTTTACCAAAGTTTTAATTAAATTAGCATACGGAAAGTATTCATTGGGAGGAAATTCTGCCAATATATTGGTTCAAGATCGATTAACTGGGATTATTATGGAAGAAAAAATGGGAGTATATGTACGATTAGGTATTCGTTTATTATACAAGGGTTTAGATAAAGCTAGAACTAAGAGAATTAGAACATTATTACGGACATTAAGTATAAAACAAGGATCCAAATTTGATATGCCAAGTCTGAAGAATGATATCAATGCTTTTATAAAGTTTCATAAGTTGGATTTATCTGAATGTGTTAAGTCTAATCCAAAAGATTTTGAAACATTTAATGATTTCTTTTATAGAAAATTAAAACCAAACGCTAGACCATTAGAATCACCATCAGATAGTAGGGTTGTTACATCACCAGCCGATTGTCGTTGTACTGCATTTGAAACTGTAACTTCAGCCACTGAACTTTGGATAAAGGGCCATTCATTCACAGTAGCTAAATTATTCAATGGAAACTTTGAAAATCTTGAAGATGGAGATTTTTATAAGGCTGATAAATGCTCGTTAGGTATTTTTCGATTAGCACCACAAGATTATCATAGATTTCATTCACCAGTTGATGGTGTGATTAAAAGTATTAAGTTTATAGAAGGAGAATATTATACTGTTAATCCTATGGCAATTAGATCGGAATTAGATGTGTTTGGGGAAAATATCAGATGTTTAATTGCAATTGAAACTGAACATTTCGGTATGGTTGTAATGGTTGCAGTTGGTGCTATGATGGTTGGATCAACCGTTCTATCGATTGAAGTTGGTGATAAGATTCATAGAGGTGATGAAGTTGGATATTTCAAATTTGGTGGATCGACTATTATTTTATTGTTTGAAAAAAGAGTAGTTAAATTTGATTCTGATTTGATTCATAATTCCAAATCTTGTGTGGAAACTTTAATCCGTGTTGGACAGAGTATTGGGCATTCTCCTGATATAGATGAATTCGAAAGACATCATATTGATTTTAGCAAACAAAGTGATGATTTTAAATTGAAATTAATTAGGGTATTAACAGGAGGTGATTTAGGAAGTGTACAAGAATACAGTAATTGGGAGAGTAGTAATATTAAAATCACCAACAATGATATTGCTGATATTCATAGAAGTCAAGGATTAACTGATGATGATTTTGATGTTGAAGGAGATTCATTTGATGAAGAAGGACTGGTAAATAGTGACTATTAGTTTTAATATATAAATAAATATAAATGCATAGCAACAAGCGCAAGCGCAAACGTAAACGCATCACCTCACCCACGCAGACTCAGTAACGTGATTGATAATAGCCATCTGGAGAGTACATTTGATATTCTTTATATCCTCTATAGTGGAGAAGCCTTGAGAAGCCTTGAATTATGGGGTCGCACCATGGTCGTAGTTCATACAAGTCTATTAGAAGTTACCCAACAACATAGTTAAACTTTTCCACTGTACTTTATAGTTATAGTTTTTCTACATAAATAGCCATTTCCCTCGAAATAACTTTTATATAGCTCCTTGGAAGAAGGTCGTAATGTTTTTAGATTAATCCAAATACTATCTCTACAAGAAGTGCATATAGGCCACAAAAAAAAGACTGTATATAGTTGGCGTAATTTAAAGGCTGCGACAAGCTAAAGGTTGCGAATTACATTCACCTGCATAAGCAGATTATATCTCTGAATCATAGCTTTACCTTAAAGATTACTGCACTAATAGTACAACTAATAATAAAATGGAGTCCAGGAAGCTAACCATGAAAGGATACATGCTTCCTTATATTGTCAACTTATCTGCTAATTTCATTATCCATAAAACAAAAAATGGTGCACACTATGACCTTTTTGTGGATTATGATAATTGTGAAGAACTATGGAATCAAACACTTATATCATTTCCAAAAAATGATGATTTTGAGTTAGATAGGTTAAAATTATCATTTTTAATGAGTCTGTTTCAATTCATATCAATATCAAAATCTCCTTGTTTGAAGTTGAGTGACAACTACTTGTCCTCTAATAACTATATAATTGATCATCGTGCATGTTGCAATTTAATTAAGAAAGAAATCTCAAAATGTATTGAACTGAAAGGCTTTATTTCTAGGGAACAAGGCGATTCAATAATTCAGCTATGGTGTTTGTCGAATATGTTTTCTATTCCTTTTCCATTGCCTGCAAATATAAATACCAGGGCAGGCTTAAAGAAGTTCTTCACATCAAGGCGTCCTGCAATCTTGAATGAATACAATTTATTAGATCCACAATATCCAGAATTATTGACAGTGTTTTCTCCAAAAAATTATCAACCAGTTGAAATAAATACAAATAAAGTGCAAGAAGCTTTAATTACAAACAGCAGGTTAGTAAGGGTAACTAAGGACCTTGATGTGAGTCTGAACGCAAAAGCAATATGTTTAGGTCCATTATTGGCATTACTTGAAACTAAGTTTATAGAACTTAGATTTGAAGATCAAGTTTATGAGAATAATCGATCAATTCCTGATCATACTTACACTTACGAAAAGTGTGGTCAGACATACCAGGTACCGATTGAAGTAAAGGTCGGAGGTGTGTATCATTCTATGCTCAATGATAAAGATACATTTAAAGAATATACATTACAGTCAATGTATCAGATGATCTCGATGAAGAGTAGGCTAGGAATATTACTAGACCCAAAGGTAATAGTGGTAATAAAAGTATCAAGTAAAAACTTCGATGAGAAGAATAATTGCAAACTGAATCGCTATAAAATTCACTATGAAATTGGATGCTACGAGTTTGGGTCGACACAAAGTTTGACAGGAATTTTATTAATCGTTTTGAATGATCATTTAAGCACGGTAAATGAAACCTCTCTAAAACAAATGGAAGGGTTGGCTACCGAGTTAAGGAGAACGAGGGAACAAAAAGATAAAGAGGATAATTTGAATTATGAACTTGCAGAAAAAGCTTGGTCTGGTATTGCAGAGGGATACCTAAGGAATCGTGAAATGGACTATTACATTCTTCGTAATTCAAAATTCAGCATTCCCTACAAATACTTTAAATATCTAAAATCAATGTATTTATCAAGCCAAACGTTAGTGGAAAATGACTTCATAATTACTATGAAAATTCAAGGTGGAGATGAAGAGGACAGAGAGAAATATCTTTCACAGGTGGTGTTGGTAGATTACATTAATCCCGAACTGAATGTCAATACAGATCTTATACTCAAGGTTTATAATAGTGTATATGCACCAAGAGAAATTTTATCTTCGCAAGTTGAAGGTACCTTTAACGAAGCCTTATCTTTTGTGATGAGTATGTTTGCAACAGAAATTAATGTTTATGAAACTTTACGAAAAGGATTACCAGAAGGTATTGAGGTAGCGAAGCCAGATAGTGCGGGAACTAACGAGGGTCATACGAATTGCATCCCGCACATATATCTGTACGGTTACCTCAAGTGGAAAGATCCATATAATGGATTTTATATTTTAGAAGAGTATATCAAGCCTAATAAAGTAGAAAAAGCTAAAGCTCTAGAATTAGCAAAAGAAGCATTGGAATCCATACATAGCAACGGTATTATCCATGGAGATATTAAACTTTCCAATTTAATATTTGCTAGAGATAAATGCTACTTTATAGATTTTGGCATGGCCAAAATCAATTCTTTTCACAAGCTTGATGATGTTACTGAAAGAGAAAAGAAAAGTGAAATGATCAAATTAGAAAATGTAATTCAAAAGCTTCCCGATGATGATGAAATCACTGAAGATGATGAAATAACTGAAGAATAAATGGAAAGTTAAATGATGAAATTAGAAAAAGAAATTGAAAGCCTTTGGTATTCAGTTTATATTTATGTATCCTGATTTATTTAATTAAATATTAGTTTAATCAATATTATGTAGTACAGATGGAATACACCAACACCAGTAAGGTGAACATCTCTTTAATAACTTCTGATCAGTTTGTACAAAACAATGAACAACTTTTTTGGGGAATGTAAGTAAAAGATACAGTCACCTTTTCAAATATAATTTGAATGTATCATCAATTTCATGACATAATGGTTAACCGACTTGAACTCCATTTTCAACTCCATAGTAATATTAAAATCACCAACAATGATATTGCTGATATTCATAGAAGTCAAGGATTAACTGATGATGATTTTGATGTTGAAGGAGATTCATTTGATGAAGAAGGACTGGTAAATAGTGACTATTAGATTTAATATAGAAATAAATATAAATGCATAGTAACAAGCGCAAGCGCAAATGTAAACGCATCACCTCACCCACGCAAACTCAGTAACGTGATTGATAATAGCTATCTGGGGAGTACATTTGATCTTCTTTATAACCTCTTTCTTCCTGTAAATGTCTAACATTCCAACCTAAGTATTCTATCTCATGTCTGATGTTATGTATTTCATTACGTGTACGTAGTCTAAAATTAGGAAGTATAACAAAGGTAGTTAATATAGGAGGTACGGCAAGACCTATTAACAATCCTAACACAACTCTTGAACCAGACATTTCTTTATAGCAATGAAACAATGAAATAATGATAAATAAACAGTTTCGATCAAAACATTAAATAATCAAAATTTTTATTCAAAAGTGGGAAAACTGGAGATTTTAGATCGTAGACACACAGCTCACCCCAGAAAATATGGTTGCGAAGGTGGCCCACTAAAGTTTTTTCGTGGGGAATCATTCCCCGGGCACAAAATTTTTAAACCGTACGCTGCCGAGGATATCGGGTGAGATAATTAGATTGCAAAAGCTATAATAGGTTGTATACATAAAATTGGAACATCTATTTATATATGTATATGATATACTACGGTATAAAACATTAACGTCTACTGATTTAGATTATACTTTATTTTTTGTCATCATCTTTTTGACCTCCATATTTGGCTCTCCATTCATCAATTTTCTTTTCATCAATTCTCTTGAATAAGTATTGAGCCTTACCAATATTATGACCTTCTTCTAATACTAATTCAAACTTATCAGTGATTGATAAAGCTGGTGCATTCAAGATTTGATCGATTTGAACTGTGGTTTCTGGCATGAATGGATAGATTATAGCACTAACTAAGTAAACCAAGTTTAAGGCAATGGCTACTACTGCATCTGATTTTTCTGGAGAATTAGCATAAAGACTATTATCTAATTTATTATCTTGTAAGAATAAATTACCCCGAGAAGAAATAGCCATGGCAGTTTCCAACCCTTTTCTTAAACTTACAGCTTCCATGTTTTCAATATAAGTAGATAACAAAGTATTCACTTCTGATTCGAATTTATCATAATCTGGAATATTCTTAGTATCGAATTTTGGGACAACTCCATTATATTTGGCAATAGCAAATTTAACAATTCTATTAACAAAGTTACCCAAGTTAGCTAATAATTCAGAATTATTCTTAGTAACAAATTCTTCCCATGAGAAATGAGAATCTGATGATTCAGGTCTGACAGATGCTAAATAATATCTCCAAACCGATGCTGGAACTCCAGTTTCTTGAGCATTATTACCAAACACACCAACACCTCTTGATTTAGAAAATTTACCACCTTCATATTGTAAATATTCAGTAGTACTTAAATGATGTAATTTAGTCCATTTATCACCAGTACCAATTAAAGAAGCTGGGAAAACAACAGTATGGAATGGAACATTATCTTTACCCATGAATTGATATAAATCGACATTTTCAGGATTCTTCCACCATTTAATCCAATCATTTGGATCTTTATCTTTGAAATAATTAGCCGTGATTGAAACATAACCAATGGTAGCGTCGAACCATACATAAAGAACTTTACTTTCAAATCCTTCTAATGGAACAGAAGTACCCCAAGATAAATCTCTAGTAATACATCTTGATTCTAAACCTTTTTTAATCCAAGAATCAGTAATGGTCTTGGAATTTTTAGACCAAGCACCTTTTGAAGAAGCTTCAGCCACCCATTCAGCTACTTTTTCTTCTAATTCAGGAAGTTTAAGATAAATATGAGTAGAGTTTCTAACCACTGGAGTAGCACCATCAACTTGACAACGAGGATTGATTAATTCTAATGGATCAAGAAGGTTACCACATTTATCACATTGATCACCTCTAGCATCTTCATAACTACAAGTTGGACAAGTACCTTCAACATATCTATCAGCTAAGAACTTATTATGGGATTCACAGTATAATTGAGGAACAGTTTTTTCTTCTAAATAACCATTTTTGTATAATTTAAGGAAAATATCATGAGCGATTTCTGTTTGTTGAGTAGTTGGAGTTCTACCGAAATAATCAAATCCAATATCAAACCAATCATAAACTTCTTTATGGATTTTATGATATTTATCACATAATTGTTGAGGAGTGATTTTATCTTGTAAAGCTTTAGTTTCAGTTGCAGTACCATATTCATCAGTACCACAAACAAATAAAGTATTATAGTTTCTATTTTTTGCATAACGAGCATAGATATCGGCTGACAAGACAGATCCAACAATGTTACCTAAATGAGGAACATTATTAACATAAGGTAAAGCTGAAGTGATTAATATATTTCTTTCATTTGGTTTTGGAACAATAGAAGCTTCTGATTTCTTGACTAAATGATGAGCTTTAATCTTTCTTTCACCAGTATTCTTAGCCACTGGTCTTTCTAAACTAGTAATTGAAACAGCATGTTTCACAGCAGAGGCGACTTTTTCATTCTTACTGAATTCAATAAACCATTTAGATGCTTTTTCATTATCTTTATGAGCAGGATATAAAGCAGAGAATAAAATGATTTGAGATGGAATCAATTCAACTTTATCAAATAATTCTTCATTAAGAATCTTTTCAATGGAATTGGATTTTAAATGACCATAGATTTCAATTTCTTCCTTCTCAATGGCAGGATGAGAAGCAAAATCCTTACCCAAGTATTTAACAATGGCATTGGCTTCCACTAATTCAAATCCTGACTTTTTATCCTTTAATAAGACACCATTTTCTTCATTTAATTCAACTTTTAAAGTTGGTTCGAACACAGAAGTGGCAATGGATAACTTTAAATTGCTAACAAGATCAACTAAAGTGGTTCCTTTAGAACCAAGCACTTCTAAAGTAGACATGATATGATTAACTGTTCTATTCGTAATCCAAATTAACAATTTCTAAATCATCATTTTTCTCTTTTTTCGATGAATTTAGATTTTGACTCATTTTGCATAACAGGGAAGAAGAAAAATTATAAATTTGTTAGCAGCTAAAAGGGAAGTGGTAACTATAAATTACACCACCACACAGTTGACGGTAATTGGAGTTACTATGTTAACTCGTATAAGTCATAGATCTAAGATATTGTGTAATGCGTATAGTACGGTATCGAGACCATTAGATCCATGGAATAGTTTGATTTCAAGTGATACAAGAATAAATCAGTATGGAGATCGAATATTATCAGGTACAACTTATATTGCAAAAGATAATATAGTTACCAAAGATGGGGTTACCACAAGTGCATCTCATATGTTAAGTAACTACCATAGTCCTTTCAATGCTACTGTTATAGAATTACTTGCTGATAATGGACTGAGTTTGATTGGGAAGTCTAATTTGGATGAATTTGGTATGGGATCTTCAACTACCAATACTTATTACGGTCCAACTATTAATCCACAAGATAATGATGAGAAACGAATATCTGGTGGTTCATCTGGTGGTTCAGCAGCAGCAGTAGCTGCTGGATTGGCAACTTTCAGTTTGGGTACAGACACTGGTGGATCGATTCGATTACCTGCTAGTTATTGTGGAGTTATTGGACTTAAACCAACTTATGGAAGAATATCAAGATGGGGAGTTGTACCATATGCTCAAACTCTAGATACAGTTGGTATAATAGGGAAAGATGTTGATGTGATAGAAAAAGTATATGAGACATTAAACAAGTATGATAAGAAAGATCCTACATCTATGACTACCAAGGTTAGAAGTCTTGTCCGTAATACTTTTGATGAGAAATTGATCATTGGTATTCCAGAAGAGTTTATAATAGAAGAGTTAGATGAATCAACCAAAGAGCAATGGCTTCATTATATAAATGGGTTAAAATCCCTTGGCCATGATTTCAAAGTGGTATCAATTCCATCTATCAAGAAACTGTTACTGACATATTACACATTAGCCACAGCAGAAGCAGCATCAAATTTGTCACGATATGATGGAGTGAGGTACGGTTTCACTGAAGATGAAATCCAGCCTTCTGCTTCTGATTTAATCACATCAAACAGATCAGATTCTCTTGGTCTTGAAGTCCAAAGAAGAATAATACTAGGAAATTATACCCTTTCTTCAGTTTCAGGAGACCATTATTTAAGAGCAACTAAAGTAAGACAGGAGTTAGTCAATGAATTCAATGACGTGTTTAAACTCCCTCATGTATTACTTGAAGACATTGAAAAGGTCAAACTGAATAAATGCGATTTATTAATAAGTCCAACTTCTATGGGAAAACCACCTACCATAAAAGAATACACTGAAAATAACGACAAAAACTTTTTGAATAGTTACTTAAACGATATTTTAACAGTTCCTTCATCATTAGCTGGATTACCAAGTATATCAGTTCCAATGAAGGATGGTTCCGGCTTACAATTAATGAGTCAGTATGGTGATGATGAGTTATTATTCAGGATCACGAGACAGTTATTAACCTTGTAAATATACTAATTAACTTGTACATATATGTAGCTGTATATTTCGATAATATATATAAAGAAGACACATATGCTATACTATATGACTTTATAGGAAACTAAATTAAAAGTATGAGGTGTTGAATATCATAACGTCGTAAAATCCACTAATTAACGATTAAAGGAAGTGTTTTAATAAAAAAAATAAAAAGGTAAAATGAAAAATTGAATATAAAACATTGGGATGGTAAAGGAATTTAAAATAACCACCGTCTGGTTAGAACGAACTGAAATACTTTAAACAATATGCAATTAGGGGTAGTTGGGAGGGATTATGGTTGTATGTGAAAGAAAAGGTTGAATTATTCTTTCGGTATACATAAAATTGACAAAAAAATGGGAACTTACTTATTTTCTTCCTAATAAGGTCAAGAATTCTTCTCTGGTCTTTTGTTGATCACGGAAACAACCAAGCATACAACTAGTAGTGGTTGAGGAACCAGTTTTTTGAACTCCTCTACTAACCATACACATATGAGTTGCTTCAATCACAACGGCAACACCTCTTGGTCTTAAAATCTCAAGAAGAGCCATGGCAATTTGTTTAGTTAATCTTTCTTGAACTTGGAATCTTCTCGAATACATTTCAGCTAATCTGGCTAATTTACTTAATCCTAATACTCTTTTGTTTGGAATATAAGCAATATGAGCTTTACCAAAGAATGGAACTAAATGATGTTCACATAATGAATAAACTTCAATATCTCTGACAATAACCATTTCATCATGATCTTCTTCAAAAACAGCTTTTTTAATTACATCTCTGATATTATCTTCATAACCTTTGGTGAAGAACAACATAGCACGAGCATAACGTTCCGGAGTTTCCAAGAGTCCTTCTCTATCGGTATCTTCACCTAATTCTTGTAAGATAGTTTTCACAGCATTTGCAATTCGAAGTTCACGAGCAGCAGCTTCTTCAGGAGTTTGATCGATTCTTGCTCTAGCTCCCATTGAAGGCCATGATAATCCATCACTATCTATAGGAGGCTTCAAAGTATAAGGAGAAGCAGCTCTGGTTTGTAATGGAGTTCCAATAGTTAAATCTCTTGAAGTAGCCAATTTAGACTTTTTAATTGGTACTGGGGAAAAAGTGCCATTAAATTCATGGTTATGATGTTCACCATTGGAACCAGTATGCTCTTTAGATGATCCGGCCATACTTGTAGTCTATCTCTATCCTGTAAGAATGACCCTCTAATAAATGAAATAAAATCAATTAGTCAATGAATGAAAAATATTTAATAATCTCGCTCGTATAGTATATTTTTTCTTTGATTGACTCTTCTGAAAAAAATAAAGATGAAAAATGTCTAAAGAGACATAACAACGTTTTTTGACTTCAAAAGTCGTGCGACATACAAACAAACAAACAAACTGCAATTTCCTCACTTGTATAAACAGATTTTAGCAGCCATCCATCTCCATCTTTTAAGCATAACTCTAATTACATGTTTATTTGAGTGTTAATATAACTAATCAAATGGAAAAAAAGATTCTAACCATGAATGACTATATCAGCGATGATTTAATCAAATCATCTGTTAATTTAATTATTGATAATACGAAGGATGGTGCCCAATATAACGCATATGTCGATTATGATAATTGTGAAGAACTATGGAAACAAACATTGGAGTCATTTGAAAAACATGATGATTTTAAGTTAGATAGGTTAAAATTGTGCTTCAGTTTATGCAGATTTGCTTTAGTTACTAGATTAAGGCCGTCACGCTTGGAGTTAAGTAATGATTATTTGTCCTCTAAAGATTATATTGTTGATCATGGGGAATGTTGCTATTTGATTGAAACAAAGACTTTAGAATACTTAGAAACTCTTGTTACTCCGAATAAGAGTTTAGTAAAGAAATTGTTTGGATTAAATTCACTGTTTTCAATAGCTTTTCCAAAACCTTCAGTTTCTAAGAATGTTTATTCAAAATCCAGTTTTATTTCAAGAAACCCAGTTATTTTAGATCATTACAATTTAATAACACCGTATTGTCAGGATCCACAGAAGATGTTTTCGATTAGTGAATATGAAAATTTAAATTTAGATACGAATTTGATTTCGGCCAAGAATGGTATATTTAGTCCAATTCCATTAAATAATGTGTCTAATGAGGATAATGTCTCCAAACTTGCTTCACATTGTTTTCTTCATATGAAGATGCTATTAGAAATGAAATTCGGTTACGTCGAAGTCAAAGATCAAGACAACGAGTCAAGTAGAAGCATTCCTTGTCACTCCTTTAATATTACTAAACAAGGCCACACGTTTAAATTACCGGTTGAGGTGAAGATTAGAGGTCTTAGAGAAGCTGTACAAAGTGAAAGTTTGGAATTCTTAATACAATCTTTTTATCAAATGATTACAAGCAAGGCTTCGTGGGGTATATTGATTGATACAGAAATTATAATTATAATAAAAATCAAACCATCGAATTTCAATAAAAATAGAGATTGCAATGTGACTAAGCAAGATGAATATAAAGTTGATCTTCAAATTGAGAGTCATTATCATAACTCATTCCAGAGTTTTACAGCAATCATGCAAATTATCTTAAATGACTACTTTACTAAAGTTGATCATGAGGTTGTCCAACTAATGGAACGGTTAAGATCAAAACTTGAGAAATCAGAAAACCAGATTCAGGAAGAAGACACAGAGAGATTCAAAATTCTTGAGAAATTTTGGTCAGATGTTAGAGATAGTTTCTCCTGGAATGATGAAAAGAATGCTTTTGTTCATAGTGCAACATATTTAAGTGAATGCTTCTCCAAGAATGATCAAACAAATTCATATATACATAATGCCACAAATTTAAGTATTCCAGAAAAGTATTATTCTTATTTAAGTTTAATGTCACCACAATATGATAATTTAGTAGAAACTGACTTCAGGATCGTCCGAAATGTTCAAGGTGGTACTAAAGTTGATCGCACAAAGTACCATTCACAAGTGGCACTAGTACACCATATAGATTCTGATACTGACGCTATCCTAAAGGTTTATAATCCTATCTATTCACCAAGATCAGCCGTTGGTTCCAAAAGATCTACGTTTATCGAAAGTGCATCGTTCGGCATCTCCATGTTTATAAACGAAGTGATGGCTTATACAACTTTACGTGAGAGTGAACCAAACGGTATTGATGATGGCAAACCTGAAAGTGCTGGTACTAAAGGGACTGAGGGGCATGTCAATTATGTCCCTCATGTCTTTCTGTATGGTTTTTCTACATGGGAGAATCCATTAACTGGTTTCTTCATCTTACAAGAATATATAATAGAGGATGAAAAATTAAAGCCTGAGGCTCTCAAATTAGCTCAAACTGCGTTACAATATATCCATAGTAAAGGAGTTCTTCATAATGATATCAAGCCTTCTAACATGATTTTTAGTAAGGGCCGTTGTTATTTTATTGACTTCGGCTTTTCTAAAATGAAGCACTTCTCAAAGATTAAAAAGGAATCATATGATACTGAAAAGAAAAAATTAGTAGTGGAAATCAAAAAGATTAAGTAGGTAGTTTATTTATACAATTAAATAGTAGTTGAATGTATAGAATTGTTTGCGTAAAAATTTAATCCATGTATTGTTTGAGCATTACCAAAAACAAGTATTTAACCCAACCCATCTTACTGAGGCCTTCAACTCAATTTGCTTCAAATGCTTAGCTTGATAATTATAACAACGGAATTTTCATTGATGCAAAATATATTAAAAATACCATTTACTTAAGAACTAACTAAATAGATGGAAACAAAGAAACCAAAAATGATAAAAAAATGAAGAATATTAATTAATAAAATAAATAGAATAAATAAAATTGAGAAATGAAGTAACTCACAGTTGTAAAGGTATATATATAAATATAGAGAAAATCGTTAAACTCATAATAATAATAAAAAAAATTAAAAAGTAAAATTAAATTTATTAACTCATTGCTCCTCAGTAAATGGATTTAATACACGAACTGTTAAACAAGGTAAAGCCATACCAATCTCAGCTCTGATTAAAACAGGAACTTTAATTAATTCTTTAATGACTTGTACATATGAATCTCCTTCAACACGAGTAATTGTATCTTGTAAATAAGGAGCAAGACCACTGAATGAATCAGTAGAAATATCATCTTTGATTATAGAAGAAGAATTGGTTCTAATATTCTTTGGAAATACAGATTTGGTAGGAGACGATGGCATTGATCTTGTAGAATCACCTCTGACGACAGCAAGATCACCTAACTTCTTATCTCCATTGGTGGATGATGATTTTAAAGCTGGAATGGACAACTTTGGTGGATCTAAATTCAAGTTTGCTAATTTTTCGATAATAGAATCATTAGTCACATTATTCTTTTCCAAAACAGTCTTATTTTGGATCTTTGCAGCTTGTAAAGCTGAAGTTCTATATTTATTCTTGATCGAATTTCTATAAGATAATGAAGATTTTTCATCAGGTGGAATGTAAGTAGCAGAATCAATACCTTTTTCCCAATATAATTCTAAAGTACGATCAATCTTATCGAACTCAGCCTTAACTAATGGAAGTTGATCACCATGAACTCTTTTCTCAACTCCAAATTCAGGAATAAATACGTCAAATGATGATTCATAGACTTGCACAACAATACCCATACATAATAATTGACCAGCACTTTCACTGATTTCATTAATAGTTTGTGACAATAATAAATGAATGGCTTGTTCTTGAGCACTAGCAGCACAATCCTTCTTAAAGTTGCAATAATCAGTGGTTGATTTCATGGCTTCAATGTCATGTTCTTCATTAGTCTTATTCAATACTTGTTTTAATTGTCTATGGACAATTAAATCAGCATATCTTCTTAAAGGAGCATTGAAATGTGTATACAATGGGAAATTGTAATAATAATGTGAATAATTGTCAGGTTCCTGTCTTCCAGCAACATAATATTTTCCTCTTGTCATACATTTATATAAAAGAGTCTCAATACATTTTCTTTTATCTTCATCTTGAATTTTCAAAATCGAATTTTGTAAAGTAGCTGAAGTTGAAGTATCAATTTTAAAGCCAAGATTTTCAGCTTTTCTAACAAACGTTTCCATTTTTTGTAAGGTTGGAATTGGATGACGACGTAAAAATGCATTATCTCCTAACCCAGCATGAACTTTAGCAGCAATGGCATTATTCACTTTATGTGAAATTTCAGAAATAACATCAAAAGCTAAACTATCCTTAAAGATATTTAAGTTTAATCTAACCTTTTCATCATCCAATTGATCTAATAATGTCAAGTTTGGAGCAATACCCAATTCACGATTATCTAATCTTTGACGACGGAATTCTTTGGCAATCAAACAAAATGTCTTGATATAATCTGATGTTGCTGATGAAATAGAATCCACTGATTTTCCTTCTAAAATGATGTCAACTGCATCATAAGTAACTAATTGTTTTGGAACAATGATGGATTCATGAATATATAAATCTTCAACTTCAAAGTTAGTGGTATCAATTTCAAAAATTACAGAAACAGCTAAATTCTTTTCATTTTCTTTAAATGATACAGTATCCATTAATGATTGAGGAAATAAATGTTCAACTTTTTGAGGTAAAAATACTGAAGAAGATCTTTTCTTTGCTTTACGATCTAAATTCGATCCTGGCTTAACAAAATATGAAATATCAACAGCATGAAATCCTAATTCAATCTTGTTGTCAGAAAGTCTTTTAACATGTAAGGCATGATCAACAAAGGATCCGGTTTGAGTGAAGGAAATAATATAATCGTTCAAGTATTCCGATCTAGTGGTATTATTCAATTCATTTTCAAATTCTTCTTCTTCAATTGGGAAAGTTTGATCATGGTATTCGTCACATAAAAAGTTGTTATCTCTTAAGATTGAATCCACTTCAGTATTTGGATCTTCAATTTTTCCCAATTTACTAACCAAAGTCCCGAATGGATGTAATGAAGTAATTGGCCATCTTTTAATAGAAGCAACAAACAATTCGCCTGAATATTTTTCATGGTTTTCAACAAAATCTTTTGGAACCTGCTCAGTTGGAATAGCAATCAAAGGAACCTTCTTATCAGTAGGCTTGAACCAAACAATCTTTGGGGCTCTTGGAGTTTGAACATTTGATTCTTTTCCATCTTTTTTATCTTTGGCTGCTTGAGCTGCTTGTGCTGGTCTTAATAAACCTAAAGTACCAGCAAACAATTGACCTGGAATACGATCAACAACAGCCACAACGTGACCAGCATATAATGGTTTAACTTCATCATTGATTTCTTCTTCTTCAACCAATAATAAAGATTGACCTTCAACTTCAACATCATCATTCTTTTTCATAGTTGGTCTTTGTTTTAATGAACCTCTTCTAACTAAACCACTTTCATTTTCACCATTAGAAGTTTCATCATTACCATCAGCAGTTGATGGTGCAGAAGAAGTAGCATCATTATGAATATCATCATTTAAAGGTCTGGAAGTCAAGGTATTGTCTTTTCTTCTCTTTTTTTCTTCCTTTTCTTTTTTTGATTCCCAAACTTCATCAACTACTAATAATTCAACAGCAACTAAATCACCTTCTAAAGCTCTGTTACGATCTTTCGAACCACAAATGAAAATATCAGCATCCAATAATCCATCAGTAGAAACATAAGCATCAGAACGATTCTTTTTATTTACTCTTAAGATACCAGTAACTAAACGACCTTCATTAATTAAATCTGGTAAGGATGATTGAGCCAAATAAGGAGCAAAAAGTGATTTACGACCATTATTAGAAACGGCAGCATTTGGATTAGGAGGAATGAATTGAGAAAGTGAAGATACAGAACCACCACCGAATGAACTATTACGAGGTTTGTGACCAGGAACAAAAGCCAGCAGAGTTTCTAAATGATGAGATTGAGATTGTTGAGATTGAGGTTGGGATTGGGATTGTTGATTTCTCCAATTTGAGTTTATACCATTTGAATCGAAATTTCTTGAACCTGTTCTATAATGAGAAGATTTTCTATTATGACCTCTTTCAGGACTATGAGTTATGGAGAAATTTGGAGTTGGTGGTAATAAATTATCAGCTGAAGATGATGGAGGGAATTTAAATGATTGTTGACCATAAGCTAATGATCTTGAACGATTGTGTGATGAAGATGGAGCACTTATTGGGGGACTTATTGATTCATTACTATCAACGTCAGATGATGGAGTGGCAGGAAATTTGAAGGAACCAACACTATTGTCAGTTTCACTCTGAGACAAAGTTGAAGTAGTTGATGCAGAAGGACTTAATGAAGTACGATTATTATTTCTTTGATTAGCAGCAGCTTTAATAGCTTCATTTAAACCTAATGAATGTCTTCTGGCATGACCCGGGGTAGTGATATTATTTCCGTTGCCATTACCATTGTTATTATTATTATTGTTATTATTATTGTTATTATTAGGAGTATTTCCACTTGAAGATCCAGTTCTTCTGTGTGAATTATTGTTATTGTTGCTGTTATTAATTGAAGATGATCTTGAATGAGAAGAACGAAAGTTTAATGGAGGAGGCATTAATTCAGTTTGATTAGACCCTGATGAGACAGGAGGATAAGTGAATTGTTGTTGTTGAGCCACCAATTGTTGTTGTTGCAAGATTTGTTTTTGTTGAGCTTGAACTTGTTCTAATTGACGTTGTAAATTATATTGTTCCACCATTAAAGTAGTTAATTCACTTGGGGATCTTCTATGAGCAATATGTAAATTTTTAGGTTTTTTCAAACCTGGAGGAGGACCATTATTTTTATTTGGAGATGATGATGACATCGTACGAGGTTAATTTATTAAAATATATTGAAATGATGATTTGAAATATACAAATAAGGAATATAAAAACAATTAAGCGTAGATTAAAATAATAAAACTCAAATGAAAATAAAAAATTAAAAAAAGCTATGAGAAAAGCAATAAATGATATGAAAAATTTAATCAATTAATCAATCCAATCAAATAAACGATGTGGTCAAACTAGATGATAACTATAAGGAAGAAGGAATGAATGAACAAGATCTTGAAGTAGTTGATATGATAGATTGATTTAAAATAAAATACTAGCAAGAAGTGAACTGTAGATAAAATGACTGTCTTTTTCAATCTTTCACCAAAAATATTATATGAAAGGGGGGAAAGGGTTCGCTAGGTTAGGTTAGGGAAAAGATCAATGAATGTATGTTTGTATGTATATACGTATTGAGTGGTTGTTGATGGATGGAATGATTGATTGATTGATTGATTGGTATGGTAAGGTTTTGTTGATGGATGATGAATGATAACAAAGAAGAAAGTAACAAAGAAGTTAAACTAAATTGTTGTGGATGGCGTTAGAGAAGTTGGTCAGGCTCTTTTTTCTTTATTTTTTTTTTTTTATTAATTATTTTTTTTTCTCGTTCAGTTAAAATTTTTTACTGTTCTTCGTCGTCGTTCGTCGTCGTAGTTGTCGTTGTTAAGAAATTTTCCTCACTGTATTTTTGTGTTCCCCTTTTTCCAGCCTTTTTTTTCTGGCTAATTGTCTATTTTTAGTGAGAGTTCTTGAGAAATCTGGGGGGGGGGGGGGGGAGGAGGGTTTGTGTATTTGTTTTCAGTGATGGTTAGTGTAGTGAATAGTGAGGGAACTAAAAATAGAAATGACGAAAACCACAAACAAAACAATTAAAGAAACTGAAAACGAAGGAAAGAAAGGAAGGAAGCAAGCAAGCAAAACAAATCAAAACAGAGAAGAAATGGATGTTAAGGGATATAATACCCAGTTCAAAATGAATATTTATTTATCTTTATATGATTTATGTTGATTATTCACTTTAATTATAAAGATATCATCATAAAATATATAACATGATCAATTAAAGGCACAAGGGGTAATTTAAGCAGAAATTTAGTTTTGGTAGACATCACTGCACTACCAAATTATATTTTATAGTTTCTTTTTTGTCACTTTATTTTTTTGTTCATTTTTGTTTTTTTTCGTCCACTATTTTTCGGGCCCTGCCCTGCAACTAATTTAAATTTTTGAATGGTTAAGGAGAACCTTAACTATATTTATATTATACTCGTGAACCAAATCAATATGGTTTACTCCTCGTATCTGGATCGAAATTGAAATCGCCATTGTCTCTGTGATTTATTGTGTAACAGTGAATTAAGCTTCAACTTTAAACTTACCCGTCATTATCATTACCATTATTATGATTTCCACTCTCCCACACAACGTAGGGGGTGGATCGGGCTAAGGTCTAATGTCTGCCTCTGTTCAAATTCCCGCTAAATTCTTTTTTTTTTGTTGCTTCTGACGCACGTATCTGCCTTTGTCGCTACAGAAACTACAACATAAATTATGTACAATGACATTATATATAGAGGCTAAACAAAATGCTTGAGCCTTGACTTCCTTCAGTTTAGCACTCACGAGGGTTCCCGCAAAAAATTGCATTACGACAATTATGGATAATTACGAGGCCTGGGTATAATTGGTTAATCATCATCTCCGTAGAATAACAACCAATCTAATATCTAATCTAAATCTCGTTATTATTATCATTCAATTATCTTCATTTATCTTCTGACTTTTTTTCAAAACCTTGTTTTCTACTCATATCGAACTTCACTACTCACCTAGCACCCTTACGCCAAATCTTACTTTATTTCTACATTAACTTACATGATTTACACTTTTACGTACTAGATTTTGATTGTTATGTTAGGATTTTGTTCTTATATTATTTTCTATATTTGAATTTTATCGTATGTACATTGTCTTACTTATTTCAAAGGAAGTTAATAGTCACCTTTTGATTCTATAAATATTATACACTGATTTTAATTACCTCAGTTTGTAAATTATCTAAATCTAATAATATAATTTCTCCAGTCTCACTAAATTTAGGTATACTAATAAGCCTTACGAATTTGTCATCATCATATTTATACCATTCACTACCAAATTTAGGTTGATTACCTACAAAATAAACATGAGGAGTTTCCTTTTCAAATATAAATGGATCAAAATCATCATATGGATAACAATATAACGTATCCGGAGCAGTAGGTACGAAATTTTGCCATTTAATTTGTGATTCCATAATTGATAAAATCTTATCTGATTTAACTTCTTCATTATTAACATCGGATGATTTATTTATATATCGGAGAATATCTTCCACATTTTGACCTGCTGTACCTAATATTTTAATTCCATTAATTTCAAACCATTGAGGATTAGTTAAATTTTGTAAATAATTTGGATCACTTAAAAATTGATAATTATTATGAAATGTAGATTTATGTAATGGTTGTTGAGGTAAACAAATCTCAGCAATATCATTATTCCCTGGCATAATTGATATTGGTAAACTAGGTAAAATCTCCGATAAAAATTTATCAAATTTTTCAACTGATTTGGAATCAAATCGAGATTGAATTTTTGATCCATAATTATTTGTAGTTACAAAATCTTCTCCATTATCAATTATTTTTAATGGTCTAATAGAATCTCCTGCTATAATTAATTTACTTATGGATTTAATTAAATCTCTTTCCTTTTCCAGGCCTAATTCTCCAGTTAAAATATCAGTTAATAAATCTAATTTGATATCGTTAACATGATAATCAATATTTAAACCTGAAATAAGAGCTATCTTGTTATTACCACTACCAGTTTCCAACGATAACGGTGGTTGTGGAGCAAATGTAGGATATGCAATATCCATTATTTCAAATATTCCCGCTTGAATTTCAATTCCTAATACACCTACTATACATCCACTAACAAGAATATTCTTTTGTAAAAATTCTTCATTATGTAAAATGGCTCTACCAGATTCATCTTCAATCATAACTGCCAATGAAGTATCATCATCATCACCAATATAACTATCAGGAATATTGGGTATAATGTCATCAGTACCCTTTTCAACGTCTTGAAGAATGTTTAATTTATTCTTTAAATCACAGAATACAGTACCGATAACCCAACATAATTGACCACTGGTGATATCTAGTATCTTATCTTGCTTCTTTACAAGTTGACCATCAACTTTCTTAGTACCATCACCCCATTTCTCTAAAGAATTGATATGAATTCTGTCCTTTAAGTTCTTGAATCGATATTGATACATTGAAAAATATTGTTTGTCATATTTCCGTTGATTTGTGTTCAATTTGAATTCTTCCAGGACATTTTGTTTATCCAACACATTCCTAGTTATAGCATCTTCGACTGAAATGTCTTTATTTATCAATTCAGAATATTCAACCATCGCTTTAACCTATTTTGATATGGGTATAAATCATATAGTTGAAATCATCTATCAAAATTTATACACTGAAAAAAGAACGCGTCTCTTCACTCTTTTCTTTACGCACACAAAAATAAAAAAATGCTTCCCTATATTACACTGATTTTATATAAATATATATATGATCTATACATTAGTTTAGTTCTTTTGTTTCTTATGCTTCTTATCTATGGCTTTACCACTTGAACCGATACTGATATTCACTTTAGGTGGAACTTCAAATCCAAATGATTTGGCAACTTTAACTAAATCCAATTTATCAATTTGATAAACAGTCTTTAAATGATGTGAAGAATAAGCTTGTAAATATGAACGATAACCATCTTTAGCAGATTGATGTAACCAATAATTACTCTTGATTAATTTATTTAATTGAGCTTGAACATTAGCAATCTTATTGGTTGGGAATTCATATTCATTTAATGGAACATTAGCAGCTTTTAAATATCTTAAGAAACCTAATTCAGTTGGAGTTAAGAACATTAATGATTTACCTTTACCTTCGGTACCTCTGGCAGTTCTACCAACTCTATGAATATAATCTCTTGGATCATCAGGTGGATCGAATTGAATGATCCAATCAACAGCTGGAATATCTAACCCTCTAGCGGCAACATCAGTACATATCAATATACCTTGTTTAGCATTACAAAATTCAAAAAATGTATTAGTTCTCTTTTGTTGTTTTTGTTTTCCATGTAAATCTAATACTGGTAAATCAATATAATTTAATAATTCTCCAAAATATTTAACACAATTACATGATGAAAGGAAAACAATAATCTTTTTCTTAATGTTTCTCTTTAAAAATGAAAATAATAATAAGAATCTTTTATCTGATTCACATACAACATAACCTTGTTCTAATCCATCGGCAGTTGATACTTCACTTTCTGGTACCACATTTATATATAATGGACCTGGTCTTAATGATATTCTGGCTAAATCTTCAACTTTAGTAGTTTGAGTAGCGGAAAATAACATGGATTGTCTTTCATCTTTTGGTAATATTTTAATGATTTGTTTCATTTCATCTTCAAACCCAATTTCTAATATTCTATCGGCTTCATCAATAACTAATGCTTTTAAATTCTTAAATACAAATCCTTGAGTATTTTGTAAATGATCTAATAATCTACCTGGAGTAGCAATTAACAAATTAACACCCTTGGCTAATTTTTCAGCTTCTTGTCTTCTGTTAGCACCTCCAATAACAATACCGAAAGTTTGAGTATGATGAGCCATTAATTCTCTGGCAACTCCAAAGATTTGTAAAGCCAATTCTCTGGTTGGGGATACAACAATGACACCAGTACCATTTCTAGGTTTGAATTTTAATGAATATAACATTTCAATAGCAGGAATCAAGAATGCTAATGTTTTACCGGAACCAGTTTTAGCGGCACCTAAAACATCTCTTCCAGCTAATAATGGTGGAATAGTTTTGGCTTGAACTTTAGTCATCTTTGAAAATCCCATATCTTTAATGGCCTTTAAAGTTGGTTCTGATAAACCAACATCTTCAAATAATTCATTTTCCCCATCTTCAGGATTTTCAACTACTTTGGACTTAGCTATTTCAGGTAACTCATCGACAACTCTCTTTTTAGATGGTTTTTCATCAGCAAAGTCTTTGACATCAGCTCCTAATAAATCAGCTACTTCATCAAATTCGTCATCTAATTCATCAACTAACTTTTCATTATCATCGAGCTGAGCTTCTTCGTTGCTTCTCTTCTTGGATTCACTAGACTTGCTCCTCACTTTGCCTTCTTTGGCTTTCGAAACTTTAGCCATTGTAGTATATAAGTTGATTAGTGATCTATATAGTTTAAACCTCTAGATATTACTATTTCTGCAAATAATTTTTTTTACTATTTCTCATCTCATCAAAAGTTTCTTTCCAACCAAAAAAAAATTTAAAAATAATCACATGATTACTCACGTGATTAAGATTATGACTAAGATAATTTTTTATTTTAAAACTGTATTGGAAATTGATCTGTTTAAATGTTTTTATTGACAATTCAATTATAATAAGAGTTGTACTACAATGGCGACATATACGGTGGACTCTACAAAGTCATTCATGCAGGCAATGCAGCCCATGATTGAAATTTTGGACAATTTCGATATCCCGATAGAAGGTCAAAAGCTTCCTAAGATTGATTCAGAGAAATCAAGAAGTATAACAATTGGTAGTATTTTAGATCAATTCAGAGCAATTTCACCGGATATTATAGATGATATCGATATTGGCGGTGACTTGTCGGAGTCAGACGATGACCATGTGGAAAATATTATAGAAGAGTGTGAAAAGATCAGTCTACTTCGTAATCAACAACCTGATGATATTTTCAATATGATAAAGGCTTCATTAGTGGAAAATTCTAGTGAAGAAGAACTTCAATCTGCATTATTTGATATTTTAGGATTTGAAGAGTTCGAACTCATATCAGATATTATACGAAACCAAGAATCATTAAGGAATTCAAATGAAACGAATAATGATTATGGTCTCTTAACTACCGAACAAAGAGTTCAAATGTTACTTGATAATAAAGAACAAGCTAAGAATCAGAAAATACTTCCAAAAAGTTCTCTTCAGCGATATCCTCATGTGTATAAAGTAGAAGATGCAGGTGGTGGTATGCTTTCCATTACAGGTAAAAAGTATGCCTTACCAATTGGTACAACTAGAGAATCGCATGCCACTTATGAAGAAATTATTATACCTCATTCAACCAAAGAACAGAATAGATGGATCACAGATAGTCAACTTGTGAGAATTAACCAGTTGGACTTCTTATGTCAAGGTACATTCCGAAATTATAAATCGTTAAATAAAATGCAAAGTTTAGTATTCCCAGTTGCATACAATACTAATGAAAATATGTTGGTATGTGCACCTACTGGTGCTGGTAAAACTGATGTTGCATTATTAACGATTCTAAATACAATAAAGCAATATTCGAATGAACAAGCTGAAGCTGATAGCGACAATACTTTGATTGACATTGATTACAATGAATTTAAGATAGTTTACGTAGCTCCATTAAAGGCATTGGCTGCTGAAATTGTTGAAAAGTATAGTAAGAAATTACAATGGTTAGGAATAACCGTCAAGGAACTTACTGGTGATATGCAATTGACTAGACTGGAAATTTTAACCACACAAATTATTGTTACGACTCCTGAGAAATGGGATGTTGTAACAAGAAAACTGGGTGGTGATAATGAGTTAGTGTCAAAGGTAAAATTGTTAATTATAGATGAAGTGCATTTATTACATGAAGATAGAGGTTCTGTGATTGAAACTTTGGTTGCACGTACTTTAAGGCAAGTTGAAAGTACCCAACTGATGATTAGAGTTGTTGGTCTTTCTGCAACATTACCAAATTATATGGATGTGGCCGACTTTTTAGGAGTCAATAGATCGATTGGGATGTTTTATTTTGATTCAAGCTTTCGACCTGTTCCTTTAGAACAACAATTATTAGGTGTAAGGGGAAAAGCTGGTTCTAGACAAGCTAGAGAGAATATTGATAAAGTATCATATGATAAATTAATTGAGTATGTCAGGCAAGGTTTACAAGTCATGGTATTCGTACATTCTAGAAAAGATACAGTCAAAACAGCCAGAACATATGTAGAATTGGCCCAGAGTCATCATGATTTATCATTATTTGACACATCTGATAACGAAAGTTATGAAAAGTTTAGTCGAGATGTTGCTAACAAAAATAGAAGTAAGGAAATGAGAGAATTATTTCAGAATGGGTTTGGAATGCATCATGCTGGTATGTTGAGAACCGACAGAAATTTAACTGAGAAAATGTTTGAAAGTGGCGCAATTAAAGTATTATGTTGTACGGCCACTTTAGCTTGGGGTGTTAATTTACCAGCTGCGGTAGTTATTGTAAAGGGAACAGAAGTCTATGACTCAAAAGCAGGGGGATTTGTTGATTTAGGAATATCAGATGTTATCCAAATTTTTGGTCGTGCTGGTAGACCACAATATGAACAGTTTGGTACGGGTATTTTATGTACCACGAGTGACAAATTGGATCATTATGTTTCTTTAATAACACAGCAACATCCTATAGAATCTAAATTGAGTGGTAAGTTAATCGATAATCTAAATGCCGAAATCTCTTTGGGAAGTGTCACCAATGTCGATGAAGGTGTACGTTGGTTAGGTTATACATATATGATGGTAAGAATGAAACAGAATCCGTTTGCATACGCCATTGATTGGAAAGAGCTTAAGGAAGATCCTTTACTTCACAACAAGAGACGAGAAATGATTATCGCTGCTGCTAGAAGATTACACGGATTACAGATGATTATATTTGAAGAAAGTTCAGGAAGTCTTGTATCTAAGGATTTAGGTAGAATTGCATCTGATTTTTACTTGTTAAACAATTCCATAGAGGTATTTAATCAATTATTGAATCCAAGAGCAACAGAAGCAGATGTATTATCCATGATAAGTATGAGTAGTGAATTTGATAGTATTAAGTTTAGAGAAGAAGAGTCCAAAGAGTTAAAAGATTTATTGGAGAATGAAACCTCATGTCAAATTGCTGGCGAGGTAGAGACCCCAGCTGGTAAAACAAACATTTTGTTACAATCCTATATTTCCAAAGCATTAGTTAAAGATTCATCATTAATATCGGATTCAAATTATGTTTCTCAAAACGCAAGTAGAATCTGTCGTGCTTTGTTTTTGGTGGGTATAACTAGACGTTGGGGAACTTTTCTCAAGATTATGTTATCAATATGTAAATCAATCGACAGAAGAATTTGGGGATATGAACATCCATTGAAACAGTTTGATTTACCTGAGCAAATTATGAGAAATATCCTGGCAAAAAATCCATCTATCGAGACATTAAGAGATATGACGTCTGGGGAATTAGGCGACTTAGTTCATAACAACAAGATGGGTGATATAATTTACAAGTTGGTGGGAAAATTTCCTTATATTGAAATTGATGCCGAAATCTTTCCTATCACCAGTCATGTTATGAGAGTTCATATTAATTTAGAACCGGACTTTGTATGGGATGAAAAGTATCACGGTAAAGCACAAATGTTTTGGTTAACCGTTGAAGAATCTGAAGATGCTAATCTTTTACATGTTGAGAAATTCATGTTAAACAAGAGACAAATGAGAAGCCCTCATGAAATGGATGTAATGATTCCCTTGGCCGATCCTCTTCCAGCCCAAATAGTTGTCAGGATTATTTCGGACGGCTGGATTGGATCGGAAACTGTTCATACAATAACCTTCCAACACCTTATCAGACCATCAAATGAAACCATTAGAACCAACTTATTGAAATTACAGCCTTTACCTGTAACAGCGTTGCACAATCCTGAGGTCGAAAGCATCTATTCAAGTAAGTTTCGCTACTTCAATCCTATGCAAACAATGACTTTCCATTCACTTTACAACGACAATTCAAGTGTATTTGTTGGTTCTCCAACTGGTTCAGGTAAGACTGTAGTAGCAGAATTGGCTATTTGGCATGCATTTAAACAGTTTCCTTCTTCAAAGATTGTTTATATTGCTCCTATGAAAGCCTTAGTAAGAGAAAGAGTTGATGACTGGAGAGAAAGAATCTGTAAGAACACCAAATATAAATTGGTAGAATTAACCGGTGATTCTCTTCCAGAAGCAAGAGAAGTTAGGGAAGCGGATATTGTTATCACAACTCCTGAAAAGTTCGATGGTATTTCACGTAATTGGCAAACTAGAAAATTTGTTCAAGAAGTCTCTTTGGTTATCATGGATGAAATTCATTTATTAGCAAGTGATCGTGGACCAATTTTGGAAATGATTGTCAGTCGTATGAACTACATTTCATCACAAACCAAAAAGCCGATTAGATTGCTTGGTATGTCAACCGCTGTTTCAAATGCTATTGATATGGCAGGTTGGTTGGGTGTTAAAGAAGGATTGTTCAACTTTCCCCTGTCAGTTCGTCCCGTTCCTCTTCAAATGTATATTGATGGTTTTCCTGATAATTTGGCATTTTGCCCATTAATGAAAACTATGAATAAACCGGCATTCATGGCTATAAAGCAACACTCTCCAACGAAGCCTGTTTTAATCTTCGTTGCATCTCGTCGTCAAACTCGTCTTACAGCTTTAGATTTGATTCATCTATGTGGTATGGAATCTGACCCAAGAAGATTTCTCAAAATCTCCGATTATGAACTTGAAGGTATTTTAGAAAAAGTTAAGGATGAAACTTTAAAACTTTCTTTACAATTTGGTATAGGTCTCCATCATGCTGGTTTAGTGGAATCAGATCGTCAAATATCTCACAAGCTTTTTGAAGCTGGAAAAGTTCAAATTTTGGTAGCAACATCTACCTTGGCTTGGGGTGTTAATTTACCTGCTCATTTAGTTATCATAAAGGGTACACAATTTTTTGATGCAAAGATAGAAGGATATAGAGATATGGATTTAACAGATATTTTACAAATGATGGGTAGAGCTGGTCGTCCAGCGTTTGATACGTCAGGAATAGCTATTGTTTATACCAAAGAATCAAAGAAAGTATTCTATAAGCATTTCTTGAATATTGGATTTCCTGTTGAGTCTTCTTTACATAAGGTCTTGGATAATCATATTGGTGCTGAAATTTCAGCAGGTACAATCACTACTAGACAAGAGGCAATGGATTTCTTAACTTGGACATTTTTGTACAGAAGGGCACACAACAATCCTTCTTATTATGGAATAGAAGACTTGAGTACAGCTGGTATTTCTCTGTATTTGGCTTCCTTGATTGATGACGCTATAAACAATTTAGTGGAATCAAGTTGTGTAATTTTAGGCGGAAAAGAACAGTTGTATGCAACTCCATTTTTAAACATATCTTCATACTATTATATGTCTCATAAAACTATTAGAAACTTGCTTAGTAAAGTAAGCCGGAACTCAGATTTCAGAGGCTGTTTGAGATATTTATGTGAAGCAACCGAGTATGACGAGTTAGCAACAAGGCATGGTGAAGAATTAATCAATATGGAAATGTCTCAATCGATGAGATATCCAGCATCTGATTTAGAGTGTGAGTTTATCTGGGATCCACACGTGAAAGCATATCTTTTGATCCAAGCATTTATTAGCAGAGTAGAATTACCAATCGCAGATTATGCTCAAGATACGGTTGCTGTTCAAGATCAAGCATTACGTATTTTACAAGCTTTTATCGACGCTGCTTCCGAGTTGGGTTATTTTAAAACGGCATTAGTATTCATTAGTTTGATGCAATGTATAAAACAAAGATATTGGTATGATGACGATCCAGTTTCAGCGATGCCTGGTCTTGAATTATGGAAAAAAGAAGACAAAAATAAGATTGACTTAAAGGAATTAGGGGCTATGAATAGAGGCAAATTGTTTAAAACAGCTGAAAGTTTAGGAATTGAAGATGAAGGAGACAAAAAGGAGTTTGTTAGAATTGCTTCTCATTTACCAATTGGGAAAGTTGTTATTGCTCAAGATAGTCCAGACTCCTTAAACATCGAACTTCAGCATGCAAACCCACCATTGAATAAAGAATTCAAGGTTTATGCTCCTCATTTCCCCAAGGCTCAAAGAGAATCATGGTTTGCTATAGTTTCAGATACTCAAGAAGAAGAATTATTGTTAATTAAGAGAGCTAGTCCAAGATTAGCTGGAAATCGTGGTAAGGTAGTATGTGATTTAGATATACCAGATGATATTCAAGGTAGAGAAGTTAAAATTTTCCTTATTAATGATTCTATGGATATAACTTACTCCTACGAACACACTTTGAGTTAATAAATATGCTTTACATTCATTCTAATATACAATTCTATTAATTATTCGAAGAAATCGTCTTCCTCTTCTTCTTCTTTTTGTACAGGTGCATCAATTTCTTCTGTAGGTACTTCATTATGACTTCTTTCATCCAATTTGATTGTCTTACCTTGTATAACGTCTTCCAAGGAGAATGGAAGCTTATCTTCTTCTATAAGCTTTTCAGCTTGGTTGATAAGTTCTCTTTTTCTTTGTTCAGTCAATTGAATTCCTTTCTTGGCTTTTGGATTTTTCATATCAACTTCATCATTTTCCTTTGGATTTGGATATAACGATATATACTTTTCAGTTTTAGGAAATAAGACTATGTATGCTAAGTCGACTTCACTATGTCTTAACTTCTTTCTGGCTTTTTTAATTTCTTTTCTAACACCTGCTTTCGAAACTTCTTCAAATTCTTTTCTGGCTTGCTTTGCCTTTCTAACGGCTTTCTTCTTTTCAAAAAAACGAACCATATGATACTTTTTGGAAATTTCCTTTGCCTTTAAGTTTAATTTAGTATTTCCCAATTCAACTTTTAAAGCTTTTAATGATCTTTCATTTTCTACTCTTACATTAGCAGGTAAATTATCTTTTTTCAATAATCTTTCGATGTCCCTTATCTTCTTTTTTATTTTTGAAGAACCAGCACCTAACACTTTAGAGACTTCAATAGAAGCCCCATTTGATCTTCTATTGTTTTTTGGAGCAGTGTTGGCCATTATCCTACCCTTAAATAACCCTTTCAAGATATCTGAAATAGTTAGTTAAGTTAATCTGATGGGCTCTATTTTTTTTTCTTCACAATAATTTTTTTTATTTAATATGCAGTTCTGAAGATGATCTCCCCTGCACAGTAAAATTTGTATTTTAGATTTGAACGACTTGAGTTTGATGAATAGATATATCATTGAAAGTTACTATCAACAATGGGTATAGCAGAGAAGATTCAACAAATTCAGGAGGAGCTTTCGAGAACCCAGAAGAATAAGGCTACCGAATACCATATTGGTTTATTAAAGGGTAAATTAGCAAGATATAGAAGAGAGTTACTTGAACCAGCTGGTGGTGGATCTTCAGGTGCTGGACAAGGGTTTGAAGTTGCAAAGGCTGGTGATGCTAGAGTATCATTGATTGGGTTTCCATCGGTGGGTAAGTCTTCGTTCTTATCAAAAGTGACCAATACTAAATCTGAAGCTGCTAATTATGAGTTCACAACATTAACATCAGTTGGAGGTATTCTTGAATATAATGGAGCAGAAGTACAAATTGTCGATTTGCCAGGTATTATAAAGGCTGCTGCTCAAGGTAAAGGTAGAGGTAGACAAGTTATAGCGGTTTCGAGAACCTCCGATTTGATATTGATGGTTCTTGATGCTACAAAGAGTGGAAATCAAAGAGAAATTTTAGAAAATGAATTAGAATCTATGGGTATAAGGTTAAATAAAGAGAAACCAAATATTTCACTCAAGATTAAAAAGACTGGTGGGGTTAAAATGAATGCAACCAGTCCTCCAAAGCATTTAAATGAGAAGATTGTGGCAGCATTATTAAAGGATTATAAGATCCATAATGCTGATGTGTTAATAAGAGATGAAGAATGCACTATTGATGATTTTGTCGATGTTATTAACGATCAATATATCTCCTATATTAAATGTTTATATGTCTACAATAAGATTGATGCTGTTTCTTTGGAAGAGTGTGATAGATTAGCCAGAGAACCAAACACAGTTGTTATGTCATGTGAATTGGATTTAGGAATTGAAGACTTAAAAGATGAAATATGGAGAAAGTTGGATCTTTTACGATTATATACCAAGAGAAGAGGTATTCAACCTAACTTGGATGATCCAATGGTGGTTAGAAGCAATTCATCCATTAAAGAAGTTTGTGATGCCATTCACAGAGATATGAAGAATCAATTCAAATATGCATTAGTATGGGGATCCAGTGCCAAACACTCTCCTCAAAAATGTGGTTTAAGTCATCCTATTCATGACGAAGATGTTGTAGAAATAGTTACTAAATAGTAGTAGTAGTTGGTAGTGTAAATATTTTAAATTAATTGTTTTACAATTTTTTTCTGTACCGCGTATTTATTTATTTACTATTCTTTTGGGTTTACATGAATTAAGTCAATATTCGAATTGATTTAACCAATGCAGAAATATTCAGATCTACCTGATATAGAGCAGGACTCACAGGAGCTTTTTGAAACGTCTGATAATGATAGTGTGATAGACTTGTCGTTATCTAAAGATGATGTCATCAATGTCAAAGATGATGATATAGTAGAGGAAAGCTTGAACGCTAACTTTGCTAAAGAAAAGTTTCCACAAACAACGATATCCGAACATGGAAAGATAGACTTTCTGGGGTCAATCAGCAATAAAGCATTCGGACAAACTGGATATGTATTAATAAGTGGCGAAGAAGAATCTAGAAATGAAAAAATTGCTAGAATTGCAAGAGAACTTGAAGAATTGAAAAGTGATCCGGCATCATCTTCGACAGAAAGTCAACAATTGGATCGCTTGACTGAGTTACTTGAATCAAATACTAATGCTACTGTTGGAGACTACAATGATGAGAAATTCCAAAGTGTGTTTAATGCCATTTCGGAAAAAGTGAAAGTGGATGAATCTATAAGTAATACAATTTCTGAGTCGACATCATTGGTTGATACCTCCGAAATTCTTGAACTAGAAGCAAGACTTGCAAAAGTTGAAAGTTTTGTAGGGTATGATTCGATTATAGAAATACAACATTTGGAACAAACCTCAGAAAGAAGACAATCTTTAAGTGCAAAGATAAATGATTTACGACTCAAAATAGGAATAGTAAATAATCCACAATATAACATAAGCAATATCAAAGACGAGTTATCAACTCTTCGACTAGATATAGCTAAATATGACAATGAAAGGAAGTTACACGAAGTGAAAGTAAACACAATTTTAGAGACTCCTGCAGCGAGAGTAGATGAAAAGCAAATTAATGAATTATATCAGAAGCTACCTGAATTTGATAAAATCAATAAGATAGTACCGATGGTGGTAAATAGATTGAAATCATTAAATGCAGTTCATAGTGATATTGGAAATACCGTTCATGTTGTGAGTCATTTAGACGAAATCTTAAATGATATTAAATCAGATCTTAAAACATGGAATGAACTGATTAATACAGTAAATGCCAATTTAGATGCCTATGCATCGAATTTTATCAAAAATGAACAAGAAATTGTGTCACAACTAAATAGATTAGATACCAAGGTTAACGATCTCTAAACTAACTATCTATATAGATTGCAAAAACAGTGGAGATTCCGCATCGCTTAAGTTAACTCTAAATATATGACTTTTTTTTTATTGTTCGCTAAATTATTCATCTCGCCATTTCATGCCTTATAGAGCTGAAAAGTTTGTAGACTGAAAAAAAAGGTGATATTTACTGACAATGGAGTACAACCCCATGAATTTTTAAGATGATGAACACAATTATATATATAAACAACTTTATTGGTTTTATTTTGATTTTTCAAAGTAGGAATTGTATATTCAATCGTCAAACATCATGTTAAGAGCTACTACTAAGAATACTGTTCGTCTTGCTTCGAGATCATTGAGAATTGCTGCTGCTTCATCATCATTTACAGTTGCTAGAAAGCCAATCTTAACCCAACAGGTAAGATTAGCATCTCAATTTGCTCATTCTAAAGTTCCACCAAATTTAACCAACGAAGCTGTGAAGGACTTTTCTTTCAAAGATCAAAAGGAATGGGATTTATTACGTGCTTCAATTACCAAATTTACCGACGAAGCTACTGAAATTCCTTTAGTTATTGGTGGTAAGAAAATATTCAGAACTGATACCAAAACTCAAGTCAATCCAGCTAAGCATTCTCAAGTTTTAGCTAATATCTCACAAGCTACTCAAGAAGATGTTTTATCAGCAATTGAAGCTGCCAAATCAGCTAAAGCAAAATGGGCTTCTATGCCATGGACTGATAGAGCTGCTATTTTCTTAAAGGCAGCTGATTTGATTTCCACTAAATATAGATATGATTTACTCGCTGCCACTATGTTAGGCCAAGGTAAGAACGTGTATCAAGCTGAAATTGATTCTATTGCTGAATTAATTGATTTTTTCAAGTACAATGCCAAATACGCCGAAGAATTATACCAACAACAGCCAGTTGCTACCAGTCCAGGTGTTTGGAACCGTGCTGAATACAGACCATTAGAAGGTTTCGTTTATGCCGTTACTCCATTCAACTTCACCGCAATTGCCGCCAATTTATTTGGTGCTCCAGCTTTAATGGGTAATACTGTTGTTTGGAAACCTTCTGCCACTGCTGCTTTATCTAATTATGTTTTGCTCTCTATTTTAGAAGAAGCTGGATTACCTGCCGGTGTCGTCAACTTCATACCTGGTGATCCAGTTGAAGTTACTGATATTGTTTTAGCTGATAAAGAATTTGCAGCATTACACTTCACAGGATCAACTCAAGTTTTCAAGAATTTATATGCTAAGATCTCTAATAATGTTGCTGCTGATGTGTACAGAGACTATCCAAGAATCGTTGGTGAAACTGGTGGTAAGAACTTCCACTTAATACATTCAAGTGCTTCTTTAGACCATGCTGTTTTATCTTCAGTTAGAGGTGCTTTCGAATACCAAGGACAAAAATGTTCTGCTTTGTCAAGATTATATGTTCCTGAATCAATCTGGCCAGAATTCAAACAAAAATTCGTAGAAACAACTACTCAAATTCAAATCGGCAATACATCTGCTCCAGAAAGCTTAAATGCTTTTATGGGACCAGTCATCCATGAACAATCATATAACAAATTATCAGCTGCTTTAGAACAAGCTAAATCAGATCCTGAATTAGAAGTAATTGTTGGTGGATCTCACGATAACTCAAGCGGTTTCTTCATTCAACCAACTTTAATTCAAACCACTAATCCAAACCATGAATTTTTATCTAAAGAATTCTTCGGTCCAATTTTAACTGTTTACGTTTATCCAGATTCAGAATATAGTGAAATCATTAAGAGCATTGACTCTGTTACCCAATATGGTTTAACTGGTTCAATCTTTGCTAGAGATCGTGAAGCTGTTAGACTTGCAGAAGAAAACTTAAGATATGCTGCTGGTAATTTCTATATCAATGATAAATCAACTGGTGCTGTTGTTGGTCAACAATGGTTCGGAGGTGCTAGAGCTTCCGGTACCAATGATAAAGCTGGTAGTGGTAATATTTTAAACAGATTCGTTTCTGTTAGAAATATCAAGGAAAACTTTTACGAACTTACCGACTTTAAATACCCATCCAATTATCATTAAGTGATATGTTTTAATTCTACAAACTAGTTATAGTGTTCTTTTTATAGCTCGAATTCAATTATGTAAATATAAAAGAAAATATTCTATTTAAATGTTTATTAATGATGTTTCCTATCATGTCCGTAACCATTACCATGACCATGACCATGCCCATGCCCAGGACCAGGACCAGGACCGTAACCATGATGGCCGCCTGGGCCTCCAGGGCCACCGGGGCCAAGCTTTTGGCCTGGTACATAATAGCCTCCTTGAGGTGGACCATGAATAACTCTTCCTAAACCGTGACAAACGTTACACAACTCATCATCAAGAAGAAAAGTATGAATTAAACCTGATCCTCTACATCTTCCACACAATACACCACCCAATCTTGGATCACCTGGAGGAACTCGAAGCGGTGGGGGAGCAGGAGCAGGAGGGCCCCAACCCCATGGACCCACTTGAGGAGCAGGACGAAGATAAGCTGATTGACCCATACCAAAGAACGAATCCATAGGACTCTGTACCGAGTATCCCGATCTTACATTATTTCTGGGACTGAATAATTCCCAACAATCTTGACATGACATACCATTTTTATGCTTATAACCTGTATTAGAGCATTTCTCACAAAGGTAGTTCTTTGGATATCGGAAAGTAAGCTGGGGATTTGGATTATAGGCATTATTTTTTAAGTAATATGTTTTCCAGCAATCACGACAAATTTTCCCATTACTTATTTTATATCCACTATTCTTACATTTAGGACAAAGGAATCCTCTTGGAAATTTAAAAGGTAGGTTAGGATTTGCAGTGTACAAATCTTGAGTGGCTGAATTGCTTGAACTTGGTCTTGGTGGAGGTGTTGGAACATAATTAGAATAACTGCTGCTTGACAGCAGTCCTCCGTCTGTTCTTTGTATATGAGTTGGGATTGGTGGTCTTGAAGATGCTAATGGTGGCTGTGGAGAATTCTGGGGTTGTGAGTAGTTCGTGGAAATAGCCTCCTCATATGTGGGAGGAGGCAACTTCGGTACATCTTCGTCGTTATTCATAAGCAACTCTAAGCTCTGTTATATATATATCTTTCTTGACCTTCAAAGAGTGCTTTGATATAGATCAAGCAAGTTAAGCAGATTGTTATAAACTCTAAAAACCTGATGATCTTAGATACTTTTGCGCTTAACATCATAAACAGGGGAAAAAAATACTCAGTTAGAAAAAAACTGAAGGTCTAATCAGAAAAATAAACATAATAAACATAATAAACTTATCTTCATTTCCACCAACCAAATATACCACAATATGATTTGGCTATCTGAAAGACAAAGTATGTATACAATTCTGAGTCAATGTGAGATAAATTGATGATACTAACTGTTTAATGTGTAGAATTTGGAGTTGGATTCACTGCAGGTGGAATATTCTTTTTCCTTTTTGGAATCTTGACATTTTTTGATTCAGGTTTCTTAGCATTAGGTAATATCTTATTCTTAATTGGATTGGTACTTATAATTGGTCCTCAAAGGACGGTTACATTTTTCACTAGACCAACCAAGCTTAGAGGTACTTTATGTTTTGCAGTTGGTATCCTTTTAATTTTAATGAAACATGCATTTATTGGATTTATCTTAGAAAGTTTCGGTATATTAGGATTATTCGGAGATTTCTTTGGTACCATTGTCCAATTCTTAAGATCGATTCCTTACATTGGAGATTTATTAAATCATCCATATATAGCCCCAACCATTGATAGATTAGCAGGTGTTAACACTTTACCAGTTTGAATGCTAAACTAAGTTTCATTATAGAGATATTTGTGGTGTCAATCAGCAAACATCCACATTGTATATTAATCAATCAGTATCAACTAGATCATAGTTAAGGTCTCAAATCAGTTATACTGTCATACTAATTTAAATATAAAGTTCTTTTTGCAAAAATCAATTATTTATAACTCTGTAGTGTATCTTCCCTCTACTTTCCACAGTAATGCTTTTGAGTACGCATTAACGTAATAAAACACTATAGTATCAAAGAACAACTCTGTTTCTTTCATTACACCTGATATGTTACGTGTCAGACTAAGAACTTGGTTGTTGATACAGTAAAATCCGATCACGTGACACTTTTTTGGAGAATTTTGGCGTGTAAAATTGTCACCAAGTCAAGAAATTGCAAATTTCACCGAACACAAATCAGCGCAAATGGTTTAGTGGTAAAATCCAACGTTGCCATCGTTGGGCCCCCGGTTCGATTCCGGGTTTGCGCAGTTTGTCCTTTCTTTTTTGCCAATAATTATGAGTTACATGATCTACTAAAATTAGTTGAAATCTTTGTGGATTATGCAACTATAAAATTAGTGGCATTAAAATTTTTTATTTTTTTTTTTTGTTATAGCGAGGAAATTTAGTGCGGAACAAAAAAAATTGTGATGAGATATCAGAGACGAGAATGGTATATGACTAAAGTGATATAGAATATCGAGTCTAGCAATGAGTAGGAGGAAAGAAATAAAGGAGAAGGAAGAACTTCAAGCTAGGTTTCAATATGCAGTGTCTCAGAGCAACTCATTGGTTCTAGATTGGTTAAAGCCAGTAGAGGCTTCTCATAATACTCAATCAGCAAGTACTGATTCAATTCATGATAGTTTTTATAATTTACCAATTATACCGAATGGAGGAAGTTTATCTTCATTGAAAGACGACGATAATACTTTGAGTATTGGAGAATTCATGAAATCCAATGACAAGGAGTTCAAGAACCTTAAAAAGGATTCTGATGCCAATAGAGTAACTTCAAAGCCTATGCTTGCCTTAATGAATAAAACAAGAGATTCAACTAGAGAGAAGATAAAACAGAAACATAATAATAATAATAATAATAATAACAATTTCAGAGACAGAAGGCAACCAAACTACACCAACAATCGATCAAATGTAGCTTCGGGCAAAAAAGTAGAAGAGGATTCTGATCTGGATGACGATAAGATACTTCAATCACGTTCAGTGAAAAAAGGTTCAAATATGCTTCTTGAATCCAAATTAAACGGTAAAAACAAGAAGAAGGGAGGTAGACCTTTCTAATATTAATGATTAAACGAATTTAATTTAATGACACGGAAAATTTTATATTAAGTAAATAGAGTAGTATTAACTTAAAAGAAATAGAAAAGAATACATACATACATCATAAAGGAAAAAAAAATGATTTTTTGTAATAATACAGAGTTTTTAAAAAAGGAGGGTCTTTCTTTTGAGAAATTGGGTTATTTTTAATAATATGACAACTTATAAAGTACAGTTCTTGACTTTAAAACTAACTTTAAAATTATAAAAGTAAAACACGTTAAATTGGAAAAAGTAAAATGTAACCGTTTTTGATAAAAATTTATTGAAATAAAAAGCGTGTATCGTATCGTATCAAATTCATGTACCTCTCTAGACTAATTTTCTTCTCTTAATATCAGCATCAGCCAGACTTGGAACCACTGTGCTATCACTTTCATTCTCTTCAATGTTAACCAAAGGACTAACATCAGCAGTTTTACCATTGGAGTCATCTAATAAAGATTCAACTGAAACTTTTTTGTTAACATCAGTCTTCAAACTATCTTTTAATTTATCAAATGATTCATGAGAAGTCTTAGATAATGGAGAGCTTGTTAACGATCTATGCATAACTGGAATTGAAGTCTGGCGTTGAAGTGTTGTACTTTTAATACCAGAATTCAACGGTGGAGTTAAACTTCTATAAGGAGGTAATTTAACATCAGATGGATCAATTATAGATGAAGGTTTCGAAGTAATAGATTGATTTAAATCTGAAGTCCTTGCACTGACTTGATCATGAGGACTAACTGAAATAGAAATCTTTCCATTTTGGTCAGGTACTTGATGAGAAATTGATCCAAATGAAGAAGCTCTTTGAAATGAAGATATGGAAGAAAGTGATGATTGATTGGAGAAGATAGAATTATGAGATGATTGGGAACCAATAGAATCATGTGGACGAATCAAACTACCTCTATTATTGTTTGATGATGTGGAAGCTGTACTATTATTATGATTGTTATTATTGTTGTTGTTATTAGCGGTCGTAGCAGAATTAGAATTTGAGTTTGTTTGTTGAGGATTTCCATAATAAAGTTCAATTAAAGACGGTCTCAAACGGTCTTGAAGTGATCCATTTCCATGTAATAATGAAGGTCTTTTAGCATCCATACCAGATGGTGAATTGGGTAAAGAAGATGAAGTTGGATGTTGAATTATTGGTACTGGAGAAGCTTCAAAATTAGTAGGAATACTTCTTGGAACAGCTGCAGATGAAGTTGGTATTGGAACTGGTACAGGTGATTCTTCACGAGGAGGTTCTGGAGATTTTGGATATTGCACAGTACTTGATGATGATCTATGAATTGATGATGGTGGAGGTAACTTTATAGACAGTCTTGATTCTAATGACTCCGTAGTAGAACTGAACGATTCCTTGGAGTATGTAGATGTAGACGAGTTGTGTCGACTGAGGGATTGATATGGCTGATACATATGAGTAAGATGTTGTCGTGGCTGTTGTGGTTGTTGAAGATATTGACTTTCTTGAGGAGGAGCTGGAGCTAATGGATCAAATAATAATGACGGATTTCTTGGTCTACCAGGAGCGTTTTGATTACTGTTATTATTTTCCCAAATTTTTCTAAATTGTAAATTAGGAGAATAATGTTGAACTTTTATGGTAGTTGGAGTTTGAGTACTATTTACTGGATCAGAATTATTTCTTTTAGTTGATGGTGATAATGGGATTGGAGGAGTCTGTCTCATCTGGGGTGGTGGTGGTGGTAACTGTTGTTGTTGTTGCTGTTGTTGAGGATATTGATGCTGTAAAAGAGGTTGAGGTTGTTGTATGTAAGAATTTTGAGGAGCATATTGTGGGTAACCGTAAACTTGTTGTGGTGGGTACAGGTAACCATAGGGCACACTTACTACTGAAGGATCACCATGTTTTGGTAGTGGTAAAGTATGAGGGATTTGAACGGCTTGAACTGTAGTATGCATATGTGGATGAGGAGGTGGGATTGGAGCTCCATTTGCACCATAATATTGGATATATGATTGTGGTTGTTGAGGAGGTGGAGGACCTGAGTAATATTGACCATGAATATCATAGGTCGAAGGAGAAGGAGAAGAAGTATGCATACCATATTCATGATGATGAGAATGAGAATGACCTTGTTGATTACCATTATAACTATTTCTTGAACTATTTGAACTTGATCTTCTTTTAATATAAATTAAGGAACTTTCATCACCTTTTCTGAATTTCCCACTCAGATGTTTAAATTCCCAAATGGAAGGAGTATCTTTATCCATATTACTAGTTGAAGTTGGTTCACTTACTTTATGAAATCCATACATATGTAGTTGTCTTACAAAACTTGCCACATTACCATGTTTGAAGTAACCAGTTAAAGCGTCAGCAAATTCTTTACCAGGAAATAAAGCAAAAGTATTACTTTCACCTGAATCAGACCACCATATCAAATGACTTATTTTGGGGTCACTTAACATAGTATATAGTTTATGCACAAAGGCATTTTTCTTTATGGGAGGATCTTGAGCCTTTTTACTCATTTTTGATGATATAACTGTCGGTGACACAAATTTAAGGATGTCAAGGCGTTCAACTTGGAAATTAAAGGATGGATTAGATGGATAAACTTTTTGATAATTAAATAATAAATCAAAAACTGATTTAAATTTCTAGTTTCACCGGACTTGAGGGTAGATTTATATAGAAATTAATGCTTGTTAACCAAAGCGAATCACTAAGATAAGGAAGGAGCGAATGTGAACTTGATATCACTTAACAGATCGATATTACTGATCTGTTAATAAAATATTTATAAAAACTTAACCTCGGGAACTGAAATGGATTAGAAATAATAGAAAAGAAATGTCTCAGGCTATAATTTTATCTGTCTATACCTGTTTTTTTTTCTTTTTCTTCTTCTTTTTTTTCGTTTTTAAAAATTAACTATGGTGGGGGTTGAGGGTGGGGAGTAAGAATGACTTTTTTTATTTTAATTCTTTTTTTTTTTTTCTGTTTAAAAAATTAAAAATTAAAAATAAATTGAAAATTGTCTGTCTGGATTCTAAAACTGTTTAAGACTACTTTAAATGGAATATTCTCTGCTAATGTCAACTATCTTATCGGAGACTAATTAGACTGAATTGATACTAATTTCCATGCAAACCCCTAGCGGATAGTCGGGATATATGGCTCTACTATCAGCAGTTGTAATTTAATAAGTGATTAATGAATAATATCAGGTCCAATAATTCACTCTAGAGTCATTCAAATTGAACGTTATTTTTATTCTGCAAAATTTCTTTTTTTATTTTTTGTTGCTGTTGTTGTTGTTGTTGTTATATGGGAAGTGGTCCGGCTCTTGATATGGGAATAGTCCGTATGGTATTCGAGTATGATTGATTTATCAATGATGGTTGGACTTGAACTCCTTTAACAAAACACCCACTTGTAAGTTAGTTTCCCTCTAAGTTTCAAAAAAATTTGGTAAGAAAATTCGGCTTCTATATTATTATATGCTGAGAGCGACTTAGTTCTGTTATATATATATATGCTTTCCTACATATTTTTAGCTTGATTATTTTTGACTTAACTTTTTTTTTTTATTTAATTAATTTAATTTTAATTTTTATTTTTATTTTTGCTCTATGTTTTTTATTTTTTTGCCATTTGAAAATAATATTTTTTAATTCTTTTTTGTTTATTTAGGTATATGCTAATTATTTTTTAACATCTTTTTTTTTTTGATTCTATGTATTTGTGTCAGTTTTGTTAATGTTTCATTTTCGTTTCAACCCAAAAACTACAATTGAATCCGTAATTAAGAAAGGGAACAAAAAAAATAAAAATATTTTTTGGTTGGTTGTGCAGAGTGCGACGAATTAGAATTAAAAAATAACCGCTGAAGCTTTTTATATTTTTGTCTTGCATGACGTGTGCAGACAATTTAAAATAAAATATATATTCTAATCTCTGGTAATTTTTTTTTTTATTTCATTAGAATCGTCTTGTTTAGGAAATTACCTAAAAAAGCTTACAAAAACTAAAAAACGCAAGTAACAAAGAAGATCGTTTGATTAGTGTAAATTTAAAAAAGATCTAACATTTTATTTTCTCCGTTTTTGCATTTATAAAGCCAGAAAATAAGTTAAATTGCAATGCAGTGCCATTACCCCTAAAATATTTATTCGTAAGCATTCCTTTCATTACAATCACCACCAGTCACCAGAAGCCTCTCACACTCTTACTCACTTATACGCGTCTCATCACCACAAACCCATTAATGAGTTACAATTACTCAATTATATTCATGGGTTGTGAGTTTTAGCAATGGTGAATTATCAAAGCATTCACAACTTGATTGGCTTGGATTAGATAAGGCAACAAGGTTAGATACTAGTTGGTTTGGTTCAAATTGATTTGAATCGGTTTGAATATCTTTGTTGGGAATGCTTTTTTTATCAAAACCAATCAGCAACATTCTCCACTCAAATTGCCATTCTATTTTATTTTTATTTTTATTTTATTCATTTGTATTCTTTTCTATTGAAGTCAATTCTTTACGTCTATTCTTCTATTCTATTTAATTCTACCGAACGTTTACACGGTAATTTTTATTTTTCCCTAATCAATTTACAGTTGCGTGGGTGTGGGTGTGGGTGTGTTTGTTTACCGTGCCTACATTCGTCGTGTAGCCTCCGTAATCAAAGAAGAGAAGAGATGTGTGGTTTTTTCCCACTCTTTTCTACTGGCTAAAAACGGAAAAAAAAGAATTGTGTGGGGGTGCCAACTCGGAAACTATGACCACAATATATTTTATAAATTTCTAGAATAATTTGCGTCTGAATGAAGAGCAGTTGTCAATTAATTTCCTTCATCCATTGTGTTTTGCTTCCTTCGAGAATATTATTTATGACTGGTTATAATATTAACCGGTTTTCGATCAGATCTAGTAAGAGATTGTGTTATTAATAATTTGCTTAAACTAACACTTTCGACGGTTAATGAAGATTCTAGTTTTAATCAAATCAAACTCAATCGCCTTGGCAAATTAGCAATCAATAATGGTGAGTTGCAAACTAATATAACTAACAATAAAAAAGAGAAGAAAATAATTATTAATAATAATGATAATAATGACGAGATAATAATGGTAATAAAAAGAAAAGAAAAGAATGAAGTAATGATAATTGAAAGGGCAACAATCCGAAAAAATACGGTTTTATAATTTGTAACAAATTAGTTGATTGGTAGGATAGAATAAATTAATTAAATTAATCAAATTTAATACTTCTATCATCACCTTCCATGGATGATTCACAGGAACTCATTAGCTGTTATCATATTAAGAATAATAATATTTATAATAATAATATATTATTAATTGGATACGTTACCTAATCTCGTATTCACAATGTTACCATTGATAAATAATTTTTTAATAAAATCTCAAATTTCTTCTCCTTCTCCTTCTTCATCTTCTTCTTTCTTTCTTATTCTTGTACTTCAATGAATTCTTTTACTGCCCAATTTTTAAGCTAATTTCGTTATCGTCGTATTCTTATTATCATTGATCCTAACATGATACCACATCGTCTAAAGGTTCTCTTTTTTTTTCACTACCGGAGTGTGCTTTTTTTTTTCCCCTTGAAAATTTCTTATTTGGGAGAGAGCCATTTTGATTATTTTCTTTACATTGCCAATCTAAAAATTCCTCAGTGAATTCTTACCCAAAGAATAAAGAGAACAAAGGAGTGACATCTTATGAAAAGATAATATTCTATAGTGAAAAAAAAAGAAAAGAACAAAGGTGAAGGAACATTTATTAATCTGATTTCGGTGAACTACTGTTAAACATCCTTTACCGCAAGTAATTTTTTTTAGTCAGTAACCTTAGTGTTTGATCCAGCATGCTACCGTTTTTTATACGCTATTTTTAGTTCTTTTTTTTTTTGTTTTAGTCTCTATTAGCCGCTACAGAAAAAAAAGAAGTGGTGGTGAATGACTGTGGAACATTTTAGACTACGCATACAAGACTGTATTGTTCCTCTCATCTCTAAATATGAAGATGATGATCTGCCTCTTAGTCTCTCCAAGATATTTATTCGCTACCACCATACCTTACAGGGGCGTTGAATGACGTGGTTAAAGAAGAAGTAATCTGATGATATAAAGATCTTTTTGCCTAGAAATGGAATAAGATAAATGAAAAAGAAAAGGAAGGAATAGTAAACATTAAAATAATAAAAGTTCCATGAATAATAATAAAAAGCAAATTAAGTAAAATTAATAAAAATAAGATCTACTATTAACAAATAAAAAAGAATCTTGTTTTTTTGTTTTACTATTTTTTATTTAATTTTATTAGCAATTGTTGCTTCATTTCTATAGATATATTCTATTCAGCCTTTGTCTTTATTCCCCACCACCCTTCATCTCCTCCTGATGGTATTTGGATTTGCTTACCCTTGCTACCTATATATTACTCTCCTAATTTTAGGGCCAAGGATTCTAACTTCTATTTTTAGACCTCTAATTCAATACAGAATCAGAATTATAAATCGTAACGTCGTCATTTTATAATTCATGTGAGTCTCTATTACGTTAAAAATAAACAAGTACATACTTTTCTAGCATATAAAGTCCCAAGTAAGAAAAAATTTATACCCTACCAGAGTCTGTAGCGATTCAAAAAAAAAATAAATGAAAATTAAAAAAAATATAAAAAGAGAATGCATAGATTAAAAAAATAACGTCTTTTGTGTAATTGTTTTATCTGTGAATTGTGCATTATGCATAAAAGTTAACAATGAATTTTTTAAAATAGTTAAAAATGCACAAAAAATAATAACCAATTTTTCTTTTAAAAAAATATTAGGAAAAAAACATCAGATTCTGAGAATAATAGTACATGCAGGTATGAATAATGATTTTAATCAAACAGAATCAAGTGGAGAGTATACAATACAGTCAATATTGGTTTTGTTGTAATCCGTTAATGCTTTGGTTAGCTTTGATGTGTAAATTTGACTTGGCAGTAAATGTAAGATTACGAGCGCATTGGTTATAGTACTTTGACGGATATGTAATACTTAGACAGCAGGCAGGAAGGCAGACAGGAAGGCCCTATTCACTCACTCACTCGCCCACTCCCCATGAACCGAAAGGGCCGTTTGGTTATAAATACGCAGAACGATTGAATTCATATAACTTATTCTTCATTGATTTCATCGTTAGAATCTAGACTCAGATCAAAGAATAAACATAAGCTTTCTTTCCTTGCGTTCTTTAAGTCAAGAAAGCTCATCGAGTTTTAGCCACATTTTCCTTGTGTATCTATTGCTAAGTTATTGTCTAACTCAAATGTTTACCTGTGATATAATAGAACATTAATTTTATTTTCTTTGTTATCATTTTCTTTCTTTTTTTTGCCATTCTCGTTATTTTTGTTCTCTAATTTATCAATACTTAATTGTCAAATTCTATTATTCCAACCGGTAATTGGACATCATCAAGCATGCGCTTGTAGTTTCTCATTTTTTTTATCAAACCTGTTTGATATTGTGTACAGACTCTTTCACAATTTTCACAATCTCTAATTTTTTTTTTACCGCTACAGACTGTGTAAACCAAATTTTAGGCGAGAGAGTTGTAGTGAGAAAAAGCGGCGTAAAGATTTACTAAATTATCTGGCTTTATTCGGAGAAATTATCTCTGATTACAAACTCTAAAATATCCAACAGTTACTGAGTTGAGGGTTAAATTACATAATTTCATCTTGGGTTGCTTTGAAAGTTAGCTAACTTTTTCTCCTAGTCTAATAATAGAAGGAAAATGTCATGTCCATGACAACGAAGCGAAGGATGGTTTCCGATAGTTTCCTAATCGATTAAACTTCGAGAATGTTGAAACGAATCGATAACTCTAATCGCTACCACCGCTTCTTTTTTGAAAACTGCGGAAATGTATTGTAATGTAAGATAATCTAACTATACTTCAACCCACATACACGGGAAGCGTGTGGTTGTACTCCGACTTAAAAGTCAATGGTTAGGCACCCCAGATTTTGTCAGCAACCGTTTCTAACCATGTTTGTCTCCTCCCTCCCACTTCAATCAATGGTATTTTTTTTTCTTTTTTGCGATCAAAAATTTTTTTTTGATTGAAGGGCCAAGGCTACATAATTCTTAAGGGAGGACACACAATGTGTCTCCGTAAGTCTATTTATAGTAGGTTGGTTAGATATTTCTACATTTCCGTATACTTTGTGGCTATCATTGACGTGTGAATTATCTCTTACACCTGCCCTTTCTCAAGCGATAACGATACATAATGTAGGTGAGGGGCCTGAATATGCTCAAAAGAAGTTAGCCGTGTGTATTGTTATACGCATTAGACAATTATATCAAATTAAAGTTTAAATTTTATCACCTTTATTGGAATTTAATCTATATAATTCAAAATTTCTGGATTTATTTTTTTTTTTTATCAAAAAAAAAGTTTAATTCTATTAATGTTTGGCTCTTAACGATAATCTACCACTTAACATATCTGCAACCTCAGTCATCTCCTTCCAATGTACTGTTTTACCCTTTCTTAATTTAACATTAGCATCATTTTCATATAATGTTTTGACTTCAGTGAATTGTACATGTGCACCTTGAATACCGATAACTACCGCATTTGAAATTCTTTCCTTTGGTATGATATCATCTTCCCTCGCACATGATCCATTCCATTCCTCTATAAATTGAACTGATTTAACAGCGAATTTCACTGCATTAACTCTGTCGACCGAGGAAGGAGTGAACCCTTGTTGCACATGACCTGGAATAGCAGTTCTAGTTTCAAATCTACCTTTAGCATTTTCTTTAACAATATCAGCAATCAATTCAGTTGAATAAACTGATGAAGCTTGTTCGTTACGAATTACCATCTTACCATTTCTATCTTCACCTCTATCGTTAGCAAACGCTTCAAATAATAAGTCAATATCTTCTTGGATAGTTCTTAAAGCAATCTTAGATTCAGGTGTATAAGTAGCTAAAGAACCCGTGATTAATCCACAGTATGATGCAACATAACCAGAATGACCACCTTGAACTTCAACAACAAAAACTCTTCTTCTAGAAGATGATGCTGATTGTTTAACGGCGTCACAATACTTTACTAATTGATTCAAACAAGTGTCCGATCCTAAGGAATATTCAGTACCTGGAACATTATTAGACACAGTAGCTGGAATGACCACCATTGGAATTTCAAATACTGGATAATTTGGTTTTTCTTCATTTAATTCATTTAATGCAGTAAATGCTTCGAAACCACCAATTATGATTAAACCTTGTAAATTATATTTTTGCAAGTAGTAAGCAACTTTACCATAATTTTCAGATGGCAAAGATCTGTTAGTTCCAATTTCTGAACCACCTCTATTATGCCAATCTTCAACATCTAACCAATTTAATTCACGAAGAGTTCCGTCATTTATCAAACCGTTAAACCCATTTTGAATGGCAAATAATTTATGACCTCTAGATAATGAGTATAAGGCAGCAGCACGAGTAGCAGCATTTAATGCAGATGATGCAGCACCAACATGAACAATTCCAATGTTTAATTGTTTGTCTTTGGCTAATAAAGTCAGACCATCATCATTGATTGAAATAGATAAGAATTGTTTATAGGCTTCTTCGAAACTTGAATCTCTTAAAGCCATGGCACCATCAAAGTCCTTTGATTCAATGGCATCAGCAACTGATTTAGTTAATCTAACTGCTTCAACTAGAGGTTTTCTCACAATTTTGTTATTTAAGACACCAATCATTGGGGAAGGAATATCTGGGGTAGATTCTAAAACAGCCCTAACAGCGTCGACACCTTGCAAGGTGGCCAACATTCTATCGTAAGCAACAGCAGTACCACCTCTTTGAACATGACCCAATGTAGTGATTCTAGTATCCAAGCCTAATTCAACTAAAACATTTTTAACTTCTTCAGCAGAAATAGGATTAAGTTCATTATCAATGGCACCTTCAGCAACAATAACAGTTGTCTTTCTTCTACCCTTTTCTCTATGTCTTCTACAAATTTCTTTTAATTCTTCTTGCCATTTACCAGCAGTTGGAGGTCTTTCAGGAATGAAAATATAATCAGCACCAGTAGAAATACCAGACATTAAACCTAACCAACCACAATGTCTTCCCATGACTTCCACAACGAAAGCACGAGAATGTGAAGTGGCAGTTGCATCGATATAGTCAACCATTTCTGAAATTCTTTCTAATGAAGAATAAGCTCCAATGGTAGCATCAGTAGATGCCATATCGTTATCAATTGATCCAACTAATCCTACAATGGTAAGATTTTTGTAAGGTTCGACTTCAGCAGCAGTTAACTTTCCGGTAGACACTAATTCTTCAACTAATGATGGCCATTCACTTCTGAAAAGATCAGCACCTGTTAAAGAGCCATCCCCACCACAAACGATTAAGGCATCTATACCGTTGATGATCATATTATAAGCACCAATTAATCTTCCTGCACGTTCTCTGAATGCGGCACATCTAGCAGTACCAATGTTGGTCCCACCGAGGGATAAGAATGATCTAACGTCACCCCATTCCATTTTTTTTAATAAATCACCACCTTGAACTAAACCTTCATAACCTTCATAGACGGCAAACACATCACAACCTAAGTAAATACCAGCTCTGACAACAGCTCTAACGGCAGGATTCATACCAGGAGCATCACCACCAGATGTCATGACCCCGATTTTCTTTTTCTTTTGTTCCTCTACTGGTTTTTCCAATTTATCTCTTTTTGCTTTAAGAGTTGATAATATTTCTTTGGAAGTGATATCGATATATTCTTCTGGTGAAGTGAATGTTTCTTTAACCAATGGATTCTTATGATTTGTAAATTTGACAGTATTTCCTAAAGGATCAATACTAACAATAGAAGTCTCATCAGATTCAAATTTTGAGCCATAACTTCCAAGGATTTCTTTGATTTCTTTTAAATTGGTACTGAAAAAGTTTAATTCCTTATGAGCTTGACTAATTTTTGGTAAGTTTGATAATCTAATTTTTAAAGTAGTAGAATCAGAAAGTTTTTTACAATTATCACCATCATAAACATCTAATTCTTGCCATGGAGTTGTATTTCCATTAGAATCAAGATTTTGTAATGGGAAACTTTCTAACCATATTTCTCTTAATGAATCATTTGATATACCTAAATGTAAGCTTGGATTATTAGTAGCTGATGCAGCTCCATTATTTGAAACTTTGGAAAAGTTCTTGATTAATCTAAACCCCAATTCATTATAAAAGTAAGCCAATTTCTCAAATACTTCGGAATCATTTGTTACCAACGAAACAAAACTAATTCCTTTAATAGGTTGAGCAGATGGCATGGTGGTCTTTAAATTGTATCGTAATTCTATATCAATAGCAGTTAATAATTATATGAATGAATATTGATCTTTTTTGATTTTTCAATTGCTATGGTAATATATATATGTGATTTCTTTCAATTCAATTCAACTCAATTCGATCTACAAAATTAGGAAAGATTGTTAATTAAAATGTAATTATAAGAGAATGATGAATTTAGAGTTATATATATAAATATATTTTAATCAATCTCATGGTGTCTCACTCCTCATCATCAGACGTCAGGAAAATTAGAAATTTTGTCTGCCGGAAAATGATACGCCGGCCGAAATAAAGAGTGTGTTTGATTTTGGACATTCTGCACGACCACAATTTAATTTCACAACCAAATCCAAAAGAATATCCCTTCAACTAATAATATATTTATGATTGATTGGAAGGAAGTACTTAATTGATGGGAAATATTAATGGAGGCATTAATTGAATTATTGAAAAATTGAATAAATCGTTTATCATTTGCAGAAGTGGTAGTAGTAGTAGTGGTTGTTTCTGAATCAAATACGGGAGATAAATCATCTTCATAAAGTACTTCATACTCATATTCAACTCCTTCAAAATCTGATATGTCATCTAAATCATCTATTTGAGTAACGACATCACTATCAAGTTGAGGTATTTCAATGATAAATGGCAGATTTTGTTGTTGAGTTGGTGATGATTGACGGTTTTCATTATCACCAAAAATTTTACCCTTTTTCGCAGTTAAATTAATCCAATTTCCATCAGAATTATAACCATAAACATATTCAGAACCACTAGAATAATCTATCACATTAAGATCTTTAGCATACATAGAGTAAGGTAATCCAACATAATCAGTTTCTCCACCAGCCCATAAAATAGTCCCTTCTTCATTAGAAGGATCTCCTCCAGACCATAAACTGACTTTTACAAACATAGGAGATGCTGGGAATCCTTCTGGATTTTCTTTTTCCAAGACTCTGGTAACAACACCATCTAATGACCATTCTATTCTATCTGGTGTCCATTCTACACCATAATTATGAAAATCTTCCATAGGTGATTGAGCAACTGGATGATAACCACCTCTACTATAAGTAGTAGTATTCCCTTTAACAAAAAAGTTGGTCTGATATTCATATATATCACCTCCAAATATTTCAGCAATATCAATTTCATCTAAATCATCACTTTGTAGGTAAAATGAACTAATGATACCTTTACCTGGAGCAGCTTTTAAATCTAACAGAACTTTACCATAAAGTATATAAAAATCAGACATAACAGATGGATTATCAAATCTTTTCCTTATATTCAATTTCATTCCTTCATCACAATATTCAATTCCATCAGGACCTGTAACAGGATAGAAATTACTCGAATCTGAAGTTAATGGATCAATTATGGCAGCACCTAACGCTGTATCTCTTGCTAAACATTTCTTATCTGTTTTTGGATTGCATGGAGGCGGTAACTCTTCATCATCATATTCTTCTCCACATATAAACGGAATGAGCATCAATAATGTTAGAATAGAGAGTTTCATTTTGAACTTTGATGTTGTTTGTGGTTTGGCGCCATTAAAAGAGTATTGCAAAAATAAATTTTGCATTTTTTTATATTTGGAAACTCACACGCGAAATGAAAGCTTAAAATCAGAAAAAAATAGAAAAATGAAAACATAATTTGATAGATCACATTGAATTCTTCTAAACCATAAAGAAAATGAACGAAATACAAAGAGTGTTACTTACTTACATAAGGGGAGAGAGATACATAGATCAAAGCAGATTGATAAATGCTTATAATGTTATTTTTGAGAAATTGAAATCAGAAAATGAAGAAGTAAATGATCCAACGAACGAAGTTGAGAAACATATTACTGCTATAAATTCTCGTATATCAGAACATGGGTTTAAGGTAGAAAGAAGAAATCATGAAATCACGGGAGAATTGAATTATATCTTTGTTAACACGTTGTCTGACGAGGTGAGTAAACTGAGTACTACTTATAGTGCTCCAGAATTAGATGCCATTAAATCAATTATCGATGATATAATAGAAGCTGAGAATTATTCATTTTCAATAGGCAGAGTGAACTGTCATCAGAAAGTAGCGGCTAAGTTGAATAAGACTTTAGGTGAATCATCTGCTTTTGTAGATAGATTAATAGATGATGGTTGGTTCATTTGTACCAGCAATGATAGAGTGGCCGTTTCAATAAAGGCAATCACAGAATTAAAAGCTTATCTTATAACGCGTCATGGAACTAACAAAGACAAGAATAGTCCTGGAAAAATCTTACAATGTGATCAATGTGATCAAATCCTCACAATGGGTTATATGGAAAAGCGAGATGAACCTGCATTCTTTCACTACAGATGTTTTGAAGTCTACAAGAGAACTAATGAAGTACATGATAGTATATTACAAATAGGTATTGAACCTGAAACCGTCTAAGTTGGTTTTATTTACGCATCAAAACTGTCTAAATATTCAGCTTCAACTTCATCTATTATATCCCAATACCACTCATCAACAATGCTTTCTTCATATCTTTGACTAAGTGGCTTGACGTCTTGTTCGTCAATTGGGAATTTAAAATCTGGACCAGCATTTAATCCAACAATACCATTCTGGAAAACAGAAAGCATAGGATAATAACCAAGGGAGCTATCGTCGGTATTTTTATAACTTGGATTTTGTTGTTGTCTTGTATTTGGAGAAATATTCAATTCTTCGTTTTCAACATTAGTTGGTAAGAATGAGTAAAGATCATTTATTTGACCTTTTTGCTCCACACCATTTTTAAAGATACGGATTTTTGAATTTGGAATGATAGGTAAGTTTTCAATCTGCTTATCAGCTGAATCTTTTTCCAATATAGCCTTTTCACCATATATAGAAACGGGATTTAATAAATGATCCATTATTTTAGTATTTGAATATTCATATTGCTCGTAATATAAAGCATTTTTATATCTGATAGGAACTTGATCTCTTACAATATTTCCATCTGCACTAAATTTGACATTATCTTCAGCAGCATCTTCCTTTCTTGTTTTTTTTCTTCTTTTGAGATCCGGCTGTTTAACAGGAGTTGACTTTGATGAATCATCTGGTTTCACAAGAGGTAATTTGGAATGAATAAAATCATCTACTGCTTTTCTATGTTCTTTTAAAGGTGGAAATTGTACCAAAAATCCAATAACATCACCTGTATTAAATCCACCTTCCACATAAACTTCTTTGGGTCTACTCAAAGTCATAAATTCACCTTGGACATCTCTCAATCCATAACTGTAACCATCAAACCCTACTGGAGCCTCCAAACTCGCCTCCTTTCTTGCAAGACCTATTCTGACATGACTTTTACTTTCTTCTTCATTAGCATTAACAATATTAAATTCAAAATAATAGTTACCTTCTCTGATACAAATATTGGATCTCACTGATCTCCAACCTTGTAAAGTTGATATCAAAGATATGTCGCTATTATATACAATACCTTGAGCCATATCAAAGTAACTTGGTCGTACTTTAAAGGGTGGGATCTCTGAAGTAGAATACAAATTTGATTTGAACGATGGATTAGGCCTGCACGGCTTATACTTGAACCCTCTTCTATTGAAAGGACGATCTTCTGATTGATAAAATTTTATATCTTTTGTAGTAGTCATAAGATTCTTTGAAAATTCAACAGTGTTAAGATCCAGTCTGAGAAATGGAACCGGCTTTAAACGTGGTTGTACCACAACATTATGCTGGAGCTGTTTAAGCTTCGATTTAATCTCTAGATCCTTTTCAATCTGCCTTTCTTTCGATCTAGTGGAGTAGTTGTGTGTAGGAGGAGTTGCGTTTTCATCTTTGGATTCTGACTCTATCGCGTCAGACTTGACAGAAAGAAGCTCGGGTGTATTCTCAGTGACATCAATCGATAGTAACTCTTGCCTGACACCATTTTCAGTATCAATTCCTAATTGATTCATATTTCAGGTGTTTGTGGGGATTGATATGTTTACCTTAACCTTCATGATGTAAATACTAACATATTTTCAAACATTTAATCACTTGATATTTTAGACTGCATATAATGGCAAGCTAAAAAATTTGGATTTTTTTTTTTGGCCGTGACAGTGTTTAAAATAGAAGGATTAGTTACATATAGAGAATTAAAAAATTTCGAATGAGATGTGCAATGACTATTAGTAACAATTTGTTATTTATGTTAGCCACAAAAGGGAAGGTTTCAAATGTTCACGAAAACTTTCATTCTTTCTCTGAAGATCTCTATTATTGCAATCGACAGGTACATTCCTGTCAATCATTAGCAAGGGAATGCTATGTAAACAGTTTTTACTACAGCTCCTTCAACTACTGAAACACAACTGTGGCTATGCATTCACACAAAGTAACGAGATCCATTCGTTATAAGTTGCTACTAAAATAAATTCTCCGAAACAGCTTATAATCAATTCGTAAAAACAAGGGAGACTCAAAAAATAGTGACGATCAAAAATAATTTGTTTGCATGCATTTCCTAAGAGTAAATAACGCGGAATTATAGCAAGCATTATATGAAAGTGAAATCATGAAGATCAACGGACAGCATGAATGTTGACGCTTTCACCTTACTGCCTATTGCGATGAGTGCACGACGGATGTAATGTAAACCTGGACCAATTGTCGATGTATGAAGTGTAGCCAAAGAAATCGTATGGTGGCCTCAGATTAACTTCCAAATCTTGGCCTGCGACTTGGTGCTGTAAAAAGTTGGACTCACAGTTAACCTAAATTTGACCTGAAATTGTGGGATTCAAAAAATGGTACGATTTAAAGATATCTTTATAAAATATAAAATTGTAAATCTATGTTTTGGATTTAAAGATGGAATTTGACATTAATGATCAAAATGTGTTAAAATTTGACAGATAGAGACAGGTTGGTATTTCAGAGATCAGTTTTTTTTACAAAAACAGGAGTTATTTTTAACGTTTCTTATTAGTTCAAGCATCACTTATTATTAAGCGCAGCGCGTACCAATATGTCGGTTGTTACCTTTATAGGAATTAACATAAGTTGATTATGATACATGTAATTATTCCGTTAGTTGATAGTTAAAATTGATAATTGTAAGATTTCTTGCCATACGTCTTTAAATATCAGGCTAACTTCTTAGCTGATCTCTCAGAAGCATTCTAAGTCTTTTTCTCTCGGCTCTTACTATATAAGAAAAGAATAATCTGTCTTGAACTGTAAAAGTAGAACTCTATGATTCTTAAATATGTAGTTGACAGATATTTTTTAACTTCGCACAAATTTGCTTTTAGCGTCGTTATGCAAGATGCACCAAGTATCTGCATGTTGCTGTAGGCGGCATTGAGATTATTTGCCTGCACTTACATTATAAATCCTGCTTTTACAACGTATCGAGTATAACTGAAGCGCAATAGTCTAAATAATAACGAAGATGGAGATTTTTTTTTTTTCATTTTATTTTTGTTGGTTCCTGTTGCTTGATGGTTGTTGCCTGTCAACAACGAAATGTATAACCATGCCCCTGAGCGCGAGCTAGTGCATTGCATCCAAGCAATTATTAAAGGTATGTTAATGTAAGCAAACACCTTGTAAATTGCATGTTTAATTGTCCAACATAATGACAATTGAAGCTCATAACTTTTGACGACTTATAAGCTGCTAGGCTATACTTCCAATCTCAATATGGAAGTGAATGGATAAGCAGGTCGTTACACACAATGATTGAACCCTTTACTCTAATATTACAAGTTTTTTGCAAGGGGCGGCTAGAAAATATTCTGTTGTTGACAAAATATTAAAATCTATAACAGGTATTTTACTCCCGAATCTAATAGTTCGTAAATAGAAAATATAAACAAATGATGCTAATAGCAAAAAGGAAGAGAACCAAAGATCTAGCGTATATATGAAGTAGAATTGAGATTCATTTGATCAAATTTTCCATCTATGAATTACAACACACACACATTATTATTTTAACGTGAGATATCGGACAGAAAGGGGAAGTAACTTACATCGGCAAGTGGCTTGAAGCTTTTGGCTGAGTTAAAATAATATGCATTTACTGTGCCTTTATTCTTTAGTAACAATTGATCTAGGCATTGAAGCACAAGATTCAATTTCGTTTTTCCGCAAATTTGAAAGTAAAGACATTACAAATTTTGAATTAAAGATTTAGAAAAATATATCATAAAAAGGCGGAGAAAACGTTTGATTTTGGAATTCACTTTGAAATACTCGAATTTGAGTTAAAATTAGCTGAAACGAGTTGACATTGTTTTCTCCAACCACTCTTGCAAAATAATCTTGTTATTTTTTGATGGGTGCTATATTTTTTTATCTCATCATCTGGTTTTGAGCCGCGCAAAGAGTACTGCAAGGGATTTTATCAAGATGAATTTATCTTGGTATTTATAAAATCACAATTGACTAACCATTGCCTACAAAGGTTATGATGGTATGTTAGATAATGCAATCGTGTCTTGCTTATCGAGCATTCCAGGCTAAGATGAAACAAGCAGTTTGAGTACGGTTAATGTCAGCGAGCACTACCAAGTTAGGAAACTTAAACACCTACTGAAATTGGCTTTAGAATCATAAATAAATTTCATTACCTATCAATAAGTATCACAAGAACAATCTATATGATAAATGTTGGATCTATTTAGCATTACGACATAAATATTTAAAACCAATTTTTAAGCTTTGCCTCTTGCTTAATTTGATTAGTGGCTCTACCAGTATCATGTAAGACGGCCAGACTCTTTACCAAAACTTTCCCTTTTGTTGTCTGTATAACACTTTCCAAGGTAATAGTCTTATTATCATCACCTTCCACGTTCTCTTTCTTTTTAGTCTTGACCACTATGAATTGATTGGCGAAAGTAGGATTTCGATAATTTATGGTTAAATTTTCAACCTTGAAATCATCTTTAAGATTCGAACTTGTCAACAGGGAAAGCGATGCATTTCTTTTGAAAGTTTCATTCAACAACGTTGCAATTATACCACCATGGATTAAAAATGGGTAACCACATAATCTATATCCAGCATGCACAATTGTAACTGTTTCATTTGTTTCCACGTTACAAAATATAACTGGCTTGATTAAGATACCTCCTGGAGTAGCTAATGTATGTGTTGTTAAAGTTGGCTCTTTATATTCACTTTGACTTATAATCGCCGAATTGGAATCCTCATTATCACCCTTCACTTGATTATCAAGCACATTTCTATCTAAATTCTCCCATGACATTAGTTTATACCATTTGTCTGCATTTTTAGGATGAGCTAATTGTTGATAAATGGGCAAGTTCTTTAATTTATATTCCAATTGTAGTGGAAGCAATTCTAGGTTGTTATGCTTGTTCTCATCAATGGTGGTAAAGTTTTCATAAACATTAAAGAGGGTTTCATTATAAGCGAAATATGATCCGAGTATAAAGAACGCAGTGGTTGTTTTCCAATTGAACCATGGTTTCTTCCTTATCGGGAGATGATCGAACGGTGAATCATTTATTGATCTAACAGCATAGTTTCTAAATTGAAACCTTGGCTTCAGCGTAGTGAATTTAGCTTGATTAACAAATGTACTGAGGCTCTTTATATTACCACGCATCATATATTTGGCCAACGTTGCTCCAAAGGTTGTTCCTCCTTATAATCAAACTCTATACATCATTTTGTTCTTTAATATTTCCTCTTGTGTAAATATGAGAATGACAGTCTGATATTTACTTAACGAATACTGCGTGGCTCATACGACTTATGAATGAACTTCTTACACATACTATAAGAGTCTGTCGATCTATGATTCTAGGAATGTGATGTCGAAATATGCCACTGTCATCTTGAATTATAAGCTTCGTTAAGCGCTATAGCTGATAATAAGTCGGTTCGTGAAGCGATGCTATATACGAGTGCGGTTAATAATTTTTGAGACGGGAAAGAACATATTTTTTTGGCATCCGCTCAGAATCCCTATAGCTAAAGAATATGGGGATTAAGTGATAAAAGTTCGGTAATGAGGACGAGAAATTAATAATCCACAGCAATTTTTTAAATTCAACAACACTTTTTTATTAATTATTTTTAATCTTATTTAAACCATTTTGTCTATCAATTGTGAGTTAATTGCAACTTACAATTTACTACTAAGATTGATAATAATATAATTCAATATGTCTAGTCATCTCGTTATCCCAAAATCACAATGGAAAGATTTGTGGCACACTTATAATGGTATCTTCCCAGGAAAGGCACAATTTACTGAAAAGGATTATCCTACTTTAGATGGAAAAGTTGTTATTGTTACTGGTGCTAGTACCGGTGTTGGTTTCGAAGTAGCAAAATCATTAGCTGGTTCAACAAATGCCAAAATTTATATCTTTGCCAGAAATAAAGAAAAGACTGAAGCAGCTATTAAAAGATTAGAATTGGAAGTTGCTCAAGAATATAACAAGCCAAAATCAGATGTCCACTTTATTCAAATTGATTTAAGTGATTTGACTACCATCAAACCAGCTGCTGAAGAATTTTTAAGTAAAGAAAAGAGAATAGATATCATCATTCACAATGCTGGTGTCATGACTCCTCCACTTGGATCTGAAACCAAGCAAGGGTATGAATTACAATTAGGAACCAACAACATAGCTCCTCACTTACTTCAAAGATTCTTGGATCCTTTATTAATTGAAACTTCTAAAACCAACAAACCTGGTGAATCTAGAATCGTTTGGGTTGCTTCAACTGCAAGTTTTCATGCACCTGAAGGAGGAATTCATTATGCTGATTATAACTTTAAAGAAACTAAAGCACTGCCAATGAATATTTATGGCCAAAGTAAAGCCACTAATGTTCTTCAATCTAGATATTGGTCAAAGGCCCATCCTGAAGCTGCGAATGTTATTTCTTGTTCTCTTTGTCCTGGTTTTCTTCGTACAGAATTACAAAGACATCTTCAAGGGATCGAAGCGTTTGTAATCAATTTATTACTTCACCCTGCTAGAAATGGTGCTTATACTGAATTATTTGCTGCTTTATCACCAGAAGTTAAAACAGGTGATTATATTGAATCATTCGGGAAGGTTAGTATTGCTAGAGACGATTTTAATGATGCTGCCGCCAAGAAGGCATGGGAATTTTTGGATGAAAAAATTAAGCCTTACCTTTAGATTAGTTAAACCTTATCCTTGGATTTTTGTTTTGGAGAATGCTTTATTTGTTTTTTTAGTTAGCAAAATTTAAATAACTTTAATGTAAACTTATTTCTGTTGTGTTTTACGATATTTTCACATATAAAAGCAGATGGCCAATATGGTAATGACGGTTAACTCCTATGTTTACAAATTGCACTTTAAGAATCATCATTAAATGAATGCTTAGCGGAGCATATTATATCTAGTTCCGGTTAATTTTTAGAATGTGATACTTCGTTTATTCATAAAATGAAAAATTTAGAGGCAACAACCGACGGGTGCAAAACTTTCCGTTTTGTCACGTTTCGAGGAAGCGGGATCGAAATTTTATTTTTCCGTTTACAATTTAGGAATAAACAATTGCAAAATAGAATATGTATAAATTGGAACGTATTTTTTCTAAACTCTTGTTTATTTCATGAATTAGAACTTCAAATACATCAACAGATATTTTATCAAAATGAGTTCAAAACTAGTTATTCCTAGAGAATATTCCAAGGAAATCCGTGCGATGGTTAATGGTACTTTTCCTTCCAAGCCAAAATTTACCGAAGAACAATATCCTAAGTTAGATGGTAAAGTTGTTATCGTTACTGGTGGATCGTCTGGTCTTGGCTTAGAAGTGGCGAAATCTCTCTTAGGTTCTACAAATGCAAAGGTGTACATATTTGCTAGAGATAAGGCTAAAATTGATAAAGCTATTAAAAAATTACAATTAGAAGTTGCTCAAGAATATAATAAGAAAGAATTAAACGTTCATTCTATTGTGATTGATTTAAGTGATTTGACTACCATCAAACCAGCTGCTGAAGAATTTTTAAGTAAAGAAAAGAGAATAGATATTATCATTCATAATGCTGGTGTAATGACTCCTCCGCTTGGATCCAAAACGAAACAAGGGTATGAGTTACAATTAGGAACCAACAACATAGGTCCTCACTTACTTCAAAAGTTTTTAGACCCTTTGTTTATCAAAACTTCAAAACAAAACAAGCCAGGAGAATCAAGAATAGTCTATGTTTCAGCCTCCGCAATTTTTCATGCCCCCAAAGGTGGTATTCATTATGCCGATCCAAATTTTAAAAGTACTAAAGCTGAACCTTTCGAAATTTACGCTCAAAGTAAAGCAGTTAATATCTTAAGTGCAAAATATTGGACAAAAGCCCATCCAGAAGCTACAAATGTTGTTACGGTCAGTTTATGCCCTGGATTTTTGAAAACTGAATTGCAAAGACATTTGGTTGGATTTGAAGCATTCATGATTAACAAGTTGGTTCATAAGGCTAGACTTGGAGCATATACTGAATTATACGCAGCCCTTTCCCCAGATTTGACAAGATCAAAAACAGGATCCTACGTTGAATCTTTCGGAAAATTAGGTAAGGATAGAAGTGATTTAGATGTTATAGCTGCAAAGAAAGCTTGGGAATTTTTAGATCAACAAGTTGAACCTTACTTGTAATCCTTCGAGCTTTATTAGCTTCTTTTACTTACAATATTTTCAGACATATCCGTACTATAGCTTCTTATTTAATATAAAAATTTCTTTTTCTAATACTATTAATAAGGTTAAGCCTAAAGAAGGTGACAATGATGTGATTCATAATCATCGTCTAGGCTTATATACAGTCCGAGAAGGCTCGGCAGCAAAATTTGAGTTAAAAAAAGCCCCTGCCAGCCGCTATGTCTGACATAACGGTGTTTAAATTTTCATTTGTGTGGGTGAAGATCCGTAAAGTTCGGTGCACAAATATTTAAAATATTTGTTGCAAAATAACTATATAAAGTAGAGAAATGAAGTTCAAATGATATTTCTATTTTGTTTTTCAGAAAATAGTATCGAATAACAGCTAACAAATCATGTCACAAGAAGTAAAAACTCCAACTTTAACATTTCAAGACTATGGAATTTTCTTCCATGGTCTTTGGCCAGGGAATCCAAAATTCACTGAGAAGGATTATCCATCATTAGATGGTAAAGTTGTTATTGTTACTGGTGCCAATTCAGGGGTTGGTTATCAAACTGTCAAATCACTTTTAGGTTCTACTAAAGCTAAAGTTTACTTTTTTGCTAGAAATGCTGAAAGAGCTGCAGAAGCTATTCAAAAGATCGAATTAGAAGTTGCTGCTGAATACAAGAAAACTCGTTTAGACGTTCATTTCATACAAATAGATTTAAGTGACTTGACTTCCATTAAACCAGCAGTAGATAAATTTCTTGAATTGGAATCTCGTTTAGATATTGTCATTCATAATGCTGGTGTTATGTTTCCAAAAGAAGGTGCTACTACCAAGCAAGGGTTTGAATTACAATTAGGTACTAATAACATTGGTCCACATCTTTTACAGCACTACTTAGATCCAATTTTAATTAAAACTTCTAAGCTTAACAAGGTGAATGAATCCAGAATTGTTTGGGTTTCTTCAACTGCCAGTTTCTTAGCTCCAACTGGTGGTATTCATTATGCTGATCCAAATTTCTCCAATACTCCAAATCCAGATGAAAAAATTGTTTATGGTCAAAGTAAAGCAGTAAATATCTTACAAAGTAAACATTGGAATATTGCACATCCAGAAGCTACAAATGTGGTTAACGCTTCTCTTTGTCCTGGTTATCTTAGAACCGAACTTCAAAGAAATGCTAAAGGGTTTGAAGCTTTCTTGTACAGAATTTTATTCCATGACGCTAGATACGGGGCTTATACTGAATTATTTGCTGCCTTATCACCAGAAGTCAATACTAAGAATACAGGTGCTCATGTTATTTCTTTTGGAACTGTTAGTCGTGCTAGAGATGATTTGTGTGATCCAGCAAATGCAGAAAAGGCTTGGAATTTCTTAGAAGAACAAATCAAACCATACGTTTAATTTAAAACAGAATTAATCTTATCTTGAGTTTATATTTATTAACTAGCTGTATTTTTGTGTATATTTATTATTCAATACTTAGTTTCTTTTCAGTAATTTGCAACACAACAATCGTAAACTTCCGATTCCGTTAAAAAATGGCAAAATTTGTTATTCTTTCAGATTTGATATGTTCCGCACAAATGATAAGTTCCGAAACCTAGCATACTTAAGAAATATATAAATATTTACAAATGTCTGGTTGTAGGCATTTGATGAATTTTATTTTTTATTTGTTTTGACTGACGACCAAGACAAAGGTTATAAACAGATAATGTCTTTTGGAATCTGCAATTCAAAAAAAGAATATTAATATTAAGTAGTCCACTATTTGACTCAAGCTGAGAGATTAACTGCAAGCTATCAATTTGAATCAAAGAAATTTTGCACATTTAACCCGAGATTTAGAATTGAGTCACCACAAGCAACGAACATATAGACTATCAGTTTATTATTGTATACTTTCGGGTTTTATGTCATTTTGTCATTCATCCATTCATGATTTAAAACAGCCATTGGTGGTCTCAACGGCTATAACAGTCACACTGGAACTCGGAGGCTAAAAATACTACCGCGTTTTTCCCGCTCCGTCAGTTTGCAACTATCTCAATATCATATAAATAGAGTTATAAGCTTACTACTTATGTGTTCGTCTGAAAAAGTCCAGTATAATACAACTAGCTTTTATTTGATACCAGATGCCCGAAAAATATAACCCCCCAGGAGGTGGAATAAGAGGTCTCTGTGCCTTTTGGAACGGATTCATACCAGGAAAACCAAAATTCACAGAAAAAGATTACCCTAAGTTAAATGGAAAAGTAGTCATTGTAACAGGTGCTACTTCTGGAGTTGGTTATGAAGTAGCAAAGTCTTTGTTAGGCTCAACTAATGCAAAAGTCTATTTGTTTAACAGAAGTGAACAAAAGACAATTGATGTTATTAAACGTTTAGAAGTTGAAGTAGCTAACGAATATAACAAATCCGAACTTAATGTTGACTATATTTTGGTAGATTATGCAGATTTACCATCCATTAAGCCTGCGGCTGAACAATTTTTAAACAAAGAAGAAAGATTGGATCTAATTATCCATAATGCTGGTATTATGGCTCCACCACTTGGATCTAAAACTAAACAAGGATTTGACTTACAATTAGGTACAAATGACTTTGGTCCTCATTTACTTCAGAAATTTTTGGATCCATTGATCATCAAAACTTCAAAGCGTAATAAGCCAGGGGAAACTCGTATTGTCTGGGTTTCTTCATTTGCTCACTTCTCTGCTCCATTGGGCGGAGTTCATTATAGTGATCCAAATTTCACAAAAACTGAAGCATCCCCAATGCAAATATATGGCCAAAGTAAGGCATTGAATATTATACAAGCCAGAGCTTGGAATTCAAAGCATCCAGATGGTTCAAATATTATCAGTGTATCACTTTGTCCTGGGTTTTTAAATACTGAATTACAAAGACATGGTGGTTCCTTTCAGCTTAAAATGTCTCAATACTTACATAAGGCAAGATTTGGAGCTTACACAGAATTATTTGCTGCTTTTGCTCCAGAAGTTAAAACTGGTGATCATATTGAATCATTTGGTAAAGTTACTAAATCTAGAAAAGATTTAGAGGATCCAAAAGCAATTTCAAAAGGGTGGGAGTTTTTGGATGAAAATGTCAAGCCATATCTATAGGAAGTTCATATGACGTTATTCTAAAATGAACAATTAATAGGACTAGACTTGCATTATCTCACTATATACTTATTTTATACTTATTCCGCTTTAAATGGAAAGTTCAATATCAAAACAAATCAAATGTAGAATAAATAATGAACGGCGTACCTCAAGTTTACCGAGATCAAAACTTTTCCGTATGCGTGTTGCCGCTATATAAAAGCTTTAATTTGTACCTAAATTTGTACAGGAAATAAAATAATCGTCTCGGTTGAAAAATTTAAACTCCGCCAAATCATCAATTTTTGCAGATAAGTACGCAACCACCAATCGTGGGTTGAACAACATCGTACGGCTAGCATTATGTTTATTCGTCAAAGGACAAGTAGAATAGAGGTTAGGGGCTTTACGGTAACAAGTTCAACTGTATGATACGGATGTACTAGGGAACATAACAAATATAGCCACGAAACTAGCATGTTGAATGAAAACTAATATCAAAAAACCAAAACAAGAAAGAACTGGCTCCTTATTATTAATATAATTTATCTGGTCTGATTTAAGTGAAGTTTTCCGATCCGGAATGTAAGATGACAGGGTTTGTATAAATATGAGTTCAATGCCCTTATTTTTTAAAAGTAATCCTCTCCTATACAATATCTCATAACTTTTAGCTTTAAGATGAGTGATAAATTTGAAACACCATCAATGGGATATGCTGGGTTTTGTGCATTGTTAAATGGATTCTTTCCAGGACTGCCATCATATACCGAAAAGGATTATCCCAAATTAGATGGTAAAGTTGTAATTGTCACTGGGGCAAGTGCTGGATTAGGTTACGAAGTTACCAAATCATTATTAGGATCAACCAATGCCAAGGTGTATATGTTTACAAGAAACAAACAAAAGACCATTGATGCTATTAAGAGATTAGAAACTGAAGTTGCAAAGGAATTCAATAAGACAAATCTTAATGTTGATTATATTTCAATCGATTTTGCTGATTTAACAACTATCAAACCTGCTGCTGAAGAATTCTTGAGTAAGTCAGATAGATTAGATATTATTATTCATAATGCTGGTGTTATGTTACCACCTGAAGGATCAGTCACCAAACAAGGCTTTGAATTACAATTAGGTACTAATAATTTTGGTCCTCATTTATTTCAAAAATTCTTAGATCCATTAATTATTAAGACTTCTATAAAAAACAAACCAGGGGTAAGTAGAATCGTTTGGGTTTCTTCTTTTGGACATTACATGTCATCATTAGGTGGTATCTTTTACCCTGATCCTAATTTCACTACTACTAAAGTTGGTAAAGGTAATATATATGGACAAAGCAAAGCAATTAATATTCTTCAAGCTAAAGGTTGGAATACTATTCATCCAGATGGTAATAATGTCACTTGTGTATCACTTTGTCCAGGATTCTTAAGAACTGAATTACAAAGATATGGAAGTTCATTTGAATTATTCATGTCTGATTTATTATTTAAAAAGGCAAGATATGGAGCTTATACCCAATTGTATGCTGCACTTTCTCCTGAAATTTATACTGGGGCTCATGTTCAAGCATTTGGGAAATTAACTACCTCTAGACCAGATTTAACTGAACCTAGCTATATCTCTAAGGCATGGAAATTTTTAGATGAACACGTTGAATCTTACTTGTAATCATTTTGACTCATATTTATGATATTAATGAGTCTTAGCAAAAAAAGATGCAACAGGTGGAAAATTTCAAAAGTTTAAAATTACATAATTATTTAGTGACGCTAGTAAGTAAGTAGTTTATATGTTTAATTAATTTAGGTTTAAAAATTAGATAAGTCATTGTCTGAAAGTAGTTTGCAACCTAAACCCGTATACTTACTCTATGAAAATGCGGGGGTTGAGAATGACGCACCGTGTTTACTAGCTTGTATAAATAAGTGCGATGATTCATTCATTGTTGTAGAGTCTTATAATGATATAAGCAATGACTAAAAAATTTGTAAGTGGTGGACTTGGTTCAAGTGAGTTTTGGGCCATGGTGAATGGTTTATGGCCAGGCAAACCACAGTTTACTGAAAGTGATTATCCAAAATTAGATGGTAAGGTGGTAATTGTTACTGGTGCTACTGCTGGTTTTGGATATGAGGTGACTAAATCACTATTGGGTCTACTAACGCAAAAGTTTATATGTTTACTAGAAATGAAGAAAGACCAAGGATGCTATTAAGAGATTAGAATTAGAAATTGCCAAAGAGTTCGGCAAGACAAACTTAAATGTTGACCATGTTTTAGTTGACTTTGCCGTTTTAACAACCATTAAGCCTGCTGCTGAAGAATTCTTGAAGAAAGAAAGTAGATTAGATATTATCATTCATAATGCTGGTGTTATGAATGCTCCTGACGGATCAGTTACCAAACAGGGATTTGAATTACACATAGGTACTAATAATCTTGGTCCTCATTTACTTGAGAAATTCTTAGATCCTATTATTATTAAGACATCCCAAACCAACAAACCTGGCGGAACTAGAATTGTTTGGGTGTCTTCTTTCACTCATTATTTTTCTTCCAAGGGTGGTCTTTTCTATAGTAATCCTAATTTTAGAAATACTAAAGCTGTTTCTGCATATAAATATGGTCAAAGTAAAGCTATTAGTATTCTTCAAGCCAAAGGTTGGAATAGTGCACATCCAGGAGGATCCAACATCATTAGTGTCTCATTATGTCCTGGATTTTTACACACAGAGTTAACTAGACATTCAAGTGCCTTTGAACAGTATATGGCTTCAATTATGACATATCATGTTAGGAATGGAGCTTATACAGAATTGTTTGCTGCCTTTTCACCTGGTCTATCGAGTGGAGATCATATTGAATCATTTGGGAGACTCACTAAGGCAAGAGAAGATTTAGAAGATCCAGTTGCCATTTCTAAAGCATGGGATTATTTAGATTCAAATGTTGCATCGTATATATGTCTTAATATGAGTGTTTCCAAAACTTTGAATTAAGAAGAAATTCTCTATATATTTAACTCTTAGTAAGCCAAGAATTTTGTATATACATGTTTAATTCATTTGCATTAAAAAATATGATAAGGTTTCTACTTGCACAATCCGATACCAATTTGCAACTTAAATTTGTATAGATCTGCATAGATTATATTTTGTTAGCATACTAGGACAAATTAGTTATCCTAATTGTGGAAAAACTATAATTAACAGACTATTTAGTAAAAACTCCTCTGTTAAAAGTGATGTAGATTGATGTTGGTAATTAGGTAATATTATTACCTTATGGTTATGTTTGTAGGTGCTAGACTTAAATTATTCTGCTATTTTGCAGGACTTCTCGTTCAATCATAATGGAAGCAAGAGCTGTGACTCTCAGTCTATTTGATCATCGAATGGACCATATAGATCTAATAATTAAAAAATAAGAGTATAATTTTAATTGATTATCTATGGGTAAATTATGATTTGCTATAAAAGATCGTATGGCGATGGTTGGTATATTTAGACATGGTAGATATGATTTACATCTGGTGGTTCATACAACGAAAACAAGTATAACCGAGCGTCCTCGTAATATCGGGGATAATATTAATGGCTTAAATGACCGACTTGGAAACTGTGTACCTGTTCTAGTAGTTGGAATTTATTTATTGTAAGTGTTTTGCAATATTATAAGATCACTATAAACTTATCACCGAATGCTAAATAATGGCGGCTCATATAATTTGGGAGCACAAAATCAATTGTTATCGCCGTTGCCTAGCATGTATAAATAACTGCAAAATGCTTTACCTGATTCAAAAACTTTTCTCATTTTTTTAATTATAGAAGCAATGACTGAAAAATTTGTAAGTGGTGGGTTTGGTTCAAGAGGACTTGGGGCCATAACAAATAGTTTCTGGCCAGGCAAACCACAGTTTACTGAAAGTGATTATCCAAAATTAGATGGTAAGGTGGTAATTGTCACTGGGGCAAGTGCTGGTTTGGGTTATGAAGTTACCAAATTATTATTAGGATCAACCAATGCCAAGGTGTATATGTTTACAAGAAACAAACAAAAGACCATTGATGCTATTAAGAGATTAGAAACTGAAGTTGCAAAGGAATTCAATAAGACAAATCTTAATGTTGATTATATTTCAATCGATTTTGCTGATTTAACAACTATCAAACCTGCTGCTGAAGAATTCTTGAGTAAGTCAGATAGATTAGATATTATTATTCACAATGCCGGTGTGATGACTCCCCCAGAAGGATCAGTCACCAAACAAGGCTTTGAATTACAATTAGGTACTAATAATTTTGGTCCGCATTTACTTCAAAAATTCTTAGATCCATTAATTATCAAGACTTCTAAAAAAAACAAAGCAGGTGTAAGTAGAATAGTGTGGGTTTCGTCTTCTGCTCAGTATTTGTCCTCAAAAGGAGGTCTTTTCTATAGTGATCCAAATTTCAGAAATACCAAAGCTAGTGCTGCAGGTAAATATGGTCAAAGCAAAGCTATAAATGTACTTCAAGCCAAGGGATGGAATAATGCTCATCCAGACGGATCAAACATCATCAGCGTATCGCTATGTCCTGGAATTTTAACTACAGATTTAACAAGGCATTCAACTGCAATTGAAGCATTTATAGTAAGACTTATTGGACATCCTGTTAGAAATGGAGCTTACACGGAATTATTTGCTGCTCTTTCATCCAATGTATCTACTGGTGATCATATTCAATCATTTGGAAAGGTGACCAAAGCAAGAGAAGATTTAGAAGATCCGATTGCGATTTCTAAAGCATGGGAGTACATTGAAGAAAATATTAGGTCATATATATAAGAATTTTCAAAACTATGAATTATTTAGTACACACAGCAATTCTTTTTTAATATATGTTTTTTGAACTGCTACAATATTTGTTTGAAATTATCGAGTTTGATGTGAAGATGACTTGTAAGATAACTAATATTGATTGTATTGATTGATTTGTAATTATTTCTATGAAGAGAGTCAGATTTTTGAGTAAGCCATTTCAGAAGTCAAAGATTATTCAAAAATTAGTTATCAAGATAAGTAGTATATATATGTTATCACATTTATATTGTAAAATGAGACTAGGAATACATTTATATTATCCGAAAACTATTTGCAGCCTAAGCCAATGTGAATTTCGTTATTCAATTTCTTTTGCCATACAAATATTCGGTTGTCATAATATTAACACCGTCTAGTGCTGATGTCTTTTTAAATTTGAATCTGCCGCTCATTTGTCGCGACAATTTGCGACCACAAAAAGTAAGTTATCGCCGTTTGGTAGCATGTATAAATAACTGCAAAATACTTCATTTGGTTCATAAACTATTTGGTATATTTTTAATTAAACAAGCAATGAGTGAAAATTATGTTAGTGCTGGAGTTGGTTTACAAGGATTTAGAGCCTTTTTGAATGGTCTTTGCCCTGGTAAAGCACAATTTACTGAAAAAGATTACCCAAAATTAGATGGTAAAGTTGTCATTGTCACTGGTGCAAGTGCTGGATTAGGTTATGAAGTAAGCAAGTTATTATTGGGTACCACCAATGCTAAAGTGTATATGTTTACAAGAAACAAACAAAAGACCATTGATGCTATTAAGAGATTAGAAACTGAAGTTGCAAAGGAATTCAATAAGACAAATCTTAATGTTGATTATATTTCAATCGATTTTGCTGATTTAACAACTATCAAACCTGCTGCTGAAGAATTCTTGAGTAAGTCAGATAGATTAGATATTATTATTCATAATGCTGGTGTTATGTTACCACCTGAAGGATCAGTCACCAAACAAGGCTTTGAATTACAATTAGGTACTAATAATTTTGGTCCTCATTTACTTCAAAAATTCTTAGATCCATTACTCATCAAGACTTCAAAATCCAACAAGCCAGGAGAATCCAGAATCATTTGGGTTTCCTCTTTTGGTCATTATTTATCATCGAAAGGTGGTGTCTTCTATGCTGATCCTAATTTCAGAAAGACAAAAGCTCTGGCTGCTTCTAAATATGCACAAAGTAAAGCTATCAATGTACTTCAAGCTAAGGGATGGAATAATGCTCATCCAGACGGATCAAACATCATCAGTGTATCATTATGTCCCGGCTTTTTAACTACAGAATTAACAAGATATGCAAGTTCAATCGAAGCATTTGTCCTGGGTCTTATGTCGCATCCTCCTAGAAATGGTGCTTACACGGAATTATTTGCTGCTCTTTCACCTGAAATTTCTACTCGTGATCATATTCAATCATTCGGGAAGGTCACTAGATCAAGGCAAGATTTAGAAGATCCGATTGCCATCTCTAAAGCATGGAATTTCTTAGAGTCAAATGTTAGATCATATTTGTGAATTATTAATTAAGCTTTTTTTGAGGCTATGGTCTAATAAATGGAAAATGCAAATGAAAAATACAAAAGCGCAAGTTATTATAGATAATTATGTAATTTTAAATAAAAAAATTAACCTTTGTAAATCATGTAGCAACCTCGAAGCGCTATGATTTGCTAATTACAAATTACTAATAATATTCATGTTGTCGTCGTTAAGATTGTTGTAACGGGTTGTATAATTAAATTTGAAGTAACGTAGCGATGGCTGAGCATTTTGATTTTGTGGTATAATATTTTCTTGATTGCACATACAGAATTAGCAAATGTTTGCAATCAAGGGATAAGAATTAGAAAGCTTGGAAAGTTAAATGACCAAGAACTTCCATGATAGACTCATTGCAGACATTCGATTCAAGGGGTTGGCATTTGTGGATGGATAGATGGATGTGTGTATTAATTAATTAATTAGTAGATATAATAAATAAATAACTATATATGTAAAAGTGTTTATAAATTTAACGTGTTAGATTAATGTAAAATCAATGTTAGTAGAGAATAGTGAAAAGTATGTGTTTAATTCATCTACTTTTTAAATCCCATTTTTTTCCAAATTGATTTCTTCTTTTTCAGATTAATATCAGAATCACTAGAATTAGGACTGATAGCATTTTCCTTTTCTTGAGCTTTATTCTTTAAATTCTTAACAGTTGATAAATAATCAGCACCCGGTCCAATACTCAGAGTTGATCTCTTCTTCTTCATCTCTTTCTTATCCTTCTCATCATCATCATAACTGATTAAAGATTTAACTTTATAAATTTGATTAGTTCCAAAAGTGTAATCATCTTTAGATCCATTACTACCTATGGAATAAATCGAAGCTGCTCTTCCACCTGAGGAACTATTATCAAGGAATGAACCATTACTTCCTCCTCCGAAAGAGGAAGACGTTCCACCTAAACTTTGCGATCTATAAATGGAATGAATCTTAGTATTAATCTTGAGCGAATCATCTTTTGAATTAAGCGCCTTTAAATATGACTTACAATCCGATAAAGACTGATCCGAAATGAGGGAAATCAAATTCTTGAATTTCAAAGGATCATCATAATCAGAGGATTCATTTAAATCAATGAATTTGTCCTCAAATGCTTGATGACTTTCTGATTGTTCCAATCCGATATCTGATTTCGAAGAATATTTCGAACCAGAAGTAGATGTCAATGCGATAGGATTATTACCTGCAGAAGAACCATTCCCATTCCCATTACCGCCTTCACCGCCATAAAATGATTCAATTGATTCTATTGACGATGATGTAGAATCAGTTCTGAATTTCTTCTTCTTAGTCGTGTTTGAATCATGTTGAGTTAAGGATATACTTGGGATAACAGGAATAGAATTTGAGAATGATTTGTTTAATGTTGGTGATGGGAGAGAATCAACAAATTTCAATCCTGGAGTATGATGAACATGATCTTCATGAGAATGAGGATGAACATAATGATAACGATTATTACTACCGATTAAAATGACTGGTATGGTTGAATACTTCACGACATAACTGGCTAATTTGATAAGATATTCATCTTTTTCATTTTGTTTTTTAATCTTAATAGGATATTTGAAATTCAAATTGGATGATTTATTCCCAATGATGAATAAATTAGGATGATATTGTTTAAAAAGATGATTGATCATGAATTTATTCCCTAATGAATTATTAGTATTTGGAGTATTGATTAATGATTGTTGAGATGGATCCGTATCATAAAAGTCTTCCATCACAAACTCCACTGTGATTTTTAATTTCAAATCATTGAATTTGAGATAAAGACGATTTATAAGATAATTAATAAGATTTTCTCCTTTACTATAAAGGTATTCATCGATTGATTTCTTTTTATAGTTTTTAGGATTATATTCTTTTAAGAATTTTTGAGAAATTAAACTTGAAATAATAATATAATCCCCATCATTTAAAAACGTATGCAGTTGAGATTCAAATTCATTAATGAGAAATAACCAATCAATAGAATTCCAAGTATGTTTTCTACCTGAAATCACTGTTAATAAAGTTCTTCCAAAAGAAATAGAATCAAATTCATTATGTTTAACAGTGATATTGATTGATTTATAATTATTTTCATTTGAAGATGGATAACCTCCATTCTTTGCATTAGCACCACCCAATCCACCAGAAGATATTGATGAACGTTTAGTAGATGGTAAATAATAGGTCTTTTGACTATCGAATTTAAATTGATCGACATTTGTTTTTGATTTTGTATTTTTAAATTGAGGATCTAAAGCCATTAATTCTTCATAAGTCATTTCTGAATAAGATTTTCTTCTATTTTTAGGAGGTTCATTTGTGGTGGTTGATATATTATCATCTGTAAAATCTAAAGTATCGAAATGATTATTAGCTAAATCTTCATCAATATCATGATAATTTATAGTTTCACCACTAATAGTGAATTCCATTTGTTGAGAAGATACTTTATTCTTTAAAATTGATTTGGATGGAGGATCAGGTAATTTTAACTTCTTCTTTACTGGGACATAATGAGAATAAGTTTTAGCTAAATCATTATTATATATAGTCGAACCATATCCAAAATCATTATTAGTATTATTTAAAGTAGATGAAACAGTAACAGTATTATTATTATTGTTGGTTATAGAGTTGGTGTTATTGTTTATGATGGAGGTAGTACCTGGATTCTGACTTAATAAAGATGCTGTTATATTAGATGCTCCTACCGATTGAACATAAGTATTGGATGGACATTCATTAAGGTATTCAGGATGGATGTTATTAAATGAGACTCTTCTCGAGAATGCAGCCGGGAGAGATCTAGGTATGGAAGATGGTGATACTATATCTTGTTGAGTTTCAGTTGGAGTTGGTGTCGGGCTTTGGCCGTCGTTACTGGAGTTGGATGGTGAAGTATGAGATAATTGAGACGTGGGATGAAATTGTGGGGGAGGTATATTTGAATAAAAGATAGACATATGGATTAAGGGGTATATGTTTATGAAAGGATGGGTATGATGATAAGTTGAATGATGATATCAACTATGAGTATGAATGAATATGGATATATCTATATATATATAAACGATTCAAAATGGTTGAATTGGAATAGGTTAGATTGGTTTTTGAAATTGAAAGTGGTATGAGATGATTTAAAGCCTATATGCAACCCGAAGGGGAAAAAAAAGAAAGTGAGACAGGAAAAGAGGATCAGGAAACGAAAAAAAAAAAAATGGGGGTGGGAACTGAACTGAACTGGCTGAACTTAACAGGTAAACCTCAGTAGACGATAGATAGGGTATAATATAATATAAGAACAATAGTAGCTTTGTACTATTAATCACACACACAATAAACAAATAATAGTTGATAGATAGTAAATTCATATCAGTTTTATAAAAATCCAAATCTAGACAATTCTTGTTGTATATATATTACTGTTTACAAGTACTAGAAGTTTTGTTTGATGATGCCAAGAAAGTTCCAATTCCTACTGATTACAGGAGGAGCATAAAAAAATAAAATAAAATAAAATTCTCACTAAATTTTACTGAGCATAATAGTTAGTCAGTTGTCAGTAAGTAAACTTTTAAGGCGAAGAAAAGTTTAAACACCATATAGTCATAGTCATTATAGAGCAATACTATCACGTGGCTGTGTTTCGTTTTGTTGATCTTTATAATTTATAATTAGAAGCTTTTCTATGTCTTTAAGCTATACGATATCAATAGAATAAACTGTATCATATCATATCATATCATATTACTAAAGATTTAAAAAAAAAAAAGTATTTATTTACGATAGATAGCTAAGAATAAGAACAATGTACATACATAAATTTCATTCATTCATTTTATTTATTACTAAATATTGTCACTTAATTTTTATTTTACTATTGTATAGAGCCTCACCTTAAAGTGGGGTGGGGAGAATAAGCACCGAAAATTAGGGAAAGAGGGAAAAAGAAAAAATCTACATGGCGTGCGCACTACTTACTTACTTACTTACTTACTTACTTTTACTGATCACTCCATTGCCTGCCTGCCTGCCTGAGTGTCTTCCAATACATATGTATGTCTGCCCGCACGCCCTATCCTATATATTTTTCTATAAATGCAATATCCGTAATCCATTGTCAGGGAATATCTTCTTTATTTTCTGTTAGACGATATATCATTGTTATTTAATATAATACTACACTATCGTCAAAGTTTAAAGTATTAATAATAATAATTTTTATTATCAGAAGAACCCCAATGTGCCCCCTCCCCGTAAAACAATCGAACAGAAATCTCATAAATATTTTTGAAAGAACTAAAATTTCCTTCGATAGTACGACATTTTTGCTTTTCTTAACTTGTATTATATGAAACGACATTGATTTATGAGAGGTGGAGAACTCTAAATGTCGTCCATTTCCATTTTAGAAAGCCTTCTCCTCATTTCAAATATATTCAATTTAAATATAATAGATAGTAGATATTATTGATAACATTTTTTGTCTATTTATTCCTAATTGAGATATATATGATAACTATAACCCCGTTACCAAATAGATTTACAACAAAGTTTTACTTTTTAAATGTTAATACACTTAAAATGAATGAATCTATAGTTTATTCTTCTTCTCGTCTACACTATTTTGTTCACCTGAAATTCTCACCTATTTTACTTTTACTAGAATGAACACTTCACCTATTTCACCTTCACCTTCATTCTTTCTCTTATTAGATATAGTGATATATAAATATGTCAGTAATTACGACTATTGTTAGCTTTTTTCTTGTTCAACTTTGTTCTCATAAATTACTTTTACCACTGTTATAATTGGATAAAAATGATCTTAACCTGATATCTTACTATAACTTGAACATATTAATTATATCATATAAATCACTATAACATAGACAAACCATCAGCTGATTACTTTCCTAATCTAACCCATCGACTCTTTTATTGTTTTTGTCTTTCTCTCGTTATAAATGTGTAAAATTACATTGTCTCCGTTTGTACTATTTCTATTTCTAGTACCGTACCTTATTTTTTTCGAGAATAGTTGTAAAAGCAGCAAGCCTCCTCCCGTCCCCTCCAAAGCATTAAACGTCATCATACAAATAATCATATCATGAAATAAATTTCATCTTTTTTAGATTTAATTTTTAACAAAGACCCTTGTTTTTCTTTTTTTCATATCATTTTTCTTTTATCAATTGAAAGATAGATAGTTAGTTAGATCTATAATCTTCAATTGACTAATCTCATCTCATTTTCATTCCATCCCCTACCATGTCAATTCCATCCGATTGGTTTGATCCCATCCCAATTGATGATTATATCTCCATCAATGAAAAATCCTCTATCAATGTTCCGGAATCAACACCGGTTGATAAGGAATTATTTGGAGGAGAATTGGATATTCGTTGTGGACCAATTTTGAAATTATCTAGTACATTAGAAAATGGTTCCAATAATTATCGTGGTACTATACTTTTGGTTTTAAAAGTTCCGGAATCAGCTCATGAAACTCCTTCACCTCCTTCTATAACTTATAAAATCGGACCTTCGGAATCAAGTTATGGAGGTCTGGTTTCTTCAGGTGAATTTCCAGGAACTTTGTTTTTCGAAGCTGGTCATGAAGGATTGGTGTTTTTCAGATATACCGTTGAATTATCTTTAATTGATTATGAACAAAAAGTGAAATATTTCATTAATAATAATTTCAAAAAATCATTTCAATTCTTTATTCCATCAGTTCATGAATCAATGAATGTGATTTCTTTCTCATGTAATGGATTTTCCTTAGGAACTGATGCATCAGAATTTAAATCTTCATTATGGATGGATGTGCTTAAAAAGCATCAATCTCAACATTATCATGTCATGTTAGGTGGTGGAGATCAAATCTATTCAGATGCAGTTAAATTACATCTGAAATATTTAGAAAAATGGATGTCAGAACAAAACCCTCTTAAAAAATTAAACATGCCTGCAACTAATGAATACCATATTGAATTAAATACTTTCTATTTGAATCATTATATAGGCTGGTTTGGTAAAGGATTTTGGAAAGGGTTGAATGGTAAAACTTTACAAACCCTTTTCCCCTTAACTATGTCTCAAATCCCATCTGTCAATATTTATGATGATCATGACATCATTGATGGATTTGGATCTTATCATGATTCAACCATGAAAAGTCCCGTATTCTCAGCAGTAGGTAATACCGCTTATAAATATTATATGATCTTTCAACATCATATTAATCCCGAAGAAAAATTACATGAATCTGATCCTGCTTGGATTTTAGGTAATAAACCAGGTCCATTCATCACTCAAAAGAATCATTCATTATTCACTAGATTAGGGAAAGAAATATCTTTAGTTGGAATTGATTGTAGAACAGAACGGAAATTAAAGCAAGTGGTTACAGCTTCAAGTTATTCAATTATTTTTGATCGATTGAAAAAGGAAATTAAAGCTAGTCCTGAAACGAAGCATTTATTAGTAATGTTAGGTATTCCTATTTTTTATCCTAGATTAGTCTGGTTAGAATGGCTATTAACTTCAACTTTATTCTTACCTATTCGTGCTTTAGCATCTAAAGGGGTTATTAATCATGGATTGGTTAATGAATTTGACGGTGATGTCGAAGTATTGGATGATTTGAATGATCATTGGTGTTCAAAATATCATAAAAAAGAACGTAATAAATTGATTCAAGATCTTATGTCATTCGGTAGTGAGAACGGACTTAGAATCACCATTTTATCTGGTGATGTTCATTTAGCTGCCATTGGTAGATTTAAATCTAAATTCCATCATCATTTACACGCCCATCGTTTAATTGGTGAACATAAAGAAGAATTAATTCATCATAATCAAGATGTGACTGATTTTCCCGAATCAGATCCTCGTTTAATGTTTAATGTTATAAGTTCAGCTATTATCAATGGTCCACCTCCTGATGCTATGGCAAATCTTTTGAATGCAAGAAGTTCAATCCATCATTATAATAGAGATACTGATGAAGATATGGTACCTATTTTCGTTAATGAACCAACGGGAGAAATCAGATCCAATGTACAATTTTTAAATAAAAGAAATTGGTCAGATTTAATTATTGCTAAACAATCAATTTATAAATCTGAGATTAATGCTACTGATCCGATAAGGAAATTCCCTCAACCAGTTAAATTCGATCAACCATCACAAGGAAAAGAACTGAATGGAACTGTGGTTAATGGTAATGGACATACTGCCGATGGTGAAAAAGCTGTAGAACATAAAGAAGTTACTGTTCATCCTAATCATTTACTTGATAAACATCCTGATGAAAGACATATTAAATATCCATTATTTGAAGATTCGTTAGTTACTACCATTCACGTTGAACAAGATCCTAATGATTTCTCAGCTCCAAGTACTGATTATGAAATATTGATTCCAGCTTTAATAGGTAAGTTTGAGATTGATAGAGCACCTGTAAAGCATCTTCTGTGATCTTATATTTTGGCTGCTAAAGATAGGAAGGGTATAATCCACCAACTTTTATACTGACTTTTTGTTCATTTATTTACTTTATTTATTTATTTATTTATTAATTCTAATCCTTGTTTGTTTGTTTGTTTGTTTGTCGTCTTTTGTATAAAGATTGTATCAGTATATCCTGATTATTAGTTATTCTATATATTATCTATTTATAGTAATTCTACTTTTTACGACTTATATGTCGCCTTAACATTTAAGCATTATGTCGCAAAATTAAAATGTCGGCTCTATCCCTTATCATAAAATGTCAATTCTTTTTTTTTTATTTTTCTATTTTTTTGACAAAGCTTAATTTGGGTCCATAACCATAATTATATATATGGATGATAATAAACAATTCAATTCATGGCATATCTATTAGTCCTTAATTGATCTTTATGAGAATCATATCCTGTCAAAAAGTTTAATCTAAGTGTGTGGTTATTTATTTAAACTATTCAAATCAAAGAGATCTTATCAAAAGGATATTTTTCAGATATCTATTTAATTACGAATCCGTTTTGATTGGATAAGATATGCCACCAAAAAAGAGAAAGTTGGCAACTTCAGATCTAAAGTCTGAAGCAGCAGATGGGTTGACTACTCCCACATCATCTACCATTTCAACTCCAACTTCAGCTTCTACTTCAAATGGTGGTGCTTTATCGGCATCAGCTATCAGTTTACCACCATCAAATAATAATCTGAATCCATCTTCCATTGTCGGAATATCAAGATCCATATCGGCGTGTCAAAGATGTCGAGCTAAAAAGATTAAATGTGATCAAAGATTCCCAAAATGTTCCAAATGTGAAAAACATGGAGTTGAATGTATTGGATTAGATCCATTAACGGGTAGAGAAGTTCCGAGATCATATATTGTTCATCTTGAAGAACGAATTAAATTCTTAGAACTGAAATTAAAGGCAAATGGGATAGTGGTAGAAGACTCCTTAGAGACTTTAGAACCATCTCATACGAATGACGACCTTAACAAACAACAACTACATCAACAACATGATGATATAGATAATGATCGAAAGAAAACAACCATTAAAGGTTCTATCAAACTAGAACCATTGGATGGTCCATCTACCATCTCCTTTTCAAGATTAATGTCAACTGCATTCAGAGTTCAAAAGAAGTCATTAACCAATATTCAAAATCCAATTGCATCAAGAAAAAATGGTACTAATAATTCAGTATCATCTATGAATAATAATATCAATTCAAATCTATTACCAGCCATTCTACCACCTAAAATCACCGCTTTACAATTCATTCTGATCTTTTTCGCCCAATCTAATAGTCAATTACCAATTTTACATCGAGAAGAATTCATTAAAAAGTATTTCATCCCAATTTATGGCAAATTTGATGATCCTCAAATATCATTAGCTAATGATTATTCCAAGATAAATTTTAATTATTTTGAAAATGATAATAATCATACAACATCGAATTCACTGCTGGATCGATGTTGGTTTGAAAAATATAAAGATGAATTCCAATCATTATTAGGAAGTAATCATAATAATCAAAATATTTCTAATGATGAAATAAAATCAATCTCAAATAGTATTATACCGCCTAAGAAGTATAGAAAAGGGTTATACTTCTTGAATTTGATTTTTGCCATAGCATCATCCGTAAATCACTTACAATATCCTATAACCATATCTGATTCATTCCGATTAGCTGCCAATAAACACTTTGATGAGGTTTATAGTTCTCCAGATCAGTTGGAATCATTACTGGGAATCCTTTTATATTCATTGTATTCAACTATGAGACCTACAAATCCAGGGGTATGGTATATTTTAGGGTCAGCTTTAAGAATGTGTGTCGATTTGGATTTACATAATGAACTAAATACTAACACCGCTAATCATGTGGATTCATTCACAAAGGACAAAAGAAGAAGATTATTCTGGTGTACTTATTGTGTTGATAGACAGATTTGTTTTTACTTGGATAGACCGGTCGGTATACCGGATGAAAGTATTAATACTCCTTTTTTATCAGAATTAGATGATTCATTCATAGTACCAAACAATCCAGCTATAACAGATTATTCCACCATTACAAATGATGTACCTACTTATAAAGTGATTTTCTTATCAATTATTAAAATAAGACAAATTCAATCCGAAGTTCAACGAGTATTATATACGAATTATCCATTATCGGGAAAATACAAAACGATTGCCGATTGGAAATCATTAATGTTGGTTAAACTAGCATCTTGGAAATCAGTATGTCCATCATCTCCCAAACAAATGAACTGTAATTTTAATCTAGAATTCTTTAGATTAAACTATCATCATACGTTATTAATGCTTCATGGATTATCACCCAAGAATTATAAATTAGCTTCTAAAGATTATATTCAAGTGTTTAAATCAGCTCAAGAAGTTATGGATTGTTATTCAAAATTATGTCAAACTAAATCTATAAACTATACGTGGGCAGCGGTTCATAATTTATTCATGGCGGGTACTTCCTATCTATACTCCATTTACAATAGTGAAGATGTAAGACAATTGACAAGTTTAATGGAGATGAAAAGAGTTACATCGGAGTGTTTGAATGTTTTAAATTCATTGGTCGATAGATGTGATGCCGCTACGAATTGCATTGAAATATTCCAAAATCTTACCAGAGCAATATTTAAATTAAGGTATAATGAAGTGGTTCAAGGTGTCGCTAGTATAAATATTTCCAAAGAGAGTTTATTGAAGATTAATAATGGTAATGTAAATTCAAATTTATCTATGTTAGTGGAGATTTTAAATCGTGATAAAACTCAAGTCACTTCAAGTCATGAAGATACTTTGAATCCATTTAAAACTCATCAACCCACTCCTGGAGCTGATGTTGATAGTGTATCATCAAACCAAGAAATTCCAAATGGTTCTACCCCTATCAATGAAAATATTAATACCAATAATAATAATAATAATATTTCTAATGACAACAACAATTTACAGACACTTCTACCAACATTTGAATGGTTAACTCCAAATGATTTAGCTACAGCTTCCAAACAAAACAATGATAGTTTATTAACACCGATGAATGGTCCTATTTATGATCTAGATACATTTTTCAAAGAGTTGGATAATTTATCACCCATATCAACGACATCAAGAAGAAATAGTGCTGTTAATCTTCGACAAACATCTTCATTGGCAAATACGCCTATAGTGGCATCTCAAGGGCAAGGTCCTGATTTAACTAATAATATGATACCTTCGACGGCAGCATCAGTTTCAAATGTAACAAACACGTTCCATAATAACGATGGTACTTCCGCAAATAATAATATGGCATTTTCGTCAACTGGTTCGTCCCCTCTCGTATTGAGCAACTCTTATAATTCGAAAGAAGGTAGAAAAGCATTCGAATTGATTCATCAATTGCCTAATGAAATCATATGGGATGAATTCTTTACTACTCCTTCTTATACTAGTTTTGGTTCAATACTGAGAAAGCTGGGCGCCAACAATTAATAGCTTAGATATAGTATAATATATGTAATGAGTAGTTAAACCTTATACGAAACTTTCTAAATTATTGAGCTCTGTTAAAACACCAGCGTTTTCATCTGGAATTAAACTTTGACCATTTATGGGGAAACAATGGAATACATTAACCGTATTTCCGTCATAATAACCTTCAGCATTGACAATAGCACCACTGTAAGTTAAGTCATGACTTATAGGCATGGCATCTATGATATTCACTTTCAAAGCATCGTTGCCAGCAACGACATCTCCAGTTTTACTTTGAAATCGAGGCAATCTCCCTAATAAAAGTGAAGATTCATGTTCAATATATTCCACTACCTGAGCAATGATTCGAATTCTATAGATCTTTGAATCACAGGCATCAGGAAACTCAAGTGCTAATGATGTGGGATCATATATCAACTTTGTCATTTATAAATTCCATTATCTAGTGTGGATGGTGTGATCTAAAAACATCTTTGGTTTTAACGTGTATGGTTTTCCTGTTTTGATATTCCTGTAGATAAATTATACCTACTGGAAAAAAAATTATTTTAGTGTATCAAAATTTAAAATTATTTTGATGAGATGCAAAACACATCATATCTTTCAAAGGATACTATATACAAACGCCAACATGAAGATATTGAAGGAAAGAGAAGGCTTCTTAACCAATTTTGAAGTGGAGCAGCACTTGACTGATATAAAGAAGAAATATAATTGGACGTTTGATGAAAAAGATGATGAAGAATTACAAAAGGATAAGAGAAAGAATAAGAAACGATTCGATGCTTGTGGTGTGAATTTAGAAGTCATAACCAGAGATGTGTTGTCATATGTCCATAATGGTCCTCCTTCCAATATAGATAATGTTGAGAATTTCAAAAGTTTGGGGATTTTCTTGAATCAATATGATTTAATGAAAGTTGAAAAACTTCAAATCATGAATTCATTACCAAGATCAATGGTTATTTTATATTCATTAGTGGAAGAATGTGATCAAAGATTTAATGAAGAGAAATGTGAAGCTATCATAAATAAAATCAGTGAATTATTCCCACTAGGTGATGAAGGCGAGGAAGAGGAAGAGGAAGAGGCTGATCATGAAGGTGATGAAGATGATTCTAAAATGGAAGATTAAAGTAAATTTAACTGCTTCCTCTTCCATATCCACTGTAAATTAGTTAATTTTGTAATTACATATAATGAATTCCTTTAATGATATATATATTCTTTTTAATGCAACCCATATAAGACTTAACCTGTAACTAATCTATAAAAATCCGCCCATTATTCTTCTTGCTAACCCATTTCCATCATCATAATCAGTTACGATTTCTGAGTCATTCATTTCATCTTCTAATGTGACTATTGGTTTTTGGTCTTGATTCCCATTAGTGTTGACTCCTGGTACTCCTACTTTAAAACCATTATAAAATTGATCTCGTAAATTTCCAACCATCTCACTTACTTCTGATAATAAACCAGTTGGTCCCACTGCAAACAAGGATTCTGCATTATCCTTTGAATTAATCCAATGATTCTCGGTAGATTCATGGATAGATTGTTGATCAATTTCCTTATTCTGTTTAGTCACCAAATCTCTTGAAATAATTCGAGTTAAATCAAGTGCTGAATCCAATGAATCCTTAAAGATAGAATTCAGGGGTCGGAAATCTTCTTCTAATGCATTGTGAGCTCCAAAATGATTTGATACTAAATGCTCTATAACTGGCCAACCGTACGCATTAGCAAATCTACGTCTCACTATGATATTATTGTGCGCATCGGGCTTGAGTTTGACTATAACTTTCCTCCAATCCATATTCTTATGGTATTCCCTTGCTATATCTTCTTCCAAATGTTCAACATCATAATCGATTGTATTCAAAATACGTTGTCTAATACTAATGGATGGTGATTCGTCGGTTTTAGTTGTATCGAAATTTAGACATGGAACCTCGGCAGGTGTATGAGGAGGCAAATCTTCTTCACGATATACTTTATCTATAACAATTACTGGTTCACGAGAGCTGGGATCATTTATGAATTTTAAGGAAGGAAGTGGAGGTAATATTAATGATGTTGCTGTTTCAAGAACAGATTGGGTAGGTAATTCTTCATAAGAATCATCAGCACTATACATTAACAGATTTTCTTCTTCGACATTTGATTTATCATTGGTTTGGAATTTTTGATAGTGACCCGCTTGTTTTTGAGGCATGAAATATGACAAAAAGGTTTGCACTGGCAGGAAGACAAAACTATCCCCATTAATTGCAGGAATAGGAGGAACAATTCCTGTTGATGTGCTCTGTGTTGTCTTGAGCTTATTCTCTGGTGAATTTATAATCTGTATTAATTCCTTATAGTCAAGAAATAATAGAGATGATGTTCTTAAGGGCACAATTCCATCATTAACTGAATTAGCATATGCGGTTCTTCTTATAAATCGCTTCAAAACATGATGAGTTGGACCAGTAGGGAGTAATAAAAGTAATGGCTTTGAATCATTTTCCAAATATTTCAAACTTACATCTCTACCTGTTTTACCTACCAAACCAGCCAGAAGGGCAAGTTTAACATAAACTGGATTTTCATTGACAATGCCTAGCATGGGAGATGCAATGGTTATAAAGTTGATTGGTTTGATTTGTTTAAAGAACCAGGGATAGTTGACTTGAATATATGCAATGGCTACTGTTTGAACTAACCCACCTAATGAATGACCTATGAATGAAATTTTACTAACTCTATCATTATTCAAACTTTCATTATTGGTAACTAAATCCACAATATATTCAGCTACTCTACTACCTAGATATTTTACACCTCTTTCTGTTTTGGCCACATTTCCAAAGTATCCCTTAACAACGATGTTCTCGCCTTTAACACTATCTATTTGTTCTTTTAGATAGAACATATCGGCACTGACATTTGAATGTAGACCATGAGTTAATATGACCAAATGAATTGGCTTATTTGGGTCTGGCACAGGTAGGTTCCATAAATCCAAAGTATCTTGATTCGAAACATTTAAAATAGTAGATGATATGAAACTACCTTGTTGATCGGCATTTAGAACCTTCTTTTCAGGTATTGAAGCTTCATGAAGAACTTTTTTACTTGTTCCTATCAATATTTCAAAATCAACATCAATAGTATTATTAAAGATGATTTGAGAAATCACATCCACTGTCCATGAATATGAGTCTTTAATGGTATGACATGAAAGTTGAGCATAGAAAGCTTGACCTGGTAATAAAGAAGGTTCAAAAACAGGTTGATCTGCCGTGATAAAACAAGCTTGATTAGGATCATAATCCAGTCTTTTACAATCAACATATAAGACATAAGGACCTGCTAAAAAGGCAGCTCTCAATGGAATTGGTTCTATATTTTTAACTTTCAACCATAAATTTGATGTTAAATGGATCAGTTCACTTGGTTCTGGGGTATAATGTAAATTGAATCTCTGTATTTGACCAGCTTTCAAAGATCTAACTTCACGATATAGGATCTTATCGTCGTTAGAATCTGAATCCAGTTGAGCCATCTTCTTCTGCTACTGAATTGACTATTCTTCTCTCTTAGCACTTGAAGATTCTGAAGATTATGAACCTTTAACTGCTGCCAAGTGATGCTGCTCTCCGTTAAAAAAAAAAGATGTGATAGTTTTATTCTCACATGTCAAAACAAAAACATTTGATATCAAAAGCTACTCTTTTGTATACAGTTTCATCAAGTGTTGGTATCAATCAAATAGAGTCAAAAGCAACAAGCATCTTGAGTGTATCATGAATCTAACCAATGATACCGATAACGATAACAACTATGATCTTCATCCTATTGAAGAAGTAGCTCATACGCTTTTGAGCGGTTCACTTGATAATCTTGATGATAACTTTGAACTGCTTGATCAATCACAATTGATCTTGCTTACCAGGCTTAAAGTGATTGAAGATCGTCTATTGACATTCAAGAAGATTGCATTTGAAGACGGGGTCATCAATGATGATGAATTGACCAATTATGTCAATAAAATTAAAGATCTTCAGAAACGTCTTCTGGTTACTTCCAAAGCATTAAGTAGAATAGAGAATCGAATTGATAAGATGGATGGCCAACTACAAATTAAAGATTAATTAAGAATGGGGGAGATTGACTTTTTATTGCTGTATATAGAACAAAAATTTACGGAGTTTATTGTTTAAAATAATTTCATGAATTGATATGGATATCCTAATCCTTTCAGTCCAAAAACAGAGAGGAATAAACTGTAGAAGACAAATATCAAAATACTGATGATGGAAACAGCAATAAAATTGACAAATGAGTTGGAAATATCCGGTACTCTCTTGATTAAAACGATGACAAGAATACTCATGAAACCATAAATGAAAGCAACAATTTGAGTTTCAATACCAAATTGAGTTTGTTGTCCTTGACTGAAGTATTGAGTTTGACCATTTTGTTCTCTTAAGTAAGGAGTTTGTCTAATTTGATTGAACATATAACCTGAAATAAACATTAAGATTAAAGCTGATGAAACTAACATCCATAAAGTTGGAGAACTTAAGAATTTCACTATTTGAGCATTAAATTTGTAAATAATGAATAATCCAATGATAGTAAGAGCAACATTTAATCCTATCACTGTGTAATTAACTGGAACGTGAATATTGTATTGATGACCTGTCTTTTGATTTAAGAAATTTCTAACTAAATCTAATTGTTCACCTTGGAAGAATTGATATTCTGACAGTTGAGCAACTAAATTATGAACTCCAGTATCTTCAGTTGGAGCAAAATGGAACACTTTTGGAATTGAAGCCAAACTAAAGATTTGGAATAAATTACGGGATTCAGTATATTCAGAACGACCAAAGTAAACATTCTTTTTAGCAATTCCAGATTCTTCATATTCTTCATCTAATTCAACTTCATTTAAACCATATGGATGGTCTTGATACCATGATTTGGCTATAAGTTCAAAATCAGGTCTGAATTCTCTACACAAAACACAATTGATTTGCGTAGATTCAGATGTCATCAAGATAACCAAATGGAAATCTCTAACTCCATATAATAAATCTTCATAATTTTTATCATTAATGGTAATTATATTTTTGGACAGAGTCTTAGCCAAGTCCAACATTTCTGAATTGGTTAATCCAGCAATTGCACAAGCAAACAAACTTGCCAAAACCAAATATATCTTGACCAATGTTATATGCATCTTGAATATTGCCAATTGACCCCCTTATATTCTTGAATTGACTTGATAAATCTTGGTCCCTTTCTTTTATAGGTGTCAAAATTGAAAAATTGAAAGTTCAACACGTCAATATCAAAATTTGTGAGAATTGCGATCACGTGGATGATTTATATGAATAAAACAGAATTTTTGGCTGCAACACTGTTTTATAATCTATAGCTATCAACAGTCGTGGTGTGTTTTACTATGTTATTGATAGGTGATGAAATGTAAGTATAAATGATTGTGAATATACTAAGTTAATGGTCTTTATAATTTGAAAGAAGTTAAAAAAAGTCAATTTCAAAAACATTTTGCGTGAATTTCACAAAAATCTACAAATTAATAATTATGCTTAACTGTAAATGTGTCTTAGACTTACCTAATTAATTAAATAATTGATAATTTCTTATCTGAGCCAATATCTACTATACAAAACCCCCGACCTACTTCAAACCTTTCTACTAAAAGTATATACTCACCCAGATTTTGAATCATACAATCAAGGTATATCCCATACAATGAATCACTCCATTGTTCATTAATTTGAATGGGTTGGGAAGTGGTTGCATCAAAAATAGATGCTCTGATGGCTGGTCGATAATTCTGGATCAGATCATATAAACTATCCACATCATTTAAATGCTTTAAATGAATGGTGATATTCGACTTAAATGAATCAAGTGTGAATCTTAATTTGAATCGATTAGAACCTTCCCAACATACTTTCTTTTTATCATTAAAGAGACCTAAAGTTGAAAAGATCTTGTTAACCTTCACATTCTCTAAATCTGGATCATCATGATTAAGAAGAATTCGGAATTCTCCCATACTTCCATAATCATAAGTTGAAACTATCAATTTATAAAATCCCGGTTGTAATTTCTTAAAGTTATATAATTGATAACCTTCAGAATAATGTTCGTTGAGTAACAATTTAGACTTGTCAAATGATCTCAATGGTTCATCCTTCATATGCTTTTCACTATGGAAAAGATGGAAGTTGATAGCATCGTTCTTTAAATTACCAAATATGGATAATAATACATCTGTTTCTTTTTGCACTTCAATACAATATTGAGGATTATCGATATAAGACGACAATGACCAGTTACCTCCACAATTGGACAGGTTCCATTCACCCTCAATCAATGGCAATGTATTTTTATATAAATGCTTAGCTTTGGATAGCTTTAAACCATGGAAATTGTTAAGTAATGACATAGTAAAAGTTGAACTTTTACTACTGACGATCACCACAGTATAATATGTTCCTGGACTAAGACTTAATTTGACCAACTTCAATCTATTATTAGTATCGGTGTTGTTAATATTCACACATTTATATTGATTTGGTACAATTACTCTATTACCATTAACAGTTTCATAAACAGTGACATTCAACAAATTACTTTCCTTTGAAATAGGAAGATGTCTTTCTAGGAAAATCCAAGCTTCTTGAGTTTTGTCAGACGAATTAAAAAATGAAAATTGGGGACGATTAAATAAATACAGACTTGAATCATTATAGATGAAACTCACTTTTTCATTTAAGGGCAATAAATCATCAATCTTCCAGTTGCAATATAGATAACTAAAGTTTGTAAGATCACTAATCTTAATGAATCGTTCATCTTCATTATTATTTTCAATCCAAGGATTCTTAACAATAACCGATCCATCCTGTTCAACCGAATGAACTACGTAATCATGACCAGGAATTAAATTCAATTGAGTCGATAGTTGCTTACTAAGATTCCCAGTACCTATACCTAGCAATACTCTATTTTCTTTGCGTAATTTCCAAAGTTCTTTCAATTTCATCAGGAGTGTACCATGTCTTATGGGCATTATTTCAGGAATCCAACCTGTTAACATAAATGTATCGATAGCCATATTAGAACCACTGAATTTATATCCATCTCCCATTATTTTTAAATATGCTTTTTCTATTAATGCTGGCCAATAAAGATTAGGATTGTTTGATGATGTGACGGTTAAATTTCGACCCATATATGCTTTAGGTAAAGTATTATCAACTGTGACTATTCTAGCAGCACCATTGAAGTTCAATCTGATTCTATATTTCTCACTTCTTATTCGTGGAGTTATAATCTTTGTTACTTTATCTAATGCTGATGGGATATTTACTATGGATAATAAAGATGATACAAAGGAACAATTATCTAATAAATCTTGATATAAAGTAGTTAAATCATTCAAATCGGTTGACCAATCATCAAGTTGAAACCTATCAAACTCAGTATTCAATGGTAATTCTTGAATGGTATGATTAGGATCTGTGAAATTATTATTAGGGATGAATATGGAATTGACTGATGTTAAACTTTCATCGAAATGAATGACGGGATAACTGAATAAATCATTACCAATCTTTGAACTTATCCATTCTAATTTATTTGAATAACTGAAACTAGCTGATATACTGTTTAACTTCTCATAGAAATCTAATGAAAACTTTGATAATTGAGTTATATACTTCAATATCTCTGGATCAGTTTCTGATTTAGATACTTCATTCAAAAGTTTAATTGCTTCTAGACATCGTTTTTTGGCTCTTGTAACGTTATTTATACATGCATCCAAATGACTTGATTCTATGGTTTGAAGGTAACTTTCTAGTTTTGTTCGTATTATATCATTGGACATAATTATGGTCTTGGTCAGGATTAAGTACTATAATATGGGGTAGCTGTCTCTATTTTTTTCTGAATGTTTTTTTTTTTTTTCACACGTAGATACTTTAAATTAGATGGTATTAAAACATCAATGCAAAGTATAAGAAACCGATCAAGGATAAAAGTGGAAGATGATGTCGAAGCAGCGGATCAAAAAGAAGTAGATGTTCAACTTCAAGGCACCAAGTCATTATCAACTGCTAAGTTGTTTTTCATTATATTTATGATTCGACTATTCAACGCGTTAACCATGAAGACCTTCTTTCAAGCTGATGAATATTATCAAGCCTTAGAACCAGCTCATGCTTATGTATTTGGGTATGGGTATGTTACATGGGAATGGAAAGAACGTCTAAGATCATCAATTCATCCATGGATTTATATTATGGGTTATAAGCTCGTGTCACTTTTCAGTGACGATGTGGAAATGATCATTTTGGTACCAAAGGTTATTGGTGCTATTTTAGCAACAATTGGAGAAGTGGGATTATATAAATTGAGTCAAGTCTATACTAAGGATGAATACATTTCCAGAGTTACGTTGTTATTATCACTTTTCAATCCATTCAATTGGTATATTATTACCAGATCATTTTCAAATAGTTTCGAAACCATTTTAACTATCTTAGGGTTGTTATTTTGGCCATGGGATTATAAGATTAACTATCTGAGATTCATCATATCATTCATATTTTCCATTACAAGCATTTTAACCAGACCAACCAATGGATTGATCTGGGGTTATTTGGGACTAAATTATTTAATCAATGTTAAAGCTAATATATTTCAAATTATTAAATTAGGAATGGTGTTTTTAATTACATCAATTATAATAATTTCGATTAGTTTGGGCTTAGATTATCAATTTTATGGAGAATTAACCTTCCCAGTTTATAATTTTATTGAATTTAATGTGATTAAAAATTTATCAATATTTTATGGGGTTGCACCATGGCATTTTTATTTATTTCAAACTATCCCAATATTATTAATGACATATTTACCATTTTTAATCCATTCGGAGTTATGGCTTAAACATTATAAAGATATCTTAAGTCAAGTTAGCATATTTGTTACGATTGGATTTTCATTAATAGAGCATAAGGAGTTTAGATTCATTTATCCTTTGCAGCCAATGTTTTTAATATTATGTTCATATTCGGTTAAGCAATTTATGCAAATTAAAACAATAGCAACAACTATAAGAAAAGGAATAATTTATTTAATTATAATTATTAATATTTTAATTACCATATTTTTCAGTCAAATTCATGAAAGAGGGGCAATTGATGTGATTGATTATTTAAAAAATGATTCAAATAATGTTAAATCAATGGGTTTTTTAACTCCATGTCATTCAACCCCCTGGCAAAGTCATATTCATAATACTTTATTAAGTAATAATTCCTGGTTTTTAACTTGTGAGCCTCCATTACATTTAACCGATGTTTCGGCAACTGTTGAAAATATACATGCATATAGAGATGAATCCGATCAGTTTTACGATAACCGATTACAGTTCTTAACGGATAATTTCCCACCGTTTAATAAAATTGATTATAATAAACGATATCATGAATGGCCAAGTCATCTAATTATCTTTGAACCAGAGGAACAATTTATGAACCAATTCCTTGAGCTGTCATCTTATTATCAATGTCGACGGTTTTTTAATAGTTATTTCCACTGGGATTCGAGGAGAAATGGTGATTTCATAGTATATTGCAAAACGTGAATCAATAATATTATAAATAATAAAATCTGATGATTTTCATATATTTAGCCACCCACTATTGTAATATTGTAAGATGTTTTTTAAGCTTTATAGTTGGAGACTGTACATAAATGGGTGACAGAATGATGCGCTTAGATGACCTGATGGAACGTAAATGGACTTTAGCGCATGACCGACAAAAAAAATGAATGCTCTTAAAAGGCTCATCTGATTGGAATTCTGCCTAAGTGCATAATTCCTTAACTATGAGTAAACCTTTACATGGATATCATCTGATTCCACTTTTTGTCTGGTTCAACTTTCTATGATGTTCATTTTTTAAGCCAGGGAGTGATCTACCCTCGACCACCCAAAGTCGAATGACCGGATCAGTTTAATTCTTATTTTCCAGTTCAGTTATTTTATTTTTCCCTAAAGGACAGTGGACCAAAACTGGGTAGTATTTATTATTGAAAATGACAATAGGGGGAAGCTCCCCCCCCTCTTCATTAATTGCCATATGAGACACACACATGTACCATGTCATCAATTCAATTTAGTTTCTTTCAATTGGATCAATTGATGGCTTATATGAGGGTGGAAATGTGTATATTGTGTTTAAATATCCAGCCCAGTCCAATTGCTTTTTATTCTTTATAAACCAGGCTAAAGGCTAATTACGCAAGTCTACAGATGAGATGGATTTGAGGAGTAAATGGAGGGGCGATAAAAATCACTTAGAGTGAGAAAACAACAAATTTCACTAATTGAAATAGAGCTAGTGAGGGTTATTTTCCGGGGAGATCTCTCAGTAAAACAAAGGGGAGTGGTCTTTGATTTCCGAGGGTCATCAGCACAAAGTTTAGTTCACGCATTAATAAATTAACTAAATAGATTAGTGAGGGAATTGTGGGAGGAAGTAAAGAAGGAAATGGACATATCCGGATTAGCTCGAAACTGAAATTAAAAATGCAAAACATATGATTATAGCCAGTTTCGTGTTGTTTCCTTACATACACATCACACACTCACGAGGTGCAACAAGACCATTTTTTAGAGGAGGAGAGTTGGAAAAGGAGGGGCAATTATTATTATTATTAATATTATTATTATGATGATGATGATTAAGATCATGTACATAGGTAAGTATGTACGTATGTTACCAAAGATTTTTTTTTTATTTTGCCATAATGAGATGATGGGGATTCTATTTTAAATTTATCAAATTAAGAATTTTAAAAGGGTGAACAATTATATTTCAGATTTGAAATATTTAAGGACTCCCAATTCACTTCAATTTTGAAATTTATTTTTAATTTTATATTTTTATTTATAATTCTTTTTATTTTATTCTTCTTTTCCCTTCATTATTCAATATCAATATCAATTGATACAAACTGAAGTTTAAAAAACAAAAAATTATGGTTACTATTCCAAAAACTCAAAAGGCTGTTGTCTTTGAAACCAATGGTGGTCCATTAATCTATAAGGATATCGCTGTCCCTGAACCAAAACCAAATGAAATTTTAATTAACGTTAAATATTCCGGTGTTTGTCACACTGATTTACATGCCTGGAAAGGTGATTGGCCATTAGCCACTAAATTACCATTAGTTGGTGGTCATGAAGGTGCCGGTGTTGTTGTCAAGGTTGGTTCTAATGTCACTGGTTGGGAATTAGGTGATTATGCTGGTATTAAATGGTTAAATGGTTCATGTTTAAGTTGTGAATTCTGTCAAACCACCAATGAACCAAACTGTGCTCAAGCTGATTTATCAGGTTATACTCATGATGGTTCTTTCCAACAATATGCTACTGCTGATGCCGTTCAAGCTGCTAGAATTCCAAAAGGTACTGATTTAGCTCAAATTGCTCCAATCTTATGTGCTGGTGTTACTGTCTACAAAGCTTTAAAGACCGCCAATGCTAAACCAGGTCAATGGGTTGCTGTTTCTGGTGCTGGTGGTGGTTTAGGTTCTTTAGCCATCCAATATGCCAAAGCTATGGGTTTAAGAGTTGTTGCTATTGATGGTGGTGATGAAAAGGGTGAATTTGTTAAATCATTAGGTGCTGAAGCTTATGTTGATTTCACCAAATCAAAAGATATCGTTGCTGATGTTGTTGCTGCCACTAATGGTGGTGCTCATGCTGCTATCAATGTTTCTGTTTCAGAAAAAGCCATCGCTCAATCCGTTGACTACGTTAGAGCTGTTGGTACCGTTGTCTTAGTTGGTTTACCAGCTGGTGCTAAAGTTGTTGCCCCAGTCTTTGATGCTGTTGTTAAATCCATCTCCATTAAAGGTTCTTATGTTGGTAACAGAGCTGATACTGCTGAAGCCATTGATTTCTTCACCAGAGGTTTAATCAAATGTCCAATCAAGATTGTCACTTTATCCGAATTACCAGAAGTATATGAATTAATGGAACAAGGTAAGATTGTTGGTAGATACGTTCTTGACAACTCTAAATAATTGAGTTAAAAAGATGCGGCTTATAGAATTTAGTTTTGCAGCAAACAGGAACTAAAAACAATACACATTTCTTTTGCTGTTTTTAAAAACTATTTCTACCTTTAATACTTTCAAAACTCATATCTTTTTTACGATGATTATGTTCTAGTTCTTATTTTCTATATATATTTACATTAATCAAATATATCACTTATTATTAAAAGAAAAAAATAAAATTGTATTGATCCGCATAGTCAAGAAAATTTTTGCATCACGGACTTCGCTTGGCGGCTCAGTTTAATGGTTTTGAGCTTTTTTTAAGAAAATCTGGGGTACAAAATTTATCATGAAGTACTTTCTTTGTTCTCTGCATATTAGGCTTAGATTGAACTTTTATATTCGTCTATTTAGTGAATGGCAATAAGAATTGGCCAAATATGATAGTTGATGTCAATCCATGGATAAAAGGAAGAAGTTTGCAAAAGCAGGAACGTCGCAAATATTTTTATCTCACGCTACCAGGCACCAAAGAATTTAAAAAGAACATACAGTATGTATATTTATTATAATAAGTTAGTAGAGAATCAGTAATTCTAATCAATGATTAGTTAGTATTGGTAACTTTCAAATAGCTATGCATAATTTCCAATCATGGTAAGTAAGGAATAACAGCAATATTAGCATCATCACTGCGAGGATAGAATAAGGATGAATATAACTCAGAATTGAACCATTGAACGACTTTGAAGAAAAGGATAAAGAACTAGTTTTATGTCTAATTGAATCTAAATTAGTTTTGATTTGTTCGAGATGTTCGTTGAGTTGAGATAAGTTGATAGAGTTGGTACATTCTTCATCTTCTAATTTTGTATTGACGTTATGGTTGGAACATTTCGTTGAAGAAGTATAGCCTTGATCCAGCATATTCAAAGGTATATATTTAGACAATATCGATGCAATTATAAAAAAGAGGTTACAAATTTAAAATCTTATCAAATAAATTTGCATTATTTTAGGAAACTATAAAATCAAACATTATTTAATTTGGTATGATAGCTGCAATTCTTTCATCACGCATATTTTTGAAAATAAATAAAAAGAATAAATTGGCCAATATCAGAAGAACCATCATCAGAGCCCAGAAGCCAGTTTCTCCTTCTGAATGATAGCAGTTGTTGCAACGAGTTGAAATATATATCTCTTGTTTTCCTTCAATATTTCGTTGAATGATTGAAATATTGCTAGTAATCTCTCTGATCCTTCTTTTAATTCCTGATATTATAGCGAAAGAATCTAACCGATTATCTATAGTATTTAACAGATTATAAGCAGCCATATTCTGTAATTTGGGAGTTACAGCTTCAGGATCTTTTGAAACCAATGGATGGTTTCCCTTCGAAGGAGTATTAGAGCGCATATCGATATAATCTTTACACAATTGTTATAAATACTGTTAAACTTATGAAATTCTGTTAAATATATAAAAATTATTTATTAATGGCGACGAAATTTCCGAAGAGAAACGGGAAGTTATAATTTTTAAATAACATAATATACAAAATTAACCATCAATCAAATCATTTATGCTGAGTAAGTTAAAGGACAGAAAAAATCATAACTCTTGGAAAGTTATGTAGTTACAGACACCTACTATGAAACATATTGTAATACACCTTCATGAATCAAAAAACCATAAAAAATTACAGATGAAAAGAACAGAATAGCAGAAATGACCATGCAAATGTTGGTACCATGCATGAGCCTGATACAGTGGGAACAATAAGGACCTTGTTTGGAATATGATCTATTGCTCATTTGTTATGGTTTATCGATGTATTCTATCGTGGAATAATTGTCAAACCTTTGAATAATAGTGACGAATTGAAGTCATTAACTCAAGCGGTTTAAGAACTGAAATTCAATTTAATCCAATGAGTATAATTGCCCAATTCGCAAATTTACCCCCTTGACTATACAGTCGAGTGCAGTTCAAATTTAATTCAATCCAACATATTAATGGGAACTAACTTGTGATAATCTTTCATTAACTAACTTAAGATTCTTCTCCAAATAATCATTATTAGTTTCTAAATTCTTGATTTTTGCTTTCAATTTCAAAATCTCTTGTTCTGCATCATATTTATCATTTTTCGATACAGCAAGTTGAACATTCCTGGCTAATATCTCATCATTAGCAACATTAACCAATTTATCTTTCTCTCTTACTTCAGTTTGTAAGTTCTTTATCGACTCATTTAATTTCCTTATCGTTTTGTCTTGCTTTCTGATATCACTTTGTTTTTCCTTCAACATGCTTTCCAACTTTTCTGATTTAAACGTAGCTCCATTCAACTTATCAATCAATTCTTGATTCTCTTGCTTCAATCGCATGTCTTCCTTCAATATATTCTGAGACATTATACTCAGCATCATTGCTTGTGAATCATCAATTACGTTACTATTACCCGATGTCTGCAAAACACCAAACGATTGATGTAGTTGTAATTGATCATTCAATCCCATGAATGCTTGATGATAGGCTGAATCATCTTTCTCAAACTTATCTCTAACCTCCAATGAATTTTTAATCTCAGCAACCCAGTTTGTCATGTTATTGTAGTCCAATTATATAATTACAGATTTAACATACCGTGTACTATCTGTATCACCACTCACAAATTATAGTCATTAAAATGTTTTGATTTTATATACAGGCACACACAAACAAATAACTGATTGCTGTAAATGATGATGATATTTATTTACAACTCTACAAGCATACTAAAAAGACGTATAGTCATAGTATTATAAACATCACTTTAACGATATATCACATAGATTGCATCTAAGACGCGTTATATCATCATTCTTTCTATCAGGTCACGTTTTGTTTTGGTTTAAAATCAAGTGGCGTATCCTATACCCAACAAAAACAATCCACATTAGTGTGATAGCTAACAGGTTGAGTCTAATCTGAAGTATACTGACACTTCAATCCATCTTTATACAAGAAATGTCAAGTCTACGAAAGCAAACTGTACCGATAACAAATGATAAAGATAAGACATCATCAACATTGAATAATTCTCATGATGGCAATCATCAATCTATACCGCAAACACATGCCGATCCTGGATTAGATACAATTACAGAGAGATCAAAGGAAAGTTCACAGGTTAGTCTATCAGTTTCAAATATAAATGTCACCGACCCATCTCAGCCACCAACAGATGATTCAAATAGGCCAATTGCTCCAGAAGTATCTAGCTGGGCTAATTCATTATCATTCTCTTCATTTTCAGCTCCACGTCCCAATTGGTTAACTTGGAATACTACCCCTAATGGAACTGTTGCTTCAGATCGTAGAAGTACAAATAGTCAGACTGATGAACATAATAATTCTGCTATACTAGATTCCCCAGAAATACCACCACAGAAAGATGCTCTTCCCATCCCTGAGACTGAAAACACAGTTAGAGCAGATTCTGTAACTGAAACCGAAACTAATATTGAACCATGGGTAGATTGGTCATTACAGTATAGAAGAGTTAGTTCGGTAGTTTCATATGTATATAGTAGGAGTACACTCAATGAAGAAGAAGCTATACCAGTATCAACAGGAGCAGTTGCTGGTGCACGGGGACCATCCGTAGTAGAGAGTTCAACAAGTCAGATAATATCAGAATTTAATAGAAAGAGCTCGTTGTCATCACCGGTTCGATCATCAATATCATTACCGAAACCTCCCACTATAAAATCTAAAACCATGTCAATATCCCCAGCTGGTTCACTTGTACTGAATCAAAAGAAAAAGACTCCATCCATATCCCCTCCTCCTTCTCAATCAATAGATCATCAAAATATCATACCTTCCAATGGCACAACATCACAACCAAGTCAAGTTTTATCACAACCGAATGAAGTAACTCCATTATTACTGAATGTGAATGAAAACAATACGGTTGACAATAGTTGGTTTAGTTGGTTTACATTACCAACATTTTGGAGTAGTGCTGCTGCAGATGATTCAGATGACGAAGAAGTACATAATTCTGAATTATATAAATCTGCCAAAAGTGCGATTGAAAATTCGAAGGAATCATCTCATTATGCTATAAAATGTACCAATATAGATATTAATTCACAAGAAGGTGGTATCAGAGAACTTGAATTGGCAGTCAGTGACACTATGACTGAACGTGAGCCAGTTAAGTATAGATCAAGAAAAAGACCATTATTACCTAATGAGGTGCAAGAGAGGACTTTAATTAATCGTACACCTACCCCACCACAACCCTCACAATCGCAATCACTGACACAAGCAGTTAATCAAACCCCAGTTGTAAATACTACGATTCAAAATGGTACCACATCATCTTCGGTTTCCATTCAAGGTGCCAAATCAAATGGTAGTGAAATGATTACTAAGGATCAACAACAAGCTATAGCTAAAGTTATATCACGTAAAAGTCAAGTATTACCTTCTATTGATAAGAATTTACGAACAATTACTTTAAGTACCAAAGTTCGATTATTTCTACAAGATTTAATGTGGAAATCGAGTGAAAAACATATTTACAGGAAGAAACCTCGAGATATTATTAAAAAACGATCCCAAATTAAAAGAGTGGTTGTGATTGGGATTCATGGATTTTTACCTATAAAATTAGTTCGTACCTTAATTGGACAATCAACTGGTAATTCAATTAAGTATGTGAGTGAAGCTTCCAAGTGTATCCGACAATGGTTAGAAGATAAAGAATCTTGTCAAGTTGAGATTAATACAATTGCATTAGAGGGTGAAGGTAAGATTGAAGACCGAGTTCAAAAATTAATGATATTAATTGAGAATTGGATATCATTATTAGAAACGAGTGACTTTGTATTTTTTGTCAGTCATGGTCAAGGAACACCAGTAGCGATTAATTTATTAAGTCGATTACTTGAAGCCCATCCTCATATATCACCTAGTTCATTAAAGAAAATTGGATTATTGAGTATGAGTGGGATTATCAATGGACCTTATAAAGGGCTTGATTCAAAATTAGTGATTCGAGCATATACACCATTTGAGAATGAAATAATTCGAGAATTATTTGAATTTCAAAATCCAATAAGTCAAGTATCTCAAAATTTAATTAATTCGTTACGAAATTTAGTAAGACGCAATGTTAAAATCACCTTAAGTGGATCAATTAATGATCAATTTATCCCATTATATTCTTCATTAGGGATAAATTTCAATCATCCTAATATTTTCCGAGATTTATTTGTGATTGAAAATAATAATGATATACCCACATTTATGATAAAGTTTATAAAAGTATTGATTATTATGAAAAACATGGGAATTAATCAAGATTATAAATTAATTCATCATTTGAGTGAAAAATGTATGGGAACAATCAACAATGGAGGTCATTGTAAAATCTATGGTAATGATGAGATATATACTATGGCGATTAAACATAGTTTAGAAACCACCAGTTTAATTATGAATCAAGATTTATATGTTGAGAATGAAAATATGGAAAATTTATCATTAGCATCAGTTGGAATGACTCCAACCAATTCCGACTTAAAGCGAACTTTAGGATCATCTACTTCAATTTCATCCACCACAGTTGCAACAGCAGCAGCTGTTAATACCATTACAACTGTCACTCAACCAGCATTAAATCTTTATGAATTATCGTGGAATTTACGGAATTTATTACAAGATTTACTTTCAATAAATAATATTGGAAATGTGGCATTAATTCGAGAGTTAAATGATGAAATTAAGTCTTGGGATTTGTATAATCCTCAATATAAAATATGGAAAGATTTACGACCTGTATTTGATATTTTTGGAGATATTGATATTGAAGAATTAAGATTATAGAAAATAGAATAGTAATTCAATAAAAGTTATAAATAATATAATATGATATAGATTAATAAAATATTATTAAGATGGTTTAAGAAAGGAAGGAAGGAAGGAAGGAATGGAAAAACCATACTTTCAAAAGTAGGCTTTGCAATTACAAAATAAAAAAAATTATTTTTAAAGCGAATAGCTGTAATTACTGAAAATACAATTACCATTCCTTCCCCTTTGATTCCGTATCAAAGAATCCATTGAACCTTGTAGTGTAGTGTGACGAGACACAATTGATACGTATCTACCAACTTAACAGACAATCATGTAATCAAAATTACCACATTTGAAAAATAAGAGAAATGTGGAACCATTGAAAGAATGCAAAATAAAATGGCAATGTAAATGGAAATGAAAAATTTTTCACATTGTTATAGATTTGCTTTTTAATCTTTCCTTCGTTATCGGTAGGTGGGTGGTTTCTAGAAAATCGTCATTGTTCAAAAGAAAATTTTTCTGGGGAGGAGACATACGATCTCCTGTCCGCACTCCGTTTGCGGAACTTTAAAATAAAATAAAAAAAGTTTTTATTTTTTACGAAAAAACTAAAAACGCAAAAAAAAAAAAATATTGAAAAATTTTTCAATCTCCACAAAAGGTAAATAATTTCATAAGTCTAACCCTGTGACAATCCCAAATCACGTAATTCATTCAGATTGTGATTGGGTATAGTTGTACCTACAGACAATGCATGGTATCCCCCATATCCTTATGACTTAATTCTGACTCATAAAAGTCCAAAAAACAAATGTCATAATGCTTCCATATGCACGTTAAAACCATGCAGCTTAGGCTCTAATTACTCTACTTTCTTTATGTTTATGATTATTATTACAAATTATAGTTATATAATTTTGTTCTTTATCAATAATAATCAATTAGAAAATAATCAATTTTGATTGATTAGAAGTATTCTAGAATGATTGAATGAATGAAAGGAAAATAAATTAAGCCTAATCTTACGTTTGACTTATTTTTATCTAATTTTGATAAGGTTCAATTTATTCTATGCATTAAAACACAAATTTATTTTTGTAAATATGATTAAAATAGAAATTTAGTTCAGTTTAGATTAGAATTTTGTAAATCGTTTAATTGGAAACTATAAGCTTAACTTTAATCCTATCAATTGACCTCCATTCATACCAAAAAAAGTGGGAGTAAACATAAAACTAGATTTGTATAGTGAAAAATGCTAAGAAAAGTCAAGACAATGTAATGTAAAAGTCTAAGGGTCACGGTAACATATGACTGACATCATTATTGATTATCGAAATGAATAATAATGATAATACACACACAAATGAAATTTAACTTCGTCTCTAACACAAAGAAGAAGATACGGGAGATATGGTTAATGAGTAGATAATAAGGGATACGACTCATCTATTGATTAATCAGGAAGGAGGGAAGAATGGATGTAAGGGAGGGAGGGGAGAGATAGGATTAAACAATTTTTGGTATGGATGTACCTTGATACACCTGATAATAGATGTAAAATTAATCTTTTAGGTATACATTGAATCATCTCCTGTATATAACTCTGGCTACCAAAAAAAAAATACACATAATTCTAAAACAGGAAACTAAACAATGAAAAGGATAAACAGGTGCTAACCAAAGCATATGATAGGATAAAGGGCAAGTGTAAACCGGTGTGGGTAGTTCCTGTTCAAGGAGGAGAGTCATGCATTTCAAGTATCCGTTAGGTAGAACAGAGAACGAACCCACATTGTATCTAACTAACTAAATCATTTTTAACTATGAAGTGAAAATTTTTCACTTGATGCGAAAAAACTAAAAAAAAAATAAAACCCTTTAGCGGAGGGAGGGAGAGTGTACCAAAAAAAAATATTTTTTAAGGTTTTTTTTTTTCTCCCCATGACTTTCCTAAAGGAGATCAAAAGTGAAATTTTTTTTTTTTTTGCAATGGAAACATTTCTGCAATTGAATTAAAGTTTTTAATTTAATGCAATCAAAGAAGTATTATCAAGTATATTTGATATTAACCACGGATTATAGATAAGGGAAAGAGAATATGATAAGGAGAATGAGGATGAGAATGAGGATAATCAATTGGAAGGGGGTTGACACAAGAACGGAAATCGAGGCGATGGAAGTATTTCCGTTTTGTTTAAGGAGGAGGTGGTATTACATTAAGTTGACTCAGTGTCAAATTCTTTTTTAAGGGCAAAAAAATAATTAGTTAGATTTAATAGGTTAAAAAATCATGGGGGATCTATGTTATCCTTCGATTTGACTATGACTCGTTTCCAACTTTTAAAATAGGTACGAAAAAAAAAAAAAAAATAAAAATAAAAAAGACACACACACAAAATGATAATGAATTTGCAGTATTAAAATTTATTTCATATCTATCTTATCAGTAAGAGTTGTATGGTATGATATGATATTGATATTGATATCATTATGACCATAACCAATTGCACAGTTGTAAACAAAACAACAATTGAATGATTACGAATAACCATGGATTATCCAAATCTAAAAAGAATACGGTGTTTAGATCTACATGGAATGAAGGGGAAACCAGTATTTAGGAATGAGAAAATTTTTTTCATCTTCTCCCTGTTTATGTGTGGATTTGGTCTTCCACGCTAAAGGGAAAAGCATCGGTACGTGAATGCGAAAAAAAATACTTACTGACTACGCACTAAAGCATTCTCACTATGCTCCACAACCATCAGAAGCACCACCACCATCACCCCCCATTCACCGCTTGTACCGTGCGTGCGCATTACGTTTTTTCGTTTTCAGCGACAAACAATTTTCCTAACAAACTATCACTCCCCTCCGCCTGTCTCGCTCAAAATCTTTTTTTCTTTTTTCGCTCTCTCGCTTTCTTATCACAACCAAAAAAAAAAAAAATAACAAAAAAAATTGTCATTTTATTTTTTATTTTCGGCTTTGTAAAATTTCTTTTTATTTTTTTTTTTTGTCCTTCGTTGTACTATGACACAAAACATAACGCAAAAAAAAAAATAATCAGTCTCTTTCTGTGTATAAGAACTAAATTTTTTTTTATATATAAAACTCTCCATATTTCCATAATCCTTTTAATCATCATAATTTATGTTTTAATTTCCAATAATCATTCCTTATCATTGCTTACTTATAACTCATCCATAAGGCTCCTGCTTCTTTTGTGTCTACTATCTCCCCCACCTGCTCCAAAAGGCTTATCATTTCAGTGATCATTTGATACAAAAAGATCATCTGTCAATCATTCAATCAAACAAATATAAAGAAAGAATCATCATCATCATTTTTTTTTCTTTTTTTTTATTTATTTTTTTTCACAATCACAATCACAATCATAATCATCATCATCATCACACTTATTTTTTTACCTTTATCACCCCAGCTTAAAAGCAATCAATTATCAAGATAACTACTCAAGGTAATACTTCTGCTACTGCTACTGCTACTGCTGCTACTACTACTACTACTACTACTGCGGCTGAAGATTGATCATCAACTTGTGATAATCCAAACTACAATTAAAAAAAACATTCAAATCCTTTCCCCATAAAGTTTTTCACATTGAGTTTTATTCAATTTTCATTGTGTGAGTGTGTTAGCATCAAACTTTAACCGAAAGTGAATAATAAAAAAAGGAAGAAGGAAATTTAACCTTTTTACTATTACTTACTTACTTAACCTAAGTTACCTTAAGTTACATATAGTTAACAGACTGTGTGGCTAAAACATTCACTAATCATAAACTGTTTTTTTCCGTTTTGTGTGTGTTTTAAAGTGTGTGTTTAGTTACTTTTTTTTTATAGTGACTGTCCAGCTCAAAAGTTTTTTTTTATTTATTTTTTTTGTCCAGATCTCCAGAGACACTGTGAGTGACTGAGAAAGTTTTGAAGCTGTCATAATTCCATCATTGAAACATATATCTCCATTTTCAAATTAACTCAGGAGACAGTTTTCATTTTATCATATCATATCATAGTTAGACATTTGAAGAACTTATAGTATCAAATCATATTACCCTCGGCCTAACCCTAGATTAAAGTTATTATTCATCTATCCTTCATTCATTCATTTTCAAAACGTTCATCATATCTTTCATAAGAACTTTTAACGAAGATTTATCACTAGTTTATCGATAACAAACACCTTTTAAAAAAACTAGTATAAAAGTTATATTTCTTCATATTTCATCATGTCATCGGATGAAAATAGTACTTCTTCCAAAAGAACCAGAGCTTCTGGTGAAGCCTTGGATTTCCTTTTACAAGAATTTGAACGTAATCAAAACCCATCAAATGAACAAAGAAGAGATATAAGTGATAAAACAGGTATGACGGAAAAAGCTATTCGAATTTGGTTTCAAAATAGACGAGCTAAATTAAGAAAATTCGAAAGATTAAGTAAAATTAATACCAATACAACTAATACCACTAATTCTTCTATTCATTCTTCAAGATCTAATAGTTTTTCAAATTTAATAAGTCCAACTTATCATAATAATGGAAATCATAATAATAATAATACCAATGCTACTTTATCACAATCATTTATCCCTATTGAAATTAATGAAAAATATTGTTTTATAAATTGTTCATCCCTTTCAGTTGGTTCATGGCAAAGAATTAAATCAGGTTATCATCAAGAAAATTTATTAAGAAATAATCTTATTAATTTATCTCCATTCACTTTAAATCAAGTTATGGCAAATGTTGATTTATTAGTTATTTTATCAAAAAAGAATTTTGAAATAAATTATTTCTTCCTGGCTATTTCAAATAATTCAAAAATCTTATTTAGAATCTTTTATCCAATAGATTCTATCTTAACTTGTTCTTTATTAGATAATAATATCAATAAAGAAAATAATGAATTAAGAGTCAGTTTAAGTCATCAACCTAAATTCTCAGTTTATTTCTTTAATGGCGTTAATTCAAATGCAAATCAATGGTCCATTTGTGATGATTTTAGTGAAGGTCAACAAGTAAGTCATGCTTATATGAATGAGGGTGGTACCGCTATTCCTCATGTGTTAGTTGGTGTCAAGAGTTCATTACAATATTTGAATGCTTTTATATTGGAAAATAATCAAATTATGCATCAAGCTCAACAAGCCCAACAAGCTCAACAAGTTCAACAACAAGTTCAACAACAATTTGATAATCCATTAATTTGGGATGAAAATAATCAAGATTTCCAAAATCAACCTCAATCTCAACAAATACTTTCCCTTCAACATTCTCAACCTCCACAACAGAATTTCTCTCCATTAGGTAATTATGATGCTAATCAATCACCAAATTCAGTTACAAGTCATACAAATATGCATATTAATTCAAATCCAAATAATAACTCCAATAATAATATCATTCATCTGTCTGTTACCACTCCTCATTCTGCATCTTCTAATCGTGTTTATCCAACGTCAAATCCACTTTCAAACAATAGTCAAACTTTCCATAATCATCATCCATCAAATAATACTAATATTCATGATACCACAAATCCAAATACTAATGGTGTTTCAAATCATGATAATTTTGATATTTTCCATTCAGCAAATACTCCAGATTTCTTCATAAATACTCAAAATGAAATGGTAAATACTCCAGGTTCAAATATGGGTGGTATAAATGGTCCAAATGGTACTGGTCCTTTGAATCCAGTAATGTATTCAAATAACAATAGTCCATCATTAAACAATTTACCAACGGCTACCTCAAATTCTTCCAATATTCATGCTTATACCCATCATCAATATCCTAATAATGACCCATTACTTGAAACTTTATCAAATGGTTCAAATCATACGAATAATAACTTGAATGGTCCGAATCATACCAGTCATCATCTTCATCAACCTTCAAATCATGAATTTGATTTCATTGGATTACATAATGATTTTAACACTCCTTCAAGTTCAAATAATAATACTCCAGGTTTAGGTTTTGAAACTACTATCACCACTGGTCCAATCGGCGGTGGTAATACAAATAATGATACCAATAACTCAAACACTGGAACTGGTAGTAATGGTAATACAGGTAATAATGGTGCTAGTAACATTGATCATTTCATTGATTATGGAAGTCAATTCTCATAAGGAGTCACTTAATGAATCATAATACTCACAATCATCTTCATCAATAACAATTTAATGGATCATCATTTTCTTTCAGGTTTGTTTTTATCACACATTTTTTTATCATTAACTTTTACTTTTAATTTTACTTTTATACCTTTGTTTTAGTATTATCTCCCCAATCCTTCATGTCTTCTATTCTCCAAACTCTAATTCTTAATTCTAATCTCATATGTATAAACTCCAAACCAATTTTGTCTTTTATATATTTTTTAATTTTACTTCCTCTTCATTCTTCATGACTTTCCCCTTGATTCCTTTTCTTCACTTCCCTCCACCAATTTTCTCCTTCCTTATCGTATGTATATAGTTGTACCTAGCTCAGATATACAATAGTCACACTCTGTATTAATATAAAGTATTCTTAATTAGATTGATTGATTGATGTTTGTAATGATTGAAAGTATAAAAATGGCAGCCAAAACCATTTCAGAATCAAATCGTAAAAAAAGGCAGCCAAAAAAATGGCAACACAAAAAAAAAATCCAGAAGAAAGTAACGTATAACACCATACTAAAGCTCTATTCAATGTCTATGATAATATAATGTACTATACAGTTAAATCAGCTATACGATGGTATAAGCCATTAATAATAACAGCCAGACTCAATTCAACTTCAACAATTTCAAAACCAGCTCTAATATCCATCCTTCCCTCCAAGAAAATCATAAATCGATTGTTGTTTGATAATAATTCACGGTTATCATATTCGAAAACTATACCGATTCTAGAAGTTGTATATAAGAATTTAGAAGCTCCTGAAGAAATAATATACCCATCCAAAGTAAATGGCCAAGATCTAATGGTTTTAAAACTGGTATTGGCCAATATTAGAGGAGCTACTAATAGTATTAATAAAAATCTTGTCAATTTGGAAAATGAATTAGTCGAACAAGCAGCCGAAATGGGAGATAATGATGCTATTGCATTATTGATGGCTGAAGTGGTTAAAAAGAAGATTGTTGATAAAAAATCAGTGACTGATGAAGATGTCAAATATGCTCAAACTATTTTACAAGAATTATGTGATCAGAATCATTTATTAGCTCTTAAGTTAAGAGCTGACATTTACTTCAAAGCAGGATTTGCTGAGAAGGCAGAAAAAGGGTGGTTACGTTATTTAGAACACGATCAAACTAGTATCCAAGCAGCTCAAGTTTGGGCTGATCTTGGATTATATTATTTTACGTATCAATCTCCCACTACAAATTTAACATCAGCAAAATATTGTTTTGAGAATGCGATTCAATATGGCGTTTTGGATGATTATATTATAAAAGCTCATTATTATCTTGGTCAATTATACAGTACGATTGATCCTGAAGTGGCTAGATATCATTGGGAAATTAGTGCAACTAGATCTTTATCCGATAGTTTTTCATCATTGGGATACCTTGAACTAAATACTTTTGAGGATTATAATAAAGCTATTGAATGGTTTACGTTAGGAGTAGAGGCGAATAATCAAGTGGTTTGTATGATTGGTTTATTTGATGCCTATTATAAATCAAATGATAGAGTATTGGCTTTTAAATGGTATCAAAATTTGAAGTCTATCAAAAGAAAAGTTCAAACTTACAAAAAGAGTAAAGCATATAAAACATCTAATGAATTCAAAAATAATATTGACGTTAGCGAAAGCTTAGTTTTTCAATTTCTTGAAACTAGAAAAAATGAAATTTTGGATATATCAAATGTTATGGTGTGAATTTACGTCTAGCATGTTTATATTTTAATTATCTTGTATATAATATTTCTATAATCTATATAACAGAAGACCTGTCTTCTTCTATATTGGAATAAAATCTATCACGTAAAGTCAATGGTTGGGTATTCGATCTTGATACAAATGACATCAAACTTTCATTTCTCGACACAGCTCTTGACACCATTATCTCATTAAAGTCATTTTCATTTTCTTGAAATACTTGGGATTCCATATTTTGTTCAGATTCCGATGATTCTTCATTGGAAATCACATTTGAAGTTTGAAACCATTCATGTTCCAACATTTGATGTACATCATATCTTTCATGAGAATCGGTTACCAATAAATTTGTGATCAAATCAAGAGCATCATCAACAATATCATCCCAATAAGGAGAGTAAAAGGCAAATTTCCCTTGCAAGATTTGTTCTCTCATACTAGGAGGTCCTAGTTCATCACTAAATGGAGGGAATCCACAAAGACACACATAAAGTAAAACACCCGTTGACCAAATATCAACCTTAGTGGAATAATTACGATCGTTCCTCAATACCTCTGGTGCAACATATGCTGGGGTTCCACATAATGTATTGGTGAACTTTAATTCTCCAATAAATTTAGCTAATCCAAAATCAGCTATCTTAACTTTAATGTCTAATTCGTTCTCATCCCAGGGACCAGTTTGTTCTTGGTCTATACTTTTTCTAGGTGTAATATCCAACAAGATATTCTCCGGCTTTATGTCTCTATGGATAATGTTATTGTCATGTAAATATTTCAAACCTGAAAGTAATTGTTTGAAGAAAGCTTTGGTCTCATCTTGTCTTAATTTCAGCTTATTAACTATTCTTTGAAATAATTCTCCACTATTCATTTTTTCTAATACTAAATAAGTCGTCACCGCATACTCATTTAAAGGTTCAATGTAATGTGAAATGAATTTTACAATGTTTGGATGATCGATAGATAATAATAAATTCATTTCTTGCTGTAATTTTGCTTCTTCGTTAGCATTACTTCTACCTCCTGTCTTATTAGGATGGAAAATCTTGACTGCTACCACTTTACCAGTTTGTTTATTTTTGGCTTCTTTCACAACGGCATAATGTCCTGATCCAAGTTGGACTCCTAGTATGTAATCATCGAAAAATGTCCGCTTGTGTGTCCTTACCTTCTTGGACACTTTTGATTCTTCTTCATCATTTAGTATATCTATAACATAACGGAATATATAACATCCTCCCATCTTAGCGAATTTAATCTTGTCACCACTTCGAAGAATCATCTTATCACCTTTACTTAACTTCTCATCATTGATATATACTCCATTACTACTCAAGTCTTCCATGTTTAAATATTCTCGACCATTGGAAGCATTTCCAGGTATTATGGTTAGTTGGCAGTGTTTCGATGACACATCTCCACCTGAAATTCTTATATCACAACTCGAGCTTCTTCCTATTAGTATCAATTGTTTCCTCGGAATATTTAAGCTTTGACCACCTGGTATAGTGTTGTATAATTTGGCAATAAAATCTTGTTTTGATAAGGGTCTCTTTGCATCTTCATTCGAAGTATCTTCATAAAGCTATATTGAATTCTGTTAGTATATTTCTAAGACTTCAAAACAAAAATTAATTAGTTTGACTTACTCTTTTCCGTATTAGTGACATTATCTTCCTTTACTGAATGTAAACAGAGCTGGTGTTTAAAAGAGTTGATTCATATAATTATTGTTATTGTTTTTAGTTTTGATTTTGTACGCGCAACCAAATTGATGTTTTTTATTTTGCACTGAAATATTTTGTACTAATATATAAACTATATTAATCTATGAAATACGTAACAATAAATCATTAATGTCGTAATTGGTCAAAGACAGAAGATTGTGATCAAACTGTTGACGTAACTCATGAACATTTGATTTGTATTCTTTAACTGATCCAGAATCTACCTTTTCCAAAACTTGGAGAGATTGCTGTACCTTTTGATAGCTTGAATTAGTCAAGTTTGTAAAGGCTTCATCATGTAATAAATTCAAAGGAACTCGTAAGTCTTCAAATATAAAGTTGACATCTACTTTTAACTGATCCACACCTGCTTTACTGAAGGTATTTGTACCTATGATATATTCTAGTAAAGTACGTGATATTATGGATATGACACGGTCTGTGACTAAAACATAATCTAACTGAGATATTCCTCTCTTCAACTGATCTAAGTAAGTGTTGAGAGACCTGACTAACTTGTTGAGATCTGATGTTGGTTCAACTTCACTCGAGTTGCTTTCATAATTCCATTGACTTGTGTTAGCATATTCTTTTATTGCTGATCTGATTTCCTTTTTAAAATAGTCTTCATATTTACTAATGATTTTCTCTAAGAAATCATCATATTGCTTTAAGGAGCCTCCAAAGATACTAATATCATTCTGAGCTTCACTTGAAATGGATTTGTAGGCTTCCCATAATTGGATATATATTAATTGATCGCCCCAATAATCTAAAGCATTGGAGATGAATTTGGCCAGACAATAAATCTCAGTAAGCATTTCTAATCCTTTTAAGCCATTTGCAATTGTATCAGCGTCTGACGTTTTAGCTTGAGTCTCGTTTAATCCACCTGGAATGAAATTCAATACAGATTTTTGATTGAAGGTAGTTGAGAAGTCCTTGAATAATCTATTTAAATTATCAAAATAAATTTGAATAAGATTAAGTTGAATAGAAGAAACGTACTTCAATTGATATTTGACAATACTTAATGTTTGGAAATGACTACTGAGGTTATCAAATAACTTGACTAAACCATATGCCGAATAAGTTGGTTTCAATAACTTTTTAGATTTGCTAAGATCTTCTTTATCACCATCATAAGAAGAGCCTTGGTAATCATAATCAATTTTAAATGCATCTGCTGGTTGAAGAATTTCACTATTGAATCTTTTGTTGGCCAATTCTTGTTCAAAATTCAACCAATTTGATACAGCCAAACTTTCATCATTTCCTCTTAATAAAACATCTCCAGTTAAACCAGTCCACTTCTTGGTTGGCGCATGATCAAAATCATCAATATGAGGATTGTATTTGTACGAATTACGAAGACGTTGATCGAAAGAAGACAATTCAAAGATCAAATGACTTAATAATCTACCTGTTTTCTCTCTATTAACTGCATCTTCTTTATGTACCTCAATACTTTTGTTCAAAGACGATAAAGTGTTTAGTATTTTTCCTCTTAATGGCTTGAGTAATGAAGTAATAATTTCATACGTTGCTATTCTCTTCTTCAGTTTGAATATATCTTCAACAATTAAATTTATACGAACCAAATCTTCGGAAAGGAATGTTTCGATAAAGTTCAATGCCCATTCTGGTTTGGTGATTTTGTTGGTCTCTTTATCGGTATTGAAATGATATTCAAATCTAATGATGAATTTGTATAATAAGATATCCAAAGCCCACCAAGTTTCAGGGTATATTGGAATATTTTGAATGCATTGTAAATCTACCAAATTCTTTACATCAGACGTAATCTCTGTGATTGGAATTGATACGTCAGTCTTTTGTTTCACTGCTAGCCATTTGCTTTCATTTAATAGATTAGATAACTTAGTTTCATATTGATCTCTCTTTGCATTTATAATACTTTGAACTTTGCTTTCTAATAGCGTAACAACTTTAAAAGTTAAACTAGTATCAATGATCTTTAAATCTTTGATTCTAGACGCCACATTTGCTAAAGCAGCAACATCCAAATCATGAGATAACTCTGATTCTAGATGTTTTGCAGAAGACAATAATTCTATCCTTCTAATTGCTGCAAGTTTTGCCAGTAATTTCACTTTCAATTCTTCAAATGCTTTAATTGGACCAAATTCTAGTATCAAAGCATCAATATTCTCAATAGCATCATTCAAATCGTCTGCTTCAACAGCATAACTAACTACAGATAATATCTTCTCTATAGATGTGTTTACCTTTTCTTCATCAAGATTGATTTTTGGCTGTTCTGATAATGATGATGTCTCGGTGCCATTTATTCTAGAGTTAACTTCATTAGCTGTCAAATCCTTTGATCTCTCAAGTTCAGATACCTTTTCTGCTATAAGACTCAAATCCTCTAAGGTATTGAAGTTGGAATTTACGAATTCAACTCCCATTATATGCCTTTTTGATCAATTGGAGTATCTAAATCAATAAGTTGGAACAAGCAGTATATAAGTTAGTTTTGCATATTAGGTGTTCAATAAAAAGCTTTTTGCAGGTTCTTCCAACGCGACCAAAAAAATCAAAAAAAAAAATTTCATGAGAAATCAAAAAATGGCGACTCTTGATTTAAATAGACTACTACACTGGATAAGATATTATAGAAAGCAAAGTACAGTATTAAACAATGCAAGCTCCAGTCGTCTATCTCAATACCTCAACTCAAAGGCAAACAGGTCGTCAGGCCCAAATTGCAAATATTACTGCCGCCAAGGCTGTTGCCGATATAATAAGAACCTGTTTAGGACCTAAAGCTATGTTGAAAATGTTATTAGATCCAATGGGTGGTATTGTATTGACCAATGATGGTCATGCCATCTTAAGAGAAATTGATGTTTCTCATCCAGCTGCTAAATCTATGATTGAGTTAAGTAGAACTCAAGATGAAGAAGTTGGAGATGGTACCACCACTGTCATCATTCTTGCCGGTGAAATCTTAGCTCAAACCTTTCCCTATATTGAAAAAAATATTCATCCTGTTATTATTATTCAAGCTTTAAAGAAAGCATTAACTGATGCTTTAGAAATCATACATGAAGTATCTGTTCCTGTTGATATTGAAAATGATAAAGCCATGCTTAAATTAATCAAAGCTTCAATCGGTACTAAATATGTTCATCAATGGTCAGAAAAGATGTGTGAATTATCCTTAAAAGCAGTTAGAACTGTTATGACTAAACAAGGTGAATATAAAGAAATTGATGTTAAAAGATATGTTAGAATTGAAAAGATTCCAGGTGGTGAAGTTACTGATAGTGAAGTTTTAGATGGTATATTATTAAATAAAGATGTTACTCATCCAAAAATGAAAAGACATATTGAAAATCCAAGAGTTATATTATTAGATTGTCCATTAGAATATAAAAAAGGGGAATCACAAACCAATATAGAAATCACCAAAGAAGAAGATTGGAATAGAATATTACAAATTGAAGAAGAACAAGTTAAATTAATTTGTGAACAAATCTTAGAATTTAAACCAGATTTAGTTATCACAGAAAAGGGTGTTAGTGATTTAGCTCAACATTATTTATTAAAGGGTGGTGTGTCAGCATTAAGAAGAGTCAAGAAATCAGATAATAATAGAATTGCTCGTGCTACCGGTGCAACCATTGTTAATAGAGTTGAAGATTTAAAAGAATCTGATATTGGTACTAAATGTGGACTTTTCAAAGTTGAATTAATTGGAGATGAATATTTCTCCTATTTAGTTGAATGTAAAGAACCTCAAGCTTGTTCTATCTTATTAAGAGGTCCATCTAAAGATATTCTTAATGAAATAGAAAGAAATTTACATGATGCTATGGCAGTTACAAGAAATGTTATGTTTGAACCTTCTTTATCCCCAGGTGGTGGTGCTACTGAAATGGCTGTAAGTGTCAAATTATCCGAAAAGGCCAAGACTATCGAAGGTGTTGCTCAATGGCCATATCAAGCTGTTGCAGATGCTTTTGAAGTTATTCCAAGAACTTTAATTCAAAATTGTGGTGGTAATCCAATTCGTATTTTGTCTCAATTAAGAGCTAAACATGCCCAAGGTGAACATACATTTGGTATTGATGGTGATTTAGGTAAGGTTGTTGATATGAATGAATATGGGATCTGGGAACCAGAAGTTATCAAACAACAATCTATCAAGACTGCTATTGAAAGTGCTTGTTTATTATTAAGAGTAGATGATATAGTCAGTGGTGTGCGTCAACAACAACAATAGTTGAATTAATTTAATTTAATTAAAAACATTATTACCCCTTCCATACCTGTATATTTATTTACTTAACCTCAATAAAGACGTAATCCCCCATTTGTTGTTCCAGAAACAATGCATATGTAAATAATAGAACAAAACATATATAATATATCCCATACAAATTCATTCACAGCGTAGAAATCTATCATCGCACACAAAAAAAAATTACTGGTTTGTTTACATTTTTTCCAAATCAAGCCATGATCATTTTTCAATATGAGAGTTGATGAAATTGGTTATTGATTTGACATGAAATGAAATGAAGTTAAGCTACAAAGGTGTTGGTTGTTGTTTGATTGAATTCTAAACATTCTTTCAAGCCGCATTAGTCTTCTTGATTTCATAGACTCCTTAAATTTTTCTTAACTCATTTGAAGTTTATTGCTTTACCAAGTATCAGATTACATTTTCTTTCATTTCAATTGCATTCCATCTTACTTTGATCACTATTAGATTCAATTTAACACTTCAATCATAAAAATCATAAGAAGTGTTTGATTGAACAAGTGTTAGCATTATATAAAATTGCATAAGTTATATTATTTCTTCGCTAGAAAGAAAATATAACTCGACATAAACTTGCATTCTACATATTTATAAAACTATAATTTATGTCAACTCCTCATCCACCTTTCAAGGTTAAGACAATTGTTTCTTGGGCTGGTGAAGAAGATGGTGATCTTGGGTTTATAGAAAATGAAGTCATTGAAGTATTTTCCATTGTTGATGAAAGTTGGTGGAGTGGGAAATTAAGGAGAAATAATGCTGAAGGTATCTTCCCAAGAGATTATGTGGAAATCCTTGAAGAGAAACTTTCCCATTCTTCATCAAACATATCGTTAACTACTCCAAAGCAAACCACTCCTCAAAAAGATCAAGATAACTATAGAAATAGTAAAGGTTACTATCTGGCATCAAAGAATTCTCCCACTAGAGTCGAGAATTTGAATGATCCAGACTCTTCGTTTGATTATGATTCTGGTAACTACACCATTGATGCTATTGAAACCAATCCAAGACTTTCTAGTTCAGCTAACTATCAAGCTAAGAAATTGAGATCATCTAATAATCTAATGTCATCTATGAATCATCCGAAATTTAGACAATCTAATCATCATCAACAAGAAGATTCAGATAGACAAAAAGAAATAGCTCATTTCAAGCAATTACAACAACAGCAAAACTATCAAATCCGTAAGGCTCTGCAAAATCATCAAGAAATTCAACAAAAGAGAATGCTGCTTCAATATCCAGATAATAGCAATAATAATAGCTTTCTGAAATCAAAGCGTAGTTCGCAAATTTATTCCTCCCAGGATCCTCAACTGCCATCATCGAGAGGATTGAAAACATCTTCATATATTGATTTATCTCATCAAAGTAGTAACAATAAGTTACAGCCGCTATTTAACAACTATACTGTTGAATCATTTTCTCCAGAGGCAACTTCACCAAGACAATCAAATAGAAGGAAACCAGATAATGCCCATTTCGAAAGTTATCAAGAAATTGCTGAAAGAAGAGCTCAACTTGAAATGGAATTACAAAGATTGAAAGAGATTGAAAGATCAACTCAGAAACAAAAAAGTAATAGATCTCCAGTTGGTGCTAGAAAAAATATCAGCAGTGATCTCACATATGATGCTTCCATTGAAAGTTATGTAAGTGAAGATTTACATTCTTCCAAACGTTATGCCTCAAAGGATGATCTTGGTAAGAAACTTTCAAGACGAGTTTCTGACGAAGAGGAAGATCTTGAAGATGACGAGGATACGGAGCCTTCACCACCTCCACCTCCACCAAAGCATGCTACACCAATAAGTTCAAGAGATGTAATCCGTGAACAATATGTTGGTAATAGCCAATTTAAACAATCCACTAGAAATAAAGTTCCTTTTGATGCTGATGATTTTGGAGTTTCTGGTAACAGTATTAGACAACCAATGAGTGATGAAGAGTTATACAGATTATCTCAAATGCAACAGGAAGATCTTAAAAATTCTTTGAAATCTATGCAAAGTGATGTGTTAAACTTATCTGAATTAAGTGCTACTAGTGCAGGTTCATTTTACAGACATAAATATGAAAGAGAAATCACTCAACAACAACAAGCACTTAAGGGCCTTTCCATTGAAAGTGAACCAGTAGAAGAAAGGTCTGCTAGTGCAGTTATGGAGTCTATGTTTGATAAAAAAGCAAAGCAATCTAACATATTTAAGAAATTGTTGCAAAAGAAAGCTCCAGAAGAGAACTTAATCGAACAAAAACTTCAAAAGGAGCTGGAAATCGATTGGACTACCCATAAGATTGATTTGAATAGAATGAATTCGTTAACTTCACAAGATAAACAATTGAGAACTAAACGAGTTCTTAGAGAAGATCCATCATTGGTTGTCAAGCCATTGGACTTTATTTCAGATATTAATATGAATGAAGTCACTGATTCATACGACACTGATTATGTTTTAAAACCATCCATTGATAAAGTCGATGCATTCATGGAACTTTATAATACTGAATATGATTTGAATGAATTAATTTCAGATATTAGTGTGAAATTCAATTCATCCAAATTAAATCAAGTTAGATGTGTATTAATTCATTTGTGTAAATTTGAAATAATAGAAGAATCAGGAAAAATTCTGCAAGTTAAACCTAAATTAGCTGAAGTTCAAGCAAATGGTGAAGCTACTATTTATCAACTCAACTATTTGTTTAAGAAGATATTAGATGCCTTGAGAATTCCATCTGAAATAATATTAGGATTCTGGAAGAAACCTAATGAATTTTATCACAATGAACAATTTGTGAACAATCATTCATGGTTATCCATTTTAGTTGATGAACAATTCTTACTCCTTGATCTTTACAATTTCAAGAATGGATCAGTTTGTAATATTCGTAATAATCCTCAAGGTTATAATGAATTTTACTTCTTGGCCAAACCATTAACCTTGGTGTCTACTCATATTCCATCAGTCATAGATTTACAACATGTGATCCCACCTATTGATCCAAATATTGCATTTTATTTACCAAGATCATATTCGGGATTTTATGAATATAATTTGAAATTCAGAAACTTCAATAATAGTTTAACTCGTTTAAATGATTTAGAATTTTTTGAATTAGAGTTAGATATCCCTCAAGATGTGGAATTATTCACCTTAGTTAAAACTTCCAAGATCACTACTAATGATTTAAGTTTATCACAAGTTATTTGGCATAATAATAAACGTATAGCTAAGATCAAAGCTATACTTCCACCTAATGAAAGTATAGGTGTTTTACAGATATTTGCTGGTCCAAAGGGATTACAGAAGCATTTTGATAATATCCATCAATTAGCCGCCGTGATTCCTATTTATCATACAGGTAATTTTAAAGATTGTAAATTTGTGCCTCGTTTCCCAACCGTTCAAAGTCAAAACAATGATTTATATATCAAACAACCTCAAGTTAGTAAGATCATTGTTAAGAATTCATATAACTTTGAAATCGATCAATATCCATCCATGGGATTGAATAATGGTAGTGGGTTAATGAATCAAGATTTCAAATTGGTCATTGAATCACCATCAGGTAAATATTTCAAATTGAATAAATCAGATCCAATCAAGCCATATGGAACTTATCATACCAATATTAAATGTCAAGAAGTCGGTCTTTACAGAGGATTGGTCATTGGTGATAGTGGTAATAGCTGGTATGTCTTTGCCCAATGGGAATGTGTTCAAGGCACTGTAACTAATTAAAAGTAACTCTTTCCAAACTTAATTTATTGTATTTTAGACTTTCAAGTTTGTTCATAAACTTCGATATAAACAAAACATTCAAAACATATATATAAAAAAAAAACTCATCATCATTTACACTACAAACAAAAAAACCTTTTTAATTGCATTTTCTTATTTATCTCATCGCTTAATCTTATTCTAATAACTAATATAGAGATTAATTTCTTCAATATACAATTCTGGCATATTTATAATAGTTAAAAATATTAATTTGTAAATCTTCGAATGTGGTAGCGGCACATTATTTCACTACGCACAAAATAAATTTTTGAAATATTTATGAAAAGCTCAAATTAATGTTTTTAATATATTCTGATATACACAATTACGACTAAATAAGCATGGCCACAGAAGTTGCAAATGCAGTGTCGAATGGGATTTCTTCCGAAGTCAAATCACCAGTTCAACTGAAATACTCTAAGGATAAAAAAGTGGGGGAAGGTACTTATGCCGTCGTTTACCTTGGGAATCAAATATCAACCAAACGGAAAATAGCCATTAAAGAGATCAAAACTGGATTATTCAAAGATGGATTGGATATGTCTGCCATCCGAGAAGTCAAATACTTACAAGAATTAAAACATCCCAATGTCATTGAATTGATTGATGTGTTTTCCACCAGTAATAATTTAAACTTAGTATTGGAATTCTTGCCGTGTGATTTAGAAGTCCTTATTAAAGATACATCTATTGTGTTCAAATCATCTGATATTAAATCATGGTTACTTATGACATTAAGAGGAGTTCATCATTGTCACCGAAATTTCATCTTACATCGAGATTTAAAACCTAATAATCTATTATTAGCTCCTGATGGACAATTAAAAATTGCTGATTTTGGGTTAGCTAGATCATTAGGAAATCCAAATGAAGAATTATCATCAAATGTGGTTACAAGATGGTATAGAGCTCCTGAATTATTATTCGGAGCTAAGCATTATACAGTTGCAGTTGATATATGGTCAGTAGGGATTATATTTGCTGAATTAATGTTACGAACTCCATATTTACCAGGTAAAGATGATATTGATCAATTAGACGTTACATTCCGAGCCTTAGGTACTCCAACTGATCAAATATGGCCAAATGTAAGTAATTTACCTCAATATAATGCCTTGAAAATATATCCACCACCTTCAAGACAAGAATTAAGAAATCGATTTAGTGCTGCTACTGATAATGCCTTAGATTTATTAATTTTAATGACTCAAATGGATCCAAGTCGAAGATGTGATCTGACTCAAGCTTTATTACATGAATTTTTCACAGAAGCTCCAAGAGCTACTGATCCTAAAGATTTACCAAAGAAGAAAGAAAAGAAACCAGTTAATGAAGGTAATGATAATTCTAATGCAAAGAGAAGAAAGGTATAATATAGATAGAATATAATAGTTTTAATGCATGATGATTATTGATTAATATTTATGTAATTCTATAATATGACTCTATTTATGATATATATCTCTAACAAATTCACCTATAGCCCAAGAAGCCGTCAAACCTGGACTTTCAATACCCAATAAATTAACAAAACCTGGGAAATACTCTTCTTCTCTAATAATGAAATCAGCAAATGTTTTCTTATTATCTGACAGAGATACTATTTTAGGTCTTACCCCTGAATAAGTAGGATGTAAAGCATCAATAGTAATGGATGGGAAATAAGTCTTAATAGCTTCAAATGCAGCTGGAAGATTTTTTGCATCAGGAGTATAATCGATTTGATCAGCTGAATCTATCTCTAACCATTCTAAATCAGGACCAAATCGTAATTGACCTCCTAAATCAAAGGTTAAATGAGTACCTAATGAAGAAGCATTCGGATTAGGACATGGATAAATGAGAACATTAGTGATTTTTGATGAATTTATAGGTACAGTCGGTTCAAAACTGAAATAATTCCCCTTAGCGAAATAAGATTTTAATTGTCTTGATGAAGGTAATAATAAATTTGAAATTTGAGGGGCATAAAGTCCCGCTGCATTTATGACATTATCAGATTGAATTTCAAATTCTCCATTTTCATTATCGAATAGATTTAAAGTGTAATTAGGTATAGCTTGATTGAATTGAATGTCTTTTAAAGTGGTGTTTAATGATAAGGTACCTTCATTTATTTCAAAGTTATTTTGAAAATAAGTAGTTAAATCATGAGCTGATATGATACCTGTAGTTGGACTTTCTAAAGCCCCTGCTTTAGCTTGAATTAATGGAAATTTATTAGCTGCAGTTGAAGCTGATACCATTGATACAGGGATATCTAACTCATATTTACAAGTTTGATATAATTTTTCAAGATATTCTAATTCTGAATCATTTTGAGCTACAACCCATTTCCCACAATTTTTATATGGGACAGGGAAATCACCTTTATTACCAGCTTGATAGATTTTTTGTTTACCAGCGATACATAATTTTGATTTAAGGGAATCCTTAGGATAATATAATCCAGCATGAATAACTTCTGAGTTTCGTGAAGTAGTTTCGAATCCTAAAGCATGATTCTTTTCAACTAATAGAACATTATTCCCAGGTACTTGTTGTAATTCCGATGCAATAGCGGTTCCTACTACCCCACCACCGATTATGACATGACTGAAATCGGAATAGTGTCTTATACTATTTGTGAGAAATGATCTGGTACGATGATGATTGACATATTTAGTAAACATTTTTTAAACTGGGGTAGAGTAGATATTGCAAAAACGTGAATGAAGGAATGAAATATGAATTAAAAAGTTATATGTACATGGACAGTAATGGAATGTATATTTATATATAGTAGGACCAATTAACACTAATGAGTCAGGAAACCAACAATTGGTATATATCAAAATAATAAATAAAGTTTAATTATTGCAAATATTAATATATGATTGGTACAGTTGATATTTTTGATTTTTGAAAAATCGCCTTAAATATCATGTGATTAGGTGCACCTGACTCGTCACCTGACTTGATTGGTGCGGCGCGGCTTAAAAGGTGTCAGTGGAGGAATGTAACTTTATGCAGACAGTTTAGAGGTACCAACCAGATTTTAGTTAAATAAAGAAAGAGGTGGCATAATGCTTTTTGATATCAATTAATTATATTATTTAGATATGGATAATAAGCTTGGAGAGTCTAATACCTAGCCAATTATAAACAAACATGTATCATAAACCTAAAAGCAAAGAACAAGTGTTAAGAATAATTGCTGGAAATGGCTGGATTTGATTGACTAAAAATATATTTAGCAAAAGGGTTTTTATGAGGTTACTGATTGCATAACTTACTACTACCAATTATGAAACTAAAGTCAAACCAAAAATGATTTCCTATTTTAACCTACTACTAACTGGATTAGTCTGCTGCATGACATGATATGAAAGGAATATTCAACTCCTACTCCAATTCCCTATCCCTAAACCATATCGTACTCTGTTAGAATTTCCCATTTAATTTCATATTCGTTTAATGATATGAAACGGTAATTAAAAAAAAAGCACACTATTTTTTTTTTTTCTGATGTTTATTTTCTTTTTTTTTGTTAGACGCTTTTAGGGACGAACCAGATTTTTTTTTTTTTTTTTTTTTTTCAAAGTGAGCCCTTTCCATTTGAGGATTTTTAATTATCTTTAAAACACCTATTTACAACAACTTCAAAGTTACACTATTTCTATAGATTGTTATCTCTTTATCTTGTTATCATCATCCTAATATCGATTAAGATATCACTCCCTCCTCCCTCAGATCATCGTCTATACAACTCCATCCATCTCCATCTGATTGTGTTTTATACGTCGTTCCTTTAATATATTCGTCATTTCCTGTTTCTTTTTTTGGTTTGTTCTAGATAACACTATTGATCTAATAGAGTAAAAGATAATCAACCCATTCCTTGTATTAACCCAGTCACTCAATCAATCAATTCATCATAATCATCAATGCGTCTGAAGAAAGCTATTACTTTGGGTGATGGTTTTGTTGGTAAAACCTCCCTTTTAATCAGTTATACTACCAATACTTTCCCAAATGATTATATTCCAACTGTATTTGATAATTATACAGCTACAGTAATGATCGATGGTGAACCTATCAAATTAGGTTTATGGGATACTGCCGGTCAAGCTGAATATGATAGATTAAGACCTTTATCTTATCCTCAAACTGATATATTTTTAGTATGTTTTTCAGTGGTAAGTCCTGATTCTTTTCATAATATAAAAGCAAAATGGATACCTGAAATCTTACATCATTGTCCAAAAGATATTTTAATCATTCTTGTTGGTACTAAAATCGATTTAAGAGATGAACCTTATGTTTTAGATGAATTAGCTCAAAAAAATTTAAAACCAATCACTTATGATCAAGGTATAAAATTAGCTAAAGAAGTTGGAGCAGTAACTTATTTAGAATGTTCTGCTGCAACTCAAATTGGTGTTAAAGAATTATTTGATTTTGCTATTAGAACCGCATTAGATCCTCCTGTGGTAAATAAGCAAGAATCTCAATCAAAACATCGATCTGTAATACCAAAATCAAATAATCAATCAAATAATCAATCATCATCTAATAAATCAAATCCAAAAAGAAAAGTCAAAAAGGCTAAAAAGTGTACTATTTTATAATCTCCCCCTTCTCCTTTATTATTATTACTACTATCATCATTATTATTTCATTCCGAAAACTATCCTAATAGCATATAATGCTCAATAATTACAACTTACATTTGTATAGAAATATTTAGACGATTTTATTCAATCTCATTTCCTTTTTCTTTATTTGTTCCTGTTTCATATTCTCTAATTTTAATCTAATCTGTCTTAGTTTAATGTATCAATTTAATTATAATATGTTTCTCTTTTATTTTCAATTCTAAATTTTATATTTGAATTAATTAATGCATGTTTTTGTTTATAAATATTTAATCGTACATATCTAGTATACAAACGGTAGGGTGATCTATCTAATTGATTAATGCAGCTCTTGAAGGATGAATATTAGAAGCAGGACGTGATTCATTGGCTGTTGTTGATTCGGTATTATCGGTAGTTTTAACCTTCTTAGCTTCATTCTTTCTAGCTTCTATAACTCTTTGCTTTCTTTCCTCTAATAATTTATCATTCTTATCCTTTAACTTAGATAATCTATTAGCTGAATTACCACCACCACCAACAGTTAATTCCACATTTATTTTACGATTTCTAAGTATAGTATGATGCATTTTTAAACTTAATTCCATTTTACTTTGAATTTCTTGAGAATCATTATCAAATTCTAAAAATGCTATCCCCTTATCTTGTCTGATTCTAACTCTATCAGGATTACTATTCTTAAAATGACTTAATAATTCAGTTTGTTCAATATCAAATGGTAAATTACCCACAAATAATATGAATCTTGGTCCTTTACCTTCATTCACACCTTTACCTTTCTTACCTCTTCTAGTCTTTCTTTTCTTTTTAGGCTCACCTTCGGCTGCTTTGGCTGCAGCTTCAGCAGCTTCAGTTTCTTCTAGTTTTCTTTTCTTCTCTTGTTCTTTCTTCTCTTCCTTTTGTTTACTTAATTCAATCTTCTTTTCTTCATTAATCTTCTTCTTCTCTTCTTTAGCTTCTACTCTTTCCTCTTTGGTCTTCTTCTCACGGAACTCAAGAGCTTTTCTTTGTTTCTTAGTAAGTTTACTCTGGTCTATACTCTCTGACATCTTGATATATATGAATTTATGGTATTATAATGTTTTATTGTAACTTAACTAAACCCTTCCTTTCGTCTATGATCTAATATTGAAAAAAATTATTAGCCATACTACTACTATTTAAAAAAAATTATTTTTGGAGAGAGATGGTGCACGTGATCTCATCTATGACACAAAAATTTATTTGTTAAGAGAAAAAAAAGAGAGTTATCAAAATAAATTTTGAATCATATCAATAAACAGTTAATCATTTTATCAATAACGGTTTTAACTTATTTCATATTCAGATTCATTACAATGGAGAAGGGGAAGATACGGATTAGCCTCAAGAATCATGATCTGAATTCAAATGGGAGGGACTCATCAGAATCAGAATCGACATTAACGTTTCCTCTGAAAGCCAATTCGGAATCAAGATCTCGATCAAGGCTGCCTAATGCCGCTAATCCCCTCAATCGATTAGGAGGGTCCAATGGTAATAGCAATGGAAGTAATGGATCTTTATCGGTTCCTTATAGAGATAGGTCTAGTGATCGGTCCATTGATAAACTTCAAAAAGCTCAAGTTTTTAGAAATGATGTAACGTCTATTAATGATATACCCTTGATGAATACCTCATTTAATAATACCATTAATAATCCTGAACATCAAGAAGAACAGAATTCAAGAGGACGAAGGGTATCTCGAGAAGATCCCAAAATAGATGATTCAATTGTCTCCAATATGGGTGACGGAGATCATGATGATGATCAACCGGATGATAATATGATAAGTTTGATGGGGTTTAGTGGGTTTGGAACTACAAAGGGTAAACATGTTAAAGGAAGTAAAGGTGGTGCATCGGTCAAACAAGAGAAAAAGACGGAATATAGACAATACATGAATCGAAGCAAAGGGTTTAATCGACCATTATCTCCCGGTAGATGATTTTCGATTATTATTTATACACATATATTATATATATATACTTGTAATCTTATAAATTATTTAATACTTTTGAATGCTCCTTTATCAAGTCTTCGTGTTTTTTTCTTAACTCGTTATAAGCATTGGAAACTTTTGATAATTTATCTTGTAATTCTTCATTAGCAGAAGCATGAACATTAGTATTAGTGTTCTTTGAAGCAATGGTTTTAACTGTACTATTTATAGTGGAAAGGTTTCTGAATTCAAGTTCTTGGGATACTTTGGTAGATAACCATTGTTCAAAATCTTCATCATCATCTTCGTCATCATCATCCACTTCAGCTGGGATTTCCATTAATAATTGATGATCAACTTGCTCATTACTAGCCAAGATTCTCTTTAATTGAGGTAATAATCTATGTCTCTTATCGACTAATTTATTCGAATCACTCACTAATCCTAATGGTGATGAATTGACATGTATATAAGATATAGGTGAATTACAAGGAGTGAAACTTTTTATAACTTGTTTAGTAACGATATCTGATGCAAACACTCTTCCTAATGAATCACCTGAAATTATATTGGTACCATCTAAGGAAATAGATAATTTTGTAATGTATATAGGTTTATTAGCATCATCTTCATGATTTGATTTATGTAAGATTGATTTATTTTGATTCAATGATGATGTTCTTTGTTGATGATGAATGAAACTAGTTTTGAAATTTGGATCATTATCGACAGTTATGATTTTTGAATTACCTCCCACACTTTCTAAGATTGATGTCTTTGGATTAAGATTATATAATGGAACTGATCTGATTAATCCATTAGATAATCCTACATAGACAGCTCTATTGGCAGGATCAAGCACTAAAGTTTCAATCAGATATGGTAAAATAAAAGTAGTTAATAATTGTTTGGAAGTAATATCATAAATTCTTAATGTAGTATCCTTTGATACGGTATATAATTTTAAATCATTTGATAAGCCATTGGAAGTTATTTCAATATCATTGATAGCTAAAGTATTATCAGAAATAGCATAATAAGGTTTAATGCTTCTCATATGATCAACATCATTATAATAAATCGAAATCAAATCAAGAGTTCTCCAAATCATACATCTTGAATCTTCACTGGCAGTGATTAAATAAGTACCACATTTTGAAAATTTTATGGAAGTGATGGTTTGATAATGGGCATCTTTCACACATAATAAATTCCCGGATGATAATTCCCAGATATATAATTTCCCAGACTTAGAACCACCCGCTAATAACCATGGAATTTTGAAACTTGGTAATTTAGAATTTGATTGTTGATGTTGATGATATTGTTGAAATTGTTGATGGAATTGAAAGGTAGTTGGTTGATTTATGATAGTTAAACAAGTTAAAGCTTCAGGAATAGGGATTCTTTGATCAACCCCATCTTTCCCCCATGAATACACATTAATAATAGCTTTACTTATAGACGATACAAATAATCTTTCACCTTGACCAAATCCAGTTAACACTGCTCCATTCTTAGGACAATCAGCTTGTCTGAATGATGCATGTTGTTGAGAAGTATGGATTGAAGTAGATGAGGCAAACGATTCTTGAGAATTCTTATCGGTAGGATCACCTTCCGCTATGTAGAATACTGATTCGTCCATCTTATGTATGATATTCTTGGTATAAATTGGGTTAATAGAAACGTGATGGCTCTACTATGATGATTGTGAAAAATTATACTTTAAAAAAAAAATACCCCGATGAGTGTTGCTGCTTGTTAATGCTGCGAACAAGAAAAGTTCAAATTCGAAAGAATCGAACAAAAAAAAATAATTCACGTCTTTAAAGCTGAAACACGTCTAGGTCTTCCAGATCAAATATTCAACCACCACTAACGAGAATAACGAGATGCCGGTGGATATATTGACGAAGGCCTTATTTGATGGACCTGAAACAATTCCCGGTTGGGAATATATAAAGACATATGGTCCAGTATTGGCTACATTAGGTGCGATCAAATATTACTTCAGAGGTGCCACCAATACTTGGGAAAGAGATCTTCATGGGAAAGTCTTTTTAGTGACGGGTGGTACATCTGGTGTTGGAGCACAAGTGGCTTATGAATTGGCCGCTAATGGTGCTGAAGTGATTCTTCTTGTGAGATCTACTGAAGATATTTGGATTGTTGATTTTGTTAATGATATGAGAGAAAGTACTAATAATATTTTGATTTATGCTGAAGAATGTAATTTAAATTCATTATATTCAATTAGAAAATTCGCTACCAAATGGTTGGATAATCAACCTCCTAGAAGATTAGATGGTGTGATATGTTGTGCAGCAGATGTTATACCAACTGGTGTTGCTAGACAAGTTACTCTTGATGGTATTGAAAAGCAATTGGGAATTAATTATTTTGCTCATTATCATTTATTAACATTGTTAAAACCATCTTTAACAGTTCAACCTCCTGATAGAGATGTAAGGGTATTGGTTACTACATGTTCATCTCAAGTGGCAGGAACTGTTGATCTTGAAGATTTATTATGGGAAACAAAACCATATCCAAAGAGATCACCTACTAAGGTTTATGGTACTTCTAAATTATTATTAGGATTATTTGCTAGAGAATTTCAAAAGAGAATAATGGAATATGAAAGAAAAGATGGTATGAAATGTAATGTTCGTATAAATATTGTTAATCCTGGACTTATGAGAACTCCATCTACTAGAAGATTAATTGGAATGGGATCACTTTGGGGATTATTACTTTATTTAATTTTATATCCTATTTGGTTTTTATTTTTAAAGAGTGCAAGACAAGGAGCTCAATCATATCATTTTGCCATTAATGCTCCTATATTTCCCAAGATTGAAGGAGGTAATCTTATTCAAGAATGTAAGATTAATACTAAAGTTAGATCAGAATTTAATGATTTAGAATTACAAGAAGAATTATTTAATAAAACGGAATCAATCATTAATGATTTAGAAAAGAAATCAGCTATCATTAGAAATAGTCAAAAATCAAAACTGGAAAAAGCCAAAGAAAAGAAAGAAGAAGATCAAAAGAAATCTGATCTTGCTAAACAACCAAAATCAACTGAAGAACTTGATTTTAAATTGAATCAATTAAGAAATGATATAGGTCTTGGAGTAGGACAAGTTAAAAATCCTGATGATTTACCATTATTCCCCACTGAAGATGAAAGGAAAGTCATAAGTGATAATAAAGGTAAGGCAAAGAGTAATCAAAAAGGTAAATCTAAATCTAAATCGAAGAAAACGTAGAGTTGATATATATATATTTAGGTAAAATAAAAATATGTCAAAAGTTTATACATAATGGTTAGATCGTAGGCTTATTGTGCTCGCTCTCTCGCTGTTAGTTACCACTCGGACCCCGCGGAATATCTTTCTTTCCCCTAATTTTTATTTTTCGATATGCCTAAATTGCTTAGGAAAACTTCTCGGTAATTATCTGTCACGAGATAGAGAATTGCTCAGAATTTTAAAGGGTTGCCCCTATTTTAATAATAGCAACGAACTAACTAAATTAATGCATTGACAAGTAGTATATAGAAGTAATCACCTGGTTGTATAGTGAGTTTACTTTTTATAAAAATAACTCGTATCAAATCAATCACATCGAATCAATCTCATCGAGTTTATTGATAATAAAATATAGTACCTGGTGATTTTATCCTACTTCTATCCGCTATAAAATAAATTGAAATAATCTAAAAATTAAAATTATTTAAGCTTTCCTTCTCCACTCTATATTTACTATTATGGGTTTTTAATATGTTATGATCTGAGCAAGAAAGCCCTTAACTGATTTTAGTGGTAAACTAATTTTTGCCTCATTAGCAAGCGGAAGCAAAGAAAAAAAAATGGTTCCTTCTGCTTATTCTTATTCTTATTCTTATTCTTCTTGTTCGTGTTTCTGTTGTAGTTAATTGTAATTTTGTCTAATTTATAATTCTCTTTAATTAAATGATCAAAAACTTATGAAATATAGTTTATAAATTAACTAGATAAATCAAATCTAATTATCAATATTATTAATTTATCAGTTTAGTTTATTTCTACTTAATCCGGATAGCATCTCCCGGTAAATAAAAAATAGGGAGCTAAAAACCGGTCACGTGCTTATCAAAATCAGCTAAATTTTAGTGGAACAAAAGAAAACAGCGCTAAAGTGGAGCGTTCCAATCTCAACATTCAACATTATCTTTACTTATTTATTACATAGTCTATATCCAAAACAGTGGAATATTATAGATCACTAGTTGTTATTCCTTCATCCACTAGGAATATAATCCCACATTTCATCTCATCTCATCATCAAATCATATCATATCATCATCAAATCGTGTCAATACTTTTGTGAGTGTATCCATTTCCTTACCTCATTACTCATAGTTTATTATTTATCGACATCTTTTTTTTTCGACTTGACTTAGAATTGTCTGTCCTGTCTAATCTCTCCCCATTTTAACCAACCAATCCTTATCAAATCAGTTTTCAATTATTGGCTGCCTTTTTCTTTATTGTATGATTATATTGATATAGGTTTATTAAATCATTTAATCTCGTCTTATCACATCGTATCATTTTCATATCATCCCTATCCTTTATCCTTATCATTCAAATAAATGGCCACAGCTACTATGGATTTAGAAAAGCCTGCCTTTGCTGCTACTACCACTAGTAGTATATCTTCAAACAGTAAACAACCAATAAGTTCCTTAACCAAACTTTTATCTGAATCAAATTCAAATCTAAGTAGTCCTCTTGTTTCCAAAAATCATTCCACTACATCGTTACATAATCATCAACTACAACAAGAAAATATCGATGAAGAAGATCAATTGGCTTATGAACAAGAAAAAGATGACTTACCTCCATTATCCATAAACATCAATAATGGTTCATCGGCTGCAGCTGAATCAAATACTCAAGTGGTTGATGGCTTTGATCCATCTCCTGGAACTTCAACTGGTGCCCCTTTTACTCCAGTATCTCCTCAAACAAGACCTTTCCATTCCACTTCAGTAAGTAATGGAAATTTTGCTTTTCAAAATAAAGAACGTCCATCAGCAGTAACTTCAAATTCAAGTCCAAGAATCGTAAGAACAAATTCAATATCTCATACTTCATTCTTTGCTACCGGTGGTTATGGTGGTGAAAGTTTGTCCATTTCTATTCCTTATGGTGCTCCCGGAGGTAGGAATAGTAGTCAATTATCTTCATCCATAAATACTACAAATTCAACCAATTCAACCAATAACATAACCAATGTTAGCAATATTTCAGGATCTTCAAGTTTTGTTGAATCAACTTCTCATATACCTAACTTACCAAATGGTCAACCAATTCAATCTATTCATATCCAATCTCCTCAAGTGACTTCAGGATCAATTGAACCAAGATTCGTTATTTCAAAACAAAGAGTCGCCCAAGCTCAAGCTGCGCAAGCTGCTCAGGCAGTATCTTTAAGTTCATCCCAAAGATCGGGTTCTCAATCTGGTTTATCATACTTTTTCGCTAATAAAAATAAGCCAAAAAGAGAATCTTCTTCAACTGATTTAGGATCATTCTATAACAATTCATTCCAAGATCAAGCTATTGCAAGTTCTCCCAATTCACTTTCATCAACCGAATCAAATGTATCATTCACAACTCAATCAAGACATAATTCAATGGCTAATTTAAAGAGATTCTTTAAAAAATCCCAAACTCCTATCCAAACTCCGGCCGTATCAAACTTATCAAGCTCATTAAGATCAGCTAGTGCCGTTAATATCCCAAACAATAGTGGATCAAGTACCCCAACTTCATTTGGTGGTGGTCCAACTATTTCAGCATCAGTTTCAAATGCATCATATTCTCAGTCTCCTGGAACTGGATTTACCGTTGGTTCAGCATCAGTTAGTAGGTCATCATCTATCTTACAACATAAAATCAGTTATCAAGAACGTAGACAATCAGTTCTGACCCTTATAAATCCTCAACAACAATTACCATTTTCAAAAAGATATAGTAAATTAGGTGAGAATTTAGGAGCAGGAGCTGGTGGTTCAGTTAGATTAGTTAATCGATTATCTGATAAAAAAGTATTTGCCGTTAAAGAATTCAGAGCTAAATATCAAAATGAAACAAAACGTGATTACGCAAAGAAAATCACCGGTGAATATTGTATTGGTTCTACTTTAAAACATCCAAATATCATTGAAACTGTTGAAATCTGTTATGAAAATGAAAGAATTTATCAAGTTATGGAATATTGTGATTATGATTTATTCGCTATTGTGATGTCCAATAAAATGTCTCGCGAAGAAATCAATTGTTGTTTTAAACAAATCTTATCCGGTATTCATTATTTACATTCCATGGGTTTATCTCATCGTGATTTGAAATTGGATAATTGTGTCATTGATGTAAGAGGTATAGTTAAAATCATTGATTTTGGTTCGGCCGTAGTGTTTGCATATCCATTCACTAAAACTTTAATTGAAGCTCAAGGTATTGTAGGTTCTGATCCTTATTTAGCTCCCGAAGTTTGTGTGTTCAATAAATACGATCCAAGACCGGTTGATGTATGGTCAGCCGCTATAATTTATTGTTGTATGATGTTAAAGAAATTCCCTTGGAAAGTACCTAAATTATCCGATAGTAGTTTCAAATTATTTGCTACTAGAGGTGAATACGTTTCTATTAGTGAAATGTTAAAGAGAACTCCAGCTGATGTAGCTTTATTAAAAGAACAAAAGGAAAAGGAATCAAATGAAGAAAACATAACTCCTCCAGCTGAATCAAATGGAAATACAACTCCAGCTGTATCATCACCATTAAATAACTTGGATGATATCAAACAAGAAGTTGATAACGCTTCCAAAGCAGAAACTCCAGATGGTAAACCTCACACTTCATCAGAAACCGGTGCGGGTAGATTATTATTAGCCTTACCTGAAGATTGTCGTCCATTGATTGGTAAAATGGTGGAATTACCGCCAGCATGCCGTATTTCAATTGATGAATGTTTCAATGATGAATGGTTGAATTCAGTTAGTATGTGTACTGTCGATGAAAGATTCCATCCTGAAGGCAATACTTTTGAAGTTATCAAATGTGAAGATCATGAACATACTCAAGTTGATCAATCTAAAGCTCATATTGCTGCCTTTGAAAAGAAAAAGAGATAATAAATTCACATCTTTCAATTCGAACATCATCCTTTTCTCTGCACCACCAACTCCCATACATCATTTACCCACATGCATATAGCCTCTTTCAGTTCCATGGGTTTTATATTTGAGAATCAGTCGATCCTGAAACTTCAAAAATCATCAATCATCCCCCTAAAAATACATACTTAAAAATGAAATTTCCAGACAATTTCTTTCTCATTCCATTCATTAAAAATATCCCTAGTTAAAATTTTTATTTCAAGTGTTACTATTATTATTATCTTCATCGTCTTTTTTTTATATCGTTTAATCGTTACTTGGAGGATCAATCTTCCAAAGTAAACATATGTACATTGTTGTTAACTTTTTATTTACTTTTATTATTATTATCAGCTTATTTATAAATATTATAAAATTACAAATATCGTATTATCGTTATTACATTGAATCTTAAATAGATAATTTATATGTATTATGGGCGTTTGTAGGTATATACAAGAAACTTTGAACTAATTTACAGAATGATGAAAATGGACTATGCAGAAAATATTTTAGTGATTGACCTTAACACTTATGGAACGACATTAACACCAATGACTTTAGCAGTCAGCAATACAGCACCAACAATAGATTTCAATTCGACATTCTTATGTCTATCATCAGTCTTCTTAATCTTTGCAATTTCATAAACATGTTTTAAACTAATTTCTCCTACACTTTCTTTACCTGCTTTAGCGGCACCTTTTGAAATTTTAGCAGCTTCCATCAATAACCATGAAGTTGGAGGAGACTTCATCTCGAATGTGAATGATCTATCTGGTTTAACTTGGATCACTACTGGTATAGGAGTTCCTGGATTATAATGAGCAGTACGAGCATTGAATTCTTTACAAAAATCAATAGCTTTAACCCCCTTGGAACCTAAAGCTGGACCAACTGGAGGAGCAGGAGCAGCCTTACCGGCACCCACAACTAACTTGATCATTGCACTTTTAACGGCAGACATCTTGTAGTCGTATAACTATGTTTATCTATATCGTTTGTTAAACTATTGTGCTATATGATCAATCCTTTGATCGATTTTTTCTTTCAGTGATATTGGAAAAAAAAATTATTAAGTGAAAAAACGTTACATGCAGGAAAATCAAAAGATCGAAGTAAAAAAAATATCATCTTTAAGAAGGATGAGTTTGAAGAGAATGTGAAGCAAAGGTTGAGATCAAGCTAAGGATAGTATAGATATAAGGATGAGTAAGACGTTTCCATTAAGTTCTCGGAGTCCAACTACTTCGTTGAAACAACCTAAGGAATTATTTTGTTTCATCAGGGATATAGATGGTGAATATATGTATGATGAAGATAGGATTAATGAAGAGAATTTAAATTATTATTATTTACCAGATTCAAGTTTAAATGGTACTAGAATTGATTTAAGTGCTGGATTTAGTAAATTTAAGAAGATAGATTATGATGACAACTTACCTAATTTCAAAACATACTTGCAAGCTATTAAAAATTACGAAATTAAAAATGGTAATAGTAAATTAAAAGCTAACATTATCACGTTTAGAGGTATAATGACTAGATTATTAACCTTACCATATAATTCTCAAGATTCATTGGATTTAAATATCGTCAAATATGATGGTCAAATATTCATAAATTTAGATCATGAGATTGAAATCAAGAAACATGAACAAGAAACCAAAGAAAGAGCCGCTTTACCAATTGATAAACAAGATTATCTTAATAAATGTGAATTCAGTGGTTATAAGTTTGAAACCATCAGTACATTACCTAAACATTGGAGTGATTGTTCTCGACAATTGATTGAACGTCGAAATAAGAAAATTGTTAATAATTTCGAACAATACTTATCTGTAATTAGAACTGGGATTGGGAATATTAAAATGATCTTGGTAGGTGAAGTTGATGGACTTTGGGATTATAAACCATTAGTTCATCAAGATGGATCACCATTAGATCATTATATTGAATTAAAAACTTCAAAAGTGATTGAAAATAATGGACAAATTGTTAATTTTGAAAAGAAATTATTTAAAACTTGGGGTCAATGTTTCTTAATGGGAGTTAAAAAGATTATATATGGGTTAAGAGATGATAAATTTGTGTTAAGAACAGTGGAAATTTATGATACTAATGAAGTTCCCTTGTTAATTAAGAATAATCCATTAACTAATGGTAATAATGGAGGTAATGAATCAAATAAGATCAATTGTACAAGTGCATTGAAATGGTATGGAGCTGTATTGGAATGGATTAATGAACAAGTTATCGATGAAGATACAGCCTATAGATTAAGCTATAATAGTCAATTAAAAACTATGATACTAAAGGAATTACCAGAGGAAGATAATCAACGATTGAGAAATGGTGAAATCTTGAATGAAGATTTTATTAATTGGCGTGAAAGCTTGAAATGAAGAGAAATATAGTTTGGTCGCAATTTATTTGCAGTAACGAACGGTCCGAAGATGGATCGATTTCAATATGATATTAACCGGATCAAGGTGTCACTGAGTGTTAGAAGCGAAATCCCTCGTTTTGTCGTTCCCATGTAACTGTCATATACGCATTACAAGAGATGACGTGACAATCATATCATATAATATTATCATTATTAATTTTGTTTGACTAAAAATAGGTCGGTCTAGGTTTAAAATCGATTTGTCAAATATTGTATTGCTCGTTTGCTAAAATGATTCCCCTCAAATGGCAAAAAAAAGGACTGAAAAATAATAAAAAAATAAAAAATAGAACACGCCCACAATTGCAATTCAATCTAATCTAATCCAATCCAGAACACATTATTATAGCTGACTAAATCCAACAAAACAATACGACAATAAAAGGTTTGAGCCAAGCAGCAAGAAAGACAAATGAAGAGACTAAAGAAACTGTTGAGTAAAGAGTGCATAAAAGTAAATGTTATGTTTTTCTAGCAACCGAAACGATAGCAAATTATACATAGAATAGTTATATACTAACAAAAAAGAATCTCTTAGTACTCGTAACAAATATAGTAATGGAATTCACATTAATAATTGAAAAGATAATCTAGATTGACATAGATAAAAGCCCTTTTGTTGGGGGCATGTAATGGGTTGTAAAGAGAGTGTTATGGTACTTTACTTGCCTGATTTTTTGCAACTGGTAAAGGGGTAATGAGTCCAAAAGGTTACCAAGAATAACCCAAGCCAATGAAGTTGTGGAGTAATGTAATAATCAGACCAAACCGTCGCAGTTATCGGATTCAAAGTTTGACATCAATTTCACAAAGACAATTTGAAATAAATAGGTACACTGTTTTAAAGATGAAGAAAAATTGTTGAAGTAATAATTTTCCTAATTAGGCTAGTTACGTGGAGAAAAAAGTGTCTGAATTATTTTATGAATCAGACATTTTTTGGAGCTTTTTTGTCTATGTCGTATAGAGGTATGGAGGTAATGATGTATTCTATTTTTTTTTCTGTGGTGTCTTTTTCAATTTTGTTCTATTTTTATAGGCTTCTCGACATGTCTTTCCCTACATAAGTATTAAGGGTTATGAATGTTTTTTTGCAGTCTGCTAAAGAATCAATGCTAACAAATCAAGATAAACATATGTAGAGAAGTGATAGTATATAGCTGGCCAAGGTATATAATGTATAACACTCAACGAAATAGTCTTATTCAATGAACAATAAAAAATGTAACTGAACGAAGGGTAAAGATGAAACTGGTCAGATAAAAAAGATAAGAATTTTATATGTCATGACCAGTACATAAAATAAAATAAAAGTAGACTGTTTAATCAGATAGATCTTTCACTGATTCCATCACACCACACACATTGAATTTCATGTACATATACATAATTAATGAATTTAAATGCAAAATTCCGAACTTTGTTCTACTTTAGTTGTTTGTTGTTATTATTGACTCAGCCAATGGTAGTTCTGGACAAAATGTATAGACTAAAAAATAACTAATGAGGGTCTCAGAGATGAGGCCAATATGATCTTAACGACAAGTGGACATCATTGTAAACATTCCAACTCGAAGAACTTACAAACTTCAATTCAATTGCGTTGATATTTTACTTCTATATGTTTTCAATTAAACTTAAAATCAATCTACTAAATCAAACATTAATAACAAATCGATGGTCTTAAAGTCTAGAAATCAACTCTAATTATTAAGCCTTAAAATCAGACAATTTCTCACTTCTCTAAAGAAAACCAAAAAAAAACAGACAAAAACTTCTTGCAGTGCCGGATAATGATAGAACAATCCTGCATACATTTGATAAAACACACTTAGTAATCCCGAGGTTTAAATTTAGTCTAGCCAATAACCTCTATAGTTTTACTAATGTTGCATCCAAACATCAATAGTTAATCACCATTTTCTCCCCCCCTCCCTCCCTATTAAAAATTCTGGTCAAGGACTAGATTAAGAAATAAAAATGTCTGATTAGAAACCTTTTCATCATCCATTTTTTCATATGTCAGAATTCAGACATTAAATTTTGTCTCAATTTAAACATCACCACTGTTCTACTTCCCTTCAACACAATTGAGGAATCAATTTATTTGTTATATAAATACAAGATAATAATTCCCCCCCATTTCTTAATTTATTTTTGCCCTTTTCTCTTTTGTTTATATCCATTAACTATCTATCAATTGAATTGATTCAACTTAGATTAAAAGATACTATTATAATCATTCACAATGGCTCCAGTTTATACTAATTCCAACGGTCAACCAATCCCAGAAGCTTTCGCTACCCAAAGAGTTGGTGAACATGGTCCTTTATTATTACAAGATTTCAATTTAATTGATTCCTTAGCTCATTTCGATCGTGAAAGAATCCCAGAAAGAGTTGTCCACGCCAAAGGTTCAGGTGCTTACGGTGTCTTTGAAGTTACCGATGATATCACTGATATCGTTGGATCTGCCTTTTTAGATACTGTTGGTAAAAAAACCAGAACTTTTACTAGATTTTCCACTGTTGGTGGTGAATCCGGTTCTGCTGATACTGCCAGAGATCCAAGAGGTTTCTCAACTAAATTCTATACTGAAGAAGGTAATTTAGATTTAGTTTACAATAATACCCCAGTTTTCTTCTTAAGAGATCCATCTAAGTTTCCTCATTTCATCCATACTCAAAAGAGAAATCCAGAAACTCACTTAAAAGATGCTAACATGTTCTGGGATTACTTAACTTCTAATGAAGAATCTGCTCATCAAGTTACTATTTTATTCTCTGATCGTGGTACTCCAAAATCTTATCGTGAAATGAATGGTTACTCTGGTCACACTTATAAATGGTCTAACAAAAAGGGTGATTGGCATTATGTTCAAGTTCATTTCATCACTGAACAAGGTAATAAAACCTTAAACAATGAAGAAGCTGGTGAATTAGCTGGTTCAAACCCAGATTATGCTCAAGAAGATTTATTCAAGAACATTGCTGCTGGTAACTTCCCAACTTGGACTTGTTACATTCAAACCATGACTCAAGAACAAGCTAAAAAAGCTCCATTCTCTGTCTTTGATTTAACTAAAGTTTGGCCTCATGCTGATTACCCATTAAGAAGATTTGGTAAATTCACTCTTAATGAAAATCCAAAGAATTATTTCGCTGAAGTTGAACAAGCTGCCTTTTCTCCAGCTCATACTGTTCCATACATGGAACCATCTGCTGATCCAGTCTTACAATCAAGATTATTCTCTTATGCTGATACTCACAGACACAGATTAGGTCCAAACTATACTCAAATCCCAGTTAACTGTCCAGTTGCTGGTCGTGTTTATAATCCTCACATGAGAGATGGTGCTATGAATGTTAACGGTAACTTAGGTGCTACTCCAAACTATTTAGCCACCTCCAATCCAATTGAATTTAGAGATTACAAATATCAAGAAGAACAAGAAGTCTGGCACGGTGCTGCTACTCCATTCCACTGGAAAGCTACTGAAAAGGAATTTGATCAACCACGTGAATTATATAAAGTCTTAGCTAAATATCCAAACCAACAAGCTCATTTAGCTCACAATGTTGCTGTTCATGTTTCTGCTGCTGATGCTTCTATTCAAGATAGAGTTTTCGCTTACTTCACCAAGATCCACCCAGATTTAGGTGCTGCTATTAAAAAGGAAACTTTAGAATTATCTCCAAGAAAATAAGTATGACATTTATTTTCTCCTTTTTATTTTGAATTTTATAGTCTGTCTCTTTTTCTTCTCTATTTACTTAATGTGAAATAGTATATATAGTTGAACTATATGTTCTTTTCATCAATGCCACTTTATTTGTTTTAATTTAACATAGCTTTTGTAATCAGGAACTTAAAATTTCAAATCTTTATTGTTCAATTCTCCGCAAAAATATTTGATATCTGAGGTTTGGATGTTCTAAGATAAAATTGAAAATTATAAAATAACCGTTATATTTTTCACTTATACGAACTATTAAGTAAGCGGCTTAATTTATCTGGAATCAATTTAAACCTTCTCGAGTGTCTCGGAGTTATTGTATGCGAACTCTTACTTAATTTCAGCTAAAATGATTGCTGTTGTGAAGATCTTATAATTAATTAAACCTCTTGTTTCTCTCTGCAACACCAGACAATCAAAAAAGTGATTCTGCTCTTATCATAGAGATATACCTTAATTACCTTCCCCTTCATATGCCAAGTATATGAGGTTCTATCAACTTTTTCTTCAGTGGTTATAAAAGTCAGTTACTTACTTAGTTACATTTTCCAATGTCTGCTGCTTCATTGCTTGACTTTAAAATGTAGACGTATCCAAGTGTCAAATTCTTAAGTCAAAGGAAAGCTTTCTTTTTACTTGTTAGTCACTTTTCTTTTCAATCTTAGATTTTTATAAGTTTTCGATTAAAAAGTTTGTAAATTATAGAGAAAGACCCTCGTCCTCTTTGTTTTAAAGGATTAGGAGTATTGTACAATTAAGAGAAGGTCGAAATAAAAATTACAATCTCTTTAATTCCAAGTCTGAATAGGAGTCAACCAACATTTCGGTTCCTCTGTTTTTGATCTGATGAACTCATATTCAAATCTCTATATATAAAATGCTACAATTTCTTTACTAACATAAATTTGGCTGTTAAACGATCCGTCTTCTGAAAACAGTAAATTTTGACGTACAAAAATCATTCACAGTGAAAAAGAAATTTTTGACTTTTTTTTTATTTACCTAAGCGAAACATTAAAAATTTATGGTTATTAATTAATGCCCATAAGCAGCTAAACATATGCCTCAAGAGTTAGTCGAGATAATAACCAAATGAATACAATGGGTGCTATCTGAACATCTCGGAAAAACTATTAAATGAACATCTGAATTTAAAGATAAGCAGCAGCCAATACAATGAAAAACCGTTTAACATGCTTTTGACAACATCTTAAAGACTACGATGACGATGACGAATGTTGAAATTTTCACTTAATTTGGATTTTTGGTTGGTTGGGATGCAGGAAGCTCAAAACCAGAATGGGACGAGTATATAAATATATCTATCCAATAATAAGCGACGTATAATATATTACCGGAATGTAATAATTAGATTGGACTGTGGTGGCGGGCTTTGTAAAATTGATGTGGACAGACAAAGGAAGATGATGTCCGGGAACTAGCGACATGCCAGAGGGTGGCTCAGATCTCATCAACAAATGGAATACGTAACCACCACAGATCATACTGGATGGAGCTGATATACGCAATCAGTATAAAATATACTTTATCTAAAACTGGGTTTAGGGTCATAAAAAAACTATAGTAAAGATTAATGTGCATCAAATTCTTCTCGATCGGCCACCTAATAAAGTTTTCGTTTGGTGAAATATTAAATAGATAACTATATGATTGCAAATAAAGTACATTGATCTTACCACAAACCCGAAATGGTGAATAAAAATAATTAAAAAGCTGTTGAGAAATGCCGTTCTTTTTGCCATTCCATCGAGAGGACTCTTTTTTTTTTTCATCTTGTAATTTTTTGGTTTGACAGCTTTTTTCGGTTTTGTGATAATATTTTCCTACAATCACCTTACTCTGCTGCCACTTTCCATTTCAAATTTTGCTGAACTTAATCTCCTGTTATATTCACCAGTTAACTCCACAGTTCGGTGTAATTAGCATCAACGTGCTATTGTGTCCAACGGCACCATCGTTAGTTTTTAATCTCTAATGTAATTACACTAAACTGTATTTCTGATAGAGTAATTGTATTTTATTTAGTGAAGATATACTTCCACTACCCTTTAAATAAGAGTATCTTATAGCATTTATTGATAGTTACTATATACAAAAAATTTGAATAAGTTCTACAAAACGTTGTGATTCAATTTATGTAACGTCAATTGATAAGATGGCGCAAAATGTAAGGCTTTAAGGTGCCTAGTCAAAAAATTCTTCATCCCTCCTTGAATTTTGCTTTTCACCCCCCTTGTACCTTAGCAAGAAATTTGAGTGGTAAAATAGCCAAAAGAAGGAATCGATATTTTACAGTTTAGAGCTAACATGTAAATACATTTTACAGTTTAAGCCGCTAGCAAATCTAAATGCTAGACACCCCCCATCAACTAACACATTCAACAAAGACCATATGTGCGTTCACTAGTTTTGTCCATTTGATTGTGGGGACCATGAAGGGGGTACATTTCAAGGAATAAGAGATAAAGAATCACACGATGTTGATGTTGGATACTTCGGAGTAGTCTTGTATTTGAAATTAAAAGACTTAAGGTCAAATCGCCTATCGCACGCAATAGCCATTACCTGATAGTGAATCTGATCCAATTATGGATTATGTATAATTATATAATTTAATTTTCCTTACCGTCGTAAATTAAAAAGGTTATTCCATATTTGAATTATGATTTCATTAGGCTAGTTTGTTATGACATGCTTGCGGGGATTGCGGATTACTATAATCATATGAAATAAGTAACTAAACCTTTTGTGAGGGCAAATATGACATAAATAAAATTTTATACGGCAATATTAGAACAAAGAAAAAGCTACTGATGTAGGACTGGCTCCAAATTTCAACAGTTACATAATTATTATTTACGGATTATGGATTTATTTTACAGAAGGAATAATGAAATCCAAATGTAATAGGTTGGGGAACATCTCTAGTTCAGTCCAATGGAGAAAAGTTGAATGGTCAGAAGATTACATTTAAAAAACTGGCATGATATAACAACGGTTTTATAAATATATGTTACTTCAAATGATTTCATATTATTATTTTACAACATTCGAGCCCATTTTTGTCGTTGTAAAGTAGACTTAGATTAGATAAATCATCCTTTATAAACCTGGTTATTAACGGTAAAATGCGCTCAATCAGTAAAATTTGCTCTTATCAGTGAAACAAAAATAAAAACATTTCTTTTTTTTTTTTCCTTTTTTTTCTTTTTTTTTCTTTTTTTAGTTCTTTAAACCGATTTGGCATTTCACAGCAACAGCCTCTATTGTGACTTGATACAAACTGTAAATTTATACCCTATTATTGGGTCAGATAATGATTAACATATGTACTTATCTGACACTAGTTTTTACACTTGATCCCAGGCGTAGAAAAATACAAGTCTTTAGTGAGCGTTAAGCTGTTCACCGTCACATTACTTACCCCCTACTTAACATGAAACTAAACAAAGATCCTTAGTTAAGAAAACTGTTTTTGACACCAAAGTCCAAGCATTCTTATCCTTCTATTTCTTCATTCAATCGTTCTTTCTTTTTTTTTTTCTTAGTATAGCTAAGGCTGCTAATTTCTTTTTTGACATAATTCAAGTTCAGATCTGCTAAATTGCAAAATGAATCCGAACCAAAAACAGATTAATTAAATGAATTGGCTTTAAAAAGAAATTGCCACTATTATTGTAATAATTAATTTAAATAGATAAACTGTGGTTATATTATCATACTATTTTTTTGGTGCCGTACCATAGATAATACATATTTTAACTGTGTATGTATTAGGACTGTGTATAAAGACATTTATTTCTGTTATCGCGTAAGTTAAAAAATAATTTAAGACAGCCATAAAAAAAAAACTAAGATTTTTGCAATTCCTGCACGTACAAAAAAGTAATTCATTATCAATATCATAATCTCTCTAGAAATATTATATCCACTTTATTTTTTTGGGTAGATTAAGGGTGGTTACTTATTAGGGAATTGTAAGCCATTTTTAAACGTACGGCTCTGATCTTACTACTACTGGTTGTGTCTTTTACTTTTTCTATCATTATTAATTTTAGACAATATTGATTAAATTTAATTTATCGTTGAATACGATCTTAAATCGGTGGAGATTTTTAATATATAAAGAAGGATAATTATCCTTGATTGTTTAATTTTTAAACTTAATTTTCCTTTATTTCTTTTCCTTTTTTATTATCGATCAATAATCAATCATGTCTGACCAATCTTACGACGAAAAGAAAGGTGCTCCAATTGATCAAATCATCTCAAAGGATGTCTTATCCGATGAAGATTACGATTTCGAAGATCCTCACAACTACTCCACTCACTTTGTTGATGAATATAACCCAAGAGGTTTAAGAGTTCCAACTAATGAAGAAGCTGCTAATTTAAGAAGAGTTTTAGGACATGCTTCTTATGCTTCCTACTTAATTTGTCTTTGTGAATTGGCCGAAAGAGCTTCTTACTATTCTGTTACTAATATCTTAACTAATTTCATTCAAAGACCTTTACCACCTGATTCACCACATGGTTGGGGTGCCCCAGCTTCAGATTCTTCATCTGCAAGTGCCGGTGCCTTAAATCAAGGTTTACAAGCTGCCAATGCTTTAAATTTATTACTTACCTTTGTTGCTTACGTGGTTCCATTATATGGTGGTTTCATTGCTGATACCAAAATTGGTAAATATAAGGCTATTTGGATCGGTGTTATTGCTGGTTTAGTTTCCCATATTTTGTTCGTTATTGCTTCTTTACCATCTGTTTTAAAACACGGTAGTGCTGCTTTAGCTCCAACTGTTATTGCTATTCTTTCTTTATCTGTTGGTACTGGTTTTATTAAACCAAATTTATTACCTTTATTAATGGATCAATACCCTGAAAAGACCGATGTTGTTAAAGTTTTAAAATCTGGTGAAAAGATTATTGTTGATAGACAAAAATCTTTAGAAAGAATGACTTTAATTTTCTACTGGGCTATTAATGTTGGTGCTTTCTTCATGTTAGCTACTTCTTATATTGAAAGAAGAATCGGTTATTGGTTTGCTTTCTTCATTCCAATCGTTGTTTACTTAATTTTACCAGGTATCTTAATCTACTTAAGACCAAAATTAATCTTTAACCAACCTCATGGTTCCGTTTTAACTAACTCATGGAAGGTTTCTGTTATTACTTTCTCCAGTGGATGGATTTCAAGATGGAGACAAGGTACTTTATGGGAATATGCTAAACCATCTAACATGATTGCTAGAGGTAGAGAATATTACGATGCTAAGAAACAATCTCCAATTACCTGGAACGATCAATGGGTTTTAGATGTTAAACAAACATTCAATGCCAGTAAAATTTTTGTTTATTTCATTATTTTCAATTTAGCTGATGGTGGTATTGGTTCAGTTGAAACTTCCCAAGCCGGTGCTATGACTACTCAAGGTGTTCCAAATGATTTATTCAGTAACTTTAATCCTTTAGCTATTATTATCATCATCCCAATCCTTGATTACGGTATTTATCCAATGTTAAGAAAGTATAAAATTAACTTCAGACCAGTTTGGAGAATTGTTTTCGGTTTCGCTTTAGCTGGTGCTTCTCAAATTGCTGGTGCTGTTATTCAATGGAGAGTTTACGAAACCTCTCCATGTGGTTACCAAGCTACTAACTGTTCTAACAATGGTATTGTTTCTCCAATCTCAGCATGGCAAGATGTTTCATTATATATTCTTTCCGGTGCTGGTGAATGTTTCGCTAACACTTCCGCTTATGAATTAGCTTATACCAGAGCTCCACCTGAAATGAAAGGTTTAGTCATGGCATTATTCTTATTCATGTCTGCTCTTTCAGCTGCTTTATCTGAAGCTGTTACTCCAGCTTTAATTGATCCATACTTAATCTGGCCATTCGCTGGTATTGCTATTGCTACCTTCGTTGCTGCTGCTGGTTTCTTCTGGCAATTCAGAAACTTACATATTGTCATGGAAGAAGAAAGAATTATCAGAGAAGGATTAGATAGAAAGGATGAAGAAGAAAGAAGAGCTCATGGTGGTATTGAACACGATGAAAACTTAGAACCAGTCACTTCTATCAAATCTGCTGTTGGTAAATAAGCAAATTGAATTGGAAAAGTTGAACTTTCTTTTTTATTTCTTTTACAAGAAAGTATTATTATAATTCTTCGTTATATCATTTACTAGTTTTATTTTGATTTTTACTTTTATTTTATTCGTTTTTCAGTTCTACATAGATTTAGGGTTTCTTTTATCAATTTTATTTTATAATAAATATATTTTTTAATTTTAAAAAAGATCTAGTCGTAAAAAAATAATTTTTTTCTGGAGGTTGCATATTTAAGAAAGTTTAAATTTAGAGTGATCGTTTAACTAGGTAAAATGCTAAATATAGATTTAAAAAGAAATTATAATTTAAATAATTATTCTAAGGTGAATTTGACGGAAGACCAAATCAAAAGATAAAAAGATAAAATAATGATGTAATCAAATGGCAATAAAGAAAGTTTAAAGACAATTACGATGTCCATGTAAGAAAGCATAAATAGAAAAATCTAAAAGTATAAATATTGATAAATAAAAACGCAAAAAGCTTTTATGTGGGGGTATCTGAGGTATTTCGAGCCTAGAAATCTCCAAGAGGAGCTGAATAGTTAGCAGTGGTCCAATCCCAGTAGAAACTTACTGATTGTGGTTGAGATGAATTAAGTGCACAATTTTCAGCAAAGTCAATACCACCAATTCTGTTATTAATATAAGTTTCATATTCACTGAATTCACATGAGAAACCAGGACCAGAGTTACATTGAGGAATTGGAATAACTGCATCATTAACAATGTATCTGACATATGAAGTATTCGAACATTGATATTTTTCAGTGTAAACCCTAGCACTTTGAGGGACAATTGAAGAGTGAACGTATGGATTTGGGAATGGAATGTAACTGGTTGGTAATAATTCTTTAGGTTCGAGTATACCTAAAGCAGCATGGAAAAGTTCAAGATCGGTATCATGGGTGAATGACAACCAGATCTTTTGTTCAGCAGAGTCATTTTTTAATAAAGTTAACGAAGCATTTAAGAGACTTGAACCGATGGTCAGTGATAAATTATTACCTGGACCTTGTTTATAGAAATCAGTAACATCAGTTTCGTAAGAGTTTCTGATAAATTCTTCATTAGTGAACAAATCACAGAATGGAGAAGCACCTCTAACATTGATTTCGTAAGCACACCATGAAAATAATTCCAGAACATCAGATTTAGTTAAGTCTAAACCTGGATTTTGAGCAACTAATCTATCAGCAATTGGCTTTAAATACGCAGTAGTATTATATTCAGCACTAATGCTAGAATTGGCACTTGAATTATAAGCATTACAACCTTCTCTCGGAGTTAATGAGTTAGCACCAAAAGTACCAGACTCACTGATAATATTAAATTGAACATTATCATCTTCGTCGAAAGTATCACCTAAGAAACCACGGGCAAAATAGTTTGATGTTTGGTAAACTCTACCTGAGTTAGAAGTAAATATTGGTAAGGTGATGTTATCGTTATATAAAGCATCATATTTAGCTCTGAAATAAGCACCATGTTTGAGAGCAACAGTAACACCAGCATATAAACCTTGAGAGTTGCTTGGGGTAGTTTCCTTTTCATATAAGTTTGAATCGGAGACGAAATAAGTATAACTATTAAGGAATTCTAAATCACCAGTAAAAGTTTTGTTATAATTTTGGAATTTCTTATAAATTGGTTCAAATTTAGCACCATCACTAATGGATGGAAATCTTTCACCATGTCTGGAGAGTAATTGAACTTGTTGATATTCACAACCATCTGGTAAACCAACATCTATTCCGTAACCGTCTCTTTGAATATAAGGAGCTGATCCACCTAAGAAATTAATGATATTATAATTTTCAGTTGCAGCTTGTTGTGGAGTAGCAAGCTCTTGGTAGATGTTTTGACTAACCAAAAGTAAACCACTGTTAATTAAGTTAGAAATTGAGACCATTCTTAATAATAAATTTTTTACTGCAAAAAATATCTTAACTTGAGGCTTTGGATAAAGGCTTTAATCAATTAAAGTCTGTCGTGAAAGTAATCATTAGAAAATTGAAATAAAAGTAACTTTATTGGATTGTGCTTCTATTTATACTAACTACAACATATAATACAATACCTTGATTTTTCAATTAACAAATTATGGCTGTGAAAATTCATTAATTAAGGATCAAATATTGAAAGCAGTAATTTAAATTTATTAGGGTTATAGCACATGTTAATAGGGCGGAAAGTTTAATTGAGTAAAGTTTAAAATGGTTCACCAATGGATTAACTTCGCTAATCAAAATAATTTACAAAGCTGCAATTAATTAACCTATTTGTGGTAATTCTGAGGAACAGGGGTAAGTATCAGCCATATCGAATAGCCATTAAAGCTCGAGTAACTCAGTATTGTCGCTTTGATTGCCCCAAAAATTTATCAGATCACACTTTTTCTCCGCCAATCTATGTAACCTTTTGTGAATTTGACTAAAACATTCTTGCTGCAACCAGAGGGTTCATTATCCACGTGTAATACAGCACCATTATTATTTCAATTTTACATTTAGCATCTTTATTCACAACCGCCGTCAATGTCATTGTTTCACGGTATTACCTGTGAGTATTACATTATAATCTTGTAGAAATACCCCTATTTAATGTTGGTATCTCAACACTGTTTTCAGTTGAATTTCATAAGAGGTCTCTAAATTTCATATCCGTTTAATGAGGACAATATCTGGCTATCCATGGCATAGTTACAATGAAAATTTTTCTTTCAAACAAACATGAAGCCGTTCCAATATTATTAACAATTGTGACAAGTTAGACATTTGAAACTGACTATTGTTGTCTCATCCTCTCCTTATTTCACCTTTGTGTCCATATGATAGATTAAGGTTAAAACAACCCTTACAGATTAGCAGACCAATAGTCGAATCCAAATAGGTAGTTAACTCCATATCAAGGACTCTTGTTCTAAAAAAAAGCTTGGATTTGCTTTGTAGTTAACAATTTATATGCTCTGTAGATCTTGTGAGACTATGAAATCAAGGCACTCGAAGGCAATAGTGTTTATGAATAGTATCGGAATTTCTTGTAAGGCTGAAGAAATCAGCTGTAATTCCTGGAAAAGGTTAAGAGTTTTTACTTATTCGGTCTGTGAATAAACTTGCCTTGTTCCTGACTTTTTGTGTATTTCAAATTATAAGCTTTTTTAGTCTTTGCTTTCAATAATTCTAACTCTGTCGTGTATTCTATTTCATTCAATTGTAACAATGAAATGTCAAGAATTGTTCACCAATGATTGAGACTTGACATTAATCAACAAAGGTTTTATACTCAAGAATATTATTGAAACCACTTTCAAAATAGGGAATTTCGCAACCGGGACCTACTTCATATTAAAGAATGTGACGATCATTATTAGCAATGTGTCTGAAGTGAAGGCTTGCCATATGATACATTTCTCTATTCAGTATACATAATAATAATCTGTTTCTAGAAAAACCTTCTCAGATGGTAAATCGTCGTACTTAATAACGATCCTTAATATACTAAACTTAATCACATGTATAAATGACAATCCAAGTTTGTTTGTATCATCTTCAACCTGTTCATACCCTAATCAATGGCATCAATATCGATAGTAATATTGTTCCCGAGTCTTGCAGAACAATGTATTGTTAATAACGATAGAGATATTCTACGTAAGACAAAGAAAAGTAAATTAAAGTAATATATGCCAACGTGTATATACATTACAAAATCATATACACTACAAATAGATAGATAAATTTAAATAAAATAATAAAAGTCAGTAAGCATTGGTATGATGAAATAAATGTATATAATTAATAGTAAAAATATGAGAATTAAAAAAACGGAAAACTTCTTGGGGTACTCATATATGTATAAAAAATAGCTTTATATGAAGCTCGTTCTCGTATAACGAACTTTTCAAGAATGGAAATGGTTAAAAAGAATAACATAAGATGCATTTTTGTCTAAATGGGAGTAGATAGATAGATTAAATAGGATAGATGATGAAGGAAGGAAATGTGGATTGTATTTCTATCCAACTAATCAAAGAATTTTCTGGTAAGAGAAGGACCAAATAATTCTAATCTAATAGCTGGTAAGGCTTCTTCGGCCAAGATCTTTAATCTTTCTTCTAAGGTATTATCAACTTCGATCTTACCAGTACCATTAATAACAACAACACCACCGGCAATATCACTACTTAAAAAGTTTTCGTCATCGATAGCGATATCAACAGCGAATTTAGATTTAGATTCAAAGTTCTTAGCAGCTTCAATGGAAGCTTCTTTAGCTAATTCAAGATCACTTTGTCTAACTCTTATACTGACTTTATCTTCTAATAAAGCCAATACACCTTCTTCAATTAATCCAACTAAAACAGGTAAATATTTTGATTTATCAGTAGTAACATTCTTTAATTCATTCTTGACTTCATCAAATATTTCATTCAAGACTTCTTCTTTGGTAGATAAGATTCTCAATCTAGTTTTATTAGCAATGGTTGATTTTGTAATTTGTTGAGCTAAAGATGCTTTCTTTAATTTTTGTTCATAATTAGAATCAATAGCAGCAGTTTCACTTCTAACAATGGATGCTTTTTCAATTTCGTATTCTTCATCAGCCTTTAATTTGATTTCCTTAGCCTTTTCTTTGGCTTCTTTCTCAATGAAAGCTTGCATCTTGGTAAGTTCAGATTTAACCTATGAGATAGATAGTTAGTATTAGTTTGGTCAAAGCTATTATTCCCACATCATCAACAGTCAATTGATGGGAGAACAATTCATAATTACCATACATACTTGTTCGTCTGATAAAGTCATCTTGCTGGCTGTGTCCTTTCGATATGATTATGGTTCAATTGATTACCCTTCAAAAGTATTCAATGTCCTTTTGATTTCAACCAGGACTAACCCTTCCATCTTATCGACATCTTTTTTTTGGATGGATTAATTTAAAAAAAATGTCGAAGGGAAAAGGGATGTCGTTAGACATGGCACGGTGCACGACATTTTCTACATATTTTGTGTAACCGATAATTTTGTTAAGGTCTTATAGCAAAACGATAACTAACTTATAATATCTACAAATGATATGATTAAAACAGATAACACTTTTTTAATAAATAAATAAAACTAGTAAACAATAAGCAATGAACAGATAAGAGAAAAAAATGCAATATATATAGAACTAAATGATAGGATAAAATCACTTTTATTTATGCTAATTTATCAAAGAAATTTCTAGCCAATTCAACTCCTAAGAAAGTAGCAGCATTAGCAGGGAATGATCTTGCTAAAGCTGGACCAACCCCAGGGAAGAAAGCTTTAACACCACCTTTAGCATAAATGTTCTTAGTAGTTTGTACGATTGAAACACTAACATTGGAAGATTGTTGAGTTGATTTAATAGTATCAATTGGGAAAACACCTAACCACATAGAAACACCAGCAAGACCACCAGCAGTCATAATAGCAACTAAAGATAATTCATTACTACCTGGAACTGATAATTTTTCTTTGACATATTCATAAGTAGCGAAATATAATGCTGAACCAGGACCATCTCTAGCTAAAGTTGCAGCTGAACCTTTAAAGATTGATCTTAACCCTCCAGTTCTATACATTTCTTTAACCACAGCACCCATTGAATTATTCTTACCTTCTTGAATTTGCATCATAACTTTGATTCTTTCAAATGGAGCAGCCACTAAAGTGGTTGGAATAGCACTAATGAACCCAGCAGTTGAAATATGAGCAATAGTGAATTGATCACTAGTCTTTCCAGTATAAGATCCAACCAAACGCTTACCCACATCATAACCCCAGAAGGATACAGCAAACATAGGAGTAACCCCTAATAAAGGAGGCAAGACCCCTCTATAAAGCCCCAAGGGACCATCTTTAATAATGGTTTGTTTAACACATTCAATCGATGATTGATATAAACCAGTTTGTAATCTAACTTTGACTAAATCAAAAGGATGCCCAGTTAACACAGCACAAATACCCCCGAAACCTCCGGCACCGAAGGATTTGACGTTTTCAACTAGTACGTTATCGACTTCGTCCATTTTATGATTAACAGTTATTTTGGTAGGTGAAGTAGTGAATGTGATATGGAATGATTTCTAAGTGAGTACTAGAAAGTTTGATCTATAAGGTTCTATATCTAATAAATAATATAAATAGGATGATATAAATGACTTTTGAATAAAGAACGAAGCAGCCAAATATATGTGATCTGAACTATACCAATGGGAACTTGCTCTTATCGTAGTTACTATCGTATGATAAATGTTCTGAAAAAAGTCTAGAAAAAGTCTGGGGATATAAATGATTTTTGTAAACCTGTGCGCGAAACAAAGACCAACATAATTTTGTGGGTGAGGGTGAAAGTCCGAGGAAGTTTAAAAAATTTTCTTAACATTTGCTAAACAGTAAACTATCCAATGACTATTGGTTAAGATATTTCGAGGAAATTTATAATTACATAGTAGATATTTATAGGTTATCGATTGGAGTATCGATTGGTATAGGTATAATAGTGGTCGGAGTGGTACATAAGGGGTATCTATATCTATTTACTATGGATAGTGAATGAATCTACACTATTTCCATGTTTTTTTTTTCTTCACTATGATTCAAATCCAATTACCGAGGATTATCAGATTTAGCAGGAAAATGCTAGTGTTAATTGACGATCAAAATTTGAACTAAAATAATTTGCTTAAATCTTTTAATTCGTAATCCGTGCGTAAATCTTGAATAAACTCATTAACCGTTAATTTATAATCTTTTAAATAGATTTGTTTATAAATCTTATTAATTATATTTTGTAACAAATTCTCAATATTTAATAAATCTTGATCAACCTCATTGGTCATATCTTCTTCTTCATCTGCATTTTCTTCTTGCTCTTCTAATTTTAACAATAATATATAATTGGTAATTAAGTTAAAATATTCTTTGGAACTTATTATAAATTGAAATATTATATCCAATAATTCATAAATTTGTTTAATATAACTCTTCCTTGTGACTTTCCCCATCGAATTTTCATTAATTAATTTATTCTTAATAATTTGATATAAATATTGTTCATGAATTGATAAAATCTCATCAATAGTTAATTCATTCATATTATTATCAGTTATAACCGTAACATCATTATTTCTTGTCTCATTAATTAATTTATTAATGAATTTCGAATTTAAATTTTTCACTAATTCAAAATCACTACTTTTACTAACTTTATTCGATTTGAATAATTTTTCAACTAATTCAATTTGAAATTTATTCTCAATTAAATCAAACGATAAATAATTTATTATCACTTGTAAAAATTGAATCATTTTATTTCGAATAAGATTTATAGAATTGAATGATTTAATAATCCATATAATCTTTCTTTCTCGGACTGATAATCCAATATTAGTAACGGTTGATACGGTAGTTCTCTTTAATCGTTTGTATTCTTCATTTATACCTCGTAATTCATTTTTATTTAAACTAATTGATTCCATAAAATTCTCATTCAACATTGATTGTAAATGTCTTAATTTCCATAAGAAATTGAACATTTTACAATATTGAATCATGGTCTTAGAATCAAATAAATGACTAATGGATAATCCATCAAGTTTAAAATCAATAATAAATACTTCCCATCCAATATTGTTATTGTTGTTATTATTATTAGTATTGGCTTGATTATTTAGTATTCTAAAATCAATTCTATCTCGATGTTTAAAATGATTCATGGATGAATGTTTGATTGATTCTTCTAGGATTTGTGATAAGTAATTCAAATTCAAATTAAATTTCAAATTATTAAAGAACTCTCCACCTTTCAATATAATTTGATTTATAAAATCTTCATTCTCAATGAAATATAACCGTTTAAAGTTAATTAAATTCTCTATAAGATTATTTTTGGACCCATATAATATAATCGTAACGTAATTCAATAATTCTTCATATTGTTGATTGATTAATTTTTGAAATTTATCATTTGATACTGAAAGTATTTCTCCATCAGTAGGGGAAGCTAATTTATAAATCAATTGATTATACTTATTTCTATATTGATTAATCCATTCTAATTCTCGACAGTATTTCAATAAAAAGATTAACATTTTTCCTATTTGATATATTTTGAATCCAAGATTCTTATTAATAAATTTGGGTATTCTATTGGGTAAAAACTTTATAATATCATTAAATTCATCTTGTTCTAAATCAAACGTTATGAAAAATTCATTATTCAAATCCACTAATTCTCCATTAATTAACCAATTCTCTAATATTTCATTATATGGTTTAATAATCTCTTTAAAAATAGTTAAACTTAAACTTTGAATCTTTAAATCACCAAATTTAATTAATTCATAAACTTTAATTAATAAATCCAATCCATTAACAGTATCCAATTCATTAACAATTGAATATAATAATCTTAATTCATATACCCAATTTTTATATAACAAGTTATAAATCTCAAGTAGTGATGAACAATTATTAATATTGAATATTTCATTTATATCTTTAACGTATTGTAATAAATAGGATTGCATTATCTGTATATAGGCGACTTTTATAGGACTTTTCAATTTATCACCTTGTTTATTATATAATTCATAACTGGTGGATAAATTCTTATATAATAATCCACACTCTAGAATTTGAAATAACAATCCACTATAACTATTATTGATTGAAGTTGGTATGACGATTTGTTTACTATTATTGGAAAAGGATAATAATTTCGAATCCAATCCTATCAAACTATAAGATAAATATTTGATGATGGTTTCTTCAGGTAATGTTTGATAATATGGTTCAATAAGTTTATCCAAACTTATTAGTTGATGATATTGTTGTTGTTGTTGTTGTTGTTCTTTACTATTTTTACTACTTTCTCTGAATGGGGAAGATCTCAAATTCGTTGACCGTATACTTTCACTAATTATTCTTTGATTCACTTGAGGTGATGATTCAACATTTATATTCCTACCACCTTGTTGTAAAGCATCGAAGAAGACAAGATAATTAAAGATTTGATCTAAACTTTTGAAACTCTGTAATGATTCAAGAATCGTTTGGAATTTAACCCATTCAGCTTGTAATCCTTTACTCACAAAGTAAACACGATATTGATTCGTCAACTGATTGATTTCATGTATCGTTGCTCTATTAGATGATGATGATGATGATGATTGATTAGATATTGTTTTAGATATTGATGATAATAAATCACTGGTGATACTCTGGATGAATTCATCACCAAACTCAGCCGGTACCAACGACTTGACAAGTCGTCCCGTATATAGTTTTACCAACTGACTCTTATCTAGAGCCATTCTCTATGTGTTCGACAAGGGGGTATCTTAGATCTATTAGTTGGTGATGGTGCTGCCAATTTTCAGTTTTGTTATTGTTTACATTTTGTTTTGATTTTATGATTTTTTTTTTGGTGCAACGCGCGGAGTGGTAGAATATACAAATTTACTTACAGTATAAGATTGTAATTAGAGAGAGTGATTTTTTTGGCTTTTATTGGATTTTTGATAATAAACAATGTTGAATAGCTATAAAGAGTATATAATGTCAGTGTCCTTGTAAAGTAAACGTCCTGAATAGGTAACATTTTAAAGTATAAAAAAGAATTATTTTGAAAAAAGATAGGACAACCGTGAATATGTGAGAGTGTGTGTTTGAGTAGGTGAATTTACAACAGCATTAAAAAAACGACAAAACATCAGATCGATTGATTTATGGTCGGTAAAAAAAGAATGACGTGTTGTTGTCACTTCTTCACGTCAGATTTAATAAGCTGAAACACCAGATGAAACACCAATTGGAGCAACAGTTGGTTCGAAAACATTTGGATTCAAATCAGCATCAGTTAAATTCAATTGTTCATCAGTCCAAATATGTTCGATCTTACTTGCATTTTCAGATCCAACTCCACATAATCCACCTTGAGCTTTCCAATCATTAATTCTATTTAAATTCAATTCATTAAATACTGAATCTAAAGCTCCAATCAATTGATTTGAAATTTGAGGTCCATGACCTGGAGTTGGAGTAATTCTTAATCTTTCTTCACCAATTGGAACAGTTGGGAAGTTGATAGCTTGAACATAAATATTATGTTTATCTAATAATAAATCACTTGCTCTTTTAGCATCAGCAGCATTACCAACTAATACTGGAACAATATGAGAAGGATTTGGTATAACTGGAATACCAATGTCATTAAGATTGTTCTTGACATATCTAGTGTTCTTTTGTTGACTAATACGATCATTTAAAGTTGATCTTTGATATCTAATTGAAGTGGATGAACCAGCCATAATTGCGGGTGGTAAAGTGGTAGTAAAGATAAACCCTGGAGCATAAGATCTAAACCAATCAATTAATTTAGCTTTACCAGTAACATAACCACCAACAGTACCAAACGCTTTACCTAAAGTACCAGTAACCATATCAATTCTATTCATAACAGTTTCAGTATTGACTTTATTCATACCTGATTTTAATTGAGCATCGAAATTAAGATGTTCAGCAACACCAGCACCATGAGGACCATACATACCAACAGCATGGACTTCATCTAAAAAGGTTAAAGCACCATATTTATCAGCTAAATCACAAATGGCTTCAATTGGAGAAATTGAACCACACATGGAATAAACTGATTCAAAAGCAATTAATTTTGGAATTGATTTTGGATATTTAGCTAATCTAGCTTCTAAATCTTGTAAATTATTATGTTTAAAGATTTCCTTTTTAGCTCTTGAATTTCTAATCCCTTGAATCATTGAAGCATGATTTAATTCATCAGAAAAGATAACTAAATCTTTTAATTTTTGACCAAACATTGATAACACAGCATCATTAGCTACAAAACATGAACTAAAAACTAACGCCGCTTCATGTTTATGTAAAGCAGCAATTTCAGATTCTAATTTAATGGCATGACGATTATGACCTGCAATATTTCTAGTACCACCTGCACCTGAACCATAAGTATCTAAAACTTTTTTCATTTCTTCAATAGTTTTTGAATGTTTTCCCATACCAAGATAATCATTGGAACACCAAACCGTAACTTTATCAGATTCATTAGTTCTATGAGCCTTTGGGAATTCATGAGCTAAACGATTAATATTATTAAAGAAACGATAAGATTTATCAACTCTTTTCTTTTCCATTTCTGATTCCAAATAACCATTATAATCAAAAACAGTTTCATTAGATGAAAGATTTAATTGATTAGCTGGGATTTGATTAGATTGGAATGAATAAGGAGTGGAGTTTGATGATTTAACCGTAGTTGAATTTGAACTAGCAGTAGCATTCAAAGGATTAGAAGCTCTTGAATAATTTCTTGATTGTTCCTTGGCTTGTAAAGCAGCAGCCATGAAGGGACATTGACGAGCTTGGCTTGCTAATCCACCTGAGGTTGAACTTAATTGACGTAAAGATTGAACTGAAGATGATTTGACAAAGGGACAAACTGTCATGGAGAATTTAGTGATTGATTCCATCTTGGGTTTAGATCCGTTGAATGATGACTTCTTTAGTTTGATTTGATTTTGTAATGACTATTGAATTAATCAGAACCTAACCTAATTCAAAATGATATCAAAAATGAATCTAGATCACAAGGAAGAAGAAGAAATATAAGACAATATATACAAAAACAGTAGATCTAAGAGTCAGAAGAGTCCAGAATTCAAATTTTCAACGGTGTTTGTATACGACTTGTTAACAGATGACTAAAACAGGAAGTTTTTCGCTCGTGCAAAAAAAGAAAAAAAAAAAAAAAAAAAACTTTTTATGACTCTGTGTGCAGGACCATTCCCTTTGGTCTAATTGAGTAAACAAATCCATAAAGGCATATTCAAACCCCCTACCAGTTCGTAGTTACTATAGAGATATTCGATTCATACAAGGTTTACCATGGGGTTTGACTATGATATATGTATTGAATAGTATATAATCATGGTTAATTGAACCAATCCAATGGTATGTAAAACTAAATTAAATTAAAATAATATGTAGCCATTTTTTTTTGTTTGATTATTATAAATCATCATAATTGGCTAGGTCCCATTTAAATTTTTGTGGGGATGATGATAATTTGAAATGTGAAAAAATTCATTCGTCAGAAAACAAAAACGATAAAAGTTCGTCATGTGCACAGAATCAGCTGATCAAAATTTCATCTCCGGTAATACATTTCATCTCATCATCTGATGTTCAATTGGAAATATTGATCACATGATATAAAGTAACGTGATCTTTGTCGTCCTGCATATACTCCTGCAACTATGATTCCACTCTTTCTGTTAGCAAATGCACCCATTTTGAAGCACTATTATACCTGTTTCATATAATTATTTTTCATTTATAATTAATCTAATCTAACATATCATATCAATTGACGATATCATCCACATTTCATCTTTGAATGTGGTTGTGGTTCAAATAAACTTTCTTAGTCTTGTCTCTTATTATAGTTGTCGTCACAAAATGTCCTTGTTAAAAAATAATTACGAAGACCCAGACCAATTTTTTTTTTGCTCCCTATTTCGTCAATTTAGGGGATAGAGTTTTTATAAAAGATCGACATCATAATCAAAACTATTTAAAAAATAGTATTATTAATCAATATTAATTAGGGATCTAATTAATATTTCACATCATTGAAAATGATGATGGTGATGTAACGGCTTATTTATTTCTTTACAAATAAATAACCCTGTATTATACAATAGTTTACCATCCTTATGTCCTACAATTTGATATAATATTGGTTTAAACAATCAATTTATCAAATATTTTAAAAAAAAACTTTACCTTGCATCAATTATTCCGAGTTTAATTGTAATTATCCACAAGATCTAAATACCACTAGTTTGAAAAAACTGTATACATACTGAATTCCTTAAAAAATATTTCGTTAAGGTGATTTCTAAAATTAAAAATCAACAAACACTACATTACATCCGAATCTACATCTACAAGTGAAATTTACCTTTAAAAGCATAGACTAAATTCAATTACTATGCTTCAAACTATTTAAAATCTTCTATAAATATTATGAAAATCGTAAGCTATTTGTCTCTACAAAAAAAAAAACGACCGTGACCCTTAAAAAAATCTCGTTACTAGAAAATTACCCTAAGAACCGCTGTTTATGAACAAAACTGCTTATTCAATTCATAGTAATCTACCCGTGTAATATACTATGGTAACTACAACCTAAATACCTCCAACTTGAAATAAACACCACCACCACCCCCTATAGCTGCTCCTGCCCCCCAGTCTTTCGTCTTTCCTCGGCGCCAAATATCCCCCTTTTCCCTTCAAAATTGCCGCTTTTAAATACAAAATTACATTTTATCTGCAAAAATTATTTTATACAGTCAATTAACACATTTAATATTCACTGATGATCATTCTTATTGTATTATTTTTGGTTAGTATACTTTGAAAAATATCTATAATCTTCTTTCTGCAGTCGCAAAAATTTTATCATACAATTTTTATTTAACAGGTGATTCAAGCTTTCTCCTCCTCCACCACCTACTCCTCTTGCTCCATACTTTAAAATCAAATATTGGTTCCTGCTTTTAACAAAAGGAAAGACTGGAATTGAAAACTCATAACATGATACGGTTAAACTTAGCTTTGTGGGGTAATTAAAAGTCTTTTTATAAACGTATTTAAATTTATTAATTTATTCTATTCACAAGAGGCCAAATTAATTTTACACAACCGAACAAAGTATGTTTAAACACAAAAAGTAACGTGGTAAAGTAATTAGTTTGTCTTTTTTATTACCAAATGTGGATTGATCATACCGAGATTTTTAGTCTCCTTACCTTTCTCATTATCACTCTAAATCCCTATTTCTCTCCTTATTTTACTTTTTAATCACTTTTAATTATTTTTTTAGGTTGTTGTTGTTGCTTTTTAAATTAAACTTACATGCATATTGTAAGCTTTTCCCTTACTAGCCTAATTTAGCGGTATTTTGAATGATATTTTGAAATTTTTAACAATACCAATTTTCCATTAATTTTTTTACGACTAAAGATTTAATTAATATATAAGCCATACCATTTAATCTTCAATTCTATTTCTTTAATATTCATATCTTCTTTTTCAGTAACAATTAATTGAATTAATTTATATTAATTATAACAATTTTCGAAATTTATCTATAGGAAATTTTTCAAATATCGCGTTAAATTACTTACACACAAACAAAATATTGTCAAAATATAATTAAAAAAATGACACCAGTTCCAAAGACTCAATATGGTTTTGTTTATAATACTACTAGTGGACTTCAATTGAATGAAAGTCTTCCAATTCCAACTTTAAAACCAGGTCAATTATTATTAAAAGTGGAAGCTGCCGGATTATGTCACTCAGATTTACATATTCTTTATGAAGGATTATATTGTGGGGATAATTATGTTATGGGTCATGAAATTGCTGGTACGGTAATTAAAACTGAACAAGATGAAGCTGGGGCTTATAAAATCGGTGATAGAGTTGCTTGCTTTGGTGCCAATGGTTGTGGAAATTGTGAATTTTGTAGAAAAGGTAATGATAATGATTGTCCAAATGCATTTTACAATTGGTTTGGTTTAGGAAGTGATGGAGGTTATCAACAATATTTATTAGTTAAAAATCCTCGTAATTTAGTTAAAATTCCAGATAATGTTGACTTTGCCGAAGCAGCTGCCATTACGGATGCTGCTTTAACTCCTTATCATGCTATTAAATTAGCTAAAGTTAATCCCTTAACTAATTTATTAATTATTGGTGCCGGTGGTTTAGGTACAAATGCTATTCAAATTGCTCGTACATTTGGAGCTCAAATTACAGTGTTAGATAAAAAGCAAAAGGCTTTAGATATAGTTAAGAAATTAGATCCTGAATTAAAAGCTTATACGGAATTACCCGAAGATTTAGCAAAAGGTAGTTTTGATGTGATTTTAGATTTGGTTGGTGCTCAACAAACTTTTGAACTTTCTGAAAAGTATGTTAAATCAAAAGGTATTATAGTTCCAGTTGGTTTAGGTGCATCTAAATTGACTTTTGATTTATCTAATTTAGCATTGAGAGAAATCAGTCTATTAGGTTCATTCTGGGGAACTTCTCAAGATTTAGTTGAATGTCTTGAATTAGCAAGACAAGGTAAGATTAAACCACAACTTCATACTATATCATTAAAGGAATTACCTAAAGCCATTGAACAGTTAAGAAATGGTCAATATGAAGGTAGAACTGTCTTAATTCCATGATCAATGTGAAATCATCACCTTAATTGATCGGCTGACGAGTTTGCTTTCATGCTTTTTGTTTGTTTATCTGTTTATTCGTTCGTATCTGGTTATATAAAAAAACACTACAGATTTCTATAATAATGCAAGATGATTTTTGGCTGTTAAAAAAGGGAATAATATTTGTAGTTAGAAAAGAGGAAAAAGTATCTATTGCTATTTACTCTTTCATTATCTATTGCTATTTAAATAAAATTTAAGTGAAGCTAACAGAATGGCCTGTTCACATTCTTATAACTTAGTCAATCTTACGAATACAGTACAAACTACCTCCTATTGATATATCAGTTATGATTATATCAACTGAATGATTACTTTATGTAAGTCGATTAAAAAGTTAATTTATATCATAGTTTTGCAGTTCATTTCGAGTCAAATATCTCAGACCTTAGACAGGAGATATAAGTGGCATAAATTTGTAAGACCCGCTAAGGGAAATTACCGCCAGTATTTTTGTTCTTCGCAAAATCTGAGGCTTGGATGTTTTAGATAAAGCAAAATTTTTTTAGATCCTTTTTTTTTCTTTACAATTTTGAAAAGTCAAAATGCTTTAACCAAAAATAAATTTGTTATATTATAACAAAGCTAAATAATAAATAAATATACTGAAAGCAATAGTAATGTACATATGTAAGTAATGAAACTTTAGACCCCTAACGGAAAAAAAAACAATTCAGAGTTTTTAAACCAGTTTTACATGCATTAATTCTCAATTAGGTTTACCATGAATGGATTGGAGAACCACTTGAACTAGGGGAATGTCAATTTGAAGAACATTGACAGGTTACTTATAGCTTGGTAGTGTTACATGAAGCACATGAACATCCAGATCCACATTTACATGAAGCACCACAACAATTAGTTGATGATGATGATGATGATGATACTGAAGTCGAGGTTGAAGCTGAAGCTTGAGTAGTTGAGTTAGTTCCACACATATTGATAAGTCTTGTCCTTATGTTGATATATTTTAATGTATATAAAGTCTTGAACTAAATAAAAGAAACTTCAATATTGTAATTTGCAAGAGATATCTTTCAATTTATATTTAATCTAATTTATTTTTGTTCTTCTCTGCTGTTTTTTTGAGATACGGATCCAATTACCTAATTAGGAATCAGTTGGCGTCAAGACACAAAATCTTAATTTGTAACATCAACTTGCGCTAAAGTTTTCAAATATTAAGTATCGTGAGATTATTTTTCACGTTGCTTTGGAATGGTCTTTTCAATATGTATATATATAAAATATTGTACATTTCTACTGTAAATCGTTATAAAAATAATATTATATATTATAAATTATAGTGAACTAATCACTATCGAAATTATTGGCCGAAAAATAGAAGATATAGAAATAGGAAAATTCAAAAAGGATATCACATAATAAAACAAAATAATCAAGTTAATGATTCAAATAAATAATGATCATATCAAATGATCAACAGAAAAATAAAACTAAACGAAATGTGAAAAGAAAAGAAAAGAAAAGAAAAGAATCATAAGAATGTAGTATGCACAAACTTGGAAATATCAAGACTAAATGAATATTCCCATTAACACCATCAAGAGCAAGACTAATTTGGATACCTTCAAAGAAGATGATCCTTCGAATGGAATTGTCAAACTTGGTGGTGACGATTCTAATGACGAATATGATGTTTCAACAGAATATGCTGCTGCTAAAGACTCTGAATGTCCGTTAAACACTGAGTATGCAGCTGCTAAGGATATTGATGGTGTAGGTTGAACAGATGTTTCTCCTGTTGGATTTGCAGATGGTCCGTTGAATACTGAGAACGCAGCTGCTAAAGAAACTGAAGGTGTGACAATGGTGGTTCCAGTGCCTGAAGTAGTAGTTTCTATGGTCGTTGTTTCTGGAGTTACAGTGATAGTGGTGATTATTTGCACAGTACCCGAAGTACTGGTAATGATAACAACTGACACTGTGGGTGAGCTGAAAACAAATGAGGCCGCTGCGAGTGAAGTTGAAATAGCGTTCGTGCTTGTAGTAGGTGGAGTAAGTATGCTAGTTATAGTAGATATCAATGTAACAGGACTTGTAGACGTGGTACTCGTAGTTGTGGTAGTGAGGATTGTTGTACCTGTTCCAGTAGCAGTTGTAGTTGTAATCGAAATCGTCGTTGGGCCAGTACCTGTAACAGTAGATGTGATTGTTGATCCTGTTCCAGTGTTAATTGTCGTTGTTGTTGTAATAGTGCTAGTATTTGTGGTGCTAGTAACACTAGTGGTAGTTCCAGTCGATATTGAAGTAGTAGATGAGGTCGAGGTTGTTGACAAAGTAATAGTGACGGATGTAAAAGTTGTGGAAGTAGTAGAAGCCGTAGAAATGGAGGTCGTGGATGTTATTGTGGATGACAAAATAGTTGAACTAACACCAGTAGGTGTTATTTCGGAACTAGGCGAAGAAAGAATTGTTGAAGAGAAAGTAAGTCCGGAGCTTTCTGAAGTTAGACCACTTGAACTGGTCGTTGAAATAATAGATGAGTTTGTATAATAAAACAGTGATGATATGACTGGCGGGGAACTAGATGAAATTGGAAGAGTAGTCAAACAAGTGAAATCCCTCTTCGCGTAATTAATTAACTGATCTCCGTCAAAATAACAAGTCGAGTATGTTGTAATCAGTGACGACTCCAGCTCAGAGCTAGACATAAAGGAAACACTTGTTATCGTACTAATTTCCGAACTTGATGAACCAAGACTAGATGGTGGAGGAGAAACTGTACTATAACTGATGCTAGAGAAGCTAGACAATTCACTTGATTGGCTTATACTTGTTGATGAACTGATGGAGCTGCTTATTTGCAGACTGGATACACTATAATAACTTGAGCTAGAACTAGAACTAGAACTTGAGCTCAAACTTGAACTTGAACTTGGGCTGGAGGCAGAACTAGAACTAGAACTATATGAACTGCCTGAAAAGGTACGAGGAGTAATACTTAAACTACTAAAACTTGAAGACGATGATTCTGAACTTGAACTTAAGCTTGAACTTGAACTTAAGCTTGAACTTAAGCTTGAACTTGAACTTGAACTAGAACTAGAACTAGAACTATATGAACTGCCTGAAAAGGTACGAGGAGTAATACTTAAACTACTAAAACTTGAAGACGATGATTCTGAACTTGAACTTAAGCTTGAACTTAAGCTTGAACTTGAACTAGAACTAGAACTTATGCTTGAACTAGAACTAGAACTAGAATTAGAACTAGAACTAGAACTTGAACTAGAACTAGAACTTAAACTTGAGCTAGAACTAGAACTAGAATTAGAACTTAAACTTGAGCTAGAACTTGAACTAGAACTAGAACTAGAACTTAAACTTGAACTAGAACTAGAACTAGAACTATATGAACTGCCTGAAAAGGTACGAGGAGTAATACTTAAACTACTAAAACTTGAAGACGATGATTCTGAACTTGAACTTAAGCTTGAACTTAAGCTTGAACTTGAACTAGAACTAGAACTAGAACTTGAACTAGAACTAGAATTAGAACTAGAACTAGAACTAGAACTAGAACTAGAACTAGAACTAGAACTAGAACTAGAACTAGAATTAGAACTTAAACTTGAGCTAGAACTTGAACTAGAACTAGAACTAGAACTTAAACTTGAACTAGAACTAGAACTAGAACTATATGAACTGCCTGAAAAGGTACGAGGAGTAATACTTAAACTACTAAAACTTGAAGACGATGATTCTGAACTTGAACTTAAGCTTGAACTTAAGCTTGAACTTGAACTAGAACTAGAACTAGAACTTGAACTAGAACTAGAATTAGAACTAGAACTAGAACTAGAACTAGAACTAGAACTAGAACTAGAACTAGAACTAGAACTAGAACTAGAACTAGAGCTAGAACTTGAACTAGAACTAGAACTTGAACTTGAAATGGAGCTAGACGAGCTGCTTGGCGACGGATTACATTGAGTGAGAACTATGTATTCGTAATCGCGCTTGGCGGTAGGATAAATAGTAACCAAAGTCTCTCCAAAAGCACAACTACTTGACGAAGATATAATATCAATGCTGGAGCTGAAGCTTGACGACAGTGACGAAGAACTTGATGAGAAGCTTGAATCAAATGAAGAACTACTAGATGAATCTAAACTTGAACTAGTGGATGAACTTGGCCAGTTAGAAATGGAGCTCAGCCATAATGAAGAGCTTGAGTTGATAGAACTAGATGATATACTTGAACTTGAAGGAGAACTTGAAGGAGAACTCCATGAGCTAGAGGAGGAGGCCGACCATTCAGAACTTGGTGGTGACACGGACGACGACGACGGTGATAATGTGTACGACGTAGACAGAATACTACCCCAAGACTCCGAAATAGAACTTGACAAACTAGAACTCGATAGCGTCGCCGAAGTTGGAGAGCAAGTTGTAGTCCAATGCTTTCTACCAAAATCCCAACAATTATCGACCACTCCTGTACTACACGCAGTAGTCGTGGGTGGATTTGGTGCACAGGTAGTAAATTGAGGTATATCATGGTCGTCACAAACAACAGTGGTGCCATGCGAGCAAGTAGATGAGCATGAAGTAGTCCACCTATTGTAATTAAAGTCCCAACAATTATCAACCACTCCTGTACTACACGCAGTAGTCGTGGGTGGATTTGGTGCACAGGTAGTAAATTGAGGTATATCATGGTCGTCACAAACAACAGTGGTGCCATGCGAGCAAGTAGATGAGCATGAAGTAGTCCACCTATTGTAATTAAAGTCCCAACAATTATCAACCACTCCTGTACTACACGCAGTAGTCGTGGGTGGATTTGGTGCACAGGTAGTAAATTGAGGTATATCATGGTCGTCACATACAACAGTGGTGCCATGCGAACAACTTGATGTACAAGTAGTACTCCAGGCTTTCTGCTCAAAATTCCAACAATTCTCCACATACCCTGTACTACACGCAGTAGTCGT